TTTCACGAACGTGCTGGATTTACAATTTATCGCATCAAGAGGTCAAGCGATTCAAGTCATGACTGCGTATGACCCAAATATCGTAACGCGACGTAGGCAAAAAATATCTTCAACTGATAGTTTGTGCCATACAGCCACAAGAAAGGAAGCATACACGGTACAGTATTGAAAAGAGTTGAATTACGATAACAGAAGGTGTTTCATCAAGTGAGTGGTATGGAGATATGATACTTACCTCAAATCGAGATCCGATTTCCGGGCGCCATTGGTGTAGAGTCTGAATATTAGTAGTTGGTCTACTCTCTAAGCAAGGCTAACGAGAAGCTGTCTGTTTGTAGCTTCTCTTCCTCTCATCCTTTCTTCTTGGCTCTGTGATGTACTCCTTAAGAATGCATTCGATGAATATCTATAACTATCTGCCATTGCAAACATTGACGAATACTTGCGAGTCTCCAAGAAATCTGTGTCGAGCCTATGTACATATTAAATGTTGAAACGTTCCAGCGCTGCGATGAGTCAGTTTATGCTCAACCTCTTGATTGAACAAATGCCGTCTGCCGCAGACCTCGTTGCTCTATATACAGATTTGTTGATATGGCCCAAAGAGTAAAAGTACCCTAGGGCTTCTGGCTGTGATTCTAAAGGTTGATAATGCCAGCCAGAAAGAAGATCCAGCGCAGTTCACACAGAAGAAATCTCCAAGAACTGGGACTTTCTCCCTGAACACCACGGATTTAACCTAGTTCTATAGCACGAGCCACGTTTCCCGAACAGCAACATGATATAAGGCGGCGCACATGAATTCTGAGACACCGCCCCCGCCCCCCGGTAGTTTCAACATTTTCACCAAAACAAAGTCCTCCTAACCATGGGATCTCTTGAATAACTCTTCATAAATCCAATTAAGTTTCAAAAGCTCGAAATGAATTAGAGTCGCTGGTATCCATAGCTATGTGCATAAAGTGTAAGTTTAATTCTGTGTACCTACTCTGAATTACTAGAAAATGAGAAAGTGCCGAAGTCGCATAGTGAAGCTACCGTATAGATTAAAAAAATCGGTGCGGCTCTAAATCTTTGCATTTCAATCAAATTCTATCTAAAGAAGGATAATTCAATTCTCTTCCAGGCATCGAGATCGTGGAGTGCATATTCCCTTTTAGAAGAGTAATCGTCATTCCAAACGGCTAATTCTGATGGGCATTGGGTATCGGAATCTTGAGTATATCGCAACTCCGGTACGACGTCTTATTCTTCCTAATTTTCCATCGTGACAACAAGTGCCAGCAATAATGGTCTTCATTCATCAAGTGCAAGTTCCGTTACATTAGACGGAGTTCTATTTTGTCGTGTACACTGTCTCATGAATGGAGTTAGTCCGGTTGGAATCGAGACGCAGACTCAATATAACGGAACTTAAAAAGTACAATCCTCGTTCCACCATGAGAGGCGGCATATTAAGACGGAAAAGCAGAAATCGCTATGCTCTAACCAATTGTTACCTTGTTGGTGGATTCACCAAAGATCGACCACCAAAGATTCATGTCCAGTATGGAATTGGCTGTTGGACCGTTATGTTAGAGCCCTTGACGCAGGCAATATATATCAAGCGGTCAGTCAATAGGCTACGGCTAGGATGTAGCATCAGTCTACTGAAATCTTGAGGTTCGTCAAAAGCCAAACGAGGGTTATCGCTTCAGACACACTAGAAGCTTCAAAAGTCATTCTTGGGCGCGCTGATTGAGAATCAAAGGCGAACATCGTGGGACAGCAATTCTCATATCAGCGATTACATACTACCAAGTCTATACGTCGAGCAGCTAGCATCATGCCTAGCAAGTAGGTCAACGAATGGAAGGGCTACATATATTTCAACGCGGAACGCATCTATTCGTCAACCCCATTCAGTCTATATCGTTTGCGCTATTGAAGGCGGGCGTGTACCTGATAATAAGAAATGAAAGAAGAACCCCGAATGGTTCGAGTTTAGAGCTGGTCAAGATGGAAAATTTCAACGCATTGTGGAGTAAGCCACTGCAACATACGTAAAGAGTCTAGATAGCAAGAACCCAAATTAAGATATCAGATATCATCGCATTGAATCCCATATATCAACACCTAACCAGCTGACATAAACGTGTATCATTTGTAGGATGACCGATACATGTGACGGCCAGGCGGTTCGGTTTGAGCGCTTGAAAACATCTGAACAACTGCGACTCAGTGTTATTTGAAGTAGACCAAGGAGGCGAGCCCCGCAGAGTAGACTCTCTTAGGTATGTTATGGGGCGGCTATCTTCCGCCTATTGAGCTTGCGCGTAGCGCTATACTCTAGTGACACCGCAAAACTAATATCACGTGCTCTCTAACCAAGCTTGATGGTCATCAGTAGTATTTTCATGATGAGAGTAAAATAATACAGATTCAAAGCACGCACAATTGTTAAAAAGCCTATGGAGTTAGCGCATGCTAGAGAAAACTTCTCCTTCCCTATATACGATGTTATTCACATTCAAGAGGGGCAATGAATTGAAACTACTCTTTTTTGGACTAAAAGTATATATATAGCATACATATTGAAGACATAGCCTTCTGTTTCGGTTTCACCTACTTATAAACAGCTGTGCTAGATTCTTGTGATTGCTTTTATACTGAGCGCGTGATCCGCACAGGGAAACAACCATCTGCTATTTGACTAAGGACTACGTCTGATGGATAGTTGATGCTTCATGGGCTAGTTTTGTAACCACCTAATTCTCATCATCGCTTCTGTTCTCGTGCTAGGGATTGCCGTTTGTTGACTACTACATTAGACAGTAAAAACCATTTATCATTCCTATCCCTAGGAAGCGTCATACTTGTATTGTATGCTGTAGTCTGTGATTGTCTCGGCAGGATATATCTATGTTCATCTACTGATAGGTGTTGCTGGTAACGGCTGTTAATTCTCATTACACCTCAACGACTCGTTTGATACATGTCCACCTGCCACTATTGATTTCTGTACTCCGCTTTGTTATTGTGTAAGCCTTATGCGAGTGATTGTGTTTTCAACACGACCAGTTCGCACATCTCAAAATAAGGAGGATATCTCATCTTTTCGAATGCCACCTAGATAAACTATTTGTCAACATTTTGTTCTCTGAGCTATGGATGTAGGGTTGTTTTCCATGACTACATGAGACCATTTATCTGGTACTTCGATTCGTTCTACTCGGGTCAGGCCTAGAGGGATTTTGCAGAGCGTACGTTAACATGAGCTCCTATATCAGATGCTATTGATAGACATTCTTTTTCTGCTCAGATATAGATAGGCCTCGCTTGATTCGCTCTCGCGAAAATACTCATTCCCGTAGCGATCATTTAGCTGAGTCGCTGCATAATTCGGGAATCGATACCGAGCTACTATTTATCACTGGCGAGCAACTTGAGGAATATAGCCGTTGAGTTGGTGGCCCGGCTTTTAAGCATAGGTATCATTTTGTAATCTAAATCTCATACTATATTGCTTACTTTAATAGAAAAGACAACAACTACGTCAAAGGCGGCTTTGCTTCATGCGAAATTACATCGTACATTTTCGAAACTTACTGACTCTGCTTTTTTAATCTGACATGCTTATAAGTAGTGCGCAGTCCCTGTTTCAGCATGAAATCGGCAAAGCTTTTCTGCCAACATTAATCCATCGCCAGGAGCTACGGTGACAAAAGATGGCAACATAGTTCATCCTTTTCCTCTCCACCACTGTGGAACTAGTCTTGTGTCGTAAAACTCTGACGATTCATTCATTACATCAGGACGGTGAAAAACGCTTTTCATTGAATAAATCGCCCACGACGTGTTCTTCTAGCTCGCGAAACCTTAATAGGTCACACGTACTAATAATAATCATTACACCAGCACGATGGTCTGTTATCCTTACGAGTAACTCGAATAAGAATAGCATATGATAAAACTTAGAATTCGGAATCGCTGGGGAAATTGGGTCCCACAGTTGCACAGAAAACCTAATATTGTTACGTTTCATGGAGATGTGAGTCGCCAGAAAATAAAACTGAAAACAGTGGCCGATTACATTTGTCGGCCCTGTGTGTATAGCTCCTACTTAGCATCACTCTAAAAAGATGAAAATAATCTACCGTCATATGTGCAATCCGCCCCCGTTGAGAGCAATCACCTTATGTTGCGTACGGCTAGAGTTTCAGAACGATGATCTTTTTCAATTCTCTAGAGATCGAACATGTTGATGTGGAGATTGTTTGCACGACAAAGGTTGCGGATATGTGTAGGATATGATGATTTATTATGATTAGCTGAGATAAGACTGAGGCAACGTGATCCCCAACCCCCTACTTCCAAGCCGATAGTTGAAATACGGCGAGGCTCAAGAATCATTTGATTACTTAGAATAAGGACTTGGTGTGCTTGGATTAAGGGATTATTGCGGGCGGTCTCTAGAGTATGTGACATGATGCTGTTATTATCATTGCAAGAGTTTTGGAGAGCTTCTCTCGCAATTGTGGTACAAATAGGCGTTTCGTCGTGCCAATTTTTGCAACCCTCTGTCGTGCCTTTACAGATACTCTTGATGTTGCTCGGGCGACTCCCACGTTGGTCGTAGAGTGTTCAGTGATTCAAATTACCGAGTTCATGCTAGGTCTGCTACATCTTGGATATCTATGTGAACATGGATATGCATCTCATGCTGTGGTATTTTCGTTGTTGAAATTGCGTACATCGAAACTTGTCCGCTGTGGGCATAATCGACCATGCACTAGCACATGATCGGTACAGGTAGCTCATCATTACGGCTTTATCAGACCAGCCATAGGCTTCGGTACGATGTATTCGATCGCATCGAAATCCGCAGGCTCACAAAGTTCTTGGTGGTACCCGACAGTTTTCCCGTTGTAGTACCCTGTGTTCCGGTGATCCACGCGCCGTGAAATAGTAACAACCGGAACATTATTTGGAGATTGAAGAAGGCAGGTGCAGGAGAGCCTTCAAAGAACATTTAGAAAGCCGAAACCTTCGTTCTCAACCCCAACCAAGCGAACCGTACTCGTTTTATCTCGTGCAGCGGAACCAACTGATGCAGCTGCCATGAGAGCCTGATCCCTCTGCTCAAACCTCTTATTCTCCCAAGCGAGCAATGTGCGGAGTGTTAGTGCTAAGAGGGCAGTCATAAATAGGCATCCAGCGGAAACATACATCCCCCTTGAGTAGTAGGGGGCTTCGTTTTGTGGGAAAAGCCGGGTGCCGAGGAGGGGGCCGCACTGGCCGACGAGGTTCATGATTGTAATGCCTGCGCCTCGCTTCGAGTCGCTGCCTTGGTTATTGATCGACCAGGGAAGAATGTTGGCAATAGCTGGGAACATGCCGGCGGCAGCCAAGAAAACGCCTACATATCGCGCAGCCACCGATGTGCAGACGCCTAACACAATATAACCTGCGCCTCCTATCACAGAAACGGAGGCAATCATAATTCCGCGCTGGCCTGTTCGATCAGCTATATAAGTCGTCCCTAGGCATAGGAAGAAGGCGAGCAGATAGGGAGGTGCCGTCAGACCCTGCGCATCGACCGAGGAGAACCCCATATGGTAGATGATGTCGGGAAGGAAGACAGGGAGGGAGCTGAAAGAGACTGCTCGAGAAGATGTAAGTATTTGCCCACGTCGGCCGTGCCGTGCGCGCCTATTCCTCCTAATGTCAACCAGGGAACAACTACTTACCATTGATGCAGAAGTACATCAAGGGTGGGATCCACGTTTTCAAGTCGCCGAGGCTAGCAAAAACTTCCTTGAGCTGTACATTGCCAATTCTGGACCTGCCTTCTTGACCTGTTTGCTGTATAGCACGGAACTTGGCAATCTCCCGTTCCTCTGGCGACAAAAAGCGAGCCGTGTCAGCCGAATCAGGCATAAACCCATACGCTACGACAGCCATGAGGATTGAGGGTAAACCTTCAACCAGGAAAAGAAGTCTCCAGCTAGCAATTTTCGTATGTCCTGAGGTGATACCGTAGGCCAAGGCGCCAGCAAAGGTGTTGGCTAGTGGTGCGGCGGAGAAGAAGATGGCACAGCGCAGGCCTAGCTCCCGACGCTTGTAGAAGAAGGAGAGTAGATAGGGAATCCCTGGGCCGTAGGCGGCCTCGGCTGCGGCGAGGAAGAAACGGCAGGCCATAAGGCCGGACCACGAGAAGGCAGCAGCTTGTAAAGTGGATGATATGCCCCTGAACGCGGCCACTCGAAGATTAGCCACACGGGACTGGCGATTCTAGGCAGGAAATCATGCTGTGGTGCTTACCATATCAAAACACAACCAGCAGCCCACATATGACTGCAGGACAATTGATATTAGTCAAGGGTGCGGAACGGCGGAAAGTGTCACGATCCAGGCACTGACGGTGGGACCAGCTTCCACATAAATGCCAGAGGCTCGAAAAGAACTAGTGCCCACAAACGTAAGATTAGTCGATAGACACCAGGTACGGCTGTGGATTTGTTCTTACTGTACGGAATGTAGAATATGGTCAATAGCCACTGCAGTAAACCCGCAGTCTGCGTCAGCCTTATGCGTATGTACTCTCTTCCCTTTGGAAAATGGTGACAAGATTTGGGTTCTCTCAATACGAACCTGATAATGGGCGTCATCGAAGCCGAGATCAGTAGCCCTGGGGTTGTGCGACTGTTATTAGTGCCGCGACATGATGATAACATACATGGCGCCAATGTCGTGCCTAAAGTCATGGGACATTCGGCGAGATCCAAAACATACATGCCAGCGGTCCTCGCGTTGCCAATGTTTGAGCGATCCAGGATGGCCACGAGATCTGACCGATGGGAAAGGTGATCTCAGTAAGGGGCTCCACGTCCACAGCTCAGAAGAAAGAGGATGCTTGCTTACACAATCCCATTACCATCGGCATGAGGTTCCAATCAATTTTACGCCTTACTCGACGTTCTTGGTCGGGGTCGAGGCCAGGATGAAGCTCAACATCGACGTGTGGCTCCGTGTCAGGTTGAGATATGGGCCGTACGTGCTTCTCAATGGAAGCTGCCTCGTGGGTGATGCTATCAGGCATGATGGGTGTCGCTGTTAGTGCTCGGGAGAATGAGAATGAGTCAAGGAGAACACAAGGCGCAACCAGGGAATCCAGCAGGCGGACGCGTATGAGCACAAGTAGAGGACGGAGAACAACGACCTCGTGCGTATGTAAATTCATTTGCTACGTGTGAGAATGGTGAGAAATTGGGCCAGCTCTGCCACGTCCGAGGGGGGAACACCCGAGCTCGCCAAACCAGTAGACAAAAAATGTTAGACATTACACCGCTCGGAATCGGCATCAGCGTCCGATTTATTCTGTCAACCGTCTCGCTTGCGTGCTGCCTGGCTAATGCATGGCTTTTCGGGCTATGATGTGTGACCGACAAGGATGGCTATGCGAGGGTGACGAGTCCTCTTAGTTTCCCTTCCCCGCAATTCCAGCTCAGCGACGATCTAAAAGAATAATGTGCCAGCCAGGATCTACTGATGATGTTGGAGAGGATGCGCATGCGGCCCCGTCCCGACGCCACCCCCGGAGAAACAAGCTCCACAAGCTCCAACAAGCAACACCAAGCGTCGCCTTGGCGCCAAAGCGTGCGCCAGCTGTGACCTATGGCAGGACGAGAGCAAGCCGCCTTGAAGAGCGAGCTCTTTCCCAGCGTGGTCTCTACGACGAGCGAGAGACTCTTACGACTGCCAGTATCATCCCCTATACCTGACACGGAGGACGACGCGCATTTGAAGATATTCTGGAACTCGGTGGTCCCAGAGGAGGGGTCAAGGAAGCATGCTGACACGACAAAGGTGAAGAACTAGCGCTCTAGCAACAGGTCAGCGAACACATGACAAAATCAGCCACAAGAGAAGTACGTTGAATTAATGCTGTGCCGAATTCCCGGCATTCTTACTTTGTACCTGTTCCGGAGGGCTAGAACGTCTAGCACGCAGACCAGCTTCGTTCTTCGAGAGAAGGCAAGCATTACAGTTTGGTGTTCTTAGCTACTGCAGCACGCTGCTCACGAACAGTTTGCATGCTTTTGAGGATTGCATAGATGCTCTGGAGCCGAGGCATGGGCACGCCTGCCGCGCGAGCGATTCTGACAGGATTGCCGAGGATGACTTCCAACTCCATTGGACGGCCTGCCTCCCAGTCCAGCAACATGCTTGGCTTTGATCCCTTGTTGCGCTCATTGCTTCTAATGATCCTTGCCGGCGTCGCCACCTGATTCTCGTCGAAAGGCTTGCCTAGAACTTTTGGCGCGGCATCCCAGATCTCTTGCATGATACCAGCAACGTGTTCCCGCAGCTCGGGGTCGGTCACAATGTCGGCATTACCGCGGCCACCAGATAGGACCGCTGTGGGATTGAATGCGGCATTAATACACAGCTTGTGCCACCGTATTGTTTGGAGCTCCATCTCGGTATGCGGCTCAACATCGCGGATGTTCCCCAGCTCGGTCCACCAGCGTGTCAGGTCGTTCATACTCTTCGTCGCACGTGATAGAAGTTGGCTCGACTCGTCCTGGCCACCACCATCACGCAGTGCCCGGCTGAGCCCATGGCCATACGGGCCAAGACTCATCCTAGTCCACCTGTTCTGCCGAATCGTGCCCTGCTTGATTTGCTCGGCGCTGACAATGGTAACAGCACTGATGATGGGATTGTGCGGAAATCTCTGGCGGTAGGGATCCTCGACACCGACACCGTTCTGAATCAACACTATGCATGATTTTGGGGAAACAAGAGGTGCGATCATGGCCGCATCGTCCGTCTTATCGGGCAGAGCCTTCGTTGTCACGATAATGTAGTCCCATCCGGAGGCTGGCGGGGGCACTTTGAGGTTATGCGGTGATGGCATGGATTCAGGGCTAGCAGCCTGAACGGAGGGGAAGACGGCATGAGGCAAGAACGTATAGTTGCCAAAGGTGTGTGTCTGTAGACTAACGCCAGACTCGGCGATCGCGGAATAGTTGGACCGCGCCGTCAAAGAGACGTGTATGTTTTGGGCAGGCTGGCGTCTCAATGTTAGTACTTGTATACAGCAAAGACACTGAGCCTTGTTATGGCTGACAGATTGGTCATGTTGAGGCTCACATGGTGCAGGCGAGACGCATAAAAGCAGCCGACGGCGCCTGCGCCGACGAACAGGATGTGAGTGGCGGTCCTTTGTTCCATGCTGATGAGGCAAGAAATTGAACCTTTTGTCTGCGCCGCCACGGGGGTCTTGTTTGTGTGCCAAGTCCCAGCACTGTCGTTTGTTATCCTGGAGGAGGCCGCAGGGCAACTGGTGTCTCTTGAGCTTGAGGATGGTTGAACGAATGTGGAGTCTGCCGAGGCTCACCAGGCGAGTTCGCGATAACAAGGCTGCGAAGTGCGTTCCCCCTGCCGGCTTAGGTAATGACGACGGCTGAGGGGCAGCAACGCCACACGCGTTCGGAGCAGACGCGCAGCCACGGTTGTCACTGGCACCAAGGAAAAAGACGACTTTGGCTGCCCTGGAGGACGACCTGCCCAGGGCGTATTTCTGCCACCAGAAGGCCAAACGGAAATTCCACCTCTACGACTCGGACTCGAGGCGAATGGCCATCAACTCAACTCGCCATACCCCAGGGCCCATCTTGACATCAGTCTCATCTCTCGTGAACCCGTTCCCCTCACCAGCTCCAATCAGAATAGCGTTCATCGCCTTCCTGCTTTTTGATATCGTGCGTGGTGCATGTCGTAGCGCAAGTCACAGAACTCCCTGGCCTGGACCGCAGCTTGCACTGATAGCTTCACTCTCGGGCTCGCCTACGCCTCCTGTGGATGAGCCCTCGAGCTGCGCTCGCCTCACTTATTTTCATCATAGCTTCTTAAGCCTGGGCAGCAGCTTCAGATGCGCCGTGTTCGGGGTCTCGCGATGTCTTGGTCTTCCTTCGCCTGGTGAGCCACCTGGCAGAAACCACTGCTGCCTCCTTTTCGACATGAGCTTCTACGCTTGCATTGATCTTGCATATCTGGGCTTATCATGTGTGACGTCATTCGCAGATCTATTTTTGCATCCTTGATTCGGCCTTGGTCCAATGAGCCGTGTAATGGACCGGGGCGAATTAGGAATAGCATTCATGCATGCTTGTGGCAATGACGACCAAGCAAGCTGTCGCGTGTCGAGTTCTGTCGGCAGGTCGCGAGATGGCCTCGGCTAGGCAAGGAATGACGACCATCGATAATGAGCGTGCCGCCTTGCTAGACCTTGCAGCTAGTATTTAGGCGTCCGTGACGGTAACAGGCACTATCAATGAAACCAGGCCACCGCAGCGCGATGGCGAGCTGCTGGAAGGCGATATCGCCGACATCGCCAGGCACAACGCAATACTTGCTGGTCGAAAATCGATACAATATGAAGCTGGTCCAAGTTAAGATGATACAAGTCGTGGCCACATCCTGAACACCAAACCACCAAACCAATATTCAGGCGTTAGCAGCCGTTCACTTGCGGACGCGACAAGGGATGCACATCCTGGCTTGACCAAAGGTGGCGAGGTTGGGCATGAGTCAGCTTACAGGTGGCACGGCATGCTAGCACGGGTGTTGAAATGGGAGGCATGCAACACAATTCCATCGATGAGGCTTGACGAGGCAAATGAACATGCTCTTCAGCGCATGCTTTCTACAAACGTTACCGCCCAATAGCATCGTCAAGATATGTTGCCATCGCAGCAGCTGCAAGCGTCGCTTTCTCCAACCGAGCGTGAACATGCAGGCCAAGGATATCAGAACAGCCAAAGTTCTCATGTCGGATGGACCGCTGCTCATCGCGTTTCTGATCTCAAGGACGGTGAACCCCTTGTGCAGCTGGCCATGCACTCTGTGCTTACAGAACGAGCGCCATCACCACAATCGAAGTTGCAGCTTGAACGAAATGGTCATTCTTGTAAAGCCTTACCAGTTGGCCAGTTCCAGCCTCCTAGGGCTATTGTACGTGATGGCAACCCACGGCAGGCGGAAGGCAGCACACCTCCGAGGAATCGCTCCAAGGTTCCCGGACCTGTGGCGAGCACCTTTGTAGAGAGAACCAATGTGACACGCCGGGTAACAATGGAGGATAACGTTGTTAAGACCGCACGGACACAGAAATCGCTTGAGTGTTTAGCAGAATCCCCCAGAAACTTGCGCGCAGTAAAGGTCATATCAAGTAGCTAGCGGGTAGAATCAAGAACATCGAGGCAAGCTTGCGAGCGAGGAAGCTAGCGTGGATGCCATCAACGATTTGCTGGGCGCCAATGTAAGAGTCCACCACCAGCCTATACGCATCTCACGCGGTCACGAATCAAGAGGGCCCGCTCAGACATATCAAGGGCCGTAGATTTCGAGACGCTCCCATGCCAGACAGGCTGGGGCTCGCATCCTCGTGGAATCCATAAGGTCAGTTAACCCAGCGTGCCTGACTCTACCAACGAGCTGACTCCACGGCCCGCAAGCCAGTCACCCAACGAAGAGGCTCCGTACTCTACAAACTCAATGGACGATCTATACCTGGATATCGGCCACACCGACAACTTCCTTGGACTGAACGACGACACATTTGTGAGCTACATAGCCGTTGTTCGTCTTCCATACCCTGTCCTGTCAAGCACCCGAGAACGCGTGGAACTGATGCTGAGTTATTGTCCATCTCCTACGAGATGCATTGACGGAGTCATTCGTCTCGGTCCCTGGCTCATGCACAAATATGGCTCATGCACAAATAGCGACATGAGCATCGTATATCGTCTTCTCACCGATTGGGACGCCTTCACCGACTAACCCTCCTCTACGACGCAGCTTATTCATCTGCTGAGGCTGATCTTGATCACTGTTGCCATCAAAACTTTCGGATCATCGTTGCTAAAAGGTTAGCATGGTAGCGCGTCAAAAATGTACATTCTAGGGCGTGCCGTTGACTGCGGTCATTTAGTCTCGACGCCTGTAAGATAGGCATGGAGCTTGATCTTGATTGCGAACGAAAGGGTCAGAAGCTGGTGGACACTGGTCATGCTTGATCGTTGGAACGCGGTTGTCACTGCCAGCCCATGCTAGTCCGAAATCACCGCATCGCTCTTGTTCCTCGCATGATTCCCAGTGCTAAGCAAGCCCGTTTGTCGTCTGACCCGTGAGTGTCCTCTTCCAGTTAATAGCTAGTCGTTCACTCATTCCAAGTCTCTCGAAAGTCTTCGGCCACTTCGCGCCTGTTGCACTAGCGCTACCACAAGTCCTGAGACCGATACCTGGAGCATCCCCAATTCTGAATTACCAGCTCAACTTTTCCGTCGAGCTTTTTCGGGAGGTGCTGCCAGTTGCCTCTACCCCGTGTTCACATTCGAGATTACATCTTGTTTGTTGGCATTGCCGACTTCCGGTGTACCTCTCCCGAACGAATGCGAAGCCTGCAGAGGTGGTATGGCCGGGCAGGCAGACGTCGGAATTCCTGCCTGCCGACGCTGCTCCCCTCACCCCCCTCAGCCGTCACTTGTTGTTGTTACCGGCACTCTCTCTCTGATTGAGGTGGCAAAGGTGGATTTGCCGCGGGAGGAAGCTACGGAACGGTTGGGTTATCTGCTGCGATCAAATTTCGCACCTTGCACGTGCTGGCTACTTAAGTGTCCCAATTTATGGCGCCGTACCTCGATCATGACATGGGACAACGAACATTAACCAGCCAGACCGCACTAAGCCCTGCCACTTATAAGCTTGGTAGTCGGTTCAAAGGTTGGCGTTTGGCAATCTCTAAGCGGCGAACCTCTTGTCGAATGATTGCTCACCCTTCGCGTATTTGAGTAGACCACTGTACAATGTCGTCACGGTTGTGTTTGACCTGGGCCACATAACCCCCTCTGTTCAATAATATAATCGAAGACATATTCACGGCACTTCGTAGCGAACACTCTATGTTGACGTGTGAAGGGTCAGTCAACTGTTCTGTGGGACCAAACAATATTCAGGTCTGTCCATGACCTTGAATATGTGCAAGCACAACATTGCACTTAGCGGGAGAGCTTTTGTGGTGCTTATTGGTCATGGGTTTCAGGCTACCATGGCAACAGAGGCACTTCGTACTCCTGAATTCCAGTCATTCTGCTGCTGTGGACAACTTAGTCCGACCCGCCGATACTTTGAGGAGCGTGACGATGCACCAGCGAGCAAACAAAACGAAAGACCTATGCAGAGGGCATACGCTCTCTATAGATCTGATGGACTGTCAATTCGCTCCGTGCAGCGATACGGCATTTTCGATGCCCTACAAGATGCCCTGGAAAGCTTGTGCTTGGTCGGCACTTACTGTTGGCCGGCGAGACAGCACTTCATATGAATAATAGGGGAGGAAGCCTCTGAGCCCGCGCACATCTCCGGCCCAACCAGCGTGAGGTGAAACGGTATCAGGATCGATGACATGCAAATTCCAAACGTAGGGCATTAGGCGGTGACCTTCAAGGTTGTGTTAAATGGTCAACATCTGTTGAACACTGTGAGTTTGGCATCATATAAGGGGAACTGCGCTCAAACAGGACGCCAGTACAAGTCCACCGAGAAGACATTGGCCACATTGAGTGTGTAATAATGGCCTTTGTGGCGATCATCGTTACACAAACTGCGGCTTGGATGTAACTGCTTGACTGACCGGCATAAATGACACGACAAATCCTGCACAGCCACAGCGGCCGATAGCCTAGAAGAGGCTTATTGTCAACAGCAGGCGCTTCTGTGACGACTTCTGTCTGTAGCTGGCAGATCTCTCAGCAGCTTCGACACAAGCGCAGACCTGGTACCGACGAGTACCCAAAGACGATGGCTCAAGGGAAGGAGACGGAGGGACTCCCCCAAGGGTCCAGGGTAGGGGGTTGTGTAACCCCCCCCCCAGTGTAGATCAGACCCTCAAGTGCCGTTTCACGCTTCGGAAATAGATCACTACAGTACTGGTGGCTGGGAGTAGTGGTGGCGGGCGTCTGGGAGATGCTGCTAGCGCGAGAAAAGTCGGCACCCTGGACGTGTACATGCCAGGGATTTCTTAGGCGAGCCAATTCCAAGGAAACGAAATACTCCGTGGTCTAGAAGCGACCGAGCTTGGTCGGCTGATATGCCTGTACGTGCGGCTCGATGGTCGAGCTCGGGTGTCAGTAATTCTTAGCGTTAACACAATCTTCTTAAGGTCTTGAGCTCGTATGGATCATAGGTTGCTAAGCTAAATGCGAATTGGAATTGTCTTCACCAACGGAGCGACATCAGCTGCAGACCCTGACTCTGTCCCTGTGTTGCGCACTTTTTCTGGTGATCGGCGTGTTGTGAACGCGTCGAGCTCCTATGAGCATGAGGGATTAATTGTCGCTGAGGATGGCCTGCATCACTTGATCCAGCAGGGAAGACTGGTCATTTGGTCACGAGCTGCATCCGTGATTGGGCATTCGAAGCCCTACGCTGAGAAGAGCCATTCGGCTGGGATACTGCCTCGTTTGGGCCGGGTACAGATGTGCAGGTGCCACCCCGATCACTTGAGTGACTACATTAGCCATGTAAACAGGGAACCTGGGCAGTCAGTCGAGATACTCAATTGAGAATCGGCTCATCCTGCTGCGAGTCTCTTATGGCAGTGCCAAATGATTTGGCCAGCAGGCACATACCACCTCGGGCGAGTATCAACACCCACAAAGTGAACTTGGCTGTGGTGTTCGCACGTCGCCTTCTACATTGTGAAGTTGTCCAGCTTGCTTTGAAACAAAATCTACGAGTGGCGCAGTCTGCGGGTACACACGTCAGTCATGAGGCATCATACAGCACGTGCACAACTTCCCAGCCACCTAGAGGAACCACAAAACGAGCTCCTCTCTGTGGAGGGTCATCTCCAACCAAGCTTGCAGGCTATTGGCTGCGCACAGGGGTTCCAGTTGAACAGGGTGGAGGCTGAGCTTACGCAGTCCAGTATCACGGGAAGGGCAGGAACAGGCGCAGGCGGCGCCATATGCTGACTGCAGCGCTGGACGTTCTAGAAGAATTCTGCAGAGGCGAGGGATTTGTGCCAGCGAGCACGACGTGCAGCCCAAACCGTGGATGGAGTGTGACATGCACCCGGGGAAGAAGGGTGTGGTCTGGCATCCAAATTAGCAAAAGGCAGTGGCGGTCAACACCGGGAGGTGAAGCTGAGGCTAATATGAGCTGGAGTCCAGAACGGGCCGGCCAATCGGCATCAGCAATGCGGAGGACGTTGGCCGACGGCCACAGGAGACCTCGTAGCCAGCAGCGATAGAAAGCTGCGCAATCTGGTATGCATTTGGGACGCGTTATGAAGGGCAGTTGTACCTGTGAGCCTGGACTGGTATGTGGTGGTGAAGTCGTGTGTGCTGCCGTGATATACAGGCTCTCCGGTTCTCCCCACTGAGCAGCAAGGCAGAGAGACTGCCAGACTGCTTCCGTACTGCGACAATCACCATGATCATCGTGGACCTCAAGTGCCCTCACATCGAAGTCACACAGATGGCAGTCGGCCGCCAAACTTGCCACGCGCTTCCGGTTCTCCCAGCTTTGGGTATTCCTTAAGCCTATTCGATCCTGCCATATGGTGCACGATGGTCGTTTCGGTAGCATCATCCAGGAGTCGTGCTCCGTCGGAAACCCCGCCAGCATTGTTGATCGCCATTCTACCAGGGCGGCCGAGCCCCATGCCAAGTTCCGCCGAGTGAGCTGTCTGGGAACCTGCTAGGCCAGCAAGCGGAGAATCTGCGTTGCGTGGGATGGCAGTTTGTGGGTTGTCATGCAAGAGCCATTGATTGGCTTGTGGAGCCGCGCCGAGATGACCAGCCACGCGCTCTCCACTCGATCGGTCTGATTCTGTGACTGCTAGACGGGCAGCTCGCGGCCGCGGCGGTGACAGACAAAAGAAAGCTACGCCATTCAGAGAATGGTTCCCCAAACCCGGATCACTGATGAGTGACCACCAACGGGCCTGGCCGGCAACGTTGGCCATTGGCTGGTCGGAAGAAGCAGGGCGGATGCTGGTCTGAGCACCCGGCGGGCGACATCATCGACGTGGCGTGGGGAGCGAGGCCCCTTGTCCCCACGCCTGTCCAGGGCGATCATGTACGTGATCCCGCGTTTTCGCTCTTGGCTTCAGCTGTTTCCTGGCGCTCTCCTCCTGCCTGCCTCGTCCTGCAAGCCCCCATGCAGCGCCGAACTGAGTGGTGGGGGCCTGTTTCCACGACAAAAAGTCGCTCACCACTCCGGGACCTGGGAGCCCTTGTGCGTCCAACCACCACAGCCCTCCTCGCGTCAGCAGCTCATTCCCGTGGCAACCCGTCAGCGACCAGTTGGTTGTCACGGCCTGTCGAGGCTACACCGTCATAACGAGGTCGGCAACGCAGCCATCTGCAGAGGCACGCTATGGGTCATCAGCACCCGAAGCAGGCGCGCAGGGGGACTGAACCATCTTGCGCCGGCAATTAGACCATATTCGTGGTAAACAACAGACTCGGAAGCGTGGTCCGGCAGGCCATAATGAGTCCGCCTGGCTTGAGGGTGGCCACGCCGTCATGGATGAGGTTGCTGTGGCCCGCTCCTGGCTGGGGAGGGAGTGCAGCCGCTCGAGGCGACGGAGAAACCGAGTTGCTCATGCCGGCCTTGTGCCTGTGGGCACAAAGACCATGGCCGGAAGGGGCATGGACCGGCCCTGCAGCCGGCTCAAAAGTGCATCGTGCAGCGCCTGCGTATTCCTGCCGCCTCCAACCTCCAACGCTCCAACGGGGTCGCCCGCCCGCCTGGTCGCGACGCAGCCCGGTTCTTCCCACTCGTTGTCCTGCCCGCCGGCTCCTTTTGGCCGTCGGTCTCGTTGTTAAAAGCTCCCGCAGGGCCGCTCTCTCAAGGCTGGGTGGCCCCCGCTTGTCGGAGCGTCGCGCAGTCTCCCGCCTGCCGCCTCAGATCTGTCATGTGTCCGTGCTTCTCATCTGTCTGCTCAACTGCCTGCCAGCACATTGCAACACAAGACCGCCCTACCAATACGTGAGACATAAGCACCACCGGCACAGCATCGACATCTGCAACAGGAGCGTGTGCCGCCGCCTGGACGCTGGTGCTTGTCTCGGCGCCGCTGCACTAGTCCGCACAATTTTTGAAAAGGGTCCTGACCGGCTTCTCGCCAGCTCTGAGGCTAGCTTGGCACCATTGCTGCCATCGTTGCCCAGGGCTAGGTACTGTCCCACTGCTCCCCAGTCCTCTCTGGTGGTGTCAAGTCGCCGTCGCCGCGCCTTCGCCCCTACACCCACACCCTCCTCATCAACGCTCCAGTGCTCGGCTCCCACAGGCCTGAACCCCTGGCGGGTCGTCGCCCAAACCGCCTTTGTCGCCTGCGACACTGGAGAAGCGCACCCCCTGGGCTGGACTACCGACTCAGCAACGCTTGCGCCTCTCCACTGCGGTGCCATTCGCCATTTGCTCCTCCCACAGGCCCTGTCTGAGCCCGCCCATTCTCCACCCCATTTCTCCTCTGTTGCTCACAGGCGCTCTCTCTTCCGCCCACGCCTTAGGGTTTCCCTGTGGGCCCATCGTCGGCCTGCGACTCTCTCCTAGCCGCCGCCCGTCGCTGCGATTCCCAAACTCTACCTTCATCTTTCTCCTCTAGCCTTCTTTTTTTCTCTCCCACTGCTTTGCCCGCTTGTCTGTCCTGGCAGGTCGAGTTCTGTGCCCAGCGTACGCCTGGCCAGCTCCTCAGTCCCGACTCTACAACACCACCAACCAGCCTCCACGTCTTCTTCCCAGACACAGGCATGAGCCTCTTATAGCCTCGCGGGTCTGTTGTTCTGCCTGGGTGCTTTGCTGAAAGCAGCACGCCAACCACAAAGATCACAGAAGCAAAAGTGTTACCAGGTCTTGCCTGTGTCGGCTCACGGCGAGCTCTGCTGCTTATTGATTCCGCATTGCACCTAAGCAGAGGTTGAAGATATGTTGATAGACGGCGAGAAATGGGCTTGCGAGGCCTGTGTCCGTGGACACAGGGTCAGCAACTGCCAGCATGCGGGTGAGTTCCGAGTCGAAGCTCACGACCTTTCCACCTGCAGCTTGTGTTCTTCTTGCTACATTTACGTGTGATCCTCGCTGACCTGGAAATCGTGATCTTAGACCGTCCCTTGCAACACATCAACAAGAAGGGCCGTCCAGTATCCCAGTGCCAGCACTGCCGCTCCATGCGCAAGTCTCGCTCATCCCATGTAAAGTGCGACTGCGGAGAAAAGACGCACAAGTGCATCCACCTGCAGCAGACGATGGACGGACACAAGGGTAAGCGGCAACCTGCCACTCCATGAATATGTGGTGGTACTGGGCACGCAACGACTGACATCATGAGCCCTTCCAGAGAGCTGTTGTTGTAACCACGGTGGGCGTTGTACATGCTGTCACAAAAAAGAGGCAGTACTTGATACCGTCCCGGAATCAGAGTCGGACCAGGAGGAGTGCAAGACAACAAGCTGCAAACCCATCAGCCGCCGCCGCAGGACCAACACGGCTCATTCAGAACCAGTGCTGAGCTTTGACGAGAACGGCCACCACAAGCCGACGCACAAGCACATCAAAGCTTCCCAGCAACATGGGCCGTACACTCTGAACAGAGTGTCCTCGATGCACAGCAATAGCAGCTCTGGCAGCCTTGGTACACGGTCGATGGACAATCTACATTGCAGCAAGGCTAGTGGTCGAAGCCGTACTGCGGCATCTACACCTCCTTCCGACATCGAGTCTGATCTTGCGTCTCCGGGCGACACGCTCCAGCAGCTCAATGGCCAGTTGCCGCCGCTCGACCTGTCGAGCATTCGCTACCCGAAATACACCCCCTCACAATATCCCGATTATGTACCTTTCATCGATCTATTCAGCGGTGTGTCGGACGGCGAACAACCTATTTTCAGCGCTGGCCTCAGTGCCGCCTCGGTCGACTGGGCGCAGTATGACGGCCTTGAGTTGCGCGACGGTTATGTGCCCTCGAGTTTTGGCCAGGCGGAGTCGTTTCCCGGTTTCGAGCTGCCCGACTCGGCCGAGCCCACGCTGGCTTCTAATTCTGGCGACGTTTCCGAAACGGAGGACTTCCTGCCCAGCTTTGGCACCTCGGCGATGGACAGCTTCCGCAACAGTGCTGCAGGCAGTTTCCTGGATCTGTCACAAAGTCAAGCATCCATGCTTAGTGCAACGGACTTGAGCAACCTCGAGTACGACGAATTCAAGGGCACGGCTGCAGCCAGCAAGCTTATGGCGGCTTCTGTTGCCCTGGACGACAGCACTTCTGCGTTTGCAGCCATGGAGGACGATGGATACTGGAGTATGAACAATTTCAACGACGGCATCACACAGTCTCCCGATCCCGTTGCATCTGGGCTGTGGGATTCATTATAGGCAACGTCCAGAGGCCGCAAGCATAAAGGGCCCCCGGCCATCGCTCCCGCAGCACATTTCCTTTGTCGCATGGCTTTCTGACGACGAGTATGAGGCGTTCAGCTCGTGGCCGCTCGGGTCACGGCACCAAAAGATTTGAATTTGCTGAGGAGAAAGACCGTTGTGCGAAAGGCGGCCCCACCCAAAGGAATGTATATAGACATGCGGGAAAGGGGTCGCCGAAGTCTGGCTCTTTTGGCAACCGTCTCTTACTGTCTGGTAGACTGCAACCATCTCCAGTTCTGCACATATTCTTGGAGAGAGAGAAGAGCGGGGAGAGGGGGGAGAACGGTGGGGAGTTTTTCTTTTCAGTCTGGGTTTCATTCTACTACTGGAGATTGGCGTTTCACGAGGCAGGTCAATGATAGACTTGATGATTTTGTTGGTTTGCTATGGCGAGCGTGCTTTGGCGAGGAGAAGGTTGAGGCTGAATACCAGGTGCACGAGCAGCAGAGAGCCCAAATGAGGAACAATGGCCCATCCATGCTAGAGTCAGGAGAGGGCCGTGGCACACACGCAGACACACAAACACTTGGGACATTGTGCATGCATGTTGGGGAATGCGGTGGTGCACCAGTGGCCGCTTTGGTGCGAACGTGGGGAGCAGAGCCCTAGGGCACCAGCTCGGTTGGGGAAACTGTCGGGGGAATGGGAGCGCCATAGGGGCGTGTGGGGTCTGCACAAGAGACGTACGCCCCCCCCCCTCCCCCCACGCGGCCCAGGTAGAGGATCCTAGAAAGGCAGCCAGGGCACGCTGTGTAGTGACGCCATTGCATGTGTCAGGGAAAGCGGCATGCACGCATGTTGCAGGACTCGCGCATCACGAGCTACGGGCGGGACGCTCGCCACGACGCACGAACAGCTAGAACAAGACACGCGGATTGTGAGTCGGACGAAGACAGCCGAGACGCCAGCGAGCGACTCGCAGGAGCCAGCGACGTTACGTAGTGCTGTCGCAGACAGCAAACGACAGCAACCAGGAAGGGTCAGGGCACGTCGCAGCGGATGTGGGCGCGGCGTGTGGCCGGTCCCCAGGGCAGGGCTGTGGGCCCACCGCAAAAGACGATGCGCTTCACAGCGACCCGATACGATGCGATGCGCTGTGACTTGGTCGGTGGGTTGATGCCCTTCTCTGACTTCCTTGAGGCGCCTGTCCGCCTCCAAAGACAAAGAAAGCCTAGAGGCCCGACGACGCAACCACTTGGTTGCAGAAGCTTCGCGTGCTTGCTTGCTTGAATCCTGCCATCAACCCTAGCCCAGCACCACCCCAAGTGCAGCGGCACTCTGATGGACGAATGCTGCAACAATGCAACAAGGGGCCCGCGCACGCTTGAGGTGGCTGGATTTGGCATTTGCCGCAGTATGCCCGTATGTGGGGGCGAAGGGGGAAGGAGGAGTGGGAGGGCGAACGGGGGACTTGATGGCGAGCCCTGATACCGTGTGCACTTGTGCAATTTTGCCCGGCCATTGCACTGTGCGGTGGGCGGCCAAGAACCTGAAGACCCGGCTGGGCGAAAAAGGGCCGTTTGGCATCCGCCGGCGCACAACAAAGAACCGGTTCGCTCGCCAAACTCGGTCACTACAGCCGGACCAATGGGCCATCATGCCCAATACCGCTGTGTCCTTTCCCGTTCATCCTGGTTTTTCTCTCCTTCGCTGTCAAGTTTTCTGCTTGCCCGCCGCTGCTGTCGTTGCTCGTTTGCCTCCTGTCTCGTGTCTCATCTCGAAGTGACCTCGAGACGCTCTTGAAACGAGCGGACCGTCTTGGTGATTTTTGGGGGGTGTTGAAGGCGAGGTTTCGTGCTACATCTGGTCCTTTCGTTGATAGCCATCGTGGATGCTGGGGACGATTGCATCGTGTCCGTGAATGTGTTCGTGGTAACAAGTCAGTCACCAGCTGTTGTCGAGCCGGCCGGCGGGCAACATTCGATGCATGCCGAGAAACGCAGGGGCTGCGGTCAGGCGGCCGGACTGCGTCTTATAGACGGTCCCCGTGTTGGGCTGCTGATGCGCCGACCTGGGCCGAACCGCCTGTCGTACCACCGTCGCACGTCCGGAGACTGAGCCGTGCCTGGATGTCCTCCTACATGGGGCATGGCTGCCTCTTAAATACGCTGGCACGCAGATGACCAACTTATATCGCGCATGATACTAGGCACCGGCTCCCCCCGTCCACTGGCCATGGCGAATCTGCGGTATTTTTGCACATTTCGCCACGTCGCAGGTGATATAATTAACACGCATACAATGTCAAATCATTGTGAAACGAGTCAACCCAGCCTCAGCTGCGCCGTAGTGCTCGCTGAAAACATATCCCAAGCCGTACTGCGACCGTCGTCCAAGTGCCCGGGCTTGCACACCTACCTACCTTTGTCGATGGCTTTGACAGCTTTGACCTATGAGCTGGAGCCGGCGGCAATCCTCCAGTCGTTGCTTTATAATTAGTCCCTTGGGAGCGTTCTACTCTGCTCTCCTACGTGGGGCCCATGCGGAAGTTGTCGGGATGTTTTCGCTTACTATCGTACGTTAAAGACGACCCGAGGAATCGTGGCTTGGTGTCAGATGCGAAAATCATAAAGCACGGCCATTCCTTCCTTCCCTCATTGTCAATACAAGCCCGGCATGTAGCCCTCACGCAGGGTGCACTTGGACAGCATCACTATCTCGTTCAGCCATCTCTGACTACAAGGGGTTTCCGCCCCGGTAACTCGCTGTCTTACTCAACGTCTCGAGATGTTGTGCCAATCGACTGTAATCCACTCTTCATCGGAATCATTCCTTTCTTGGTCTTGTTGGAGAGGCAGTATTTAGTCCCCTCCGATGTTCACCCAGATCCCCAAGCCGAGACATGCTCGATGGACCGAGCCCCGAGAACTTCGCGCCTGTAAGCTGGTTAGTTTGATATCAACGTCAAAGCGCGGAAAACTCACTTGTTTGGCGCCGGCGACGCTCCACGTCTTTTTGTTAACACAGGGACAAGTTCGTGTCTGTGTGTGGCTCGCCAACTCTTTCGATCGGTTCCTCGTCCCAAGCAACCTCTCCACCGCCGTGAATTTTCTTCGGGGGGTGGTTACATCCTGCGGAGATAAATGCCTAGCAACCATGTCCATCGTGGAAGACTCAACTGTTTCGAACACAGGGGGCGTGCGTGGTAAGGTTGGCACAGAAGGCCTGTGGGCGGCCAGGTTGCATGATTTCGTCCAAGCGAGCCGGGGAACAGCAACATAATGTGCCGTCAAGCAACAGCTGTGGCAGTCCTCCGGGGACTTGTTCGCGGGCGAATGGACTTATATCCTGCTACCCATACCACAGGATTGTGCAGCGCTCGAGGTTTACTCTGGCCGTCATGTAAGTTTGACCAATGGTCACTACTAGTATTATCTTGTCTTGTACTGTCGATGCCTGGTGACTAAACCACAGCTCATTTTTCTCGACAACGAAGCCCAGCTGTAGTGCCCACCACTGGCTTCTACGATTGACAGAAAGAAGCCATTGGCGCCACTCAGCTTCGGTAGAGTCCATCATCCTAACGACTCCTTGAAAATGATCGCTTCGTAGAGACGGTGGCTGTTGATTATGCATGTGACATTTCGGGGCAATCAGCTCTTCAGATGTGAGCCGCATGCTGATTCCTGACATTCCAACAATGATACGAACGATACTCTATCCCGCGAATAGCTCACCTGACCGTGGAATCTTTAAGATGCAGATATTGCGAGATCTTGTGGTGTTTTGACGTTCGACCTGCCCACGCCTGCTGGAAAGGTCCGAATGCTGACAATTTTTGTAGCTCGGGCTGGTATCGAGGATAATGGACCCTGAAACATACATAACAACTTTTCGCAGAATTAAGTCGGGGTCGAGGGCGCAGCTGGTGGAATTCCTCTCCTGATCCCACCGGTCTGCGCCATTTTCTTCTGTTGGCAGAATTTGCTAGCATCCAGCACTTGCCGTCTACCAGGACAGATATTTGGCAGGAAGGAAAGACCTGCTCGATAGTCGTCGCACGACAAAAACTTGCCGTAGCCCCTTTTCACATTTTTCCGCAGCCCAGAGGCTTTCGCCTTACGTGACCTGCCGTGCCTTTGGACACGACTGAGTTTGAAAGCTGACTATGCTGGTGAGGACTACTCAAATCTATCCGGGGTATTGTTAAGACCATGCTTCTGTGAGTTCCTAGGTAGTCTGGGAAGGGTGCAGGCTAAACTTAGGCAAATACCACAGTGCAGAGAGTAGAGGGACACACGTACAACAGTGTCTGGCGGCTACGAGTCTAATCAGCCGTATGTTGGTCATTCTGTACTGGGCGTCCCGGTCACCGAGACTCTCACTGGTCTCAAAGGGTAAGCTAGGAAAGCCGGCCTCCCAGATCGCCAGCACAATATTCACAACCCAAGCAGCCCCATAGGTACGGAAACCCGTTCACTTGCCTGCCCAAATTTCCAGGCTCCTCATTACGCACGAACGGTTCTTGGAAATCGTAAGTATGACTTGGCTTGCGCGAAGCGGCGCTTCCTCGGGAAGCATCCCTAGAAGGTCGTGTTGAACCATTCGAACAGGTGATCACAGGATAAGAGTCCATCAAAATTTTGCTTCGATGGGTTCTGACTTTGAGTCAACTCAGGGTTCTAGCGCACTGGCACTGTTCGTTTTAAAGAAGTAAGGGGGCTTGACTTGTCCTCCCAGAAACACCTTGATTTTGTTCGGAAATGGTAAATCGGAATGGCTGGTCCCTTGTTTTGATTATGAACGTGATACTAATCGAGTGCACGACAGTGAACACGGATTTTGTCAACCTGGAAACTCCAAGCATACGAACTACGTGGCTGAACGATTGAGTTTCATCTTGGTCCATTTTCGACCTCCTCGATATCCTGTGACGGTAGAGGAGTTCATCCTTACACCGTAAACAGAATTGAATGTAAGTCGATCCGTACACACTAGCAACGGAACTTCTAGTGCTGCTTGATCTGCTTCGCCGAGATCTGGAGCGGTATACAGGAGCGGGCGCGTCCCAGCCCTGCCACGAAGAACCATCGATGGTGGGCGCGGCGCATGTCCTCATGCTACTGGGGCTGGTTCAACCTTTTTGATCTTTATCATCCACTAGCAGGGTTTCAAGCTCTATGGGCTCAACATAGGTTTATAGAATGTGAGGCGTTCGGCTTGCTTGTCCTCCCAAGCAATAATGGTCTAACGGTGGCTTCCATCCTGCTGTACGTCTCGAATCTCATATACACATCGTCAATTGAGACTCAATGGACATGTGGGTGCCTCATTCCCATGGGTGACCAACACGTTCTGGTTCTTATCGAGTTGCTCCTGCGCACCGTGGTTGAGAAGTGCATGTTCTAAATGTCGGCCTGAGTACACTCTTCATCACGTCTAGTGCACTGATTAGATCTGGCGCAGCGGCGATATGTATGCGACTGGTTCTCTGCAGTTTCTAAAGTCATGGAGAACTGATTGCCATTGTTCATAACACTGCCGTGATCAATGGCGTGGTGGTCATGCTGGTCGTCAACCTACACGAGAATAGCGCGCTGTACCGTCGTTGTCGTCATCGCAAAGTTGGTAGAGGTTAACTTAGGTCACCAGTGTGACTGATACTAGACTTGTGCTCCTTTCTGCCGTGATTGAAACGCAACCGAGGCGATGCACAGTATCAGTGACCATGCTGGATCTCAAGCTCAGCCATCGATGTGCCCCAAGTGCGGACCAAGCCGCCGAAGTTCCAACACAAATGCTGTTGAGCCAAAGCAACTGCCTGTGTCTTGAGCAAGCGCGAGGAATATCCATTTTCCCTGCCCCCATCGTACCCCTCTAATGAGACGTGTCCGCCACCATCTAGGATAAAGTAAGTTATCCTAAAGTACATCTGTGCATTGCAAGGAGGTGTTGCTCAAACGCTTGGACATCTGGAAGTAAGGTCGAGGTGGGTTGACTTGGGAATGTCCTTTAATTTCAAGACGATACCGTCGCTCATCTCGACATTGGTAGTCCTCGAGGTAAATAAGACGTTGGTGTCGTTGTGGCCGCCGTCTCTTCCCTCACATGGGTAAAATTGAATACAGCACGCCAAGTATGACAAGTGCAGCCCGTAGTGCCGCGGCTGGGATGTTCTCCTCCGTTTGCCCAACAAGCGGCATAACCTCGATGTATTCAACTGAAGCGGCTGCGTGCGGAACCGCTAGGTACTTGCTCGCACATGTCGCTCCATTTACAGCCAGGAGAGAGGGCTAGCGCGGCTACGTGTGAATCCATGCCGGACGGAACGAAGGCTTACTCTGTTGTCAAGAAGCCATCCTTCCAGTCAATCCAAGAACCAATCTGCTGAGTCCTTACCATGACATGCGTCGCCGGCGTACTGAGCGCCACGGCAAGCAGACCCCAAGCGGTGGTATGAATACTGCCTATACTCTAGGTTTTGTTCAGTTCCACTGGCATCGGAACGTGTCGATACAAGGTCTCATTAATCATCTTCCGCTCCATAGGTGCAAGAATTAACGACAAAGTTATGGTGTTTACGATGACCATCTGCAACTGGCGCGGGTGGAGCTATTGCTCTGTGTTCGCACTGTCGGGCATCCAAACACTCAATATCAATACAGGGCCAACACGACGTCGCCCAGCAATCTCTGGTTGTTCTTGGATCCAATGCAGATCGAATATCATCTGGGTTGGATAATATAGACGAGGCACACCAGCATGGGCCCAAGGTCGCTAACGGAACCGGCTTGTGGCTTACGCGACATGTACCTGGAACGAAGCCAGAACCAGGGCATGGTTTTTCAGATATAGGGGACATTCTTGCGCCTGTGCGCCGGCTATGACGTTGACAGTACGAGGACTTCGGCCAAGATAATTTCGCTTGGCCCAGGACGAGCGTGGCGCAAAGCAGTGATGAAAAGGTTGACCAAGTCCGCAAGTTGCAGACAAAGGTTGGCCACGAAGTGTTCAAGCACGAAGAAGGAATCGAAAGCACTGGAGACCAAGTAGTCGACTGACGAAGAACTGATGCTGTCGGCCGGCCAGTTATCGCGAGGTCAGGGCCAACCAGGGCGACCAGGCGTCGTAGTCTGGAACGGAGGCACGGCAACCTACGATTCGGACACTAATGAAGCTGGAAAGTAGGCATGCTGTCATTGGCGTTCCTGAAATGCCGAGATCAACGCCAAGGGGCCCCGAGCCCGGGCTCAAAAAGCTTCAGCATCGAGACTCATGATGCATTACGACAGTATGGTACGGCAAGGAGCCGCGGATGTCCTGAGACATTCAACAATGGATGCGGGCGGAGAGAGTGTCAACGCCAGGTACATCGGAGGAGCTAAGCCCCGCAAACAGCCTCGTGGCAAGACACTGCCTTTCACATTCAGCCAGCGACCCCAGTGCCCCACCTGCTTGTATTCCAGGGAGTGCTGACCCTAGGGTTATGGATTTAGCAGAGTATGGCATGATATAACGCCAATACAAATGTACCACGCTACCAGTTCTCAACACCGTACCCAGACCAGTTGCTGGCATGTATAAAAGACAGGGGAACAGATGAGGGAAGGGTGAAGTGCTGTTTGCATTGCTTCGTCAATCATGCCATTTCGCTCCGCTTCGTGTCGCAAAAGCAGGCGATTATCTATCTACACTACGCAAGGTATCTACCAGATCTAACTTAAACTATATACGTACATGCTGTTGTCAGAATGATGAAGTTATGGCTACCGGATGTCATTTTATCATGACAAATCCATGCGTCGTAGGCGGCCCTGGATCGTATGGGTATGCCACACTGCCACAGGGCAGTTCCCTTTGCCCATGCCCCATGCCCCTGCTTTCAAGTCAGGTCAGGCTCCCGCGGAAAACCCAAGCCGACCAGGTGGTGGGCTGATCGACAGGTCCCCGTACAAACGCCATTACGCCATACCCAAAAGAAATCTGGGGATGTGAGCAGTCAAAAGGGGGTACGCTCGCCATCCCCGACCCCGACAAGTGACGGGGCCCCTCCATCTACGGCCGTGATATATATACAGAGACGGGCGACCAGCAAGTTGTTCGTTGATGCCAAAATGAGGAAGCCGCCGCGTTGAAACATGGGGCATGCTGATTCGCTGTCGCCAATCCGTGAAGAAATCGTGAGCTCCGTTATTCGTTATTTGCCGCAGTGTTTGCTGCTGTGTCACCGAAATGGGTTGACTTCAAGCCGCCGACTTCCATATGGCCATAGATCCAATGTCGACGTAGCCAGGTAGCCGTCTGGCGCGAATCCGATTTTATTCGCCATGTGCGTGTAGTCCACTAGTGCCCAGACTTTCGTGATCATACTATTTCGCTTGAACTGCCTGTACTGGAGGTAGTGACCGAGCCCCGAGTACGGGCCATGTGGACTAGGCGGTAGATGCCGAAGGCGATGAGAGCGAGCACGATGAAGAGGACAATAATGATGATGGCGATGGTATCGTTTTCCTTGACCATGATTGCGACTTGGCTCTAAGCTCGTGATTGCTGGTGAGAGGTGGTATGTGAAGCGGATAAGCTTGGTGAGGCTGGAGATGGATATGGCCCAGGAGAGATCCGTTGGGGGAGCAAAGCGGTGAAGTCTGAGACAGACTAGGTGGGAGAGTCAAGTAATTGGTTGATGTGAAGGAATAAACGCTTTGTGTATGTTCGTGGAGGAGTAGAGTTGGAATGCATTCGCTGTCGGTCGACGGCGGCTGCGCATGCGTACTTGTAACGGGTGGTTGCCCCGCCATCACCACGAGTAAATAGCGAGGCTGGCAGGTTTTCGAGCGTCGCAGCGCAAAAGCACAAGGCTGGGAGCCTACAGGGCCTTCTGATAGGCCACGGCCAACCCGCCCCTGGACAGGGGTGGCATGATGCGACTTTCTTGGTGGCTGGGAGGTGGAACTCCACTCCACTCCACTCTAGGCTCCTACCAACAACCACAGAACATCCATGGATGCCCATGTGGTTAGCGCTCTGAACAATTGAACAATCCATCCACTACGAGTTATTCGTGGCTGCACCTTGTCAACGACACGTCTCCGCGCACGCGCCTCCATATATCACAGGGCTGTTAGGCTCGTGGTGAGGTACAATAGCTACGCATTAGAAAGTTACCACATCAAATGCACGATCAAGCAATGTTTCAAAACCCGTCAGCGCCTTTCCCTATGTGTCCCGCCTAGCTGCCTGCAAAAAACAACGATCCCGGTTTCATAAGATGCTCCACCCATCTTTGGGCGTGTCTTCCCACGCGGAATTGACGCGCACACTCATCGCTCGCCGCGATTTTTACTCATTGCACGATCTTGACATGCCGCTCGTAGAAAGCCAGCATCTGCAGTAGTTGAATTAGCTATCGCTCCACAGATGAGACGTGCTGGCGTGGCAGAGAGAAGGCCTCCTACCTTCTGGGGACAGCGCTGGTAGATGACCTTGGTTTCGTGCTGAGTTTTTTGCCCGTTCTTCCACGTGAGGTACACAATCAGCTTGCCCGAGTTCTCGTCATGGCACGCGTCGATCGAATCGACCTCGTCCTCCCAGAGTCCAGCCGGTGGCTTCCACGCTTTCGTCGACGCTGGCGGTGTACTATCACTCGGGTGCTCGCCCTTTCTCCGTTTACCGTTCGCAGGCGCACTCGCCGCCGGACGGCCGCGCTTCTTTCCCTTGATTCCCTTTTCCGAGTCCTCGAGGATCTTGTCCTCCCCTCCATGGGCCTCAAGGTATTCAAGGAGAATATCACCTGCATTCTCCAGCAGGTTCTCCTTGCTCTCCCAAGTCCGATCTGCCTTCTTGTCATAGCCCTCCCACTTGACCTCAAATTTCAAAGTACCCTAGGAATCATGATGTCAAAATGAGTCCCGATATTGTCCCTTTTCTATTCTATCCGGCATGAACCGATTCAGGTGACAGAAAGCAGGACACTTCCGTACACGCTTTCGATTTGGGAGCACTCACATCTGGATAGACCATGTGCGACATGATTTTCTCCACGACGTATCTGTGTTGCGCGACATCAGCATTTCGATCGTGACAACGCGAGCCTTGGGCCCGTTGCATGGTGGCCTAGATACGCCCATAAAACACTTCTTGCAGGCGACTTACTCGTCCTCTTCGAGATCGTCGTCTTGGTCTTCGTCATCGTCGTCATCCTCATCGTCTTTGACCTCATCAGACTCGTTGGCGGGTTTGTTTGGCGGCTTGGAGCCATTGCGTGTAGTCGATGTGGTGGTCTTCGCCGTTCGTCGCGACGAGGAAGCGTTGGGTGGCGGGGAATCGGCAGCCTTGGTGCGCAGAGGCACTTGCACGTCGTCTTCTGATTGCGAGTGCTCGTCGTCACTGATTGCTGTTTTGATGCACGGCATCTAGTCAGTGTCTAATGTTGGGAAAACCAAGAAGATCAAGTGTGCTGCGGCGGCCATGACGCGGCACAAGTGTTTGTTGGCGCATGCGTGAAGTCGTGATGGCTGTCTTTGACTTCAGGAGTGGTTGATCCTGGTGCAATATTGGACTCGGCGCGCGACAAGACCATGAGACCAAAGGGCGACTTACCGGGCGGCATATTGGTGGTCGAGCTCTTGTCCTCACGGCTCGCCAGGCCAAAGAAACGCAGCATACAAATCGTTCGCCGAGGACAGGAAGTGGATGGAGGGTCGCGAAGCGCAGAGACGGGTTTGTGGAGGCACCTCGCTCGCTGCGGCGCGTGAGTGTCAAAGATGTGGAACGCGATTTGGGGTGCGGAGCAAGTGGAGAAGCTGCAAGCTTCCAAGGTTCCTCGAGCGACTTTCGAAAGTGCCCAGGTGGACGCGCCAACTCCGATATAACCGGACACCCAGGGCCGGCCCAGTAATGTCCGAAAATTGTCATTTCGCCAATTGTCTCGCAGACCAACGTGGTCACGTCCAAACGTCCCTCGAAAACATGGGATTGCTCCTTGGTAATATAGTCAGCTACCATATTCTCCCTCGGTGTGTTCTTGCGGTTAGCCAGTACACTCCTGCTCAGACAGCAGGATACTTCTGTGCTGCCCATTCTAGATTTGCTCCTGCAGTGAAAGATCCCCAAGACTTGTCTCCCGGAACACACTTGGTAAGTACCTTAGGCACGCCTACTGAGACGTAAACCACTACAATAATCGACCCCCGTATGCCTTAGCAAGACGAGGCAGCCGAGTCATAAAGCACGCAGTAAAGTTTTTTGGAAGTCAGGCATTTGGTGCGATCCAGTCTAGTACGATGGTGTCTATGCTCATGCCGTATGAACGGGTATCAGAAAGCTCGAGGACGATTCTCTCTGAGCGGCTTGACCGTTAGAGGACTTGTCGCCCGCCTCTCTGCACCTGTCCGCTCACAGGACCAAGTTACAGCCTTGTATTGATGCAACGATCTGTGCCTGTGCCTCCGTGGAAACCGAAAAAGCCAGATCGACGGCTCGCAGTATCGTTCCCAGACCTGCCAGTGTCAAGTTGCGACACACAATACGTCAGGCAAGTGTGCACCGCACACCTGAATAGTCCTTGCCGGGGCAACCGCACGCCAGGACGAAACAACGACAACAACCCTGCCCAACTTGCAAACCCATACAGCTGTACGGTCTACCGGAAGCGGCGCAAGGACACCGACGTCGAGGAGACCTGGCGCGCACGAGATGTGGGCGAAGAATGGTAGAGTTGCATGGCCAGGGGTCGTGGCAGCGGGAGAGCGAGGACGGGGGATCGCCCGCCAAGGCGGCAGTGGGCGGAAGAGGAGCCTATTCGCCACAGCGTGCAGGCTGCAACGGGATGGCCCCTAGCCACCTGGGCAGTGTTGGGCGTGGCCTGCAGACAAGGACGCGACGAGGCGGCCCGGCGCCTGCCAGCTCATCACGGGCACGCCTGCATGCATAGGTCGGCGGCCAAAGTGGCTGGCCTTGACCCCAGGTCGGGTTTGCTCGACGGTCCGTAGATGGGCGGTGGGTGTGTGATGGTTGGCAGAAGGCGGCGCTCCAAAGCGAAGCATCACGAGTCTCGAGCTTCACTTGTGGGACCAGGGAGCTAGGGCAGGGCGGGAGCTAGGACAGGACCCTGTACCGGTCGGTGGCCGCGTCGTGCTGTGGGTGGACGCGGAGCCGCTGCCACGCCTACCCGTCAGCCCCTGAGCGCCCCTTGGGGCCGGGCCTGGCGCCAGCTCAATTCATCAAGGGCCGCTCTTCAGACTCTCCACCCTAGCTTTCCATCATCGAGCGCTCGTCTCCCTCACATCTCCCTCGGCCCCCGACACTCGCTTCGCCTTATACTTTAATACGCCTGCGCACGCTCTCTGGGCTGCCTAACAGCTCCGAACAGCCGTTCCCAACACTGCTAGAAGCCGATATCCTCGACCATGATCCATTAGCTGTCGCAATCGCTTGCCCGTCTTAGCAGCAATGTCCGACACCGATGTCGCTGGCGCCAACGCGGCAGCGCCCGGTGGCGAGGATTCTCCTGGTGTGTTGGGCAAACAGAGCGCTGTTAAGGACAAGAACTGCCCGTACTGTGGCCAGGCCTTCACCTCTTCTTCCCTTGGCCGTCACCTCGATCTCTACGTCAAGGAGAAAAATCCAAAACCCCCGGACGGCATCCACGATGTCGAAGCCATCCGCAAGATGCGCAGTGGCATTACCCGCCGCCAACCCCGGGGTTCTCTTGCCCGGAGAGAGTCGTCCAACCATGTCGTATCTACACCTCCCTCTTCCGTCAAGAAACCAAGCCCGTCTCGCGAAAGCCACAGTGGTTCAGTTGCTCCAGATACATTGCCAACCGCCGCAGCAGGCTCAGACGCACAGCTGGTTGTCGATAACCAGGCTTTCAAATACCCCTTTCAGCCAACTTGGGAAGCGACTGGCGTGATACTCGACATCCCGGCGCCCACTACTGGACCCGAAAAAACCGCTCAGGTGGATGATGCTGCCAGTCAGGGTTCGGCCGCAAGCCGAAGGATCAACCAGCAGTCTCAGAACCAGTTCCGCAATAGTTCTGGCCGGGCAGCACAAAAGGCCCAGCTCGAGGCAAGACATAGGCTGGCAGATGCCATGGACACGGCTCGAGCGGCTGAGCTTGCGTTGAGAGAGCTTCTGAGTTCTCTGAGAGCTGCCAAGTAGGTTCCTCCTCCCTTCATTTGCTGATGCTTGGAAATACCCCTACACCAGTACTTGGTTCATATGGCTAACGAGACTTGTCTCGTAATCAGGCAGCACATAGATATGTACTCGCAGCCTTTCGATTTCGATCCTCTGTCTCTCGACTTCCCGGCTCTGACCTTGCAATGCCTCTGCGCACCACCGACCCTGTTCTCGTCAATTCCGCACTCTACCTCCTCTTCTTGGTCAATCGAACCACCATCTGAGAAACAGTATGAGGCTCTCAAAGTCTACTTCCATGAACACTTTCAGAAATGGAAATCCACATGTGCGACGGCTACAACTGCTGTGGCTGAAGACTTTAGCTACCCAATGCCCCAATCCTTAGCCTCCCAGGATCTTCGTGAAAGTATTAGAAGTGCAGAAGCGGCCGCGACCCTCTTGGAAAAGCAAATTGACGAGCATTTGCAGTCAACGTTTCAAGTCTGGGAGTCACTCACACTCGACAGAAGAAAGGAGCTGTGGATTGTGGAGCTGGCAAGGGGCATCGGAAGGCGACAAAAGGAGGTCGACATGTTGAAGCAGCAGAGGCATGAACTGAAGCAAGAAAACGCAAATCTGAAGACTCAGATCGAGCATCTCAACCGACTGCAGCAGCCGCGAGAATTCCGTCTCGTACCACCTGCTACAATACCGATTGAGGAGTCGATTCTCTCTTATCTGTTTGGAAATGCTGCTTCGATTGCACGAAAGACTATAGGCCTTGCCTTGGACGACCGCCACTTGGATCTAAATGCCGTCGTCGCCATCGCCATCGAGCGCTGGAAGTCGGCAATCGTGTCATCAAGAGCTCAGGGTATGGCAGGTCAAAAGCCACTGGACCAGATGACCTCACTTCCTACGCCGACGAGCGCCACGGCGCCATCCACGGGGCGACCTGCTGCGCAGTCAGCAAAAGCTCCCTCTCATGTGGCCACCTCGAAAGCCCTCCAGAAGCAAGTGCAGCAAAACCAGCACCAGCAAGAGCGAGAAAAGCAGCAGCAAGATCAAATCAACCCCGAACCGATTGTGACTGTCGATGCGGCAAATGGTGAGCCATCAAAAGCAACGCCTTCAACGGCGGCATCGCCGGCACAAGAGCAAATTGCCACGCCGCTCGAGAACGGGAACAGCAACAATGACAGTGACGAAGACGCAGATGCAGATATGGATGAGGATGAGCCCTTTCAGCCACTGAATTCGGTGGGCTCATTGCCTCAGCACCAGGCGCTGGTGCAGCAGCAGCAGCCACAACAGCTTAATGTTGCTAAGGCGAGATCAACCTCGCAGACTGCGGTGGCGAGCAATACTAATCATTACATGTCCAATGGCACGAGCGTGGATGTGCATTCAATGAACGGGCGCCCTGTCATCGCCGACATGGGCGGCGCATCTGTCGCATTGCAGCAACAATCCCAGCAAGCTCTATATAACAACTTCGGTGCCGGGGACGGAGCGGATGGTGATGCCATGTATATGGACTGACAGCATACCAAGGAGCTCCAGTTGGGGCTGGCCACAAAAGTTTTCAGCGAAACTGGCGTTCAAAACGATTTCTCGAGCGATTTGATGCATTTGGAGGTTGCGAATTGCTGTATCATATAATTTCATGGAATAATACAACCCATTTGCGAAGCCTACTGATATTTCTAGACCTTGGCGGGACTGGGAATAGGCTGTGGCTATCTGAAAAATTTAACTGCGGCGGTGCGGCAAGCCCGCCAGACTGTCCAATCCTGCTGCTACGATACATGTATCTACCACGGAGTCTCGACATCTTAGGGTAACCCGCCATGGGGATATATCATATTGTACTGCTGCTCGAGGCAGCAATGGGCGTCATTTGACCGCGACTAGGGCCAACATGGCAACGATGGCGAATTGCTAGCAATAACAAAAGCGAGATAGACGACACATCCGCAGACGAAGGACAAAAGAGCTACTTCAGCTCATAACCCAATTCATTGGTGTTTCATAACCGTCCCAAGAGTAATATGCGTGTACTGTTCATGCTCTTTCCGTGTGACCCTTCTATAATGCACCAGGATAAAAGAAAACGCCAATATGAAGATACAAGGCCAATGGTGTCACCCGTGGCAGCCTTTTCGAAAGATCGCCTGGGATTTGCGTACAGCCCCAGTGGAGCACTTTCGCCACCGCTCAAGCCCGTTCTCAAGCTCAGCTGTGAGCATGACCGACCTCGGTCCAGGCGCTTTGATGTGCAAGTGACGAGCCGGGCGATGTAACAAGTTCTACGTAGTGATGTTGAGGATGCGGACGTCAGTGGCCTGGCCTCACTGAGGAGGTATCGTCGTGTCGCCGTTCACCGAAGTCTGTGGTGCCTCGGTATGTTGCTTGTCGGCCCAATCTGACTGCCCAGAATGGAACCACCCCCCTCGTTCCCACTGTCCTGGGACGTACAAGCAGCTATCGCGTGTGTCCTGGCTGTGGATACCATCTAGCAGGGTGTTCAGACGCTTAAAGTCTATTGGTTTGAGGATCCAGCCATCAAAACCGGCCTCGATGTAGGAAGGCCGCTCTCGCTCAACCAGTGACGCGGATACAGCAAGAATGGGAATACCGCCGTGTCTCTGTGCCACAGGTGAGAGAGCTAATTTACTGTCAGCACGCTCAAAAGCACGAATCATTTTGGTGCTGTTGAGTCCGTCAACAATTGGCATCTGTAATGGTCAAATTCGTCAGCAGTGAAAGGCAAGGGTCCCCAGGTAAAATGTGCCAGTATGCTTGGACTGAAAACGTACCTGCATATCCATGAGAATGATATCAAACTTCTCTGGTGTCTCGCTGTAGACAGTTGCACAATCCTCCCCATTGACTGCATGCGTGACCTCGTGGCCTGCTTTTTCCAGGCGTTTCTTCAGGATTTTCATGTTGATCGGATCGTCTTCGGCCACCAATACTTGCAATGTGCTCTGCTTGTCAGAGCTTTTGGAAATGACAGGGGCAGGCGAGGGTGGTACCTCGAATAGAACCTTCGAGGTTTGTCCAGTCTGAGGTAGTCTTGGCTGGTCAAAGAATTCGTCTGGAACCTTAACAGGTCTGATGGGCGTCTTGCTGTCTGCCACAGGATGTGTGCCACTGGTGCTCGCCTCCGAAGAATCGACAACACCAGATGTTGTGGTCGATCTCTTTAAGGGGGCGGGACGCTCAGCTGTGCCAATGTTGCTTCCAATGCTAATTGTGCCAGGGAGAGAGGTCGTACTGCCGGCTTGGCTGTGGTTGCGACCCCTGGACTCACGCCGTGAGCCTCTTTGAGTCTCGTCTTCGGGGTCTCCCAGGGCCAAGGGGGTCGAAATGGCATCAATCAAGCGATCGGCATCGCTTTTGACACTGCGGATGCTACCTTGGCTCGCCAGACTGCTCTTCAGACTGTTGGTGATGCTGTGCTCATCCATGCTCCGTTTTGTGTTCAATGTGCGAGTCCCGTGAGCATTACTGGCATTTGCAACAAGCATGACTTCACTAGCATCTGTAGGTGGCAGACTCTTGGTGACTGAAGCTGCGCTGGGTGTCGTATTGTCCGCCTCCTCGTTGTCGACAGCACCAACCTTCGCGAGCAACTCCTCAGTGGGCAGGTCAAACGGGAGCTGAATGACAAACTTCGAACCTTTTCCCTCCTCGGACTTGAGGCGGAGCTGGCCATCCATATTGCGGACGATGCGTGCAACGACGGCCAAGCCAAGGCCCAACGTCCTGCTTTCTGAGGGCCGTTGGACATCATCCAATGAAGTTGCATCCGCATCAGTGCTGACTTGTTCCAGATCCTGAAAGAGACTGTCTAGCTTCTTGCTGCTCATGCCGCAGCCAGTGTCTTCGATCGCAATCTCAATCCGGGCGCGGCCCTCAGTGACCTCAGAGACATAGCATTCTACCGAGACAGAACCAGAAGTGGTGTTCTGCATGGCATTGGCTGTGAGATTAGCAATAGCTTGTCGAACCCGACGAAAATCGCCATGGACGTGTCTTGGCAATCCTGGGTGCTCCAGGACACGATAGTCGATCCCCTTTCGCTTCGCATCGACCTTAAATGGATCTGTGGCTTCCCTGATGACTGCAGGGAGTTCGAGTATCTCATCTTTGATGAGCTCCTGCCCTTCTTCGGTGTTCGTGAGATCCAACAAGTCGTTGATGACGTAAATTAGAGACTTCGATGCAGAATGAGACTTTGCCAGATTTTCTCGTGTCTCTTGGTCCAGGCTGCCCTCCAGTGCTATTTCGAGGTAATTTATGATGGCATTGAGTGGAGTGCGGACTTCGTGAGCCGAGTTGGCCAGCAGTAAGCGCGTCAGTCGACTGCTTTGGATCGCAGCTTCCTTTTGTCTCCAGACCTCAATGAATTTTCCTGTTCACATAGTCGAGGAGTAAGTACGCATTTCATGAATGGTGCGGTCGCTTGAGGCCAGAGAGAGTCGACGTCTCCCGAGCAGGCCTTTTACTAAGCACGTACCATAAACTAAGCAGAGCACAGCGGCGGTCTCTACCTGCTCCTCTGACCATTCTCTGCATTTACCGAGCACTCTCTCATGCCACACTTGGAAACTGGACCGTGGCTCCAGATAGTTTGAAGTACCCTCTTTGATGACCTTATCATAAGGGTTACCTGCCCACTTCACTTCGCGGACTTGCCCTCGCCGGAAGAAGACGATGAAATCATTACCACCCACACTGAGCGGTACGTAAAGTAGGCCTGCGATGACCGAGAATCCAGGTAAGTAACGCAAATCTGGAAAATCTTCTTTGATGTCCTGAGACGTGAGCACGGATGTGAAAGTTCGCATGCGCAGGTACTCCAGCATAGCAAGAGCTTCTTGCGACTGCTCCATCTTGCCAAGCACTTTGGTCTCACCCCTAATGGACAACATGCCGAAGTCAGCGTCGAAGAGCTTGAGAAGGTCATCCGAGGAGGCGATGATGTAACCAGAAGGATTCTTGTCCGTTGGTATCGTGTTGATCAATTTTCTAGCTTGAAGTCGAGAGGCGTACGAGAGGCGCTCGATGTTTCTGGATGCGGTGTCACCGACGAGGCGGCACATCTTCCGGATGGGAAAGGCTACGCGCATGCCTTTGCCGCCGTAGCTGTGACATGTGACGAGCCCCCAAAGCTCGTTGAACGCATTGATAGATATCGACATGGATGAGCGTACAGCCATGTTGGCGAGGTATTTGAGATGTATAGGTGACATAGCGCGCAGGTATGAATGGCTCAGGTCAAGCGGTGTCTGCATATCCTCCAGAGACCGGCAGACGAGCCTGGCTGACTCGACGTCACGGTCGTATAGGAGCCGGACCTTGTTGAGCTTGTACAACTCGCGCGCCTGCTTAGGGATGTCGGATGCCGGAAAGTGGAGGCCATAGTAGAGGTCACGCGTGTGAGCTGGGTCAACCAGCTCGGTAACGACTTTGCCATTGAAGGCTGCATCAAATTGGTAGATCATGACACGGTGGAAGCCTGTCAGCTCTTTAACGATGCCAACCAAGATTTTGAGAAATTTCTCGAGGTTGGGCGCAGCGGCCAGCTGCTCTTGTACTTGTGACATGATGTCAAAGACCTGCATCGCTCCTGCCTCGCCCCGCCGCTTGCGAGCGCTACGCAGGACTCTGAGGGGCTTGCTAGTTATTTCCGTGCTTTCATGGAACTCTTCCACTGTGGGATTCTGATACAAAGTATCCTCGGGTTCGTCGGGTGTGAATTCGTCTGGTGGTCGCAATGGGTACTCTCGGTCGTCCTCAAGCTCGAATTCGGCAATGATCAAATTAGGATGTGAGTCCGATATGTGTAAGGCCGCCCACAACTTCGTGCTGCGTTGCCCGGGTGGCCGGATTGACATGCTGAAGACATCAGGGCCACTGGTTGCAGGATCCGTCTCTTCGTCTCGGACAAAATCGATGTGGTCCAGCAAATTATCGGCCTGCTCTTCGCTAAGAATGTCGGTGAAGCTATTGAGCCGAAAAAGCTCCTGGGGAGTATAGCCAATAATTCTCTTCGAGTTTTCGCTGGCGTAGCGCACGCTGAACCGACCATCAGCTTCTTCTCGGACGGCAACAAGCAAGCCGAAAGCCTGGACGGCCCCAGGTGTGTGGATCGGCTCGTCTTCGCATCTCTGCAAGGTTCCATCCCGTCCTGTGATGACAGCATGGCCCTCGGCTGTCATGGTATGCCGAAAACGAACGGATACAAGCGCATCATCGTTCAAGTCGGAAGACGACTCGGCATCCGCAGGTTGAGAGTCCGAGGCTGGGGCAGATTTGGAGCCTCGCGTCCGGTCAGAAGCATCGGAAGCAGCATCGTCAAATATTGTCAATGGGTCAGAGAAACCGCCGTGCTCAGACACGGGCTGGGGACTGGGGAGAGAGGTTGTGGATGGTATTGTCGTACTTCTCGAGCGTGCTGTGGAGCGTTCCCTGTCGGATGGTGATCTCAGGCCGGACGGCATATAGCCATAAGTCGTATCGGCGCGGCGAAGGACAGCCTCGGTGTCTATGCGAGGACTGCTTGGGCGGCGGCCATTCCATGTGACATCTGGGCGGGCGGAAGGTTCGTGATCAGCGCCTGAACGTGAAAGGCCCCAGGGCATAGGTTGTGAAGTGTCGACTCTGACAACCGAACGTATGGGAAACACTCTGTCCGAGGGATCGGCGGTACTACTGGCGCTTGTGCCCGCCCCGAGTTGCAGATCAGAACTTGTGCTGTAGGAAGACGAGGCACGAGACCCGTCGTTCATGTATGCCTCATCTTTCGAATCCATTTTGGACGGCGGCCCCTGGATGCTGTTCTCGGGCAAGGGAGGGAGCGAAGTAGGCTTGACTACGGATGCGTCATCTTCCTGTGGTGACGGCTTCGCAGTGGTCACATCCCCCTCGTCGTCCGGAGAACATGGAGAAACAGCCGCGGGTACGGTCGTGGTCCCAGCCTCGATATCTTGCTGGAACGATGTCTCGAAGGGATTTTCTGGAGGGCTAGAGTCGGATGGTGCCGGTGCCGCAGGCGACACGGCAGATGTGTTGTCTTGAGCATCCATGCTCGTGGTTTCGCCAGCAGAGGCCAGTGTCACAGAAGCTGCAGTCTAGGCGGGCGAGGCCGCCGTGGCAACCAAGAGCTTAACAGAGAGGAGCCGACCCTTGGGCGGGTGGCGTGTATCAAAAGGACTAGGCGTATATAATGGGACAGTCCATAAAGAACAGCTGGTAGAGTCGGATGGCGACATAAGTCGCACGAGCAGGCTCGTTGGGGTTGTTGAAGGATTGGGGGACTGGCAATATATGGGTCTGTGAAGTTGGGCTACGACTACCTAGATCGAGAAGACCAGTTAGTGAACACAAGTAGAGGTCTCGCGCCGAAGACTTGTGGTGGAAGCGGGTGTTTGCGAAAGGCAGTATCAAGCATCCTGTGAGGATGGAGCTGAACCGCCGCGCGTGATGCACATACCACCTCGTCACGAATGCGGAAAGGTCCTGGAGGAATAGGCTGGTAGGTCTGCGCAACGGCGAAGAAGACTGGGTAAGCCGACAGCGCTGGCGAAGCTGGCAATGTCGTGGTTGTTGGCGGCAATGAAGTCAGGACGGTCGAAGAGAGGTGCTTGGTGCGGAGGCGAGCAGCACCGAGATCCAGGGTGGAGGGGCCGGCGACAAGCAAAGTGCTTGGGATGGATGTTGTGCTGCTGTGCCCAGCAGACGCCAGAGCATTCACGGCGCAGAGGAAGGACCGTTGACAATGCAGTCAGTCGTCTTCTTCGTCGCTGCCGTTGTCGGGGCCGACGAGGACGAGGGTCGCAGGTGCCACCGGACTGGGCAAGACGATAATGAACGCTTGCAGGGCGTGGTAGGTGACGGATGATGGTGGCGCGCCGTGCAGGCTGGCTGGGGAAGCACAGTCAGTTGGCCTAAACCTGGGCGTCGACGCAGTCGTGGTGGGATGCGGGCGTGCACTGATGGGATCGCTGATGGGCAAGTCGAGTCAAACCTGTTGGTCTCTGTGTGTGGCCCTCTGATCGCCGGGTCGTGTGTGCCCCCGCCCCCCTCGTCTGTCGCTCTGCCGTGCAACACCTTCACCTCTCCTCTCCCTCTTGCCTTGACTCTGGGTGATGCGGGCGCTGCGCTCGCTCTGGTATAGATCGGCCGCAAGCAGGTTCCAGATCCAGCTCCGGAGCCGGGGGTTCGTTTTGCCAGCTGGTGGGCCTGGAGCCTCGAAACCCGGAGGGCGCCCTGCTGTGGGGCTTCTGCCGAGGGCGGGCCGTGTGCAGCTGGCGCAGAAGCGAGTGCCCAATTGTCATCGTAGATCCATCACCTTTTCGCCGATCATCGACGCAGAGTCAAGGGCATCCGGACTTTTCCTCCGGTGCATGACCCGCTGCCTGTGAGTCTGCCCCTAGCGGGCTAGCGTGCCTGCCCCAGGCACATGCCACCTCCAGATGCTCATGGTCGGGGAGCTAACTCGAGCTAGCTCGACTCAACTGCTCATCGATGCACGGCACCTTGTCGACTTGGTCCCCCTCTTCTTGTCTCAATGGGCCGATTTCCCTGGTGCGCTCTCTGGAATCCCATCTGAGAAGGGGAGGGAGCAGAGAGAGCTCAGGAACAGAGTTTTGCCTGCCGCCATCAAGGGAGGCGGAACCACGCTGTGGATGCACAAGATGGCCGAATCCCCGTCAGCAGCCCTCGAGTCTGTCTGGTGCTGCGGAGCCGAGCTTGCGACGGCGGCGCAGGAAACCCATCGCGCTTTCCCATCCTCGGCCACAATTACCCATCCTGCCCATTTTGTCCACGGCTGACTTGTGATTTCTTGACGCCTACCAGACTCCACCCCGCAATGTGGCCCGCAACAACCTGCCTGTTCATAGCATGCTCCTTTTCCCCCCTCCAACATCTGGCTTTGTCATTGTTGACGCTCCCGTTAGCCCGTCACTTCGTCATCTTGCTATTGCTACCGCCGTTCTGACGACATCCAGTCATCCAGACTGCTTACATACGCAGCGCAAAACACTCGCGGCACACAGAACATCTACGGCTGGGACCCAGCCTTTGTCCATGGGCAAGCAAACTCGGGCCACCTCCCTCCCTCGCCATTGGCCGTCGCATCTGCCCTATCTGACCCAGCCCTCATACGCCCCCGGGCTCTCCCGGTCCCAACGGGCCGCGCTCGCCACCCGGTCCTCCGAAGCCTCCCACTCCTGTCCCGGTTCTGGCTCCGAAGCTGCCGACATCCCCGTGCATCTGCCACGGGGGCCGTCGGCCAACGCCGTCGTTGTGCCTATTTCTGACCCAAGCCACCCTGCCTGCCACCAGTCCGGTCTATTTGCTGCCCGACACCTGCCTCCAGGCTCCTTCATCCTCCCCTACTACGGGCTCGTGCACTCCGCGCTGCCACCTCACAGCCTCAAGCACGAATCTTCTGACTACGACCTATGGCTCGACCGCGATGCGTCTGTGGCTATCGATGCCGCCCTCATGGGCAACGAGGCTCGTTTCATCAACGACTACCGTGGAGTCAAGGCCAAGCCCAATGCTGAGTTCAGGGAGTGCTGGGATGGCCGTTGCCGAGAGAAGTGCATGGCAGTCTTTGTCCTCCCATCAGGCAAAAACGCAAACCCAAAGAGTAAGGCATCCGCCGGCATAGCGAAGGGCGAGGAAATACTCGTCAGCTATGGCAAGGGCTTCTGGGGCAAGAGGAGCCAAGAGGCCGACGAGGCATTCGCAGTAGGGGAGCAATAACTATGACTCTCCGGCGCCGGCCCACGGCGCGTATACTTGAGGAGCCAACCCGTCGACCTTTGAACCATCATCCAGTCTTTTCATGTCTAGTGTGAAAGACCAAGAATATTGTTCAGTGAGGGGTGTCCACTGTAGCGCTCATATGTAAATGCCAGTGTGTTTCTCGAATGTGGATTGAGAAGGCAGAGCGATGGCAATTTGTCCTCCTCTTGGCGATCGTTATTGTGAAGCCTCGAATCAAGAGGCCCAGGTTGCACATAGACCTGGTCCTCGAAAGAAAATAGAATTTCGCAAAGGGTAACCTCAGTCTCTAGTTGTTCGCACGAGTCCTGGTTGTTCCAGCTCTGTACTCTTTCGCGTCCCGGTTGGAGGTTGCTGCGAGACGCAGGGCTGTAGACATAATCGGGCATGGTTTTCTCTCAGTAGTAGCTGCGCCAGTGACCTCCTCTTTGCCTGGTCGTTCGGAGGTGTGAGGGGTGTGGTTCCACTCACACTGCCATTGTTGACTAATGCACCGGCCCATCTTGCAAAGCTACTTATAGCAAACCACACCAGTTCTCACACAACCATCCACGGCGAAGTAGGCTTTCCCGCATGAACAGGGCTCAAAGTGTCCAAATTGTAAACAATGCTCGCTATAGGAAAGGGGTATACAACTATGAACGCCGAAACTCCTCGAATCACTGCTGCCTCGTACGAGGCTCACTCGTCAAGGATTAGCAAATCATCGTCGTCATCATCATCCAGCATGACCATCCGTGGCCCCGTCGCCGTGCTGGCGCCATCGCCAGGCTTATCGCTGCTGCAACTGGCAAGCTCCCCACCGAGACTCTCGCGTCCTGCGATCCGGATGCCTTTCTCTGTCACAAACCGCGTCTTCTTACGAGACGGCGCATGGTCGCTGCTCACGCTATTCATTGTGCCGCTCATGTCGCTCTCCTGGGGCGTCGAGCTCGCATTGCCCTTCCGCAAATTTTCTCCATCTTTCATCCTTGACAGCTTCGATTTGAGCCCACCACCCCATCCAAGTGCCTGTGTCTTGGTATTGCTCACGACACTGGGAGGTCTGGACGGGAACGCCGAGGAATGGGATGTTGACGAGGACGAGTCAAATGACCCAGACAGTGCGCTTTCCGTGCGCTTCCGCTTCACGGGGCTGAGATGGATCTTGTGATCTTTGTCCTTCAACAGACCAAGAGACCGGGCATCCATTCGTCTCGGCTCGCCCTCTGCTCCTGTACTGCCTGAAGTCGAGTCAGGATCGTGTACAAGGTCTGCCCCAGAAGTGGGGATTTCTCTCTTCTGTTGTGCCAAGCGCATGTACTCCTTGCCAGCACCAGCTCCAACCTTGCCAAGCTGCTTCATAATGTCTCGTTCTTTCTCCTGGGTTGCGAGACGACGTTTCAAAGCCTCGCCACGCTCGATGGTGCCTGATATATGACCCGACAGCACCTCATTGTCCAGCATCGCAGCAGCACTGTCTTTCTTGTGCAAGAACCAGTGGCTTTGCGTGTCGCGATCGAAGGCACCTCGTGCTCTCTTGTCTTCACCTCCTCCATCTTTACCGCGCGCGGAATTGCCTCGTCTCGTGCTGCTGGAAGCATTCCCATTGCGAGGCCCCGGGCCGGTATTGAAAGCGTTGATATCCTGCCTAGCTTTGAGATGCTTCTCCAGCGCAGAGTTCATGTGGAATTCACAGAACTCCGTACGCTTTTTATTAACCCAGCTGTCGCAGATTTTGCCGTCTTTCTTGACTGATTTACAGAAGCCCAAATCCCTAGCAGTGCCCACCTCCAGAATGGTGTCCTCACCGCTGTTGATCACGAGGCTGAACCTTCCCGTATCGGTCCTACCTGGCGGCGGCGGCATAATTGTAGGATTCAGTATGGCGATCACCGTGCCGGGGCTCAATTTCCAGTATCTGTCAAAGCCTGTGTTGAATAGGAAGAGGTCAAGTTCCCACTGCAGGTCGACTAGTTTCAGGACCATGTATTTCGCAGCGTTATCGTCCTTTCCTGCTTTTTCCTTGAGGGCGCTTTTGGTTTTATGCGCCTTGGGGTCCGATTTGGACGCTAGTATACCAAAGATGACGATGTCCTTGTCAATATCTGGTAGTTCAAAGTCTGGTGCCTTGACATGCTTCAAGACATCCTCAATGTTGTATATTTCTTTGCCGCTCAGGGTCCGCGCCATGGTGGTGTGAGGAATGATTCTTTTGCTCAGATGGAAACCGGAGTATGGCTCGATGGCTGGCATATCAAGTGCTGTCCGCGTTGCTGCACTGGCCGTGTTGGCCGCGTTCCTTTTCTGTTCCGGGCCGCGTGACAGAACGTCCTCGCGCGTGAATTGGATGGGTTCGTCGGGCACATCTGGGATCTCGGTGGCGTTCCTCTTGAGGTCCTCCAACTCAGTCTTCCCCAGGCCAAATGCCGTACTCCGGACCTGCCTGATCCGCGCCTGGCGATCCGATCGACTGGCCTCATCCGATCGTGCAGCCTGCATTCTTTGCCCGAACGTCGTGACCTGTTTCTGACTTTCACCTGATCTTGACGATTGATCGGTCGATCCTCTTGTACGCTGTGTCGTGCGGCTGTCGTGCTCTGCTCGAGCTGTTTGCCTCAGACTCGGAGCTCGCTTGAGTGATATGTCTCTTGCAGTCAAGCCTTTGTCGATTCCTAAGCGTATTCGGCTTGGAGATGTGGGATCTTGCATGCTCTGCTGAGTCCTGCGAACGGGAGAGGCAGGCACTTGAACCTCAGCCTGGTGTGAAGATGTATTTCTTCTCTCTGTCAATGAAGCGGCGGGCCTGGTTGTCATGATCGATGTGCTTGATACCGATGTAGACTCAGCTCTGTTGGTGGTGCTTTCATTGTCGGCATCCTTCCTTGCCTTTTCCTTTTGCAACTTCTTCAATTTGAGCTGGGCTTGTATCGCTTTTAGTTTGAGCTGTAGAGTTTCTTCGTCGTCCTCATCGTCATCGTCCCCGTCTTCGAAAAGCATCGCTGCTGCCTGTGTCTGAGCTGTGCCGGTGGTCCGCTTCGACGGAGATGGGGAAGGCGATGTGCGGTTCATCATGCGACGCAGCTTTTCCCGGCCACCCGGCGTGCTCAGCAGGGCCTCGTGCGGCGATCGAGGAGGCCATTGGGGCCCATCAGAGAGATTCCCTGTTGGGTCAGGCAGGATGTTAGTCTATGCAACCAAACGCATGAGCGAGGAAACGTGCCTGCCATGCCGTCTACCTGGACTTTGCCTGCGACGGCCCTGGTGTAGTGGTCCTACCGCATGCACGTCCCGGTCAGACACTCGTTGGCGGGTACGACAAGATGGAAACGAGGTTTCATCAGCAATGTTTTGGTCGATGCTGTCGAAGGCCAATTCGGCGTGGAGTGAGAGGGACAAGAGGACAATCTCGGTTGATCCGTAAACTCGAGGTATGACCAACGGCGGCGGTGCTGCGGAACAACCAAGGAGAACCAGCGCGAATCTCAAGATGTCGTTGCGCGAAACGACTCGAAAACCGTTTTGGGTGGTTGTGATTCAAGAACCCGAGGTCATAAAGCTGAGACGGACTAGGGTACCTTAGAGGATCCAGGCAACCCGCGCAATGTTTCGCGGAGCGGGTGATATCGATAAGGTTTCAGGGGTGCTCGTGACTGCCGGGGCATACATGCCAGTGCGTTGCGACTTGGCAGCGACTTTGCAATTGCGTAACAGCTCCCAAGAGACTCCAGCCAATCGATAATTGACCATCAATAATTGCATGCCATACAGGTTCGGGTTTGCTCGCGAATCGGGCAGCACTCAGTCGCCGACTTGCTGTGGCCCTCCATCTGGTGATGGGGTCAGGCTCGGAGTGCGGACATCCCAAACAGTACTAGCACGGCGCGTCTTTCGTCGCGCGGCATGGGTAAACTCAATTTACGCGTTCAACGTCAGGTGTCCAGAATAGGCCCACCGACTGTACGTACCAACTCAAGGACACTACGATGGTAAGTGGCAGGGCTAACTTTCGTGCGGGCCATTGTTGTACTGCCCAGAAATCGACCACTTGAGCATGACATTCATGCGTTGATGTTTGCCCGCTGCCACCGCGACGACATTTGAGAATTCAGGGCGAAACCAATCCCGACGACTGCGCGTTTCCGAGGGCGGACAACGTCAGCGCGACTGATGTATCAGAATAGTCTAGCCACCGACAACGAAGGAAATCGAGTCTTCCACGATCACCCAGCTGCAAGCATCCACAAAGCTACTTGCCAGTGAACGACACTCCTGCGGTCCTTGTCGCACCTTCGCGCCGGTATTCATCCGATGGCTCGAACAACTCGATCGAAGGCTGTGGCCCCAACCAAGTCAGGATCCGCAGAGAGGGCTCCGGCCGCCGATAACTCAGAAAGCTCCTCTGCTCTACCAGTCCAGACAAACAACCCCCCAAGAGTCTTCATACTCCCAACGGAAGCGAGCGCCGATGCTCGAGTAGTGTCATTACTGTGCGCTCGAACAGGCAAACCCGCGAGATATCTCGTCTGCCCCGAAAGTGGCATTTATGAATTCACACGCGTGTCGGCTCTCAAATCGACACCGAAAAGTTGGCTCATAGAGCCTGGTCCACCAAATGGAGGACCTCTTTCGACCTCACAGAGTGAGACTCTGGGTGAAAGCCGCGTCTTCCACGCAAGGATCACAAAAGGAGCAGATCTTTACGTCGCGACGCCAGTAGATCCATTATTCCTCGTTCTACCAGCTGTGGCCACCCATCCAGTATCTTCAACTGCTAAAGCGGACGAGAAGAAGCTCTTCCTGTCCGGCGACGACCATTTTGACTCCATTGCGCAACTTTCACCGCATCTCACCGAGATCTTGCGCTGGGCTGGTGGCAAGCTGCAAAAACTGCTCGAGTCCCGCATGGCGTCAATCTGCGATACTGTTGAAGCAGGAGACGAGCTGATGTTTCGCTTCAGTGAGGAAAAGCTACTCAACGAGCTCCTTGGCAAGGCGCGGTCCTTGGCGCGGCAAGCCCTGCCAAAAAGCATGGAGGAAAAGTTTGTGACCAAAGCCTTGGAAGCCCCCATGCTGGGATTGAAGGTCCGGGATGTGTCAACAGATACCGCAAAGTCCACGGTCGTTGGTGAAGATACAGCTGAAGAGAAGGAACAGTGCTCAGTGTCTACACCAATGTCACCCCGGGGAGCTGATAGCCAGTCGTCCGCCTCTGCCTCCGATGCCACGGCAAGTTTTGCCTCGGATATATCGATGACCTCCACAGCAGCAACCTCGCTCTTGGCCACTCCAGAGCTGGACGAGGAAGAAGCCAAGGGCACGGTCACAGATCTTACCTCAGCTGTTCAGGCAAGACCTGAGATTGTGGCTTTGCAAAGATTGCGCGTGGCCTTTTCGTACATCTGCTCTGCATATCTATCCCCAGCACGGGCAGCATCCGTAAAAGCCCTCCTGGCCAGGGATGTCGGCGCTTCAATGGTGGATTTTGCGCCTCTGGATGCGTACCTTGCCAAGATCGCGAAGATGCGCGAAGACGCGGCGTCGGCGCGGAGCATGAGTGACTACAGTCGAAAACGTGTCCTTGACGATGACGAGGCAGCAGAGCGTGCAGAGAAGAAGCGCCTCAAGGAGGAGGAGGACCGGAGGAAAAAGGCGGGTGAAAGTCGGGGTGTGAAAAACCTGAAGAAGGTGAACACGACTGGAATGAAGAAGATGAGCGACTTCTTTAAGAAGAAGGCGTGAAGCGTCTGGCCGGATGCGTAGGACTTTACTCAATCATTACAGCATATGCTTGGCGTAAAGGAGTCGATTGGCAAGCTATCGATTGCCGTGGGTATCATCTATTTTATACTTTGTTATGCCCAACTCGTTCGTTGTAAGGTTCTCGAAATTTCGTCGCGGTCAAGAAGATAGCGAGAAATCCAAACTGTTGCTGCCGGGTGGGTTTTTCTTCCGTTCTTGGGTGGTGACCTGTCGGCTTGTCTCAGCTTCCTCTTGTCGTCCCTCGCGCGCGAGTGCGAGTGGTGCCTGATCCCCTTGCTATTCCCGACGAACCCCTAGTACCCGCGTGAAAAGACGAAGATGCTGAGGTATTTGCAGTCGATGCATCAGCCGTCCCTACGTTACTGCTGCCCCTGGTGATGCCGCCTCTTGTTCTGTAAGTGCTCCTCGTGGTACGGACACCAGTGATGCCACCTCTCGCCCTAGTACCACGTGTTCCTCTTGTGGAGGGCGTTCTGCCTAGTCCAGCTCCGCCAGACGATCCGGTGCCCTCTCGCTGCCGGTGAGCGTTGTCCTGTGCTTCCTCCGCTCGTCGCCTTGCTTCTGTCCGCCGGCGCTCATCCTCGGCGGCACGGCGCTCTGCTTGCGCGGCCTTGGCGGCTTGTTCTGCCTCTACCTCCGCAACGTCCGCGCTGGCGCCTTTCCATGTCGGGTTAAGGATCAATCGCTGGTTGTGTTCCGTCTGGCTGAGAATGCGCGTCCATGTGTTGAGCAGCGCGCTCGCAGTGTCGACGGTTTTTGAGACGGTCTTCGGAAGGTCGAAGAAGGTTAGCACCATCTGTTCATCAAGGACATCCGCCAAGCACAAACAGGTGGCCGGTGCGGCAGGTCAAAGAATATCAGCCTACAGCCATGTTGCCTTTTGCTCTTTCCAGTGTGCCAACAACACCTTCGATCAGCTCATTGATGTTGCGCACGCCCTCTAGCTCCCTGCGCAGTACCGTCTCGCGAGCGTCGTCCTTGTCCTGCTCATCGTAGCGAGAAGACTGGTTGTTCGGTGTCTTTGGTCGGTTTTGATCTCGGAAGGAGGTGCTCCTCTTGATAGGCGAGTCGAATGCCTCATCGGGCTCCGAATCAGACAGTTCGTGGCCTGGAGGCGGAGGCATGGCTCGGCTGCGGAAGCGGGTTGCGAAGAATGTAGACGGGACACCTTGAGCGCAGGTTTCGGGCTCAGGGTCTGGACATCCGGAGGCATTACGGTTGTTCAGGCGTTGAACGGCTGTCTTCGTGTCTTGCTAACGAATGAGGGGCACCTGGGCAGGGGCTCTCATGACCCACAAATATGAGCGGGAACTCTCCCAATTAACCTGATCTACGTTATCCAAGCAGGTTCAACTCTCGCAGGTGGACATGAAGTACCGAGCCATTGCGCACTGGGCAAGGCAAGACATGGATACCGGCGTCACCTCAGCAATGGATGTCTTAGTTGCGCGAAGGCTTGATACTATGGTAGCCTTGAACCCTGAAAAATAGTCAGTGCACGTTTCCCGCCGAGCAGCGGACACTCTCAGACCAGCACAATGACCACGCATGGGCCTCAGCACCTCAACCAGGATCCACAAACATTCCTTCAACCATGCCGGCGACAGACAGCGAATAGGCCGTTGCTATGAGGGTTGCAATGCCTGTCATGCTAGATTGCCCATCCAGTAGGTATCACGTGCATATTCAGCCAGATAGTAGCTGTGTCTTGTGCGGCCCGTCGCAGATATGCCTGGTAGTGGGAGGCCAGGTGACGCGTGTTGGACGCGTCAACCACTGATCTAGACGCGACGAGACGTGAGAGCTGGAGGCAGTAACGCAAAACAAATAGACATCATCACGAGGGGACTCCACACCTGGGCAGGCCGGGTTGCTGCTGGGCATACTGCGTAAGGACCCGACGTGCCCAGGTAGGCTGGGTGGGGCCAAGCAGAGATGTACTGGTCTGCTTGCACGCGAGTACCCATGCTCCAAAACCCTGTGCAGAAACACCGGAAAAGCTGGTGGCTGGGACATGCGCTGCAGCCTTCCGGTACTTGGGCACGTTGGAAATTCCCAGGTGGGCGGGCGGGCACCTGGGCAAAGGACCTGCCCACCGCCCTGTGTCCACGGCCACACCCGCCCTCCCTTCGAGCCTCCCATTCATTCCCGCCCCAGCCACGTCTTTATGCCACCGTCGTTGACTCCCCTGGCCGTCCCTGTCCTTGCTCCTAAAATACTATTCCCCCAGCAGGCTCGCCTGTCGTTGCTTCGTACTCCGTGCAAATTCTCAATTGACGAAGCACAAACACCATCGCACGTTGCTACATTTTGTTCGACACAGTACTCCCTATCCACACACTACCCCGTCCGTCTCTGGGTGACAACCACGACACAACAACATCATCATCATCCTGTCGCTACGCATCATCAAGTCCATTGCTTCAACCTCTTAGCAACATCCTCGCTACACCTAGTTGACGCTCTTGGCGCTCTTGCCCACCTTTGCGGCACATGAATCGTTGCAGAGTTGTCCTCTGCACGAACCCGCTTGGCTCCCATTAGGCTTCGCTCCGCCCGACTGCCCAGCAACCATGGCCTCCCATCTATGCTCGACACCTCCGCCTCCAGGTAGCGTGCGCACGCCAGACACCCCAAAGCACGGCTACAGCGACTCCTGGGAGCCCTTCTCCCCGCGCAAGTCGGCTCGTATCTCGGAGAAACGTGCTAGCGCTCGCACACCTTCACCCAACACAACAACGCATAAATCCGCGTCCCGCAAGCCGGCATCAAACATCTTCTCCACGCCTGCCACCTCTCCTCAGAAGCGCCGTCTTCCGGCCATGGACTCTGTCCGCCGCGCCCCGAACACATGCACCGCAGAGGCCCCTACTTTGGCTGGCCATGGACTCCCCATCCCTCTAACATCCTCGTCTTACTCCAAGTCGAAGACTGGCTCAGCATCAATCTCTCGCGTCGGCACCATGCTCCCCACTCCAGCAAAGACTCCGCGCAAGCAGCCAAACGAAAATGATGCAGCAGCCGTGCGGTCCGTGGCACGCAACCTCTTTAGCGCCGAGTCTGACATGATTGCGTCACCACGGAAGAGGAAAGCCAAGAAGTACTCGGGCATTGCCATGGAGAGTTTTGTTGCCGAAGATATTGAGCAGCCCATTCCCATCTTCACCGACTCAAGAGATCGCATCCCTTCAATAGATAGGAGCAGTGCCAATCCTTTCTATGCCAACAATGCTGCCGCCCACGACAGTGACGTCGCGTTCGAGCCAGAGACCGCCAAGAGACGTAGCAGGCGTCGTCAGGTCACTATTCCGGGAGAAGGCTCGCAAACCGTCGAAGAAGCTGTGCAGAGGGATGACGGCATAGTATACGTGTTGTAAGTTGCAATCTAATATCTCTCCTCGAGTCACCTTGTCCTCAGGTCAAACTCACTAACATCCCACGCAACCAGCCGAGGAAAGAAGATTTTCCGCAAGTTCTCAGACAGCCAGGACGGTCGATCGTCTGCCCTTGCAGCTGGTGATGATGAGATGTCCCTTGAGGCCGCAGCGGATGAGGAGACGCCACGTCGCCTGACTCGCTCAGCTATCAAACCTCGCTTGCTCTTCCCGCCTCGGGACAAGGCGCCCGCCACTGAGGAGGACGACGAAGAGGCCGTCACGGACATCGAAGATAACGGCGTGTCGTTCTTGAATGCCGCAACTATGCCTCACCCAGAGACACCCGCAGAAGCGCATGAAGACAACCTGAAGACACCCAAAGCACCACGCTTTGCACCTGCCTCGCCTCCATCCACCATTCGTACGACACGCACGACTAGCAAGGACCTCGCGAACGAATCGCCACTGAAGCGGCCCATTAAGTCTGGTAGCCCATTCGACAGCTGGCGTGTTTCTAAGCGAACGTCTGGTCGAACGAGCCTAAAGCGTGAGGGCGAGCCTCTCGAGTCTTCCTTGGAGACCTCGAAGCGTCAAAGAGCATGATCGCCACTCAAACAACAGCGAACGCCTCTTTTTTTACGAGTTGTTGCGACTGTCCACGGCAAGTGGTACGCAGCCGGTGTCATATCCGCGGCACTATGAGGTTGTCGATAACCGGGAAGGGATGTCAGCAGTCCTACCACAGGATACATTTGTTCTGCCGTGCGCATGTGCTATCTTACACACTTTTAATGACTTGACGAGCATTGTTGTCAGCGAGGCAGGTTTGCAATTCAGAATACCTTCAGAGAATGGTTATTTTGACGTGGGTTTTGTTGGGAAAGTGTTGCCTTCATTGAAGGCAGAACGTCGTATCGGACGGAAAGGACAGTCCACGCACCGGTATCCTGAGATTGATGTCACTCGGGTTTTTTTTCGCGCACCTCTGGTCGCTTGGCTGCAAGTGGTTTTGTCCAACGGCACGCCAAGTACGGTATTTTTTGCTCTTGGACAGTCACAGTAGATAGATAATACATTGGGAATTTGACCCCATCTCAGACGGCTCGTAAGACCGACTGGTCTGCTTCAAGATGCCACACTTGCTCTAACCACTGGTTTGAGCAAGACTTATAAGCCGTGCTTGCACGGATGAAAAGCGTTTGGACACGCTCATGATTACAAACTCGTAAGTGCACGATTGAGGATGGGCACAGGCCAGGAAAACCTGTAGTGCGACTTTTGTGATCTCTCATGGTGATTCCGGAGTAGAAAGAGGAACAGGGCATTAGGCCCAGATGGTTCTGTAAACTAGCTCACGGTGTCTATGACGCATTGGAGTCTACTTTCTGAGTGATCCGCAATTGGTACGTTTATTGTGCAGCACAAATCATTCATTTGCCCATGTGTATTCCAAAAACAACCCCCAAGAAAGAAAGAAAACCTATGGGTTTTAATAATTGGCAGCGCCATGAACGCTTGAGGAGAGAAGCCTGGTGTGACGGAATGCGACCAAATACGACCCATATGGACAGTGATGATTCAGTCAGTCATCACGAGCCTGGGGACCGGCCCGCACTACCACGATCGGCGCTTGACATTTGTCTTTCTAGTGTAGATCGTCGAGCATGCTACTCTTACGATGGCCACGCCAATGCTCGCGGCATTCTAGATCGCTGGGATTCCCCTACAGTGGCAGTGATCAATAATCGCCGTTCACTGCCGACGCCGCATCGTAAAAGCAAAAACGGGCTGCCCACGATCTCGGCATCAGACGCCGATGCTGGGCTGACTTAATCCTTTAACTTTCCCTTACTCATGCTAGTCTGTACCGAACCGCCGCAGGTCACTGAAACCTGACTTGTCATGATCTCACCACTTACCGAGTCATATTACGAGTACTGCGGACATCTCCAATCCGAAGTATTTTGTAAAACGCTGGGTCTGCTAGAGGACATGGAATGGCCGTCAATAATCCACGTGCCTGGTGGTCTCACTTCTTTAAGGCACTGGGACGACAACATCTTAACCGCCACAAAGAACGACAAACACAATGACCAGAACCAAGGGATCCCAGGCTACGGCCAACGAGGCCCATGTTCTCAATTTTAGCCTTGGCAACGAAAATGACCATTGTACTTTGACTGTGCTGGTCAAGGACTTCCGTTTCAACATTGTGGCCGATGCACGGGATTTATTGAAATCGACGTTTGACGATCCCGACTTCAAGGGGAGCTCGCCCCAAAGTGCGGCAAAAGTCGGAGAAGAGTTCCAAGGGTTGATCTCAGCCTTGAGAGCTTAACAGGAAGAAGGGATATATCGGACCTATGGACCAGGCGAGAACGAGGGAGGTGTCCCCAGGGCAACTCGCAACCACATCAACGACAAGATATCAAGTAACGACAAAGAAAACCACATAACATCAGACACGGATAGTGGTGTAGACCTAGCTTCTCCAGGACAGGGGACTGCTCAAAAGAGGACTCCGTCACCATTGCCGCCTTCACTGAAGGGGACCGAATTGGAGAAAGATCCCAAGACAGCACTGCGCGAGTGGATGCTCTCGCCATTTTCGGGTGTATTCGACAGACTGGACCCTGTTCCAGAGATCGGAGGCGCCAAGGTGTACAGACAGACCCTACAGGAATGGTACAGCGGCCCTACCTATTTCTACAAGCTCATCATTGGGGGCGACGGCAAAGCCGCGCAACAACAGCTGGAGACTTCGCCAGAACTGGAGGAGAAAATCGTCAAAATGGCCCCGCGGATCAAGGTTCCAAAGGCCATTTACAAGCTCGACATCCCCTGGTACGAAGCTAGCGAGATTGAGGTTGTCGCTGCTGGAGACCATTATGGTCTTCACGCACCAACAGAAGTCATGATTTGCAAAAAGACCTCAGACAACGAGCGCGAAAATGGAGGTGAAGGCAGAAAAGACTTGGATACTATATACTTTTTCAAACAGGTCGACGCCTCTCAAACAGCATCAACCAAGCGGGAACTCGAAAGCCTCAAGGACATTGAAGCCAAAGGTTTGCACCATCAGATCAATGTGCCTGTAGTGAGAGGTCTGGTACGGTGGTACGGCGGCAGCCGTGGCTCCTCTGGGAACCAGATCATGGGCTTCTTACAGACAGCAATCAAGAACCCCACACCACTTACACGGATGTTGGACTCGGACGTCGTGGAGGAGAAGAGGGAGGAGTGGGCCAACCAGGCAGAAGAAGCCGTCAGGGTGCTCCACGATGCCGGTATTGTCTGGTGCGATGCCAAAGCGGACAACTTCATGGTCGACAAGGACGGGAAGCTGTGGATCATCGACTTTGGCGGTAGCTACACCGAGGGATGGGTTGACCCAGACCTCGTAGAGACAGAGGAGGGCGACGACATGGGCGTTGACAAAATTGTGGGCGCCCTACGGGACCCGGAGAACATGACCTACGATCCAGATGCGAGTATGATCAACACGTCTGAAGCAACGGAAGATGGCGAAGAAGCGGGCAATCAAGTGGGCAAGCGAAGAAGGGAAGCGTCCACTGAGGCGGACAGCAAGAAGGGGTGCAGTCCGAAGAAGGCGAGGCTGTAGGCTCTAAACATTATACACCAACAGGCTTTTCAAGGATCTGACATCAGACCTTCTAGATGCATGTGATCAATACATGCAGACCGCTCTACGACACCAGTTAGAATTCAAGTGACAAGATCGTACTCATCAGGCATTCTTCAAGCATGTAGGATGCTGTTGTGCCACTCCTAGTGCCCCGCCCCCACTATAAAATGATGTCGTTGTCTGGCACTAGCAAAGGGCCTTTCTCCCGTTGCGCTACCTTTATTGTTTGTCTTCAGAACTCGCCTCCACAAACAGTGTGCCCTTCTACCATTTCGCTCCTTCGGTATCCCGTGGGGTTGTCAAAATCCGTCATGCATATACTGGTCACCAATGACGACGGCCCTCCATCCGTCAGCACTTCGCCCTTTGTCCACCAGCTCATTCGTGATCTCCAGGCCTCCGGACATGTGGTCTCGGTTTGTCTGCCGCACTCACAGCGGTCATGGATAGGAAAAGCACATATTATTGGCCAGACCGTGAAGCCAACCTACTATAGACCCTCTGAGCACTTTGACGTCACTCTGGACCCGGATAGCTCGAGGCCTCAGGGTTCGACACATACACGACCATCACAGAACGGGGAAGAGGAATGGGTTCTGGTGGACGGAACTCCAGCGAGTGCAGCACAAATCGGTATTCATCACCTGTTCAAGCACCGTGGTCCAATCGATCTCGTTGTCAGCGGGCCAAATTATGGTCGCAACTCAACTTCCGTCTTTGCGCTGAGCTCTGGTACCTTGGGAGGGGCTCTCGAGGGAGCCGCCTGCAGGAAGAAATCCATTGCAGTATCTTATGCTTTCTTCTCTAGGAAGCACGACCCTACGATCATCAATGCGGCCAGCAAGCATGCTGTCAAGGTCATCGAGGCTCTATACGAGGCATGGCCCTCGGACGGGAGTGTCGATGTGTACACGGTCAATATTCCTCTCGTGCAGGATGTTGGCAAGAAAGCAGTCTTCACCGACGTACTACAAAATTACTGGGACGACGCCGACGGCGGCTGCTTCGAGGAGGTTGAGGGCAGTGTCGGAGATGAGGAGGAGGAGGAGGAGCGCATCCGTGAGCGCGAGCAGGCTGCCACCTCGATCCCAACCACAGATGACCAGACCACCAAAATTTCGACGGTATCCCATCGGCACTTCAAATGGGCCCCAAAATTCTCAGGTGTCTACCGAAGCGTTGAAGAGGCCCCTCCTGGCAACGACGGCTGGGCCTTGACTCAAGGGTTTACCAGGTACGTGAAGCTTCCCCAACGACGCCTCTTCCACCGAAACTGAGTGATGCTATACGGCTTTATTCATCATGGCCAACACTGCATTTTAGTATCGCTTCCTTGAAGGCCAACTTCCAGCAGGCAGCCCCTCATCTCCACGGCCAAGAATTGAAATTGTGAGTTTGCACATGCCCATTCTGATTGTCGTCCATGTAAAGTTTGCATGTCGATGCACATCATGTGGAAAGATTCAGTCCCGCATGTGGTGGAGTTTGGTTGGCTTCTGGTAATCTGGACAAAAGCAACACCTTATGCTAGTTCAACACAGCCATATGCCATTTGATCTCTTGAGGTTAAACTTCACCAATGTGCTGAGACGACGTGGATGTCTCTCCCATGGCACGACGTTTTTGTGACTTTCAATGGTTAGGACATGAACTATGCACTCTTAACACAAAACCTACGCACGCAGGTCAGGTCTTATCGCTACAGCCCAAGAAACGACCTCATCAAAACCTTTGGGGACGACAACGCTTGCACTAAGACCAAAAAATCACTTTTACGCTCTTATCGACTACGGGGATGCGTACGTGCAGCCGCTGATCCTTGACGCCTTAAACAAGGTATTTCCTCGTGAAACCTTCACTTTGTTGGCATCGCCCAAGCGGTCGACAGATGCGGATGACGCCCTAGAGATAACCGTAAGGTCTCTCTTGCCTGAAAATGCCCCAGAAGACGCAAAGATACTGCAGATCACTCAGTACGAGTCGATAGACTGGGATTACGTCGGCACGCATCCACGAACATGCCTGGTAAATAGTTACATGCTTCGAAAAGCGCTCATCCGCAAACATTATCTCTCGGCCACCGTGGAGAATTGGGTGGCCAAACGACCTGACTCGTCCTTGAAGACCCATGTCAAGAGGAGTGAAGCCTTCGAAGTGGACTATGCCGAATTCCTGGACGATTCCTTGATTGAGGCATTCGATTTGAGGGCCAGCATGGAGAAGAACGAACAGATGACTGCCAATGATGCATCTGTTGAGAGTATCGAGTGGTGGATACTGAAGCCAAGCATGAGTGATCGTGGTCAAGGGATCCGATTGTTCAGCACTATGGAGGAGCTGCAGGCAATCTTTGACGAGTGGGAAGATGACGAGTCCGATGACGAGTCCGACGAGGACGAAGCTGACGGGTACGACGGACGACAAGTCATCGGAAAGGGTGACAGGGCCGACGGAGATGATCAGCAAGACGACACCGGCATCAATGCCAGCCACCTACGCCACTTCGTTGCACAGCCTTACATAAATCCACCACTGATTTTAAGTGGTGATGATCGCAAGTTCCATATACGAACCTACGTCGCTTGTGTTGGAAGCCTAGATGTCTATGTTTACCGACATATGTTGGCACTCTTTGCTGGAAAGCCTTATGTGGCGCCTGGTGCAGCAGCCAAGAGCACATCTACGGACAGTCCAGATGCCATCGACCTGGAGTCGCATTTGACGAACACATGCCTTCAGCGCTCTGTGGCGGACAATACCGTTCAGCAATTCTGGGACGTTTCGCTGCCTCAGACAACCAAGGAGCATATCTTGAAACAGGTGTGCGACATCACAGGTGACGCATTTGAGGCTGCAGCACGAGGCATGATGATGCACTTCCGGCCGCTCGACAATGCTTTCGAGATATTTGGGCTCGACTTCCTGGTTGACGCGACTGAGCATGTCTGGCTACTCGAGGTCAATGCCTTCCCGGACTTCAAACAGACGGGTGCGGAGTTGCAGAGTCTTGTCGAGGGACTTTGGGAGAACGTACTGAGGGTCGCAGTTGGCGGGTTCTTGGGCAGTGAGCACGGGCAGACGGCGTGTGCTGCGGGGGATGCGAAAGATCGTTCCAGTCAAAATCGTGACTTGATTTTGGTCCGCAAGATTGAGCTTGGTGCGCAATTTGGCGCGTAGAGGAGACATCAATAGACGCAAAAGGCATGCGTGAAGACCTCGTTCATCGATGATTCCAACACACTCCCGTCAAGTTCCCCACGACACCTGACATAGCCAGTACAGCTTGCCTCTCACCTTTCCACAACCAACTCACGATTTGTATCGTCGTCGTGACATATCGCTGGTGCGCACAACTAGACTTTCTTGAGCGAGGGGTCGGTTATCTATATACGAACAGATTTTTGCAATACAAGCATGTCCGGCCGGCCGGTGGACTGTCTACCGGAAGCGATGCACAGCCTCTGCCGTTTCAACGGCTCAATACTGCCAATACGAACCTGATCAAGACTATCGATTTCATATACAGCACCAGTTCTTCCAATGGCCAAAAATCCTTCATGCCCGAAAAGTGCACTTTCGCGTCAGGCCAGGCAGGGCCCGCACTGAGTCTGACAGCAAGGCGAAATTTAATCAATCGGGGACCGTGGGAAATGGTGCTTTGTAGAAGTGTCAAGTGAGTCTCTTGAATAGAGCAATGTCGGTGTACCCAACAGCATCAAGTATTCGGAATCTGCCTTGTCCCGGCTTGAAGGAGTTTGATGGTGGTGAATTTCAGGCAGCTCCAAGCACACCAAGCAGCAGCAAAACTCCAATTTAGGTACTAAGTGAGCAGAAAGATTTGGCTTGACCGTCGCTAAAGGTAGAGACTGCTTCGAGAGGCGCCGTGGCAGCGGTGCAGCGACATGGGTGTAAAACATGCAATACAGCATACAACAGCCATTCGTCGAGGTCCTTGTCCATATCTGTCCTGGTCGGGTACGCCCTGCCACTGGTGACCTCATCACATCAAGGGCCGGTGAAATGTTTCATCGCGACAGCTCAATAGGCCTGAGAGCGGCTCATGGTGTCGTCCTTGGCTCGAGAGATAACCTTGCGAGGCTGACCGCCTCTACTGTTTATAGCAGTGACCACCCAGTTTACTGGCGCCCGACCTGCGACTGTGCTTACTGGCCGTAGCGATCCGCTGTCGGGTTCAAATGTGTTCATTTTTTTCGTCACTGTGGCAGGATCTAGACGTGCGCAAACTGCCATGATGGTTGATGGTTCTAGACTCCGCGCTGCGCAAGCACGGGGACGCTCCTCTTGCTGGACTACTATTGTGCATTCTAGCGGTCGCCCAGCCGCTCGGGCTTGGCCCAACCGCATCGTGCCGAGTCGGTGTAGGTTTGAGAAGCCTGTCCTTACTCTGGAGAGCACGCAGCATGAATCCGAGTGCCCAGCAAGGGCATCTTCGGGCACGTGTACGCTCCGCAATGCGCCCATCTATCGTGCTGGCGATTTATCTATGCAAGGACACGTGTAGCAGCAAGCGACACCCCTTTGAAGTGCTCTGAAGACCACCCAACCAGCAATACAGTGGCAGGTCCGCATGCAATTGAGCAGATAACTAATGGCTCCAGGCATTGTCGCAGTCAGGACTGCGATCCGAGAGGATATCCTCCTAGTAGGTTGTTGGATGATTGCATGGGTGCCGTCATTCACTAGACATATGCTGCCACGGACGTCACTGTGCGTGCAGGTGGAGGAAGAGCTGGCTGAGCTGGCTGCGTTTTGTGATTTGTGTGTGCATGGATGGCCTCGCGGCAGTGGACAGTACCTTTCCCCTGGCCCTTCTCGAAAACCTGCCAGGCCGGCCAGGGGCTGCTCTGGCCAATGCAACAGCTGGGATTTAACCTTGTTTTCGCCCAGGCTCCACGAAGGACCACCAGCGTTTCGGGGATCTCATAGTTGCTGCGTATCCCTCGGTTCTAGTGCTTACCAGAGTAGCCGAGGTAGGCTTGGGCGTCGCACGTCCAGTACTGCACAGCGAATGCAGCAAACGCACGCACATTGCCGCACCGCTTGCGGGCCCGGCTGAAGGCGAAAATCACACAGTCTGACGGGCACCGGTCCCCTTTGGTGTGTGGTGACAAGCGCGGAGAGTTGCTCCGTGAACGCAGCCAGGTGGTACCCGCGCATGCATAGCTCCAAGACATATCGTGGGCCCGCCATCATACCAAGGCTCCTTGGCATATGTAGGAGCAGGAGCCTAATTTGCGAGGGATCACCGACATTATTACTGCCTTCTTGTCCACGTATGACAGCAGCAAACGCAGACAGGGCCGTGGCGCTATGAGCCAATGGTTGCCAATCAAACATGCTAGCCTGAGCAGGGCGGGATGAGATGCTGGAATGATGAGAGTTGGTAATTATGACGCTCGACGGGCTTGCTGTCGCGACAAATAAGCAATGCTTGGAATGGACGTCCGGGGCCCTGAATGATGCGCGCAAGATTCGATTGGGGGCATACAGAAGTCAATGTGCTGCTCATCGCTTTCCATTTTGTCATCGAAGACTGTTCCTACCCTAGTATGCGAGAGCCGGAAAGCATGGATACAACAACCAGGATGGGGCACCCACAGAAGCGGTTGCAAATGCAACCACCCTTGTTAACCACAAGCAACAACGCTTGCTTTCTCTGTTGTTGGAGCAAGCCGAGACCAATCTGTGTCGTTTGCACACCCTTGGGGCCAGAGCCTGGGCACATCACACCAGAGAGGACAATTCTACTGGGCCGGGGTGGCATCGCACTGGCTTGCACAGCCTCACTTGGCTCGGCTTGGCGCTGGAGCCAATTTGTCGAGGCCAAGGCCTAGCACATTCATTGACGCAATTCGCTGCTCATTTCGACGCTTCTGCCAAGCTCGACTCCTGGGCCGGCTGGGCTCTTCGCTTCTCCCGGGCGATACCAGGTCCTTGCGCCCAGCCATGTTGTGTTTGTTGATGGCTGCCAGCGTGCGCGAATTGAGGTGCCCCTGGGCTGGCAGCCTGACGATGGTGGCGCCAGCGTGGAGAGAGAGCGAGTCGAAACAAAGCAGCCAGTTCAGGCGCCAAGCAAATTAAGCAGCAGCGCCAGACCACGGCTGGCTAGCGCGAACATGGGCGTAGCGGATCGTTGCCCGGCCCCGGCCACGGTGGGTTGTTGTGCTTGCTGCGTTGGAGCGGCCCTCCCTTGATTTGGATCTTTTAGTGCGGCCGTAGCGCGTTGCATGACATGAGCCGCTGGACGTGATGATGGCTGTGGGTGCTGCGGTGACGGCAAGTCTACTACGAGAATGGATAACGACAATGATTACGAAAAAAAGAAGGAAAAGAAGAAGAAGGATAATAATAACAATACTGAGAAGAAGCAGCGGAAGAGACGAAGCAGGCATGGGCCAATGGGGCGGGACGAGCTGTGCTGCTGTGCTGATGTTTGGTTTGGGCAGTGCAGCCTCTGTGTGGGTTCAGGACTGGGGAGCGGCCGGGAGGTGGGCCTGAGTCGTGCCTGGTTGGGTGGAGATGCAACTTGCCATGAGCGCACCACCGGAGGTGAGTCTTCAGGCACATGCGCATGCAATCATGACCAGGGGCCTCACGCTCCCACTCCTGCTTCCTCCTTCCTTGGCCTGCTTCGTTCTCGCCACAGCAACCGCACCGCGTCCCGTGTCTGGTGGTTTGCCCAAGCTCGTCTTGCTGCAGAAGCAGCAACCCACGGCTTCAAACGACCTCCGCCCGTCCTGGCCCTTTAGGATCGAGCTACTCATGAAGCCCGGGCAGCGTCTCGTCCATCCACGGCTCGCCTCACCACAGCGTTAGAGCCTCACGGCGGCAAAGCACTTCGTATATTGTCAGCATTCTTGTTCCTGCAGCAGATCGACGACTGCCTCGCTCGGTTTGTCTCTTATTCGCAGAGTTCGCCCTCTTGCGACCTACAGACCTTGCTGGCCCCCTTGGACCGCGAATTTCCGACAAATCGTCGATGGCGTTTCGATAGCACCTCAACACCGTCCGTCTCGCTACTCGACTTGACATAATTTAGCCACTTGTGTACTTGCCCGCTTCCAGTACGCTGCCCTGTCGCACAGCTTTCAGACCTCACGATGCCGGAGTCCACACCACACGGTGGTGACACCGCGCCGGCGAGATCACGAGCGTGAGTACTTCCTTCCATTGTACCATGCGACCTACGCCATGATGCGAGCAGACGTCCGCTTTGGAGCCCATCAGAGACGGAGTGGACTGTGCATGATGGCGAGAGGTCGCCGGATGGCAGCTCAAGCCCATTCCTTCTATGCTCGTCTCTAACATCCCGTTAGCCCTACAATCACTATTGACAACGCGAACGATACTGCTCCCGCTTCGACGACCGCGTCGGCCTCTCCAACCGCAGACAGGAACAACACGTCTATCGACCCACGGGCGAATGCACCCATCGAAGGGAAAGATGGCCGCCCTGTGAGCCCTCTTAACCCCGGCACCCCTAGCATTAAGACGGGGGAGAAGGCACAAGGCTTTCTTTCTGTGCCCGGCGAACATCGATCAAGACAAAATTCGGTTGATAGCAACGATGGTGCTCGCTCTGTCAACTTCTCCCAGGGAGAAACCGTCGTCGCGGATAGGACCAATTCCCACGCTGGCCCCGGAAACGATGCGATCATGAATGATCCCGATGCTCTGAAACCGGATCAGGGCAAGGAAGAGGATTTCGTTGTCGAGAACAACCCATTTGCTTTCACTCCCGGCGAGCTCACCAAGATGTTCAACCCCAAAAGCTTGCCGGCGTTCTACAAGCTTGGTGGCCTTGCTGGAATTGAAATCGGTCTACGCAGCAACCGTGAATCTGGCCTTAGTCCAGATGAACGCCATCTAGACGGGACAGTCACATTCGAAGAGGCCACGGCTCGTTCATCCAAGGACAAGGTCAATCCGGCGGCGCAGTCGCGTAGCGGTGCAGCCGCTGGCGGGTCTGACGTGCCATTTTCCGATCGAATTCGTGTGTACAGAGATAACCGGCTGCCGGAGAAGAAGGGCAAAAGCTTCTTGCAGCTTGTGTGGATCACGTACAATGACAAGGTCTTGATCCTACTGTCCATTGCTGCAGTCATCTCACTCGCGGTCGGCCTGTACCAGACTTTCGGCGGCGAACACAAGGCTGGCGAACCTGCGGTCGAATGGATTGAGGGCGTAGCAATTATCGCAGCCATTGTCATCGTGGTTCTCGTCGGCTCACTCAACGACTGGCAGAAGGAGCGACAGTTTGCGAAGCTCAACCGCAAGAAGACTGATCGGGTTGTAAAAGCCATCCGTGCCGGCAAGACGGTCGAAATTTCAGTATTCGACATCCTCGCTGGTGAAGTTCTGCATCTCGAGCCAGGCGACCTCATCCCTGTTGACGGCCTGCTGATCCAGGGCTTCAACGTCAAGTGCGACGAGTCTCAGGCAACCGGTGAATCAGACGTCATCCGAAAGAGGCCTGCTGACGAGGTTTTCGCTGCCATCGAGGCCGGAGAAGATCTGAAGAAGGCAGACCCCTTCATCCAGTCGGGTGGCCGTGTGATGGAGGGTGTCGGCACATTCATGTGCACTACCACAGGAATCTACTCCAGTTACGGCAAGACCCTCATGTCCCTGGACGAGGACCCCGAAGTCACACCACTCCAGTCGAAACTTAATGTTATTGCCGAGTACATTGCAAAGCTTGGTGGCGGGGCTGGTCTGCTGTTGTTCATCGTACTGTTCATCGAATTCTGCGCGCATCTTCCGCAGAACACTGGCACACCTTCAGCAAAAGGGCAAGAATTCCTCGAGATCTTCATCGTCGTCGTTACTATCATCGTCGTGGCAGTTCCGGAAGGACTGCCTTTGGCTGTCACGCTGGCTCTCGCTTTTGCTACCACGCGTATGCTGAAAGACAACAACCTTGTTCGTCATCTGAAGGCATGCGAAGTTATGGGAAACGCCACGACGATTTGCTCCGACAAAACTGGCACACTTACTCAGAACAAGATGACCGTAGTCGCTGGTGCCGTTGGTACTCAGCGTCGCTTCGGAGGCTCCGAAACTGCAGCTACCGAGAAGTCAGCCAAGGAGTTTACAACTCAGGAATTTGCCTCCGGGCTCGCCGAGGATACTAAAGATCTACTGCTGAAGTCTATCTCGCTCAACTCCACTGCTTTTGAAGGCGACGTAGATGGGGTCTCTACGTTCATCGGATCGAAGACTGAGACAGCACTTCTTATGTTCGCACGCGAATTTCTTGCCATGGGTGCTGTCAGCGAGGAACGTGCCAATGTCAAAATTCTGCAGCTCATTCCTTTCGACTCCGGCCGGAAGTGTATGGGTGTAGTCGCGCAGCTGGAAAACGGGAAAGCACGCCTCTACGTAAAGGGCGCGTCGGAGATTCTTCTCGGCAAATGCACACAACTGCTCAAGAGCCCGGACCAAGATATCAGCAGCGACCGCCTTGAAGCAAGCGACGATGAGACCATCAAGGCGTTGATCGAAGAATACGCCTCACGATCTCTGAGAACCATTGGCCTCGTATACCGCGATTTTGAGAGTTGGCCTCCGCAAGACGCTCGACGAAGTGAGGACAACAAGGGTGAAGCTCTGTTCGAAGATGTGTTTAAGAACATGTGCTTCATTGGCCTTGTTGGAATCCAGGATCCCCTACGGCCAGGCGTTCCTGAAGCGGTCAGAGAGTGCCAAAGAGCTGGCGTGATCGTCCGCATGGTTACTGGAGACAACAAGCTGACCGCTCGTGCTATTGCCAAAGAGTGTGGCATTCTTCACGACGAGGGCATCGTGATGGAAGGCCCAACGTTCCGGAATCTCAGTAAATATCAGCAAAACGAGATCATCCCCCGCCTGCAGGTCCTTGCACGTTCGAGCCCCGAAGACAAGCGAATCCTTGTTCGGCGTCTGAAGGACCTTGGCGAGACTGTAGCTGTCACTGGTGATGGAACCAATGATGCGCCTGCGCTGAAACTTGCCGATGTTGGTTTTTCCATGGGTATTGCCGGCACGGAAGTTGCCAAGGAAGCTTCTGCCATCATTCTCATGGATGACAACTTCACAAGCATTGTGAAGGCCTTGAAGTGGGGTCGAGCAGTCAACGACGCGGTCAAACGCTTCCTGCAGTTCCAGCTCACCGTCAACGTCACCGCTGTCGTGCTTACATTCTTCACTGCCGTGGCCAACGCCAACCAAGAATCGGTGCTCACCGCCGTGCAACTCCTCTGGGTCAATCTGATTATGGACACGCTCGCCGCTCTTGCTCTGGCGACAGACCCTCCTCAAGACAGCGTCCTTGACCGCAAACCTGAGCGAAAGGGCTCCGGGATCATCTCGATCACCATGTGGAAGATGATCATCGGACAGGCTATTTACCAGTTGGCTGTCACATTCACGCTCAAGTACGCCGCGACGCAGCTCGGTATTTCCAACGAAGAGCCGTACATTGATGCTCTTGTTTTCAACACCTTCGTCTGGATGCAGATCTTTAACCAGTGGAAGTAAGTACCCCCAGTTCTGTCAACCATGATCTCCGGGCAATCTGGCTAACCCGACCTGCAGCAATCGACGCCTCGACAACAAGTTCAACATTCTCGAGGGGCTGACGCAGAATTGGTTCTTCATCGGCATCAACGTGATCATGTGTGGCGCTCAAGTTCTTATTATCTTCTTTGGCGGCATTCCCTTCTCCATTCCCACCACTACTGCCGAAGGCCGACCTCCTCAGAGCGGTCCGCAGTGGGGCATTGCCCTAATTTGCGGGCTGCTCTCGATCCCAATCGGCATGTTGATCCGTTGCATTCCTGATGAATTCATCCGGAAATGCATCCCAGCGTTCATCAAGCGACGGCGCAACCGGGTTCCTGGCCTTACAGTATCCGACGAGGAAAAGTTTAATGAATACCCAGAGGTATTCGCTGATGTCAAGGACGACCTGCGCTTCCTCAAGAAGTTCAAGGGCGGCCGTGTCAGCAATCTGAAGTTTGCCGCCAAGCACCCGAAGGAGGCTTTCATGTCTGCCGTACGGAGCCCATCCCACTCGCGGTCGAACTCGATGAGGGAGCCTCACACGCCGACGCAGGAGGAGCACCTTCCATCTGCTCTGACGCCCGAAGGCCGCTCGCGGTCCAGGTCGACACGGTCTCGATCCAACTCGGCACTCGGGGCTACGGCTGTCATGGCCGGCATCATTGCCGGCAGTGTAGGCGCAACGTGGTCCCCTGTCGACAAGCCGGCCGGAGAACGCGACTTCCCGCCCCGATCAACACCATCGCCACTTGCAAGCCGGGAAAACAGCCAGCTTGTGAGTGAGCAGCAACCAGAGACTGGTGCTTCCTCTGATGTACCAACACTGTCCGTGCCACAACCCCCTTCACAAAAGCACATTTCTTAGGTGGTCGGATGGTTGTTCCTGTTTTCACTTCACCACTCATCGAAGCGAGGCGGTGTTCCCTGGTTAGACGGCCTTGACAAGAGATTGTCCAGCTACTCTCCAAGACTTTCGACGCTCATGCCGGTTGATGCACTGTGGCAGATCGCCCTTGATGCCAGCGTCGACAATGAAGGGATGGAGCGAAGAGGGTTGGCCCAACAGCCAGCGTGACTCATGCTGGGCAGGGTAAATGCTTGCGTTGGCACATTGACCCGGCTCATGCAGCTAACACCCGAGTAAATACGACGAAGAGGCGCCCAAGATACTGAGCTATTCAAGTAGGAGCAGTCTAAGCAGAACTGCTGAGATGACATGGATTGGCGCCGGGGGGGGGGTGCTGTGGGGAGGCACCGAGGTAACATTCGCTACACTATGGATACCTTGATAATGCTGCACAGAGGAACGTGCCTTATTCTTCTTTTCCTTTTTGTCTTGCGCTCCTGGCCGCTTCTTCCATCCAGTCTTATCAACCTGGAGCTTTTCTTCTTTGTATTACGCACCAGATAGCGTGGTTGCGCCCCAATAGACATCCGTGGAGCACAAGTGCAGCAAGATGGCGAGAACGTCACGCTCGCCGCTATCGACCAAGACTGAAGATGTGACGAGTGCCAACAAGGTGCGCAGCTATGTTGTGTTGGCCGCGTGAGACTGTGGTTGCTTGGTTGTTTGTTTGCCAGCTCTGCCAGTGACTGATTGACGGGGGCGTGGGTGTGGGGGCCTCCTTCTGCCCGCCTGGTCACACTTTTACATTCCCAAGGTTGCACCTTGGACACGTCTGGAAGGGACTAAGTCGGAACCATGCGCGGCGGGGGTTGACAACGGCAGTGTGGATGAAATGTGGCAAGACACAACACTAGCTTGGCTCTGGCCTTGTCAAAAACCCTTCGAGGCTCAAGGTTCTTCTTCTTCTTTGGTTCACCTCAAAGAGAGAGATGGAGATAGAGATAGATGCTTCTCTATGTGCGGAACCAATCGCCCTGCTGACGGCTGTGATGGGGCCGTATCGCATTGATTGTGTCGACTTGCCAAGCGCAGCAGCAGGCGCTCGACAACTCGGGCAACCAGAGGAGTCTGTCAATTATATACAAAGACGGCCAGATCTGCTCTGGTACCCACCCACCCCTGTGTGGCTCTCTCCGTTGCACCAACCATCCTTGTCGACAACACCACAATTTCCATCAGAGTTGCCCGTCCACCACATTGACACTTGCTAACAGCACTTTGGCGTCTCGTGGATCTGGCCTTGCACTGCCCACCCCGGTTGCAGCTGCTGCCAGGTTTGGCCATAAGTATTGCTCTTGCAGCCTCTTGTTTGTGACCACTGCCATCCATGGCTGGTGACAACGACGCCCTCGGGAATAGCACTGGCAGCAACCACCCCAACGACAGCAACAGCCGTGAGCACATTGCGGCTTGCACCACAAACGGTGCCGGCACCCACAGCGCGCAAAGCGGCGCCATGCAGCAGCACGTCAATGAGGCGCCCGCGGTGCCGGTCAAGCGCAAGCCTGGCCGACCGCGCAAGCATCCCCTTCCTCCGGGCACCGCGCCTGTCGAGCGCCCTGCCGTCGCTATCAAACAAGTCCGCTCTTCAGCCAGCCCCGTGGACCAGGATGCCATCGCAGAGCTCGAGGAGCGCGTCTTGGATCTCAGCGACTCGTGGGAGACGGAATCTCTGTATGCCGATGCCATTGAGGACCTCACACAGGATAAGCAAGACCCTGGCAACACAGGTATGATTGACCGATTGATTGATTGATTGATTGAGCCTGCTGCGAGTGTCTCCTCCACGCAGCCAGCGCTGACCCGGAGCCGCCCATGCAGCCGTGATCCCCTCGGAGGAAGCAGCCGTCCTTCGCCAGCAGCTCCGCACGTTGGGTCCTGTCGAATTCTACAGGCGGCATATCGAGTCTGGCGACTATGCCGCCAAGCGCCTCATCACCGCTTTCGGCGTCAAACCACCCGCCTTTCTCGAGGGCTGTGATGACGATGCATACTTCCAGCTGCTCACACTTGCCATGACACGCGAGTTGCAGAAGCGCGTCAAGCTCGTCGAGTACAGCTCTGTCGACGACGCCGTCCGCCTCATCCAGCGCGCCCGCAACATCATCGTCCTCACTGGCGCTGGCATCTCCACCTCCCTAGGCATTCCTGACTTTCGATCCAAAGCCACAGGCCTCTACTCCCAGCTCGAGAAGATGGGTCTGGGTATCAACGATCCACAGGAGGTCTTCAATATCGACGTCTTCCGAGAAGATCCCAGCATATTCTACTCCGTTGCCCGCAACATTCTTCCCGACGATGCAAAGGTCTTCACGCCCACCCACAAGTTCATTGCCATGCTGCAGGACCGCAACAAGCTTCTCACCAATTATTCGCAGAACATTGATAACATCGAGGCCAATGCTGGCATCAAGCCGGAGCATCTTGTGCAGTGCCACGGCTCTTTTGCCACTGCCACCTGCCAGCGTTGCGGATACAAGCTACCCGGCCATGCCATCTTCGCAGAGATTAAAGCAGACACAATTCCCCGCTGCCCAAGCTGCATCGCCAAGCTCCGGGCGCGAGGTCTCGTGAAGCGCAAGCGGCAAGGTAACAGTCGCTCCTCGTCCCGCCGGGGACGTGGCCAGTCCGATGACGACTCCGATGATGACTACAACATCCCCACGGCTGGGGTGATGAAGCCTGACATCACATTTTTTGGGGAGAACCTCCCGGACGAGTTTGCCAATCGGCTCGCCGAAGATCGAGGTCTTGTCGACCTCGTAATCGTGATCGGCACCTCGCTCAAGGTTGCCCCTGTCTCCGAAGTCGCCTCGTTCCTCCCACCAAACGTGCCCCAGATCTACATTTCACGAACACCTGTCAATCACATCAATTTTGACATCGACATGCTAGGAGACTGCGACGTCGTTGTTGCCGAGCTCTGCCGACGGCTTGGCTGGGACTTGCAGCACAGCATGATCCCTTCAGACCAGCTGGTTCTTATCGAGCGAGAAGAAGGCTATGACAACCGGCACCGTTTCACGGAGATCAACCAGAACGTCATCAAGAGAGATGTGACTATACTTCCTGACCTGTCCTCGACAAATGCTTAAGCACACAAGACCTCTAGATGGGGCACTTCCCTGGCATTACAAGGCCCCGTCTTGTGTCATCTGCCTGGCGGTTCTGCGCTCGAAACTGGTTCCTGTTGGACGACTTCCAGGCCACTCTTGTCCCATGGGCGTGATTTGAGAATTGTTGTTGTTCTTGTCCTTGATCGGAGCAAGCAAGGAGTTATGGGTCCATCGCGTCAAGTTGGACTGGTATGGCTAATTTTGTGGCTTCTGATTCATTCTTTCCGTCTTTCCTGTGGTTTTGGTCCTGTCCTCACATATTGTTGTCTTCCCTCCTCAATCTGCCATGGACCACTGCTGCCCGTCGACGGCAGCCCCCGGTCTGGCGTTTCCTGGGAGCAATATGAAGGGAGGCGCCTCTGTTTTGTTGAAATACAATGCTTTTCCATGACGCTGCATTTTCGATGCAGCTGACGAATCGCCTGTGTGGACGCGATCCACGACATAGAAACTCCCACGCATAGCCAGTGTGCGAGAAATTAGAAATCATACATAGATCACGGCCGAACGGCAGCCTGATATTCAACCATTAATCATATGGCACCACAACTAGCGGCCTGTCTCCATTCATCAAAATGCCATTGCTTTTTGTGTATGGGTATCCCTCGCTTGCGACATATGAGCTTGTGATACAAGAAGCACGACGTACTGCCTCCCACTCTCGGCCACGTCTGTCGTCGACGGTGCCCGCGATGCTGGTCACCACTCTCCAGAATTCGACGAAGCCCCTCCAACTTTTCTGCTATGCTTTCTAGATCAGACTTTCGTATTTATCTAAACCCGATCCGCTCCCTCCACCGCCCTGCCTGCTCGCCTGCTGTTGTTGGCCTTGCGGGGTCGCTAACGCCGAGGCATTCATAGCCGGGTTGTTGCTGTTCATTGTCATTATGCTATTCATGCTACCACCCATCATGCTGTTCATGCTGCCCAGAGGCGCCTGGTTGAGTCCGCCGCCGTAGTTGGGTTTCACGGCCGGTTGCCCCATGAAGGTTTGCCGTTGAGGCTGGCTGCCTCCTGGTGGCGGAGGGAGGCTGAACCCGGAAGGCGTGGAACTGCTACTTGACGGAGGCGGGGGGAGGGAGAAGGACGACGCTGAGCGTTGCTGCTGGTTGTTCATGCCGAGACTCATGCCCGACAAGGAGCTTGTCATGCTGCCAAATGCAGATGGGGCGGCAGGCGGCGAAGCCGGCGATGTCGAGGAAGCCCATGGGTTGGCTGCGGCATTCGAAGTCGTCGATGTTAACGGGGCCCCCCAACCGAGTCCTGGCGTACCCTGCGCACTGTTCATGGCGGCTGGTTGCATCATGTTGTTGCTACTAGTTGAAGGTTGGAGGGGCTTTGAGAACTGCGTCGAGGTTGGTTTCAAGGTATCGAATCGGCCGAGATCAGGAGTCACCGTTCGGAAAGACGGTTTAGACGATGCGGGGGCCATTGTCACGGTCGTAGGACTCGGTGTCGACCATGAGAATTGTGGCGTGCTCGAGCGCTGAACGGGTGGCGAGGCGGTCCGAGCAGTACTTGGCTCGGCATCCCACCCGGCATCCATAACGTCTTTAGAATGGCTAGATGCCTTGCCCTTCACCAGACTCTCGAAATCATCGTCCCCAGTGCCGTTAGTGGCTTCAAAAACCGTGCCTGTAATGCCCCCGAAGGCCATGAAATCTTCATTCTGCGAAACAGAGCTAGCTCCATTTGTGACGCTGGAAAGCTCCTGGAGTTTCTTGATCTGCTCGTCTTCCACCCGTCTGGACAAAATCTTGATCAATTCCATGAAGGACTGAAACTGCTTCAGGTTTAGTAATGGGCCCAAGCTCATGCTCCATAAGACGGGGAGAACATCCATAGCCACGAAATCGGCATCTGCAAACTCGCCGACGACGCGGAGCACATTAAGCGCTGCCATCATCACTGCAGGCTCTTTCGTCTTGATGGCTTTGATCAGGGGAACAATCTTCTCCTGCATAGTGTATTTGTCCAGCGCGCTGGAGGAGGACGCCTTCTTCTTTTCAGGGCTCAACCCATCCAGTCCATCATCAGAGTCGTTTGAGCCTCCGCAAAGGATGACGAAGGCCTGCAAACCGCGAACTTTGATTGCCAGACTGTTCGTTTTACTGAAGACAGTTGCTACAACTGGAAATACTTCATTCTTGATCGTGGTAAAGTCGAGCACAGGAAGGATGACTGGGAGTCCACGCATCGCCACATCGACCAACGACGGCGTTGATGACTCGATGGCAGATAAGAAGATTGGTAAGACATCTAGAAATGAGTGCGTTAGCCGTGAACTCACGCTCAGCAAAGCTATCGCTTACCATCTTTGAATTCTTTGCCCGTTGTGTTGTCCGCGATAAGCTTGCCGTTCTCAAGCACAACCATAAGACCTGCATCACGAGCTGGATCTTTTTCTTGAGATTGTTTGGCATTGACAGTGAAGATCTCCTTGAGGCGCGGCCGCGCCTTCTCACTGAAGGCACGTTTTCCTGACGGCAAAAGATCTATGATCTTGAAGACGTTTTGCAAAATGAGGGACAGAAGGTCTTTGTCCTTTAGTTCCTCGAGTAAAGCAGGTAGTATCTTCTTCTCCATGACCGATCTCGGAAATGATGGCAGAACCTTATTCAGGCCTCGCAGGAACTGCGCCTTTTCGTTGGCTGTCTTTGCCGGGAAGGCGTCCAAGAACCTGATGGTTGAAACAAGAATGTTGTCAAAGTACTCGCTTTCCTGGAACTCCCGTGCTGTCATACGCTGGGCAGGACGGCGGGTTATGAGTCTAGGCAAGACTGAACTCGACAAATCTCGTGGTAGTGGGCGTGACGAGAGGAAGCTATTTGCAGAGGATGGAACTGTCGAGGACGACGTGAATATTCGCTTATAGGCAGAAATGCTCCCACTGCTCTCTATGGGAGACCTGTGGGGCGAGTTGTAAAGTGCAACACAGAGGAGCCCCAAAGAGAACATGTCGGCAGAGGTAGTGAGGTTGTTGTCAAGCACAAAATCTGGAGACGTGTAGTCCAGGTTAATCTGGACCTGGCGCGGGAGCCTAGGATCAATGTTGAGAATCTCGGACAGGCTGACGGGTTGCACGGAAGTCGGCTTCGTCGAATTCTCGGGCGGGCTGCAGAACGCGAGGCCGCTGATCTTCCAATCCGACTTGGCATTGATGAGAATACAATCCGGTGTCAGATTGCCGTGGACAAGGCCGGCGTTCTCGTGCAGAAACTCTAGGGCCTTGCTGACCTGCAGCAAACCCTTTTGGATCTCCAATTCATCAATCTCGAGTTCGCGCCGTCGCCGGACACCGTCGGAATCTTCGGTAACGTAGCGGCTCGATCGACCGCCGACGCCTCCAGCACGTTCCTGTTCGTCCTTGTCTTGCAGCAAACTGGCAAGCGAAGTGGTGACGGGCTCGGTGACGAACTGCAGGCCGCCACCGCGGGTATCTTCGACGGGCTCGACAAGCTCGAGCACGCTGGGATGGCGCAATCGGGCGAGGGAAGAGGCCTCTTTCCTGAGCCGCTCGACGACCTCTTCTGTTGCGCGCTTCAGGGCAGCAGCGCCCGAGCGACCGAGGGAGTTGCCATGGGCATCGAGGGATTTCTTGTCAAAGACAAAGACTGAATATGGCTTGTCTGTGGATTTCTTCTTGGCGTCGAAGATCTTCCAGGGGCCAGCTGACGACGAGGCCGTTGCGGACACGGTATAATTCGAGTTGATGTTGGACGAGAAGCTCTTAAGCGAGGAGAACATGGTGATGGAGGGGCAGCTTCGGTCGTGCGGGATGACGTTCTCGCTTCATGCCGCCCGGGTGCTGAGGCGATCGTGTCCCAATGCGTCGTCGTTGCTGCCGTTGTCACCGTCCGTGGAAGTGGATGCTGTCGAGTCGCCTGGGGCTGGCACCCTGACCGCGCCCAAGCGGGATGTTGTGCACTGGTCGTAGATGAGCGGGCGTGGTGAGCTGATACTCGTGGCTTTCGCGGTCGAGGTTGCGGCGCATAGATTGCAGTCAGCACCTGGCTGAGTTCGGCCTGTTGAATGGTTGCGCCGGATGCGAGTCCCCTGGGCAGCAACAGCTTTCCGCGATTGTCCCACCCGAGGAGCTGTCGCAGGCTTCCCACTGTGGACCCCAGCACCTGTACTGTCTGTCCAATCGAGGCAGGCTTGATTGGGCGCAGCATGTTGACATCGACCCCTGTAGCCACCCGCCCACCGTCCTCCGATGTCGCTCAAGGGTCCACCGACCCCAGACAATTCTCACTGAAGAGCCGCTCGTGGGCATGGCTTTCTCATCGCACCGACATTCGCTGCCCACTTGCGACGCCGCTCATCTTCTGCCTCTGCAAACCGACGAGACCCGCGTCCGGCCGCCCCTGACTTGGTGCTGTCATATTCTGTGCACCTACTCGGTCTCGTCACCTGCTTGATCCCATTCTCCTTCCTCCTCGTTAGCCCGTCTGCCCCTCGATTCGCACCTGTCCCTACCATACCTTTTCCGCATCGAGAACAACTACCTCCTTACAGATCATACGACTCCTGATCAGGCGTCCGAGATGCTGAGGCAACTTCTGCCTCGGTGCGCCAGCGCGGCGCGGGCTATCGCTCCTGCTCGGCCGGCTCTGCTCCGCCCGGCCACGCGCGCAGCAAGATGGTATAGCATCAAGCCTGAAGCTGCGTCGACAGCTAAGCGGATGGACATCGATGCCAGCAGGCTTACCATTGAGAAGACCAAGTCGCCCAAGGAATTGGTTGATCCGGCCAAGCTCGTCTTTGGCAAGGAGTTCACAGGTCAGACATTCAGCATACCGAGCCCGCAACGGCAGAGAAGTTGACCATTCGAACAGACCATATGCTCACCATTGAGTGGACGGCCACTGATGGATGGCTTGAGCCCAAGATCGTCCCCTACCAGAACCTCTCGCTCGACCCAGCCACGTGTGTGCTGCACTACGCCTTTGAGTGCTTCGAGGGCATGAAGGCATACAAGGACAAGGATGGCGAGGTCCGACTCTTCCGGCCCGACAAGAACATGGCGCGCTTCAACAAGTCGGCCGCCCGCATTGCCCTTCCGACCTTTTCTTCCACCGGCCTCATTGAGCTGATTGCCAAGTTCGCCAAGTTGGAGGACCGCTTCATCCCGAACCAGCGTGGCTATTCTCTTTACCTGCGGCCAACCATGATTGGAACACAGAAGACGTTGGGCGTTGGTGCGCCGGGCTCTGCTTTGCTCTATGTCATTGCTTCTCCTGTCGGACCATACTATCCCACCGGATTCAAGGCCGTGTCTCTCGAGGCTACAGACTACGCTGTACGTGCCTGGCCGGGTGGAGTGGGCGACAAGAAGCTCGGAGCCAACTACGCTCCCTGCATTGTACCTCAGCTTGAGGCCGCCAGCCGCGGCTTCCAGCAAAACCTGTGGCTGTTCGGCCCCGAGGAGTACATCACCGAGGTCGGCACCATGAACCTCTTTGTCGCCCTCAAGGACAAGGAGACCGGGCAGAAGGAGCTCGTCACCGCGCCGCTCGACGGCACCATCCTCGAGGGCGTGACCAGAGATTCCATTCTCGGGCTGGCGCGGGAAAAGCTCGCCCCTGAAGGCTGGAAGATCTCTGAGCGCAAGCTTACGATGAAGCAGCTGCACGAGGCGTCGCTCGATGGTCGTCTCATCGAGGTGTTTGGCGCCGGCACTGCGGCTATTGTCAGCCCTGTGCGCAAGATCAGCTGGAAGGGCGAGCTCGTCGATTGCGGACTGAGTGAGCACGAGGAGTCCGGCGAGATTGCGCTGAAGATGAAGGAGTGGATGGAGGCTAGGCAGTATGGCGATGAGGAGCACGAGTGGAGCTTCCGTTGCTAAGCATCTGGTTCGTTTCTCAAGACGCAGAGTTCTCTTTGGCTTCCAGAATATACTACATATAGTTGCATGGTAGAGAAAGACGCATAACGGCTAGCGGAATCAGATATGGTTGCATACTCTTAGGTACACCTGAAAGAAACAAAATAAAGTATCAATGTCCAGCATTCCGTCATTTGACCGCCTTGTTATGAAACCCAAAGTTGGATAACACGAGTAGCGACGAAGTGCAGTGTGTTGTGAAAGCAAACCAATGAGTGGGAAGGATTCATCCACATGCAGCCACCTGAGCAGTGACCTCCAACGGCAGATGAGGGGGCCCCTCATTCTCCAATACCTCGTGAAGCGAAACTCTATTGAGCATTGAGCAACGAACATTAACCTATGCATTTGAAGAGCTCTCCCCCAAAATTTCGTAACGTGAACTCCCAGAACAGAAAGCCAGCAGCTCCTTGGAGGGATCTCGTCGCCAGTCTCATTACACCAAGGTCTAAGGCAGACCGGCACAAGAGACATAATGCCGGGCTCCTCCCTCTGGCTCATCCCGCCGGAATCGCATCCTCTGCATGGCACAATCACCTCGCTCATCGCCTCGGTCCTGCCATCCAACTTTCCCACTGAAGCGGGTGGCGATGGCGGGACTAGCCCGGTGCTGTTCGCCCCGCACATGACCCTCACGTCTGAGATACTGCCCTCCACGTACGGCGGCGACAGCGGGCCGTCAGAGAAGGAACGCGAGGAGGAGAAGCAGCGTGCGCAAGAGTGGCTCGACACGCTTCCACTACCGCCGGCCAGTCATGTCCGCGTCAGGCTGGAGAGCGTGGACACGCAAGACATTTTCTTCCGGCGGTGCTTCATCCGCGTCGGGTATGACGGCGTCAAGGAGATTGTCGGCGTTGCGAGGGAGCACGGTGTGGTTCGTGGCGGCGTCGGCGGCGGCAGCACTGCGTCCAGCGGGCAAGATACACACGGTCAGCCCGGCACGATCTCGCAGACCACGGAAGAATGGCTTGCGTGGTGGAAAGAGGCCTACGGGCCTCATGTCAGTCTGATTTAGTCAGTGCCCCTTTCCGTTCTTCGGCTCATTCCCCTGTCTCCTCGGATCACAGAGTGCCTAGCAAGCAGTTGACTAACCATCCGATCTTTACGGAAACAGCGGCTCAACGCCGATCACCGACGAGAAGCTCTCGCAGATTTCCAAGACAGTTGAAGAGGCTGGAGTTAAGCTTGGTGCTTCAGCTGCAACACTCACCGACTCGACAACCGAGGAAGGTGCTGGCTGGGAGGGTGGCATGGTATGGCTTGTGCCGACAGATCGCCCGATCGCGGAGTGGAAGCCGATCGCGACGAGATTATTGTGATGGCAAGTTTATACCACAGAGCTTTAGGATGCATAAAGGAGTAAATGAGCAGACGGTGTATGCGTACAGGTTCATATGGAAATTTCAGGCGAAGTGCTGGCCATTCATTACGGGGTGACGCAGAGCTGGAGGCGAATGGCGGTAGCCCCATGCCCGCCATGTGTTCGTACGCGTCGCATCATGTCATTCGATGCTCGTTGTCGGACATGACAGAAAGGTATATGATCGAATAGAGGCTCCCTCGCCGATTGGTGGCTACCTGTCTATGTGAACAGTTCCTTACGCTCAAAACGTTCTGCCCTCCCTGCAGGCAAGAACGTGACCACAGAACCTCAACCCCTCCATCGCGACCCAGAAAGGAAACCCAAAGTAAGAAAGTTCAGTGCGCAAGTGTCGAGAGTGGTGCGGCCATGTACAGAGGTGAGTTGCTGAGCGGTTATCCCAAGCGCCTTGAGCCGCGCTTACGAACCATTCCTTGCCGTTTTATGCGGTATGGTGAAATGGTGCAACTCAACAACCCGCGACCGCGGTCCCAGCACAATATATATGGTTGACGACACAGGATTGAAGTATGCATTGAGGATTATTGTGCAAGTAAAAGCCAGTTATCGACATAAGCGTTTACTTCTTGGCAGGATCCTCAAGGATACCCTCGGCTTCTAATCTCCTCCGTGCCTCCTCGAGAGCCCAGGTTTGTATGCTATAGCTGAGGTTAGTTGTGTTCTTGATTTTATAGAGATGCCAAGTGTCATGTAAGAATTAGAGGCAAAGCGGTGCCACTATATCTCCGCCAAGGCAACACAGAGCTATCATGCTCTATAGCCACCAAGTCTCAAATGTGGCGGGCGGGGGTCCAACTAACGAGGTATCGGGCTTGAAACCGTACGCAACGGCGGCAAGAAGCAAGCTCCCGCAGAATCCGTAGAAAAAAGGAGTCTCCCAGCCCTCCTTCTGGTACTTCTCGCCGGGCTTGACACCAAAGAGCCAGCCGCTCGGGGGGTCGTATTGAGGGCCGTGGGCGCCACCGGCAGCTCTGGGGGTGGCGGAGAAGGACCGTGCGGCGACAGCAGGAGAGGCAGTCTGCTGCTTGAGGGCGCGCGAGGCCCGGACGGCGGTAGTCGGTCGGACGGCGGGCATGATAGCTGGTGACGACAGAGCTTTAGTGTTGGTGGTTGCGGTGATGTCGAAAGCCGGGAAAGATTGGGCCGCTGGTGCTGAACGATCTTCAGGTCGGCGTGCCCGAGCGCTGGTGATGTGTGCGCAGCGGATTGAGTGGAGATGGTGCTGCGGGCGATGGTTGTTGGCAGCCTCGATAAGCAGCAACGGCGATGATGGATGAGGTCGGAAGCTGCGAGGTCGTGGCCGAACCTCGTTTGGCGGATGAGGGACAAACGCAGCGAGTCACACTGAGCGGGCCGGAGAAAAGCGGGCCCCGCAGCACGTGACTTTCCATCTGGCCGGCACTAGACATTCGCTGGGGTCGTGCGTGTCCCCACAGGAGCAACTCTTCAAAACCTGGCGCATTTGGTTGCAGCAATTTCTTCTTCTTCACTCTACAACCACATTCTGCTTTGTTTTGCTTCGACAACACCACGCAGTTGGCTTGACATCCTTCCGCCTTTGAATCTGGTGGACGGAGACCAGAGCACCCGGATCGAGGCTTGCAGGATTCTGACGTCGTTGGCGTCTCTGTCTGCTCGCTCCGGGCTCGCTCACGATAGTGTAAGTTACCTTTTTCCATCTCGTGATTCATCACAGCCGCACCAATTCTACTTCGGTCGCCATGGACACCATCCCACGGCACCTGAATGATGACTACCTACTTCTAAGAACAGCCAACTGAAGTATAATGTTGATTCATACCACAATCAAGCTCAACAGTCTGACATTACACATGACTTTTCCATCATTTTATCGCACTTGCCATGCTACAGACGCAGGATGCTGACAGTCATTCTAGTTTTCATTTGGTCCTTCCTTCCATAAGGCGAGGCCAGGCACCTCACTATACCCCGGATGCCATAGCTCTTCCCATCTTCACGAACCATACTAGTAATGAAAGAAAACGTTTGCGCGTATATATGTATATCTGCCATTCCATTATCGTGCTGCCATCTCGCACAATCATGTGCTGCGAGTCCATCGACCTCCTACGTGAGCTTCTTGTACTCAATAACACCCTCGGCGCCGTCTTCCAAATATTCGACGCAGACGCTCACAACGTCGCCTGCAGCACCAATCTTGAATTCGGCCTTGGCAAACTGCTGGTTGAGCCTGTTTGGTGAGTGTGCAAACTCGATAAAGACGAGCCAGTGCTCGCCAGAGACGTGCTCAAACTCAAAGTCCATCTTCCACACCCGGTCGTGATGTGCGGCGTACAGCTCCCTTCTCGCAGCGGCGTCGCTCGTCGGCATGAGCCCTCTCTCGGCTCTGCTCCCGTTCTTGATTATGACCAGGTTCTGGTACGCTGGGTGGTGATATGTACCGGTATATGCATCCAAGGGAAGAGGCGTGCGCAGCGGAGGTTGCGCGCGACGTGGAAAGTAGTCGTTCATTGCAGTGTCTCGTGCCTTGAGCGACTTTGCAATGCCAGCCTTCCGCCTGTAGGTGCGCTGTGTCAGCTTGCTTGCCATGGACGGGAGAACCGTCAGAGGGATCACAACCACTCTGTCTTGCGCTGCAGACTTACCTGCCGGCCCAATCGAACCTCTGCTTCTGCGGCACCTCAAGCTTGTCATCAATCAACTTCCAGGCCAACACTGCCCCCAGACAATTCGCGGTGACGGCCGTATTCGCCATGGTGACCACGCCAAACTTGAGATCTGGGAAGAAGTACACCTCGGTGCCATAAGCCTCCATACCGCCCGAGTGCGCATATACCCGGTGGCCCCTGTATGTGCCTGCGAACCAGCCAAGCGCGTAGGAAAGGGGGCCGTCATAGCCATTTTGCTTGTCCGTGCTGCCGTCGACATTGGCCTGCATGATGATCCGTGGTGTCGTGATGGCCCGATGGCACGCCTCGCTCAGCGGGCCACTCTCCTGTAGAAGACACCGCACCCAGAGCGCGTAGTCGGCCACGCTGGACACGATGCCTCCAGCACCGCTGCCTCCCGACAGGTCCATAAAGGGGATGTAGTGATACAAGCTCTTCTCCTTCCGCAGCTCCCCTGCTCCTTTGCTCTCTACCTCGTGAACGTGATCGCCCCCCGCAGCAGCCATGTAATCCCAGTAATACCCTTCCGCCAAGCTCCCGGGTCTCGCCCGCTGCGCGTCCTGCAAACTGAAGTATGTACTCTGCATGCCCAGAGGCTCCCATATCCAATCCCTCATGACGTCTCCCAGCCAGCGGCCGGTGACGACCTCGAGCGCCCGTGACACCGCGAGGAACATGAGATTGCAGTAGCGGAACGTGACGCGAGGTTCCTGCACGAGCGGCAGATAGCGCAGGAGTCGGGTGTAGTCCCGGACATTTCCGCGGTGTTTTCGTTCTTGCCCTTTCTCTCCATTGCAGTGGACATCATCATTGCTATCATCTCTGTTTCTGTTGCTGCTGTTGTTGTCGGTGGTGGCGGAGGTGGCCGGCGGATACCACTCTGCCAACGCCTTGTCGTGCCTCGCAAGCCCTGTGCGATGACTCAGAGCGTCTTCGAAAGTGACGTGAGCCGTCGCCCACTCGTCCGAGAGCACGAAATCGTCCCGGATGACCTCCGACACTGGCGTGCGAAAGCCCTTTGGGAACTTGGCCGAGTACGTTGCTGGTGCCGATGCCGATGCCGACGCCGCCGCCGCCGCCTCCGTGCCCGACTTTTCCCCTGCTGCATCGGGGTGTATAATCTGGCCCAACACCGCCGCGGTGAACGCCTTCGTCGTGCTACCCGTGTAGTACAACGTCTCGGCGGTGGCCGGGGAGCCGACATCCTCACCCCGCGTCTGCTTCACATGCCGTGCTCCGTGCTCCGTCCGCTCCCCGTTCTGTGAGGCTGCCGGTCTGGAAGAGGGAGCAACGCACCGCTTCGGAAGTGCGGCGTATCCAAAGCCCTCGGCCCATATCTCATACCCGCCACCCCCCGTACAGTCGCTTCCGGCATAAATGCTGGCGCTGCCGTCGATCACCGCGATGGATATCCCCGGCACGCGCCACTCATCCAGTCCCGCACGCGCTGCTTCCACGAAGTCTGCCTGTCGCAGGGGATTATTTCTGCCTTGGTCGTGGTTTTGCCGCGGCTCGTGTTGCTCTTGTGCGCATCTATGCCGAGCCTCTGGCCGCCCTTTCCGCATGGAACCGTCCGTGCCTGCTCCTCGATGCTCGCCGTGCCGGCCGCCACGGTACGGCAGGTAGTCCTCGCCGCCTCCCATGACTGGCTTTGCGCCGGTAAGGAAATTCTCCAACGGTAGCTTCGAAGCAGATGTGACTGTGTAGACAGAGCAAGAGCGGGAGCGGCACACTCACAATGATTGTTGTTGTGAAGTCGAACTGCCTGTTGGACCAGTTGGGTCTGTTCGAACCACAGCTGCATGAAAAGAAAGGCGACAAACTGACTGCACGCTAGCCCCAGGGCAACCAGAGCAGAATAAGAGAGTGCGGATGCGGTGAAAGCAAGCAGCCCGGGATGTGGCTGACGGACGAAGCTTTCCCTCCGGACGCACGCCGAAACCCCGCCCCGAGCGCCGGGGCCCGGGGGTGTAAAGCCACGTGGGCGGCGCGCGCTGACAACACCGGGATGCAGCAACAGCCAGCCATATTATTCAGTGCTGCTGTGACTATTCCGTAGCCAAATATTCTCAGCCTTTGAGCACCACTATCACAAACAAAGCAGCAGACTCTCCGGGGTCCGGTATCGACTCTTAGGGTTGATATAAAGTTTACGGATTGATATCATTGAAGCGCGGGCAAGTCTTTCGGTAACCACGGTACTGTTCTGCAAATGTACTTGATTCGTCATGTTCATGTTCTATCTCTTTATCGTCCAATAGATACTTGAGAAGCGCTCGTCGAGCAGTGCAAGTCGCGGCTGGACGTCACTGGTAGCGGCAGCAGCTATGCTCCTGCACACATACGTCTCGATCGGTCCGCTCCTAGAATGCGGAGAGATGAACTGTGAAGGGACCAACGACTGTCGCCATCGCCTTTCGGACATACGTCCCAGAGTCAAGTATGACCGCATTCGTGTGGGAAGCTGCTGTCCCGAGCTTGCACAGCATCGGTCTGCAGTGGAAAAGATCTATCTTGCCAACTCCGCCTCTAGAGTCTGTCGTGACCATATCCTGCTGCAACAAACTCATCGTGCGGAAGACTAGGTGATCATCTGCAAAACGAGCATCAAAAAAGGTTGAACCATCAAACACAACAACAGTCTACAGCGTAGACAGACCAGATTCTGCTGGTCATGCTGCTGGCGGTGAGCCTCGCTCGCTCTCCGCTGCTCTGTCTTGCCAGGCCCTACTCCAAGGGCGGGCGCAACAGTGTGCCATTGGATACAAGCGGGCAAAGCGTCATGGTAATTTCGTCGGCGTCGTTAAAGAAGTCGTAAGCTTTCGCGCTGCGCGAACGGCGATATAAGAGATGGCAGAAATCCGGGCTAGAGGTACCGACACGGGTCATAGTTGTTCTATAACTCTTCCTCCTCCTCCTTGAGCTTATTCGCCTCTGCCGCTTCCTTCTTTTGCTGATCCGCAGTAGCGCGACCCAGGACATCTCCTATGGCTGAGGGGAAACCAGCTGATCGGTCCATGGAGGCACCGTCCACACTAGCCCGGTGCTTCTTCAGAGGACTGCCAACAGTGGTGGAGTCGCCATTGAAGGCTTGAGAAAGCAAGTTCGTTACCGAGTCAGGCACAGGCTTGCCACTGGAAGCTAGATCCGGAGGCGTAGCGTCACCTGTCGTGGGGTCGACGCTCGGCGACTTCTTGATGCTGTCGGGTTCGACAGAGTGTTGACGCTTGAGCTGTTTGCACGCGACTGTTAGCACGAACAATCCATCAAGGGATGAGTAAAGGACCGGAACCTACCCGGATCCTGTCAATGCCAGCTTGGAGTTCTCCGGCCGCCTGAGCGTCCTCTGGAGCCAGATGTGTCTTGACGACCTTATCGTCGTTATCATCCATCTTGGCCAAGGGGTCTGCGTCGCTAGCGTCATCGTCACTGTCTTCGTCCATGCCGCCTGCCGAGACGCCTCCGTTGGGCTTTGACTGCGACTTTCTGCGCCTCCGCGCCTCGGTCTCTTGGTCTCGGAATGCCGAGAATCCCACGGTACCCTCCTTCTTCAGAGGCCCAAGGTTGGAAAAGTCCAGTTGGGTTGATCGGCGCTTAGCGGCGGGGGTCTTCTGCTCTGTCTTGGACCCAGGCAGTATACCCATCTTGGCCAACTGACCTATTGTGTAGCAAGCGGGCTGTGTCAGTCGCAATCGTTCTTTGGAGAAATTCCGTTGCCCGTGCGACAATTAAAAGACAACTTACGAGAACCACGGTAGAAGAAGGTGAAGACAGCGTATGGCTTGTCTGGGCCGTCGATTCCAGTGACGGTCTGTGTGCTGATGGTCTTGGGGTCGAGTGTCTTGGGCTTGGCAAAGCTCGTGGTGTGCTCGACATCGGCATCAATGCCGTTGCTGCCACCCTTGCCGTCGTTGTCATCGTCATCATCATGAGCGCCGAATTGAGGCGAGTACTCGCCCTTCTTGATCTCGCCGGAGGCGATGACACGGAACATGGCAACCTTGATCTGGCCAGTAGCCTCTGGGGGCTCGTCGTCGTCGTCCGAGAGCGAGTCCGTGTCGGAGTCGTCTGGCGTCTCGAGCGGAGAGTTCTCGTCGGCGCCGTACGTGAGAGTGTCTCTTACGCGGCCGGACTTTTCCGCGGTGAGGCCGCTGGCATTCAAGGCGGTGGACTTTTGCCGGCGATGCCGCCTCTCAAACTTCTGTCTGCGCTTTTCCACCTTCTCCGCAGCATCGTGACCTTTGAGGTCGAGCCCGTTAAGCCACCTCTCGAGGCCGACCTCGCGGAAGAGGAACTCGCGTTCGGCCAGACCACCTCCTTCGCTGTCGGGAACCTGAACCCAACGGCTATTGACCCAAGTCTCCTCGCCTGGCCGCAGAAGCGTGGCAACTTCCTCCTTGGCACGGCCATCAAAGTAGATGTAGGCAGCAATGGTCTCGTTCTCCGAGTTGGTCAGGGGGACATAGGGCGTGACGGTACCAACGTGTCGAGAGGGGTCGGAGCTTGTGGAGGGCAATGGCCCGGCATAGATCGGCTTCGGGTGAGGAACAGCATCGGTCGGCTTGGGGGTCGTGTAAGGGATGGGGTGGCCAGGCGTCAGGAGCGTTATGGAGATGGCGAACTTGGCGGGCTCGTGCTGGGACGTGTCCGGGTTGAGCTGCGGCTGCGGCACGGAGATGTAGTTGCTGATACGTGAGAACTTTGACTGCTTCTGCATGCCGTATTCGGGGAGCGGGGCACCATTCGCGTGGATGCTCACCGCGATGCCCTTGAAGCAGGGCATCGTGGGCAAATGGAAGGGCGGGGGGAGGCGCGGCGTGCGTTCGTGGTGGGAGTGGTGTGAGAGAGAGAGAGAAGGGGTAGCGGAAGCGCCAGCAGGAGGAGCTGGCAAGACTGGACTGAACGCAGCAAGCGAAAAGGCCTGTGCGAAGAAGAGAAAAAAAAAGAAGTGTTGGGGGTTTGTCGGTGTCGTGAAGGAGGAGTAGCGGTAGGAGGGAGGACGGGGCTGGGCTGGGATGGCGGCGCGGAGCGGGACAGCGGTAGCGGTGACAGCTGCTGTTGCTTGGCCCGATGTGGGCTGCTCCGCCGAGCTGTGGTGTGCTGGCTCGGGGAGTTTTGCTGCTGCTTGTTCTGGCGGTCGGCGCCTGAAAGGGGTCGTGCAAGGAACTACCTACGCTAGAGCGTACAGGCGCCACTCGACAGCCTCTCAAGATCTGGTCACGTCGCGTGGGCTGTTGGGGGGTAACCTGTTGCTGTCCACGCTTTGATGTTGCTGCAGCTGGGACAATGGGGGGTCTGGAAGACAGTGCTACAGGACTCAGGAGTTGTCGGCTAAGAACTGGTGCTTCTACCAAACACTTAGAAGTGACTAAGGTACGCTATCAGTGTGGCTGGCGGACTTAATGCCCCAGACTCGTTCCCGTGCCTTCGAGACGGTCCCGGTTCAAGCGGGATGGGAAAGTTGTCGCCGCCTGCACTTTTGATGTTCCAGCACCTACGGAGCCCACGAGGCGATCTTCGACGCCAAATTGTGGGAGGGGTCGTCTCAGGCCTTGCTGGGCTGGGTGCCCAGGTGGGCGTAATGGTTCCGCATCGCCGCGATGCGGCAGTTCTGCCGTCAGGGGTCCACGCCACATTCCAGCCAACAGGACGCCGCACACCACGCGCGCCGACCATGTCATCCAGCAGTTTATTTGTTCACCAACCTGCATACATTGGAGCAAACACGTGTCCGCGATATGAGCCAGCTTCGATTCATTTGCAGGCCTGGTGTGATCCCTCCCAAATCCCAACTTGTCCTCAGCCTTCCAATTAGTGCCCATAAAACACCCTAGGCAGCTCGCTCGGGCCTCAAGAGTTCATGAAGACATCCTTCCCTTCTGGGAGGATCTCCGGCGCAGCGAGCCGGCACCCTTCACATCATGCAGTGCACTTCCCGTGCTTCCCGGACCTAGGTCCTTGAGATCTTCCTCTTCATCATCAGCATCTCCTCCGTGCCGAGACAGACCCGCCAGCACCTCGTCCTCCGCCTCCTCCTGCTTGACATCAATGTCGTCACTGCTGGCCTCCAGCTCATTCTTGACCTGAGCATCAGAGCCGCGGGAATGATCCGTCTGGCCAGCATAATCTTGTTGTGCTCGCCGGCCAGCAAGCTCGCCACCTCGAGAAACCCCCTTGCCGCCGTACTCGCGCTGAGTCTTTGGCTGCTGGTTCGAGACGACGTACGCGAGTGCAAGCCAAGCGATGAGGGTAGACACGATTTCAAACAGCCAGAAAACTGTGGTGCACACCACGAACGAGATGACGCGGTGGTTATACATGAGCCAGCGGAGCCCCCTTAGCCTTGCGACTAGAGTGACTGTTGCTGAGTAGACTTGTAGCGTCTGGCCGGCTTGTACATCTAGCAGTATCGAGAGTGGTAGCACGTCCTTGAAGTCAACCAACTCACCCATGGGAACAGTCAGGGTGACTTGCTCCGACGAGGGAAATATGATGTGATAGAGTAAGAACAGAAGGCGTGAAGCCGTGGACACGAGAGGATCTTCATACGGGATCAGGGCTGGGCGGCGAGAGGCAAAGACCACATTGCTAGCCGTGACGTGCTCATATGGATCCGAGGGGAGCCTGAAAGCCGAGGCAGGATTGTCAGGCAGGGACCGTAGAGCGTATAAGGCGACCATGAAGTTGCCACGCTCGAGATTGACTGGCGAGCGCGGCAGCGTCAGGTCCACGGTCACGTCGTAAGCTTGCTCCAGCATCAAGGTTGATGCCAGATCCGCAATGCCAAACGGGCTCAGTCCAGCACTACAGGTATAGTTAGTAGCAAGCAAGATGGCAAGACCGCCAGAAATAAGCGGCGATGAAGATGGACGGCCTACTTATACTGAAGATGAATAGGTACCGAGACGAGCTTTTGTGGCACGTAGTTGAAGTAGAAGACGAGGTACGCCAGCACGGCGATACACAGCAAGATGAATGAGGTTGCCAGGAACAGGATTGTCCCTAAATATGTCCTTCTAGCTGGGGGCGATGTTGCAACTCGCAGTGGCCGCAAAAGGTATTCCTGGACTAGATGTCAATGTGTGTTCTTCTCGAGGACGTGGGTTTTAATAAGGATTCGAGCGACCAAGAGAACAAGCCTCTCGACACATCACGAAAGGGGCAAACGTGTGCGCACCATTAGATGAGAGGCGTAGCAGCCCTTTGCTTGGGCAGCGTGACAAGTATTTAGACGGTTGTGGCTGACCTCCGATACGCGACGTGCAAGGAGAGCGTTATCCGTAGTAGCAGAAAGCTGAAGGCAGGGGAATCAAGTCGGAGCTCAGGCCTCGGAGCCGCCTTGGAGGAAGGACTCCGAAGGAGTATGCCAGGGATTGGGGGACCACGTTCCTTGTCTCACCTGCCCTATTCACATGCCAACCGCATCACCAGCTACTCTAGATGTCCGAATATTGACAGCTTGGTGCGAATTGCTCTTTGTGGCCGAACGTAGCGCCGATATCCAGACAAGACGGTGCGATGGCTTTGCTGAAAAGGGAAATGCAGCGTGTGGTCTCGTCCAGGGCTGTGGCATGTGACGAAAAGGCTCGACGATGTTGATCGGACAAAGGAGCTTGTTCGGGCGCCCCTCCACGCGACGACGCCAGCAGCTCCACTTTTCCAGCCGGAGCTGTCGACTTTGGAAACATAACGTCATGGCCAGTTACATGATGAATTCTTTTTAGCACCGCCAATCACGATACATGAGCCTCAAAAGGAGAATGCAAAGGTGTCACTGTCATGATTTCAATGCTTGGGTGAGGCACTTATCTTCAGTTTCTGGCTCTGATAAATGTGTCCCTCTCGTGAGTTCATTCAAGGCACAATAATTCATTCCAATGCGTTATACATGATACTAAAGACGACTGTTCGCGAGAAGGAAGTATGTACAATACATGCCCCTGACATTCCAAAACCGAGATGTCTCGAAGCGCACCGGGTTATAAAAGGTCGAAATCGCTTGCTTGAAGAAGTGTCAAATCAGATCAACATCTTTCTACACCAAAGAGCCCGACTTGCCGACGTTGCCTCCGCTATCGAACTGGTGGCGTTGCCCCATATGACACCTGCTCAGAGTGGCTGGAGATAGTTGCTAGGCACAAGCCCATTGCGGCCTTGTCCAGCTCCAGAGTGGATTTCTGCTTCCCACCAGCCATCGTCTTGGTGCCGCAAGACGGCTAAGGTATCGCCCTTGGCAAACCCCAACTCCTCTGGAATTGCTGCTTGATACAGGTATAGAGCACGCGCTGTGAGCCGACGAGTTAGTAATCACCGACGGCAGCTCCATTATTGTTTTAGCATTGTTAAACTTACCATAGTGAAGAATAGGGCGGCCTTCCGGAGTATACTGCCGGCTTGGGTCTGCCACGCTCCTACTTCTCTGCCGAGAACCTTCCTGGGCCGGGTCCCTCCCGTCATAAAGCCCCATGGCTCCCCGGTTACTTGCACTTGTGCCAGGTCGTCCGTTGCCGCGGCCACGGACAGAGCCTCCATATTCGCTGCCGGCGGATGACCCAAAGGCATCAGGTCCGATCGGAGCCAGCTGCACAGCCATGTCACTACCTCCCATGCGACTAGCACGGCTGGCGGGGCGGCTGTTCCAGCTACCACGATAAGACGCTGCAGGGGATGCCGACCTGATATCGCCGCTCGAGTTCTGCCTGCTGTAGCTCTGCTCTGAAGCCCGAGGTTGTGCTTGAGGCCTCTGCGACCTCTGCGACATCTGCGACGGCGCGCGCTGATGGGCATTGGCATAAGGGTTAGGAGACGCTGATCGAGCGGCTTGGCGCGTATCTGGGTGCATGTTGGGTCTCGGGGATGCGCTCCGCGGTGGCGCCGGCGACGCCGCACGTGGCACTTCTGAGTGCTTTGTAGGAGAACGAGTAGGTGGGGTCGAGTACGTGCTTGTTTGAGGACGACTGAAGATTGCCTGGGTCTGCTCTGTATACTTGCGTGAAGCTTCCTTCATTGCCTTCGAAGTGACAGCAGGTGGCGGGACACCGAGCCTCTGCACTGGCGGATCATAAGAAGGTGGAGAAGCCATCTTGGGCGTGGCGGCACCTGTGTCGGTTCTGGGAGCAGGAACTGACCGAGAGAATGGTCGGGTGCGCTCCGCTTCGGGTGCAGGAGTCGCAATGCCGTGATAGTGATCAGCAGAAATACGACCCGCCGACTGCTTCCCTGACGTTACCCCCTTTAGCTCAGCTAGGGCAAGCGCGATAGGATCCTGGTCTTCGACTGAAGAATCCTCTGTCTCTGCGGGCTTGTTGCGTCTATCTGTGTTGGACACCGCAAATACGTTTTGGCCAACATTCAGAGCAAGACTGGCGTTTGCGTCGATCGGATCTGGGCTAGCGGTTCTTTCAGGCTTCACATCACGTTGGGGCGTGATTTGGGGTGCGACTTGAGGTGTGATTTGAGGTGTAATTTGAGGTGTGATTTGAGGTGTGATTTGAGGCCGACGGGACTCTACCGGACTCTTCACAGTCGTGGGACCCCAAGTATTCCGATTCGGATTGCTCACTGCTTGTAGCTCCTTGACACTCTTCCTCCGGAAAGGGCTGTGGTTCTGGAAGAAACCGCTCTTCTTCTTAAGCATGCGCCTCTCGGGTTCAGGCGCTGGTGATGGCTCAGGTTGCTTTGTTGGCGATACTTTGCCACTCGCAGGCTCGACGCTAGACATCGAGGTCGGATTTGAGTAGTCGCTATTGTCATCACGACTGACTGGTCGAGCGGACAGATTAGAACTAGTGGCCGAGTTAAGCCCATCAGTTCTGCATAGCATAGTCATTCCATCCATGGGGTAAGGGTCATGGGGGACCGCCGAAAACTGGGAAGGGCTGTACGAATGCTGGGACCGCGCTTCAGGCCTGGGATCTTGGCTTGCAGGCGGAGCCTCGATGTATTGGGTAGCTTGTGCTGGACGCCTTGCCGATTGACTGTCGTACGGGGACTGTCGCGTCTCGCCTCCGCCTCCGTATAGGGACTGTCGCGTCTCGCCGCCGCCTCCGTATGGGGACTGTCGCATCTCGCCTCCGCCGGCGGCGTATGGGGGCTGCCTCACATCCACACCAGCTCCATATACCGGTTGACGTGTATCCGGCGCGCCGTATCTGGATTGCCGTGCCTCTGATGATACTTCTCCGTATGTCGACTGTCTAGAATCTCGGAATGCTCCGTATGGCTGCACGCTGTTGTTGCTCGGACGTGTGTCACGGAGCGGCATGATCTGAGCAGGTGAGGCCTTCTGGGGAGTGGCAGTGGCATCCCGGCTTGTGGCAGGGCTGATCTCTGGAAGCCCCATCTCACGAGCCAGAGCCGAGTTCGGGTCATGGTGTGATTCAAAGGTGGAGGGTTGCGGTGAAGACGAGCGGAATGCTGGGTTGATGCTCCGTGGGAACTGGGCGACCGAGTATGCGTCGTCATCTGAAGCCTCTGACACATGATCGTCAACGTCGCCGCGACAGAAATTGATGTACTTTGGCGGGTCTGGGATTTCCTGCCCAGTTCCTCTCTCAGTGATGAAGTTGACGATGTCCTTCTCCACATCCATCTTCTCCAGTGATAGCCTGATCTTCTCGCAAGATGCGTCGTCGCTCACGCAGACGGTTGAAGACACATTGGCAAACGTCCACAGGCTGCTTTTCGTGAAGTCGAGCCTCTCCTCCTCAAGATCTTGGAACTTGTCGGCTGCAGCCTTCCATTCCCGGTTCCAGCGTACGGTGGTGTCCTCCAGAGCTTTGACGGCATTCTCATACTCGGTGTTTGTTGTCGCAACGCTGATCTGAGTTTTCTCAAGCTTGGCCTTGTTTTTGCGCTCCTCTTGACCCATAACCATGTGGCCTTGAGCGAGATAGCCTTTGATCTTCAAACAGTCTTGTTCGTACCGATCACGAGTCTACATAAACTCGTCAGCCACCTATAGAATTTGTTTCTGCTGCAACACAGCTGGGACGACTGGCGCCTGAGGAAAGTCTTACCTTGTTGACAACAGCAGTTTGCTGCACTTTGATCTTGAGTAATTTCTCCACCGTATACTGCACAATCTTACGGCGCTCTTTCATTCCGGCAGCAAATGCACCCAGCGGTTCTTCCAGCTCGGTCTTCATTTGGGCAGCTATGCTGGCGTGCTGCTTCCCCATACTTTCAACTTCTCCTCGAACCGTGTCGAGAGAATGCTTCAGGGTGCCCATCTCCTGCGAGCCCAGTGACTTGCGGCACAGTGCCAGCAGTTTCCTAGCATAGTCTTCTTCGATAGCCGCACGGGCGCTATAGAACGACCTGAGCTCATCGTTGGTTTGCTTTGCTGCCGCCATCCGCTCCAGCATGGGAGCTACACCGGCGTCATCTTTGCCCCAGAAGTTGTTCGCAAACGACAGAGCCACTGAGGGCGCCTCCGTTGCGGCGGGCATCGTGGACGTGCCAGCTCTGGCGCAGTTTGATTGTTGACAAACAGGGTTGAAGTATGGCTCGGGGCGACCCGTAGGTCGTTGTCGAAGGCAGAAATACGTGCGGCTATCACGTATGCCTGCTGTTGCAGTGGGAAACTTCTGGCCCGAGGTCAGGGTGGTGTCTCACGTGGGCAGAAACCGAGGATTCCAAAGGCGCCGCCTCGCACAGCCCGCGCCGACAGGGAGGGCAGGAGGTGCCGGTGATGGCGAAAATGTCTGAATGATGGCCACTCCGCCCGAATGACACTGTCGTAGCAAAGAACGACGAAATCGTGACTCTCAAGTGTGTTGTTTAGGATCTGGAGCCTGGAGAAGTGTTGTAGCAAGCTGCAGTGTGCCATGGAGGGTCTTGCGGTGAAGAGGCGGAGTGCCCTGGGTGTTGACTCTTGGATCTAGGGTCTGGTTGACAGGGCAACGCCGGGTAACGCTTGGCAGCGAGTCGCATCCTGCCCGATCTTTGCCTGAGGTGGAGCTCGAGCGGTGGGGGCGGGGCCACCGGGTAGCTTACCTCCACAATTTGGTGGTGCGCCGCCGACAAGCCAATAGGTACACTTCCGGAGCTGTTGGATGGACAGATGACGACGAACTGCATGGGGCCCCCACACGTTTGTGCTTGCAGCAGACAACACTGGGATGACGCTGCGGAGTGGCTCCTGCATTCCTCCATTGAGACGCAGAGATCATGGCTGGGGATCTGATTGCGGCGTGTTGATGGTTCAAGAAGGCTGGCATTGCATCATCTTCCGCTCAAAAGCACGTGGGCAAAAATGCCACCATGCAGAAGACGAGCCGAAATCGTTTCTGGTGCAGCTCGCACATGCTCGTAGGGTAGGCATCTGCCGGCGGACTGGGTGCGCTCGAGGCTAACCGAGTCAAGCTTTGCGCAAGCGGTATAGAGGCACACTTGTTTGTCTCGAGCTTGTCGTCATGACCGACTGGCGGGCCACAGCAGCAGACTTTTGGGTGGTGCACGCCAAGCACGTCAGTCGGCAGCCTACAGTACTCGGGAGGCATGACGGGTCGGCGGCGCAACTTGTCCGTCCCACAGAGGTAGCAACTACTGTAATGCTGTCGATCCGCAGGCCCTGAGGTGCATTTCGCGGCCGAGAGGAGAACTCGACCTTCTTTATTCCTTCCTGGACGCCAGCCAACTCAAGTTTCCTGCTGTAAGCAAACAGACACCCACGAGACACTTTGCTAATCCCCGACACCAGTCAACAGTCAATAGTCAACAGAAGCCGACGACGACAACGGCGGCTCAGCCTGTAATAGCTGGAGGCCGCAAGCAGGGCCCAGACTGGACCGGCAACCTTGAAGCAGGCAGGGTCTGAGCTCCCCTGCTGCCAACGGCCCCCGCGCGCCTCTCGCTGCGCCTCTGCCGAGCCCTGGCCTCCTCCACTTTGCCAATTGGCCCCCCAGCTCTTGCTCGACTTGACTCGCGTCGCATCGTTTCTCCTCCGTTGCGCGAGATTCACCACGACATCGTACACCCGCGCCCTGGGCCTACTCGACCTCCCCAGCCAGAAGCTTCGCACATTCCTGCGACGCTGAGGCACCGGCACATTTCCAATCGTGCCCGACACCTTGAGCATTCGGGTTGCCGCCTCGGTAGCTTGCAGAGGATGTCGCCGTCCGCCCGCAACGCCAATGTCTTCCGCTTGAGAAGCGCAGTGCTCGGGCTGGCCAAAGCCTTGTTCTTGGGAGTTGCTGCAGCTGCTCCAACCTCCAGGATCACACCTCGCGACCACCACGACAATGCCCCCGAGGCTGAAGGTGGCGCGCTATGGATCCTCTACATCGTCTCCATGGTCCTGGTTCTTTCCGGAGGCGCTTTCGCTGGTCTAACAATAGCGCTTATGGGCCAGGACGAAATTTACCTCCAAGTTCTCTCGACCGACCCCGAAGAGTCGCAGCGCAAGAATGCGAAGCGCGTTCTCGATTTGCTCAAGAGAGGCAAGCACTGGGTGCTGGTTACACTGCTACTCTCCAATGTCATCGTCAACGAGACGCTGCCCGTTGTGCTGGACCGATGCTTTGGGGGCGGCGTTGCTGCCGTCGTTGGTAGTACCGTGCTCATTGGTACGTCTCAACCAGTCCTTTTCCGGCGCTGTTCACTTGGTCAAGCTACTGACGCCGCGGGATCTGAACAGTCATTTTCGGTGAGGTTTTGCCGCAATCAGTCTGTGTCCGTTATGGTCTGCAAATCGGAGGGTATGCGTCGAAACCCGTCCTCGCTCTCATGTACCTCATGTCACCCATTGCCTGGCCGATTGCAAAGCTTCTCGACTGGCTCCTTGGCGAAGATCACGGTACCGTCTACAAGAAGAGTGGTCTGAAGACCCTCGTCACTCTTCACAAATCCCTGGGCGAGATTGATGAGCGTCTCAACCAAGACGAAGTGACAATCATCAGTGCCGTGCTCGATCTTAAGCGCAAGGCTGTAGAAGATGTCATGACCCCGATGGATGACGTTTATACAATGTCTGAGGACACAGTGCTTGATGAGAAAACCATTGACGAGATTCTCGATGCTGGCTATTCCAGAATCCCCATCCACCAGGCCGGAAACCCGAACAACTTTGTGGGCATGCTCCTTGTCAAGATCCTCATCACCTACGATCCTGAAGACGGCAAGAGAGTCAGAGACTTCGCCCTCGCCACTCTACCCGAGACACGGCCGGAAACGAGCTGTCTCGACATCATCAACTTCTTCCAAGAGGGCAAGTCGCACATGGTCTTGATTTCTGAATATCCAGGCGAAGACCACGGCGCCCTCGGAGTCGTGACCCTCGAGGACGTCATCGAGGAGCTCATTGGCGAAGAGATCATTGATGAATCTGATGTGTATGTCGATGTGCACAAGGCCATTCGTCGCGCTCACCCTGCACCCAAGGCACGCGTTCAACGGAAAGAGAACACCGGCAAGGAGAACACCGCCGTCGACGACGACCAGGTCGAAACGGAAAATGATGTGATTGACCGGACTCTGGGAAAGCGACCAAGCCTCGTGGGGGAACGCCCCAGCCAGATCCTGTCGTCCAGTCCTAGAACTAATGTGTTGATGCGCCGCAGTTCCGCTGGGCACGATGGCCACACTGTCCGCGCGGCCGTGCCCATCAAGGCCAACTATGAGGAAATGCTGGACCACTTCAAGCATCTGGGTCCCTCGAACCCTGCAGCGAACCCTAAGAGCACCCGAGTTACAGCTGTCAAGATCAAACCAGGAATGGGCCATAATCACCGGTCCGACTCTGTTGCCACCGCGGAACACATCCCGGAATCCTCGCATGAAGCCGATGAACAAACAAGTCTCTTGCGACCCACAAACCTTGACGGTGCTGACGCCCCAAAACGACCCGCCTACGGCAGCACACCTACCGCAGGCGAGAGCTACGCCGATGCCGTCAAGCTCAATGTCAAGATCGACGAGGCTCCGAACGATACGTCGCACCAAGACAACTCGCCTTCAGGCAGCTCAAGTTCTGGCCGTCTCGGCGGCATCGAGCGGCGGACTACGAAGCGCCTTGCGAGAAGCGGAAGCATCACGGAGAACGTCATTGAGGCCGACGGCGTCCGCAAAGTGGTCCTTGAACTCTCGAGCTCTAGTGAGGGCGAAGTCGATGCCGAGGTAGCTACTCACGCCGAAGTCTCAATTACAAATGGCAATGGTGAAGGCTCCGGCTCGGCCAACAAGAAGAACAAGAAAAAGAAAAAGAAGGGCGGCAAGAAGTGAGGGTAAGAAGTGAGGACGAGTTAGGTTGTGTTGCGCACTGTCTGCTGTCGTCTGGTTATAGCCAGGCAGCAAGGTCTCTCGTTGTGCGTGCAGTCATACATCTCGTACGGCGTCCAGACGCCGGGGTCTCCAGAAATGTAATTGTCGGTGAAAGAAGAGCAGTGAACCCCACCATATTGGTAGCTGCTGTATGATCATCTTTATCCTCAAAGCGTCGTGGTTGAGCCATAATATAACAACATCCTACCCATTGAAAAACTAGTGCAAGAGTCCCCGGTGACGTGAAGCAAACGAATATTGTTTCTTTCGCAGGTGCAGGGCTTTTGTGCTCACTTTGGTGGTCTCCTGAGTGGCAAAAGAGAGAGCGCTGTTGTACACAAAAAAAAAAAAAAAAAAAAAGAGCGCGCCCTTCCCGTTTCGCCAGATCCACGCAAACAAAATCTTTCAGGTTTTCACGTTATACGCATCACGCATGGCAGCAATGCAGGTCAGACAGACAATTTTTATCAAGGAGTGACGGTAGCTTTTCGTTTATGTATAAGAAGGAACACAGAGTAAACCTATCCAAGTTGAATAGTGATAAGAGACGTGTGTGGCCCTACTCCTAGAAGCGCGGGTGGCCAAGTCTAGCTGGGATTTGGCTTTCTACAGGATGAGAGAAGATCGCCGTCGCATCCACCTAATCCCGAATGACGTCCTCTTTGGTACCCTCGACGGCCTTGATCTCATCCGTCGCAGGGTCCTTGGTCACCGACTCCTGCAAGATCGACTCGCCCGCAGTATTAGTCGCGAGGGTCTTGTTTTCCGACTCCTCAAAGGTGGGCTTTTCTGAAGACGCCGCCTCCGGCTCATGCTGTTCCGGCGACACTGGGACCTTGTCGCCCTCGCCCTGGTCGCCAACACTTGGTTTCGCTGTGGGAGGTTGTACGGACTTCGGTTCCAGGTCTGAAGGAGTCTCCGGCGTGATCTCAGTGACAGTGCTTACTTCCTGCTCCTTCTCCTCCGGATTGATCACCATAGTGCCCTCCTCGTCAATGCTCCAGAGTGTGTGAGTAATGGAGAAACTCAGCACAGGCTTGCCATGGGATACCGGTGGAGGAGTCGACTTGTCGCTCGATCCGGCACTTGATGATTTTGTCGGCGCCCGACGCTGAGGACCCCTGGCGCGACCTTTCCTAGCATCTGCCAGCGGAGCCTGCTCCTTCTCCTCCGACAAGTCTGCGGCTACGGGCTCTTCCTTCTTTGGCGCCTGCGGGCCAAGTTGGAGGCGCTTGTTCAGATCTGACATGAAACCTGCCTGCAAAGCGGCGATCTTACCACCGACCGGGCGAGCGGGCACCGCAGGCTTCGCCTTGGCTGCTGCTTCTGATGATTCGGTTGGGTCGGATCCTTGTCTGGCAGCCGGGCGGGCTGGGACCTGTGGCTTCGGACGCTCAGGGATGACGGGCTTAGCAGAATCGCCGGACCCCGTCTTCTTGGGCCGTGGAGGGACGACTGGCCTGCTTGATACGGACGCCTCGTCGGCCGCCGCCTCATCCTCAACTTCTCGTTCTGATTGAGGACCAGAGACTGTGGTGGTGAACTGGAGCGAGTCGGGAGTGTCTTCCCAGACATCGCGACTCGGGAACCGTTGGGCCTTGCCCTGGCGGTCGGTCCAAAGACCTGGACGTTCAGGCTCCTTCGGAGCTTGCTTATCGGACCACGAGCCACGTTGCGTCCGCCACAAGAAGCTGTCTGGAGTTCTGGATTCCTTCTCTGCCAATTCCTCTTGTTGCCTAGCGAATGCTTGCGCGGGAGTCTCGCCTTCCCGAGGAATGCCAAGAGGCTGGCCAGCTGGCCTCTGAGCTGCGGACTCCACCGCTTCGGGTGTTGACACTTCAGCAGTGCCGTGTACACTGTCGGGTGCGTCTTCCCAGATATCTCGGCTGGGGAAACGCTGGCGGATCTTTTGCAGCTGGGCGGCCGAGAGTGGGATCTTGTTACCCTGCTCGTCCTCTGGGAAGAGCGGTTCGTACTCTTCGACATCATCCAATGAGGTCGAGTGCACGTCCGCAGGTGGGGGACTGTAGATGCTGCTGGGTCGACTGCCAGTAATACTCCGGGGCCTCTCCATTTCGTAGGCGCTGCCCCGACGCTCGGTTGGCGGATCGACTGCGGGGTAGAGCTCATACTGGGATGAGCGTTTGGCGACCTCATCGGAAGCAAGGATGGGGGCTTCGTAGCCCTCTTCATTATCCACTGTAGCGGGCTCGTTCTCGCCGTACTTGAGAACTCCACGATGGTGACCACGATCCGAGACATGGATGACCTCATCATCGTCAGCACTTGATGCAGCGCGTCCGAAGCTGGGGCGGATTGGCGATGTAATATCTTTGGCCGCTGCCGAGGGAGGTCGCGAAAGGCGCGAGGCGTACTCTTCGGCAGCTTGGTATCCAACTTGTTCGCTGGGCGTACCAGTGTAGTTTTCGGACGGCGCTGCACAACCCTTTAGTTAGAAATGGGGACATCGTTCGCAGGGCTCGACGGAACTTACCTGTCGCTTCGCCACGGACGATCTTGTTAAGGTCTTCGCTACTCATAGAGAAGTCTGTGGGACGGTCCTGAAGATATTTGTAATGCTCCTTCTGCAGGAGCTCAGGGTGCTTCTCGTAATAGGCCTTCTCCAGCTTGTCTGATGGCACAACGCCATGGCCGTGCAGGCCATAGCTCCCGGGTGGCAGTTCATTGAAACCGCGCGAACTACGTTTCCTGTGGTGGTTGCGCTGACCGGGAGTGCCAGGTGCGGTGCCAATGGCTCCAGGAGCAGGTGACGGAGCCTGGACGTCGCCAGCATGTGGGTACATGGGGACCTGGATGCCAATCTCTGGAATGCCGCCATCGTCATCGTAGTGGCTTCCCTGGGAAAGCTGGCTGGCAGTGCTGGCCTTTTTCCTGAGGGTGCGAGGAGGGTTGTGCTGGTCTGTGCTGCTTGGGCGTCCGATGCCAAAAGCAGCGGCACGATCCGAGTCGGTACGAGTGACCTGAGCGACTCGCTGCTTGGCGCTCTGGGCGGGCATCGTTGGCTTGGGAGCGTGGAGCTTGATGTCCTCGCCAATGGTGCGAGTCTGCTCTGGGGAGGCGGAGGACTGGCGGGTGAGCTCCTCGCCTCCATCGTTGTTGGCTCCGTAGGCGGCGTATTCGGCACCTTCTTCGCCAGGACCCATGTTGTCGAGATCCGTGGTTGACTGCGAGGTAACCCCAAGGGAGCTGGGAGTAAAGGTCGCGCTGAGCCGGTGTGATTTGGGAGGGTTGAAGCCCTCGTTCAAAGGCGAAGGGGCGAACCGATCTGGGTTGGGCGAGACAGATCGGAAGCGATTCGGCCGCGGGGGAATGCTGGGCGTGCTGCCAGCTGTGGCCGTAGTGCTGGAGCTGTCATGACTCCTAGAAGGACGCGGCGGGATGGCTGGCGTAGACTGCATTGTGGCTGTTGACATTGTTGAAGAACGAGGAAAGCAGAGCTGCAAAGATGACAGTGTTGTTTAGAGGTTTGGGTGGGATGGGCGCTGCGAAGCTTAAATCGGTGCAGGCCAGGGCGATGATGTATTTGTGGTTCCGCTTTCCTAAACCAACGCAGCAATCAAGGTTAGCAACTTTGCACAGTCAAGCCTCCGACCACAAAATGCGCGGCGCAGCGGGGGCACGTCTGAGCACGATAGCACGCAACGCCCGCAGGAGTCAGGGCTAGCGCTGGCCAAAAGCCCGACTTCTGTTCTGGCTGCGTCGGGTCTGGAGGGGGATCTTGCGAAATCCCTCAGCGGTGGTCTTGCTCGCCGAAGGAATCTTCCGCACCGCCAGGATTGGCCACGGGCCTGGCCTCGTGGACTGCAGGACCAAACAGGCCCGTTCCTGGCCGGTCCGAGGCCTCCTCCCAAGGACGACTTTATCCCGCAGGGGTGGGCAGTGCTCAATTGGGGTTGGTGGTGCGCGGCTAGAGCCATGTAAGGTTGAACTTACAGCGTGGACAACTTTGTGGTGGGCGGCTTTGCCAGGACGCAAGACAAAGCTAATAATGGAAAACCGAATTCACCGTTATCGGCTGTGCTGGAGGAAGCACGGGAGATGGAATCTATTTCTTGGAAATTTAGCATTGGTCACTGAAACTGGACACACAATGACACAAGACACACAAGGCAAACTCGAGGAGAGCTCAAAGTGTCCGTTCCCGGCTGTTTGTGCAGCTAGTTTGACGCTGATAAGATGCAAGGGTGCGCTTTGCGAGCGAGGCGAGAAAAAGCCTTAGCCGACGGCGGTGTAGGGGCTCGCTTCAAGGGACGGGCAGAGGGTAGCCGGGCGTTGGTTGGGTGTTGGGAATGCAGCCGATAAGATCAGCCAGGCAAGTGAGGATACGTGGAGGGGCATCGTGGCACCGCTGGCGGCGCGGGTAGCGGCGGGACATCATGGGTCGTGAGAGGGACAATTGCGAGAGCACACCACTTGTAGCTGCGGTAGCCTTTGGCTCTCCCGGTCATAGGACAACTGGCAGAAACCTGAAAGAAGGAAACCTGTCCATGTTTCTGTCAACTGTGACAGACTGGGGAGCAAGACTTGGTGGGTGCAGCTTCGAGCGCAAGAGGTATCTGCGAGGCCCGCCAATGACAGGCCTCTCAATTGAAATCGAGAAGGGGAAGGCCCTGAGATGGAGGCAAGTGGATGTGTGCGGTGTACTGGGACAGCAACGCTCAGTAACTTACAATTGAGGTTCTTATTATGTTTGGTCGAGCAGATTTGTGGTCTGGCGCCTGCAAGAGGATCGATCGCACGCGGGGTGGAGATGGGTGCGTGTAAGTGACGAGTGAGCAATCGTGGGGAAGCGCCTGCGTCGAGATGGTGTTGCAGTCGGGAGCAGATTGTCAGAGTGGATGAACAAAGGGAATAATAGAACCAGGCCAAGTTCTCGAGCAGATCGAAGATGGGCCAGCAAGCATCGTCGTCATGTCACCGGCGGGGGCGGGACGGCCTCATGACTTCTTAAATGCTTCTGCCAATCGACACGGCCACCAGAGCAGGAAGCTCGCTCGTCAAGTGCGGGCAGACAGCTTGGGGCGAGTATGTACCTTGGTATCGCAACGTGTGCCGAGGAGGGGCCGGCACAGTACGCAAACCCACTTCTTGGCTCAGAAAAAGGTCAGCCCGTATCCCTGTGCTCGCAATCCACCACAGCATCCACGCAACCAACCCGTCACGTTCGCCATGCCAGCCGAGCAAGTCAGGTACACGAAGCACCTGAGAGTCTGGGGCAGCTGGCTCGACCATCGCAACGCTAAGACTTCACCCTGTGATACAAGCAGGGTTGGCAGCTCCACAGCATCTCGATACAGGACGGGTACGAAGACTGGTCGCCTCATAACGTCAACGTGTGGCTCTCAAACTGTTCGATTCTAGCGTCTGCAGCAGACTGACTTGTGCCTGGCGGAGACACAACAGCCTCGGTAAGGCCGTTACACCTCGATCCAGCGAGGCTACTGTCGCGACTCAACAAGACAGTCATGATCAGCAGGTCCACGCTGCCACCTGCCATGGATCCGACATGCCTTCTACGACGCTCTGTGAAGTCCGTGTCCATGTCCATCTGGGCCCGGGCCTGGCTGGGCACACCATTGTTATCGCTGCCTCGTGATATCTCGAGACTGATAAGTGCTCAAAGAGCTTACAACACGCACCCGGAATCGAGCCAACCGCAAGGCTTATCTTGGATCAGTCAATGCCGGACCCTCTTTCCGCGTCCATGAAACACGGCTGGACGCAGCGATCAGGGTCATTGCTCTTTGACACTGTTGAGCATGCTCACCTTTTGCGAAGTGCTGAACATGGCCCTTGAGAGCTGTCGTTTTCGTCTCTGGGCCCCAAACATGGCCAGCAGGCTCTTTCTGCGGGCGGGGGTGTTTGTCCCTGTACCTTCCAAAGTTCGTCTGGGCCAACCTTGGAATGTTTTTGACGACCGGTTCCGTGCTGCAAGGTACAACAAAAGTACGTACCTAGGTACTTATACGGGCTGGATGAGAGCATGCAATACAGCTGGGGCGGTGTGCGAACTCTGGCCAGACATCCACAATGAAAACCAGTCGAGCTTATCGCGAGTCCGGCCTTGGCCCCTTTGAGCAGGTCCAAGCTAGCAAAAGCTGAGTCCAGATCGGAGCAGAAATGCGCAGTAAACGCTGGCAGCATTGTATTCATCTTACAATGGGAAACGCGATTCTCGCCCCCGAAATTGTATCAATGCTGACATGGCGATTCCGAGCGCCTCTGCAAACTTGTGGGGGAAGATGCATCTCCAATATCACCTGGCCTGGCCACTCGCTGGCCATTGGCGTCCAAAGAAGTCAACACAGATGACAAAACTGCGCTCGATGGCTGGCATGGCGTAAAACTTCGACAGTCAGCCGACCCCACCGCCAGCAGGCTATACCCCATGAAAACATGGAGACAAGCCTGCAGCCAAATTTGGCAGTCACCTGATGGACCAGAACCCACTGCTCATGAGATTACCAGGCCCGGCTTCAGAGACGGGTTTCCGCGCGTCCTGGTACAGCTTTCACCGCAACAACGGGCCTGGCAGGGGCTCATGTCGGCTGGCGGAGAAGACGGGTGTCGCAACAGCCAGTCTCTGTCTGGGCAGCATCCATTCGCCCATTGTCGAGCACGTATTGCAGATTCTCCTGCATATTTGGAGACTGCCCCACACCCCTCAATGAGCCTCGCCAACGACATGGCGAGAGCTGATGCAATAGCAGCGCGCGGCTTCGCAACCACTGTACGGTAAGCCCCAGACCGTGTTGCACTGTGAGCGTGGGCCGGTTGCTTACTGTGCCCTTGGTAGCCCAGCGGTCCCATCGTGTTTTCCGTCTCTCCCCACCAATGACGCTGACGGTGACGCTCAATGGTGCTGCCAATTCGTCTCACCATGATTTCTCGAACACGGCCATCCGAAACGATTCAAGCTTGGGACAGCTCTTGAAACGGCCCAAGATTAGAAACTCCGAAAGCGCTCATCCTGGAAACGCGCTCGATACTTGGACGATTCCGTGACAAGTGGACTAGCCACGACCCAACCCAAACGATTTGCTCTAGAGTGGCTAGAGGTCTCAGGGTTCCAGACCTGTGGCGCTCAGCGATCCCATCTTGAGCTTCGCACCGTGGCACGAGAATGCTGACTTTTCTTTAGCGCTCAGCAGGAGACGCGCTGCTTCGCTACGCCGCGTCGCCCATACGCCTCCAAATGCCAGCCCTGACCTGGGACAGATGTTCTCACTGTAATAGAGGGGCAGCGCTTCCCATGAGCGTTCAGCAAACCTAACTCATCAAGGTCTTGCGAGCCGGCGAGGCTTCGTTGATTCTCGTGGAACAGGAAACTGCACTGCACTGGCGGGTGGGGAGCGTGACCCACTCCATGAACGCATCCCACCCACCATGACGGTTGCCAGTGGGAGGCTGCCGCGCGATGACAACATTATGGGGGGGGGTTTGTCCCTTTGGGATGGCATCCGACTACAACTATTCAGGCATTCCTTGTCCAGTCCATTGCACGACTACCCCCACGGAGAAAGGCACAACAGCATCGAGATGGCAAATCCACCAAAGTGTCTGACATATCGTGATTACGTATCGTGAATAGTTTGTAATGTCCATGCTGGGCGTGGCTGAGCACGACAGGCCGTGATGTTCTAACGATGTTGACGACATCTGCAACTAGCCTAATCTAGTAACGACAGGAAAGGTCAAAAAGCGAGATGAAGCTTCCCTACGCTTGTAAGACAGCATCTTCAACTGGTCAATCGTTACGTAAGTGGTAACACCCACTGTAGTCAACCCTCGAAGGGCATTTTGAGCCCAAAGATGCGGGCTCATGTTGCATAAGCCTGTAATAAATGGCTTTGAACCGGCATTTGCCTTTGGAGCCTTCATTCACACAAGACACAGCTCTTGTTCATCGAACAGAGAAGCAGGCGTAAGCATCCCAAAAAACAACAAAAAACAACAAAAAAAACAGAGCAACGATCTTGGCTGCTAGCGTCTCGTACTGGGCCGGATTACCTGCGATGAATCAGTCGGAGATCTCGAGGTGCTAGTTCAGAAGAGGAGAACACCTTTCCCCGGATCAGCAAGGCCCTACCCCCCGGATTCCCCCGCGCGGCGGCCGCTACCGAGCGCGCAGGGATTGGGGGGTGGAATGTGCGAGATTGCGACCAGCGGACGTCAGGATCGGACTAGAACCCATCTTCTGGAGACAAGTCTCCGCTGGTCCTTGAATCGTGACGTGACCCCCTGTGTGCTCCTTTTCGTATCACGGCAGGTGACTGTTTCATCTTTGCTACTATCTTGCGGATGGCACAACTAAAGCTACGACCGATCGGCCTGCCTATGAACTACATGTTCTTTCGTGATTGACTTGCCTACCAATGGAGTTCATCTTCTCACTTACTCAGCCCAGCAGGTCCTCTGCGGCGGCTACTTATATTCAAGTCCTCATCTTCGGTCCCCATAGTTCCAGCGTCAAGAGTGCTGTGCGAGGGCGAGGGTGAAATGAGATGGATGCTAAAGTCCTATACCTGCTAGATCTCGAGGCTTCAAGTCCACGTCGTCGACATGCCCAGCCTGTCAGTCACGACTGCTACCAATCTGCAAAGCCCATGCCTACGAGACCAGAAACTTGGAGTGACAGGTTGGGCACTGGCAGTGAGGGAATGTCGCGATGGCAGATCAGCAGATCAGCTGATCACAACCCCAGATTTGCGGTCCCAACGCATGTAGTCCAACCTCGCAAACATCCTGATCCACGAGCTAGCTACATGGACAACACTCGTTTGTTTGTAACTACTCAGATGAAGATGAGATGAGATGAGGCCAAAGCACTCTCGGGCGGTTTCGAATTATTTACCTCATGCAAGTTTCGTGGTAGGCCAGCTAATCCCGGTGTATGAGTTCAACTAGAACCCATGGCACAAACCGAGTTGGAACCGGGCTCGTGGTAAAAGTCTTCCATGCCACACTGAGACCAATGAAAAATGTTTCACGACAAGTAGCCATGGTTTCTTCGGCATCTCCAGACATGGACAATCATGGAAACCTTTCAGCGCGGATAGCAAATTCCTCTGTCATGCTATCATCAATCCCCCTGTCGGCCAGTTGGCAAGTCGGTCAGTCGACGCTTCCGACTTGCTCATGCCCAGTATGTTGTCTCCAAGCTCGAGTCCTGTCCCGCTGTACACAACAACGTCTGATACGAGGATCAATTGTTGACCCAACTCGACTAATTTGACAACACTGAAGTTGTTTCTAAATGTCCACCACACCCGTTTGACGGCAGACTATAAATTCTCCGGGTGTGAGACGGGAGTAACAGTGGTGAAATAGTGGAAGACTGTTCTCGGGGAGGAAAAAACAAGATCTGCATGTCCGCGAGCTGCGAACAGTACTTGTCGGACTACCACATTAAAAGCCCAGGGGCAGCCCACCAAGATTCTGGTCTTCATTATCTCCGAAGAGACCGGACCTGTGATAGCAAGCCGAGACTACGGGACGCACCTCAAATCCTATGCGTCTTGTTGTAAGCTTGGGAATGGTGGGAGTGGTGATCGCAAGTAAAAGCACTCCTGGCATGTGCTCCCCTTGACTTGTATCACCACCAGGACGGTCGAACCCTCGCGGGGCTCAGATCACAGAAGCCTCATCCCGGCTGGAAGAAGCGCAACAATGACATTCACAGATGTCGACAACATGGCCATAACCACATGAGCAAAGCCATTCTTAAAACGAAAAACCAAGACCCATTTTCATCGTGAGAAGTACATGCAAGGTACGAACACCATTGTACAGGAGTCCAAAAGCAACCCTCTCACTTGCCCTCCACTTCTAATTCTCAAAGCTCGACGCCGTACTCCAGACAGGTCAGGGGACCGTACTATGCGCCCCTGCTCAAAGCAAGTTTGCCAGGGAGGATATTTTGGTTTCCACACATCATCAACTTCGTTTCCAGTCTGCCTGAAGTCCCATCGCTTCCCAGCTGGGTTCTTCCCATGTCGGCCAAACCCGGCCACCCCGGCCAGGAAGTTCGCACCTCCGATTGGTTCGTAGTTGTTTGCGCTTGTCGTAGTCGGCTTACACAATCATCTGGGCGACACCCTGGCCACCAAGAGTCTTGCTGCCAACAAAGGCCTGGCCCTTGATACCCGCCAAGAGGTAAAGGACGGAGGTAATGGTGAGGAAGACAGCAGCAGCAATCAAGCTCGACCTGGCAACGAGCAAGCTGAGCCACTGGACAAGGGCCATGACAAGATACGCTGCGGCGCGCATGTAGTTGGTGGTGATCTTGCGGACAACATTGTCGAAGGAGGCCGATGTCGGGCAGATACGGAGCAGAAGGGGCACCTCAAGGAAGAGAATGAAAAATGACGAAATCCTAGCGCGAATGTCAGGGTCCTGCGCCGCAACAGACGCCGGGGTTCGGAAGCACTTACAAGCAGATGATGCTAAAAGCAATCAGGAGGAGAGTGATGGTGATCAAGTTGGCAATGCCTAGGGCAAAGCACAGGATCATGCAGAGAATTCCGCACCTAGTTGTATGTCAGCTCAATGTCTCTGTCAAGCGTGCCACGATCGTCGTTCGCTGTGTCCCAGTCGATCGGCCGGCAGACATCCTCCGCACGAGGGACGGTGCGTCGAGCGCCTTGGGGTGTTGCGCACGCTGCGCCACATGGCGAGCTTTGGGCCCGTTGGTCTGCGTGGAGGCGCGTGCTGACTTTGAGGATGATCTCGATTGTAGGCTGCTTACCATTGAGCATAGATGCCTATCGTTCGATGCGGCGTTAGCTAGGTACGATAGTACAGAGGGGACTGCTAGATGCTGGGAAGGACGTACTGAAGTTTCTCGTGGCGAACTCGTCCTTGAGACCCATTGTGCCGGTGGTGCGACTTTGTGCCTTGAGCTTTCGGGAATTGACGGTCGACGGTGCGATGGGAGATGTGGTGGAGTGCGTAAGCTCCGGAGCTGGCAGCGAGAGCTATGGATCGCCGGGTGATTGGCGGGGAGCGGACTGATGCGCGGGCTTTGAGATGGCGGCAGAGACGTCGAGATGGTGCGGGTAGAGGGTTGGAGATTCGAGAGCAGGCAGGAGAAGAGTGTCCAGAGTAGGGTTCGGGAAGAGCTGCGACAGTGATGCTGGCTGCGATGGGGACGACGTTGGGGCAGTCAGCTCTGGGGTCCGACTAGGACGTGCGCAAGTGCGTGGAGAGGGTCCGGGCTGGTGCTGCTTGCCGTGTCAGGTCAGTTCTGTACAGATGGCCAGTTGTGCAGAGAGCTTGGGTGGGGGGGCCGGCCCTGGGAGCCCTTTGTTGGAGACACCAGCCGCCGCACCTGTTCCCCAGCAACGCCGCCTGCCTCCTGCCAGCCCCAGCGTTCCTGCCAGGGGTCGGGTCGGGGCAGGATTGCGACAGGTCTCTGCTACTGCCTTCAAGCAGCACAGGCACCAGACTCCGCCGGGTACACTGTACTTCTCGTCCGCTCAGGAAGGCTCAGTCAGGCATGTTTGCTGCGCGTTTCCACTTACAGAGCTTCGGTTCAAGGTTGTGGCCGGCTTGTCCTTTGATGAATGAACGCTTGGTGGCGCAGCGCTGGGCATGGATGACACAATCGTCTTCCGTAGTAAGACTGGGCTGTCCTTGACTTTAATAGCTTGCGAAGCTGAGGCTCTCCAGGCACCCAAATAAACACCAACCACACTCACTGAATATGGAAGAGTCCCAGACGTGCCACGCTTAAGCTGGTGCCTTCTGCGTGCATCTGTACATGGCGTAGGCAGGAACCGGAAATGCGGCCCAAGGATATCGAGATTACGAGAGCTCTGACGCGGCATGGGCTGTGCAGGAGCAGGGGTCGGCACCAAGCAATCGATAGCTTTGTTGTTGAGGTGACATGACAGTTGTAGCCAATACCATTGTCCTTGGCAAGAAACAGGACACTATTCTGCACACTTCCAAATCCCAACCTCAACTCACGCGTCGGGTATGGGAACACTTCCGCAAAGTACTGCACGCAAGCAGCAGACAGTACGCTGTGCTGATCACTGCTGTGGCAAAGATTGCCATATGTTTTGTCCGACACTGACCAGGACAACAGACTTGATTGCGCTATCTGACGACGATGATTGCCTCCTGCATTGGACCGTAGCGCTGGCCGACAGCGCTGTCACATGCGTGCTGAGACGATGCGCTTCGCAGCCTCCGCGCGCAGCATACTCTCTTGTCGCACTTAGCCGTAGACGAGCTTGAAGAGGTCGTTGAGGACGTAGAAGGAGCCTCCGTCGGGCATCAGCTGGAAGGTCTGAGTGTAGTTCATGGGGCGCTGCTCCTCGTCGACCTAATCAGGAGACACCGAGGGTCAGCCCGGCACACTTCGTTGTGGAGTATCAGCGACTCTTCTTTGAACGCGACCTACCAAGAGTTGACCGGTAACGAGGACCAGGACACCACCGCTGACGCTAGGCTGAGCGTCGAGCGTAGAAACCTGGTGCTTCACCTTCTGGAAGGGGAGGCTCTGTAGGAAGTCCCATCAGCTTCGAGATTCTAGAGAAATATTGGTGGTAGGCGATCCACATACAACAAGCTTCTCGACAATGGTGGCGACACCGAAGCTGGCCGAAGACTCGAAAGTGAGCATCGATCCATCGCGCTGCGAGCTACGTCAGCAAGGATCTTCCCGGTTCCTGTATCCGTCTTTCGAGGGATCGCATACGTAGAGGGCGCTGAGCCCAGTCCGGTCGCTGTCGAACTGGTTGTAGTAGTATTCGACGAATTGCTCTAGGGAGAAGAGGAGGAGTCAGTTCGGTCGATTCGGGTGTCGGACTTGGTGGCGTCATCTGCGACGGCCAGATGAAGCGCTCTGTCGAGCTGTCGACCGGCCCGGGGCAGACTCACTCGCGACCTCCTCGAAGTCTAAGATCGGGCAAGGTTGTCAGTTACAATTCCAGTACTTAAAGCGACAAGGTCTTGGGTGGTGGGCAGGGTTTGCGGTTGAGCGTGGTGGGAACTGCAGCTCGCGGGGAAGCACTCGTGCGCAGGGGAACATACTTTGGGCCATGTTTGCGGTGCTGTGTCGCTGGGACGAAATGTGACTCTGTTGACAAAGGTGGACGGGGAAGGACGCAAGGCTTGCCAGTCTGGAGGCTCGAGGTTTTTGTGACTTGCGGGAGACGGGAAGCACACGGGCAAGACAATGCGCCGGCGCGGGCAGCAGTGACAGCCCCACCATGGCCCAGTGTGTGAGGCGGGCCGGCGGGGTAATTTGACAACAACCTGCACAGCTCGATGAGGGAGCTCCAGCTCCCATCTGCCCAGGTGAGGTGAGGTTGGCGCCCAATGCATCGGGACGCCCGAGGCACGCAGGCCACCACACCACGGCGGCGACCACCACCACCAGCCACCCCTGTCCGGCACTGACTTTGTTTGATGTTGAAGCGCGGAGGTCATCTTGTCCTGCGGCACCATTCCCCCCTGACATTCATGCTTGTGCGCAACCAGTGACGTTGAGCTATGACGCCACGGATTCCGTCTTTTCACCGGCCCTGGGCGTCGGAAAAGGCGAGACATGCTTGATGACATGCTGCTTTCACAATCAGGACCGTGCAGCCCAGGACAAAGACAATCAATACACGGCTTTGCCTGCTGCCCTTGGGACTTATAACGGCGTGTACTCCCCATAAGGGTGGGTCTCGATCATGCCTGAATCATGCACTAATTAAGGACGCCAAAGCTCCCCAGCCAGCCTGAATCGCATGAGCGACGCGCAACCTCACGCACCTTCGCCTCTCAGCTCGACCTAGATTCCCACGGCAACACGGCTTCAATGGGTAGGCCACCCATCGTAACGGGCGGCATAAAACTTCATAATCGACATGATCCATCAGGTGCCGCCCGCCAAGGACCATGAAGATATAGGTCTTCCATGTCCTCTTTCACAAGACAACCAGGCTGTCGCGTTGGATCAAGGTCTCGTGTTTGCGGCACCTCCTTGACTCGGTATCGCGCAGGCGGGGCCTATCACACAAGATGGACCGCCCCCCAACGGCACGAGAAGGATTGTCGAATTTGGTCAAACGCAAAACGTCCGCTGGCACGCAACGACGCCGGACGCCGTCTGTCAGCTCGCTGGACAGAGTCTTCGCAACACATTCGGAACCCTTGGCACCATCCGAGCCCGAAGCTCGTAGGCAAGCTCCTCTGATTGGCAGTGAGCCTACGAATGAGGATGACACGTACGGCCTCATCGAGATGCGTGATAGCTTCTTCGACGCTATCTTCAGCGTGCCGAATAGTGTTGAACCAGCGGAGATTTTGAAGCAAGCACAGGCAACATTGCCCTTCGCATTCCGGAAGAGGGATCCGTTGTCGCTCAGCGGCTTTCTTCCCAAGCAGTGGCGTGAAATCAGGGGCGTCGTTCGCCGTGTCACCACCACTCGGGCTGGCATCAAGTTACTTAAATCGTTCGCGGCATTCTACTTCGCCTACATTTTGTGTCTCGTTCCAAGCGTCAGGGGTGTTCTCGGCAATCACTACTACATCACGGCTGTGTCTACCATTCTTGGCCATCCTGGACGGGTAGTCGGTGCACAGGTCGACGGAGCTGTCCAAACCATCATTGGCACAGCTACAGGCCTGGGATGGGGCGCCCTGGGTTTATGGATATCAACATCCACTACCAAGGCTCGTGACGGCTACGGAGGCGTCCTGGCAACGTTTTTGTTCCTATATATCTTTGTCATTGGCTTCATCCGGACCTACTACATACGCACATACCAAGGCATCATTTGTGCCGGGATAGCCATTGCCTATACATGCTTGGCCGATGTCTCAGCCAACGAAGTGTCATGGGCGAAGCTTCTGGACTTCGCCATTCCTTGGGCCCTTGGCCAAGCCATTGCCTTGTGTGTGTGCGTTGTGGTGTCTCCTGATGCTGGCGCACGCCCTCTTGCAGTGGCACTACATCAAGCCTTTGAAGTCATGCTGGTGAGTCCGCTCCGTGGTGAAGAAGCGTGTGAACATTGCTGATGTCTCTGGCAGGATGGACTAGTCGTTGCAGGAAGCGACCACCGCAGGATGCGCCGCAGGTTAGCATCAACGTTTGTCAACTTGTCGCAAGCCTACCGAGATCTCATCCTGGATATCTCCATCACGTATTTTGACCCCAAGGACGTGTTCGACCTACGGAATCTTATTCAGAACGTGCTCCGCTCACAGCTCAGCCTCCAAAACGAGACTCGGCTTTATGAGGGCCTTGGCCGCTCAGCAGAGATTGGAGGCAGGCCGATTCTGGACGAGTTCGTCGTCAGCGTGAATCTGGAACCAGCTTCAGTCGAGCAGAACGAAGAGCTCGAGTTGATGAAGTTTGTCGCCAGTTATCTTGCAAATCCTACCGAAACGCTTCTAGGAGCCATGAGGGAAGCATTGAAGAGTTGTGACGCTGTTCTCATGGACATGAGCGGCCTTCGTCAATATCTAGGTCCAGCACACGATGTTTCAAATGATGTGGCAGGCGCTCTCGTCACCTTGAGAAAGGGGATCATTGAGTTTTCGCGCTGTCAAGACACTGTGCTGGCTAGCGAGCGCCTCCCTGCGTCTTATGGCCAGCTGCCGGAACTTGTCAAGCTTTTTGCCTTTTGTCGCCCGGTGCATCAGACAGCTTCTGCCATTGAGGCACTGCTAGTCAAGGTCAACAATATGCAGCAACGAAAGCCGAGATATCCTCGCTTTCACTGGCCGTCTTATCCCGCTGCCAGAAGTCTATTTCGAAACAACGCACAAGTCCGACATGATCGAGGCGGTGTAACAGCGGGAGCATATTTCAGGAGCTTCAATGAGATCGCGGAGCTCATCCAAAAGATCAAATCGCGGAACTTTCAGCCACTCCCCCGCACCAACTATGCTTCCAAGGGCTCCCGCGATGAAGCGCATGCAACAATGACAGCGGACGAACTAGAGGACGATAGCCCTACCAAGCGAACCAAGATCCGATATGGTGTTTGGAAGGCCCTGCACCGCCTGCAGGGCTTCGAGACAAGGTTCGGCTTGAAGACGGCAGCTGTCACGACGCTGTTGTCAGTTCCTGCCTGGCTTACGAAAGATAGTGACTGGTGGAATACATATGAGGCATGGTGGGCCGTAGTCATGGCGTGGTTGATCATGGGATCACGGTAAGCACCATTGCCAGTCAAACGCCTTCATTGTCACTGACAATCATTAGAACTGGGGGCAATATTCAGGATCTGATGATGCGATCGTTCTGTGCTGTCCTCGGAGCAGTTTGGGCAGGCCTAGCATTTGCGGCGGGAAACGGCAGTCCTTATGTCATGGCTGTGTTCTGCCTTATATATATGCCTCCGATGCTATATCGATATACACAAAGCTCTCATCCGGTAAGTGCCTCCCTGGTTTCTCGTGTGGCGTTGTCTGATATCCAGGCGCGCATAGAGGTCTGGCCTGGTCGGCTGCTTGGCATTCACGACAATTTCCTTGACGCTAAATACGGCACCCGAGGACACATCACACATTTCCATTGCGGCAATCCGCGGCGCTGCCATGGTCGTCGGCGTAGTGGCCTCGATACTCGTGAACTGGATTTTGTGGCCTTTTGTTGCCCGACACGACCTTCGAAAAGGAATTTCATTAATGCTCTTCTACTCGAGCATTGTTTACCGAAGTAAGGCTGGTTTTCCCAAACACTTGATCAGGGTGGAAACTCATGGATGTTCTTTCAGGTATCGTCTCAAAGTACGTCTACTACGAAGCAGGGAGGGAACCGACTCAAGAGGACATAGATGCTTCAGAGCAACTTGAAGGCCGACTTCGTGAAGGGTTTGTTCGTTTGCGCCAACTCCTCGTAAGTAGTTGCGTGCGATGCCTTCACGTTGTAAATCACATCCCAACCGCTGACGATTGCCCAGGGCTTGACACGACATGAGATCCGACTTCGGTCGCCCTTTGACCCGCTCCCATACTCTGGTCTCATCGATGCTTCGGAGCGCTTCTTTGAGCACGTTGTTGCTCTCAGACAGGCTTCTCTATTCTACCACCCAAAATTCATACGAGATAACGCGGAAGCTGCCGCAGAGCTGCTGCCATACCGCAGAGACGCCATTGCAGCCATTCTCACAAACCTCTATGTTTTGTCAGGGGCGCTCCGAGCGAATCGGAAGATGCCGGTATGTTGCATGAGACCATGAATATTCTGTGTCCACAGTGTGCTGACGCCGTCTTGTCCGCAGAAATACCTACCTAGCGCAGCAGCCGCGCGGGCGCAGCTTTTACAGAAGAGCAGCGAGCTACAGGACCGCATAGATGCTGACGAAGAGGTTGAGAAGGAGGAGAAGGCCGAGAGCCGGAAATGGTCGCAGATCTACAGCTACTCGTACAATGAGAGCCTGACAGGTTGTGTTGAGCAGCTCGAGGAGCTAGAAAAGTACACAAAGGCCATTGTCGGGGAACAAGGGTAAGCCGGCCAGCATCTCCACCCACTTGTTTAAGACTGTTTTTACTGATATGACGCGTATACTTGTTGCAGGTTTGATTGCGGCTTCCTAGACACGTCCTTGAGCTAGCCATGTCGAAAATTAACTGAGCAATGGCTTCAAGTGGGCCATGCCCGTTTTGGCATGATCACAGCTAGCAATTGACGATGACAGTGGCCACGAAAGGAGTCCGACTCTATGACCTGGCAGATGCAACATGGGACCCACGTGTCGAGTGTGCCACGGATGCAACATCCGAAGACGGCAGGCTCCCGGGAAGAGTTTGGGAAGCCGTGCCAACCGGAGGTGGACTGAAGCCAGCGTACGCCACGGCCGAATAGATGAAATGGGCGATGGTCCATGTCAAGCAAGCGCAACATGCTAATGCAGGGGAAAAGGGTCGTTGACTGCGGCTCCCAGGGATCCGACGCCTCGGGACGGACGCAGGCAGACTATTTGCAAGGGTTCCCACGGAGTTCGGTGAGCGAGCAAGAGATGAGATGAAATCGAGCGGCTCGACGGATCGGCTGTCGTGAGCGGCTCCGTGGGCACAGGGGGGTGCCTGGCCGCCACGTTGTCACTCCCGGCCCGGCGATTGGCTGCACGTGGGCTGCCGGCGCCGGGCCCCGGACCAGGGCCCCTCCACAATCGCGCCTGGGCCGTCCGCATTGTCTTCCATGTACACCAAGGCAAGTGATGGTGTATTACTGCCATGCGGGACTATTCACATGCAGGTCCGCCGATTTGGCCGACCACCCTGGCCTTGCCCAGGCTCGCAGCGTTGGAGCACCTCGTCATGCAAGTCTGGGCATCCTGGGCGTCATCTCTGCTTGCTGGCATAAATAGCTACTCGTGTCCCCGGCACAGTCGCATGCTCTCGATGCAGGAGCTGCCAGGCCATCCTCTCTATCGCTCACAGCAGCCAGTATACCACACTCGTTAATACCCCCCATTTGCAGTTCCTAGCATACCCGCCGCGATGCTGTCCAAGAGTGGTCTCGTTGTGCTCTCGCTGGCATCGGCCTGCATGGCCTGGCCCTGGGGCAGGGCTGGCAAGTGGTCTGACAGGCAGAGAACCACCTGCCATGGCCACGAGGCCCTCCTCAACTACACCACCGTCACCGGCTTCTTCCTGCAGGACGACCCCAGCACAAATCCCAGCGGCTTTGACTACGTGAGTTGCCATTCGTTCTCTGGAGTGTGTACACCTACAGCAATGGTTCCCAACTGACATTCCGGCAGACAACCACCAACTACGGCCTGATCAACCAGTCGTACCCCACGGATGCCGAGTTTGACCCTACTGGTGCCCGGACTCTGTGGGAACGCTTCGAGTACTATGTCAACTCGCTTAACCAAGCCGCTGACAAGAACACCCAGTACAAGGGTACGTCGAGGGCCTCCACCCGGATTTTGATAGAGGGCCTGAGCAACGAGCTAACAGCAGCTGCCGAGACCTACAGTCCTCTTGTTCGGACGTCACGGCGAGGGTTACCACAACGCGGCCGAGAGCGCCTTTGGCACTCCCGCCTGGAATGTAAGCAAGCAAGCAAACTCGTGAGCTGTCTCTGGCACCAGTCTGATCGACCCGCTCACGCAAACGTTCTGCAGTGTTACTGGGGTCCCCTCGATGGCAACGGCACCGTCACCTGGCGCGACGCCGCCCTGACCCAGGCCGGCATTGACCAGACCACCAAGGCGTTTGATTTCTGGACCAGACAGCTGTCGGACGCGGTCAAGATGCCGGCGCCGCAGTCGTACTACAGCAGCCCGCTGCGGCGCTGCTGGCAGACGGCGCAGCTCAGCTTCGCGGGGCTCCGGCTCCCCGCGGACCGCCCCTTTGTCCCCGTGATCAAGGAGTTCTTCCGCGAGGGCATCTCGATGCGGACGTGCGACGAGCGCAACAACAAGACCTGGATCCACGAGCAGGTGCCCAACTTCCTGTTCGAGGACGGCTTCACCGAGCTCGACGAGCTGTGGCGCGGCTACGAGGCCGAGACGGACGAGGCGCAGGTCAAGCGCACAAAGGCCGTCCTCGACGACGTCTTTGCCCACGACGACGCCACCTGGATCTCCATCACCGCCCACAGCGGCGCCATCTCCAAGCACCTCCAGGTCCTGGGCCACCGCGCCTTCCGCCTCGGCACGGGCCAGGCCATCCCCGTCCTCGTAAAGGCCCAGAACCTCCGCAAGGTCGACACCCCGACCTCGACCATCGAGTCCTGGTGGTCGGAGCCCACCTGCGCCAACGGCCCGCCCATCACCAGCATCGGCGGGACCGGCTGCATCTGCTCTACCGGCTCGGCCACGGCTACTTTCTCTGCCTCGGCCTCGGCTGTTGCTACCGAGAGTTCCAGTGTCACGGTCACCGATGGCAGCGTCATCACCCCCGCGCCGACCACCTCGGTCGTCTGAGCTTGTAAAGATGGGTGGTTGTGTCTCTCATCGGTTGCATTCTTGTAAATACTTGGAGGACATGTGTGTAGTTAGACCAAAATGGGGGACTGGCGATAATAAGACGAGAGAGTTGATGTCACTTGTGATAATTATAATATAACCACCACACATTTGTTTGTTGTGTCAATTGTGATGCGTCCCGGGACTTGTTGGACATCATCTATTGGCAGGCGCATCCCGGGATGACGACAACGGGGGCGTTTGCCAGCACATGGCATGTCTGCTCATCACTATTGAGTCGCGATGAAGTCGCTTCAGACAATTATACGCTATTATCTGGGGAGGGGGCGAGGTAATGCAATGTCATGTCAGTGGGGTTGGCACCGACTTCGTGCTTGGTATAACCGTACAACGCCAGGTGTCCAGTCTGTGATGTGCTGCGCAAGGGGGGGGTTGTGCCGGCTGAGGCCTGGGAAGTGCGTGCTACGTCTTTGCATGCCCGGTTGGGACTTTGACGTCGATTAATCTTTGCGGCCCAACACGGGCGAAAAGAGTTCAATCTTGAGTTATGCTCTTATCCAGGACTGACCGGAAGTCCTTTTCATGTCGAGCTACGCCTCTCCAAAGCGCAGGCTGCCGAGATGGGAGGGAAACGGTACACACAACGATGAATGCCAGAGAGGAAGCCAGAGAGGAGGCCAGAGACATTGCCACATTGATTGCCATTGCACGACGCCCAGCCGCCTGGAGTGGAATCTGCAGACTCATAACACAAGCAGAACTTTTCCAGTCTGCCTTGACCAAGACGGGCCTTAGATATATATATATATCCCACAACCTCCCCTTGCTAACTACTACTGCTGCCACGTCTTGTTGTACTCCACCACCATGTCCTCCTGCCACTCCATCAGCCCTTGCCAATCAATACAGCTATGCACGACCCCCCAGCTCAGCCCGCCCTCCCAGTAGCTCTTGGGGCTCCCCGGCGGCGAGTCGCTCTCAAAGACCATGTGGTCGCCGCACGTGGCGCTCAGGCGCAGGTACTCGAAGCAGTGCTCCATGTGGTCGATCCAGTCGACGTCGATGGGGCTCGAGCCCAGCGGGTCCGTGTTTGGCGCGTCGTACACGAGCGAGTTGTACCGCATGCGGATCATGTGCACGCAGTGCAGGGAGTGCAGGTTGCTGAGGACGTAGAAGTTGTGCAGGTTGGCAGAGTCCAGCGCCGCGCGGGCGGGAGGGTCGTGGAAGGTGAAGAAGGGGGCGCGGATGCCTGGGTCCGAGAGTCCGTAGCGGGACGGGTCGGAGAGGTAGATGGAGTCGGAGCCTGAGTTTTTGAACCGTCCCGAGTTAGTCAGAGAGTCTCCTTTATGGGGTGAAATATATGCAGTTGAGAATGAGTGATGGAAGTGCTCACCAGCTGTCAACTTCTTCCAGTTGCTCGCGGCCTCGGCGGAAGGGCCCATGAACTCCTTGTGTGGGATGAAAGGCACATTTTTGCGATTCGTGAAGACCTGCTGGGGTATCGGAGAGGCCGGGTTCGTGATGCCGGCTTCCAGCAGGATCTTGGCTCGGTCAGGCGGCCTTGTCGTCGATGCCCACTGGGCCCCGAAGAAGCCTGCGAGCACTCCAACGACAAGTGTAGAGATACTGCAGATGAACACACGACTTATTGATATTGGCTGGCGCCGGTGCTGTCTCGATCCCTGGTGCGTCTTGTTGGTGTGCAGGAAGGAGTCGCGCTCATTCTGGCTGGCGGTGTCGTCGCTGTCTTGGTCGATAGACAGCGAGTCGTAATGGCCGTCTTGCTTGTCGTTGAGCGTGGTTGACATGACGAAACTGGTCCCTTGATGACGCGAGATGTAGTAGACTACTGAGAGGATGCTGCTGTCAAAGTTGAAGTTGTGGTCATTGAGAGACACTGGCTCTGTCCAAGAGGATGCGAAGATGGGAGTCGGGGACCACGACAGACCCTGAAAGAATCAGAGCATGCCCTGAATCGAGAGCAACTGGAAGATAGATCTACGTGGTACGGATGGCAAGCGCTGGTGCGTACGTCACTTGCACCACTGCTGTCGTGATGCCAGTGGCTCTGCTCGGGCCTGTGCTCTGATGTCCGTTGGGTGTCGTCCCATGGCGGAGGAGATGGATGTTACCACCTACCTAAAGAGGAAAACGCTGCGGTATACTCGATGTCGACTTGCCCGGTATACGCAGTGGAGTGTACCACGAGCTGATGCTGGTCTTGTGCCGCCAAGTCGATCGACCCCGCTACCTTAGCAGTGGCGAGATGTGCTGGCGTCAGCACGTTGTCGTGCGTGCATACCTCGTTGAGCCACGCCCTTCCCGGGCCCATGAGGAGGCACCAGCTGCGGACTGTGGGGGTCTCCGTGCAGCAGCCACCTTGTTAGTACTTGTCCCTGTGGCCAGCATCCCCAGTCCTATGTACGGAGTACACGGATCTCGAAAGGACCCCTGCGGGAAGCTGCATTGCCGATCTGGGGACCCTGGCTTGGCTCGTTGACATTGACAGGAGATAGCGACACCCCCTCGACCCCTCATTCCCACACCTGGACAGCCCCACCACCCGCCTTGTCAACCGCTGCAGATCAAAGCTTATCTCGCAGGGGTTCGTGTCGTGCGTGTCTCTCCACCCACAGCCTGCATGCGCATGTCTCGCGCCCCGGTGGTTTGACACGGCATACGACATGTCGTGGGCCATGATTGGCTACCGGCTTTTGCCTCCGCGGCAAAGCGAGAAAGCGGCACCGAGTACGAGTCGGTGCAACGTGCGCGGGATTCCTCGTCGTGCCGTTGTCGGGTCTGCCTTGTGGGGGAGACCGTTGTCGGTTGGGTGTTCAGGGGATCTGTCTTCGTGTGCTAGAGGAAGGAAGCATGAAGAACGCAGAGGGTAGTCTGTCTCCGGGTTGTTCACAGCATCTGTCTACGCTGCTCCCCTCTTGTCCATCGCTTCTGGCCAACAGCAGGAGCACTGCGCCCCCCCTTCACCAAAGACTCTCGCTCTCTTCCTTCTCTGCTACCAAACATACTCCTGCCTCTTGGTGGTTGTGTACTCACAATGGCTCCGAGCGAGACAAAATACGCCCCTCTCTCCGGCGACGGGGAGAAACCGTCCAGCGGCCGCGCAAGTCTTGACGACAGCGTCGACCTCGAAGACGTATCTCGTCCAGCCCGCACAGCCCGGGTCCCCAGCTGGCAGACGGCCGCGGTCATCGTGCTCAGCCTGGGCTGGCTCGCCACTGTCGTGGCCTGGCACCAAACACGGCCGCTGCAAGTGCCAGTGTCCCCCTTCCGCATGTACACCAGTACGCCCATCCCGCAGGACGTGTTCAAGCCCGTCAAGAAGGTCTTTGACAAGGACGAGCGGTACATGGGGGGTGGCCGAGAGGCAGATATTGCTTGGGACGGGCTGGTTGCCGGTAAGTGGTGCTGCACATGAACAACAGCTAGCCCCGATGCTTTCTGTCCGGCTGTCGAAGAGAGAAAGCGCGTGCTGATCATGCCTGTCGTCGGCTTCTAGGACACGACGCTGTGTGGATCGAGAATCCAAAGCAATGGGGCCTCGGCGAGGGCATCGTCGCGCCGTATGACCATCCAAACACCCCCGTGCCCAAGCCGCAGGATTTCTACGTCATCTCGATCCTGCACCAATTGCACTGCTTGGTATGTTTTGCACCGTGTGCCTTCAGAAGTTCTGGCTCAGAGCCTCTGTAACAGACAAGAACCCTTCTAACGCGGGTTTCTCCAAACTCCCGGCACTAGAACATGATTCGCTTCCAATACTACCAAGAGAAGGATCACCGCAGCCACAAGGTCACCGAGGACCAAGAAACATCCTTCAAGTGGAAGGTCCACGTGGAGCACTGTTTCGAGTACCTTCGGCAGGGCATCTCGTGCGGGGGCGACCTCATCATCGAGGGCAACAGCCCGATCAAAGTTGGGCAGGGCCACGCCACGTCGGTGACGGGCTGGGGCGTTGAGCATGACTGTATCGATTTTGACTTGCTCCGGCGGTTCCAGATTGAGCAGGAGGCCAAGTACAATCTGACTTGGCAGAATCCGTAGGCTGGATCGTGATTGCTTGACCTTGTAGAAGGCAACGCATCCAGAGTAGAAGGGTGGGCGACATAGTCGTTAGTGGTAGATAGACTTCAAAATGACGACGTGTATCATGCCTTCGTGTTTCCCTCATCCTGCCCGTCATGGAGTGCTGCGGAACTGTGTGGTCCCTGAGGCACCACAACGTACACAACGCACATAAATCGGGACCTGAAACTGACAATCGGCCTCGCTCAATTTCCATCCACATGACCTGACGATGGCGCTTTCTAGCAGGAGTCCCTGCCGCTCCCAAGTTCTGTAACAAAGTCACCAATTCTTCGTGGTCTTCACACCACCGCACCAGCACCCTCCTGCGCCACCACCTCCTCCTCACCAGGCAGCCCCAGCGCCCTGACCTCATCCTCGCTCACCGTCCCATCACTACCACCACCGCCGCCCACCCTCATAGTCCACACCATCCCAACCACACCCCCAAAGAAACTCAACCTCCTCAGCCCCTTTTTCTCAAACCCCAGACCCTTGAGAACAGCCGCACTCGCAAGATTGCCCGGGTCATGAAGTCCCAGCACGACCTCCCCGCCGCCGCCCTTGGAGTTGGCACCTCCCTTGTCCCCCTCCTGCCGCTGCACCGCTGATCCCCGCGATGACGACGACGAGGACCACCAGGCAAGTAAACCCCGGGACGCCTCCGTCGCGATGCCCTGCCGGCAGAACTCGGGGAGCACGGCGAACCCCAGATCCGGCGCGGCGTAGCCGGACCCGGGAGGCCCGCGGGACAGGGAGACCGTGCCGACTATCTTTCCTGCTTCCGCTGCTCCTGGCGACAACGCATTATCTTCTCCTCCTCCCACTGCGTTTGCTGCTGCTTCTGCTTCACTCCCACCGCCAGTGGTGTTGGTGCCGGTGCTGGTGCCGATGTCAGGGCCAGGATGATTGCCGATGGACTCGCCGGGCCTCGGGACAGGGAGGCGGAGGACGACCAGGTACGTCCCGTACCCGTTGCGCGCGTGCTCCGCGACGAAGCGGTTGCGGATGTACGCCCGCGCGGCGTCGCGCGTGGTGATGCTCGTCGGCTTCCCGCCGATCGAGGCGATGAACTCGGGCGTGTTGTACAGGTGCACGATGAAGTCGGCGTGGGCGGCCGAGTCCGGGTCCGGGGGGATGAGGTGCAGGCGCGGGGTGGTGATGAGAGTGTTGTTGTTGTTGCTGCTCGTGATGGTGGTGGCGGGGGTTGCCATGGTTATTGTTGTTGGCGCGGAAAAAGAAACGGGGGAAACCTGGCAGGGGTGTGGTCTATGTGTTTGAATGTGCAAATTGGCGTGATGCAGAGAGGTCCAGATGATTGTTGTGGTGAGAGAAGGTCTAGGAGGCGCAGAGGGGAGAAATGTTAGTGAGGGCTGTAAGTGTGGTTGTATACCGTTGTTAGCACATGGATGGCTGCGGACCAACGCTGGGCAGCAGATCATTGCAGGGCTTGCGGACCCGTAGACAACCAACACTTTGCGCAATCCTGGTCACCACCCCAGTCAGCTCGAGTCTGGCCAGATAATGTGTGCGAGCCCTGAAGTGGCTTTCTAACTTTTAATGCGAGTTTGACAAGTGCTGTATATGCTGTCATTGACGCAGGAACTAGCTAGCAGGATACACCCGAGAACATCAATATCTGACTCTATGAAAATTGTGAACTCATTCACTTGACATCCATTTACGATCCGTCATGTGTAACGGCGATCATTTAGACTCGTGGCTGTGGTGCGCCGGCACGACAGCGCCCTCATCACCCTCTACAAAATCATTGCGGTGGCCCGGAGTATGGGTGACAACGCCGCCCTTGTACCCAGACCCCTTCTTCTTGTCCGAGCGGTGGTCATAGGCCCATGAAAAGAGCCGCTCAAAGTTGCGGCACTGGTGCGTAGCGCCCATGCCATTAATGCCCACGACGGTCAGGGGCTCAAAAGTCGAGTCGCCCGCGCACATGATGGCCTGCCGGATATAGTCGAGACAGTGGTCGCGGTGGGCCGTGATCTCGTGCGGCTCCATCGAGTCGGCCATGGTCTCCGGGTAGTACGCGAAGCGCAGGAAGTTGAGGCAGTGCAGCTGGTGGAACATGGAGACGCCATATACCTTATGGGTCTCTGGGTTGTTTGGTGCCGGGAGGGATGCGGGCAGGCTGTAAGTGAAGGCGTTGGGCACCTCGACGATGCCGTCGCCTGGAGGCGACAGGCGCTGCCACATCTCATCGGTGTGGTTGTCTGGCGCGCCGCCATAGTAGTTGTGCGGCTGGAACGTCACGCGAGTGTCGTAAAGCACTGCGACAGGTTATGTTGTCAGCACACGAGTATTCTCGATCAGCAAGTGGCGTCTACAAGCAGATACTCACGATCTGGCTCAAAGTGGTCCTGGCGAGGCTTTGCGTCGCAGTCGAAGCTGCGTAGAAGGACGTGGACGTGCGACCAGACACCCACCGCAGCAAGGAACAGCGCAACGTTGAGGCCAGTCACGGCGACGCCTCTGCTCAGCCAGGGATTCTGCCTTTTGGCAGGCCGCACCACTGGCGTGTCCATGTCGTCGGACGGCAGGAAGCGCTTCGTCTCGTCTGACGACATGGAGTTGCGAGAATAGTAGTCGTTGCGAGGGCTTTCCATGATGAGGTGCAATGGCAGGACTGGACAGAGACAATTGTGAGGAACGAAGCAGGCTTGCCCTAGGTGATTGTGTGGTCAACAGGGAGAGAGGAGTGGTCTTCGAGGTTACGGAAGATGCGCGGGTCTCCAGACGTCGTCTTGCGATCAAGGACATCCGGGACACCGCCTTGTGATTGACCAATGCTGCCGGGTCATGGTTTGGTCGAGTGGCGCCTATCTTTGCGTGTGAAGCCGGGCAGATGGCGTCGTCGGGATCCACGCCACTGTGTCATGCTGCAAACCAATCGTGGCGGTTCCTGACTCTAGTGTCGTCAAATGTCACGGCAGATGCGACCTAGCGTGGAGTGAGGAGGGTCCTAAGAACGGAAGGTGCTTGGCAGGGGCGGGGAAGTGGGGGCGGGGCGTGTGTTTAACAAGATCCCTAGTCGACAGTGCAGTGAGTGGCCCGGCCGAGTCCGCAGCAATGTCACGCTGGGGCCTCGTGTCAGTTGGCCATCAGTAACAACACCAAGGGTTGGCCCTAGCCCGGCGTTGCATCTCGTCTTTCAACAACGTCCGACTGGCTGGCCGGCTTGTATCTGTGCTGCTGTACGCTGGTTTATCTGTCGTGCGACACCAGATCCTTGCCATGTCTTGGGCCTCGTTGCCACGGACCTGGTCTTGCCCTATCTGCGGGGAAGATCACCACTGGACATGGTCGTCTCGAGTGTCCCGCACGCCTGTTCGAGGACTGCAAAGACACTCTGTCAAAGGCTGATCGCGCAAAAAATCATAATTCCTGCGAGTTCCACCAGCCGGCTGGGAAAGCGAGTGGCCAGAGACCACCTCTGACTCTGCGCATCGGAGTCTTGTCCTTTGCCCAAGGAATCCAGATCAAGTGTCCTCGACTGTGTCCCCTTCTCCTTGGGAATCGTCCTCAACTTTTGGTCTTTTCTTCTGTTGCAAAGCAGTGCTACCACTTCTTGTTCCATCCTCGGACAACCACACAACACCATGGCATCCAAGTCCTCGCCCACCAAAGTCTCATCGCCTTCAAGCAGGCCATGGACTCTCGTCGGAGTCTTTGCCCCCACAATCATTGCCCTCGCCGGCATGCGCTGGGGCTCACAGGGTCTCGCAGCTCTGGACTCGTTCCTCCATAGCTCTGCTTCACCCTCAACCCAAGCAGACATGATGACCACAAACACAAGCGCATCCTCCACGGCGCCCTTCAGCATGGAAGCTCTGCGCTCACAGTACGCCCACGGCTGCCCAGACCACCAGTTCCGCACGAGCATGTTTAGCAGTGATCCAATCATTACATATATTGAGAACTACCTCTCCCCCGCAGAGATCGAGTACCTGCTCAAGCTGGCGAAGCCTTTGTATCAGCAATCTCCCGTATCCCAGGGAAAGCGGCTCAAGACGTACAACGCCGAGATCCGGTCGTCCATGTCCGCCGTGCTAGGCGGCAACGATCCGGTAGTGCGGTGCATCGAGCAGCGCTCTGTGGATTTCCAAGGTTTCCTGCCCCGCAGCCACCTCGAGGACCTGCAGGTCGTCAAGTATGGTATCTCGGACCACTTCCGGCCACATTTTGATGTAAGTGGTATATTCCTCGAACTGATGTTGTCAGAAGGGTCAAGGGGAATATTTGCTAATTTGCATATGACTGGTGTCTAGTGGTTCGGAGGTGACTCCAACCCCCGGATTTCAAGCTTCTTCGTCTACATTGCCTGCGACGCCGACGACACCAACCATCCCGGGGCCGGCGAGTGCAAAGGCGGGGCGACACAGTTCCCGGACTACACGGGTGCCTTCCCCGCGAAATGGTGCCAGTTCATCGACTGCCACGACGACAGCGGTGTCGGGGGCGTGGCGTTCAAGCCGATCCCGGGCAACGCCATCTTCTGGGGCAACTTGTATCCCAATGGCACGGGGCATCCGGGGACGTGGCATGCGGGCATGCCAGTGACGCAGGGACGCAAGGTCGGGATGAACATTCTGACGAGGAGGGAGAGACTGGTTGGTGTATAGGGCGGTGTGGCATTTGTAGTTTGGACTTCAACCATGTGTCCATCTTTGTTTGCTATCATGATATCTCTGGAAAATGTCTATCTGCTGGCATCGTAGCACCTAGCTGTCTTCAGCAACTGGAAAATGAAAGTTGTTTTGCCCCCCCTTCCCGAACGCAACCCGGTCTCCATTGATGAGGTTGTATATGTGGTGGAGCTTGAATGTGCTTGAAGGAGCCATTACCATTACCATTGCCATTGTCATCACCACCAGATCGGTGCACCGTGTTCAATTCGTGAGTCAGCCAGTATTGCTGTGTGGTCCACGGCACCCCAGCATCGCATTACGGCAACTTCAGCGGTGATTGTCCTGCTTGCGAAGGCTGCGGTGCTCCCAGAATCGCCGGCATGAGAGAGCCCGGGAAGACAGTCTCACTGCCGTGTCACTGTTCAAAGCAGGCAACACGCAGCACCCTCGGATATCATCGGTGGAAAGCGGAGGACGATGCCGAGGGGTTACACAAGCACGGTCCCTTGCTCGGTCTCCTCGCACCACGCAGTAGTGATGAGTGGCGGGCAGGAAAGGACCACGAGTCGCGTGCTCGCAGTCGGGCTTACGGGCGTCTTGTTTCTCGTGCCAGCTGGCCGCTCGGCAGCTTGTGCATGCCGACAGGACAGTGAGTGAATATACTGCGCCTGGCTGAATCAGTTTCATGTCTTCTTTAGCGACAGCCATTGGCTCTCACAGACGGACGTGTGCACCGGGAGCCCATCTTGCTGGTGGTAATCAGGCCATGCTGGTGGGCTAGGACAAGGCCTGGCTGGTATCACGGGAGCTGGTCCGACTGCACACCGCCCCCCCGGGCTCCCCCCGCCAATTGACCATGCGAGTCTGCATGTGATGCTGACTGACCGGGGAGGTTGCCGTGCTCATCAGAATTACCTTTTTGCACAAAGATCGCCCACGGGCGTTGGCGCAGGGCTGGCGGCCAGGAGAAACGAAACGAAGTGGGGGAAGGCGGGGTGGGATGACAAGCTTTGATCTGCAGGACCGCCAAGCGTATACCACCCGCTGTCTGTCAGGGGTCCCTGGTCCTTGTGGTTCACGGCCGTGTGGGGATTGCTCTTATGCACACGCCCCTGCTTTGGAACTTGGACTTGAATGGGCGGAAAGTACGTTAGCACACGAGCTCGCATGCCAGCTGCAAGTCGCCCCCTCGGAACACGCATGTAACCCTTGTGCAATTCGACGGCGATGATTGGCGACAAGCTCGCTCCTCCAGCTGCCTATCTTCTCGTAATGGTCCCGAGTGGAGGACGTTTCAACGACGCGGTGGTCGCACCACTAACCCCGCCCCAGTTAGAGCGGCAGGAACAGCCCAGGCCGACAGAAGGGGACGCCGCGCGGTCAACGTCCGGGGCCCGATAGGGCTGACAGGAGGGCTCCACGGCTCGGGTTCTATTAGACATTGCATCCAGGCCATGCGCCCCGACAACGACCTTGTCTCCGCCGGAAGCTAGCCTCCCTTGCCCTGGGATAGGCTTGGAGGGACGTTTCTTGTCCTCACCCCTAGCGCCGATAGCACCGTTGCGGTCCTTCTCCCAGGACATGTCCGCGTGTGCCAGCCTTGGAAAAGGGACTTTTTTTTCTGTCAAGACGTAGATCATCTGCTGCGTGCTGGGCTCGTCTTGCATGGCCACTCCTGCCTTCACGGCCGGGGGTTTTTTTACCAGGGCGGGTCTTTGAGGTCTCGGTAGCCCAGTTTGTGCTTTCTGTGTCGTGCGTGAGCCTGATGGCCTCCGCGTTAGCCGAGGCTACTCTTACCGACTCTCTGCAACTCCCACGAAGCACAGTGTGCCATGCTAGATGCTTGTCTTTGCACCACCAGCCGTCGTGATACTCAGCCGAGAAACCGAGCGTCGTGATCGTCTCCGCTTCAACTACACTCGACACCGAAGAGGGGCGACGGCGATCCCATGTTGCACGAACGAGAAAAATCCCTCTAGTCCTGGTGCCAGCATTGCTGCGATTCGCACTTACACCAGACACAATCAACCCTGTTCGAAGGAAAAACCACGCAGCCTGTGAACATCCGTGTCTCCAGACCCCCCCCCCCGTCCGGCAGGACCTTACCATGTGCCCAGGTCTGGTCCTGACAAAAGAGAAAGGAGCCAGTCATGTTTCCATGGCCGATGTGTTCAGGCAAGGAGACGCGAGCAACCCACCCGGCCGCATATCCTTGCGCGCGCCCGCCCACTTTGTGTTCTTCACACCCCCACTCTGTACGTGCTTCAAGTGTCTTACCGATCTACGCGTCGTCGTGGTCGTCTGTACATGCGTCCCGGATGTCACCTGCCAGATCTGGTATTCTTTAGCAGCAATCCATGGCCTGACACAGGGCCGCCGTCAGGGCCGCGTAGGACCACGCCATCCCAGCGTTCTGCGGCGTGATGGAATTGCCCCTCTTCGTGGATGGGGATGGGATGAACGGGGTGAAACAGGCATGTCGGCAGAAGGAGTGGCGGCTTATCGCGGGCAAGGAGGATCTCACACTCGGGATGTGGTCATGTAAAATCGGGGAACGCAGAGACTGTATTGCTACCCACTGTCACTGGTCAGGTGCGACCCGTCGTCGTAGGCCGAGGCTGCCCAATATCAGATCCATGGACAAGTAAGTGTTGTGGCCTGGGCCTCTAGTCCCCGGGAGGTATATAGATACAGTCCTGGAGGCTCCATAGAGCAAGACTTGTTCTTTTCCCGCTCGTCAGAGACATCCAGTTTAGCACGCTTCGCCTGCATCAAGACATCTCTTCGCCTCGTAAGTAATCATATAATGCTCGTGAGCAGGAGCAGGAGCAGGAGCAGGAGCAGGAGCAGGAGCAGGAGCAGGAGCAGGAGCAGGAGCATAGTACTGACGCTTTACATATCCTCAAGTCAAAGTTCTCCAAACAGACTCGCAAACTTTTACACCTCTGACTGGACTTTCCAAAACCCAGCCAGCGCCCCTCATCCACACACACACACACACACACACACCACAAAATCAGTGAAAAACAAAATGAAGAACACCGTCGTCTTCTCCACCGTCGCGGCCATGCTGCTGCCAGCGCTCGTCGCCGGCGCTGCCCTCGGCGCCCGCGGCGAGGGCGCCGAGCCCGCCTACGTCTGGGCTTCTCAGTCTGGCAAGCGTGACGCTGCCACCGAGGAGGCGGAGCCCGCCTACGTCTGGGCATCTGGAAAGCGTGAACCCGCCAGCGAGGAGGCTGAACCCGCCTACGTCTGGGCATCGGGGAAGCGTGAATCAGCTACCGAGGAGGCCGAGCCCGCCTACGTCTGGGCGTCGGGGAAGCGTGAACCCGCCAGCGAGGAGGCTGAACCCGCATACGTCTGGGCATCGGGGAAGCGTGAATCAGCTACCGAGGAGGCCGAGCCCGCCTACGTCTGGGCATCTGGAAAGCGTGGCGCGGCCAGCGAGGAGGCTGAGCCAGCTTATGTCTGGGCTTCTCAGTCTGGCCGCCGTGCCGAGTCTGAGGAGTAGATTGTGTAGATCCAGGCAACTCATCTACGATCGGATCAGTCGGCAGGGATAGGACTTTGAAAATGGTCGGCCTGGCCCATGACTTGGGCTAGAGTGCGAACAGGTTCCCATGACAGACAATTGAAGATGATGAGATGGACGACCTATTGGGGACTTACTGTCGGTGATTTCATATTGACTACTTCTGCCGTGACATGACACTTATGCTTGGTGAAACGATAGCACCAAAAAGTCTGTCGGCAGGCACTCCCCATTCTGCTTCTTAGGCGAATGCGACGCCCTGAATCCTCTGGGAATGAAAGTCCAACGCATTGGCATCGTTATGACAAGGTTGGGCAGCTTTCTCGAGTTGATGATAAGCGCTGTTGCCGAACTTATTTCCAGGATGTGCCGATTTCGCTGTAGGTTCATGGTGTCCGCGGATGGAAAGGGCGCGGCATGGCAAAGCCGATAGCTGGGACCACGAGCAGCAGCCTGAACGAGAGCGTAGCTCCTCTTCTGTGTGATGTCGTGAACAGTAATGACTCCAGTGTGAGATTGCGTGATCTGCCTCAACAAAACGGTTCTGATTTGGTTTTGTGTCCTTCCGTTCCGCCAAGCAAATGAGCTTCTCTGAGCCCTTGCTACGGAGCCATGCTTGCACGAATGACCCGTCTTGATGTGGATGGCTATGATGAGGGCCTGGCGAGCTTAAAAGAATGGAAAAGAAAACGAAATGGAAACCTTCAATTTGTGGCTATCAATCGTCGTCCTGAAACGAATCAAGTCACTTTCATCGCTCGTAAAAATAGCAAGAGGGCGGAAAGACTGTTTCACCTCTTCCCTGAGCACACATGCACCATGTGATGACACTTGCACAACATCGCGGAGGTGGAATCTGTCGAAATGTCGTGATCGAGCCTGATTCTTAGACTTCCGCGCACAGCGCATCCATGATGATAAAAGACCGTCAGCTGACCCGGCCAGAAGACCGACTTGTTCAATCCAACCTCCGGTCGAGGATCAACCTGACCTCGGGACACCAGTGCTCTATCTGCTCCATCCTGACTTCGTGCCACCGCGCCGGCTGGTGGTAACCCAGTGGCGTCTTGTAGTAGATGTATTCGACAGAAAACCGCTTTGCAGTGTCGACGTCGGGCAGCTTTGCGCCGGCCTCTTCTAACTTTTCAAAAAAGAACTGGTCCTCGAAAAAGTGGCCGGAGCTGGCAAAATCGGCGGAGCGTGCGATGTCGAGGAAGGCGCGCGGGTTGCGCAGGCTCAGGCCTCCGTTGTAGCCCTTGCCATACCCCTCGGCGATGGGGGCGCCAACCATGTCGTACTCGAAGAAGTTCTCGACTGTGTTGCCGGACCGCGAGCACAGGATACTGTCGGCCTGGAACAGCAGCACTCGCTGTGCTTCGGACACCTGCTCCCAGATCCAGGGCGATGCAAGGAACTGCGACACCGCCTGGGTGTCGGTCAGCGCGGTGTTGTCCGGGAGGAAGACCACCTCGAGCTGGCCGCCGTCACGAAGTCGCTGGAACGGCGCCGACCGGGGCTCTTCCCAGGTCTTCTTGTCCGTGAAGAGGACCATCCCCCACGCGGGCCCCAGAACAGCCGCAAAGTGCAACATGATGGGTATTATGCTCGGGACCAGGCGGCTCTCGATGATGATGGCCTTGGGCCGGTCAGCAGCCGGCTCGGAAGGTCCCAGTCGCTGCTGCTGGTTCTGTGATTCTGGTTGTTGAGCTGCATCGAGGTGTGAGGTAGCACCAGCGCTCCCCTCCGGGGTGTCGCCCACTGCACCTGGTGACCCTGGAGAGGCGCCTGGGTGACCTCCGAGGGCGGATACTCGCTGGGAATTATCAGTCGAGGGGACCGGTCTGCTGTCCCACCAGGCAAGATAGCAAAGGATGACGAGGGCGGCCGCCAGTGCGCACAAGTACTTCTTGGAGCGCAGTCTGGACCAGGCATGTGAGGACGTGCTGTTCTGTGCGTGGGCCATCTTGGACGCGGTCTGTTGGATTGTGGACTTGGCTGTCCCTCGTGATTGCGGCCCACGGGTATTGCCCTTGGGAAACAAAGAACAACAGGGCGCGCCCCCGGGCCTAATAACTGGAAGCACTGCCGGGCTCTTCCAAGGCTCGAGAAGAGTGACAAGACGTGATGGTGGGGGCCCGACATGTATAATTCCGGATTCGGGAAGGCACGCCCCCGCAAAGAGCTCTAGACTAGCCCTAGAGGGGAGGGGCACCTGCATGCCAGGATGCACACAACCTTAATTCTGACATGCGCGAGGCACCCAACCGGGGCTGCATTCCACCGCACCCTTGGCTGCCCACGGCAGGACGCCCTGAAAGCCACCGCGTCATGCCGAACCAAGCACACGCTAACCGAGAAAATAGAGACAATGTGCGGAAGTTCCCGTTTCAGGTTGCTTGGCCTTCACGACCCGTACGCACCACGAGCTGCGTGGCCCAAGTTCCGACTGCTTGAACCCTGGTCTTGATGCGACAAACACCCTTGCAAACGGCAACAGCAGCCCCCCTCCAGGAGGCGGTGTCCATAAAGCTGGATGGTGGGGGCCAATTGCTGTCCGCTCCTGGTCTGACGAAAAATGTACCTAGAGTGGCTGAGCAGCTTACACCAAGCGACCTGCGTGAATGTCTTGTCGTGCTTAAGGCTCTACACCATGCGAATCCCAATTCCGGACCGCCGGCTGTGCGACGTTGTCCACAGTTGGGTGCTCAGACGGTCCGCCCAGATAATCGCCTATCTCGTCGTCGCCCGGCTTTGCCTTGGATCTGCCAGCGCGAGGTCGGCATGACCCGTCCACTCAGCATGCTTTCCCTGATGTACCAAGTTGTTCCCAAGCTTGTCTGGTGCTGGCATACTTTGGGCGCTGTACTAAACACCATGATCTACTTTCTCCTCTTGGAAGAGTATCAACACCACCCGACGAACCTGACAACAATCTCGGCCATCCAGAGCCTGTGGAGCCCCCCCATGACTTCAGAAGAAAGGCGAGACATTCTCGCCAAGGTCGCCGTACAAAGTGCCCAGCTGGTGGTACTTTCGCCATATGGAAGGCTTTCAGTGGCCGCCCGAGCCGCCCGACCAAGGACCCGATTCACATCGGCTCGCTCGTTGGGCTCTTTTCCTGGTGGGGCTTGTTCCGCGGGCTGGGCACGATATCCTCTTTGCTTGTGGTCAGGGTCGGTACGACAGTCGGGAGATGCTGGGTGCTTCCATTGGCCACCCTGGCTGCAGCTGTTTCTCTCAGCAGCATGGCCTGCTGGCTAGACACCAGAGCGCTTCGATTGGTGACTTTGGCGCTTCCACTGCTGTATGTCGACACAGCCAGTGCCCTTTTCGCCCAGATCATGGCTGCTTGTGGTTGGACGTATTCATCACATATCCCGGACGGGCTTGCCAACAGTCCACACTTAGGATTACCGCCCTGCATCTTGCTCTACATTATATACTTGGCGATTGAGCTTCAGACGATGCGGCCCCTTCTCTTCATATCGCCGATCTGCAGCGCATCGCTCGTCCTCACTTTCCTCTCATTGCGCCATGTTGCAGAATACCTGGTCGAGCCAATTCCCATGCAAGTTATGCTGTCCAATCCGAGGTCAGGAGTCTGTCGTGTCTGCAGAACAACCATTTTCGCAGAGGTTGCACTCTGGAAGAAGGATCTAATGATGGGTAACGGTAAGCAGTACCGCCACCACTGGTGGGCGAAGTCACTCAGAGACTCAGCTACGGGCGGTTGTCCCGTCTGCGCGGTCATCTGGCACCACCTTGCCGAGACGCGGCCGCGCATTTATTCTATGATATGGTGGCACTCTACGACGTTCGAGCTCAGTATACGCAGGATAATTATCCATCACAGGATGGCGCCGCACCTATGCCACTTCATGATCATGAGTACCGAGGACGACATTCCCGCGTCATTTCTTCCCCAGCAAGAGCTATCAGACCATACCGGGTCTATAGCAAGTCTCGACCAAGCCAGAGCGTGGCTTCGGAAGTGTGTACAGGGTCAGTGCGACCATGTGCCCCGAAGATACCAACTGTCGTCCAGTCAAGACCACGGCGCCTGCTCCGCTGACGTCGACCTCCACTTCAGGCCATCTCGCTTACTGTGTCTGGGAGACCCAAAAGGTAGAATAAGGTTACGCATTAGGGCAGAATATCCCGAGCAGCTTACATACATGACGCTCAGTCACTGCTGGGGAAGATCGCGTTCCACCAAGCTGCAACGGAACAACCTCGAGACGTTCTGCAGCGACGTACCAGACGATGCGCTGCCCCAGACGTTCAAAGATGCCATCCGAGTCGCGCGGCACCTGGGCTCGAAGTACCTGTGGATCGACAGCTTCTGCATCATCCAAGATTCGGTGGAGGACTGGGAAGCCGAATCGGCCGTGATGGGCGAGATCTACCGCAACTCGCAGTGCAACATTGCCACTTCAAACGCCAGGAATGGCGACGAAGGATGCCTATATCCCCGAAACCCACGACTCTTGCAGCCCGAGCCCTTCGCGCCGCCTCGATGCGACTCGCCCGAGGAAAAGTGGTATCTCCATAACCCAGATGGCATGGATGGAACGTATCATCTGTACACCCCGGCATGGGTGCTCCAAAAGGTCCTCCTCGCCCCGCGCACTCTCGATTGCGGGAGATCTCAGCTATACTGGCGATGCACCGCCATGCGCGCGTCAGAAGAGGTCCCGGGCGGTTTCAGCGGACCCCTTGCCAGGTCCGTCAACCACCCCGCCGACGTGGCCTACGGCCCGGGCAAGTCGCCGGGAGAAAGTTTGAGGGCCATGGAGGCCTCGATGAGGTACTGGGAGGACACTTTCTACGATAGATCTTTCGGGCGAGATAGAGCACGCAAAGAGAGGTGTATTCGGCCGTTACGCATCTCGGAATTCCTCGCGAACGCGATGCTGGGCTCAGGTTCAGGCTCAGCTGCGAGCTACTGGGCCAAACTGGTCGATGTATATTCGGCCATGGAGCTCACATATGACACCGACCGCGAAGTTGCCATCGCTGGTGTTACCGGCGCTTTTTGCCCGTTCCTGGGGAGCTATTGGGCTGGGATGTGGGAGATGCTCGTGCCGGCGCACCTCAACTGGCGAACCAATTTGACGATGCGATAGGGCACTCTCCTGCAGTGCTCGAGGCCTTCGTGCAGGCGGGCGCCCAGCTGGTCTTGGCTGTCTCTGGAGGGAGGGGTGTGTTACTCTCTAGTATGGTAAGTATCTGACAATTTTAGAGGGGCACATCGCTGCAGGGGCAGATCGTGATCGGCTCGCAGTGTTGAATGCAGGATTTCGAGCACGAAGCCTGCGCCGGCCCGCGCAGTAGACTTTTACTAACACAGAGAGGGTGAGGAACAGCGGGGCCGTGGAAAGTGACGAAATCTCCTGCAGCCTCCTCAAAGTCGATCACATTTCAGCAGTGGATATCCGGCTTCATTTGCGAGCGCCTTTGGTACGCGCCAGGCGGGGTTGCGGGATTCCCAGCTATACGGACCGGCGGGCGCTCCGCGGCGCGGTTCGAAGTTTGGGAAACAGATTCATCGTGGGGACGCCGAACTCCAGCTCCAGAGCGGAGGGGGATCGGGACCAAGGTTACAGCTTCGATCCGAGCCAAGACTACAGCTTCGCTGACTTTATGGGTGAGAGTGAGGTTAAAATAACCTTTGATGTCACAGTGGAGGAAGATGCAGCTGAGATCGTCTTTCTGATGGTGTTTAAGACAAGTACAAGTGGAGTAAGTGCAAGTGGGGCAAGGGCAACGACAAGCGGCTTGGTATTGTTTGAGAACGACGCAGATGGCTCGTTCTCGAGACTCGGCTGGTTTTCGGGAGACGCCTCTAATTCTTGTTTCGATGGGATTGAGAGGAGAGATTTTGTGCTAGTTTAAAGACGACTAGGGCAATATCATGACCTTGGAAAAGTCAAATATGCGTGCCTTTCTTGATGTAGCCAAGAGTAGAGTCACACTCAAAAGCTATGGGTGACGTGTTTTCGAATAAGAGGGGCAGGGGGCTTTTTCATAGATTTACTATCCATCAACTTGTTCTTTGATTATACCTCTACAAGGCAGAATACGCGCTATAGTTCTTCTCCTTCCCTTTCTTTGATTCGGCGACGTCGCCTAGGTCTATCCGCTGCCGAGCTAGCCTCTTGTATCTAGAACCAATTTGATTCGCTTAAACGGCCGGGTAGTGTCTCCGCCTTATAAAACTGTCACTGGGCAGAGAAAGACTTTCCTGATCACAAGCGAGCCAGCCACCCACTTCGAAGAGGAGGTTTGCCGCAGGTCAGTGTCGGAGGGGTATCTCTCGCGAGCCGCACTTTGATCTGTGGCCGAAGTCTAGCCGTGCAACGCACATCAAATGAGCAGGGCCTATGTGGGACTGAGTAGTGCCTGCGCCCTATAGGGCTCCGGAAGCCGCTTACCAACAGAGGGCTTAAGTGTAATTCAAGATTTGTCTGCGACTTGCACGCAGAAATTCTCCATGATGTGAACAATAGCTAGCACTAAATATTCATTACCAATATGAGCAGAAAACTTGCCTAGTCTCATGCTTCTCACGCTCTCTCCCCCTATTCAGACTTTGGTGAAGAAGAAGACGTCACCGGCAGCAGTTCGTAGCCTCTAGCCCTCCTTCGAGTCACGCCCGCAAGATCATACGGCTTGGCCATGATGCCCAGCACGTTGAGCCACCACCGCGAGCGCTGGGCCACCCTCTTGCAGTTGACAAAGATGTGGCCGTTGAGCTCGATCTGGATGTCGCGCACGGCCGCGGCGCCCGCCGCCGCCTCGACGTTCTGCTCCCGGCGGGGGCTGTCGTGGGTGAGGAGCATGATGCGGGCAATGACCTGGTAGGCCTCGGAGCGCGAGTTGACAATGACGTGGATCATGGGCTCCGAGGTGCCGACCGAGGTGGTGATGTACGAGGCAATGGCGCGGCCAAAGACGGCGGCCGCGAGCAGCAGCGTCAGGGCCATGACGGCCATTGGCAAGGCCAGCAGCTGCGCCGAGGCGAAGAAGGCGGTGCCCGTGACGAAGACGGCAATGCTCGCCGACTTTGTCAGGAGCCGCCAGAACGACTGCGCGTTGAGGCGGCTGCCCTCGTCGCCCTCGCTGCCAATGACCGACACGATGATGAGGATGGCGTTGCGGGGCGAGGTCGTCTCGGTGCCGCTGATGATGTGCACGACGCCCGGCGTGATGGTCTGGAGCTGGCCGACCGCGCGCTCAATGGCCTTTCCGGTCTCAACGTTGGGTGAGATGGTTGTGTTGTCGCCAGATCCAGCCTTCTCCAAGGACTGGGTAATGTCTTCGCCACCCGTGACGCTGATTATGTATGGGACGTCGGACAGGAAGAGCTTGAATTGGTCGCTGAATGGTAACTGGGCCCAGTTCTCCGCGATGGCAGTCAGAGTTACTGTATGCGTTCCACGTCAGTTCTTAGTTTCGGCTTTGGGGAGAGAATGCAGGAGGCTCACCCATGAAGTACCACATGTGCATCCACCAACGCGAGACACTAGAAGGGTTGCGGTTCTTGTCAGTACCAGTACCGAGGAGCCAAAGCCTGTGGGGATAATGTGACTGACCACCACCAAGGCAGCACGGCGCCCTGCTCGACCACAGACATGGCGGCTTGCGAGCCCCCAAACAGCAGAAACATCCCAAAGAACCCAAGCCATATGTCCGTCTTCTTGAACCGCACGCTGTCGGGCGAGTGCATCTTCTTTTCGATCTGCTTGAGCAGGTTCTGTGTCACAACCTCCACCTCGTCTGCCTGCTTCGCGCTGTTGGTCTTTGACGCACCCCTTTTCTTGTTGCGGAGGCTGAAGCTCGAGTCCGAGTGCAGCTCCTTATTGAGGGACGGCTCGTAGTCTTCGACGCGAACCGGCAGGATGGCACCGCCAAAGGAGAGGAACATGGCCAGGACCCCACCGAAGGGGACGATTGTCAGGAGCCTCCAGATCTCGTTGGTGGGTGCTCCGAGCAGGGCTCCGATGGTGGGCAGAAGGGCCAGGACGCCAGATGCTCCGTTGTACTCGGCAGATCGGAGTTCGTTCAGGTTCGTGAGTACCCCGAGGAGTGTTTGGTAGCATTTAGCGTCTTGGTTGTTCTGCCGCACGCACACTCCTCGTGTGATCCACGGCCCGATCTTGAACATCTGTTGCGAATTGCCAACAAACTGGTCTGCCTCTGTCGAGCATTCTATCGTTGTGGAGTTGGGCTCCTGAGCTTTGACAATGTTGGCAAGGCAAGCAATAAGAACAAGTCGTATGTTGACACGCAGATTCGCAGCGTACTGTGACAGGGTCGTCATTGGCCAGCGTGAGACTGGTCGAGAACGGTCTTCGGAGGCGAAGATTGTTCTCCCAGTGTTTGCGGGTAGAGATGCCATCTTGCGCTACCTAGCCACAAAGTTCTGGAAGCGTGTTGACGCCGATGCTAGTTTCAGGGCAGCGAGCTGTCGCATCTCGCTAATCCTAAACACAGTCTATCAGTACTGGATGCGCGCACTTTTCATGAGCAAGATGGCTATACGCAGTATGTCCAAGTCATCAGTATTCTCCGACTCGGGTGAAGCACCCGAATGTGACAGAAAGCAAGTATCGGAGATTGCATGGGTCGCCCCGGTCGAAAGGTAAGCGCCATCCTTGCGAGCTGAAAGTACGCCTGCTGTTTGCGGGAATTCTGCTCCGATACTTCCAGGGTCAAACTCGTAAGGCTGCCCCAAAATCTCTCCCGTCCTGGCGTCGGTGGGTGTACGAGCATCCCTCCAGAGCCTCGTTTGGGGCGCAGATTCACAATCCCCCACCTTCTCGGATGGTGTCCTCGGGCTGACGGGACGGGATCATAAAAATAGCCCACGCAATCTCGATGGCATCGTAGTATATTGCTTCCAGCCCCCTGACAAGCGGCAGCCCTCGCTACCAGATTGGCCAGCCTGATATGCCACACCAGTGCGTGCATGAAATGTGATAACACAAGCCCTTCCCACCAGACGCATGCCTGTAACACAGGACTGCCCAGCACACAGCTGCGGAATCTCCTATTTTTCGCTTCCAATTCCACCCACCACGCGAACTCGAACAGACTCCGCATACAGTGCAGAGACATGGCATATCTGCGTCGGATCAACCCCGTAGTCGGCAGCCCCAACGGCGCGGCCCAGATACCACACGCATCCGTCGACAAGCCAGACGGACCCGCCTTGCGGTCCATGGCATCGGGTGAGCAGCAAAAAGGGCTCAGGACGCTGACCTGGGACGAACTCGAGCCATGGCAGCAAGACAACCACTTCATCATTCGTGGGTACCGCGCCGCCACCAACTCGTACGGTAGATCGCTCCAGAGCCTCGCCCACATACACAACCAAACCGTCAACATATGGAGCCACTTGCTTGGTGCTGTGGCCTTTGTTGCCGCGGCGTTCCTCCTGCACCAGCAGCTCCGACAGGCACTCCAATTTGACCTGGTGCTCTTTGGGGTCTTCTTCGCAGGCCTCCTCGCATGCCTCACCCTGTCTTCGGCATTTCATACATTTGGAAACCACTCCGAGGTGATCCGCCAGTGCTTTCTGCTCGGAGACCTCGCGGGCATCATCTTGCTTACCATGACAAGCTTCTACCCTGGAGTGTACTACGGGTTCTACTGTGAACCAGCCATCGCCAGATTCTACTGGGCAATGGTATGTTGACCCTCGCCCAACCCCGCAGCACATATGGGCTGGCTCCCGAACTCCTTGTTCCTCCCCCCGCTCTGACAGTTCCAATTACACGAAATAACAGATTACAATATTCGGCATTGGCGCTCTCATAGTCTGCCTCCTGCCCCAGTGCCAGCGCAAGCCGTGGCGCCACGTCCGCACGGCCATCCTCATCTCCATGGGCCTCTCGGGCGTTGTGCCTATGACCCACGCCGCGCAGAGGTTCGGCGTTCACCAGGCCGGCCTGCAGATGGGCTGGGACTGGTATGTCGGCGAAGGTATATTCTATGTCCTCGGCGCCATTATATATGTGGTTAGTGGTCCCTCTCTCTCTCTTTTCAACTTAATTATTGCTACCCGCTTCTTGTGTCACGGTCCTGGCGAACTTTCTACTGCAGAGTTATATTCCACTCTCGCCTGTCATGGCACCACTTTCGCCAAGTCTCTGCGATGATAGGCACTCTTGCTAACATGTTACGTCTCGCTCTTTCTAGAACAAGGTTCCCGAGAAATGGAAACCCGGGTACTTTGATATCTGGGGCAGCTCGCACCAGATCTTCCACGCATGCGTGCTGATCGGGGCCTGGTGCCACCTCAACGGTGTGGTCAAGGCTTTCAAGTACAATCATGACCCCCAGACGATGCGGTGCTAAAGAGCAAGACCATCGCCTTGCTAGGATTTTACCCTAGATTCCGATCCCCAAAACCGGACGTTGAGCATGAGCTCGCGCTCCCATACTATTCCAAAGACATGGTGGAGAAACCACTGAAACTGTCGAGGCGCAAATGCGGAGACGAAGTTGCCAGAAGTTGCCAAAACTCTGTGGGACAACGACCAAGCATTTGTTACGCATGGGGCTTCGATGCAGCCCCTACGTGATGCATCGTTGTATTGCCGTATCAAGTCGACGCCCTGCTACGCTAACAAGTGTCGTCCGTTCACGGTTTCGTGCGCGCGGACTGGCTTGTCCTATCCTCCAATTAAGTTTGCCATGGAGAGACCACAGCGACAAATGTGCGCGGGTTTGCGTTCGTCGTCGTCGTGGACCCCATGACATCACTCGTTAGAGGCAGTCTGCATGCCAAGCTTAACAAGCATGACCATAACTGGCCCACGGAATAGCTTACTATGTACTTAGCTAAGCATTATCTAGCCCTATACTATATCGCCATCGAACGAGTTATAGATCAAATATTAAAGTTGAGAGTTGAGCAGGCACGCACGTGCCAGCACGGCCTAGCTACCGCAGCAGCCCAAGAAGTAGCACGCTTGGTCGGCATCCAAACCTAGACGAGAATCAAGAAATCGCGTAAAGCACTCGCCAATAGGCAGACTGTGGTATCCAGATGGTATGTGAACCGATGTGATTGACCGATGCTGGGATGAGGATCAATTCGCGTCTCGAAGAATTTATGCTCGAGCCTACCTTTGTCACTTTCAGACTCTAAGGCAGTCATATATCGAATTGACGCCTCCTCAACTAGGACCAGTATATAGAGTGCAGATACATTGCGCGGTGTAGCCTCTCCTCTCAGCTACAATTCCATCCAGAGTCGCAGTCATAATCAATCGTAAGCAACCCAATTCAATATGTGCCACCTTCGGCATACAACCAGCATCAGTGGTTTAGTGGTAAAATCCATCGTTGCCATCGATGGGCCCCGTGTTCGATTCACGGCTGATGCATTTTTGCCGATGATCTTTTTTTTTTTTGGTTCTCCCGTCAACCCATCTGCCTACCCTTATGAGGAAGAGGAAAGAGGCAACGGGCGAAAGCTCTGGTTTTTGCTCTGGTGTATGACTCCTCCATGCTTGCCGTGTGCAGCCAGTTGTCTCAGGAACCGGCGGAGGATCATCTTGTTGTCTGAGGACCAGAGTTTCGAGCTAAGGGTGCACCCCGCCAACGCCTCCAGCTGCGCGCAGCTGCACAGAGCTGGTCTCGCATGAGGTGGGTCCTGGCCTGTCAGAGGCTGTTGAAATCTGGTGGGATGGAGACACGGCAGCCAAGCAAGAGAGCTTGGGGCTGCCATGCCAGCATGCTCGATGGCTCCAGGACCAAACCTCTATCAACCTGTCTTTGTGCGTGTTGCCCGTGTACGTATGTGATTGACCCCGACGCTGCACACCCTCACAACGACAAGACGGCCTGCCTGTCCAGCCGCCCCTGCCTCTCGTCCCTTCACGACGCCTTGCGACCTGATCCACCCTCCGAACCGCCTAGGCGACAACGATACATCAACTCCAGCGGGCACGCACCACCCAAGCTTCCTTCACATCTCAACCACAAGTCGCTCCTCCCTGCCGCCACCAACGCGACACATTCCACCTCCCCACGAACCCGCGCGGCCACTCCCTCAAAGCAGACGGTCTCCTCGCAGCCACTCATAGCTGCGTCAATCTCGCCTCGTCCTGTGGTCGTTTTCCCTGTCGCTTCCTGCGCATCTTTCAGGCGACGCACCTCGGGCACACGATACTCGAGCCCGAGGATTTCTGAGCTTCCTCGCGTAATCATCTCCCACGACGATCGAACGCACGCCGACGGTGCTTCCAGGCTGTACGAGGCTCGGGTCACTGCTCGGCGCGACGACAGTCCACACGTATTGAAGGGACTCGCCAGAGAGACAAGAAAGGGCTTACCCGCACCCAAACCCCTCTCTTCCCTTACTTCTACCCACCCGCCGCACGCGCCTATCCTCCCTCCTCCACCTCCATGGTTTCTCGGTATCCGAATCACAGCCAACAGAGATCTGGAACATTCTCGCCCGAATTCGCTCTTGGTCCCCGGCCATCCATTACTCCTACACACGGCGGTTTGCTCAGTTCCAGTGCTAGCCCTGGTACCAGCAGCCCAACGTCTGGGACGACTTCCCTGACAAGGATTGTCATTGCACAGGTCTATCTCCTTCTGGGCGCGATCAAGGACGACAAAGACCGCGCCAAGCGTCAGGTACAGGTTGAACAGCTTCGGAAACTCATCGATGATAACGGGATGGAGGTCTTTTCGAAATACTTCTCGCGCCTGGTCGCAAGCAATGCCTCCCAGATATTCCCCGGCGTCAGCCGGTCAGCGTCGAACCAGGGCAACTATTCGATACTCGTGACAGAAATGTCAAAGATCGCACGAGAGCCCGACCAGGCCGCAAAGATTGCAGAGTCCATCGAGACCGGAAGTGAAGACATCTTTCGTGATTTTGACCTCTCCACATTCATGGAGCACTTCAAACTCGATGCGCTGGAGAAGACGATATTAGCATTGGCATTCAAGACGGGCACTCGCTCTGACTTAAAGACCAAAGGTTCGTCGCCATCCCGGCACACTCAAGTTCCTCCCACCTAATGTTACAAGCTCGATTTGCTAACTCCCATTACCCATGTGTAGCTGACGCCATCTTGTCCACCAACTTCCCTACTTTTGTCAACATCATCTCGAGGCCGGACTACGCGCCACACGCGGACTTGAGCCCCTCCTTCATCGCTGCCATCGTCGACCGATACATCCAGGGCCATCCTCCGAACTTCAATGCCATGGCCAAGTCCGAATTAAGCCACAAAGTCAAGTCTCGCTGGCCGCCGCCTGATCAAGCTCCGCCAATGGAAGTGCTGGCCGCTCTCGATCTTATCCGTGTGCTTGGGGAAAAGCAGCCCAACGCATTGGCTCTCTATATACAGCGCACTGGCCCAGAGTTCACCCGTGACGAAGAGACATGTTACACGTACCTGCAGAAACGTGCAGCGAATATCCAGCTGACGGAGGAGCAAGTTTCGGCAGCTCTGACATACACGACCGTCAGCATCACGTATCGCCACAACCCTGCTGCGCTTGTTGCCGCCCTTCGCCGAGTCGTACCCGAATCGTTCAGCTGGCAAGAGGTTGTATCGTATTTTGACCAGCGAGATGTCAGAGTATCTTCAGAACAGTTCCTGCGCCTGTATAATGCGTTGCTGCCGATCGCACAAGCCCAGAACGACGATGCACCATTTGATATACAATTTCTCTGGGGAGGGGCACACTGGGACAACCCGGAAACTCAGCTCTCTTTCATCTGCGCATTTGCGTCTCTGAGCCCGGAGCAGTTGGATGCCAGCACGATTCCAAATTCGCAACCGACCTTCACTCTGGAGGACTACACCGATGCACCAGCCGAGGTGCGAGACAGAGCGGTGGTTGCAGTCAAGCACCCTCTGGTATCCGGGCCAGCTCTGGCGGCCATCTTCCAGGTCGCTCTGCACTCCTTGCATGCCTCGCAGAGCACGGAGGCAAAGCGGCTCTTCCAGGGTGTAGTGGTGCCCAACCTGGACATCTTCATCGTTTCCGCCTTTGGCGTGCCTAAACCCTGGCCGCCAATGGCTGTGGAAACTCTGAACCCGTTGTTTGAAAGCTTCCTCTACCGCCGTACAGAGAATTATGACTTCGTCCTGTACAGCCTGTGGAAGAAGGACAAATCCTGGGTGAAAGAGAGACTGTCCAATGCTCATGCCACAAAACCCATGGATCTCGGGATAATCGCGGAGCATGTCATCAAGCACAACTGGTTGGATGAACTCGTCTACCTTCCCACTGGGTTCGGCTACGATCTGGCAGCCTTAGCCCATGCTGAGGGCTACTTGGACCTCACCGAATGGGCCCACAACGGCGCACGTGACCCGCGCTCCCTTCTGCACTTCTTGGGCATCAAAGCGAACCATGAGTTGCAGTATCAACGCTCCTCGGACGACGAGCCAGTCCAGAAGACGACGACCAGTTTGCAAGTCAAGACGGTATCTGCGCTGCTTCAGATCTTGGAGGATGCCATGCCGAGAAGCCCGGTGCCGGATCTGATAGCCCTTCAGAGGCTCTGCATCACCGCTTACCCCCGTCTTATCAATTACGGGGAAGGCTACGATGACATCATTGACGCGAACGGCAGAGATGGCAACGCACTGCCTCCGGCTGCCAACCTCAAGATGGAGGAGCATTATAAGAAAATGTACAGCGACGAGACTGAGGTGAAGGTTCTGGTCCAGCAGCTCGAAGAGTACAAGCGGTCGCAAAATCCCCTGGATCAGGACATCTTTGCCTGCATGATCCACGGCCTCTTTGACGAGTATTCGCACTTTGTCGACTACCCCCTCGAAGCTTTGGCAACCACAGCCGTGCTTTTTGGTGGTGTCATCTCCAAGAAGCTAATCTCCGAGCTACCCCTCAAGATTGGTCTCGGCATGATTCTGGAGGCAGTGCGCGATCACCCACCGGACCATTCTATGTACAAGTTTGGTCTGCAGGCATTGATGCAACTCTTCCCCAGATTGCGTGAGTGGGCTGGTTTCTGTACACAGCTGTTGGCGATCCCGGGACTGCAGGGCACAGAAGCCTGGAGGCGTGCCGAAGATGTGGTTCGAGAAGACGAAGAGGACCGAGTGCGCAACCAGAACGGTTCGGGCTCCGGCGAGCACAATGCCGCGGACGCTCTCGTCAACGGTGGTGATGCGCAAGATACTCTGGTCGCGCCATTCTCTGCTCTTGGGATTGATCCCCCACCGCCAGGCATCCTGTTCGAGGACCCTGTTGTGGACGTGCAAGACAAAGTGCAGTTTGGCCTCAACAACTTGACAGCGTCTTCACTGCAGTCAACCTTTAAAGAACTCGAAGAGGTTCTTGAAGAACGCCATCAGCAGTGGTTCGCCAGCCACCTCGTCGAGGAGCGCGCGAAAATGCAACCCAACTTCCACCATGTCTACCTCGACTTCCTCAAGCTCTTTGAGCGTCAGAGCCTCTGGGCCGAGGTTCTTCGCCAGACATACATCAGTGTGACGAGAATGCTCAATTCTGAAAGCACAGCGTCAAGCACGATGGAAAGATCCCATCTCAAGCACTTGGGAGCGTGGCTTGGTCTCTTGACTATTGCTCGGGACAAGCCTATTCTCCACCGCAACATCGCATTCAAACAGCTTCTCATCGAGGCTCACGACACGAAACGGCTCGTGGTGGTCATTCCATTTGTCTGCAAAGTCCTCATCCAAGGTGCACGCTCAACCATCTTCCGACCGCCAAACCCGTGGTTGATGGCTATAATCCATCTCCTGATCGAGTTGTACCACGACGGGGAGCTGAAATTGAACCAAAAGTTTGAGATTGAAGTCCTCTGCAAGGATCTCAGCTTAGACCATAAGAGTATTGAGCCCTCTCGGGAGCTCGAAGAGCGCGGTCCGGCCGAAGACGCTGCTCAGCTTGGACAACTTGTGGTGCAGGACACCCTTGACCATTTTGACAGCCTGTCTTTGAACGGGATGGCAAGCACTGTGCCCACGGGACTTTCGCCACACAACATTCCTGTGACAATCCCAGACATCAGTCACGCTCTGACTTTGCCACCGACCAACGAGATGGTCGTGAATCACGCCAGGCTCCACGACATTGTGCGGACCGCCCTCACTCGTGCTTTGCAGGAGACCATCCAACCTGTCGTTGATCGCAGTGTTACTATCGCTGCAATCAGCACACAACAGATGATCCACAAAGACTTTGCAACAGAGCCTGATGAGGATAAGCTGCGACAGTCCGCCATCAGCATGGTCAAGGCGACAGCCGGTAGCCTCGCACTCGTCACCTCCAAGGAACCGCTGCGTGCCACCATTACCAATGGCATGCGTAACCTTGCTCGGGATTTGCCACAGGGGCTGCCGGAAGGTACCATTATCATGTGTGTGAACCTGAACCTGGATCTTGCCTGTGGCATCATTGAGAAGCAGGCGGAAGACCGGGCTGTCCCAGAGATCGAGGAAATGATTGCTGGAGAAGTTGAGGCTCGTCGCCGCCATCGCCAACAGCAACCCGGCACCCCATTCATTGACCCGGGCTTGAGCCGCTGGGCGATGACCATCCCTCATCCATACAAGCTTACTCCCAACCTTCCGGGTCTGAACCCAGAACAGATGGCCATCTACGAGGACTTTGCTCGCCAGCCTAGAGGTACAGCTCAGTCTGGCCCGACCCATGCAGCATCAGCATCGGACGCCACCAGAAGCATTGCAAACGAGGTACTGCAAGAGTCGTACTCGGCTGTTCCCAGCGTTCCTACCCCGGCCGAAACACCTTCTGTGCCACATTTGAGCACGCAGTTGCCATATGCGCAGCATGCCGGATTAACGAACGGTCGGCAGGCTGCTCCGCAGGGCCCGCTTGACAGCAAGGCTCTTGTAGACAAGATGCAAAAGATCTTGACTGAGCTTGAGCGCGCTGCGACCGAGTCCACAGAGGAATCTTTCCCGGACCTGCCCCGCCCTCACCAGGTCATGGATGCGGTCGACACTTTTACGCAGCTGATTATCAGCCAAGAGTCCGTGGAATTCGTCGCCTATGCGGCCGACCGAATCACAAGTCTTTTGTTCAATCCCCAGATCACGCACACTCTGTTCATTGAAAGCCTCATCCACATCCTTGATCAACTCCTGCAGCTGTCTCACCGCTTGACGGACAGTTACGGTCTTGATGACAAGGTCAAGCAGAAAGCAGCATCGCAACCGCCAGCGGGCATGCTCAAATTGCCCTTGCTCAAGGCTCTTTTGCCAACCGGCATCTTGAACTTGCAGAGCATCGACGAGATGATGGCCAGCGCATTGAGCCAACAAGAAGAATGGGGTCTGAGTTTCCTCGAGCAGCTGTTCGATATCGCTCTGTTCAATGAGCGCCCCTGTGCCTTGTATGCCGACTTCCTCCAGAGTCTCTCAGTTTCCTGGGACTTGATTGCCGAAGACCCGAACTCGGAAGTATCGCAACGCCTAAAGGCGAAGTTTATGGGGTCCGGTATCCCTGCGCCAATCAGGAGCGAGGGTCAAGATGGCGACAGAGACCAGCAGGAGCAAGCGGAGTACTTGTTTGAAGAATGGCTGCACCTCGTCAGCAACCCCCATTCAACAGACAAAGTCCTTAGTGCCATGGTCAATCAGATGCGCGCGCGTGGCCCGCTCTCCAGCAAGGACGACTTCCTGGTCTTTGTCCGTGTTGCCATTGACAGTGCTGTCACTGCGTACGAGCACGCGATGCATCTGGGCTCAAGCAATCACGATGCGTTGGATGCGGCTGACGGGCTCGTCAAACTTGTCTGCATATTTGCCCGGGAGAGTGCACAGACGTCCGAGAACGATCAAACGACCACCCTCGCGATCCTTGATGCCGTCATGGGCATTGTGACAGTAGTACTCAATCATCACCACCTCGTCCGCGGCGAGATGTTCTGCCAGCGTGTGTTCCTCCGCATTTTCACCATGCTGCTTCACGGCACGGACGGCCTGTTTGCGGAAGCCGCATCGTCTTCTCGCCAGGAGTTCCTTCTTAGCTTCGCAAAGACGATGTCGGTGCTGAATCCCGAGCGGTTCCCTGGGTTCGCGTATGGCTGGTTGACCTTGGTTGCCCACCGCCGCTTCGCCCCTGAGCTCTTGCTGATTGAGAACAAACGCGGTTGGGCACCCTTCACCAAGCTAGTTTCCAGTGCTCTCAAGTCTGCTTGTGAGCCGATGAAGGGTCTTGAGGTGCCGGAGGTTGCCAAGGAGTTCTATCGTGCCGCCATCAAACTCGTGCTTATTATTCAGCACGACTTCCCCGAGTACATTGCCTCGAGCTCGTCTGCGCTCTTGGCCAGCGTTCCGCCGCACTGTCGACAGCTCCGCAACGTGCTCATCAACTGCACCCCTGCGGAGCTCGCCTTGGAGCACACTGAATCTCAAGAGAGCTCTCTCTCGTATCTGCGTGACGCCGGCTTGCTTGAGATTCTCGAACAGGTCTTGCAGGACGGCCCGTCCGAAGATGCCATTGCACACTTGACGCACGCGATCTCGCGCAGTGGAGTGCACGAGACGACATTTGGCAACGTGCCTCTCAGCACGAACACGAGACTGGTCGACGAGATTGTTGGCTTTATTGGCCACCGCGCCGTCAATCGATATCATCGCGAGTCTCTGCAATTTTCGCCGGGCTCGCCAGACTACGCCACCATCTCGCTGCTTGTCCACGAGTTGCAGCCTGAAGCGCGATATTTCTTCCTCAGCAGTATCGTGGACCGACTTGGATTTCCTGGGCCACTGACTGAATACTTTACCATTGTCCTCTTCGAGCTATTTGGTCGGGATGCCAATGATCTTGAGGAGGCGGACATCCGCCAACAGATTGTCCGAATCCTGCTCGAGCGCGTTTCCGGCTTCTGGCCTCAGCCTCCTGGGCTCGTGAGGGCCGTGCTGGATCTTATCCGGGACGACAAGCACATGTTTTTTGAGCAGCCATTCATCAAGGCTGATCGCGAGGTACGTCTATGATGGGAGCCGGCTCTTGTGGCTTTGGACTGTCTTGTACTGACTTGTGTAACACCAGACTGCCGAGCAATTTCTCTCCATTCGATCGTAAGTCATCTCTGTGAGATGACTACATACCAATAGACTATGTAATAAGCAAGGAGGCTTGCATGGCAGGCAGGCGGAGGGAAGGATTCATAGACAGTTTGGGTCTGTTATGCAAGCGGGCTTTTGCCATTTTGATATTGTTCGGCGTCACCACAAGACGGGGTCAACTGCATTTGGCAAGGACATGTATTCCCAACGAAAGAAGAAAGCATCGTAAGGCGCAAGGCAGGGAAGAAGAGCAATGAAATCTTCACGATGAGTGATTGGTGGCCATCGCCTTGATTAGCTTGGCCAAGTCACTGGAGCATCATCCCTTTGTGTAATCATATAGTCTGTCCAATGGCGGACGAAGTGGGCAACGGACGGTTGCGCTCTGACAACGACAAATGTACCAAAAGAAAACTATAAGATTAATCTACCTTGTCGTGTTTTTAGTGCCTCCCAGTTCCTTGTTGGTTCTCCGTGCTTGCAAATGGAGTGGGGAGGGCAGAGTTCGATAATGACGAGAACGAGGTGACAGGTTACATCACGCTGGTGATTGTGCCACGCTTGTAACTGCTTGTGAGAAGAAAAGTGGTATATCTCGGCCGAGACGCCTGACTAAACAAAGAAACACACAATCATAAACCTGCCAGAACACGGGTGTATATCAAGACAAATGAGCACATCAAAACGACCGCCCTGCCTGTAAGCAAGCGATCGACCATGTCAATCCTTCCAAACCCCTCAAACCTGCCTTCCGCTCACTTTTTTTTTCTTCTTCTTTTCTTTCCTTTTTGTCCTTTCTTTCAATCCTTCACTCATCATTAACCTTGATCAGAATACTCCCGACCCCGTCACCTTTACCCCACGAGGTGTGGGCCTGCCTGATGTCCTCCATGTCCCAGACCTGCTTGATGGGGATCTTGAGCTCGCCCGCGGCGAGCATGGCGAAGAGCTTCTCGACGTTGGGGCGGAAGCTCTTGTCGTCGCGGGAGATGTACCAGAAGGAGGTGGAGCGCGAGTCCCACAGCTTCGCGTTGAGGGCGAGCAGCTTGACGATGCCCGAGACCTGGGATTGGGCCGGCGTGGCGGCGGCGGCGGATCCTTTGCTCTTGCCGTCTTCTTGGGGTGTTGGTGTGGGCTTGGTGAGGTTGTGCAGGTTTCCGCCGTAGCCGACGAGGAGGCCGCCACTCTCGAGCCCGGCGGAGGGGGAGGAGTCGCCTCCCTTTACCGGTGCGGCCGGCGACGTCTTGCGCTTCAGGATATCGTATGACTCGCCCCAGCTCTCGAAGCCGAGGGCGTCAAAGACGACGTGGGCCCCGCCGAGCTCCCGCATCGCCTGCATCCAGCGCTTGTCGGTGTAGACAAAGGACGTGCCCCCCTCCTTGCGGATGAGGTCATGCTTGGACGCCGAGGCGGTGCCGTACACGGCGGCCCCGCGGAGCCGGCAGAGGGTCAGGAGGGCCCAGCCGACAGCGCCGCTCATGCCGTGCACGAAGACGCGCTGGCCGGCGCGGACCTTGGCGTGCTCGACGAGGCCCAAGGCGGTGGTCCAGTCGAGCATCACGGCCGTGGCGGACTGCGGGTCGACGGCGTCCGGGACGGGGATGAGGTACTTCTCGGGGAGGTTGACGAGCTGGGCCTGTGCGTCGTAGACCGTCAGGCTGGCGACGAGCTGGCCCGGCTGGAGGGGCCGGCCACCTGTGGCTGAAGAATTGCTGGTCCCGAGCCCGAGGGCGACGACGGTGCCGACGAGGGAGTAGCCCGGTGTCAGGGGCGCCTTTTTCTGCATCGGGTAGACGCCCTCGCGCATGTTGATGTCGGCCCCGGAGAAGCCAGAGTACAGCGGGCGGACCTGGACCTCGCCGGCCTTGGGGGGGTCGATGGTCGCGTCGATGACGCTGAGCACCGAGATGTCCCCCGCGCCCGAGATGAGGACCTTGCGGATGGGTTTCGAGGAAGCCATGGCTGCGTGTGTGTGTGTGTGTGTCTGTGGTCGAACAACTTGGGTATCTTTGGTTCCAGTTTCCTCTCTCTGCTGTTCAGGGGAGGGTCTTGAATGAGGCTGTATGCAATGCGACTTGAGGTTGAGTGGTGGTAGTTATTATTGTAAGGGGCTTGCTACTGTCGTTGGCAATGTCGATACTTCCAGAGTCCTGAGTTTGTGAGCAGGTCAATCTCTTTATATACTTTATATGTATCCCTTTGCCTCAGCAGCCGCGGGTGTTGGTCTGCAGTTCAGCCCTGGTGGCCACACACCCTTCCCCTCCAAACAGACCCTGAAAATAGCATCTGCCGGCTTCATGTTCCTCCAGGCAGCGAATGACACGGCTGCTGTGCTGTAGTTCCCCCGGGCTGGCCTCGACCCGGACACATATTGCGCAGGGCTGGTTTGCGTGGGCGGCGTCGAATGTGGCCCGAACAGGCCTAGCGGCACCCGAGAACTCGGCGGGCGATGCAGGGTTAAGCTTCGTCCCGGCAGGCAGGCAGGCACACACACACACACAGTTGCGAGAGAGCGGGGCCCGAGCTGTGTGCGAAAGCAGCCCGAAATCAATCCTCACAGCCGCAGGTGTGGGGGCCCCCGGCAGTCAGTCGAGGCAGGTGGGGCGTCCGGAGCCCGGGGGATCCACATGTCAGGCCCGGCCTGATTGTTGCTCCACCCCCATCCGCGAACTGTCATGCCGGCTGACAGGCACCGAGATGTTACGTCAAGGCCCCGGCCGGGTATGAGCGGGCGTTTGGCTGCCTGCATAGTCTATACGTTGGGGTCCGATCGGAGACAAGACGCAGCCGGAGGTGATTCTCCTTCGGAAAGACCCGGGCTGATTTCTTGCCGGTCCTGGACACGTCCTGGTCACATTCTGCCTAGGTACCTACGTAGTTAATACTTCCGGCTCTTGTTGACACGTCAAGCCCAACTAATCAGACTGGATCACAACCTGCAGCAGATTTTTCCGGGAACAGCAGGCACCAAGGTACTGTGCAGCGTCGAAATTGGTGTGTAAAAGCATGGAGCCAGGTCAGAGATCTCATCTGTGGCCTTCCAGATCGTTTCATCTTAAAACTGAGGACCCCGATACACTCTTGTGATTGTGCACATGCTACAGGCAAACCGATCACGAGAAAACATTGGGTTCAATAAGTACCAAAGTCAGAGTACGTCGGTCACTTCATCAAGCATGTTCACCTTCCGTCAACAGTACGACCAAGGACCAAGCATACAGCTTATCACAGGTATACCGAGGAACAGTCCCGCCATAGCAGTCAGAGAGGTGGGGGGGGATTTCGCCAAATATTGTGAGAATACTCCGGAGATATTGAACTTTGGCTCGGGCGGATTATGAGAAGACGTCTTTCAACTACCCGCTATGATGTTCAACGACACGAAGGCGATACTCGCACAATCTTGATACAGCGGCGTGTGTCGATGAACAACGAATAGCGAACAACGCATAAATGGATGAGATAGTCACTACTCCGGCTTGTGGGCACGAGAACCCTCTCTTGGGAAGTATAAACCAAGCACGCGAATTTCCCAGAGTCCTTTAGCATTTCTGAAGCCCCCCGGAGCACTTTTTTGTTCGTTCAAGTAGACGGGCCGAGCCCCTTGAGTCCAGCGGCAGAATTTACTGCTGTCCGAGCTTGGAAACTTGACAGACAAGCCGAGCCACGTACCCACGGAACCGGCAGACCGGACTGCTGGCTCTATGACTTGATCTATGCTCGTCGGCCTAGTCCATGAATTCCATAGGTTCAAAAAACCTCGGGAGGACTCGCCGAAAGCGCGGTGCTGGCTGATCATGGATCGAAAGCGCGGTGCTGGCTGATCATGGATCGTCAGCGCCTGGTTTGTCCTTATATTTCTCGTATATACCCGGTATGACCGGGAGAGGGGAAGGATACATGCTTATACGAAGGCAGAATTCGATAGTGCTGAACAACCGACACAGTCGCGAGAAGCAGCAAGTCCTGGCACTTGGTACAAGAAGGAAACCCATATATAGGACTCTATGACAAAGGGATCGGAACAGGACTGTATGCTCGCCTTGCATGAAGCTTTGCTTGGAACCTCCATCACGCGTATGCCAGGGGTTGAGAGAACGGCGGAACTCAGAAAATGGAGCCAGTTCGCCACAGTAGTCTTCCTTCGGCGATACACAAGGCTTCCTATTACTTTCATTTGACGATGAACTATCCCCCATTTGCCTAGATGGAGGGCTTTGAGGCAAACCTGGAACAACCGAGGCGGCCCGCTCGGTCCATCTGCGAGGACCAGAAAGCAGACGCACTCACGGGGCATGAAGCAATGTCCACTGCTGAAGTGATAGCGTGAAGTATCGCTGGAAGAGCAGCTGTGTTGATCATAGGAAGACTGTGTTCTGTCTAGTATTGCATCATCAAGTCCGATTCTATTCGCAAACAAAGAATACCAGTGCAAAACTTGAACGAACGGTTTTTTTTTATTCGCATCTTGTTTTCTTTTCAGAGCTTCCTGGATCTGCAACCTTTCTTGTTTAGTAGCTGCAATCATCACCAGCCTGACACAGTTGAATGACAGCCGTCTTGGTGCCCCGAACACGTATGGCGGCTTGATGTTTGAAGAACATAAGAAAGTCATTCGATGTGGTGCTCTGCCAGAATCCCTTGGCTGCAGACTTGAGGTGGCTTACCAAATCTGGAGATGATTCGACGCTCCAAGTCTTGCTGCGCGACAGGATGCATATCTCGAATTTCCATGCCAACAAGCGCAATGCTGATCAAGTCTCTTGAAGGCATGTGGCGTCGCCAGTGTACATCAGACTCCTCTCCAAATGCTGTCACCATGAGCGACGAAACCTTTTTGGTTTGCTGAACTATCCATATTTGGACATCACGACACTGCCCCCTTCAGCTTGGCACGTTCCAGTGCATCGCGCATCGAGCCTTACAGCACTTACAGCGGAAGTGACGCCTGCATGGCCGAGGGTCCGCCAGGCGGTTTCAATGGGTTCTTTTGTCGGCCACCCTCACAGATAGCTCAAGAAAGCTACCCAACAAGCGTGCAGAATCAAGAGAGCTGTATGTCTCTGATTGGAGACTTGGAGGGGTGGAACATGGTTTGGAGCCACATGGGTTGGCGGGCTGACAAGCTCATGGAAGGGAGTATTGATGTCGTCGAACACATGGGACGTGCGTGGGTCAAACTCTAATCGACAAAGGCGAGCTTGCGCGAGTCATCCGAATCACGTATCCAGGATCTGATCTCTGTCGAGTCGAACCAGAAACGCCGGCCACTCAACCATACCTTGCAATCGGCTCCAGAGAGAAGTTGTGCAGGCAGGCCGTGGCTGGATCGGGGTTCGCTTATCTGTAGACCGCGCGAGTGGTGGCCAGCCAAGGAACAGCTGATGATATCCTGTAGCTGGTCGTGGTAGTGCGTATCTCGAGCTCATGTTGGTTGTTGGAGCGATCACGATTGCCAACAGGGTGGGCCGCCTGACAAGCTGGTGACTGAGCGAGAATGGCTGATGTGCATTCGTGATGGTGTGCCGTGCTATTATGGTAAGTGCCTGGCATGGACTGCGACTTGACGCTCGACAAAGGTCCGCTCGCCGATGAACAAGTGGTCCGGATAACGCAAGGACAGCCCGGGGGAGTCGTTCCTGCATGCAAGCTAATGTCGAGCGCAAGACAAAGTGGTCCTGGTGGGTGGGTAGTGTGGTGGGTGCAGTCGACTGTGGGGTTGGGTGGTCGATGGTGGGTGGAGGAGGCTCATGATGGCAAACAGGTGAATCACGATGGCAACGAAGACCAGACGACAGCTGCAACTACAACACCCTGGCCTGCAGCTGCGAGTCATCAATGCCTGTGAGCCAGCAGGAGTCGTGACGCTGATGTGGACGGAAGGACCGAACCCAAGACCACCAAGTCGTGATCGCAGTTAGGCGGCTGTTTTCCTGTGCATCACACCACCACATCGCTTCTGGCGAGCACGAAGCACAAACGGCAACACTTTTGACCCATACTAGGACCGTCTCCCGCGAGGAACGCATCCCGAGACTGCGCGATCGAACAGCTTCAGCACACCCAATCTCCTGCAAGCGTGGCCGCGACAAAGACCTGGTTGCACCAACGACAGTACACTAGCCGAAGTGCGGTGCAGAGCCCATCCCGCCTGCCCAGCAACGAGTCAGACGAAGCAGCACATTGCCCAATCAACAGCCAGGTTTTCGCGGCGGCTCACTGGCGGCAATCGCCATTGGCAGACCTTTTGTCCACCAAGCGACACCCAGCAGCGGCTCGTGCGATACGAGCCTCAACAAAGCTGTCGTTGATGTGACGTCGGCTGCGGTTTTGAGCGTAGGAGACTATTCGTGTGAGCCAAGGCGTGCGTACCTCTCGGCAGGTTTGCCTTCTGGTTGGCCACCAGCAATGTCGCTCGCAGGATATGGCAACCTTGACAGCGGCCAATTGAGGCAGCAGTTGTGTGTGTCAGTGCTTGGTTGCCCTCAGACCGTGCCTCACGGAAACCAGCACGACGACGCAGTTCCTCGACCCAAGCCCTTGTATGGCCGTCTCAAAGGGCTCGATAGTCACCTGGAGACTCTGTGCCGAGTTCCCCTGATTGGTGGTCATGCACATCACAACAAAAAGCCCTGACGTCGAGTCGAGGTAGACGACCGAGACCTTTTCCAGAGCATCTGCAGGCTTCCCCACCTGCTGCTCATCTTGGCGGGTCCCAACCTCTCTCGGTGTCAAGCGCAACCCAGGCATTGGCTCCCGCCCAGCAGTCGTGCATCCGATCTCTGACGTAATCTCGCCCCTTGGCGACTCTCCAAGTACAGTCTTCGCTGTCATGTTGTGGTCCCAGGCCGACGCTGCTGCCTTTTGGTGCGCTTCGCAAATCGACGCCATGGCTCTCTACGCTCAACCGATGGTGCACATCAGGTCGCCGCGGACACTGCTGCAAGCAGCATGGCATGACACTTGGTCTGATGCGCCGAGGGAGCAAGCAGCTGCAAGCGAGGCGTCACAAATGGATCTGTTTGCATCGCAGACCGCCTTTTTCTGCCTCGGGGGCTGCAAGGGACCCTTGCCGCTCCCGCTGCACCTCAAAATATCCTGGGCGTTTTTTTCGGAATGCTCGAGCGCCAATGGATGGGCGCCTGCTCCTTGCACAACGAGAGACGAACAGCAGGAACGGCGACAGAAAACAGCCCCAAGCCACGGTCGCGGCGACTGGGCGAATGATGCAGAGGGAACATCCAGTTCCGCGTATTGACTGGCCAACCCTCGACAAAGGCTATCGTACGCCCTGGACAGCAGCAGATCACGAGTGCGCCAATTACAGCCTCATCACACGGCATCACGTCGTCCCTATGCGTGTAACAAACACTTCTCTCGAGGTTGTGGACTCATAACCACGAGGCATATGAGGTTGACCCACCAGTCGCGCGAGTTTGATTTTTCTTGTCCTTAACTAGGAAGCAAGCCGACAGTTACCAAGTTCTCTGCAGCGTGCCGGACTAATATCCCAAGGAATTAAGATCAGTGACACACGAGATCCAGATGGGCCTTTTGGACCCTGAAAACTTCGTAGCGCCGACATTGGCACTGTGTAGCCTTCGCCGAGGCATGAATCAACAGCGGAGCTCATACTGCGTGTCACGACTGTCCGTGGACTATTGGACGTCAGTAACCATGAACAAGCTCGAAATAACCAGGCCTTTGAAAGATCCGTCGTTGGTACGCCTGGCTGAACCGTAAATTGCGCTTCCAGCGATCATCCAGATGGGAAGCATGATACAGACGTTCCCAAGAGGCATGTCTCACAACGAACAACAGGCCAGCCGGATGATCATGCGCTGGAGCCCGCGCGTGCACCTGGGCACTGTATGAATGAGAAGCGGAGACGACCCTCGTGCTCCAGCAGTCAAGACCCACGCCACAGTTGTCTCAGATGGGTCAGACAAGGGAGCATCCCTGGAGCCACGCGCTAGGGCCGAGGTTGGGCTAACAGCGCAGGCCGACAAGACACCACACGGTCCTGTCGTCCCCAGAGTGGTTTGCACAGCAAGTGCGGGTGCCCGGCCCTTGGGACGTGAAGGATCCGTTCGAGCCCGTTCTTCAGGGTCTCTGCTTAACCGCCGCTTGCCCGTTCCAGCCTGCAGCTCGAGAAGGCGGTGATGAATTGTCCACCACGACGCTATCCACAGGCGCATTGGTCTCCGGGCAATACTTCGTTGGCTAAGGCTTACTGACGGTCCCTGACCGCATTCTCAGTGCTACCTAATTCGTCTCGACAGACCGTGCCTCAGACAGGTACCCAGCTAGTCTAGTGGGGGACATGGACAGCCAATCGAGGCGTGTTACTGCGTCTGCAGGACGTCGCAGGACTGGTGTGCAATGTGAAGAGCCGCGTGCCCACGGGCGACCCCGATTCAAAGGCGGGCACGAGGCGAATGCCACGGCAAAAATGGCAGACAGTCCTGATGGGAGTCTGCTGGATGCGGGATGGAAAAAGGGCCGACGTTGACGGGAGAAAGGCCTGACAGGGCGGTTTGCGGGCTTCCACGCACGAGCGCCCAGAGGCTAGCTAGCGAGATCCGACTCGAGAGGAACGACGGAAGGCAACATGCCAGGCTGGATGGAGCACCGAGGGCGCCGGGCCCAACGGCAGCGCAAAGCAGCTAGCGAGTGTTAATTTGCTCATCAAAGACACGACGGCGCCGAAAGAGCGAAAGGTGCGAACGGCGTGCTTGGTGAGGGCGAGTGGACTTTGCTATTGCTGGGTTGTCCCTGCACCACCACCACCACCACCTCCCGCTCCTCCCTCTCTCTTTTTTTTTCTTTTCCTCTTTTTCCTCTTCTTTTTCCGCCGTTCCCGGTGGGTCTTGGCTGTGGGTCGCCGACCCGCAGTCATGACTAGGATCTGTCTGATCGAGCTCCGCAATTGCTTTTCTCGTCTTTGCGTGTTAGCCCATTGGCTGGCAGCTGCATCACACCAGCCCACCGCGCACGCATGACGAGAAGTACCTGCCCCACCCGGGCCTGGTGCCGCTGTGGTGGCAGGTCTCCACTGGCGATACCTGCGAAGGTCCCGCGCTACAGAGACTTGACGACGCCCATGACGGGACTTGTTGCCCGGGAGACCCACTCTGCAGAGCCCTGATGTCGGCCTGCAGAAGCGTGCTTAGGTGCAGCCCACCCGCCCTTGCCCGGCGCCAGGGTGCCCTGCCAGCGGACTCCGCTCTCATGCAGCGCCAGACTGGCTTGTCCCCGTCCTGGGCAGAGGAGCGCAGCAGGGAAAGGGAAAAAAAAAAAAAAAAAAAGTGAGGAGGACGGCCCACCGCCTTTCCTAATCCTGCACAGCGCCCGTCGCAAGCGCGAGCCGGCGCATTCGAGCATTCCCGCGCTCCGTCACTGCGTCGCAACACGGCCAAAGGCCCCGGCCGTGCTCGCCTCCGCCCCAGCCAGAAAAAAAGAAGCTGTGGAGCTTGCGCAGGTCACTGCCGGATCGCTCCTGCCTGCCTGCCTGTCTGCCTCAGGCGCATGCGGCTGCTCTGGTCGTGCGACCTCGTCCACTCCAAGCCTGGCAAGTGCCCCAACCTAAAACTGGCGCATTTGTGCGGCCCGCTCCTAACAAACGCGCCATTTCTAGAGTGGTGAGCCTCGCCTGGCCTAGTTGTCTGCCTGTCCTGTCCTGTCTGATCATCACCACTCCCTTGTCCTGTCTCTCCTCCTACGCTTCTTCTTCGCTGCTTGCGCGTGCACTGACCTCGCCTTCCCCCCATCCATCCTTACCATTTCCTCCCTTCGTGACCCCAAAACAAAACATCGCCGTACTTTTTGCCATTCCCGCCCCGGACCCTGGCGCCGCCCGGCCACGCACTGTCGCAGCTTGCATCATCCCGCCGCCGCTTCTCGCCTCCTCCCAGCCTGCGCCGCCGCCGCCGCCGCCGCTCCATCACCGCTCCTTGACCTACCTGCCCGTCTTGTCTTGGCCCGGCTCTGGACTCCGTCTCCAGCGACACGCCCCCAGCCTGGTCCTTCTGGGTTTCCTCCCCCGGCATGCTTCCGACCTCTCCGCTCCCTCCTACATCCATATAATACACTTCTGCCACCTCCTCAACCCCTTCCGCTATCAGCCATGCCGTACAATACCCGTCGCAAGTCCCTGTCGCTGCCGTCCCTCGGTATACACATCCCGCAGTCGCATCCCAGGTCCAACAAGTCAACCTCGTCGTCGAAGAATACCAACACTTCCCCGTCCAAGATGGCCCTTACAAGACCGGCGCCCGACCACGACGCCCCAGAGCCCTCGAGCAAGAGGATAAAACGGTCGCACGATGTCGACGTCAGCTCGCCCGCCCCCTCGTCGGCCGCACACTCCAAGCCCGTCGTCACAGCCACGAAACGAAGCCCTCCGTCATCGCCTCGCTCCGGGGTCAAGAGATCTATTGAGCGGGACGATGCCCAGCATCTACCCACCATGAAGCCCATCGACCTGAAGAAGGTCAACGATGAGATTGTCGAGGCCGTCATTCTCCGACTCCAAGACACCCGCAACCGCCCTCAGCTCATCAAGGATCTCTCTACCGCGCTTATCAACAAGCTCCAGGTTGTCAAGACGTGAGTTCACTTTTCTGTCCTTCATGAGGAACGCCGCCCGGTAGATCAAAGCACTGACAGTCCTAACTCTAGTTCGGCCAACCCGTGCTCCATTATTTCTTCCAGACTTGCTGCTTTCATGAAGCGCTCGTCTTGGTCCGCCTCCTCCCCTTGCCCACTTGCCAAGGAGTTGGAGACTGTGCACCCTCGGCGCACTTACTACTACTTGACCACATGCCCTCACCTTCCCCTGCCGGATGCAACGTCCTCGCAGCTTAGCACCACTGTCACCCCGTCCCTGGCAAGCTCCATCTCCACTACCGAAGAGACCGAGAGCGACCGCAGGAGAGAGCTCAGCATGTCACCTGAGGTTGACCTGTCTTCTCCCGAGTTTGATGACATTGACGACGAGGTTCCCATCCCTGGTACCCCCATGGGCTCTGCCTCGGGACGGCAACGTCCAGTCCACAACGTCTCGCGGGCGCACAAGGCTGATGAGCCTCCGCTGGAGAAGGACGAGAAGGAGTTTACACAGACCGCCGATGGTCTGCAGAAACGCAGACTGACCGGCAAGCTCCTCTCCGCCGACCCTGTGGACAGCAACCTGCTAGTCGACGAGAGCCTCCAGAATGAAACACTTTTCGGAGAGTCGCATCGAGCCCTGGCGCTCGCGCCAAGCTTCTTCCCCCACATGGCCTACATGACCAGTCCAGCCATCAGACCCAGTGTCCCGATGCCTGTCTCGGCCAAGAAGGACAATGAAGCTGAGAGCTGGCTGAAACTTGATGCCATGCTCGATTGGGACAGAAGTCCCGAGACCGTTGAGCTAGACGAGCTCGACGGTCTTTTGAACGGATTTTAATTATATTACATATTTTCACGACTGTCGCTGAGCGAGAGGCAGGATGGTTAGCTTTGCCTGGGGCATTCGCACCATCCTTGTACGATGAAAGCGGCGGACAGTCCCTGCCGATTAGACGAGGTTACCAGTTTGAAGTTGATATAAGCGGGTTCTCTGGTTACAAAAAAAACGGCGTTCTCATGGCGTTTGCTGTTTTGGGTGGCGTTTTCTGGGTTGCTTTTTATCTTTACCGATTCCCCTCATTACTTCAATGCGAGCCTTCTGATTTCAGGAAGCTTGGTTTCACGGACTCTACTCTTTCACCTTTACTACTCCACTTGGCTCGGAAGGGATGTTGGGCATGTAGATAGAGGGCAGTTGTACGACTACAGAGCAAGAGGTGGGCTGGCGGGGATGGCACACGTGGCTGGAATTACGCAATGTGTGTCTGCCGTCTCGGCTGGACTTTCTGTCTGCTGGCTTTTCCACACTTGATACCATCTAGAGATAAAGAAGCTTTCTTTTGGTGGTTCTTGGTCTCTACATCTACATTTTCCCGCTGCACATGAGAACAAAAGTTGCACGTATCCTTGTATCTCCTTGGTAGAAAATCTTAGGCTCAGGTTTCGAATTCGTAGTCTTCAGGCAAGTTCTTAAGCTGCTATGTGCTGTTGCCTTCTAGTTGTGAACTGCTGTCGGCTGAACAAGAGAACCCACACATAACCGACGACTGGACGATCTGGTCGTCTGTGCCGTCTGTCTGTTGCTGCATAGTGGTACAATATCATTTACACGTCCAAATACACCTGGTATAGTGTTTCCACATTTTCGCAAATGAGTCGCCTTCCAAGGCACAGTGTCTTGTCTGTTGTGTCGAATGTCGCCCCGTGTTTTTCTCGGCGGACCTACTTCCTCGCCTCATTTACCCTTGGTATTAGTGTCCTTTGTCACGTCCTGTTCGACAGTAGTGGTGGCGGTGGTGGTGGCTTGTTGCTGAGACCCTGCTTCCTCCTTCTTCTTCTTGACCGTCATGAAGGAGCCGAGCCCGAACCATCCGTCCATCTTTGTGTTATCTGCCGCCGGGTTCCCCCCCACCACACCACCAGCACCACCACCACCAGAAGAAGATGACGAAGAAGCCATCCTCAGCTCGACCCACAGGTGCGTCCCGCCCGTGAGCCAGCCGGGCCTCTCGAGCGCGACAATCTCGAGGCCCGGGACTTGCCGGACCGCGTCGCGCACAATGACCTCGATGTCGCGGTTCCACCAGCACCCGAAGCGCTCAAAGTGGCCCCGGGCGCTGCGGTCCAGCAGGCCGTTGATGAGCTCCCACCAGCTCAGGCCGTGCTCGACCATGATGATCCTGCCCGTGCCCGGGCGGACGAGGGTCGACATGTTGGCGATCAGGCCCACGGGGTCGCGGACGGAGCATAGGCCAAAGGTCTGCACTATCGTGTCGTAGTATTTGGGGGGCCTGGAAGAGGAAGAAGAAGAGGAGGAGGAAGAATCACGGGATGGCAATGATGGAGGAGGAGGAGGCATGGTGGTCTGCGCGTCGCACTGCATGATCCGGATCTTGTCGTCGAGGAGCGCGTAGGTCGCTTCCACACCACCACCACCACCACCGGTGCCCTTGGTGGCGGTGTGGCCGGATGTATCAGCAGCAGCGGACTTGGTCGCGTGCTGCGAGAACAGCGTCCAGACGGGCTTGGCGGGTAGCTCGCCGCGCTCGGCGAGGTGCGGGACCACGGAACGCATGCGCTTCATCGCAATGTCGAGCATGGCCGGCGAAATATCGATGCCTGTGAAGCTTAGGACTCCCTTTGGTGGTGGTGGCGGCGGCGGCGTGACGCTGCCAGCCTGGTCGCCGGCTCCTCCTCCAGCAGTCTTGTCTCGCTTCATCCCGGTCCAGTCGTTCCGCGCCACGCGCAGCTTGGTCCGCTCGGCCGGGCTGAGCAGCGCCTCCGTCACGGGCTCCCAGTCGTAGTGCTCGAGGTTCCGCCCGGCGCCGATGGCAACCTCGAGGACGTGCCCGTGCGCCTGCTCTGCGAGCCGGCGGCGGAGCTTGGTGATGCCGAGCCGCCACTCGGACTTGTCGAGGTGCAGGTCAAACTCGACGGGGGACTGGATGCTGGCTCTGCCTGTGGGCACCTGGGGCTCCCTCCCGGGAGGGTAGCGGACCACCTCGTCGTTGCGCCAGTGGTAGACGCCCGAGGCGAAGACGGAGCCGAGGACGAGCGCCATGGCGCCCATGCCGAAGATGGGCAGCCAGCGCTGCCTGACGAGGTCGGACACCGGCTGGGCTTCTGAGCCGCTGCTGCCAGAGGTTGGAGACGAGGTGGCCGAGGACGGTGGTGGTTGAGCTGAAGGCTTGTATGGCAGCGGCTTGCTCCTGGCCGGCTGCTGTGGTTTTGGTTTGGAGTTCTTTGACGAGACATGGCGTCGAGTCTGCCTTAGGAAGACGCTGTTGATCTCATTACACCGGCATCGAGACAGAAATGTCCTCGACGCCGGACCGGCCGTGCGCTGGGACATCATTAGGTATGAGGATCCAACCAAGCTCGTCCCTTGCCAAGGGCCCTGTAAGTTCAAGGCTCGGTTTCGCTCCCCAGATCAGTCAGGAGTCCCGCGGGCTGTAGCGCACCGCCCGGACCAAGCTCTTGAGGAGCTATTTGGACTTCTGCCTCGAGCCCCGGTGTATCCTAGTACGCTCTATGCACAGGTAGAGCCTGGCTGTGGCGGGGAAAAGTCTTGACCTCTCGAGAGAGAATTGGCGAGGCCCAATGGCGCCCAGGTGTGAGCTACTGCCTCGGCCACGGGAATGAGGGATCGTTATAGGAGCCGCAGTCCAGGCCGCTGTAGATGCAGAGGTCAGAGCAGGAATCCCGACGTTCACAGGTCCGTCCAGCAATGCAATGGATCGAGCTGGCCTGTCAAGTTTTTGTGGAGTTGGAGATTTGGGGAAGTGGGCGGTCGTCAAGCAGTACAGTGCAAGTAGAAATAAAGATCTTTGCGCACTGTCACCGTACTCGAAACCTCCAGAAGAGGTTGCACGAATTCCTGCGAAGCACAAGTTTAATGAGACGTGGTCGTAATTACATCTCATATATTGGATATATCTGTCTTTGACCAAGCGCGATTTTACACGGGAGGGCTCACGGATCATTGTCAAGGCATGGTCTTGGAGCATTTGATAAGCCTAGGCCACGGCTGATTAGGCAGATGCTGCAGCCTTTCGGCCATGACGCAACTTGGTGACCTCTTAACGCGTCTACCGTTTCACAACACGCGTGAACCTCAAAACTCAACACAATGCAAATTCCAGCCTTCTCGTGAATTGCAGAATATTGTCTCTTCGCTTGACGCAGTCGAGCGAAAACTGCCGGCACATCCTGACCTGGCAATATGGCCTCTCAAACAGACCTGCAGGAGCTGCTACGGCTCCTCACCACGGCCAAGGTGCCCATCAAAGATGCCATGATGAGGATAAAGCTGCTCCAGGGCAGCAACCTGCGCAGGTAGGGACCAACCCACGCCTTGCGTCACCCAGTCGCTGTGCTGTTATGCTCACATATTCCCATCCTCGCACGCTCAGCATCCAGCAGATTGCCGAATCTCCCCTCTCCACCGTGGAGTCTGCCATCAAAGACACAAAAGCTGCCCGCTCGCTGCACAATGCGTGCAAAGCCCGTGTGAAGCAGCTCAACAACCCCGACGCCGCCGCCGCCGCCGCAGCAACCGGCAATAAGCGCAGCGGTTCATTACTGGCAGGCGGCGGCGGCAGCAGCAGCAGCAGCGCAAAACGACAAAAAGGCGATGGCGCACTGTTCACCGAAGGGCCCGAGGCAGTATCACCCGAGGACTACGAGGCGTCGTTCTCGCTCCCCGTCGAGGCGGACGAGCGGCTCATCGCGGCCACGACGCTGGTCACGAACCGCGCCCCGCTGGTGCTCGCGTTCGCGGTGGAGCTGCTGCGGTACACGATGCCCGAGCAGCCGCCCTCGAGCCGCCTGAGCCTGGCGCAAGCGGTGGTCAGCGCCAACTCGAGGAGCAAGGCTGTGTCGATCGGGCTGGAGAAGGGGCTCAGTGCAGACGAGGAGGGCTGGGGTCATGGCCAGCCGAGAGTGCGTGTGCTGGGGAGGGAGGTCACGGTGCTCAAGAGAGGTGGCTATACGTGGAAAGGCGAGGAAGACGTCGTGAAGCGGGAAGGTGACGAGCATCCTTCCGCTAGCGCGGCTTCGAGCGCGACAATCTCGGGGCACACTCAAGATTCAGCCACTGCCGCAACCCCGGAACGTCAGGAAGAAGCGACGTGGTCCGCGAGCCAGCCTATCACCCTGAAAGAGTCGACGTTCATCGTGCGGGCCATTCCGCTTACAAAACCAGCCGAGAGAGGCGCCAAGATGCAAGCCCTCTTCGCCCGGTACCCTGCGCTCAAAGATGCCTCACACAATGCCTGGGCGTATCGAGTCAACACCCCGACGAACCTGTTTGGCGCCACGACGATCCGAGAAGACTCGTTTGACGACGGCGAGTCCGGGTGCGGGAACTTCCTCATCAAAAACATGCGCGAGATGGAGACGGTGGACATGCTGGTCGTCATGACGCGTTGGTATGGTGGCATCATGCTGGGACCCGACAGGTGGCGTATCATGCGGGATTGTCTGAAGGACGCGGTGGCTGGGCGACTGCGTATCACGGGCCGGGCGGCACAGCAGCAGCTGGGCGGGGAGGCGTTATGGGGTCTGGATCTGGAGGCCATGAAGAGCAATTCTACTGCAGCGGCAAGTGGCGCGAGATCGTACGAGGCTGGCGTCGTGGGTATGCCTATACATAGGCCGGAAGCGGCAATGGCATACCTGCTCAAGAGCTTTGCAACCCGGATGGAGGCGGTGGACGAGAATGATGAACTTGCGGCACAAGACGGCAGCAAGGGAGAAGATGGCACCGAGACTACTCCACGGAAGGGCAGCGTGAGCAAGGCAAAGACGACACCAAAGCGTAGAACGACCAAGGCACTGGACCTGGAAAAGCAGGAGAATGTGGGCAGGTTATTAGGGGCTCTGAGACTGTTGTTTGACAGCTGGGCGGACCATCTGAGCATGGCCGAGCTCGACCGGCGGGCGTGGAACTGGTATGTCTCCGTGCGGCCAGAGGTGGAGAGCGGGCCGTCCGGTTGGGGCGCAAAGGGCCCCCTCAAGCTGCAGGATATCCTCAATCTGCGACGTCAGGCTGGCAATTGAACTGGAAGCCGTCACTTTCCCTGAGAGCAGATAGATAATGATGCCCATCATGAAGCAACCTCCAGATGATTTGGTCATAGGCTTGTTTTGGGGGGACGTCAAGCATGGTGCCGGTCGCTCATGACGACATCGGTCCGGACCCGGACCCGGACCCGGACCCGGACCCGGACCCGTCCGCGCTATTTACAACCCTGCCCATTTCTTTCCACCAACACCACAATCGAGTATTTTCGCACAGGACAACATCAAGCGTTTGCCCCTACTCCGTTGCATTTGTTGCAGTTGTCTCATTGGGCGTCTTCATGGCTCTCCTTTGAGTCGGACTAGTGGGGTTCTTCAATTCTGGCACCAGTACTCGCCACAAACCAGCTCAGCCACCATGGCGGCGATGGATGCAACAGCCACGGCGGACAGCGCATCGCTGCCATACTACGAACCCGCCATCACGCAGATACTCGTCATGTCGTCGTTCCTCCTGCTGCTCAACACTGTCAACTCGATCCTCGACCGGACGCTGTACTGTGGCCTGATTGGGCAGGTGCTTGTCGGGATCGCATGGGGCACGCCTGGCGCGCAATGGCTCACATCAACAATACTTCCGGACGGGTTCGAGACGGCGGTCGTCCAGCTGGGGTATCTCGGCCTGATCCTGCTCGTCTATGAGGGCGGCGTCTCGACCAGCATCGCCGCTCTCAAGGCCAACCTGGTCCTCGCCGCGGGCGTTGCGGCCACGGGCATCGCGGCACCCATGGCACTGAGCTTCGTGCTAGGCCCGCTCGTCGGGGCGACGCCTCTGCAGAGCTTTGCGGCCGGCGCAGCGCTGTGCTCGACCAGCCTGGGCACCACGTTCACCGTGCTCTCGACGAGCGGCCTGGTTTCGACGAGGCTCGGCAGCGTGCTTAGTACCGCCGCCATGATGGACGACGTCGTGGGCCTGGTCATGGTGCAGATTGTGTCGAGTCTGGGCTCGTCGTCGTCGTCTTCATCCGTCGCCATCGCCCCAATCACAGTGGTTCGGCCAGTACTCGTGTCTCTGGCCTTCGCCGTGGTGATCCCGCTGGCCAACAGGTTCGTGCTTCGGCCCGCGATGCGGTTCCTGGACGAGAAGGAGATAGGAATATCGTCAGCTCCCCAAAAGGACAGTCCAGCCAGGCTGAGAAGACGCAGTGCCGTGTTTGGCCTGCTCAGCACCAGAGACGCAGCATTTGCCATCCACACCACCTTGCTCCTCGGCCTCGTCAGTGCCGCGGCCTTTGCCGGCGCCTCGGTCCTTCTCGCAGCGTATCTCGCAGGCATCATGGTGTGCTGGTGGGATGCTGAGCGAAAGGACCGGCAGCAGACCACCGATACATCGTCAGATACAGAGATTCCAGTTGCTGCACAGCAGCCACCGTCGCCACACGCGGTATCTGAGGTGAACGAGGGCGGCGCAGGAACTCCTGACCGCGAAGGACAACACACTCCCCGAGTGGGCTCCCGGCACAAGTCAGAGCACACCGGCATTGCGGTCTACGAGCACTACTACTCAGCAGCGGTGGGCCGCGTGCTCAAGCCCTTCTTCTTTGTATGCCGCTCTGCTTTCTACTGCTCCGTGACATTCTTAAGTTACCTCCCTGGACTGACACAACTCTCTGCTCATCTCTGTAGGCATCAATCGGCTTCTCTATCCCCATCACAAAGATGTTCTCCGGCGCCATCGTCTGGCGCGGTATCATCTACACGCTCCTCATGCTACTCGGCAAGCTCGCCTGTGGCCTCTGGCTCGTCCGGCTTCCACGACCGAGCCACAGCGCAAGCCGTGGCGCCACTCTCTCAGCCCGATGGGGAAGCGTCAAGGCATTCTTCTCGTCCAGAATGAACAAGCTCGTCGCAGCCGTGGGCGTACGCGAGAAACGTCCCATGTCGACAGATCCAGCAGCACCTGATCCTGTGCGGGACCGGCCTGCTATCGGTCCAGAGCCGACCGTCGGTGCTACTACATCTACCACCGCCACCACCACCACCACCGCCCAGTCGTCCCAGGAAGAACAAAGTCAGTCTGTGACACCGCAGCAGCAGCAGCAGCAGCCGCCGCCGGTTCCCAGAACAAACCCCACGCCCGCAAAACCAACATCTCTCTACCCAGCAGGCATCCTCTCCTTCGCAATGGTCGCCCGTGGGGAGATTGGCTTCCTCATCTCCGCCGTCGCCGAGAGCAAAGGCGTCTTTCACTCCGTCGCTACCCCATCCTCCTCGTCCTCCGGCAACACCGAGTCGTTGTCGGGTACATACCGCCTCGCAGCATCCGCACAAGAACCCTCAGACATATTCCTCATCGTCACCTGGGCCATCGTGCTGTGCACAATCATTGGGCCCCTGGTCGTGGGTATCCTGGTCAAGCGCGTCAAGCGGCTCGAGGTGCAGAGGAGGAGGATGAGTAGTCTGCTCGGCAAAGAGGGCGGTGCTCGCGCTCGCGGAGGCGATGAGGTCGTCCTCACTCCCAACACCACTGTGCAGCATCCACAGCAATCCATGGGCCCGAGAGATGGGGACGATCGAGTTCCCTTCACGGGCGAGCATGAGGATCACGTACTTGGTGTTTGGGGTGTGTGATGGAAAAACAGAATAAGCTCATCATCCAGATACGACAAGGCCAGTCAGGCTTGGACCGGGAATGCACGAGAACACGCTGTTGCAATCAATCAACGTCCATAATAGTCGTTTCAAATAGCCATCCTAAAATAAAGCTCCCCAAACTCCGCGCCATGATTGATCCACAAGCTGCTAATCATAAAGCAATACGGCATACCAACAAATGATATCCTTGTCCCAACTTGCAACTATTCAAAGCCACGCAGCATATCCGATCCAGTCCCCAGCATTGCAATTCAAAAAATGTCGTCGTCCATGAGGTCTACCAAGATATCGCGCAAGATCGGACGACCCTGGACGAGAGCCTTGGCAGTGACCGTGCCCTTTTTTGGCCCTCCGCCCTGGAACGGCCTCTGATTCTCCTTGTCCATGTTCATCAGATGCTGCCGGCGCGGTGATTTCTTCGTCGGCGTTACGGCTGCCTTTCGGGTCTTTGTTGGCGAGAGGACGCCACGTTGTGTGCCAGTCGCTGTGCTCGTCAGTTGCGTCAGGCCGTCCTCGAAGAAATGACGATCTAGCGCGTCAGAGTCCAGATCGTAGATCCAAGCTTTTGACTCCATCAGTTTGATGAAGCGGCTGAGCATTTCCTGCTCGCCACTACCTTTGAGTGTCTGCCGCGATCCAACCACAAGCAGCTTTGTCTTTGCCCTTGTGAATGCGACATTGATCCTTCTCCAGTCCTTCAAAAGGTCACCAATATTGCAGGTGTCGTTGCTACGCACAAGGCTGAGGATCACAACTTCTTTGTCCCGGCCCTGGAAACGGTCGGCAGTATGCAGCTCAATCTTGTTCCCATAGCTGCGGAGCCCGTGCTTTAGCAATGACAGCTGGCTACGGTAGTGAGTCATCACACCGATCTCGCTGACTGGCACGCCGACTGCCACCAGAGAATCAACTAACTGAACAACTATTCGTGCTTCAGTTGGGTTGACGATACGGTTGCCTTTTGCCTCCTCGCGATTCGATGGCAGCATGTCGGTGTTGACAAAACGAACGCGGGCTTCGGGATCGAGGAGATTACGTAGCCAGCAAGAATTTGTCGTCCATGAGGTGCAGATTGACCTGGTAGACGAGTGGGTGATGTTGGACGGATCGTAGTGCTTCTGCCTGAGCGCGTCCATGTTTGGCACCGCGAGCTTCTGTAGTCGGAGCGCCTCTGTGCCACATTTGAGGCGGCCTTCGTAGATCAGTGCATTGCTGAGAGACATAATGTCCTCGCACATCCGATATTGGTGTTCTAGGTTGACAACAGAGGACGGGTGCGTCTCTGACAAAAGCTTGAACAAGCTAATGTCCAGGCCGCCAGCCCTGGCTTCTTCATTCTGCACAAGCGGTGGCAATTGATTGTGGTCTCCAACCAAAACAAAGGTCTTCGCCATGCGGATCGGGCCTAGACAGATGGGAAGTGTAATCTGCGAGGCTTCGTCCACAATGCAGTAGTCGAAAGTGCGCTCGGAGAAGAGGGGATGATTGACACCTAAGCATGTGGTCGCAACAATAGGCGTGTCGTGCCAGGCACTGCGGATGTCTTCAAAAGAGCTCTTCGGCTGGCCTGCCAGGATCGCAAAATCTTGGACATCTGGATGTACCTTGGCTGTGGCTCCAAGACGCAGAATTGGAATATCATCCTCCTTGAGCTTGAGTAGAATGTTGTCGACAGCGGAATGCGTGTAAGAAGTCAAAAGCACACTCTTCTTCTGCGATACCAACGCACGGATGATGTGCGCAATGGTAGTCGTCTTGCCCGTGCCGGGCATGCCAAGAACGAGTGCGTAGTCGTTAGCACTCATGACCTTCTGAATGGCCCTCCGCTGATCGACATTTAGACTAGCCCGACCCTCCAAGGTATACTGGGTTGGCGTCGTCTTGAAGGTTGGAGGTACAAGATCAACAACAAGCCGCCGTATCTCGCTCGACCCAAACAAGCCTTTCGCCATAACTTGCACCAGGTTGTTCCGGACTGTCGCCATGCCGTTGCTAAACTCATCCTTGTCGAGCCTGTATCTTACGGGTGCTGGAGTCGGTTGTTCGGGCACAGTTGAGCGTGGTGCTACCTGCATGATGCTTGCAAAGGCTTGATTGTCGATCTCGTCGAATCCTGGCTGGCGGATTCGCGCGTTGTGCAGTCGGCGGTCAACTGCGACACTGATCTTTTGCTTTTTGACAGCAGTGACATAGCCGATCGCCAACGCAAAGTGGCCTTGCTCGTCCGATACAACGATTGGCTCTCCCACTGCAAGCTGTGATTCGAGGAACGAGAATCCTGGAGAAGCCTCCTCCTTCACGAAGCCGTACGTGTAACGGTTGATCCTGTTGCCTTGTTCATCCTCGCGGGCTGATCCTTCCTCCAGCACTACGTCCGAGAAGCAGCGGCCCACCTTCTCTCTCTCCCGGCTGGTCATAGTCCACAGTTCCCTGCGGAGTTTCTGGCTCTCTTTTTCCTCTTTGGTGAGAAGGTCCTCCCATTTCAAGAAGAATTCCTGGTGCTTTAGATTCAAATGTTGAACGACCTCGTCGAACTTTCCTTTGAGTCCACTGGTTTCGCCATCGCCGTTATCTGCGAGCTTGTGGTATATAAAGCAGGACGTCTGAGCGTAGCACTTGCCACATCCATGAGAACTTTTCTTCATCGGCGGGAGTTGGACACTGCGCTCTCGCACATAGCACGCCAGCTGGTTGCGCTGCATGATCATATGTCGTAACTCATGCCGGATAGTCGGTATGCGAATCGTCTGGGAAGTCTCGGTATAGTAAAGAATCCCATAGGCAATCTCTATGTCATATCGGTCGGACAATAAGAGGTTGTAGAGCGATGTCTGCGCCTGGTGGTTGCTGGTCGCGTTCCGTCCGGTCTTCACTTCGAAGGGCACAGTCAAGATGCGCTGGTGGCTTCCTTCCTGCATGACTACTTCGACTGTCGCGTCGATATTACCCTTCATTCCGTACAACGGAGACCAAACGTGCTCTTCCACGTCGAGAAGCTTCGTGAGCGACATGTTGGCCTTCTCGCCGTTTCGGCCCTGCACAACAGCCTCGGGCTATAACGATTATTAGTCTTCTATTCTCGACACGCTGCTCTTAAGGTCAACGTACTCTGGGTGCCTCTGTGACAAAGGCGGCAGCCCATGATTTGAGCTCTGGCATTTTCGACCGCAGATGTTCTTGCGCATCTGGCATGGCAACGCGAATCGTGTACAGGTCTTCGAGGTGAAGTTCCGTGACCTTTTGTATCAAGCTGCACAGAGAGACATCATCCCACTGATTCGCCATGAGAGCCTGCTGGAAAATCTCATGGATCAACGTCCCATACACTAACGGTGGTGTCTTTTCACTTGTTGCTTTGACGCGGTCTTGCAGCACAGCTCGGCGCATACAAGTGAAACTGTCCGCAATGACGGTCGCCGACATTAGCTGGTCAGGATGTAGGATGAGAATGTTCTGCGAGTTGTCGATGACACATCGACCCGAGGCTTCGAACCCGCCAATAACGTGGACGAAAGCACCTTGGCTCGCAGGCGTGTCAATCCAGTCACCACGAAGGTGAATCGTCCGCATCACATTGCTGCGATCGAGTTGGACGAACAGGATCTGCATCGTGCTGTTAGTCCATGCAGCTCTCCCTGCTTCGATGAAGGGGATTTATAAGCGTCCAGACAATTTACCTTTTCGATGTTCTCTCGCCCGTCATCGCTCACATACTCAGTCTCCAAGACTTTGCTTACAAGATAGCGTTGAATAGTCTTAGGTTTATTCCCTGCCTGAGTTTGTTTAGTGTACAATGTCTCGAGCCTTATGAAAGATGCCACCTACGTACAAGAGGGACCGAGCGGCCTGCTTGCTGGACGGATTGAGTAGCAGCTAACTCGGCTGCGTCAAAGTCAAAGTCAACCCCAAGATCGTCGCCATATTCGTCCTCGACAAGTGCACCCTCAGCTGTCTTGGCAGCATCGGTATTATGGCCCCCGTCAAGCTGGGACACCAGTGTCTCTGCAGCGGCAAAGACGTCGTCCATATCAGCAAACTCGTCGTCAGATGTGTCTGCAATTGGTTGAGTTATGGATTTGGTTGATGGCTGGTGGTGAGTCGGTTGAGCTGGCAGAGCTTCTCTTGATTCAGGTTGTGGTTTTGCAGAGAGCGTGTTATCTAGCTCCAGGAGTGTATCATCGTCGAAATCGTCGAAATCGTCGTCCCTAAAGTCGAATTCGTCGGCGATTCTGGCCGGATTTGCCAAGTCCCGTGTCGGCTGTTCTCCGAGCTCCTCATAAGCAGTCTGCTGAGACGATTCCCGCGATTTGGCCTTCCTGCTCGGAGACTGCTCCAAGTCCATGACACCCGCTCGTATCGACCGTTTCGCGGTCGGAGATTGCATATCGTCTTGGGCTTCTGCGCTCGTTTGGGATCGATTGAGCTCGCCATTCATGTTGCGCAGCAAAGCATTGACCATGGACGTCTTGGAAGAGCCAGTCGGGCTCCCTTCGTAGGCAGCGTCGGCTGACCGAGCGGACTCTTGTCGATCCAGCCGCCGCCGTTTTGGCCAATTTGTACCGCAACTTATCGCTCTTCGTAGACTGCTCTCGCCGGACGCAGCATTATTCACCCTGTTCGCTTGTCGGGGCTGTGGCGAGGAAGAGACCATGAGCTGTGCCAAGGCTGGATTTTTCGCCCCGGACGGGGTCGTCGAGTGCGAGCCGCTGAGCGAGAAGCGGTCCCAAAGCTCCATGGCTGGGTCAGCGTGAGGGGACTTCAAAGCACGCGACAGTTGCTGAACGTTCACAGCTGGTGCTTTTGGCTTCGTGCAGCTGGCGGGGGAAGACGTCGGTGATGAGCTTCGTGCTCTCTTCCTATTCCTCCTGCGTGGCACGATCGGGGAGTACGAGACCTGTGGTCCTTGTCTAGCATCCCAAGTGAGTCGCTCTTGGGGACTGGCGTCCTCTTCTGTCTCCTTGATCTCCGGCATGCCGATCAGATCTTGCCATGCTAGCCGGCTGATGGGTGTTGAGGTGATCTTGTTGTTCGCCGGCAGACTTTTGTCGTCCTCGGGCTTTCCGCCCTCCATTCCTCTGTCCATGGTCGTAGAATCGACAGTGTGGTTCGCATGGCTATTGCTCGACTCGGCTACGGGTGCGTGGAAGCTGAATGCGTTCAATTTGTTCTTCGTGACCGCGGAGACTGGTTCGAGAGGTCTGGCTGATGCAGTTCGATTCGCAGATTGAGGCCCTGCAAAGCTGTGGCTTTTAGATTTCGACCAGTTCTGGCGAGCCTATCAGATATTCAACATGTTAGTAATGCTTAACGAGAACGCGATCTTCGATTCATCTACAGACCTTGAGGGAGCCATTTTGCTCCGAAAACGACTTTTGCAAAGGCATGAGTTCGGTCGTGTCAATACAGAGATCACCTGTCCATCTCTACCACGCCTTCACTTCCAATGTGGGGCGCGGACCAAGAAAGAAAATGAACAGGAGTAATTTTTTTTTCGCGCTTCGGCTGGGAAGGCTACGTCCTCATGTGCCGTGCCGTATTCCAAAAAAGTGTCGTTGATGTTTTCGACGAGATGTGTGTCGAGCTCTTGCACGTGCCCACTGGCCAGCTCCATTGAGAGGTTCACGCGCCGGGGCCCAGGGAGACGCGTCAGAATCAATAAACGCGTCTATCGATAGCACAGTGCGGCCCCGCACGGCGACCCCTGCCATTGCTTTGGCGGGGAGCGATTGGGCTTGCCGGCCTTACCTCAGCACGGTACGTCAGCGGGTCTAGCAAGCAGCTTGCGGCAGGTGCGGGACGCCTGGAACCCGTTGGCCCAAGCTTCTTGCAGATTGACGACTGGCTGGAGCTGAGCGACAATGATGCCATGACCGGGCACTAACAACAACACCTCTAGCTAAAGCCTCCGCGCTCGGCCGTGAGACATCGTCCCAGCCAAGTAGACATTGAGCCAGTTCTTCGGTAGGAGGGCAGCATGCGGTAGGCCCGAAGAAACGTCTAACATCCGAACGCACCAAAACACAGCTTCACGACCTTGGGGGACAAGCTCCCGTAGTAGTGGCAGCAAACTGTCTGTCCACAACTCTGCAGCAATGGCCACGCTCGAACAGCGCGATGCGGCTCTGGCCGACTTCGCGCAGAAGGTCAAGAACGAATTCCTGGAGGAGAATGCCAATGTCGACTACAGCAAGCTACGGCGGCCGGGATTCTTCTCAAGATTCCTCTGGATGGGCGAGCACGCACACCGGGCCTACATATGGTCACAACTTGCCAAGGAGGCGACCTTTGCCGGGCGCAAGGTGACGGCGACGGAAGTCGATGCACTCGTAGAGCACCTCGATTGGGTGTGGCGCACCCGGGCCACTGCCCAGCCATTGTCCCTGCTGCTCGCGGGCTTCATGACCTGGAGGAGTCGGAAGGTGTTCAAATTCCCATTCATCACGCCGTGGTCGTCGTTCAAGCCGGACGTGTTCCCCTCCGAGAGCATGCCGCTTCTGAGAGGCCCCAGGGCCAGGACATGCTGGCATGCTGCTCGATTCACCTGTTACGCGCCTCCGTCCTGGTTTGTCATGCAGTGGATCGTATCAGAAGTCTCCGTCGGTGGCTATGAGAAGGGCAAAGGCACAGATCCCCGCCTCCGCGAGCTGATGCAGCAGATCAGGGCGACGAGACAGGCCGAGCTCGCAAAGCGATTCGCCGGTGCCCGACCGGGTGGACAAGGCGCACAGGGACAAACATCACAGCCGGATATACGCTATCCTCGCCAGTCGCAGCAGCGGCCGCAGCAGGAGCCTTCCTACAGGGACGACGCTCCCCCTACCAACGGCAGTGGCGCCGGTAGCGAGACTTGGGGCAAGACAGAGGGTTATGCAGAGACGACATCATACGCCTCCTCCTCGGCCAGCCCCTCCGCCTACCGGCCTGCCCCTTCCTACGGCCAGCAGCCGCCACCATCCTCGCTGCCCTCGACACCGTCGTACTCCCCGCCTCCACAAAGCCAAACATCACCCCAGCCCGGTGGCTGGGCCGGGACCAGCAGCGCTTTCGACGACGATAGCGACGACTTCGACGATATGTCCCCCGTGTCGCCCGCGGCTCGGAGACAGGAAGCCGCTGCCGCTGCCGCCGCTAACGCAGCCAATTCGGGCGCCTCGGCCTGGGACCGCATCAGAAAACAGGGCGCGGCGGGAGTTCAGCAGCAACAGCAGCAAACGCAAACCGACAGCGGCGCGCAATGGGGCAGCAACACCAACACTAACAATGCCGCCGGCGGCTGGAGCAGCATCCGTCAGCGCAACAGCCCAGCAAACAGCGAGTCGTGGACATATACGGCGGCCGACGAGGAGCGCGAGAAGCGGCTCTACGAGAAGGAGAAGGCCCAAAAGGAGTTTGACGCCATGGTGGAGAAGGAGAGGAAGGGCCAAGGCAGCAGCGGAGGGAGTGGCGGCTCTGGTGGCGGTCGCGGATGGTGGAGTTAAAAGGCGGAGCGGGCGGACGTTTGGATTCTGTCCCGCCGTGAAGGGATAATTGCGTGGTGCTGAGGGAGTACTCGATGATGCTTGGATGCGCTTTGGCACAATGGTTCTGGAGTAGAACAGCTGCGGCAATGGACAGTGGACGGACCGCACGACCAATGGCGGAACAGCGAAGGAATTGGAATGTATGATATATCATGTGAAACTACTTCGCTTTCTGAATACATGTACGAGATTAGCTTTGCCATTCCAACGCCATAACACCACAAAAATCAACGGGAAGGCAGTCGCAAGAGACGTATGTATTGTCAACAACGACTAGCATCGTGTTTGTCTAGTTTACTCCAAAGGTATGCTAACCCAAGTCTAATGCAAAATGATCCGGCTGGTAACCATGAATCGCTCTGGCTTATGCCCATGCACCAACAAGGCTCATACCAAACGCCCCAGCAATGACCAGCAAAAACGCACACACACGCCTCTTGCCCTGCAAAATCTTCCAGCTCTCATCACTGAGGAGGTCCTCTGACAAGAGCTCGACGAGCGACGCAAAGATGAGCAGCCCCGACGAGATGGAGTTCATGACGCCCACGAGGATCAGGCCGACCTCCGAGTCCGGGCTGTAAGCAGAGCGAGTGGCCAGACCGATCGCCTGTCCGAGGGGAGTGGTGCACCCGTAAGCCAGGGCCATCAGCCACGGCTGCATCGACTTCTTCTCGGGCCAGTCGATGGCGGCGATGCGGGCGCCCAGGGCGAGGCCTTCGAATGTCTGGTGGAATGAGATGGCGATGAGAAGGACCACGAACTGGCTGCCGCCCAGAGCCACGCTCAGAGCCATGCCGATGAAAACACTATGGAACAAGATGCCCATTTCGAGGAGGAAGCACTGCGCGATCTCGCGTTTGCGCTTCTGCTCAGGTGTGAGGCCGCGTGTGCTGTCACTGTCGTCATTCGTGGTCCTAGGGTCGTGGACATCCCTGTTGGCGTCATGGTTGTCGACCACGTCAATGTCGTTCTCGGAGTTGTTGTCAGCGCCATCATCAACGGCCGTCTGGGTACCGTTCTTATTCCTCTGGGCAGTTTCCGGGTCGTTGACGAGCACGCCAGATGTGATCCTGTCTGCCGTCCCTTTCTCACCACCAATGAAGGACAGGCTGCGACCCATGCTCCTGGCACGTCCCACAAACTGGCCCTTTTGCCGATTACGCGGAGGCGTCGCCTTATTCGCTGCTGGCGAAGTGTGGTGATGACGACCAGGATGCATCCACATCTCAATCGCGGTCACAAAGATGACGGCCCCCAAAGCGATTGCGCCAGGCATCGCTGGGTAGCCCTCGGTCCACCAGCTGTCAAGACAAGGGTCATGCAGCAAGGTGAAACCAGTTGGAAGCAAGTGGCAGAAGGCAGTTGCGATGAGAACACCGGTGCCAAAGTGCCTGACTGAAAAGAAAAAGTCCGAGGGCATCCGTAGGCCTGGGAGGCGTGATGCGAGGAGCGGGAACGCGCAGGCGGAGGCTGAGACGAAGAGAATGATAAAGACGGCACCAATCCTCAGTGGCATGTCATACTGTCCAACCGTCTCGTCGCCAGAAGCACAAGTGTTTGCACGCTTGACGATGGCAGAGAGTGGTGCGAGGCCAGATGTGTCCATGGCTGAGCTTGGAGAACGCAGAGATACCATATCTTGGGCAAAGTCGGTGTCGATATCAAGCGGCGATGGGGTGCCGGTAGTGAAGTGTTGGCTGGTTGTATTCAGAGCAGAAAACGATGCCGTTATGGTGGAGAGAATGGCAGAGCATACAAGGACCGAGGCGATCCAGGCGGCCCAGCTCGAGATCTTTGAGAATCTGACATTATTCCAAATACCACTGGTTGGGCTGATGTGAGCTTGCATGGGGCTTTCGTCACCATACCACGTCCTGGGCTCCACGGGCAGAGCGTGTTTGCCAAGGCAAGCTTGGGGTGTGCCATTGGGGCCACTGGATTGCTTGGTGTCCATGGCTCTGGGTTAGGCGTTGGTGGTTTACAGCTGGAAGGAGGCCGAGTTGCGGGCTACGCGGTGAATGTCCTGGGATCCGAGGGGGGATTTGTGTGCGAGGACTCTTTCAACCAGTCGAGCCAGTGCTGGCAGGAGAGGTGCGGCCCGTGGGGATCGGTCCGGTGCGCGTAGTGTGTATCTGAAGACTGGACATTCAGGCGATGGCGGCTGGGTGCTGGCGAGGAGGCAGTGGTGGTCGTCCCGTGGGCGGTGGGGATGGATGGGCCACTGTACGGTATTTGTATCAAGGGATCGCGGGCTGGCAGGTTCTGGATCTGTTCTTCTGGCCCATTGATGACGGGGGAGCGCGGTCTAGTGGAGAGCAAGGGCTGGCGGGCGTGTGTCGTCCTTTGTCCTGGCCAGGGCGTGCCAAGAAGTATCGTGTAAAACCGGGGCCGCGCACAGCCGGCACAGCCTCGCCTGGCCAGTCGGATGCCGGCATCGCGCCTCTTCGAGGCGTCAGCCAAGGTCGCTCTGGAGGCTCCCAAGGTTCGCAGACCGACACGGCACGCACTGGCAAAAAGAACCTTCCTCCGCATCCGACTCGTGCCGGGCGCTGCCGTCGTCCCCGTCGTCTGGGGAAGCCGCGTACCCCATGCGCCGCCCAGCCAAGAAGGAGCCCCTTGCCGCATCCCTCAAAACCAAACCTCACAGGGCTTCATTACGACAAGTGCCTAGCTCACCAACGTAAGCACGTCAGTAAATATGCTCGTGGCTGTCCTGATTCTCAACCCCTCCTGAGGCGCGGGCCGGGTCTGTGTGCGACATTCCAGTCTCGCGGCAGGCGCCATTGCCGACTTTGTTCGGCGGTGCCCAGACTCCGTCCAGAGACAGGCGAGTGAACCAGACTGCTTCACTCCCAGACACTGATAACTGCCAGTCACCAAACAGCCATCTGCCGATTCGAGAGATGGGTAGCTGTTTGGCATGGTGGGCGCTCTCCCTGTTTGGGTGTGTGCTTCCATGGTCAGATTTTAAGCATATCTATCCGCCCACGAACCTTAATCCAACTGGGCTTCCCACGCCAGGGGCGGAGATTGGCCGAGGCCAGCATCTTGCTCGCCCGCCGTGGCCCTTTCTACCTACTCGAGACTAGTCACTTCACGATACCTCGCTGCACATACGCAGCATCATGAAAAGCTCTTTACGACTAGCCATGGCCCTTCGAAACCCACACACGTGCAAGCAGAACTCTCGACCGGGGCTGGGCCAGGTGTCCACTGTGGGGAAGTGATGTCAACGTCACTAGTGCCGGCATCATTGAAGCGGCATGGCGGGTGAAGTCGGGAACCACCAGTCGTCCAAACTGCCATCACCACTATCCTCGGACCGTTCGGCCTAGAGTCTTGTAATCAAACGGTAACCATTGCCCAGAAGTTTTGCATATGCCGACTGATGCATCACGAGCTCAGACATTCACCTTGGGGACAATGTCCATGATTCAAGTGGCGTACCAGGAAAAAGCAACATCTTTCCATGTTCTCAGGATCATCTGGTGCGGCCATGGCGCTAATCTGAGCAAGCTAGAAGCCGATACAAGTGCAGTCGCCCATACTTAGTAGGCAGGACGAACAGCAGCATGATTATTCTCATTACAAGGGTATATCCCAATCGAAACTCCTGAACTCCGCCTGAAGCCATCTGGGGCCAGGTTCGAAAGAATGGCTGGTCCTATCTCTCGCGTTCATCGGGACGGCGAACAAGCAGCGGCACCGCGCCGCTGGCACTCTCCTCTCCGTTGGCCTCCCGTCTGGAAGCCCCCCCGACGGAAAGTCACGCCTTAATCCCCACCGCCAGCCCTGCAGCCTCATAGCGCTTGTTCAGCCGCCTGCTTCTCCACAGGAAGTAGCCCAGCACCAGCACGATAGCAATAAGCGGAAGGCCCAGTCCGAGACCCAGCGCAAGGGACTGGTCCTTGGAATATCCGTCTCCGCTCCACTCGGCGCTCCATTGCCCATATGTCACGTTGCCGAACTGGAAGTTTGTGTCGTTTGTGCACTGAAGACCCTTTGTCGTGACGTCGGGGACTTCGACCGATGGGTAAGTGGCAGCTGTGAAGGTGATGTCGATGCACTGCCGAACAAACAAAAATATGCAAATTAGTACTCCAGGACACATCATCCGAGAATCGGGTTTTTGGCGCGTTTGACGCTGGATAATGAAATTAGAACCCAAGACTTACACTGTACAGCGCACCTCCGTGCTTTGCGCTCTCCACGACCTGGATAGTCGCGTTGTCCCCGGCCTTGACCTGGCCGGAGCTAACCAAATTGCGGACCGCCGAGGGCAGTGTCACCTCGGGGAGGCAGATCTGATTGTCGTACACGCCGTCCGAGGGGAAAGTGAACGAGAACTCGTGCATCATCTGCGTGGTGAAGTTGGTCGGGATCGTGCCCAGCCCAATGTTGACCCAGATCATGCCCCAGTCGTGGTTGGCCTGGTGGCCCGGCTCCAGGATCAGCGGCACCGGCCCGTTCAGGGGCCAGAGTGTGCGATTCGTCGATGTGGGAAGGCCACCACCTGCGGCAGTCATTTGTGTCAGTGGTCTTCTTCTTGGCGCTGCGGGCGTACTCGCGTTCAAATGGAGAGGGTTGTGGTTGTTGGTGTCGTCGTCGTGGCTTGCCCGTGTTGGGAAAAGGACTTACATGGATAGATGAATGTCATGCCGTAGGGAAATATCGGATCCGAGTCGTTGCCACTGGTGAAGATGCCCAGGCCGTCGCTCTCTGCCACGGTTCCATTCTTTCCAAAGTTGTCGCCTCGTGATCCAGGATACTTGATGGCCGTGTGTGCGTCCACAACACTGCCGACCAGCACGGCCACAATCCCCGATAGAACTGTTCTTGACAACATGATTTCCTTTGTTCTGAGTTGTATAGCCGCGCACCAAGATCTTGAGCTAGAGCTCCTGTCGAATTCTGACACCTCTCGCTGTGTAACTGCTAGCTGTCGCTCAAGTGAATGATGACGTGCTAGTATATCGTCGGGTACGGTGCTGAGAGAAGTGCGGAAGAACTACTCGGCCGGGCTTGTCACTGATATCAACCAAAGTTGAGTTGAGCTGCAGGCGTCGTAAGGTCGTGTCGGCCTCGCACTTGAGATATACCTCAGGCAGGAAGAAAGAAGGCTGAAGTCCTAGTAGCACATTGTGGTTGCAAACAGGGCTTCCTTATTATCCTTCTCGAACTCCCAGAACGGACAGGGATCCTGCACTGCACACGCCCGCGCTCCTTCGGCCCTTCCATCTCTTTCCTCATTTGCTTTGCGGCTGACCAAGAAGGCGAGAATCGAGCAAGGCACTTTCCAGCACCGGATCAGCATCCCTGGGCCGCCAAGTGAGCATACATACTCCGTATGCATGCATGCGTCGTCCAAGGGTGCAGCTAGGGCTGACGTGAGAGAGCCTCAGGCATGGGCTTACCACAGGGGCCCACGGGCAAACGCCCGGCCGCCACCACCACATGCCCGTGATACCCCGGCAGCGATTAGTTCATCACACGGCAGGCTATTCAACCACTATTTGCTGCGATGCGAGCAGATGCGAGATTGGTACACAGGACCAAAGACAACAGCTATTGTGGAGATGCTGCTGACCATTGGATTATCCTTTCAACCTTGGACCAAGTCTCGTGGCCGCGCGAGTCAACCGCAGTTGAGGAGTTGTTGCGCCAGCAACTTTTCAGCCTACAATGCGCCTAGACTTGCAGCTACAGCGAGCGGGCTGTGCAAGCTAGTTCTTTCCGCGACTATTAACCTTCTGAGGTCTCTTCCCGCCAGCGCACAGGACCGCCGACAACAACGGCTGGTGCTTTCCGCAGAGCCCCCTCCCGCTTCCCGTGTTGCCTTGGTCGGAGTTTACCATTGGAGGCAACTGCAGGGTTGCCGCAATGAGCTGAGCTGAGCTGAGCCCCCCTTGTGCACCCGGGGTGCCCGGTCTGTGGGCTGATCTTGACAACGGGTACACATACCGCGAGCCAGACCTGGGCAAAGGTCCGCCGCCAAGAAGGAAAGGCAGGTATACCAGTTGGGGTCTGTTTCTTGGGCTTTGCATGACTTGTCAGCGGGCAAAGTCCTATCTGCAGTAATGTTACCTGGGAGCCTCCCCGAATCAGCTAGTTTCCGGGTATCCTCAAGGCAAAAGGTCAGCTTAGATGACGGAGATACACGACTTCTGAAGGTAACGGCAGCTTTTTTGCTACAACAATCCCACAGCACGAACATCTGTGCCCTGTGGCTGGCCAGCAAGCACATGTTGAACTGCCGGCGCTGGTAGTTGCGACCCTCCAACCATGTTCGCATGCATATGGCTGCGGGGGCAGCAGCCGAGGGAGCGAAGAGAATACAGGGCCCGTCCAGCAGCATTTCGGTTCTTCCAACCCGATGGTCTGCTCATTCTCCACGAGGGCTTGCATGGGCATGTGACATTAGAGTTGCGAGGTACAGCGGCAAGCGGTGAAACCCACCACCAGCCCGGGCGTTTGATGATGTGCACCGTGGCGATTATGACCGCCGTTCGCTCGCCAGTCTCAATCAGCAACAATGTCGCGCGCCCTGTTGGGAGACTGCCTTCAAATCAAACATCTCAATGAAACGATAAATCGAACCACCAGGCATGTGCCAGGAGTTGTTCAAAGCAATTTCTCCCAGCCTCAACATCATTCGCAGTATTCTTTACGGGGTGGGGATATGGACGGGCAAGCACACAGCACACAAGCGGCATGGGACTCTAGCAGAGCTGCAGGATTGATCGCCTTTTAATTTATTTATAGGCACCACTACCACCCCACCACCACCGCTGCAGGCAATCACACCTCAATTTCCTCAGCTGCCCCAGCTCCTCTCTCCAGGGAACGTTACCGCCGTTGTGGGCAGCCCAGCTACGCGGGAGCTGCCGAACTCTAGACGAAGAGCCTCGGGCGTGGCAACCAGCAAGGCACGTGGGGACATGACCTAATAACTTCGCTTTGGGGCATTATGCTCTTTTCTTTGTGTGTGGAGTGTGGAGTGTGGACCCCAACCAAGTTCCCAGACACATACACAGCCACATTACCCAGGTGGGAGAGAACCAAAAGGCCTTCCGGGTATCACCGGGGATCATCGAGCTGGGCGACAAGGGTCAAGTGTGGATTTCCGTGGCGATGCTTGCTCCTTTGTTCAAAGAGCCTCGCTTACTTGTTTTGGAGCGTAGGATTTAGGAAAAGATTTGGCAGGTAAGCTCTTTGGTCGTAGACATCAGTTGCTATTCTGTTTGTCACCACGTTATTACAATAAACAAACTTGAGAAGCTACCAGAGAACTCGAATCGTTTGATGAATGGTTTGTCGTTGACCATATCTCGTATGGGGCATGTGGTTCCGTTCGAAAGACTACAGTGTACTGCTAAGTACTCGTGGATATCCAGAGAATTGACGCATTTGTAGCAGTGTCACTATGGACAAAAGAGCGCGTGCCGACCATGACAGCTTGGAGTGTAGATGGAAAGCTGAGAGTACTGCTGCCACGGTAATGAAATTGCGGTACACACAACTCCGAGTACAGCAACAGTCCGGACAACAAAATTCCCAGGCCATCCACAGCAAGGCAACAAAATTCTAGTGGCCACGACACACAATCGTTCCTAATTCTGTACACGCAATGTTTATCTTGAATAGGCATGTCGTGGTTTCCCAATTCGGACGTACATCTCTTCTTACCCTCTCGTAAGCATGCGTGGCACGAGGAGAAAAAGAGCAAAGGAAGTTGCGGATCAGCAGCACCGCCACAATGTGCTTTCTTGGCAGGACTGTGAACACGAGGAAAGCTTTGTCGAGGATGCAGTAATTAGCATCCTGCACCCTTCCAGGAGGAGAAGAGGGCTGAGTGAGGCCGGGGAAAGGAACTATCAGCTGACATGGGAGAGCAATCCAGCTGGCTTCAATGTTCTTTCCGTGTGTCTGTGGGTCGTGACAGCCATAAAGAGAGATGTGGACATGATGCACAGTTGAGCTCTTACAACACGAGTTCCGCTTTGGGGGCTAAGTGAGCGGTACACTCCGTCATAGTCAGGGGTAAGCCTCAAGAAAGCCTGGCGAATTATATTCCTCAGCCCGCTAGTGGGTGTCTAAACTTGGGTTGTTGGCGACATTGACGATGATCTGGCTCCTAAAGACAGACAAGGGATCGATAGGACTTTGGACTTGGCCTGTGTTTCAGTCACAGACTGTGAGGAGAATCAACATATCTCTATGGCCAGCTGAAACAGCAGGACGGCTGTCCGGTCTTGCAGAACAAGATGCGATCAACATTCTCACGGCGTCAACTACTCGATATCGTTTTCCAGCGTACTGTCTTAAAGAGAAACCGCTCCTGCCAGAGGAACGCATCCTTCTGTCCAGAGTGATGGTCGGAAGCCGGATCTCTGCCGACCACGTCTCCGTAAAGTCAGATGATCGCTCTATGATGATCATTTGAAGTAATATTACTAATATCATCTGATAGCCCATCAATCATCAGACGAGCTTCGCATCCGTCAGAGTATCCTGTGGGCACGCCCGGCCCAGAGAGAATGGCATGAGCATCCTCGACTTACGACCCAGGCACATGCACTTTCGACGTGGACAATCACGTCCCCGTCTCCGTTCGATCTCTCTTACCTGCTACCTCATCTGACCTGCTCGCACATGAGACCCTCTGGGGAGAAGATTGCGGTAATAAAGCGGGAGCGGCTCGGTTCTCCGGAGCAGACATAATTACCATTCCCATCCCTGGGACGATAAGAAGGACTTGCACATGTTTACCTCAAATCTCAATGCCCAGAAGCGCCGGTGCTCTTGGTCACAGCGCCTTCTAATCAATAGCTGCTCCCCATCCTGTGTGGTCTATCGAGCCCCTCGAATGTGTGCAAAGACCGAGACAGCATGAGAGGCCACCGTTCTTCCTTTTGTGGGGGTTGGTTCTCTCATCTCCGTCAGGAGCACGGCACCTTTCGGGATCTGGCGATGAGGAATAGATCATATTGGCTATATGGCATGGCATAGTGTCCGACTTTTCAAGAGTATCTCGTCGTCCATGGCTGAGCGAGCTTTTGGCGACTGGCTGTTCGATGCATTGGCAATCAGGACCACGAGAAATGAAGGCTAGGCTGGACGTGTTCTTGTTTCGTACACATTGGCATAGGGTTGCGGAATACATCTTTCGAGTGGAAAGTGAAGTGCGATAGACGGCCAGGGTCTTTCTCCGCTTTGACGAGAAGAGAAGGCAACGATGAGACCCTGTCATGTGTTTGCCAATAGTCCTTGCAGCCCTCGCCTGCCAGCACTCGAGGTTCCGTGCCGCATGACTTAGATGCCACAATGACAGCGCTTGTGGCTCAAGAAAAGGTCGGTCCTCCTGACAAGTGATCCCACGTTCATGTTTTTTTGAAGCAAAAGATCAGCAGCTCATCGCACGGTGGTGCGTCAAGGAGCACCATGGAACACGTCGAGATGGACTACTGCCACGTTGCTGTAAACCCCTAGGACTACAATAGATGAATGACGATTGCCAGCAGGAACCACCGTGGACTGTTGATCTCGTGCCTCCTTCTATCCGCCCGCCTGTCCATTCACCCCAGATCACAAGAGACTCGCCCGCTTCCTCTGGAGCAGTAATGATTGGCACAGCCCCCACGTCTCATCACACCGTGTTGTGTCAAAACCATGTGCATGTTGGTCTGGCTTCGGCCCCACGCCCCGGGGCTGCGACCGGGCGGCGTGCATCATGCGGGGGATATGGGGGTCTGTCTGCCTGTCCGTCTTTTACCAATTTATATACTGGTGCTTCGTGTCATCAGCGTTCTGGTCGTTCATGACACCTTGTGTTTCGGCCAAGGCTCGTATGAGTGGTGCGCCTGGAGGAGGCAAAGTCGATTGAGCAAGGCAAAGAAGCACATAGCCAAAATATCAGACGGCACAACCAGCCGCAAACGCATTACTCACATCCCGACTACCGCCTAGTCAGGCAGCTTGAGAAATTTACGTCCCACCTTGGCCTTCAAGGTAATCGCTGCGGGCATCTGCATCAAAAAGAACAATTGCTGTGCTGCATTTCAATGTTGAGCGTGACAAGCGAGTTCGGAAGCAGATAATCTAGGGCTCAGGCTTTGTTGTGCCCCCAAATCCTTGCCGCTGATGATTAGTCGGAGGGACATCTCGCTCTACAGAGAAGAAGCCTGCGCCGGGCGGCCGGCCGGGCCGTTTGACGCCACAAACTGCCATGCAGGCCAGGCCGCCTGGAAGATCCGGTGCCGGCCGACATGGCAATCGGGTCCACGGGCGAGGAAGAACAACATGACAATAGGCCTCCTTCGTACGATTGCGGTTCCGGCTCGCGCGCTATTCGGCCACATACCCCGGTCGAGCTTTGTCCTAGACGGCGTTAATGTTTGGCGGAACGAGCCTGGCTTCACTCGATTCGCTAGGCTCGGAGACAAAATTGGAGGTGAGCCTGGAGTCTGGGAACTTGGCCACAGCGAAAGCGCGGCTGTCCATTAACTTCTCAAATACTTCTCAAATTAAGCTAGAATGGGTCAGCGCGCAGACATGACGTGCCGCAGGAGGCAGAACGCTGGTCACTGCTGCTAACAGATAGAGCATGGGTGCCTCAAGTGGATCAGCCTTTGGAGAGCTCCGACACACCGTGAGTTGAAAGTTGTCGCTCTGGGTAGGTATTGGCCGCTTAAGTCGAGCCCGTTCTGTGGCTTGAACAGCTCACGCACAATAATCACGGGCCTTGGTTCCCGGAATATGGTTGGTCAAAGTTCTGAGGTTGGTCGACCACTCCACGGAATGTGCACTACTGTAGAGTCAAGTCGCCTAGTTCGAGATGCTCGGCTGGTGAACCGGATATTCGTCCCTTGCACTGAGCTCTAGTTCGATGATCCTCTGGAAGCCAATGCAAACCCCCGATATACAAGTGGGGGACAAGATCGACAGTGCTCGTAGTGAGTCAGGGGGCTGAGAGTGGTGTGTTGCTGCATGGGCTTTCAACTTTACTCCAAGTGAGTCTACACCACGGTCTAAAAAGCTACAGAGAGTCATGGCAGACCTACTAGTTGTGAATTCAAAGTGCGGCGTTGCGTTCATCCAGTAGTTGCCATGCGGTAGTTGCTGACTACCCTGGTGTATATTTTGCCATGGCTTGCCTTGCACATGCCAGCCAGTATCTCAGCCCTTGTCGTAGGCTGATTACTTGGCTCCGAATTTTAGAGTTCCAGTCCTGCCGTGGCCGTGGCCTGTGGTTGGCCAGCCAGGGGTTGCGACAGCTTACATGGCAAGACATTAAGGTGCAAACTAGGATGGACCCAACATTGTTCACTCTCCTATCTCTGAAGCCGGTCTTACCAGCGCTGCGCTACCTGTGGAGGAGTGCTTGGGGGTAGAGCAGGCGGTTTGGTCTTGCTGATGTTTGACAGCCAGGTGGGGGGTTGGTTGGTCTGGTCTACGGACAAGGGCAGAGAAGTCGGGGCCATCACTGGAGCAGCCATGGATCGTCCGACGAGACCACGACATGGTGACTGTGCCTTGATGACAGAAGACTGACAGAGCAAGGCCGCACGTGAAGCCGAACCAAGAAAAGGCAGATCGAAAAGGGCCCTGCAAACACCGTCATGGTTAGGGCATGCGAGGCATCGAGGACGGGCCTCGCAGGGTGCGGCGGAGTCGAGGTAGTGGCACCCTGACTCGAAGCGGAAAGAGCTATTACGTTATCGGTACTGAGAGCCCAGTCATGACGCGGGCGGGCTTGTGAAATACCCATGGGATTTCGGTTTGGTAATGCACGGCAGCGGATTCACAGGGTCCCGGGCGATCTGATCTGTCCGTGGTGATGCTAGCCATGGGGGTTCGACTTCCGGGTCTGGTTGTGTTGATTGTGCTCTCATTCCATGACCTTCCTAGCAGTCGTCTTGAGCTGCTGAGGAGAATGCCGCTCTAGAAGAACCTTCAGCCTGTGGCTTGGGAGTCGGCGCAGCTTCCAGCCAGTGCGGTTGGTCCAGGAAAGGCACACGACAAGCGCCAAGGGCAGCCTGCAGCAGATAGCAACGCGGGAGCGGCGGTACGCCCTTTACTGAAGGCCGCAGGTGCTTTGCTGGATGTCCACCTGGGCAGGCCGGGCGGCGCGGAGGATGGTGGGGCAGGAGCAACGGCTGCGCAGCGGCGGCATTTTGACGACTAAACTCTTGACAATTGTGTACTGTCATGCCTCAGAGATAAAGATTGGCCCGCCTCCCATTCGCCGCGCCGCAACGTCGTGCCAAGCGCCCGCCCGGCCGGCCCCGTCATCCATCCGGCCACCACTGCAACGCAAGCAAGCAATGAATGCGACCAAAAGGACAGAGAGGACAGCTGAAATGCGAGACTGCTGAGAGGGGAAGCGGAGAGAAAGTGCCAGTCCGTGACTGTTCTGCAAGTGACTCAGCGCAGCTCAGAGGGGGATTCGTACACCACACGCGAGATGGCCCAGCCGAATCTGGTTGGTGTCGTATGTCCTCAGCGCATTTGCTATTCTCGGGCGCAGGCGAGCCCACCCAGATCTCGCCTGCTGGTGGTGCTGGTGCTGCTGCTACTGGAGTCAGCCGGCTTGAGCTAGCGGCCCCAGGCACCACGTTTTCCTGTTACGCAAGTGCATCTCCTGCCACACAGGACTGCCTTCGATTCGCCGACTCGAGGACCCTGGCATGTCATGTACCGTACCCAGGTATGTCGTAGTCGTAGTCAAATGCCTCCAGGGCTGCCCGCCCCAGAATTCCCACCCTCCAGAGCCCGGCAAAAGAGCTGCAGCTGCAGCCGGGCCCTGCCACAGCAGACCCTGGCCGGGCTCTCCAGGCGCAGCGATCACTCCTGCCTGCCTCCGTCGGCTGGGTGGTGGACTCCAGAATTACTCCAGACCAGAGCGCTGCGCTCTCGCCTACCTTATCTAATACCTCGTCCCCCCACGTTGCCTGCCTGCTTCCCGTCGTCATCTTCATTTCTCCCCCAGATGGACCTCTGCCCGCCTGTCTGACTTGTCGTTCAGGCCTCGCTCGACGATATCCAGAAAGTGCGCCCGTGCCCGGTTCTAAAGGTGTATCACACGAGCAGCGTCCCCTGCCTGGCTTCTCCATGACGTCGGAATCCCGGGCTCTTCTCATCCTTGCAGCCGTCGCTGTCCAATCGCGCCAGCCCTAGCCAGTCAGAAAGAGGCTGGGCCAGCGCCTGCATATCGCCCGCTCACGATCTCTGACCTCGAGCCAGACAGCGTCGCACACTGTCGACACTTGCTTGGGTGTTCTCAAATCCGGCTGCCGTGAGCGGCTGGCGTGTCTGAAGGCCGAGTCTAACGAGCTCCATAATCTGGATCTTGCGTATCAGTTCCTATTACACACCAAGTTACATTTCTCTAAACCCAAACCCCAGCCCGCACCCCAGACTTGGCTCGGCCGCCGCCCGACATCGACGGTCGGCTCGACCACTCACATCCTTATCTCTTCTTCCTCTTCCTCGCTCTTATCTCTGCCAGTTCACGCACCCAACCGTTCCATCCTACAGTCCTGCGCGGTGTCGTAGTGGGCCCAATCTTGCAACGAACCGCCACCACAAAGTAGCACTCCCACGGTTCCCGGCAGCGGCAGCGGCAAGATAACGGCCACCAAGCACGGGCTGAGCCGAGCGAGGCTGCTTGTAACCCCTAGTCTGGGGGCCAGAAGTACCGCCTGCTTATAACTGTATTCGGCGGTATCTGGACTTGTCGCCATGTCTCGGGGCACGCCCTCCATACCGCGGACGGCTCCTATAGCCATCGCACCCAAGCCACTCGAGCCCGCCATGAGCAGCCAGCAGAGCAGCCTGGGTAACGACAACGGCCCTGTCAGCAACATGAACGGCCATGATTCTGCCGACTCGGACTCGAGCCCACAGCCGCGGAAAAGGAAGCTTGGGCGTGATCCTACAGTGGAAGAGGCCAGTTGGAAGAGAGGGTACGTTATCAACCTGCCACCCTTGGGGCTTTCACCCCCCATCTCTCCCACCTTAAGCTACTGCAGGTCGAGACCAGGCGTCTCGCACCGGCCGGCCCGCACGAATCAGCGTCGAATGGGCGTCATGCGAGGACTAACAATGCGTATGACCTGACAATAGGTCGCCGAGATGGTCCGAGTATAGAAGGCAGCGAGAGATCCACTCGAGTCACTCCAACACAACCGCCAGCAACTCCCTGATCGAAGAGATGGCCAACTTTGGAGGCCCCGCGCTTCTCAAGAGGACCCTCGGGCTTCAAAACGACCGATACAGCCAATACATCGGGCCAACCACCGACTTCGAGCCATCGCTCATCAACCTGTCGCCGTTCAACCCCGAAGATGAGAGCTTATTAGCGCGCGGGATGCTGCGGAAGGTCAGCGAGCACGACACGTTTTTAATGCTCCCAGACCACAACACACCCGGCTACGACCACTGCATCCAGGATGTCGACGAGGTCGAACGGCTGGTCGCCCCGCACGGGCGGCGGCTCATTGACTTGTACTTTGAGGTCGTCCACCCATCGTTTCCCATAATCCAGAAGTCGGTCTTCCTCGAAAAGTACGAACGCGATTACCGCGAGTTCGCTCCTCCGATCCTTGCGGTAGTCTACCTTTTGGCGATGAACTGGTGGGAGCACTCTGAGGAACTCTCCCAGTGCGAGCGCCCAAACGTCACAGAACTCGAACGAGTGATGCGGTCATCCCTCGCTGATGCCATGTGGCGGCCCAAGCTGTCCACAATTCAAGCAGGTCTGCTGCTGTCACAGAAGCCTGAAGGAGATCAGTGGGCGCCGACAGCACAGCTTGTCGCCATCGCCCAGGAGCTTGGGCTTCATCTCGACTGCACGCACTGGAAGATACCACCCTGGGAGAAGGGGCTGCGTAAGAGGCTGGCCTGGGCTCTTTACATGCAGGATAAATGGGGTGCCCTGGTTCATGGGAGACCGTCGCACATCGACACTGCAAACTGGATCGTACAGCCACTTTCACCAAACGATTTCCCTGAGGACGACTACGACGATGGTGATGTCGAGGAGAAGCAGGAGAGCGAACAAGGCCGCACTCTCTTCGTGCAAATGGTATATCTCACCCAGATCCTGGCTGAGATTCTCGACACCTTCTACACTCTGCGAGCCATGCAGACCGTCACGAATGCTGGTCCTCAAGGCACCAGCTTTGTTCTTTCTTTGGCCAAACCTATCCAGTTGAAGCTCAAGGACTGGTATGGAGCGCTTCCAACCAGTATTCGCATGGACTCATCCTTCCAGACAGTCAGCTCGACCTCGACGCGGCTCACCAGCATTGGCTCACTGCATCTGGCCTACTTCGCTACCGAGATCACCCTTCACCGCCGCATCATCAGGTCGCTAGCAGCTGATTCGCAGGCGATCGACGCGTATGTCCAGCACATCTGCCGCAGTGCTGCCAAAGCACGGTTGATCTCAGCCATGGACTTTGTCAACAGGCTTACGCCTCTGCATTTGCAAGCGTTTTGGTTCTTCGCCTCCAAGACCAGTTTTGCACTGATTGGCACGTTTGGATCACTGCTGTGGGCCACATCTCCAGGCCGCGAAGAAGCAGACTGGTACCGCAGGCGCCTTGGCGAGTATCGCTGGACCTTGAGTGTAAGCAGCAAGCCTGGCGGCAGTGCAAAGCTTACCGAGTTCGCCATGGGCATGCTGGACATCTCGACAGGGCTTCTGAAGCAGCTCCCGGAGAAACCCGAGCTCAGCAGGAACAGCAGCGCGGTCGACATGGATCTGGTGGGTGCTCGGCGGCAGAGTTTATTGTCCATGGGGATGGGCATGACATTTGACGGACCAGGCACATATAGCGGCCTCGCGAGTGCTGAGATGAGCACGGTGCACAGCCCCAACAGCCAGAGCGATAGTAGCGAAGATTTCGAGCAGTACCACCCGACACGACACGGCATCGTGGCGTATACCGATTGAGAGAAGGTAGGCCTTGCCTGCCTGCTAAAAGTTTGTTGCCACCCAATCATCTTTCTGCCATTCACGACCATAGACGGCTGCTATTGATTTTGGGATTATCTGGGGGGTTATCGGGGTAGATTATGGCGGTTTGGACCATTTCATGTCTTGTTCTGTTCGCTTGGATACCCCTCACCTGTGTAGAAAAAGCTGGACGCCACCGGATGAGTGCTCCATGCTACGAAGTTACTTTTGAATGAACATGTCAACATCTTGCCATTGAGGGCTGTAGGAATGATTGGTGTGCTTTGTCAGTGCTGGTTCACCGCCGGTTGCTGCGTGCGCTGCGGGTAGTTATGCCATGCGTCTGCTATGACGCACATGGGGGGTTACATGGTGGTGATCACCTAAATGGAGTAGCCACGTCGGTGCCTTCTGTAGCGGGGGGCCATCAATGTTATTAGCCGAGCATGCTCAACGTGTGTATGCTGCAAGTCATTGTCAGAACACGAGCTGTGATCCCTACCAAGAGAAGTGAATTTCGTCTCTGCACATGGTGTTGACCAAAAGAAAAGAAAGAAAAAACACCCACATTGAGCAAAGTTTGAACGAGCCCAACGGCCCAAGACAACTTCGCAGCTCCTGGAAGGGCTTGCTCGAGCCTCGTCATTTTAAATCTCGGAGTAGCGCACACAACAAGTGCCAGTTGATGGGTTAGGTGTCCGAGCCTTGATTCATGGTCGCTAGCTCGATGGCTGGTCCGAGTGCTGCTGCCCAGGTGGCCATCTAGTGTAGATACGCTGGAATCGGCTCTTGGGCCACTTTTGCGGTCGTGCCCCGTGCTGAGTATGCCGTCCCTGGAGGTCTTTGTGGCCGTCTCGAGCAGTATCTGGTCTGGCACTAGGTTTGCCTGAGCACGAGCTAAGGATGCAGGCCGGCTGCTCCGATGGGTCATCTGCGAATCCTGCTCCCTTCTTGTGTCTTGTCTGGGATGGGTTGAGCTGGACGCCTGTTGCCATTAGAGTTTCTCCGCGTCGAAGCGCGGCATAATCAAGCAGCAGGAGGGCAGAGAGCACCCACGACAGTGGCTCCTGTGCCGCATCCAACCACGGCCGCTCATTTCCCGCCAGGATTCGAATTCTCTCTCAACCCTTCCACCCATCCACCGGGTTTGCGTGCAGTCTCTGCCTCGACGTATCCCTGGAACCACGAACCGCCGACACAGCGCGCCGACGAGGAACAAGCCGACACCCATCATAAACACATCAGCGGCACGCATAGTACTCGCCTCGTGCAGCAGCAGCAAGCAGCCACACGCCGGTGTCGCAGCGCGCGGCGGACGAATCAAGGGAGGCCACTCGGGCGCTGCCAGCTCACACCTCCCTCCAGCCCTCAGCTGCGTGGCCTCGCGTCTCACACCGGTCCCCCGATACAGGCCACAACCCCCTGGCCGCCACGAGACCTCTCCAACCCGCCCTGCGCGTACCCGCGACCTGGGCTGCCGTGGGCGACAGCGTGTGCACAGCGCGGCCCGAGGTACTCGGTACTGGACTGCCTGTGCAGTGACCTGGCCTGGCGTGTGACACACACCCAACAGCAGCAGCAGCAGCAAGCTGCCGTACCACCATCATCCATGGCTCCAGACGGCAAGGACGGCGGTGTCGACAGCGATGCCGCTTCCGCCCCTGTCGCCCAGATGCACTCGTCTGCTGCCAAACGCCCCGGCGCCCGGCGGTACAACACGACAGACTCCCTCGCCAGCGACCAGACGTCAAACTCGTCCTCGACACAGCACCATCACCATCACGGCGCCAACAACAACAACAACCACCACCACCACCACAGAGTCAAGCACACAAAGCACGTCGTCGGCGGCGGCACCTCTGCCCGCATTCCCATGCACGCCCGCACCTCCTCCTCAAAGGCTCTGCACAAGCACACCTCGGCCTCGTCCACAAAGCTCGCCTCCAAGCGCAATCACTCGCCCTCGCCAGACCGCTCCGCACACAACCACAACCACCACCACGCCCCGGCTGCCACGGCCACCTCCACGGCGGCTTCCACTCCTGGCCACCGCCGCTCGACGTCCGAGGCCAAGCTCTCCTCGCGCGACTCGTCCTCGGCCAACCTGCGCAAGAACGCGTCCCACTCGAGCCTCGTCGGCAAGCGCAACCGTTCCCACGTCGAGATCGCCAAGAAGTCAAAGTCGGCCGCCAACATCAAGCGCTCTGCATCACATCGCGACGTCAACAAGTACAAAGGCACTGGCGCCAAGGGCTCGGTCCACTTCGCGCTTGGCGACAACGATGGCGACGACGACGACGACGACGAGCAGGAGGACGAGTGGGTAGACGCCAGCGGTTCTGCCTCGCCTTATCTGTCGCGGCGAGGATCCGTCGCCAGTGGTGTGCAGAGTCCGGGTAAGACAGCCCGCGACGAGGCAGCACATTCAGCGTCGTCGTCGCGACCGCACACGCCCAGGGAACCACACCAGCTCCAGAAGCAGCAGTCGCAAGAGTCTGCCGCAGAGCACGAGTCAAGTAGTGACACCGCGTCTGACAAGGAAACGATCCAGCACAAGGAGTATCTCACGTCCAGGTTACTGAAGAGAACACCTTCATACAGCGCTCCACACATGTCCAAGGAGACGGTTTTGGTGCAGCCCCGGGGCTCGCCAGACTCGGTTCGGGCAAGCCTGTACGGCACGCCAAAGAACACCACTGCCATTGTCGGTAGCGACCAGACTGCCGAAGTGACGTCACGATTCGTCAATGGCTCCGGCGGCGGCGCAGAACCAGGCTCTTTCTACACGCCGACACGATCGCCTGCGCGCCGAAGCGACAATGTCCGACCGTCCAAATCACTGACCAATATCACCGACAAGCATCGAGACTCGACCGACACAAATGCCGCCGCGGATGACGAGGACGACAGCGCCTTGGCACCCAGGACCACAAGACCTGCGCGCGGAGGTGTGCCGGCAGAAACATCCCGGACGCAGCAGAAGCTCAATCTCCAGCGCGCAAGCTCCAGTATGGAGCCCTCGCAGCCCGGCGGAGGCGGTGGAGTTGTTGGAGCCAGCCCTCTGGTCGGAGTGAACAACCACGAAGGTCGGGACTTGCGGATCAGCAGGCAGCTTGAGCGCACAGGAATGGAGTACCTCGTCGTTCGCCGGTATCAGAACCCCATTGCACGGTCAATCAACCGGTTATCCCAGCTGCCGGGCGCCAACAAGACGCAGCCGATACGCCAACACAAGTCGAACGGCGTCAATGGCGGGTCCGCGGCTGGCTTGGGCCACGCGAAGAAGCCGTCGTATGGCCTGAGCCAAAGTCTGGCAGACCTACAGAAGTCGAGGCCGACCACGCCTGCGACTGCAGCAGCAGCTGCTCGACGGCCCACTTCGATCAGGACGAACGGGGCCAACTCAAGCTATGGCGATGGCAACAATAACAACAACGATGAAGATTCCCGCTATGACAATGATGGCGACGATGGTGGGCTCGCGGCCATCTTGAGAAATCTGTGGGACAAGAACATGGACCTCAGTGCGAGCCAAGACTAGAGCTGTGGGCCGAAGGCTGTACTATACGTTTATCAGTGCGTGTCTGCGAAGAGCAGCATGCCGGGCTTTAGCCATTGTCGAGGGTGGGTTATATGGCAGAGCATGGGCCATTGCTTTTATATCTTAGCAAGCGGCATTCTAGGGAGATGCTTGTGGAACGCTTTTGCGGTCGACAAGGTATTTACGTTGACACGGCTGTTCTTGCACATCGGCAGTGCTCCCAGTCGGGATTCTGACTTATAGAAAGGGGGAAAGGTGCATAGGAGGGCGGTTGCATGCGGGTCTATTCATGTTTCTCACCAGTATTCTAGCACATAAAACAAGCGACGAATTCCTCTTTCTCCAATGATTATATCAGATGGCCCACTGCATGATTCCACACTACATTTTGATTCGGCCCTGCCATGTGATGGGGAGGACAGCATCAGTTCCGCCGAATCCGAAGTTGGACGGATCCCCAAGCTATAAGGCTCTGCTGCAATCACTGAGCGAGATATGGAGGCAGAAGCTGAGAGTCAAGAGTCAAGGTCGTGGTCTCTTGCTCCCTTTTCTCCCGGTCCTCCGGAGCGGAGCTGCTCGCACCCACAAACAAACGGACCAGTCACAGCGCAAGGGATTCGGTGCCGTCGTCGTCGCAGCGGATCGGCCCCCGGCCCCAGCCGGAGCTTAGGGGTGGCATGGCATGGCATGGCATGGTGGGGGCAGCCCATCTTTTGGCTCAGCAGCAGCTCGAAGAACCCCTGCCTGCCCGCCCTTCCGCCCAGCGCGGCTGCTTTTCTTGGGACCCTCCAAAAACTCGAGGAATCATTCGATCCGCCCACCACACCTGCCCACACCATCATCTCTATCTGTCTGCCAGTCAGTCAGTCAGTCAAACCGAACCCTCCTCATCTGGGTCACGGCCGCAGGCACGGTTCCTGTTCTTGGCAGCTAACGCAGCTCCCCGAGAATCTCTGCGCTCGGCATCCGCAACGGGTGTAGCAGCAGCGGCTTTGGCACAAACTCTCGCGCTCTCTCTCTCTCTGTCTCCTCCGAGGGGTTCACGAAGCCTGCGGATCCAGGGAGGGGAAATATCAAACCCCCAATTACGTCCCAGCTATATCGACATCAACATCGACGACGACGAGGGGGGAACACACAATGGCGTTCGGACTCGTCCCCGCCTTTCGCCGCGCCGCCGGAGCCAGCAGCACCACCGGCACCACCAGCAAGGCTGCTACCACCGCGGCGGTGCTGCTGCGACGACCGCTGGTGGCCAGCACGACAGCGACAACTCCGTTTGTATGTCGCCAATGTCTGTCCACCTCTGCCTCCGCCGCGTCGACGAGGGCGGGCGTGGCCGGCCGGCCGCTGTCTGTTGTGGCTACGGCTGCGGCTAGACGTTTTGCAAGCACGAACAAGGCGGACACCGCGGCGACGACGGTAACGGCAACCTCGAGTGCTGGCAGTAATGGTAGCACGACGCTGCTGCAGAGCAAGACTATCCCTTTCCCGACTCCAACCGCGACGACGCCAATCGCCGTCGACAACAGCGTGGAGGGAGCGGCTTCGGCTGAGAGCCAGAGTGGCAGCAGCAGCAGCAGCAGTCGGAGCTCCTCGTTCCCTGATATGAGCTCACGCTCTGTGGGCTTGTGGCTTGTCGGTAGCGCTGTCAGCGTCTTTGGAATTGTCATTTTTGGTGGACTGACGCGGTTGACTGAGTCTGGGTATGTCTTTCCCCTTTGTCTCTCCGCCTCGACTCGTTCGTCCGACGTGAAAGCTTGCTGACCATGTGTCCCCGTGGGCAACAGCCTCAGTATCACCGAGTGGAAGCCCGTGACCGGATCTCTGCCGCCAATGTCCCAGGCCGACTGGGAGGATGAGTTCACAAAGTACAAGGCCTCGCCCGAGTTCAAGATGCTCAACTCGCACATGAACCTGGCCGAGTTCAAGCAGATCTACTTTATGGAGTGGACGCACCGCCTCTGGGGCCGCTTCATCGGCATGTCGTTTGTCCTACCCGCCGTCTACTTTGTCGCCCGCCGCCGCGTGACCAAGCGCATGGCGTGGACGCTGCTGGGCATCAGCGGCCTGATTGGCTTCCAGGGCTTTATCGGCTGGTGGATGGTCAAGTCTGGCCTCAAGGACGACCTGTTCGCACCCGGCAGCCACCCGCGCGTCTCGCAGTACCGCCTCACCGCACATCTCGCCACGGCCTTTGTCTGCTACTCGTGGATGCTCCTCGCGGGGCTCGGCGTCCTGCGCACGCGCCGGCTCGTCACCAAGCTCGAGCCCGCCGCCGCCATGGCGCACCTCGCCGCGCTGCGGAACCCGGCCCTCCTCCCCTACCGGCGCCTCGTGACCCTCCTCACCGGCCTCATCTTCACCACCGTCCTCTCGGGCGCGCTCGTGGCGGGCCTCGACGCGGGCCTCATCTACAACGAGTTCCCCTACATGGGGCTCGGCCTCACCCCTCCGCGCAAGGAGCTCTTTGACGACTTCTACTCGCACACGCCCGACCGGTCGGACCTCGTGTGGCGCAACATGCTCGAGAACCCGTCCCTCGTGCAGCTCGACCACCGCATCCTCGCGACCACGACCTTCTTCTCGGTCCTCGCCCTCTTTGCCTACTCGCGCCGCGGGCAGGCGGGCAAGCTCGCCGCCGCCATCCCGCCAGACGTCCGCAAGGCCACCCTGGGCCTCGTCCACCTCGTCAGCCTCCAGGTCGCCCTGGGCATCAGCACCCTCATCTACATGGTCCCCGTCCCGCTGGCCGCCGCGCACCAGGCCGGCGCCCTCGCCCTGCTCACGGGCGTCCTGATCCTGGGCCAGAGGCTCCGCGTGCCCAGGAGCACGCTGAGGCTCGTCCAGAAGCGCCTCGACCAGGTTGCTGGTGGCAAGCTGCCGCCGCGGTTGTAAAACAACAACAACGTCGATAACGTTAAAAGGTAAAGAGGAAGAAAAAAAAATTACCGCTCCGACTTCTACTTGTTAGAGAGAGAGAGATTCGAGACGATGGGGTAAGCGCCGAAACACAGACAGAAAGAAAAGAAAGAGACGAAAGAGAAGAAACAGGATATTGTACGAAAATCGCCGCCATTGGGCGCGCGCGTTCATGAACAAGAGGGAGACGGCAGGGTGTGGGGGAGAGCGGGAAGAAGGGATGTACCCAGACCGAGCACTTTCTGGCCTGGCACCGTTTTTCCCCCTTCCTTTTCAGAGGAAACCGCAGGTGTATACCTGTAAGAGGACAGATACCGTGAAACCCTCTTCCTCGAAACCAGAACCCCTCCAGAGATATATAGGACTTGAAAGCAAAGAAGACCCTTCTGTCAAAGCGGAAGGCGAGGACGAGGAAGAGGAAGAAGGAAGAGAACGAGGAAAGGAGAGACATTATGGTCCGTCCTCTCTGTATGTACGATAAAAAGATAGACCTGTACATATTACTGTACCACAAACACCACAATACAATACAGCTTCCCCAAGAAAGAAACGACTCACACACACACACACAGTCACATTCACAGCCATAAAGTGTCGAATGCCAAGAAAGCTGGAGAAGGGTATTGGTTATTGTTTCGCTGGGCTTTTGTGGAACTTTGGTAAGTTGAGTTCTATCACACCGGCTTGCTTTTGCGAACAGCAGGTGATGAGGCGAGCGAGGACACACACACACACACTTACACACACAACAGCCGATACCGCCGTCACTGCCTCCGCCGGTGCTGTCAGGGCACTTTCACAGTCCAGTATAGGGCGTGCTTGGACTTCCAAGCCAGTCAGTCAGTCAGGTCACTTCACACGAGGAGCTACTAAACATCGCAGTGTCGCTGGTCCCAGATAGGCTGATTTTACTGTATTTTGTTTCTAGCTGTCTTTTATTGTACGCCAAGTACGCCAAATAAGGGTTTTCTACCTGTGGCTTATCATCACTTCAGCTCTCATCCAGACAAGGCGGTTTCTCTTGTTTTTCTTCCTGCTGGAACATTTTCGTGTCGTCGGTGAAGCACTGCTGACTAGCAGTTTACTTGTGCGCTGTACAGCTCCATATTAGCTTTTGATGGTGAGCGAGAGAGAAAAAAATGAGCTGGCTGCAGCACGGTGCATTCACTTACCAATGCCTTCGATGGGGACCTTGGGCTCCTCGGCACCATCAGTGCCGACAGTCTTCTCCTTCTTCTGCTCGGGGTTCATGAACGGGAACAGCAGCACCTCCCTGATGCTGTAGTTGTTGGTGAGGAACATGACGAGGCGGTCGATGCCGAGACCCCAGCCGGCTGTCGGGGGCAGGGCGTGTTCGAGGGCGTTGAGGAAGGTCTCGTCGATGGTCTGGGCCTCCTCGTCACCCTGGTCCTTCTGCCGGGCCTGCTCCTCGAACCGCAGCCGCTGCTCGAACGGCTGGTTCAACTCTGTGTAGGCGTTGGCAATCTCCTTCTTGCACACGAAAGCCTCGAAGCGCTCGGTCAAGCCGGGCTTGCTGCGGTGGTCCTTGGCCAGGGGCGACATGATCTTGGGGTGCTCAATGATAAAGGTCGGGTTGACAGCCGTCTCCTCGATGAACTCGCCCGTGAGCTTGTCGAGCATGCGGGCGGTGGTCTGGGGTTCGGGGCAGTTGACCTTCATCTTCTTGCAGACGCCCTTGAGGAACTCGCGGGCCTCGTCGGTGTGGAGGTCCTCGGCGGCAGGGAACTTCTCGCCCGTGGCCTCCTCGAGGGCGGGGATCATGGACACGCGCCGCCAGGGTGCCTCCCAGTTGACGTTGTACTTCTCGCCGTGCTGGTTGGTGAATTCGGTGGTGTAGCCGCCGGTCAGGTGCTTGACCATGCCGGACACGAGCTCCTCGGTGCGCTTCATCAGGTCCTCGTAGTCGGCGTACGCCTCGTAGAACTCGCAGGTGGTGAACTCGGGGTTGTGGGTGAGATCGGCGCCCTCGTTTCTGAAGAGGCGGCCAATTTCGTAAACCTTGTCGTAACCGCCGACAATCAACATCTTGAGAGGCAGCTCGGGGGCGATTCTCAAGAAGACGTCCATGTTGTAGTCGTTCAGGTGGGAGGTGAAGGGCTTCGCGGTGGCACCGCCAGCAATCATGTTGAGGATGGGAGTCTCGACCTCCTCGAAACCAGCATTGTCGAGGTAGTTCTTGACGTACTTGATGATCTTGGTGCGCGTGCGGAAGGTGTTGAAGACGGTCGGGTTCATCATCAGGTCGAGGTACCGCTTGCGGTAGCGCTGCTCCTGGTCCTTGAAGCCGTAGTACTCGTCGGGCAGCTGGTGCAAGCAGGGCGCGAGCAGAACGACCTCGGTCGCAAAGACGGAGAGCTCGCCCTCCTCGCCCTTTTCGATCTTGGTCTTGGGTGCGGTGCGGCCGGCGTAGCCGACAATACCAATGACATCACCTCTGCGGATGTGGGTGTGCTGGTCCTCAAAGGCTGGCGAGCCCTCGCTGACTTCTTGCGCCTGGCACATGACCTGGACCTTGACGCCATTGTTGCCGTAGATGTCGTAGAAGAGCAGCTTGTTGCCAGAAGCACGCTTGTTGTATATCCTGCCAGCCACGCGGAGGACCTTGTCCTTGCTGTGCTCGCCAGACTTGAGGTGACCAAAGTCCTTGACGAAGTTGTTGAGGTCGTAGTCGCGGTTGAACTTGTGGGGGTAGGGGTAAGGGCTCTTGGACTCTATGAGCTTCTTGATGTTGCGGGACCGGATCTCGAAGTACTGCTGTTTGCAGTTATCAAGAGTCAGCAATTCAGTACAGTATTCCCACAAGGAACCCTTTGGGACTCACGTTAGGAGTCAGCTCCTTCTCCTCGGCCTCGTCGTTCGACTTCTTGGCAGCCTTGGGGGGCGCGGCAGCCGCCTTGTCGGCCTTCTTCGCATCGCGCTCGCGCTGCTTCTGCCTCTTCTTGAGCTCAGACTTGGAGACCTTCTCTCCAGTCACCTCGTCGAGGTGCAGGTTGGCGACCTGCTCGGTCGGGGGCGCTTCAGAGTCGGCCATGTTTGGGGATCGATTGCGTCTGCTTATGATGTGCTTCGCGCAATCGAATTGCTTGCGTCACGAACGAAGGTGAGGGGCACGTTTATCAAAAGTATGTCATGGATTTTTGCGACGATGGCGGGGCATTATTTTTTGAGCTTGAGTCACGCACATTCCCTGTCGCGGGGTAGCAGGCAGAGCGCCGATGCCGGGTAAGCTCATTGACTCACCTAAATGCACTTCGCTTCACGTGCAGATCTCTGTTTGATGCTGCTTTGGTCGCCAGCACACTAGTATCTTGCGCATGCATGTCATGGGCTGTCTTGATTGATCTGCGGTATCGAGGAAATGGGAGATGTTGTTGCTTCATCTCCAGTCTCACTGCCCAGGTTATGGTTGAACGGAGGCAGCACTTATTTCCAGTTCTGGCAGGTCAGATCCACGCCACTTACACAGGTGGATGCCAGCATCGGCTGCGAATTAGAAAAACGGCCCTGGGACATTCTGGATTTGTCGTTGGAATTCCAAATGACGGCAATGTAGCTTTCGACCGAAGACTGGCACAGCAATGCAGCCTGGGGCAATGACGAGTGCTGCAGGCAGACATCACGCCATTGTTGGGCCATGGTGAAGTTTTTGCCAGTTTGGTGCTGAAAGGCACCTCCGCAACACGGAGAACACCCACTGCTCGCTTGCGTCCAGGGAGGATGCAAGCCAGCTCTACGGAAATGTGTTTGTGAAGCGGTCCAAATAGCACAGTGGCAAAGCGGTATGTGAGCAAGAGACAGGCGAGGCAACAAGCGATCTGCCGCAATGATATCGCCGCCAGCATCGGGCATGTCCCGGAGAACACAGCGACTCGAGTCTCCGTGCTGTATCACCATGATCGAGGGCTTAGAACGAACGAAACATGACACGTTCCGCGGATATTTCCACAATGCCCAGGGCCATTAACTCAGATGTCCTGCTCATAACGTTATGGGCTGTAAACTCGAAACGGCACATGTGCAGCCAATGGCAGTAAGCCGGCCTCTGAGTGGCTGGGTGCGCGGAAACCGCATGAGACAGCCGTGTTTGAGGCATGACTCTCCGTGTCTCGAGTTGTCTGGCAGGGGCCGCATCTTTTGGCTGGCACTGGATCTGGTCGGCAGTGGGCCGTGTGCGCGCAAGACGGCGCAAGCGAAGGGGAGGGCCTGTCGGGCAGCCTCGTTCTATTGTTCTTTTGCTGCACCGCCCCCGGACCTCTGCCAGATGCGCCCTAGCCAGTGCCAGGAATAGCAGCGTAACGCCACCACCACCATCCACCACGGGCACTCGAAAGACGCCGTCTTGCCAAGGGTTGCCGGTCAGGGGACTGGCAACAAGCGGTGGATGGGCGGGAGCGGGACGGCCGGCAGCGCAAGCACATGGCCATAGATGGGTGATCACTCTCGAAGATGTCAAACTCGGTGGAGGAGGCGCCGGACATATTTCCTTTGCGCAAACCGCCTCGTGTTTCCTACCCGTCTTCCCCTGATTGCCACTTTGCTGGGTCTCCTGCTCCAGTTTGGACCCCTGCGCGACGGATCGTCTGACAGACTGGACGGGCCTACAAAGTAGTGTACAGCTCGTGATGGGGCCCGCACCGGCGAAAGGCGAGGGTCGTCCCTTGCCCTCCACATTCCGTGTCTGGAATAATTGGAACCTCTAGGATTCTGCTCGCTCGAGCGCAAAATACCTATGGCCGAGCGGCACCATGGGACGGGCGGCGGATGCATCATGTGGACGTGCGCAGCTGTCTGCCAACATAAGCCAAAATGGGGGATGGTGCCGAGGGGCCATAATGTGCGAGTTAGTAATTAGAATGCAAGGGGCCTAACAGTCAGGATCTGCGTCGCTTGCCGCACCATGCTTCGAGAAGCCCTCAGTGCCGTCGACACCCGTGGACGGCACAAGAGTCGAGGCGACCATGCAGGGCCAATCACAACAACCATGTCAGGCATGCTCGTATGGAACTGCACAAAGTTTAGTAGGTCGTGTTGGGCACTTTGGCTGATCCACAAGCGTACGAGACCGAAAGAAGCCCTTTGTGCGGCAATGGGGAGAGCCGCCCCAGAGTAGAAAGTCTTCGTCACGAGCGCCGTCGACTATTGATGCTGTCGAAATTGCGCAGGCGTGCGTCGCCTGCTGACGTCCTCACGGGGACCATGCCTAACGTACGCTAAGTAGCGCGCCAACGGCGTGCAGGTGGTGAGTCCGAGAGAGGCTGGGTGCTGCTTTTCCAACCACCATGAAGATGAATAATGGACACGGATCGCGACATGTGCTGGCGACTATTTCTGAGCATCATTGACTCATGATTTGCCTAGCATGACATGATGGAACGCATCTGTCTGGACCAGCGAATGCACTTGCATCAGTCAGCGTTGTGCTGGGGCTGTGCACTTTTAGACACGAAGCGGCGACGCACCAGCTTGCAGGCTCCACGGTTGTCACTTGAGGTTGGAATGGAAGGCTGAGTTATGCAACGTCACCCAGGAAAGAGGCGGGAGACCCTGAGCCAGTCCCAAAGCGGGCAAGGGACGGCGCTGGTTGCGAGGTCGCATCGCACGCCAACACGAGCCTGGAGCAGCCTTCACGGGGGGAGGGAATGAGGCCCATCTCGCTATGGGCTTGGGGGATGGGCCAATGCTGACTAGTGGCCAGCCTGGGGCCGGGCTCGAGACAGCCGGCCAACGCGGTGCCAGGCTCGCACGCGCTGATTGGCTGGACAGGGCGTGCCCAGCTCGCCCAGCCCACAAGCACGGCGCATGGGAAATAACAGGCGCCACTCGCTTGGAGCATTCCCTGCCCCTTTTCGGCCTAGCCCCGCGTGTGGCCCAGCCCCCTGGCCGCCCCAGGGCTGCTGGGGGGGAATACGGGTTGCCAGGTCCAGGGCTGCCCCTGCATCCACAAGTGCAACATGCACGCACGCACGCACGATGGATGGGTGCATGCCCCGGCCGGCTAGGCAGATGACCAGACCCTCCCGCCGCTGGCTGCGACGCCGCCCAGCCCAAACAACAAATAAAGGCGCCGTCGCCAGCGCCTCAGGGAGCCACATGGGAGATCCTTCTCTCTTTGATCTCTTGCTCTCTCCATCTCCATATCCTTCTTCAAACATCCTTGTTTCACATCGCCTGTACCTCTCGCTCAGACAGGCTCCTTCCTTCTTGCTGCCATTCTCCACCACTCGCTCAGCCTCGCAGCTTCCTCTTGCTCTCCGTACCAGGCCCTCTCTTAATATCTCCTAGCCGACTCAAAGAGGTGCCCATTGCCAATACTCTCTGCTGTACATCTTTCCACCACCACATTCAAAAGTCAACATGCTCTCCAAGTACATCTCCAGTGCGGCCGTCCTGGCCCTGGCCCAGCTCGCTGCTGCCCAGACTCACACTGACTGCAACCCCATGGAGAAGAGTGAGTAGACACACCTGGACCAAGTACTGGACTTACCAGAAACCATTGCTGACATTTCAAAACAGCCTGCAAGAACGACCCCGCGCTCGGCACCACCATCGACGCTGACTTCACCCAGGGCCAGAGCCCCTACTTCTACGAGTTTGCCGGCACCACCATCAACTACACCAAGGACGGCGCCCTCTTCACCATCAAGAAGGAGACCGATGCCCCCACTGTCGGCAGCCACAAGTACATCTTCTTTGGCAAGATCGACGTGACCATCCGTGCCGCCCCGGGCAACGGTGTCGTCACCTCGTTCGTCCTCCAGTCGGACAACCTCGACGAGATCGACTGGGAGTGGCTCGGCGGTGATGTCAAGCAGGTCCAGACCAACTACTTCGGCAAGGGCGACACCACCACCTACGACCGTGGTGCCTACCACCCGGTCGCGAACCCTCAGCTCGAGGACCACACCTACACCATCGACTGGACCAAGGACTACGTCAAGTGGTACATTGACGGTGCGCTTGTCCGCACCCTCCTGTACAAGGATGCCCAGGGTGGTACTCGCTTCCCCCAGACCCCCATGCAGATCAAGCTTGGAAGCTGGGTTGCTGGCCGCAAGGACGCCCCCGAGGGTACTGTCCAGTGGGCTGGTGGTTACACCGACTTCAGCCAGGGCCCCTTCGTCGCCTACTACAAGGACATCAAGATCACCGACTACAGCAACGGCGTCAAGGGTGCCAAGGAGTACGTCTGGGCCCCTGCCCCCAACAACGGCGCCTACACCGACATCACTGTCAGCACCAGCGGTGGTTCCGGCTCCGCTGAGGAGGGTGGTTCCGTCGCCGCCAGCTCCACTGCCTCTTCTGCTGCCGCTACCAAGACCTCGACCCTGATCACCAGCACCAAGTCTGCTTCTGCCACCAAGACGTCGAGCTCCGCGACTGCCACTGGCACCTCTTCTGACCAGCCCACCACCACTGGCAACGCCAACGCCATTGTCTCTGCCACTCCCAGCGGCGCTGCTACCCCCAGCACGTCGCCTGTCCCTGGCGCTGCCTTCAAGAACTCGTTCAGCCCCATTGCCCTGGGTGCTGCTCTTGTCGCTGCCATTGTTTTCTAAGTTATACCCAGAGACAGACCTGAGCGTGTTCGTTCTAGCGTTTGGCTTTTGTTCTTCAGCATTGCTACCTTTTGCTTCACGCGGTCCAGACAGCATCTCTCGTTGATGCGGCGCTGCGGCCGGCGCATGCGGTCAATGATTATGGCGTTCACCCGGAAAAGCTGCCACAGCCGAGCACGTCTGGGGTTGCGGGGATCGATGAGCGCATTGAATGTTATATAGGGGAGAGCGGCACCGATACTGGCTGGAGATACGCCCGTCGCGTGGCCTGTAGATAATGATACCATAGAGGGAGAAAAAAATGCTGCATTATTTGAACAAACATTATTACATCAACGTCTGGCCTGCAGGTTCTTGATTGATTTGTGCGACTATTCACCCCAGCTGATCTTGTCAACCATGTGTCACAACCACGCTAGTGTCCGCAAGCAGATTTCAGCTCGTGGTCCTTGCATGATGCCGTTACACGGCATTGGAGTGTGACACGGCACGTCGATCGAGCCGTCCGCTCGCAATCGCGGTGGGAAACAAAGAAAGAATGCAAGTGGCGGCCGCGCACAGCCCGACGGGTGAAGGCCCACCACGTCCCTTCAACTATGATGACCCCGGATTTTTTGGTGCCTTGCGCGAAACCACGTACAGAAAGGACCACCGCTTAACCAGCTTTGCACTATCGATCCGCAACGATTTGGGGGGGGGGACGCTGTTGATGAGATGTGCTTCGCGGTGCCGGAGCAGGAGGAGTATGCGCATCGAATTCACGGAGAATAGTCCTATTTCGTTTCATCGCCCGGCAATGCAGAAGGGATGCAAGATGATGGGAGGTCGTTGTGCTAACAATGCAAGTATCCGAGTCCACAACCACTGATGTTGGTCAGGCGTGGGGACTGGCAAGTGTGGTTCAGTGCCAGGGTCCTCTAGCGCTGGCGTTGGCGCTGGTGCGAGACGGGTTGGCCGCCTTGCAGGCAGGCAGGCGCGCGGAGAGTGTGCTCTGCAGGGAAGGGATCGACAGGGACGGCCGCCTGGCGCCGCTGACAGGAGAGAGAGACCTGCATGGCGGACAACTGTCACTTGGGGGAAGAGCGGGTAGCACGGCAGAAGTGGCCGCGCGCACAAAGCAACTATGCTCACTCACTTTGCATCCGGCCAGGCCTTTCTTTGGGCCTTGAATTGTTTTTGGTTAACTGTTTCCTACAATGCTGCTCTGTGAGCATGCGGTGGGTGGGTGCTGCTAATATGACAGAGCGATGGTTGATGCTGCTGCAAATGCTTCAAGCGGGATCAGGTGCACGGTTCCCCCCTTTTGTTGGTTGGTTGGTCGGTTGGTAGTTCCATGTCTCTTACTTTGGTCCCTGTTCCTGGCAGCACTATTGGCCCGCTCTGGTGCGTCTCGCACAGGTCCTACATAGTAATTAATGAGATGGTGCCATTTCACCTTACTTCGTTGATCATGGGTAGGGGCTTGGGATCGGACGATGTATGGGGCCGTACTTAGAGGCTGCTAGTCTGGTGGAAACCCTACCAACATGGAGACGGGAGGAGGGGCGCATAAGGACGAAATACTCGTATGCAATTCTTCTCGGGCAGAGCTGGGGGAAAGCGCAATTTTAAAAGAGGAGACAGATCCCATCTGCCAACACCGGTAAGCGCTTGGCGGCGATGTGCGAACGCACGGGAGCATGGTGACACACAGGTGCAGGATTTACGTACATCAAAATTGATATTGTTATTTTTTTTCAAAGCCATCGGCTTTACTTGTGAATGCAAGGTCCACGGCTGTTGGTCGACTACCGTGCGGTAATACGCAGTATAACATTATTGCACGACAACTTAAGCAAGGTGAAAAGACAATTCTCTGCTGGTCGCTTCGTCCACTGGCTTGCACTTAGTTTGAGTCATCTCGCTCGTGTTCCCCTCGAAGCGGCGGTTTGTGACCATGAGTGATGCCAGTGACAGCGCGCGAGCTGAACTAGCCATGGATGACGTGACGTTCCCCCTGTGCGTGCGTGTGCGATTTCTGCACTTCTTGACGTCTCCCCGGACCCGGAGAGGCGATTCTTCCGCGAGACATGCTGGTTCGAAGGTTCAAAGCGGTGCATGGGTGCCAAGTCCGCTGTTCACTTGGCAGAATGCGAAGTAATTTCCCTTCAGGGCAAGCACCGACAAGATAGTCATCCCCACACAGGCCCCGTGCCAGTAAGTATGAAGTTGCTGCTCTCGAGGTGTGCTGGTGCTTTATGCTGCCTGTGCATTTGCAAGTTGCACAAAACCACAAGACGTCGGCTTATTCAACTGAGTGGGTGTGCGGGTGTGCGCAGAGGTATGTTGTCGTGACCCTGCAAAATCAGCCAGCACGGCGCCTTCAGATGCAGACGCTGTCCCTGCCAACGATGCTCACCAACAACAAGTTATGATTGCGCTAATGTAATAAAGATGATTCGGCGACCAGGTAGATTCTAAACGACTTTTGCAGATTTTCAACTTTGTAAAGGTAGACTTGCAAGGTTGGTGCATCGAAGTCAGGTATGAGCAACTGTTGAAGGAGCAACGCATCGATTACTGCCATCCATGTTTCGTCATCTAGTAGCTATAAACCGAGCGGCTGGCTGCCGGCGGCAGGTCATTGCACCCGGTTGTGTTGAAAGCGCCGAGTATATCTAGTGTGAGCTCCGAGATGTTCAACGTAGCAATAATGAACGTATCGCAGCTACTAGTTAAGAACACGCCAGCGCTGCGTTAGCATGAGATGTAAATGCCCGTGAGAGCAAGTGGCCAGCCGGAAATACGCTTAGCCACCACATCTTTTCTAGCGTTCCGACGCCGGCTGCCGCAACCTCCCCGATTTGGGGAAGCCCCTCACCCCGCAGGCTCTCCCAGCGATTCGGAGCGGCAATGCGGGTCTGCCGGCGGAAACATTGGCCGGCTCAACATCTATCCTGCCACAGATCTTGAATTGCTTCATCTGACGTACCACAAACGAGTACTTGGCGACCAAAATCTGCTCGTTCCATTTGGAAACAAGCGAATTGATGCTCCCGACCAAAGCCTGGACATCAGCACCTCCATTGTTCAGACGCCTCACACACTTCACACCCGCCGCCCGCCGCCGAGGGCCGCATATCATCACCATGCCCATACACCACCTCATGGTCGGCACCTGGACGCCTCCGGGTGCCATCTTTACCTTTGCCTTTGACGACGAGAAGCTCACCCTCGAGCTCGTCAAGCGGACCGAGATCCCCCAGGACGAGCCCATCTCTTGGATGACCTTTGACGTGAGGCAGCCATTCCCTGGCTTTCGCTTGTAGGATGCACACTTACCCCGGATATTCTGAACAGCACAACAAGAAGAACATCTATGGCGCGGCCATGAAGAAGTGGAACAGCTTTGCGGTCAAGAGTCCCACAGATATTGTCCATGAGGCGTCACATCCCATGAACCACGACCGTACGCCACTCTCTGAGCTCGTTCCGTTGTGCCACATCAGCTAACCACCATGGGCGACGACAGCACAAGCCAGCCTGGCGACGACCAACACGCGCGCCATCTTCCTCCTCTCGGCCAAGAAGCCCCCCTACAATGTCTACTGCAACCCGTTCTACAAGCATGCGGGCCACGGCGCCGTCTTTGCCGTCTCGGACACGGGCAAGCTCGAGACCAACACGCAAAACTACGAGTACGAGCCCGGCACCGCCATCCACGGCATGGTCTTCGACCCGACAGAGACGTACCTGTACTCGGCCGACATGTACCGGAACAAGATCTGGGTGCACAAGAAGCGTTCTCCGGGGTCCACGACGGACGGAGACCTCGAGCTCGTGGGCGCGGTCGAGTGTCCTTCGCCCAAGGACCACCCGCGCTGGGTCGCCATGCACCCGACGGGCAACTACCTGTACGCGCTCATGGAGTCCGGCAACCGCCTGTGCGAGTATGTCATCGACCCGGCCACGCACCTGCCAGTGTACACGCACCACTCCTTCCCCCTGATCCCGCCGGGCATCCCCGGAGCGGACAAGGGCTTGTTCAGGAGCGACGTCTGCGCCGTGTCGTTTTCGGGCAAACACCTCTTCGCCTCGGCGCGCTCCAACAGCTTCGACGTGCAAGGCTACGTCACGGCGTTCCGCCTGCGCGATGTCGGGTCCATTGAGAAGCAGCTGTTTCTGAACCCGACACCTACGAGCGGCGGGCATAGTAATGCCGTCAGCCCGTCGGACTGGACGGACGAGTGGGTTGCCATCACGGACGACCAAGAGGGCTGGCTCGAGATCTACCGGTGGAAGGATGAGTTCCTCGGCAGGGTGGCCAGGGTCAGGGTGCCTGAGCCTGGTTTCGGCATGAATGCAATCTGGTATGACTAGACTAGGACGATTCCGTTATCTTGGCCATAACTGAGATCTATGTCTTGTATCAACACTGCTGGCGGCTGAGCGAAACCTTGGTTGTGTTTTCGATGTTAAGACATGGTCTGTGTGACACTGCACATGGGGTATGAAGCCCTTTTGGTCCTTGCAACCTTTGCACGGCTGACTTGCACTGTATTCGTGTAGCACAAAAGTACGAGCATTTGTGATGCAACGCATTTGAGGCGGTTCCCATGTCCTTGAGTTATCCAGCTTCTGTCTCAAGCATTGATCATTCATAGCATGAAGAAGGAACTCGACTCAATTCAGCTAATGCCCTGCCAAAATCACGGCCGTATTCGTGACCCTGGGGATAACAACAGATAAAAGAGCAGACCTGATCTAGTCTGTCGTGCACTCGAAAGGTCCAAAAAGCTATTCGTAAAGGTTTCAAAGTGTGGTGGGCGGCAGGCGCGGGGCACATTGGGCGGTGGAGTTCCGCCGGACAACGGCCGCCCCAGTCCGACCCGCGGGACTTGACGTGACAGCCCTGGAGTGGCATTCGGCTCAGTTACAGATGCGCCCTGCATGCCCGGGTGGGTGAGCATGCTGCTGCCCGCATCAGCTGATTGATAAGATTAGTTGGATCTAATCAATCTCTCCGCAATTTCTCTCGCAGCTGGCTCGGCTCTCGCCAGTCTACAGTTGTACACACACCTCCTCTCCTCAAACCCTCGTCGAGCCGCTGGTACAGACGCGCAGGTCCTCGCCCGCCCGTGCGCTTCCCTGTTCCGCAGACTCCGAGAGCGGGCTCACTTGGACAGCGTCCGTTCTAGTCTTGCTTGCTGTTGGGCTGTGCCTTCGTAGCTCTTCTCACATGCAGGCCCTCGCTCCTCGAGCAAACGCGCAGCAATGCCCTCCTCCCACCGCCACCAGCGCAGCGGCACCCGGGCGGCCCAGCCCAAGTCGGCCAACCGCCTTGCCGCCGCGTCTGTCCTCCTGCTGGCGTCGTCACCACACCTCGTCAACACCGCCGCCGCTGCAACAGTGTACCGTGATGCCCCATGCTTCGAGGCATGCCAGACCACGCTCAGGTCAATACGCTTCACTGACGCCGCCACGCCACCAGCACCACCGGGTCTCCGCCCGTGTGAGGGCAGGCTCGCTGCGTCGTCGTTGTTTCTATGTGCGACAGAGTACTGCACTGTCACCGAGCGGACCGCTGGGCTGGCGTTTGTGAACGAGACGTGTCACCGCAAGACGGGGGCGTGGCTGCCCCCATTGAGCATCATTGCAGATTACACGGACGAGGATGTCGCGCGGCTGCACCGGTTCGAGAGAGAGGATCTGAGCGGCGGCAAGGATCTGGTGTTCGATGAGCCGGTGTTACCGTCGGAGACGTTGTTAGGGCTGATGCATGATACCCTGGTGAGTTATTGATGCCAAGGTGGCAGTGTTTATGGGGAGAGAGCACAAGCTGACACCGATATGTGATGAACAGGCGGCATGGGCAGCAGTATGGAAGAAGCACTTGGAATATAGCCTTGGGCTGTTCGTCTTTTGGACGGCAGTAATTGCCATAGGCCTGTCCTATCGGTTTCTGGGCAGGTGGGATCGCCATAAGTCTACCAAGCGTAACGGCTGGATCCCACTTGATGACTCTGAAGATGAGGAGCTTGGTTCCTCGTTCAAGTCATCAAGCAGGACGAGCCTGCCACACCAGTGGATTAAGCGATACATCACTATCCCTGCAACGTTTGGCCAGAAAAGCTCGCAGTCGTTTGGCTGGTACACGGTCCCCCCTCGAGTCCAGACTCTTACCCTCGCGACCTTTGTCGTCATGAACATCGCTTTCTGTTGCCACGGCTATTGGGTATTTCCGGGTAACATGTAGTAAGTCAACCCGGTCAATTTGAACTCTACAACGACGGCTGGCTGATTGCTAAATCTATAAAGCTGGGCCGATACGCGCACGCAGTGGCTGCGTTATGTGGCTGACCGCACCGGCATCATCTCGTTTGCCAACTTCCCGCTTATCTGGTTGTTCGGCATGCGCAACAATCTCCTCATGTGGCTCACTGGGTGGGACTTCGGCACGTACAACAACTTCCACCGCTGGGTGGCGCGGGTGTCTACGGTACAGGCGATTGTCCACTCTGTTGCTTACACCATCCAGGTGTTTGACAGTATGTCACTGCGTCACTCTTGATTTTATTTTTGTGAAAAGATCTCGCTCACACATGCGTACTTGTAGGCTCTGGCTGGGATGGTTTTGTGGCCTATTTTGACGAGTTCTTTTGGTGGACTGGGGAGATCGTGAGTCGTCACCTACCCTTCTATATCTCCTGCAAAGACGCAGCTAACTTGGAACAGGCGACCATCCTAATGAGCCTCCTTCTCGGCTTGTCGCTCTTTTGGTTCCGGAGGAACACGTATGAGCTGTTTCTGATAATCCATATTGGCTTCTCCGTCATCATTTTGTACACAATGTGGGCGTAAGTTCAACAATTTCTCTCTACGCAACCATGATCTTCTGCTAACCGTTGCCCTTAATGCGTGCGCAGCCACGTCACCATCTTCAACGGCCGTTTTGACCCGCCGATATGGACATGCTGCGCAATCTGGGTGGCAGATCGTATCATGCGCATGGCCCGCACGATATCATTCAACCCCCGATTCTGGTCGACCATCGCTGAAGCCACATATGACTCCGACGCAAACATGGTGCGCGTGAGTGTGCCTGCATCTAGGTCGCTCTATAAGCCCAAGCCAGGGACATTTTACTACCTCCATGTGCTCAACGACAAACGTTTCTGGGAAAGTCATCCTTTTACCATGGCCAAGCTGAGCGTCGTCGCTGGAGCTTCTGCGACAACACCAGCAATGTCCGACGAGGAGGATCACCTGCTCGCATCACCTAAGCCTGCTGCACGATCCTTGGGCAGGAGGCACAAGAACAGCAAATGCAAGGATGCATCGACCATGAAGTTCCTCATTAGACCATACGACAGCTTCACGGGCCGTCTGCGAGATTCTGCGGCTGCGCTGTCTGAGATGGGCCCGCTTGGTCCAGTACCTACTCGTCTGCGCGTACTAATTGAGGGACCGTACGGGCACACCCAGCCGTTCGAGAGATACGACAACTTGTTGTTCGTAGTTGGCGGCAGCGGGATTGTCGTGCCACTGGCATACATAACACAATTGCTACAATCATCTCCAGTACAGTCAGAACAGTCAGCACAAAGAGGGCACCGAACTCGACGGCCCTCAGCGGCTTCTATAGCCTCCCATCTGTCCCGGCACGCCAACAGCCGGACCCGCGCGATCCGCATCATCTGGGCCGTGCGCGAGTCCGCGCTCGCGGACTCAGTGCTCCGCGACGACTTTGATCAGGACGTGCTTGCCGACGAGAGGCTCAGCATACATGTATATGTCACCAAGGCGCAGCCTCACAGCGACGACATACTCCTCCAGCAGCAGCAGCAGCAGCATGACGAAGGTGGCATTACTTCATCGGTCACTGACACAGCCACGACAAGCGCCCCCAACGTCAAGATTCTCCACGGCCGTCCTCTCGTGCCAGCCGAGATTGACGACTTCGCCGCGGACTTTTCGCACGGCTCGCTGGCAGTGGTTGCGTGCGGACCGGGCAAGATGGCAGACGACGCGAGGCGGACGGTGGTGGACATGCAAGGGGGCGGCGGCGGCGGCGGCTTGCTCAACGAGACCAAGAATTTGCAGAAGAGGAGAACGGTGGATTACTTTGAGGAGAGCTTCAACTGGTGAAGCCCCTTGATCTTTTCCTTCCTTTCGCATATTGTGTTGCATTCGTGGATCATGGAAAAGTAGGTGCATCTGGCATTGCATATATACACGAGCGTGGTCATTGGGTCAGCTTTTTGGGAGGATTCATATCTGGACGCAGCGCTTGATGCTGCATAGCATATTGGAATAGCGACGGATTTAGGGTAGATGCATATATTCGAGTATACAAGATCTGGGCGTTTGGTACTGTGTTTGGGTAATGCGATGTTTATACTCGCAGTCTGTGCATACTTTGTGGTCCACGTCCCGTTGTTCATTAGAGGCATTAGGTGTGCATCAGCAGCCTTCCTTACTTATGCGGGACTTTTTGTCACGAGTTGGGTATCGATTCAAGTTCAATCGTCTACGATGGGAAGACTTGGGCTGTGGCAGCTAGATCGTCATCCATGGTGCCCGGTCACTTGCGTTGTTTCTTGAGACTGATTATTTCCACATTGCACAATCTGTGTGTTTTTGAAGTACACTGGAAATCCATTCAAGCTTTGCGGTCCAGTCCAGAACAATGGCACTCCGGTCCGAATCTGCCTAGCGGTTTTCCGACACTCGTCGCCTTTTCTTTTTTGTTCTTACAATCTGTCTTCATACGTCATGGTTACAGTGTCATGACTCCTTCTTACGTTACTGTACACGCGCTCTAGTGCTTGAGCTTGGCGGCAGCCTTGGCCAGGTCGGCAAGAGCGTCGCGGCGCTTGAACTTGGCATCCTGGATGACGCCTGTGCGGGAGAACAGGATGTGTTGTGGTTAGCCAATTGCTTTTTAAATGAAAAGAACCCATGGGTGTAATTCAATGGCTGGGTGACATATGGAACCCCGTGTACGAATGGAAGCGGCCATGGGACAAACATACCGGCATCGGCGTCGCTAGAGAAGTTGCCGGTCCACTCGATGTAGGTGCTGCCCTCGGCCTCGCCAGAGGTGACGGCGTAGAGGCGGATGGTGGAGAGGACAGACGAGTAAGTCAGCTCGGGCTTGGAGGTGATGATGCTGTAGGTGATGTAGTGGTTGATGGTCTGACGGCCGCAATTCTTGTGTTAGTCTATGGGTGACCACGATTCTCGTGCAGCAGGCACATTCGCAGACATGAGGATGATCTGTCTCAGCTGGGGGTGGCTGGCCTCAAGGTAGACATACGCTGTGCTCCTCCTGCTTGACCTCGAGCTCGGTGCCGTCGGTAAAGGTCCACTTGACGACGTCGGTCTCGTCGCTGGTGCCCTTGACAAACTCGCTGGACTTGAGGGCGGACCAGAAGTCGCTGAAGTTCTGGACTGTTTCGCGGTATAGAGCTATTTAGCAATGCTGATTCGAGGGCGCCTTTGGAAACCGCCGAAATTGGAGACTTACGCTTGATGTGGTGCCAGACGGCGCTCAAGGGAGCCTTGATGACGGCCGACTCGACGACGGAGGTGGAGGTGGGAATCGACATTGTGTGATTATGTGGTGCAATGAAGCTGGCGATGCGAGAGTTGTTCTTTTGCTACAGCCGTATGTCCAATTGGTTCCGTTATTGACTGTGAGCTTCTCAATATTCAGAGTTGAACAGGGCAGAAGTCTCGACGGCGATGTGAAAAGTCTGGAGTACGTCATGAGGGGCGCCCAGCTCAGCTGCGGGGGCGCGAGCTGGTGATTGGTTGTAGCTGTGAAGCTGTCTTGGTTGCTCCTTCCCGCATGCGGGAGGCCATGCAAACGGTGCTTGCTCACAGGCTCTCCAAATTGCGGGAGCAACTCGAATTGAGCTTGGTCTCATTTTGATTCGTGCTCGCATCATGTGCACGTCGCCCCGGCAGTATCCTCGCCTTCACAACCTTCGCCTTGGGGAAGCAGATTTCATTCTTTCTCTTGATTTTTTCTGCCACATCGAGCCTCGACTTCCAAGGGTTTTCAAGGGTTTCCGCTCAACTGAATTTGCACGGCACTAATTTAGTGTCCGTAAGGGTCCTCGATGGGGCTCTGCCGGTCCAGAGAAAAACCCTTCACTACCTGAAATCCACAACGAAGGAGGCTCAAGACGACCTAAGTACCTGAGGTCTCTGGAGGGTTGGCATGCCCGTGACATGTACACTTTGTACAATGCTGACAAGCATGCAATCTTCGCAGCCGGTAAGGGTGACAATCGCGCCGCAGACCATGCGAGGATGCACCACTAACAGCAGGCTCGACGATCAGCACCAAGAGAAGACAGGTTCCTTATTGAAATCCCACGATGGTCGCATCGAGAAGAACGGACGGGCGTTTTGCAATCAAGACTCGGAAGATTCTCCCGTCCTCGCGACGACGATTTGAGATTCCGCACCACTACACTGGATTCGAGATGGCAGGCAAGCAGCACAGTTCCCATCGGGCAGCCGAGAAAGTCCCTGGACCCTGGTCCCGCAGTGCCGCGAAAGCTTGATTGGGGTTTGCAGGGCTGCCCTATTGGCTAGCACCTATATTGGCCCAAGGGATTGGCGGTCATCTACCCCAGACTGGCTAATTTGCTCGCGGCACTTACACCTCCATGGCCCCAATGTGGCCTGTTTGGGCCACGGAGCTTGCGCTGGCAACGACCTGCGGGACAGGGCAGGTAGACGACAGCCTGATCTGAGACTTGCTATAAAGATCGACTACGTTGGCAACAATTGGGCTGCTCTGGTCGGCAATGCGCACACTTAACCTTCCACCGCCTCCCACCGCCACAATGAAGACCTCAGCACTTGCCACCTTGTTCCTGGGCCATCTAGCCGCCTGTGGCACTGTCCTTTGGGACGGCCGCTTCAACGACTTCACTTCCGCTGCAGACCTCGACAAGTGGTCTTGGTCAAACCAGGTCGGCCCTTACCAGTGGTACATCAAGGGCAACGGTCCCACTTCCGAATATGTCAGCCTGTCCAGCAGCTACAAGAACCCGGCCGACTCGGCCTCAAAGCAGGGCGTCAAGATCAGCCTGACCAACTCGGCATACTGGAACGGGCAAAATATGCGCCGGACCGAGCTCATCCCCCAAACCAAAGCGGCCATTGCCTCCGGAAAGGTCTGGTACCACTTCAGCATCAAGCGGAGCAACACCAACCCCCCGCGCAGACGCGAGAGCACCAAATCGCCTTTTTCGAGAGCCATTTCACCGAGCTCAAATCTGGCTGGCTGAGCGGTGCCAGCGGCACCACTGACCCGGCCTTGCGCTGGATGGTTGGCGGTGTCACCAAGTGGAGCGTCGATTGGGCGGCCGATGTGTGGCACAACTGCGCTTACGAGATTGACTTCAACGCCCGCACCGTCGGCTTCTGGCACTCGACGGGCTCTGCCGATCTGGTTCAGACTGTTGCTCCCGTCAGTGCATCGCCTTCGAGCAACGGTGCCGACTGGCACTTGGGGGTCCTTGAGCTCCCTCGCAGCGGGTATGCCGACAGCAACGAGGACTTCTACTTCAGTGGAGTGTATATTGAGAGCGGCAGTGTCACCAAGTCCGTCACAGGTCCCAGCTGAGCGAGAGGCCGCCTGTTGAGTACATAAATTCGCCTATCAGTGCAATAGCTGAAGCATAAGTTGCACCCCACTCCGTAGAGTGAAAATGAAATAAGCACCATTGTTTTTGTGCCTACTCGACTGAAGGAAAATGACATCTGTACAGCGGGTTGTGCCGGCATAGCGTGGGCGGCAGCGTTTGTGCCTGCTTGAGTAAACCGAAAGCAAATTTCAAGCTATTGCAGAAGATGTGTATCGAGACTGTCGTGTGCGGCGTGAGTGTCTGCCACCCTCTTGGAAGAATTTTGCGTTGCGCTCTCCGTTAAATATGATGGTGCCATGTGCTCATAACGAAGCTCCTCAAACTCGGAAGGTACCGAGAAGAATCTGTACATCCTTTTCCTGGCGATCCCACTCGGCTTCGATGGTCTTCGTCACCCAGTCGCCTCTTGGCCGCAGCACAAGATTGCAGGCGGCCGGCAAGACCATGAACCCTGACGCTTCCATCGACATTAGGTCTATCTTCTTGTCATCAGCAGCTCGAATGTCGAAAGCCCACAGCAGTACGGCAGCCTGCAGGAACAGAGCATCGAGAGCGACTCGCTGGCCCAGGCAGCCACGTCGGCCCTGCCCAAAGACGGGTATTGACAAGTCGGCACGGAGGCGCCTTCCCGTGGAAATGTCGCTGTCCATGTCGTCCTTCTGCAGCCACCGCTCGGGCAGAAAGTCCTCGACGTCCGTCACGCTATGCCCAGCACTGATGAATGGTGTGTCACGCCCGATCGACCATGCGTTGGCCACTATGGACACCCCCTTGGGAACATGGACGCCATCGTACTTGTCCGCTTCGCCCGTCCGTCTGGGAATCGAGATGGCCGCAATCGGACGCCATCTCATAGTCTCCGCAACAAACGCATCAATGGAGGCAAGCTGGGACCTGTCCGAAAACCTGGGGAGGCGGTCCTGCCCAACAACCGCATCAAGCATCCCGTGGAGTTTCTGCAGCTCATCTGGATGTGTAGCCGCAGCCACCAAGAGCCACAATGCCTGTCGCGAAACCGTCTCCATTGCTCCTTCGACACTTGTGGCCAAAGCATATGCCAACTCAATTTCAGACACCGGTCCGTCAGGCTGTCCCGGCCGTGCTGGATGCTGACGACCGACGTCCATTTCGTTGGCGAGTACAGTGTCAGCCTGACGAGCAGCGTTCCAGCTTGGACTAGATCGCGCCTGTCGTAGGAGACTTGTGTTGAATTCGCTCTGGTCTTCAAACATGGCCTTTGCAGCACGGCGCCATGGAGACAGAAAGAGCGGGAGGTGGCGCAGAGCTGGAATCAAGTCGACAAGCCAGGGATTTGCTGCCAGTCCAGCCACTTTGTGATGCTGTGCAAGCAGCCGCTTGAGGATCGGGTCCGTCGTAGTCGGGACTCGAATGCCGTAGTGCAAGGCGAGCACCGTGCTTGCCATGGTCCTCTCCAGCGGTGGATGGATCTCATCGCGACTCAACACGGAATCTTTTGTCGCCTGCAGCATTCTCACCAGGTCGCCCAGCAACTGGCGTACTTCGAGGTCCATAACGGCCTGATACCTGGGAGCAGCAAGAGGGCCAAGGCTAGGTGTCAGGATTCGGTGGCGTCGCTTGAGGTCATCGTCATAGTCGTGCATCAGGGTGAATTTCGACTTTCCGGGCTGCTCGACATTGGTCAGCAGCTCCATTGACACTGATGACGGCCTATTGTTGCAGTGTCCACCATTCCGACTCAGAAAGTAGGCGGCAGAATCGACAGTGTTGAGGAGAACGACGGGGACCAGGGTCCCAAAGAGCAGATTTGCCGTGGCCACGGGCCCATGGCGGGCACCCCAAGCATTCCAGTTCAACAGCGGTCTGTCGGGAGGTGACTTGTGCAAATCACCGACCAACGGCAACTTGGATGTGGACGGCTTGAGTCGACGTCTCCGATTGAGCAGCGAGGCGATGAACGTGGCTAGAAGCAAAACCACAAGATATCTTGACCTCGCCATTTTTCGATCCTGTCCGACAACTAAACCCGGAGTATGATACAGGTGACAGACAATAAATCAAGGAAACAAACAGAGTGTGAAGACCTCTGTCTCGAAACTTGCCCACCACAGCTTCTATCCTCCTGGGACAATCCTGGGCTGCCCACGAAAGACACGCTGCCCAACAAAAGCGGCATACTGCATTGGGAACCGACCGGCACCAAGAGCAGAAGGTTTGAATTTCAAGCTGGCAAGAGGACATCATGATTCTATGCCGGTTAACATCATCCTTCGGCCCCGTGACGCACACCAATGAAGATATGCTCAAAAGATTTGCTTCCATTGGACGATGAAAGTGTTGGGCACGATCCGGCCAGGAACCCTTGGACAACAGCCTGCGGTGACGGACTGCCTGGCCAGTCAACCCCCTGTCAGGCGTTTGACCGTTGACACAATGTCGTGCATGGTCTTAAGCGCCCTGGTGCAGTAGCCGCGATCGGGGCCATTTGTGTCTTGCTTGCTTCTCTGGCCTCGAACACCTTGGCACAACCAGCTCATCCTAGCAAGATCTTGATCGGTTGGTCATACTACTTGCAAGGCCTGCAGGCGAAGCAAACAAACGCCAGCTAACAGCACCGCACAGCAACCAGAATTTGGGAGGGGAAACACATGCAAGTACGTATACCCGCCTGCAAGTCACACCGTTGCTGGCTGGGCGCAGCGCAAGGGTACAGTCTAGGTTTACTCGTGATCACCAAGATGTGCGGCGGCGGCGGCGGCCGCCACCGCCGAGCCGATTGCGTTACTTCCTATCCATGCAAGCACATAGACACACTCCCATGCACATCGGGTCGCCGCCAGGAAGCCTGACAGACATAGGCCCTCACCAACACCACCTCCGCCACCAGCCATGCAGGCAGGCAGGTCTGCTTTTTAGGCTGAAAATGGGCCGGGCCGAGCGGCATTTGGTTGCATCAAAGCATCATGCTGCATGCCTGCTGCATGCTGGCTTTTCGGCAGGACTTTGTTGTCGTTGCATGTGGGATTCCCCCTCTGCCCTTTGCCGCCCTGCTTCAAGCTTTGGTTTGTTTCTTTGACAAGACAGCCTCTGTTATTCTGAGAGAGGGTTTTGCTCCTTTGCATAAAACATATAAAATAAAACATATCATGCTACAGGAGATGTCGGCAAGACTCCAGAGAAGTCGAGGTGTCGTTCGCAAAAGGCACCCTACTTGATATCCCACCCAGGAAAGGGGCAGCAGTTTGGTGGATCTTCGGCGTGGGGTATTGCAGACAACGACAATAGTGACAACACTCAGAAATATAGGAAAAATGAAGTCATTTACAAGACGAGCTTGGTGTGGGCGGTATAGTGAAAAGTGATTAAAAGGGTTATTTATGTCTATGGCTTTTGTGCTTGACACACACACACTGATGGTACTAAGCACACATTTCATTTTCCCACCTCAAGGGCTTCCATCCCAGTGAAGCACCCTTGGGTATCACAAATGCTCAGATTGGCTCGTCCCTCGGCTCAATGAGGATCTCGTTGACAGCGACGTGGGCGGGCTGCTGCAGGGCATAGACAATCGAGTTGGCCACGTCGGCCGGGTCGAGCACCTTGGCACCAGAGGGTTCGCCGTACTTCTTGAGCGCCTCCTGGTCCGTCGACATGCCCAGCAGGTCCGTGGCGACGTTGCCCGGCTGCACCGAAGTCACCCGCAGGCCCGAGCCGGCCGTCTCGAGGCGCAGCGACTGCAGGGTGGCCTCGACAAAGAACTTGCTCGCCGAGTAGACGCCCAGGCCTGGGAAGACCTTGCGGCCGGCGTCGGAGGAGATGGCGACAATATGGCCGCTTCCACGGGACAGCATGCCCGGCACTGTCGAGGACAGGCAGTGCAGAAGACCCTTGCAGTTGACGTCGACGGTGCGCTCCCACTCGTCCACCTGCACGTTCTTCATCATGGTGAAGTACATGACGCCTGCGCACGAGACGAGAATGTCTACAGGACCGAGCTGTTCGCTGGCCGTCTTGAGCAGCGACTCGACCTGTGCGCGGTCGGTGACGTCTGTCTTGTGCACGAGCACCTTGGCGCTCGACGCCATCGACGTCTTGAGGGTTTCGAGCTCGTCCACGCGGCGGGCGGCCAGGGCGACGTGAGCGCCCTCCTGGGCCAGTGCGCGGGCCACGGCGGCGCCGATGCCGGACGAGGCGCCCGTGATGACGGCGACCTTACCGGAGAGGGGACCCATGGTTTTGACAGGCGGGCCGACCTTTTTGAGCTGGCTGCGGTTCACGCGGCGCGGAAGCCAACCTCGAACGCGGAAGTGGCGGGCGTAGATCTGGAGGATTTCCCGGTCGATCTTGGGACGCACCAGACCGTGGCTAGCGAGGACGGGTTGTGTCTTAGTATCTTTGAGGACGGTGACCCAGGTGAGGAACTCGCGCTCGGGCATGCCTCGCTGAAGAATGTCGACTGTGAACGATCCTTCCCCACCTTTGCCGCCACCCCTCTTCTCATTCCAGAGCTCGACCCACTCATTCCAGGCCAGCGGCGTGGTGGGATATCCAAGAACTTGCAGGTGCTCAAAGATCTCCTTGGTCTTGACTGGGTTCGGATCGCCCACGTGGAAGATGCGCTGTGTTGTGTCGACGTGGTCCGCAATGGTGGCAATCGCCTTGCTGACAAAGTCGACCGGTGTCATCTCCGCGTACCAGTTATCAATATCCGGGTAGTGTCCGAGGTGCAGAGACTCGATGATGAGCGCGTTGAGAAGATCGTATGGATTTGTCGAGCCGGACACGCTGTGTCCGCTGATAGTGCCAGGCCGGTATATCCTGGCCGGCAGGCCTCGCCTCTCGGCTTCGAGAACAAGCTTCTCTGCTACCCACTTGGTCTGGCCATACCCATCAAGCAGCTTTGTCGGTACGTCGTCGACGTCGACCATGGTATCTTCATCCCATCCTTCCACAGACTCGGTGAGCACACCGTTGGTTGAGACGTGGTGGAGGGTGGCGTTCGCCTTGCAAGCCAGTCGAATGATCTCACGCGTCCCTCCAACATTGGCACCTTGCATCGCGGCGTAAGGGTACACCAGGTTGACAGTAGCAGCCGAGTGGATGATGACCTGAGTACGCGCGGCGAGGTCGTCAAATTCTTCGGGAGACAGACCAAACCGCTTGCGAGCCAAGTTGGCTGGCAGAGGCTCAATACGATCAATAATCGAGTCGTTCCATAGACCGAGATCCAGCATATTTCTCCGGATACGCGCCATAGCGGCAGGGAAATTATCGATTGAAAGATCCGCAAAGCGGACGAGGCAAATGATGTTGGCGTTCGTTGTCTCAAGAAGCGTCGTGAGCAAGAAAGCGCCCAGGTAGCCCGTGACTCCTGTCAGCAGGATGGTATCTGCCTCGCTGATCGGGCACATCTTTGCCCCGCTAGGACGAACATCATCTGCAAGAATGCAGTCTGCACGTAGAATCTTAGGCAGGTCTGCTTGCACAGCCGCCGTATGACCATCGCGAGCCTGTAAGACGACGTCAAGGTGGCCCTGAAGAGTTGGGTTTCCCGCAAGCCGCCCCAGAGGCACAGGGAAACCGTAACCAGCCGTCAATTTGGTAACGATGTCGACCAGAGCCAGCGAGTGCCCTCCAAGATCGAAGAAGTCATGCTCCTGCTGCATGACTTGTTTCGGGGTGACCTGAAGTGCCGCTGCCCAGATCTTGGCGATATCCTGGAGCGTGATTTTCTGGTCGCGATCGATTTTCTGACCGTCGGCAGTCGGGCTCCCAGTGCGCCGCCCATGAGACTTTGGTGACGGTAGTCTCTTCATGTCTACTTTACCCGATACCTCGTGGGTTGGAAGCTCATCCAATTCGATCCACAGGGCTGGGATCATGTACTGTGCCAGGTGTGGTGCCAACACTTTGCGAGATGCAGGGCTGTAGCCTGCCTCGTCAATGACAAGTTCGGCACGACCAGCCGACGCCTCTTTGTCGCGAACGACGTATGCACACAGCTGTTTCTCCAGTCCGTCACCATAGCCAATAACCGCGCAGTTGCTGACAGTCAAATGGTCGATGATGGCCTTCTCGACTGCTGGGGGCTGAACGCTGTAGCCTCTGATCTTGATCATTGCACCCACGCGGCCAGTGATTTCAAGAAGGCCGCTCGGCAGTACTTTGGCAGTGTCTCCTGTGGCGTACATCCGTGCGTTGGGTGCGTTCGCAAACGGATCAGGTGAGAAAGCCTTCGCTGTGGTCTCTGGCAGGTTGAGGTAGCCTCTGGCTAGAAGGCCCCCACCAATGAACAATTCGCCGCTGGTGCCCGGCTCAACCTTGTGCCCACGCTCATCAAGAATGTATGTGTGTTCAGGGTCAATGGGGGGTCCAACCGGGCATACTGGCGCGTTCGGGTCGAACATCTTGCCGATGTCGCCGCATGCGATCTCGTGGGTCTCGCTGGCACTGTAGCAGTTAAGCAACCGCGCGGACGGAAGAGCTTTCAACGCTCGGCGCGCCAGATCTGTTGTCACAACCTCGCCGTTGAGCCATATCGTCTTTAAATCCTTGACACGATTGCCGAGCTGGGGATGCCTCGCAAGTACAGTCGCCAGAAGCGTGGGCGTCATTAATGTTTCTGTGATGCGCTTGTTTCGTAGGAGATCGACAAGGGCGACAGGGTCGTAGCTGGTCTCGTCAGGCACAGTGACGACCGTCGCACCCCTGAGTAGAGGCCGCAAGATTTCCCAGATGAAGAATACATTGCAAGCGACGCGATCCCCGACCTGGAGATCACTCAATCTAAACCTCAGCTCGTAGGAACGGACCGGAGCGCTGTGCGGATTGGCGATACCTTTCGGTTTGCCGGTTGTGCCAGAAGAGTACGAGACGAAGGCTAGGCGATCGAGGTCATCCTCAGCAGGCAGTTCCTTGGCGTAGCCATTCGTGTGGCCATTGGCGTCGCCATTCTCCAGTCGTGGCCTATTCTGCTCGAGAACTATAGTAGGCACGCCTTCGCGGATCTTGCCAATGTGGGCAGTATGTGTAATTACGACAGCCGGCTGAGCATCCTCGAGCACATCGGCGAGCAAGCCTGGTGGGTATGCCAGCTCGAGCACCAAAAATGCACCGCCAGCGCGCAAAGCTGCGAGGCAGGAGATGACATAGTCCGCACTCCGGCCCATCAGTACTCCGACCAGGTCGTCCCGGCCAACTCCATGGCGGCGGAGCTTTTCTGACAGCGCCTCGACCTCGCGGTCAAGCTGGGCGTAAGAGTACTGGATCTCGCCGCCCTCGAGGGCAATCACGTCTGGCGTGGCTTTTGCCTGGGCGCTGAAGAGCGCAGCCAGGTCTTTGCTGGTGTCGATGACGGGCATTTTGAGGTTGCCGCCCCTGGACCGCGGTTTTGGCGGGGTGGCTTGATGGTTGGGAGTGGGCACCGTGAGCAATTTCCGATGCGGTGAGGTTAGACCGAGTGGTGCAATTCCAGGGTCCAGCAGCGACTGGCGGGCAACCCGCTCTCTGTAGTCGCCAGCAGTTTTGGTCTCTGCGGCGCAGAAGAGTTGTCCGCAGGATGTCCCACAGACTCTGCAGTTGAGAGGGAGAGAGGCAGGTAATATCTGGGTAGTCGTATCTTCAGCAAGCAAGTGGCGTTTGGGTGCCGGCACTCCTCTAGACTCGACCTCTTGTGTGATGGAGACAGAGACAGGCTGAAGGTGTGTCGGAAATGGCAACGTACTGAGAGAATTGTGCCACAGAACGGCCGTTCGGGAGTAGTGAGAAGAAAGAGCGAGAGGGAGATCGATGTTAGGGTGGTGCCTGGGCAGACGTGTAATTATACGTCTGCGCTAGGCTGGTGGGCGGCTGCCTCATTAGGAACATGCTCACGAGACAACCACCGGCTCTACTGGGGCACAGGGGCGGCAAGTTGACGGCACGGCGGACGTCAACAGTCCCCGGGGACGGCAACCGACGGGCCGGGCTGTTCTGCGCAACATCAGGATGCGGAGAGCTGGCCAACAATGGACCGCCAACTTGCTGGGCCCAGAGGTTGTTCTGGGTCGCCTCGACGGGTTGCCCAGTTACGTCGATGGCGAAACCCCCACGTGTCCGCTTGCCACTGCAGCGGACGAGATCCCTGATCCTCAACGACATTCATTCATTCATTCATTCATTCATTCATTGACAAACGGCATGGAGCTTCGAAGGCCAGGCGCTGATACGAAGTTGCAGAATGGCCTGCAACAGAGCCTGGGTTTGATAGGGTGATGGCATTGCAGGGACACGTCCAAGAATTCTTCGAGATTTATCCCGCAGGGGTTCCTCCTGGCCAGCTCTAGAGCCGACGTGGGCAGCCGGTTCCTGCCGGGCGAGGCTGCTCCAGGCCCAATCACGGCGGTGTGCGCCGGCGCGGCCTTCCAATGTGTTCTGGTGCCGTCCCAAGATTCCTGCCCTCCAAGGTTGGCCTCGCCTGCCAAGTGCGATAGCGGAGACATGTGAAGGCAGGCAGCTGCCCCTCCTTCCCCAACAGCGCATCCCACCAGGGCAGTCTGCGATGCCCTCCCTCCTCTTCCATTGGGTCCCCCCCACCTGGCGGCACAGATCTCGGGCCATCGTGTCCATAGACTCTGCCCTGGCATCTGGGCATCCCATCCATGGACGTCGTCCCACTCCCCGGTTGGCCCATCCGAGCGCCACACTCTGCCCTCCCCCCAACTCGACGGACGTGCAGCTCCGCCATCCCATCAGTACTCGCCAGCCGCCCTTGGCTTGCCTTCTACACCGGCAGCTGTTAGCCCGCAACGTCATCGCTGAATCGAGATTCCAAACCTTGGTTTGCCCAGCCGCCTCCCACACCTCAATTGTCTCCCGAAAAGTTCTGGGCCGCTGGCGCAGCCGCCCGAGTGCCGCTTTGCTGGGTTGACTTACTGCCATGTTTTGGTCTCCTGGCTTGCATGGCCGGCGCCCCATTTTGAGTTTCTCGGCACCAGGCCTCCACGACCATGTCAATGGCGGACGACTTTTGCTTGCAGCACAATCGAGGCTCCACGGCGAAAATGGCTATTGTTCCACCTCTTGATGCAGCATTTCCAATCTTCACGCAAATTCAGGTGTCCGCGGATGCTGCACTGTATGACAGTGGGCATGGAGAACTTGATGAAGACGCCCCACCTGCGGATCGAGGGCGTACAAGCGAGTCGCTTCATCTGCAGAATACAACATCGTTTCCACATCTGTCCCATGCTGCACGGACGTGCCAGAGGACCCGCGTGGGCAACAGCAGTACAGCAAATGACAGCGTCGTGGGATAAATGCTACACACACACACAAGGTTTGGTGGCTGAGATGAGTCTAGACTTCGGAGGGGGGCCTGGCTGGCTGCCTCCAGGGTTTCCCATTGCCAGGACTATGCAATATACGCAAAAATGACGAGGGCTTGCGTTTGCGGTAGCCGCAAGTTGCGGCTCCGGTCAGCTTGAACCGGATCGGAAGTTGGCCAGGCTCGGACATCACGCAATAGCCCTGTCCCGGGCCCCCGGCACCCGCATCTGTGCCCCCCCGCACCGCTCGGGGCCGACTCCGCAGGGCTCGATATCCGGCGCCAAACGGCAGACTCCGCATAGGAACACCGCCATCCGCTTGTCGCCGCCATTCTATTCCTACGCCGCCTGCTGGCAGGTCATCCTGCCGCGCAGGCAATCTACGATCGCGGACAACAGAATTTCTAGACTTGACTCATTACCACCCAGCAGAACACAATGTTTCAGATTGGAGCGTCCCAAGGACTGCGATACAGGGTGTAGTAGTACCAGACTTGACAGGTCCAGCTGCCAAAAGTAGGTTTATTTGTGATGATCAACACGAAAGAAACCCCAGCCAGGTCCTCAGACCGTTGCAAAAGCACAAAATAAACACACTGTCTGCGGGACAGAAACAGAAGAGTTCCCGAAGGAAATGAAATGCCGGCCCCCATGGGCTTTGTCTCCTTCACACCTCATACTTGAATCTCAACAACGTGCATCGCCCTTGGTCCATGCTTGGTTCTTTGAATTTTCTTTTTTCTTTTTTTTTGGTCTCTTTTGTCTAACAATGTTCGTCGTTACTCTTCTGTAAGACTCAGGTCCTCATTCCAGCACCAGAAACTGAGAAGTAGCAAGCACGAAAGATGTGCACATGCTCACAAGCTCCTTCAAGCAAGCCACACGCGGCTGCGACGGACAGGCTGCGAAGCATAGGACCTCTTCTCGTTCTGCTCACCCTTCTGAGCCTTGCCGGCAGCAGGAGCGGCAGCATCGCCGCCAGCGCCGGCGGCGGGGACAAGGCCACCAAGGAGGTTACCAAGACCGCCGGCGCCACCTGCACCACCTGCAGCATTGCCGGCACCGCCACCAAGGAGGCCACCGAGAATGCCTCCCAGGCCGCCAGCCGCGCCACCAGCTCCGGCTCCAGCACCAGCTCCGGCACCGGCTCCGGGAACGAGGCCACCAAGGATATCACCAAGACCACCAGCACCGGCTCCCGCACCACCAGCAGCATTGCCAGCACCGCCACCGAGGAGGTCGCCAAGAATACCACCAAGACCTCCATCAGCCTTGGCACCAGCTCCGGCAGCAGGTTCCTCGCCGGCAGCGCCGCCACGTCCGGCACCACCACGACCAGCACCAGCACCAGGAGCCGGAGCAGTTCCGTTTCCAGCCGCAGGAGGAGCGGGAGGCGCAGCAGCTGCGGTCTCGTTCTTGGCAGGAGGGGGAACAGGAAGAGCACCGGCTCCGGCGCCTACACGACCGGCACCTTTACGGCCAGCACCGCGGCCGGCACCGGGTCCTGCAGCAGGGGCGGGAGCAGTAGCATTAGCAGCCGGAGGCGGCGCCGCGGCTTCCTTCTCCTTCTTAGCTTCCTTCGCCTTCTTAGCTTCCTTCTCCTTCTCCTTCTTAGCCTCCTTCTCCTTCTTAGCTTCCTTGGCCTTCTCAGCATCCTTGGCACCCTTACCACCCTTGGCAGGCGGAGCCGGGGGAGTCACCGTGCCGTTGGCAGCAGGTGGCGGCGGAGGGGGAGGCGCTGCGGCATCCTCAGCAGGCGGCGCCGGAGGTGGCGGAGGTGCCGTGCCATTGGCGGCAGGTGGAGGAGGGGGAGCAGCTCCGGCCGGGGGAGGCGGAGGCGCCACGGCCTCCTTACCAGGCTTAACAGGCGGGGCCGGAGGCGGAGGAGGTGCCGTACCGTTGGCGGGAGGTGCCGGAGGTGGCGGGGGAGCTTCGCCGGCGGGAGGAGCTGGAGGTGCAGGCGCAGAGGCTTCGGCCGCGGGAGGCTGGGCCACGTCGGCACCGGCGCCGGCCTCTTCAGCCAGCGAGCTGAGATGGACTCCTCTCTTCTTGTAGTCGATAAGGATGGACCGGGCGTCCACAACAGGGACGTCTGGGTTCCGGCGTTGGACACCGGCGCTCGAGGCCCGGGTCGGCATGGCGGCGACGATGTGGGCGCCGGCCGCCAGGGCCAGCATAGTGGTTGCGAAGTTCTTCATCTTGGCGGAAGGATTGAACTGACGCGTTGACGTGTGAGGAAAGGTGGAAAATGTACGGGTATCTTGAGAAAGCGAAGTCGTTACAGAAAAAGATGAAGCACGGTGTTCAAGGAGAGTCGAGACCAGTCGATCAGACGAAGGGGAACTCAAGAGCACAGCTAAGTAAATCAAGTCAGTTGTCAGGACCACCAGTCACCAGCTTTGGTGATATTAGGACTCTCTCGAACTTACCTCTCGGAAGACGACGAAGAAGAGGCAAAAGAAGAAAGAAGAAAGACTTGACACCACAACGTCGAAAGTCAGCTGTGGAGATGAGGATGAGGGCCGGAATTTCGACTGGAAAGTGCAGAGGATCGGCCTGGTATTTCAATGATTCGAGAAGCGAAGAGAACCCCCCCCCCCCCCCGGGCGCGACTTGCCAAACATTCAAACGGCGGGTGCGGGTCCGTTCTGTTCTGATCTCGCCATGCGGGAAAGCGCGGGCGCAAGCCAGGGGTCCGGCGATCCATGTTTGAGACGCCAAGAATAGCAGCCCACTGAGCTCATCTTTTCCACCCTGGGGATCTCTGGCTGGCTGGCCCTAGGCCAAGGGCGGCAGCTCGCGCGACAGCTTTGCAAAGTCGCATCGCTGGGACAGTATACAGGAGGCAGGCGAGGCAGGTACAGGTAGCGCGTGGAATCACCTTCCCCCTTGCCTTCCCGGACCATGCATGTAGCACTAAGCACCACCTCGTCTATCCAAGACCGTTCCGGGCGTCCCTGCCAAGCTTCCAAGCACTTCATGGAAGCAGAAGATCGGTCGGACGGGCCTGAAGTTGGGTTGAGCCCGATGTCCAGGCGGCTGAAGACGCGACGATGTCGAGGCTGGGCAAGAGAATCACCTCATTATCGGGGGGAGACAGGTCACACCAAGAGCACAGCCTCCTCCTGAATGCTACGCCGCTGCTGGTTCCGGCACCGATAGATCAGATCTCTGCTTCTCCATGTAGGTGTGTTGTTCCAGGATCGGCCGAGCCAGGGTGAAGGAGAGGGGGGTTGCAAAGACACGGTCGGGGCACAGCGTTAAGCTGGAAGCGGCAGTCGTTGAGAGGATCGGGTGTTTGGGCCATGGTTTCGGAATCTCTCGCCTGCTGCCCACGAAGGAGGCTCAAACAGGCTGCCCAGAGACTGGGGGATGCAGTGCCGCGAAGTGCGTGTGTTAAGCTTATTCCCATGCGTTTGGGCTTGGCGGGATTGATAGTGCCGGGCGGGTGGGTGGACGGGCGGCGTCCCACCCGGAGCATTTCGTGGCTGTGTTCTTGAGCCTCACGGGGGTCCATATCCACCCTTGCTGCAACTGTACATAGTCATGTCAATGAGACGTGGGGTGATCTGGACTTTGGTCTAGGCCAGTCGCGTACGCCGGGCAAAGTCACGACTAAGCGAGTTGCCCTGGGGCCCCAAGGCTTCATCGTCACACACGTCTATGTCTGGGCATGCGGCAGGCATCGTTACGAATAAGGTAGTGGTGGTGGTGGTGGCGATGGTGCGGCCGACCAGCCGGCGGCTCGTTGTCCTTTTTCCGCGCTTGCAGGGTGAAGGGGAGCAGGTTCTGTTCTTTCTTTTCTGGTCCACGAACATCAAACGGCAAGGGGGGCCTGGTGTGGCCGGCTCGGTGGAAGAAGCACACAATAGAGAACAGCGCCGATCGAGCTGTCGTTTGAGACAGCGGTTGTGGAGCCCACAGAAGAAGAAGAAGAACAAGAAGTGCGCGGTACTGCCATTCTGTGATCGGCCGACCAAGGGTTGCTTGGGGGTGGGGGCTGGGATTGAGTCTTGAGTTGTAGCAGGCTGAGGGCCGTTGCGTTTCAGAGCTGGTGGTTTCTTCTGATCGGGAACCCAGGCGAGCCAGGTGTGGTGGGGACGAGTTGCCGGCGCGAGAACCTTAAATTGCGCGGCCTCACAGGGGTTTGCCTGGCCGTCTGCGTGCAATGCAACTCGAGTACTACATACTTAGCGTAGCGTACCTTCAGTCAAGTGCTTAGCAGTACCTAAGCGAACTGGGGAGGGGCTGGAGACCACGCCAAGGAGAGGGCCAAGGTGACACCTCATGGCAGGGAACTTATAACCCAAGACATTGCACAGACTACAAGTTGAGTTGCGGCCGTTAGACCACGGCGTTATAAGCAGGGGTGGTTGCGCGTCATTGAGTGGTAGGGAACATTTGCTGCTGTCGTGGGTGGGTTGATTGACCAACGCTAGCGTCAAACACACACGCTGGCAGCCAGGTCTGGACTCTTGCTCCCATGGTACAGCACTGGTGAGGAAGGCACTGGTGGAGCGGCAGCACTAGTAACAGTCACTGCTAGTCTGTATAGATGAAGTTGTCTACTTCTGCTCAAGTATTGTGTATCTCCATATCAGCACTCAGACGTTCGGCTTTTGGTGTGTGGCAGACATGTCGCAGGAATGTCCTCCCTGCTTGTCCAATCGCATCAGAGCCCATCACGTCACTATTCGGTCTCCATGATTAGGGAAAAGAAGTTCCGGTACATTCTCTTTCACGCGAGGGTGAGCAGATTGACAGCACCTTCAATGCAGTGAGACTTCCACTGCTAAGCAGAAGGTGTCAAAGGAAAGCACCCGAACCTATCGCTCAATGATGATTTTGCTGCTTCTTCTGTCACAGCAGATAATTACTACACAGCCAAGTACGATCCACGCAGTGCAGTATGATCGTTGATCCTGGAAACCCTATGTTGAGCGGCGTTCCTGTTTGGCAACCTTTCAACCGTGAACTGTGCTGGTGCAGATTTGCGTGGCGAGATGTCACCTGGCGAGTAGAACAACAGGCCTGCCAAATGGGTGTCACGGTGCACCCAACCTCCTCAAAATGGGTGAGAATATTTGTGATCGTGAATTTAGGTTTGAAGGGCAGGGCAGCTGTTTAATGTGATTGGCGTCGCAATGATCCAGAACAGTTGTGTTCTCTCTCGCTTTGCGTCTCTTGTGGCAACCACTGACAAGCAGCGGGACACGCCTACTTTCAATGGGCACATTACTATGGTAAGTAACCGCCTACAACCCGAGATTGCTAACTGACGTGGACCGCATACGTGCTGACGACACAGCTCAAGATGCATCGATCATCCAGGAAAGTTGTTCAGGATGCTGTATGCCAGGTGATGCGGATCACGGCTACAAGTCGTAATCAAGGAAGCACATGCCATTCAGTAACAAACAAAAGCAGCTCCGCAATCGGCCGGCCCCAGGCGGCCGCCTTCGAAATGGCAGCGACGTCATTGGCCAGGCCGGCTGGCCGTGGTTGACCCCACAGCGGATGACGGGCAAGCGTAAAAGCTCAGCCGGCAGGCACGCTCCAGCGCGGCCTCCTGCGGGTATCCAAGGCCGGCGTTAGAGTACCCGATCATCCGCCCTGGCGGCCAGCCAAAGCCCAGGTACCGCGGTTGACCTCGGCCGGATGCAGGCGTTGGCGACGCTGCGCATATTGGCTGGCACATGTCGTCAGCTCCCTGCTCGGGTTTTGTGTGTGTAGGCGACAACCTGCTGAGCCAGACTGCATCCACCTTCCAGCTCCATTGCCAATTGACAGCTGGGTTGGCTCTGTGTTTGCCTGTCGTCCGCTCGAGCTTATCAATTAAATTCCACAGCCTCTAGCTAGCGGTGGCTTGCTAGTTCGGATACTGGCCCTCCGGTCCGGTCCCCATCCTGGAGAAGGCCTGCTCTAGTGCCCACCACCTCCACAACTCATTACCACCACGATCTCCATTCTTTTTTAATGCCAGGGTCGCCTGAGCCGCGCCTGCGACGCAGCAGATTTCCCCGGCCTGCCTCTTCCACAGCCGTCCGGCCTCTGCAAATTCGTCTTCGACAGTGCGGCCTTGCGCCACTATAATCATGTCGGCTGCTTCTGCTCCCCTCCAGACCCTCGCCCGCCAGAGCGCGCGGCCGCTGCGATCCCGACTCGCTAGGAGGACATGCGCCGCTTCCTACTCGACGGCCTCCGCTCGGAGAACTCAGCCCTCGAGGGCTGCTATCGTGACAGCATCTGTCCCCGCGCGGGCTGCAGTGCGTGGCATCAGCACCACCCCGGCCAGACGCCTCGCCAGCGTCGACGACAGTTTCGACCCAAAGACCATCGACCGGGAGAGCGACGAGGTTGACGTCTGCATTGTCGGCGGAGGTAAGCTTGTGTCATCACTACAAGGCGCCCAATGGGATAAATGGGACTGACTGGAGCCCGGCAACCCCGTTATAGGTCCCGCTGGTTTGAGTGCGGCCATCCGCCTCAAGCAGCTCGCCAATGAGTCTGGCAACGAGGACTTCCGGGTCCTCCTCCTCGAAAAGGCCGGCGAGGTCGGCGCGCACATCCTCTCTGGCGCCGTGATACAGCCAACCTCGGTCGAAGAGTTGTTCCCCGACTGGCTCGACGAGAACAATGAGAACCGCTTCGAGCACGCCACCCCCGCGGGTACTGACAAGATGAGGTTCCTGACCCAGTCCATGTCCATCCCGCTGCCGGCACCTCCCCAGATGCACAATCACGGCAACTACATTGTCAGCCTGAACCAGTTCACAAAGTGGCTGGGCGAGCGCGCAGAGGAGCTCGGTGTCGAGGTCTATCCGGGATTCGCCGCGTCCGAGATCCTGTACAAGCCCGATGGCTCCGTCAAGGGCGTCGCCACAAACGATCTCGGCATCAGCAGAGAGGGCAAGCCGAAGGACAGCTTTGAGCGTGGCATGGAGTTCCATGCCCGCGTGACCTTGTTCGGCGAGGGATGTCACGGCAGCTTGACCAAGCAGGTGATCAAGAAGTTTGATTTGAGGAGCAACAGCCAGCATCAGACATATGGCCTGGGTATCAAGGAGGTCTGGGAGGTCCCGCCAGAGAACTTCCGGAAGGGCGACATCGTCCATTCGATGGGCTACCCTCTGCCCTCGGACACCTATGGCGGCGCATGGATGTATCACTTTGGCGACAACCTTGTGAGCATCGGCCTGGTAACGGCTCTCGACTACCCCAACCCGTGGCTGTCGCCGTATGGCGAGTTTCAGAAGCTCAAGCAGCACCCGGAGTACAAGAAGGTGCTCGAGGGCGGCAAGTGTATCTCGTACGGAGCCCGCGCTCTCGTGGAGGGTGGCTTCCAGTCAATACCAAAGGTGGCGTTCCCCGGCGGTGCGCTCATTGGCGACTCGGCGGGCTTTGTCAACTTGCCCAAGATCAAAGGTACACACAATGCCATGAAGTCGGGCATGCTGGTGGCGGAGGCGGCGTGGGACGCCCTGGCCGAGGAGGACCAAGGATCCGTCTTCCTATATGACTACGAGGACAAGCTGCGCAAGTCAAGCATTTGGAAGGAGCTGAAGGAGGTGCGCAACATGCGGCCCTCGTTCCACAACCCTCTCGGCCTGTATGGCGGCATCATGTACTCTGGCCTCGAGGCCTTCATCTTCAAGGGCCGCGTGCCATGGACGCTCAAGCACAAGACCACCGACCACGGCGCCACCAAGTCGGCCGACGCGTGCAAGAAGATTGAGTATCCAAAACCCGACGGCAAGATCACGTTTGATATCCTTACGAGCGTGTCGCGCACGGGCACAAACCACGAGGAGGACCAGCCTGTGCACCTGCAGGTCAAGGACTGGGAAAAGCACACGCAGGAGACTTGGCCCAAGTTCAAGGGCGTCGAGAACCGGTTCTGCCCTGCTGGCGTGTACGAGTATGTCGAGGACGAGTCAAAGCCGCTCGGCGTGCGGTTCCAGATCAACGCGCAGAAGTGAGTATCCCCGTGCCGACATGTCTTCCCTCGCAATATATGGTGGCTGACTCGCTTTCGCAATTTAGCTGTATCCACTGCAAGACCTGCGACATCAAGGCTCCTCACCAGGACATCAACTGGGCGGTGCCTCAAGGTGGCGAGGGTCCCAAGTATTATATGACTTGAAGAAAGTGGAAAAAAAGGGTGATAGCTTTGGAGAAGGTAACAGCTCGTTACGGGACGGAACGGACACGGCAAAAGTCCAACAGTATATATGTATGCAATACACAAGGCTGATGTTATAACGCTGAAACTCTAATCTCACGCTGTGTATATTGGAAATTGCCCCTTCCGTCACGTTGACCTTACCGTAAAGACCTCGAGAAGTCATGGCCATCATCTCGATCCCTGATCTCCCTGATTCAATTCAATGCGAAATTCAAAACCCTTGCTGCCGATGCCACTTTTCCTCCCACCCCCTGAACCACGGGCTCTGATCAAGCGTCTTGGGCTCCCAGCCCTGTTCCTTCTGCATCTTGCACCCCGTTTTTTTCTCACCAGCGCCACTGCTATCCTCCTTACTGCCCCCATCCACACCCTGAAACGAGACGACACCACCCTCGCCCTCGCCGCTCCCGAACACGCCCGTCTCCCACTGCTCTCTCTCCCACGCCTCGAGGAGCGGCACCACCACGTGCTCGACGTGCCAGGTGTCCTTGTAGCGCATAATCTCCCTCTTGCCGTGCTTAAGCACGTGGGCCACGAGCCCCGGGACGCCGGCTTCGTCGCGGAGCTCGGCGAGCGGGGTGAATAAGGCCTTGAAGTTGAACACGATGGCGCCCGAGAGGGGCAGGCGGCGCAGTGTCTGCCAGTCGACGCGCAGGTGGACGTCTGAGGGTTCGAGCTCGGGGGACTGGAAGGTGCGCAGGTGTAGGTGCGGGTGGCCCGGCGGGAGGTAGAGGGGCTGGCCGACCTCGAGGCCCCAGGAGCCTCGCTGGATTGGTTTCGAGGGGGGCATCTTGGAGAAGAAGCTGGTTATTTGCTCTGATGTTAGTAGTTTTTTTCTTTATTTGTGGTGATTTTGGTGGGTTGTGGATGCTGGATCGCTGGATCGCTGGGTGTTGGATACAAGAAATCGAGTTGTTTCTCGTTTCCTTGGGTTGGAAAAGAGAAGGAGGGTCATGTGCTTATACATGTCATGCATGGTGACGGGAAACAGTTGATAAATATCAACAAGATCACTTGAATAAAATGAGCAGAATTTTAAGACACTCACCGGTCCATACTAAAAGCCATCTTCTCCTTGTAGTCCGGCACAATCTTGTGGATCTCATCCAGCCGCAAGCCAATCTTGGTCGACACATTCCACCCGAGCGACGAGCAGATGACGCCCGCGCGGAAGTGGTAGTACCCGGTCTCCGGGTCGCGCAGCGTGACGGCAAAGTCCTCGGGGATGTTGTCCAGCAGGACGACCAGCGGGTCCGTCGCCGCGAACACGGTGGTGGTGCCGAGGATGGCGTTGTGCAGGGCCGCCCCGTCGGCGGATAAGGAGAAGCAGCGCGGGTACCGCGCGCAGAGGAACTGCACGGCCATCTCCATGAGCTCCTTGCACGCGAGCTCCGAGCCCGGGAGCGCCTGGAGCACGCTGGCGCCGTGCTCGCGGTAGAGCTGCTGCCGCTGGGCGATGCGCTGCTTGTACGTGTTCTCCAGCTCGAGCCACCAGTCCGTGTCCATCTTGGTCAGGGCTGTGACACAAAGTTAGCTGAGCTGTCCTTTTCCTTGTTTTTGTTTCATCTTCCCCCAATGGTTTCTCGTTGTTTTCCTCTCTTCGGGCGTGTTGATCTTACTGTACACTGAAACCAGAAACTTCATTCAAAGGGATAAATATCAAAAGGCCAGCAACTTACACATGGTCTGATGATAACCCCATCGGAAAGGCCGATACGGCCTCGGCAGCGCCTTGTCAATGTCAAACTCGGCGTAGGCCTGCGGGAGCGGCACCTCGCACAGCGCCGCGTAGTCCGGGAAGTCCCCCAGGGCCCTGATCTCGCGCACCGAGAACCCGCTGTAGCAGAACTTGGACTCGTCGGCGGTCCTGTAGTCCTCGTCCATCCGGAGGAGGAGGAGGTTTGAACGCTGGTGGGTCTTCCCGTCGCCGAATGATGAAGCCGTGCCGGAGACATCCCCGAGGGCCGCTTGTTGCTTGGCGGGCAGTCTGCTGCTGAGCGCCACGAGCTGGTCGCGCTGCGAAGGCGGGAATGTGGTTTTGAGTGCTGCGTTTGGGGCAGTCGAGGTGTCTGTGGGTGTAAGTGGCTGTTTCTCGACGTTTGGTGTCGTCGGGCGGGATGAGCTCAGCCGACGCAGCCCGGTGATGCTTAGCAGCTCTTGTCTGTGAGTCCTGCTGAGGCTCAAGAAGGTCACGCCGAGGAAGAGCAGGCCGGCAGGCCACAGGAGGGTTGACGAGGTCATTGTGTAAGCTGAGTATGTAAAGTGACCAGCATGGCCCGAGAGAGCTGGACACAGAACAGAGAGCCACTCGAAGTCGGCAGGTTGAGAATGTCTGCTGTACTTACACGCCGATGACTGCAGGGTGTGAGATACGGCACGTTACTTTGAAGGCCGAGTGATTGGTATGTACTCGACTTTTATGGTAATCGCCTTGCAAGAACGTGGACGACACAATCTCAAGTATGGCAATGATTTGTAGCAAATGTGCAACTGCAGAAGCATCCGCATGCACAGTCCGTGCAGATATCAGGGAAAGCGACCACGGGAGTCGTCATTGCGGACAATGTGTTCCTAAAGTATTATATGTAACACCCCTCTCCAGATAGGCACGATCCCACTCAACCAAGGCCCGGAAACGGCACGCCGCTTGTCGTTCGCTACGTTTGCTACGCACCTTGTACAGGCAAGCTCGACCTTTGAGCTGATAGCACTTTGAGACACCCCCGCGTTTTCCTCCCCCCAAAAAACGTCCCCAGCCAATCCGACGGGCGAGATCTGGGCCTACCAACTATCTCCAACCGCAAAGCGTCACAAGCCTGCCGGCTATGCTACCCCAATCGGGCATCTCCAACCACTATGCGCGATTCCACGCGATAAGCCTGGCCGCATCGCCGACCTTTGGATCATCAATAATCACGGTACAGATTGAAGTGGACATATCAAAGGGTCTCTTGTGATTTCCCCCCGCGCCTTGATAAAGCGAGATCGGGCATGGCATCGATATGTTCGTCATTTCATCATGTCTATAGGTCAAGCAACAACGACAAGGACAAATCCAAGATGCACTCGCCCAAAAGAGACCCAAACATCTCAATCATGCATGCAGATCCGTCATGGGCTGGTCCAACTTTGACAAGGCTTCGCTATGCTTTCTTTCCCACCTCTCTTCCAAAATGTGATCGGGACTTCCCACCATCTAAATGACACCTCCTCCTCTCCTCTTCTCCCTCTCGCCCCCGTCGTCTAAGCATCCCGAGTATACTTTGACCGCTGCCGCCACTTGCCACCATACCGCATCACGAGCATCGGGATGGGCGCCATGGCGAGCAATATCCCCGCGAGCACCGCGAAGCCGCCGCCATAGCCCAGGGCGTCGATCAGGGGCAGCGCGAGCAGGGGCAGGAACGTGCCCATGATGCACCGCGTGACGATGATGGCGGTGATGGCCGACGCCGAGTACAGGCCGAACGCGTCGACAAAGTAGTTCATGACGGGCAGGAAGCCCAGCAGCAGCGTGCCGCCCATGAGCCCGACGCTGAAGAGCAGCACGGGCAGCGGCAGCCGCGCCTGCGCGACGATGCCGTAGAGCAGGATCGCGAGCGGCAGGCTGAAGGACCCGGCGATGACGACGGGGAGGCGGAACTCAGGCCGCCCGACGCCGCCGTTGGCGTCGCGCAGGCGCACGTAGATGGGGTCAAGGATCCTGTTGCAGATGATGACGCTTACGACGGAGCCGACGCCTGAAGGATTTCGCAAAGAGGTGTGTGTTAGTCGAGACATGCAAAGCAAAGCAAAACGAAGCATGAGGCTGAGACTGAGAGTTTCCGGATCAATCCTGGTAGCAGAGAAGGGAGGGACACTCACTGAACGGCACAAACGACAAGCCCGTCATCGCCGGAGACAGCTTGTACAAATCCTGCAAAATGTCCGGGAGGGTGGTCGACATGATGTAGAAGAAGGCAAACACGACAGACCCGAACAGCGACATGGCCTGCAGCACACCGGAGCCGCAGAACACGACGAGCGGCCGCATGGCGCCCTCGAGGACCTTCTTGGTGCTCGACAAGCCATCGTCGGCGTCGAAGACGGTCCGCAGCGCGTTGTTGCCCGTCTCCTTGCGCAGCCGCGCCGCCTTGCGCCGCAGGATGGGCACCTGGTACGTCTCGCGGAACAGCGTCAGGAACAGCACCTCGCAAGCGGTCGCGAGGCCGACCGAGATCCACAAGATGGTCCTCCACCCGGCGGTCTCGGCGATCGCTCCCGCAATGGCCGGCCCGATCGCCCCGCCGGTCAGCGGCGCGAGCTGGATCAGGCTCATAGCGGTGCCGCGCTGCTCGGGCGGGAACATGTCGCCGACGATGGCCGGGTTGAGGACGTTGGAGATGACGGCGACGCCCGTGAGGCAGCGCGAGAGGATCATGGTCTCACTGCTGGTGGCAAGCGCGGCGAGCACCACGGTGCCAATGAAGAGCATGTTGGCAATATTGACGACGGGGTACCGGCCATATGCCTCGGAGAGGGGTGCGATGAAGAGCGGGCCGGCCGCCTCGCCGAGCTCCCAGATGGTGACGAGCAGCACGCTCGACGACTTGCTCGGGTTGCTACCCTCGCCCTCGAGGTCGGCAATGATGCGGCTTGCGATGGGGACCACGGAGATGCACGTGAATGTCCTATGCAAAGTTGTGCAGCCATTGTTAGCCAAGGCCATGCATTGAGCGCCGGCGTTGATGATGAACAACGTCCAGCGCTAGTACGGAGCTCACTTACACCGTAAAGGCCATGGACGCGAGCAGTGCAACAATGGTCCACTTGTACGGCGCCGGCCAGTCCATGGGGTTCTCGGCGTCGCCCTCCGGGTCGAACTGGACAAAGTCCTTGTTGGCGGCGGAGACATCGTCGATGCTGTGCCGCCGGGCCTCGTACACCCGGGTGTCCTCGGGCAGGAGCGGCGCCGTCTCGTCCATGGCGATGGTGGACGGTGTGTCCGCGTTGTTCAAGCTTGCACTGTTTGGCTAGGAAAAGTCTGCGCTGGCTAGAGACGGGAGTCTGTACGACGTGCGAGAGGATGTCTAGCTGGGTTCCTTTGACTAGTATATAAAAGCTTCGTACTTGCAGTCTGACAGCGGTGTGTCAGCCGCCTAACACTTAGGAGCAAGAAAAAAAAAGTGTCCGGCCGCCGAGCTGTTATTTGAGGGGTCGTTGGAGAATGACGCCTTTCCCCCTGGCCCAGGTGCTCCGACTGAAAGGGCCAGGACCCGCTGAGTAAAGCACTACACACCCCGGTCAAGATGGCAACATCCGCGCCGCTGGTCGTCGAAGGGCGCGCCCGTTTCAACACCTTTTGACATCTCGTGAGAAAGACCCTACAACGTGAAGAGCTGCAGTTGCATTTCAGCCACCAACTCGAGGTCACAGCATGCCGCGCTGCCCGGCTTCCGCGCTCCAATTAGATCTTTAGTACAGCGTTACCGTTCGAAACCTGTCAAGGGGTGTATTATCAACCACTGCCAACAGCCAATACCGGTATCCCTGTGCAAGTTGTTGACGGAGAACCCAGATCGGATAGCATCCAACCAAACCGAGGCCTCACTCAGCTTTCCCAGTCAGCACCCCAATTAAACCAACCAAAAAGAATGACACCCTGAGAGACCAGTCTATGCAAAAGGAATGTCTCCGATACGGGGAATCGAACCCCGGCCCCCGCGGACCTTTTTACCCTCCCTCATGACAGAGAATGAGAGGGGATGGAAGATGAAAACGCGGTATCCTAGCCGCTAGACGATATCGGATATGAACGTTGTCAGCTCTCAAGTGTGAGAGGAGTGCGTATTAGTCATCCGGTTCTAATTGCCATTATGTACACATGCACACACTGAGAGCCGTGCCGCGGAGCTCATTGCGATGGCAAGGCTTCGTGTGGAATGATATGACTCCTGCCAGGGAAGAACCATTCTTGCTCCACCAGAGCGCCCGTGGTGTTGGTTGACGGCGTGAACAGGCTTGGTTGATCTTGGCGGTGGGGAGTAGTCTCCTTGAGTAATTGGTGATACCGTGATATGCGAAAAAGAACACGAAAACGAAAAGTCGGCGGTCGTCGCTGGGTTGTTGAGAACACGAATGTTTTCGGTTGGATGCCCCCAGTTCCTGCATACAAACTTGATCAAGGCACCACAGATGAAATGGTAGATTCAAGCATGCCGGTCGACTGCAAAGGACACACCACTGTCAATCGAGGGTTACATAACGAGCACGAGCTTAGATGAAGACCATATAATACCAATACATTTTAGACACATGCCTTCATCAAGGACGATATATGCGCAGACAATTCACAATACAAGCGGGGATGGCTCGATGAATATCATCCGTAATCATTCTCGTCTACAGCTGCGATGAATAAGACCAGATTACAAGTGCTTGCCGTTCCCCGAATCTCGTACGGAAAAGCACGCTACTTAATTATTTCAGGCGGCGCCATTATAGGCTAAGTGGCTCATAATCTTGACGATTTCTTCGCTGCACGTATGCTTTCAAGAGATGACATCCCAGCCAATGTGGCATTCAGTTCTGTCCGGTGCGGGGAATGGCATTGTCTGCCCAGACTCGTCAAACCTGTACTCCGGCATATTCTTGCCCACTTTCCTGCAACCTGCAAGAAGGGAGCAGTGACAGGAAGCAAGGGGTAACTTAAGACCCGACGACCCCTTGAGCCCCTTGAGCCCCTTGAGCTGATCACGAGGGCGGACAATGTCTTGGACCCTGAGTGAACCCTGTGATTATTGTATGCCGCCCAATGGCCTGAAATTCATCGGCAATACTCATATGATGGTGCAATTCGCATAGAGACTACCGGACGAAGTTGAAGATGCCATTAAAGTCGATCACAAAACACGCCCAAGAAAGGTTGCTAGTGCCTGGTGCCAAATTCAAATCACTTGCCATGAATGCCAACATATCTTTCAGGTTTCTAGGTCAAGACTGTACGAGTCCATTGCCACGCTTGAGCCTCTGTGCTCGTATGAGGGTGCGGACGGATAGAGGTGATATATACTTCTGGCATTGATCATACGACGAGGGCAGACGTATGTGACACGCGAGGGACTCCGGGCACATCCACACAACCAGTACCGCACAGATTAGCAGAGCAAGAACGCCATCAGCATATCTCCGCATCGGCGACCAGGTCGCAAAGGTGACAGGACCGGTCTGGGCCAGCGATTGGCCACACGACGAAGTCGTTAGCAACAGCCTCCGCCATTTGATGATGCTTATCTTTTGATTCCCCCAGATTCTGCAGCTCTGGGCTTCAGGGGTCGGGTAGCGCAGCCGTACAGTGCGACAGACTGGCTACACAAAGATACCTGGTTTGGGTGGCATCGGGCTTCCAAGTGTGGTTAGGGGGGCAAAGGTGCGCTCAGTGCCGACGGAGAGCCGCACCACTGCTGGGAATTACGGGGGCTTATCTGCCACGCCTCTCCGCGCACTGATTCGCCCATCGCGCTGGAGCGACAGTGGCTTTGCGCTGGACGGGTTTTTTAGTTGGCTCGACATGGGTGGATCCAGGGATCCAGGGGTGGCCAGGACGCCACGGAAAAGCGCCAGGCTCATGCCTGCCTGCCTTTGCCTTCCGTCAGAGACTTGAGGAGGAGGGTGTGTCAAAGTCCTGCGCTCTCAGCCGCGCGAAGGATGGGAGGCTTAACCAATTAGATGGCGGTCGACCGGCCGGTACGACAGCCACCAACCACTTACAGGAGTGGACATCGATAGAAGAAGCAGGAAAAAAAGAAATTGTGGGGGCGAGAGAAGCAAACAACCCAAGCACGCACGCAAACGAATCAAATTTTTTTTCTCTTTCGCACCATGCCTTGTTTATTTCTGCGTGGTTGCGGCCCTCGGCTCCCATTCTTCGCCCGTGTCCGCGTGCCACACTGCGATCCTGTCGCATCTGAGCGGCGCGCGCTCATGTCTCATAGGCCATTGCGTTGCCTGGTGGACAGACGGGTTTCCGAGAAGCGTCTTCGCCACTGCGGGCGAGTCACGACGAGGATCAGGCCAGCGTGGCCTCGAGTAACGAACGAGCACGAAGACGAGGACGGGACGACGGCGCTCGGGCTAGGGGCGCGTCTCTGGACGAGACACGACAAGCTCGGCTGGCGTGGTTGACGTATCAGATGCCGGATGCGGAGAGGGATGGGGCACGGGAAATGAGTCATTCGTGTTGCGCGAATCAGGGGCCAGGGTTGGTGCCGCTTGGCGGCAGTCTGGTGGTGCGTGCTGCTTCCAGTGCTGGGTAGCTTCCAGGCAGGCAGGCAGGCAGGCGAGCAGGCAGGCGAGCAGGCAGACATTGCGTGCGCGGCTCCTGGCGCTGTCGTGCTTCCCGTCCCTCGCGAGCAGACTCAACGGCTCAAGCCCTCGCCACGGCAGACTCATGAGGGTAGCATGCGTGTTCTCCAACAAAGGGCATCACGGCTCGGGTCGTGCGTGTGTGTTGCATGAGCGCAGACGGCAGACGCCAAGAGGGCTTCCTGCGTGCTGCTGAGGTCCTTGAGGTTGGTTGTGCAAAGAGGAGGGAGGGGATGAAATCTCTTCGCGTCCCGCCACCGGCTCACGACACGAGCCATGGCTGGGCAGGGTTCCTGCGCGTTCCCATAAGCCCGGCCAAACCTCCTGAATCTCAGCCACGCAAGCACCTCGCAGGGGTAGTGTCGCGAGAGGGCCATACTGTGAAGCCCCTTGCCCCAGCCCACCCGGCAGTAGGAGCAGTGCCCAAAGTCGCCGCTGCTCTCGCCTCCCTTTGCTGTGGCCACCCGTGCTCGGTTGCGCACATTCCAGCGCGTGTTGTGCCATGCCTCATTTCCCGTCCTTGGCCCTAGTCAACTCCGCCGCAAGCAAGCTGGCCTCCGTGCTTGCCTGCCTGCCTGCTTGCTTGCTGCCTCTCCAACCCGATCGTGTCTTCACTACCTTCACGGCGCGAAGCTTCGCCAACTGTGCCCAAGGCCCAACTCCTGATGCACAAGCCTTTCTTTACAACGACGACTTACGCAACAATGAATCGACAACTCGACGTCGTGCGAGTACACCTCCAACAGTACCAGTACGACGGGGCCATGACCGACTCAAGTCCACACCGCCAGCCCCCGTCACACCAAGGATCGACACGCCCGCCCACACAACCGTCATGAGGCACACTCGCTCGTCATATGCTATGCACGTCCGTCACCTCGACCTCTCGTCCTCGACACCACAACTATTTCGGACTGCTCCGTCTGCGCAATGCCAACCTCGGACAGATTCGACACCAAACATCTCCCTGGAGCAGTGCCTGGCTCTCTACTGCAGGACACCGGGTCGTCATGCCTCGCCATTTCGGAATACACATACAGCCCGCACGAAGCCGAGCCAGGCGAATACCGCCGAGAACACGGGAGCTGTTTCAGCAAGTGGGCTTGCTGGGCGACTCTTACGCATAGCAGACCAGCACGGCCAGGCTTGCCTTAGCCTCTGCTGACCACCCGGACCCGTCTGTATCCGCTCCCAACCCCTCTTCAGCAGGCCAAGGAGAGACCCGGTCACCGTGCGAACTTCGCGACACGAGCAAACCTTGAAACAGCTTCCCTGACAGCGGGGGTCAGCAAGTTCTCGCACCACATGTCCGTCCACAGATAAGGTTCCCAGCCGGATCTGGCTCGTCACGGCCCAGGTGCACACGAAAAAGCTGAACCGTGCGTGTGTGCCCAAATCATGGTGGGTTTTCTTCCTGCAAAAAATTCTGACCAGTTCGGTCAACATAATCTTCTCCATGTCCATCCATTTCTTTCTTCCTCCGCGTCAATCCCCTTTTGCACCCAACAACATGCTTGGGAGCACATGGCTTGTCGCCAGCTACTCCTGACGTATCGCGCTCTTATGTTACTTGAGCATGCGATGAGGCATCTCTGGCCGCCTGCCGGATGTTGTTGGCTCTGCGCCACAGCGTATCCGCGATCATGACACATGCGTCAGTGACGTAGAACACTGCAACGTGTGTATTGCTGCGCAATGAGGCAGTTTTGATCGTCTACCGGGGCAGTGGGACTTGGGGTGACCTGGCCGGACTTCTGGAGAGGAACATCCCAGCGAGCGATAAAATAAGGGGCGGAGCCCTGCTCGTGATTGGGCGCATTGCTGCTAGCGTCTTCGCTAGGGTGCAATTAAAGTGGGCGCCCCACCACCCCAGCTGTGCCGGGGCTCGGAACATGGTGGGTGTGCGTGCAAGTCAGAGGCGGCTGCTGAAAAATTATAAAGAGCCCGGGACTCCCCCCTCGGTTTTTGGATTTCCAAAGAGGCTCTCGCGCCTGCGGAAGTACTGACCGACCCCACACACCATTCTCCTCCACCAATCAAACCACTCGTCTGCCACGCACTCCCTGCCAGCTGCCTGCCAGTTGCGTTTGGTTTTTCTCCACATCTGACAACCACCCCTCCGCTCGCACAAGTGCCGAGCTGGTAACCGTCAAGAACTTGCTGCACCACGTCACGCATCGTCGTCGTCGTCGTTGTCGCTCGTCTCCCACATCTCTCTCCCTCTCTTTTCTGAGTCTTTCAGTCAAGCCGGACAGCTCTCTCGTCCGTCGAGGAACATCGTGTTTGTCGGCAAACACCGCGCAGTCTCTTTATCGACACTTGCGCCACCTTCCGCACCGGTCGCAACCGTAGCACAAAGATCAATAGAGACTTTAGGAGCAGTCCAGCCACTGCTCGAGGATCACCATCTCAAGGTCTCCTCACCTTCCTCTCAGCCTAGCTGCAAGAGATCGATCGAGCCCTCTCGTCGTCAGTCACAGGTCGCCTCGCATCTCCGCGTCACCACCTTCGATCGTCGACACTCTCGTCTATCCACCTTGCGCAGCGCTCGTCACTTCGATCATCCGATCTAACCATCGCGAATTCGATCGACTTCGACGTTCTTGAACGCCCTTGTTCCGTGTGTGCCCAGAACCGACGCGGCTTCCTCCGAACCACCGTCGGGTCTTCCAATTTCCTTCCGTGCTGGGGAGACATTAACTTGTTCATCTCCTTCACACATCTATCATGTAAGAGGGATATCCTTCCTCAGCCCACCATCCACTGCCGTGCCCACCACCCAACAGACGGTTTTGTTTGATGGGTGTGGTTGCCTTTCGAGGCGCCAGCCATCCCATTGCCTGTGGCAAAACTAGAGCCACGCTTTCCGTCCTTTATAAAGACAATATTCTAACGCCGCACCTTGCAGTCCACACTTGACAGTTTCCAATCCTCAGGGAATCACAAGTGCGAAATCATGGAGCCTATCCAGACTCACCCGTCGACCGCGGCTCAGGCAAAGGCCTTCACGGCTGCTGGTTCCTTGTCGTTCCCCGGCGCTGCTGGCGAGCTCACTCCTCCGTCCAACGGTTCGCAACTGCCTAACGGCAGTGCTGCCAATGGCGCAACTGTCAACGGCGGGAGCCCTGCGACCCCAGCTGCGACGCCTGCCGCCACGCAGGGTGGCAGTGGTCTGACACCAACCTTGCAGTATGTATAATCTCGTGATACACTCTTTGAGTTGAGTTGCGTAGACCTCTTGAGGCTCACACTGCACTTTCAAGAAATATCGTTGCCACGGTCAATCTCGATTGCCGTTTGGACCTCAAGACGATTGCCTTGCACGCTCGCAACGCTGAGTACAACCCCAAGGTAAGAGCTACCAGAGCGCCTTGTGTCAAGGGCTGGGTCTGACGAGTTGCTTAGCGTTTCGCCGCCGTCATCATGCGTATCCGTGAGCCCAAGACGACGGCTCTCATCTTCGCGTCCGGCAAGATGGTCGTCACTGGTGCCAAATCTGAGGATGACTCGAAGCTTGCCAGCCGCAAGTACGCTCGCATCATCCAGAAACTCGGCTTCAATGCCAAGTTCACCGACTTCAAGATCCAGAACATTGTCGGCAGCTGCGACATCAAGTTCCCCATCCGCCTCGAGGGTTTGGCTTCGCGCCACCACAACTTCAGTTCTTACGAACCCGAGTTGTTCCCTGGTCTCATTTACCGCATGATCAAACCGAAGATTGTCCTTCTGATCTTCGTCAGCGGCAAAATCGTTCTCACTGGTGCCAAAGTCAGGGAGGAGATCTACCAGGCCTTCGAGATGATCTACCCCGTTCTCCAAGATTTCCGCAAGGTCTAGGCATTGTATTGGCCCGTGGCTCGCGCAACACGAATCGCCCGACTCACTTTGAATCGTCACCTGCGTCAATGTCCGTGCGTAAGGTTACGATACAAAGTTCGCGCATTTCATGACTTAACGACCACAACTTCACTTCCTCGCCTGTTCGGGAGATCATTCTGCACTCGCTTCCGCGTTGCGTTTTGAGCCCTCGGCAGGCTTGTACACTTTGATTTCTTTTCACCAAAATTACTGCATTGCACTGGCGTTAACAAATGGATGGGACGATACACATAATGTGTGCCTGACGAGGAGTCGTTATGTCTGATGATCACTCCTCAGTCAATGAGCACGCTCTTCATAGATTGCATGACTGCATTCTTCGGCGGCATGAGCGCTGGACGAGGATGCCGTCTTAATTCAGTTTGGGGTTGTTCCCCGGCGTGGTCAGTTGGTGACACGTCACATCACTATCATCAAGTCTTGGCCACGACAACACGACGTCGGTGTCCCACCGGCTAGAGTTGTGACAGATGTCAACCCGTGATAGGGGCATCTATCCGCATTTTGTCTGGATTACCAGACAATGCTGGCGAAAGCACTTCCCAAGGAAGGGACGCTGAGTACTCCCTGAGATTGCTCTTTTGCGATTCTCGCATTTGAGAGGAGACCAGACCTTTACCTTTTGGTTTGGGGATGAGGTTGGGAGCTGAGTTGATTGGTAAAGAGGTCTACTTATAAGACACTCGCGCCGCTGGCATCGACTAAGGTTTTTAGTCTAGATACAAATTCCACCGTGCGCATCTTTTGACCGCTCTCATCAAACCTATTCTTGCCTGTCTCTCTAAGATTTGTGACTGGGTCCAATATCATGTTGTGCCCGTGAAGACAATATCGCGAAGTGGGCCAGGAAATCACGGCTGAGGGTACCGTCGTGCTGGACATCTTCGTGCGTCCTGATTCAATCCAGGCAAGGGCGATTCATGGGATGCTTTATCATTAAGAGCACAATGAGACCAGTGATGTGAGGGATTCCTCAAGATCTTCCTAGTTTTGCTGGGAGAAAAAGGCTGTAAACATAGGGGGATTACGAAGATAAAGGAAATTCACAAATGTGTATGACTGGATATTCTGTTTGCCTTTTTGCCTGCTTGCTTGTCGCTCCTCACCCCAGAGCAGCAAGGAAACCCCCCAAAAAACCCTGAGCAATAAACAAGGCGAGAAAACAAACGAGACTTGGGTACAGTCAACTCCACGTCATGCTCCTCATCTGGTGGTGGGAGGAACAAAACGTTCCGCATCCGCCTCCCTTAACAGCCACTAGCTTGATCTCATGGGCAGAAACAGTCGTAGATACTCAGAGACAGAGAAGAGGGGGAGGGAGGGCACACACCTTCACCTATCGGAGCACCCAGCCCATGCAAAGGACGGACGCGCAACAACAACGAGCAAATGGAACTCACGTTGGTCTCAGGCTGAGAGCATCGGGGAGCTTACCTACCTCACGGTCTCGGCATGTGCTCGTCGCAGGGTAAAGTTCACCCTTTTCGGTGCTCATGGCTATCTGACTAATAGCGATGATTTTTTTTATTTTTTTTGAGAACTCGCGGTCCTCCTGAAGTTTCCAAGACTGCAGTAGTCCATGACTCAACAGAAACGCACCGTATGAAGGACCCATGCTTCCGCCCATGCTTACCTGTGCTTCGTAGTGAGCATCTCTTCAATTGCTAGTCATCGTCGTCCACGAATGGCATCAGATTTTCCATATGGACGAGCCAGACCAAGCACGCCTATGTTTCAACTCACTGACCTTCACCACGGATCTTTTGGCACTGCTGGTGTCGAGACAGATGATGTTTTAAGCATTCCAAGTGTAGCACTTATACATAAAATTTCTTCTTTCTGTTTTATGGCTATATTGTTGGTGGTTCATTGCTACATGCTCGTAGGATGGCATTATATCTAAGCACCCAGACATTACGACGCAGCCTTGTCGCCTTCCTCGGGCGCGACTGCCGGAGCTCGTGAAAGCTCATCAGCAAGGATTTGCCCAGGCACACCACCACGACTGCCGTCCTCGGTTATGATGGTGCGCTCTGCATCGCCATCACCGAGACCCTGGACGCCGCGCCAGCGCCACTTGTCTGCAAACTCGGCCGGATACTGCCCCTTGAGACAGCTGACAACCTTTGCACCGAGAATAGGGAGGAACTTGAACGCGTGCCCGCTGCCGCCGGTTGCGACAAACAAACCGGAGTAGGATGGGTGGTAGTCGATGATCCAATCACCAGAGGGTGTGTCGGTGTACCAGCACAAGCGAGTCTCGGAAAATGGCCGCGTCTCCGTGTCAGCCATCCAAGGGAGAAATTTCTTGAGCGCAGCGCGCAACCCTGCTTCAGCTTCTGGGGGAAGACTTGATGTCGTCGGCGTGACCGGAGGGTGTGTCAGATGTGTTCGCGGCTTGGAGACCTTGACTGTTCCAGAAGCCGTACCGGTTGGCGTGCTTGGTGCTTTCGCCGAGGCTGAATCAGTGCTCTTTGTGGTTGTCGACGTACTGGACTTGGTGATTTGGTCCAGTGTGGTCGCAGCTGACTTGTCAGCCATGCCGAGAGGTGTGGGCACCTCGGTAGGGTTCAGATAGCCGTAGCTGTGCCGCGCGATCTTGAGGACACGATCGCGTGGCGGGATGATGAAATATCCCGTTGAGAAGTTGAGCAAGACAGGGATGTCGTTGAGCCTGGCCTGTTCCTCCTCAGTAATGTCGAGATATGCCACAATCTGCCCCGTGGCGACAGCCTGGCCCTGCAGGTCCAGGAGCGACGGTGTCCAAGCGCCAGTTGCGACGATGGTGAGGTCCGCAGACAGCTTAGTCCCGTCCTCAAGAATAGCGCCACTCACTCGAGGCTTGTTGTCGAGGACGCCTGGAAGCGCAAAGATTGGCTTCTTTACATCGAGTCGTTCGGCAGTGCCGTTGATGAAGCGTACCCTGCCAGTCGCGACCACTTTCTCATAAAGCCAGCGCATGCTCTTGGTGGCATCTGCCCAGCCACTGGCATCGTTGAGGTATCCCCAGTCGCCAAAGGTACCACCGGCAGCAGTCATCGCACGCAGCTGTCCGGCATGGTAACCCACTCGCACACTCTTTGGCCCGCGACCACCTTCTGCATTCGCTAGAGCCATGGCATTGATCCAACTCTTCTGCGTGTAGCCGAGCCCTGGGGTGCCGTCCTTGTTGGCGACAAGGAAAAGACCCGACTCGGTGTACCGACCCTCGCCGCCTAGTTCGTGCGGTTCTTGCTTGCGCCAGTGGTGCGCAGCCTCGGCAGCGAGCCGCGCATAGGCGGGGTCGGCATAGTCGGCGCGAATGATGCGAGACGAGTCTATGCTGGATGCATCACGGGCAGGGAAGACACCGGGCTCGGGAGAGCGATCGAGGATCGTGATGGAAGTCTTGGCGAACTCGCGCTGCTCAGTCAAGTACAGCGCTGTGCTGAGCCCGAAGACGCCGCTGCCGATGATGAGGATGCTGTTCGGCGGGCGGAAAGGCGCGTGCGGGTGGCTCATGGCGGGGTTTTGAGAACTGCAGCTGGTTCAGGGCGTCGGCACAGTGCGTATGTGGGCTATCAGTCCACGTGTGTTGCTTAAGTGCGCACCGAGGATAGGTCTTGCCAGTACTGGTCAATCGAGGGCGGCGTGCGCGAGCAAGAGTTGTGACGAGGTGCGAAGCACAACGTTCAGAGCTGCCGCCTGCTCTGGAGCGCGGCCAGCGGCGGTTCTGGACTTCTGCAGGTCCCGACGTCGGCGCCGAGCCAGCTGCCATCGCGGGCCAGTGGCACCTTATCGCCAACAACCTTTGCGATAATACGCACCCAGGATGGAAGTTATTGGCCTGACGCTCTGCCACTGCGCTCTCAAACATATCCGACGCGCCATGTGCAAAAATAAGTCGCCGCGTCAATGCCGATCGAGACGGCTTGCGCCGATTTCGACCCGGCCGACAGCAAGCGATTGACGTTGTCCGGGAACCAAATTGTGTCGTCGCCTCACAGGGAGAGGTAAGAAACCACCTTCGGTGCGTCAAAGAGACTAGGATAGCTTAGCAGCCAACTTCAAGACGTCGTTCGGATGCCACTGGTATGTTTGAATCTGGGGGAAGGGTGAGCACGCCGTCTTGCCTGCCCTGGTTGCCATCATCTTGTGTTGGAGCATGACGGCTGGAAGTGGGTCCCACCCTAGGTTGATCCTTCCAACTGTTCGCATCATGTACTTCGCAGATTAAACCGGCAGCATCAATTACTCCAGAGCCACTGCTACCACGACAGCCAGCTTCAGCACGCGTGGAGCTTCCTGGCCATGCTTGGCGCTCGGTCGCCAGAATTCCATTGAGGCTCTCGCGAACGCGCGCCATCATGTCCGCAAACAAACCCCCGACAGGTTTCCCCAACGTTGAGGCCAAGCTGCAGACAGCTTCCAAACAATCCGCATTCGAGAAGCAAAAACAGGAGGCAGAGGCGAAGCGCAAACGCGAGGCTGAGGAGACAGCTGCCGTTTACGAGAGCTTTGTCAAGAGCTTTGACAACGACGACGACGACGACGACCCTCTCAACCAGTTTACGCGATCACGCGGCTCACAACATGGAACACCCTACGGTCGTGGCGGCAGCGCGCTCGGAGGGGGCGCGGCAAGACGGCATTTTGGCGCCAGCATGGGCAGCACTGCCGGCTCGATGAAGAGCGGCCCTGGCTCTCTAGGTCCCGTGTCGACACCAAGGAGCGGCCCCGGATCTCTGGGCCCAATTCCAAACTCGGTCCATCGGCGACGAGAATACGACGGGCCTTCACGAGGAGGATACACATCTTCCCGCGAGAAAGAGAAGGGGGTCGACAGAGCTCACGATGGATACCGTGCTGTTGGGCGCGCCGGGTTTGAAGATGCAGACCTTACATCCACACCCACAAAATCCGTCAACCAAGCCTTCGACGTCAGCGATGACGAAGCTGAAAGCGCCCGGATTCGTGATCAGGCAGAGGAGAAGGCGGTCGCCAAGCCTACGTTGCGTTTAGCAAGTCTCCCTCTTGGCACATCACCGGCTTTCGTCAAAGCGCTGCTACCCTCGGATCTCGCTGTAGAGAACGTTAAGATCCTCCCGCCCACAGCTCAATCTGTCAACACCGAAAAGAGATCTTTCACAGCCATTGTGACAGTGTCAAAGGAGACACCAGCAGCGGATCTGGACTCCGCGGTCAGCGCATTGCAAAACCGCTACCTTGGCTACGGATTCTATTTGACGATACACCGTCATTTGTCCTCAGCGGTATCGACTGCTGCCGCGGCATCTAACCTATCCTCCTCGGCAGCTGCATCACACCCATTCGGTGCCAAGCCCGTCCCACAGATGGGAGATAGGAACACAAGATCGTACCAGCACGGCGGCCGCCGGGGCTATGCTCCGCCCACCTCGTACGGGCCAGGAGGGCCCATAGCCAAGACAATCCTGCACGTTCCGATACAAGCACCGCGCGATGTAAAGCAGGTAGCCCTGATCCACAAGGTGGTTGAGGCGGTGCTAGAACATGGTCCCGAGTTTGAGGCACTACTCATGTCTCGCCCAGAAGTTCAAAAGGACGAACAGTGGGCGTGGATCTGGGATGCCCGGAGCGAAGGTGGCGTGTGGTACAGGTGGCGCCTGTGGGAAATTGTGACCGGTCTTAACACCAGACGGAGCAAGTCAGGCAATTTCGTCCCGGTGTTTGAGGACAGCCATGCGTGGAAGCTGCCCGAAAAACCTCTGCTGTATGAGTACACGACGTCTATCGACGAGTTCGTTTCCGATCCAGAGTACAACTCATCCGAAGACGACGAATCCGAGAACGAAGGCACCAAACCAGGGGAGAAGGCTGAGGAACCAATAACGTATCTGAACCCTCTTGACAAAGCCAAGTTGACGCATCTCCTCACCCGACTCCCAACGAGTCTTACCCGCATTCGCAAAGGCGACATTGCCAGAATCACGGCGTTTGCCATCACACATTCGAGCCGTGGCGCAGATGAAGTCACCAGTTTGATCGTATCTAATATTGTGAACCCGCTTGCATTGACCGTCCCTGCATCAGAACGGATCAAGAGCCACAACGACGATGCGGAAGATCTTGGCCGATCTGCCGAGGAGACCACGGCCAAAGCAGCGGAGGCACAAGACCGTAGCGGAGCCAGTCTCGTTGCTCTCTATGTCGTCAGTGACATCCTCTCATCTTCGGCAACAAGTGGCGTGCGGCATGCTTGGCGCTTTCGTCAGCTGTTCGAGCATGCGCTCAAGCGTCACAAAGTCTTTGAGGTCTTGGGACTCATGGCGGACAGGAATGACTGGGGACGTCTCAGGGCTGACAAGTGGAAGCGAAGCATTGGATTGGTCCTGGATCTCTGGGAAGGCTGGTCTGCCTTTCCAATCGAGAGCCAGCGTTTCTTCGTCGACACGTTCGAGAATCCGCCATCGGCCCGGCGGGAAGAATCAGTAGAGGCACAAGTGAAGAAGTCGAAAAAGTGGAAGACAGTTGAAGCGGGCGCTGCGCCTGCGGCTGACAGTGGAGGATTCAAACCTTTGCCAGCGTCAGATGTTGTAGATGACACCATGGATGACGAAGAAGACGACATGTACGGTTCGGAGATGGACACAGATATTGACGGGGTGCCCATGGACGAGGACAAGGACGGCAGTGAGGGAGATGGAGAACCTATGGACGAGGACAAGGCACAGATCGAGACAACGTTGACAGCCGCCGAGAAGGATCCTGTGCCACCGGAGGAGGCACCTAGGCCACGAAAGCGCTTGACAGCAGCCGATATGTTTGCAGATTCCGATACATCAGACTGAGGTGTATCTGCTGGTGTATCCAAGTCAATACGACTAGGTGACCTGCAGGGACCAATCACAAACCATGCCAACCGGAAGGCATGTTCTTGCTCTCCAGGGACATCAAACAGAGCGGATGCAGAAATTCTCTTGCTATGCACCCGATGGACCTTCTCGATCTTGTTCGAGAGTTGTGCAGGCTGTTTCTATTCGCGGTGGCTGCGGACTAAGCAATGTCTCGACTCCTCGACGCGGCTACTCTTGGGGCCAGAAGTTCACTAAGCTTATATGCGAACGGGCTGGGACCTCCTCGTCTTGATCCGCAGACCTGCACACTCTTGGGGGCGAAAAGGTGGCTGCCGCTTGAAACAATCTAGTTTGGCGAGCTAGACTGCAAACTAGGTATGGTCCGAGGTGGCTCCCTGAACGATCGACGGAGACGACAGGGGCTGGGCGGGGGGTTCGTGGAGGCTAGAGGTGGTCGGAGAAAGTCTGATTGTCCAACGAGGACTGTGGCCCGACAAGTCTCGATAAGGACGCTCGATTGCCAGCGTCGATTTGGATGGAATACGAGGAGTCTCTTGACCCGACGAGCCTGACCCTGATGAATACGCGGACACGTAGAGCTGGAAGCGTCTGCAACTGCGCGCCAATCGGGGACCCTGCAGCCGCGTTGGGCTTAACGATCTGGACCCTGCTTTGTGCCAAGCCGGCGCGGGAGCATGTGAAGGCGGAAAGCGGACGGGGAGTTGCTTGGAGGCGCAACCATCCATCCATGGAGCACGACACGCCCAAGAACCTTCACCCAGGCAGGCCAGGGGATTCTGATGGCGCGGCTGTCGGACTAGGACGCGCAAGGGGTCACATGTTTCACTGCGACAACCCGTGTGAGCAGGCAGTTGTGTTGCCCGTGGGGGAGCTGGACATTTGAGGTGGCTCGGGTGCATGCCCAGAACAGCCCCGCCCTCACGTTTCGTTCGGCCGGGCTGCTTACATAAAAACATGCTCAACTCTGGCATCCCATCCCACCTTGACGAAACAGGCTGCTCGCTCGCACGCAGGTCGAATGTTTCCGCGCCCTCTCCCATGGCCACGATCGCCCTCCATTGCCCCGACTGTACTGTCAAGGCTCGGCTGCTCACTGACCTCGAGCCCGGGTCGTCTTTGTTTGACACGGTTGTCCTAGCCCGGATTCAGCAGCCCGTGCGGCAACAAGGTTACTTACTCAACAACAACACAAACCACAAGCCCCCATCTTTGGGATTTTGTCCTGAATCAGTATCCCCAATCCTGTCTCACATGTGTCGCTTCGAGCCACGCTCCTTCCGGTCCAGTCCGTCCGCTTGGTCCTCAATCTTCGTCACCCACAAATCCGGTCTCCCGTCTAGGTCTGCGCCAGGACCTCCTGCCCTACGGCGCCGTGGCCAGTGCCGTGGTGCTGCTCCGGTTTTACCTTGTTGGCTTTGAGCTCGGATTTCGTTCCGATCTTCGCAAAGCACCGCACGACCGCGTCTGACTGTCCGCCTCCGGCAACCTCCGCCCATCTACAACTCTTCCAGCCCGTGTGGCCATCACCATCTCGCCGTGCCGAGACTAGGCGGGCCCCGTGGACCCTTGGATATCACAGCTGCACATGCAGCAAGCTCTTTTTTCTGGCCATCCAGGACAGCATCTTCAGCGTCGTTGCCGAGGTTTCCGGGCGAGCTCGAGCCAGTCCCCTGGGCCAGATCAGTTTTCATAAGACATCAAGTGCTGACGGGCCTGACGCAAAACATTGGGTTGGCTCGGACAGGACTTTTACAGGCTACCATTAGGACGACCACAACCTAATGAAACCTTCTGCATGCTGCCAAAAGGTTCCGGATTTTTGTGCAGTTCACCAATTTTGTCTCCCAGGGCAGATCTGCACTGAGGCGCAGACGCAACCTGCAGCCCGACCCGTTCCCCTGGGTACGGGTACGACACCAACCCTCGACTGCGACAAGAATTTCGCCAATTAAATTTGCAGCCGCGCTCGGCAAACTGCTTCACTCAGGCCGGCCTGCTGCTTGTCGCGGGAATACAGAACACCAGCTGCCACGTTTGTGATACGGAGTACCACCGTCCGACTGGCTATTACGACCACTACTACAACCTGAAGTATTTGGAGAAGTACTTCCTCCCACAACAGAATGCCTGTGATTAATGGAGTGAAGATGGCCTGGTATGTTCTGCAAATCTACATGAGATACTTCTGTTTCCCTTTCCCCCCCAGAAACCAACCCGTCCCTGCTCAAAGAGACTACTACCGCTCGTCTGGCTGCACCTATGAAGCAACCCATCACTGATAAGGTCGCCTCCTGCTAGTGCGCCATGCATACGTGGGCATCGCTCAACGAAATGTGCACATCATGATCGTGTCATGATCGCGGTAAAGAAGCCTGGACGACCGCTGAGCACTTGCCCACATGCTCCTGGGATCCAATGTGGCTGTGGAGGCGTTCAAGCCGCGATTCCAATCCAACATCATGGCTGCCGTCCTCCGGCCACAGAACAAGCGGCCCATCAGGGGGTCACCGTGAAGAAGGAAGATGGTGTAGCAGAGACCGGCATTCATTCACCCACAAGGACAGCCCACCGGGTCAAGAAGCTCAAAAGCAATGGACATGTTCGTAATCAGTCTATCGATCCAACTGCTCTGGAGCGAATGAACCCGAGCTCTCTCAACATTATGCCGTCGCCCAGCATATCCTCATTTTCTTCGATAGATCATACCATTGGTAGTGTACCAACGACAAACGGGTCTCCACTGTCTCCGCAAACTTCAGCGTCGCCCGCCCAGAAACATCCCGAGTTTCCTGATGAGACGTCAAACACGGCACAAAAGGAAAACACCGCAAGCCCCCCGGCTGCTGGGTCGTGCTGCAGCTCGAGAAAGCAGACGGCGCCGGCGACGCCGAATGGGAGCCATAGTCCTATGCAGGGCGACCGTAACACCATATCTTCAGAAAGCACGCATCCGGCTCCGAAGAACGGCTCGTACAAACAACCGATGAGTAGTGGAGGTGGGTGCTGTTCGAATAAAGCTCGAGGACCAGCACAATTACCGCAAGCACCTTTGCCTGATCTTCAACCAGCGCTCCTGCCTGGTTACCAGCAGCAAATCCAACAGCTCAACCAGGCGCAGCCAGCGGTCTATATCCAGAACCCTGGAAATGGCGTAGCATTCTGGCAGGGACAAATGCCACCGCAAATGCCGACACAGGCCAACGGATACGTGTATATGAACGGCATCGCTCCACAGTACCCTCCGACGTACCAAGTCTATCCACCAGTCACCGTGGTGGGCGCGTACCCCGTGATGGCCGGACTCACCGCTGAGCAGAACCGGCAGATCAACAGTATCTTGGGCCGGCCTATGCAATGCCAATGCGGCGATGTCTGCGAGTGTCTTGGCTGTATCGATCATCCATTCAACACCGTGACGAGGGACTATGTCGCATCTGCTATCAATGTGGCAGACTGGACCAAGAATGGGGACGAAGATGTGGATGGGTCTACGGAAGATATGCACAGCTCCGAGGCATCAAGCGCGATGCCGTCCCCGGCTGGCGACCCACTGCTGGAGCAGATGCTGCCGCACCCAGAAATGCAGCAGACGGTATCTTCGGACTATCTTGTCTTCAACTACAGCTACGGCTGTCTGGGCGAGCCAGAGCACTGCCCGTGCGGGGACGATTGTGCCTGTGTAGGGTGCACAATCCATGGAGGGAGCAGTAATGGCAATAATGCAAATGGCGGGATCAATTTGGGAAGTCATCCGGCATGAAGGAAAAACAAATGTGAATGAGAGGTGGATGGAGACAACGTAAGCGACGTCATGCATCATGTTTTTTTTTCATGCGATGCCGCCGCAGGTTATTTAATCCTGCATAGATACCCCCCTTTTATGAATTTGAGACGGAGTGAACAACCCCCCTGCTGCTACTGCCGCCGGTTCATCAGATTCCTTCTTGGACTGGCCTATTTACTTATGGCGATCATCTATACCTAAAAAGTATTTAGCCACAGAGATCCATCTGAGACCATCTCGGATGTTCTTTTCAAAGTAGGACTGGCTCCCCTCGTGATAAACACAGACCTAGTGCCACAAAACCGTAGCTTTGCGTTCTCAACGCCAGGCCCCCTTTTCCTTCTTCTGGACCAGATTACCCGAACCGCTGCCGCGCAAGCTCCCTCAGGACCGCCATCGTCTTGTCCTCCTTGTCCTTGTAGCTCTGCAGCCTCTCCTCGCGCTCCGCCTCCCTCGCACGCGCCTCCTCCTCGCGCCGGATCTCGCGCTCGGTCTTGCGCCGCTGCTCTGCGGCCTTTTGCCTCTTGAGCTCGGCAATGTCGTCGGCACCGCCGCCGCCGCCGTCTCCGCCGCCCATGAGGTCCCGGTCGTCGACCTCGGCCGTGGGGGAGGCGTCGCGGAACGAGCGCATCTTGTCGTTGACCTCGCGCCTCTTCTCGAGCCTGCGCTCGCGGGAGCCCGGGTCCGCGCGCGGGACCAGGTCCTCGAGGCGCTCCTTCTGGAGCACCCGGTCCGCCCTGCGGTCGGCGCGGAGCTGGGCCACCGCGTCAGCGCGCGACTGCTCGTCGGCCTCGGCGACGAGCTCCCGGCGCAGGGCGAGGTCTTGGAGGTTTGGCATGCTCGGGGCGGCGGCCTGGTGTTGGGTTCTTTGGGATCGGCCGGTGCTGTTGGTGCCGGTACCTGGTAGGGTTGGGCCGTAGTCTTCGTCGTTGTCGTCGTCGTCGTCGGCATTACTATCATTGAGGGCGGAATGGGATTGTCTGTCGTGCGGCTGTCCCGGGCTGCCCTCTGTATGTCCGCTGCTCGAGCCCCGGTGGTTCAGAGGAGCCCCAGATTCCTCCCTTGAGCCCTGTCCGCGTCGAGACGACTCCCCGTGTTCATGCCGCGGCTCGTCTCGCCGACTCTTGCCGCCATTGGAGTCATGTCCCCCACCTCCAAGGCCTGCCCCGCCGACGCCGCCGCCGGCAGCAGCGATTTCCGCCATCACGGCGCGGTCCTCGAGCACGGCGGTGGCGAAAACGTCCGGGTCGTACCACCCGCTCGCGAGCTCGGCGCTGTTCCACTTGCCCACGAAGCTCTTCCAGCGGCCCCGGATCTCCCGCTCGTCCATGCTGTACATGTCGCGCTGCTTCTGCACGTCGAGGTACCGCGCCAGAATGGGACGGAACTGCTCCAGGTCCGTCTTGTACAGGAGGGGGCGGGCGCCGTAGGGAAGCTCGGGTGCGGAGGCAGCAGTGGCGGGCTTCTTGGAGGGCTTTGAATGCCGATGGTGGTGGTGGTGGTGGCGGTCGCTTCTATCGTGGTCGGTGCGTTCGCCGCCGCGATGGCGGGAGCGTGGGCGGCTCTCACGATCGTGCCGGGAGCCTCTGTCATGGCGGTGGGTGCGACTCTCGCCTTCGCGGTGATCTACAGAGCCTTGTCTAGACGTAGCACGGCGTTTGGCGTCGCGGTGGTAGTCGTCCTCGCGCGACCGTTTCGAGGGTGAGGCGGGAACGGGCGACATGGGCGATCGTGAGCGTGCGCCGTGGCGAGCATCCCTCGTCGTGCTGCTGCTCATTGTGTCGGGCGGGACGGTTGCATTGGCGTGTGTCGCTCGTGGAGGCTCTGGAGTCGACCGTTTGCGCTAGGTGCTTTCGTCGTATGTCATTGCGCAACAAGGCAGTGCAAGGTACGGGTCGATCTCCAACTGTTCGTTACTGGCTAGTAACTAGAGTAAATATGTATGGACGGAGGCTGTGCTCCACCCTTTGAGGCCTGGGGATTGTGGAGTGACATGCCAGATCATGATTACATAATCAAACATCAGCCCTGGTTGATTGTCTTATCAGACCCTGGATGCTATTCCAGTGGGGGAGGGGCAGTCTCGAGAATTGTCTGTCGACAGAGCTCGTAATGAATAGCCATTCCTCGAGGGCGTAAGGCCATGTTAGACTTACATCATGGCCGAGTCCCTGCTGGGATGCATCTTCTACCTATGAAAGCATAAGAATTTTGACTATGGTCACAGATGGGAGCAACCAGCTCCGGCAGCCGCTCGAAAGTAGAACATAGTGGGGCGTGCATTTTTTTGTAAATTCCATGGAGGTACGTAACAGTCTTGATTAGCAACATTTGCTAGGCACTAATATCACCAGAACACACAAATCATTTCAGGCAGGTCGGGAGTCCAGGCATATTTCCAGCCAGCGGCGGGCAGATATCATTTACTCATCATGGAGGACGCCAATGGCCTGTTCGACGATCCGGAGGGGTACTACCCGCCCACGCCGCCTCCTCAGGTGACGTCGCATGTCATGAAGTCCGGCAAGACCATCACGCTGCACACCGTCGGCCAGAGTGCTCTGGATGCCCACCATGTGTGGAACGGCAGCCGCGTCATCTCAGACTACTTTGAGACGCACCTCGACGAGATCCAGGGCCGCACCGTGCTCGAGCTCGGCGCCGGGGCGGGCCTGGCCAGCATCTCGGCCGCCATCCTGGGAGCAGCAAAGGTCGTCGTAACGGATTTCCCCGACGCGGACCTCATCGTGAACTTGAAGAAGAACATCCTCGGGTGCGAGTTCATCCCTGGGATCACCCCGACCTCGTTCAATGACGACGGCGGCGACGACAACGGGACATCCAGCGCGGGACGAGTGATCGACGTGGACGGCTTCGTCTGGGGTGCCAACCCGGACCACCTGCTTAAGCGGCTCCAGCCAGGCCATGGTGACAAGTTCGACGTGCTCATCCTGGCCGATCTGCTGTTCAGACATTCGGAGCACGGCAAGCTGGTCAAGACGGTCGAGGAGACCATGAGCACCAAGCCAGGCAGCACGGCGTACGTGGTGTTTACAAGCTACCGGCCGTGGCTGCAGGAGCGCGACTTGGGATTTTTCGACGTCGCGAGAGAGCGTGGCTTTGTGGTCGACAAGTTTCTCGAGGTCAAGATGGACAAAGTCCTGTTCGAGGAGGACCCGGGCGATGAGGAGGTGCGCAAAACGGTGACCGGATGGACGCTGCGCTGGCCAGCGGACAAGTGCACTTAAAGGACCAGAGCAGTGGGTATTGGCAAGGCCGACTGTCGTGACAATCACTGCGAAGTGTCCTTTGGCACAAACGGGACACGAAGCTCAACAGGCTTCTCTAAGAGACCGTTGAGCATATCCTCGTCTCATGGAAGAAGATGTCGGCCCAATACTTCGCCACAACGCAGGATATTCTTCACGAAGTGAAAAGGAGCCATAGCGAAGGGTGCTGGCGGAGAATATCGCAAGTGAGGGAACCAGCGCAATGGCGTGTGGGATGGTCCAGAAGACTGAATGAACGAGGGCAAACCCTGCTGCTCTCGAGAGACGCAAGCTAGAAAGAGACGCGTGGACACACGTAGCTCAGCTCTGACAGGCCATTCCACAAGCAATTCTTGTGGAAAGGACAAACGATCAGTCGCCATGATGGCTAGTCATGCGTGGTGCTCGACACTGGCCACGAGAGCAACAGCCGCTCACCTCCACGATTCGATTGACACGGGTCACAACGACGACGTGGCTGGTAGTACGAGGGCTGCTCTCTTGGCGAGATGTCACAAATGCGAACAAGGTCTGGGGTCCACATCTTGGATTAGTTCCAAATGCCCGAGCTGGGCTACACCACGACGATAATTAGCATAGCAATCCAGTGGCACAAATATCATGTGGTATTCTCCACACATGTCAGAGAGCAAGCAGGTCCTTTGGGCGTCGATAGTGTCACAAGTCGGCCCGTCAAGGGGGTACTTGAGCTAGAGGTCGACAGAAGGAATCCAGAATTCCCCGCAGCCCCCACTTATACACAAAATACACAAAAAGTCCACACCACGTACAACTCGGCGAGTAGTTGGGCCTGGAGAAGCGCGTCTCAAGTCAATCACTGATGATGTAGACATGGTATGGGATGTGACACAAAAACAAGCCAGTGTGAGCATGCATGCAGTAAGACGACCAAAACTGGGAGACCCAGGTATCTTGCTGCTCTAAGCGACGGAACCCCTCCTGCCCGCTCTCCTCCAAGTTCCCCGCTCCGAGCCGGCGGCCCTCTGTCGAGCTCCACCCTCCTCCGCCCTCCGTGTGCCCACGTCCCCCGCACCGGCGCCGGTGCTCCTACCATCATTCACTCACTCACTCAAGTGCCCGCTACATCGTGGCACGCGACCACTCTCGGATCTTTTACGAAGCCATTTTTCACTCTTTAAAGCAGAATATAGAGGACACACCTGCGAAATCACCGACAATGGCAGACTCTCGCCCAGGTCACATACCCTCCCCCGCCGCGCTCCGCGCGTCCCTCCGCAGGGACGGCTTCGTCATCATCCGCTCCATCCTACCGCCCGCACAGCTCGCGGCGCTGCACGCGGCCGCGCGGCGGACGACCGCCCTCGCCCGGGCGGGCGGGTGGCCCCACGTGCGCACCGTCGGCAAGCAGTTCCCGCCGTGGACCTTCGACCCGGAAGCCGGCATCTGGGGCGTCCAGGGGCTGATGGACCCGGCCCTTGGGCCGGAGAGCCGCGTCTTTGCGCGGGGCTACTTCTCGGATGAGATCCTGGGTGTGGTCAAGGCTCTGCTTGGTTCTGATGATGATGATGATGATGATAACGACGACGACAGTCTGGTCCTCGAGCTGTACAACCTCCTCGTGAACCCGCCCACGCCCTTCGCCCTGCGCTGGCACCGCGACGACATCCCCGCCACCGCCACCACAGAGGAGGAAGAAGCCCGCCTCCTCCACAACCGCACGCCTTCTTCCTCCTCCAGACAGCAGCAGCAGCAGCCGTTGTACAGCCACACGCAGTACAACCTCGCCCTCTGCGACGCGGACGCCAGCCTCGTCGTGGTCCCGGGCTCGCACGCCCGCGCCCGGACGCAGGCCGAGCGCGACGCGGACCCCTTTGCGGAGCATCTACCGGGCCAGCTGGTGGTGCAGCTCGGCGCGGGGGACGTCGTGTTTTACGACAACAACATCCTGCACCGCGGGGTCTACGAGGATGTCGCGCGCGAGCGGATGGCGCTGCACGGGAGCGTGGGCCATGTCAGGGCTGGCAAGGCGAGGGCCAGGAATGTCCTGCAGCATGGTGTCAGGGACTGGGTCGAGGGCGTCGATTTTGACGAGGTCTTTGCTGCTGGCCTTGCTGGTGGTGATGAGGCCAGTGATGCTTGGTATGATCAGCTGCAAGGCGAGGCGGAGAGGAAGGCATGGAAGGAGAGGCAGAAGGCCAGGGCGGAGAAGATGCGTGAGAAGCTTGTCAAGCTGGGCAGAGAGAGCGGCGATGTCGGATATTCTTTGACGGGTTAGTGTCTGCACACTTATGGTCATGAAGATGGTGCGGACTGCTGCTCACTTTCATTCAAGTAGGTGGTGAGGCATTGAGCATGAGGAGAGAGCGGCTGCATTTTCACCAGATTGCATTTGACAATGGTGCTATGAATAGGGCTATATACATGTGTAGTCCATTTGTGCAAAGTCTATGTTCGTGAAAGTAAGGGCAGGCTCTGCTGAGGTTCCTGCAAGTATGTACGGGAAAACATTTCGTAAAGGGTGGTCATCCACGACCACCCAAATTTGACGTGACTTATATGTCGTTCATCCAAGTCAAAGCTGGACAAATGCCAAGGGGAAAGATCACGTGAGTGCCCTGTCCGGACTCTGAGCATGACCAAGACTAGCTTGCTCGATGTCAAGTTGACATAGGTTAACCACTGCGGTACATGATGACGTTGGAGGCATATGTGTTGAAGTTGTCCGAGTTCTTGGTCAGGCTCTTGCCGTCCCTGTTGATCATCGACTCGGTGCCGATGACGCTGAGGTCGAAAATGTTGACATTCTTGATCGACCCCTCAAGGGACACCATGCGAGACTGGCAGTTGGCGCCGTTGGCAATGCTGTTGCAGACTGCAGTTGAGGTACGGTTAGTAACAGTCCCCAGTGTGTCTGTCAGGTGGGTGATTGAACTTACAGGTGTTGTAGTTGTTGAAGAAAGAGTACAAACCGGCGCCATAGATGAAGATGTCGGACGAGTCAATAATGCGCAAACCCCAGGAGTTGGCGCAGTTGCCGCTGACACCCTGGCATGAAGTCGCAAAGTCAGGGTCCCTCAGCGAAGTGTTGACCGTGAACGGCTGGATGGCGTTGGGCAGAGGCTGGTAGTAAGGGGTCTCGGTCTGGAGCATGCTGGCAAAGATATTCTTGGTGCCCGCGAACTGGTAGTTGTACAGATGGAAGTGCTCAGCCGCGCCTCCAACAAGCCAGAAGGAACCAGTGGTGGACTCGATGAAGATACCACGACCAGCAAAGATGGTAATCTGGGCGTTGGTTGCATCCTCAATATCGTGGTCGGCGACCCAGATCCAGGTGTTCTCCATGTACAGACCAGAAGACTGCTTGGTAGCATGGACCGCCATGTAAGCAGCAATGCACTTGGGGTCAATGTTGGCGGAGCCAACAACCTTGGCGCACTGCGGAATCATGAACTCGGAGCCGGAGAAGCCGCCGATACGGGTGTGGAAGTCCCAGAAGCCAGACGGGTTGCCGGCAGGTGCGACAAGGTTGTACTCGACCAAAATGGCGCCAGCAGCGGGGCCCTTGGTAGAAACAATGAAGTCGGAGAACTCGACACGGCCCGCGACACCAGACTGGCTACCAATCTTGAACACAGGCTTGGGAGCACTCTGGTCCTGGAAGAAGCTGCCAGATCCCAGAATGACGGGATAGGTCTCACCCACGATTCTAGTGCCAGCGGGAATGTTGACCGTGCTCTTGACGACGTAGAGACCATAGTCGAGGTAGACAACCTTGTTGCTCGCCGCGGCCTGTGTAATCACGGCTTGGATGGCAGCAGTGTCATCACTGACACCATCACCCTTGGCGCCAGCAGAGCGAGCACTGAGGAAGTCGCCAGCCCCAAGGTTCTCGTACTGGGGCTTTGACTTCTGGTAGTACACGTTACCGTTCATCAAGGCAGCGGGTCTCGTGTTGGGCTGGATGGTGCCCTGAAGCTCAGTGGCCCCTGCCGTACCGAGGACTTGGTGACCCTGACCCCATCCAGCGATGGTGGTGGTGCCACCAGCAAGGATAGTACCGCTGGGTCCGCTGATGCCAGTGCCGACGTTGTTGAATTTGATATTCTCCATGATGATGGAACCCTGAGTGTCAGGCTTGCCGCTCGGGGTATAGCTCGACTGAATGAATGTCTTGGTGTTGCTGATGGTGGAGTCCAGGAGGGTGACCGAGCCGACGTCCGAGTTGGCCATCTTGATACCAACGTCACTGTTGTTGATCTCCAGACCGATGTACGTCCAGCCCCAGTTCCACATCTGAGTGATGGCAGTCTTGCAGTTGTTGAACTTGAAGTTGCGCATGGTGTACTGCTGGTTGCCCATGCTGGCGCAGGACTCGCCACCCTGGAAGGTAAGGTCGGCCATGAAGCCACCAGAGCCTTCCTCGATGAAGAGACCAACGTGCACGACGTCTGCGGTGGCCGGCATGACAAAGGCAAGGTTGTACAAGCTGGTGGCCTGGGAAGTGGGCCAGTGCATACCAGTGGCCGCGGTGCGTGGGGGGATGTTGGTGGTGTCGATGACAAAGTTGCGGACCTCGCGGAAGAAGACGTTAACCGGTACCCAGTTGGGCTTCTCAGTGTAGTATGGGTTGCCATCAATGAGACCAAAGCCAGCAAAGTTGGCTGTGGCCTTGAGCACGGGTCTGTTCGTGGGGTCACCGATCATCTTGGTATAGTAAGGGGTCACGATCGAGGACGAGATCATGTAGGTTCCCGGGGGGAAGTAGACGACAGCGGGAGTCTCGGTTTTGGAAGCCTGAAGAACTTTTGTCAGATCTAGCGCCAGTGGAAAACAGACTTGTGCCTATTCATCTGTACGTGTTGTGACTTACACATCCTTGCAAGCAGCGGTTGTTGGGAGTGTTCATGGCACGCCTGATGGCCTCAGTATCATCGGTAATGCCATCACCCTTGGCGCCAAAGTCCTTGACGTTACGGAACACCTGGTAATTGGCACCTCCAAAGGGGGCCAAGCCTTGGTCTAAAAGTGTGGATTGCGGTTAGTACCGTGGGCGCCGAGATGATGCGAAGCGCAAAAGTATCAACTCACGCTTGATATCCGCCATCCAGTAGGCCTGTGCCCCAAGGGCCAGGCTCATGAGAGCCGTAAGCATATGTTGAAACTTCATGGCTGCAGCAACTGACGTGTTTGCCAGAGGAGAGTGTGGGACATTTCGCTGCTCGAACTACCAGGACCACGGGACCCGTCGGCTACTTATAGACAGCTAGCCATGAAGCTGCCATGAGTTGAGGTGACATGGACCACATGTCCGGTCCATGTCACCCGCCAAGCTCCTGAGCGCTGGCAACGAAACATTCCCTCGGGCGCTAGTAAAAAAGCAGGCATGGAATGTCTGGAGGCCTGTTAAGCAGTATTACCTCTCCTGACCAATAATGCCGAGTGATCAGTCTGCCACGAGCGAGTCCCTTGTCTCGGCTCTTCTGAATAGGCTTGTGCCACTTGCGGCCACATGGTAAAGATCTGCATGGGCATGGGTGGTAGTTTCGGGCGCCACACTGAATCGATCGACTCATGGGTCTGGCGCCGCCTCGCAGATGAGGAGTGTCACTCGATTTGGCGTCCACGTACCACGACGTACTCGACATTGTCCGTGTCTACCAGGAAGCTAAACCTTGTGTATGTGACCTTCCAGTCGGGTGATATGGCAAGGCACTGCTGAGACAGAGGAGTGCCAAGATCTGTTCTTACGGGCAATAACTATGCGCGTGGGTCGTCCCGCAAGCCAGGACACGTTGTGCGACGCGACGATGGAGGAGGGGACAAGCCAAGCAAAGACAGTGGTGGGTTATGCCATGTGATCAGAGTCGTAGGGACTTTTTTCATGAACCAAGAAGTCTAGCCAGGATGTCTTCGGCCCGTTGCTGATTCGGGCATGGGTCGTCGTTGCATTGGAAGCATCGCATGCCGTCTGGTGTAAATCCATGAGTAGGATCAGGTCCCGAGGTGTCCACCAGGCACCTCCAATCCTTCGACCTCGCGCAAGTCGGTAAAGATGGGGCCTCCCCGCAAAGTGCTGCAAGGGGCGGAGGAGATCTCGTGGTGGCTCTTGCTCCTGGCTGTGCAGACTGACATTGGCAATCTCAACCTAAGGGCCGTCCGTCATGTGCTGTGTCAGCCAACCAGACTGTCCACAAGGCCCGGCAAGGTGACGCTACGAGATCGAAGTTTGTCAGGGTTCCACCAGGTCCGACTCGGTGGGGCCATTGTCCAGTCTTGAGTGGCAGGATCGCAAAGCTTGTACGTGAAGCCTCTTGCTAGCCTGTAGACTGGCTGAGTCGTTGATGATGAGGCCTTGATGTTGAAGCAGTCATGATCTGTGCTGGACTGTTCTGCTCGGACTCGTCGCCTGAAGTCTGCAGGCGAAGATGCCACAAGCAGGACGGTGTCGTGGTCCACAGGTTCAAGAAATGATCGACATGCTCACGCTGGGTTTCCTGCACTCTTCCATCTTATTGCTCTGTTGTTTAGGAGGCTTGTCAGAATGCCCCAAAGCAGACTGCGGCATGGGCTTAAGCGAGGCATGGCCCGGCGGAGGATCTCGCGTGGACACTGAAGGGGGAGGGGGGGCTTCGGGGTGTTTCGCCCGTGATCTATTCCTGGGGTGGTGTGTCTGGCAGCAAAGACGGGACGAGGTCTGGGGAGAGGTGGCCGAGTGAAACATGATGGTCGTCAACGTGCCTCTGAGGTGGCAATCCTTTAATTTCCAGGCGCCAACCTTGGTCAGCGCGTGCCTTCCCCTTCAGGAAGCTGCATACCCTAGCAGGGCCGGCCACTCTCGAGCCTGGTGGTACCTGGAGGGACGTGCCACCCTGCCTGTAATTGGAAGTCCTTCGGGGGATTCCTCCCATGCGGAACTTTACTCTAAGAATCATCACCCGCACGGAACTAGCATAACACAATGACGATGCTATCGGGCCTGTTTTGGATCAAAGTCACGCTGTCGTCGCTGGTCATAAACCCCATGACCGTTGGGACGTGGGTGGGTTGAGGGATCATGTGCAGCCCGCACATCACCAGAACCCGCTCATCACAGCGCAACCACTACAACGATGCATGTCGAACAAAAGCGTTGGCAGCCTTCCAAAAAAATATCAACCGCACGTCACAGCGCGCGTCCAGGAAAGGGCCTGATGCCTGCCAGCCTGAACGTCAAGGAGGCTTGTCCGGCAATTGTGTGTTGTGTGCAGAAGGCTGCTCGCATGTTCCTTGGGTCAAGGTGACCATGCCCCAACCGGCTCAGATGCAACGTAACCAGCTGTCATCTCAGCACCCGCAAATGAGTGCCTGGGCAGCGGATCTCCATCCCTCGCCGTCCAGCATTATACCGAGATAGGCGACCCTTCGACTCAATTCATGCCCGGAGCTCACGGCCGAGACTTGATGCTCGAATGCCACAGTCCTAGAAGGGCCGGCGCTTGTAACTCACCTGCAACTAATGACAAGAAAGCCTCCACTCGCGCATGCATACAAATAGACGGCCATTTAAACGACCATTGCTTTGCTGAAAACGGCGTAGACACTAGCAACAACTTCGCCTTTCATGTTTTCCTTTACCGCGGTACTCTTTGACCACTTGACAGACAGACAGAGCCTGTCGCATTAGTGTCACGACTCGAACAGCTAAGCGGCATGTTTCGCATTCTTTCCAGCATCACAAACATTCTTTGTTATGGCATTGGATGGATCTATCAGGTCAGCCTTTTCGGGGATGCCATGGCTGGTGTGGCCCTCGTTGTAATCTTGGGAAAGCAGAAGTCCAGGCTCAGGTCACGCATTTCAAACTTCTTGCGATATCCAACATCACCAATAAATGATATTTAACCAAGCAGACAGCAGCGGACCCAACCGAACAGACAGAGAAAAACTCTGGAGATGAACGTAAACAACGAGAGAACTTCGCAGAAATCGCGGGTATCGTCAACGCAAATTACCAGTGCGACGCGAGTTTGCGATCGTTCAAAGGAGTAACTCTTCACAATTTCCTGGCCGGATGTCTCGTTGCCGCACGCATAACGGGGCGCTCAAGACAGTCCCTGTAGCTGTTGCCAGTATCAGATCTGTGGAATGCTGCACCACCGAGTCCAGTGTAGCCTGAACGCTTGTGGCGCAAGCGCATTGGCATCCTCACAGTGATGTTGAAGCGGCCGCAGAGCGATATGGGACGCTGAGGGCGGGATGTTCCTGTACAGAAGCGAAGGGAAAGCGAGCAAGACCAAGGGGGCCAGGCGAGTTTCCCCGCTCCCCACAATCCCCAGCTTTGGGCATGGGAGCCGCTTTTCCAAAGTCTGCCCGGCATAGCGAGCTCCTCTTCTCACATGTTTGGGAGCGCGGAGCTGGAGAGCAGCTCCAAACCCTTCCATGGCAGCACAGAACGTCAGCTCCACATGCTCACAGGCGCTTTGGTAGGTGGAAAGCAGCATCTGCAGAATCTGTTGGAGCAACTCCTGAGGAGCGGGGCAACATTGCGTGCTTGCCTGCTGCTCCAGCAAGTGCCATGCCAGGGCCACCTGCCTGCAGGATTAACTGACTGACTCTTGTCGTGGGCCGGGTCTCCACCTTGCGCCACGCACTTTTGTATTTCCCCGCGTGCACAATCCCGGTCGGCCGAACTCCACAAAACCCAGACAATGGCTCGTGAAAATTACAAGTCTCGCCGTGGCCACACAGTCTTTGGGGACACTCGCTTGTCCCCATGCCCTCGCCAATTCCCAGCCTGCCGGAGAGCTGTGTGAGCTGGGGGGCACGTGCGCCAACCCCAAAATGTCAAGGAGTGCCTGTGTGCGTGCTTGCTGGCTGAGGTTGCACTGCCAATGCGCAGCCAGGCGGGCTGGAGGAGTATACGCTCTAGGCTTGACCGGACCCCAGCGGGATGTCAGCACGGCTCTTGTTGAGGAGCCAGGCTGGCGTGGTTCGGCGCGATCAGGGCGCCGGCTTTGGCACCACAAGCCATCTAGCAAAGTTGGCTCTAGGTCCCACAGCAGAAGCCACTTGGAGAAGCAGCATGATAAGAACGTCATCTCGTCGTCGCTACCGCGGCAGCAAGGCCGGTATGATGATGTGCATGGTCCATCATGGACGGCGTGCGCAGCGCGCGTGTCAGGGGCAGTTGGAGCAAGGCCACCATGGGAGAAGTTCTGTACATGATTGACGATGTGTTGGGCAGCGCTCGAGTAATGTGTGCTGTCAACTGGTGTCTGCCTCGTCCAGGAGGGAGGAGCCTCAGCTTAGTCACACCCCACTTTGAGGGCTCCTGCCCGTCGCGGGCTGCTCCTTCTCCAACTGTGCCAAGACTGGGGATCTCCTGCTCATGCCTCCGAGCAGACTCCCCCCATAGGCGCACCCGCGCTCTCCGCCCCCCAACTCCTCTCCTCCTCGAGTCTCGCAGATGGCCCTCCGTCCCCAACATCGAGGGCGACACACACACCTGCAGCACAAGCCGCCCCGGGTGTGTGCCACTCCCAGGCAGTCCCTCGCCGCCTCACCTTTCTTCTTCTGCATGGCAGCACAACCTGGCAGGCGCCCCCCAACCCAACTCATGTGCAGGGCAAGCACCATACATCAGCACCAGCACAGCAAACGGCACAGCCAGCCCAGCCAGCCCAGCCCAGCCCATCCCAGCCGTCCGCCCGGATAATCAGGGCATGCCCTCGCGCCTCTGCTTCTACCCGCCGGAGCGAGGCTGCGGCTGCCGAAACTCCACAAAGACAGCCAGGCTGGCACAAATCTGAGCGGGCACCACCGCTCCCATCTGGCGAAATACCGAGAGCACAGTCGTGTCTGCCCATTTCGGCTCGGCCCAGGGGCCCCTAGCCGGCTCGACCATTTCGGGGAAACGTCCTCCTGGTCGGAGTCGCCTGCCTCTCTGTCCCCTCTCCGCGCGCACTTGGGCACGGTTAGCCTTGCACTGGCGCCAGTCATTTTGTGTCATTTTTGGTTAGGCGCTGGAGCTCTACTCCGCATCCTCCCAGCCCTCCACACACTTCCGCTCCAGAAGTCCCCCTCACGCTATCAATCCTGGGCCGCACTACCTGTCAATCTCCTCCTCGTCCTCCTCATCACCCCCAGCGACGAAACCCCTCAGCATCGCACCGACGGGCTTCGCCGCTCCTCGCGTCTGCAACGCAGTCGTGCGCTGTCCCTCAAACTACTTTCGCGGGCAAGAACCTTGGAGCAAGGTCGCAGGCCGTCTCCACACGGCTTTGTTCGCCGAGTCATCGGCATCCCGACAAGTCTTGCTAAGCAGACAACGTCCACGAGCGCACCCCAGCGCCACGAAACGACCTGCACTTCTTGTTGCGGTACTATCCTTCGCGGCAGGCTCATCGGGCCCCCGCCATTCGCGACGGCTCGTCTCCGTGATAACAACGAACGAGCGCCGCCGGCGGGTTTAGTCCACTTCATACTATCGTGTTGTGACGGCATACCGCCACGTTCTGCTCCAACACCGATCGCGACTCTCCGAATATTTGGTTGTCCCAACCAGAAAAAGACTGCGAGCCGCTTGGCCTCAAACCACGACCCGGAGAGCGCTTGAAACCTAAGAGGCTGTCGGTAACCAGTTGTTGCCTGCATCTCCAACAGAAGTCAGCACTGCTGCCTACCCTCCGTAACATACTCTTACACGCTCGTTATGCAACTGCTCTCACCGATGGACAACAACACGATGACGGCCGACGAGGCCACGGATGGTAAGCAACAGAAGCCCAAGACGCTGCCTTGCAGGTATTGCAGCAAACGATTCAGGTATGTGCAAACTTCCTGCCCTCTGCAACACACCTTGCGCCCGTGCTGACTTCCCCAGGCGTGTCGAACATGTCCAGCGTCACGAGCGTACACATACGAAAGAGAAGCCGTTCAGCTGCGGCTGGGCTCGCTGTGGTAAAACATTTGGGCGTAGGTATGTCACACGATGAAGCAATTTCTTGGTCCTCATTCCGCACACCGTCTCCGCGCCTGCGTATCCCCAAGCGTTGTGATCTTTGGGGTAGCGCTGGGCCAATTCTCCTCTGCCCGCTCGTACCCTCCAATCCTACATCCTGGCGGGGTCAATCCCGATTCTGCCGACTGGAGCACATAATACACCATTGCCCCTTCCGATTGTTGCCATGCTCTGCATCTAGTGTTCTTCTTTCACGTTGGTCCCTTGCTGTGCGTCACCGCCAGAGTACAGCATTTCTCCACGCCTTTGCTTTCACAGGCCCCACGATATCCTCAGTATATCGAACCACCATAGCACCTGCCCAGTAATGCTCCAGACTTCTACCGTGATAGCCTGCTTACGTGTTTGATGGATATCAGGGATCTTCTTGTACGCCACGAGAAGTTGGTTCATCTGAACGAGGGCTCGAGCAAGGATGGCAACAGACCAAGAAAGTCGTCCTCTGGTGAATCTGGGGTGCATAACCCACAGCAATCACCTCCGCAGCCAATCCCAGCCGAGGCGCGTGCTGCTCAAGATCTCATGTCTATGCCACACCAGCACCAGCAGGCACAGCCGTACCAGCGGGAGCAGATCACATCGATAGGAGGCATGGGTGCGGACCATCGCGTGCCATCACGCCCCGCGGCCTGCAACCTGGATCTCTTGTCGGACGCCGCGACGCAGTTGGCATCGGCGAATGAAATGAACGCCATCACGCCGATGGTCACCGATATGAGCAATCAGCGTATCAAAAACTACGATGATGTAGTCGGGTACGGCGATCGAGCGCGAGACCACGAGCCACCCACTGTGGGCTTCCAGGGCCATCCTGGACCCACGCCGCCGGAAGACTTCAACCTTTTCTTGGACGAGTTTTCGACGTCTGCACACTTCTTGCCGCCTGGTTTTGAGGGTGAGCAGTCCGTTAGTTCCTGGCTCCAGAAAGGCGGACCATCGAAACCCGCATCTCAAATGCCAACCCGATTCTCCTCCCTCGCCCCAGATCCACGCGACATGCAAGAGGGCGTGCGGATGAGTGATGATGCTGGAAAAGCAGCCTTCCAGCGGCTTTCGGCTACGGATCACAACACGCTGAAGAATCGTTTGGACGAGTTCACCACTGTTCTTCCGAGTGATTTCATCTTCCCATCTCGGCACACCCTTACCAGGTTTGTGGAGGGATATGTGAGCGGGTTTCATGACCACCTTCCTATCCTTCATCTGCCCACTCTCAGCGCAGTGGACATGTCGCCGGAACTTCTTCTGGCTATTCTTGCCGTTGGCGCACAGTACAGGTTCGAAAGCCATCGTAGCAATGCTCTGTGGTACGCGGCAAAAGCTGTCGCCCTCGAACAAATCCGTCGGCGGCGCAGTCGTGAGGTTTCAGGTCTTCTGCCGACTCCCGCAGCGTATAGTCCACATTCAACAAGGCCATCACCGAGTCACGGTTTTCGGCACTCTTTCAGCTCTGTACAGCAAGAGCGCCCAATGACACAAGACACGCATCGTGAACCTTAGTACGTTACTATGCAATTCTTCTAGGACCCTCCTGCCATTCCTCATCCATATCACTGCAGCATACTAACAGGCAGTTCAACAGTTCACCAAATACCCCTCAAGCGCGAATGGAAACCACACAGGCTATCCTCCTATTGTTCGCTGTAGGCCTGTGGGGCGCAAAAGCTATTCTTCACGAAGCTCTTTCGCTACAAAGTCTGTTGTCACTACTAGTCCGCGAAGAGGGTCTCGTCTCCGAGTCGACCCAGACAGCAGACTGGGAATCGTGGGTCCGTATCGAAGGTGCCAATCGCATGAAACTCACAGCATACTGCTTCTCGAATCTCTGCAGTATTGCATACAATATGCCACCTTCGCTATTGACATCGGAGCTCAATCTGTTTCTGCCAAACTCTTCGAGATTGTGGAGGGCGGAGAGTGCATGGCAGTGGCAGGAAATGCGTCACTCTGTCGCATCAATGGACACGTCACTCCAAGATGCATTCTCCAGGCTGTTCAGCAGGTCGCCGCAAGGACCGCCGCCATACATTTCCTCGCTGGGCAACTACGTCCTGATCCATGCGTTACTTCAGCACATATTCCTGCTCAAGCAGACATCATTCACATCTGTGCCGTCCTTCGAGGCACCTCGGGGTCTACGGCCGGATGACGTCGATGACTGTTTCCAGGCCCTGCGTTTCTGGCAGATGAGTTTTGAACAGCAGCAAGCACGGGCCAGCGAGAGCGGACAGAATATCAACAGCGAATCTTTCCCCGGGGGCGCCGTTGTATACAACTCAACGGCTCTGTGGCGACTGGCCTCAATTCGCCTCTACACCGACCTCAGCCCGAGTCGAGTGCTTGAGACTCGCGACGCAAGCCTTATTGCCCAAGGTTTCAGTAATGCACCATACCTCATCCGAAGTGTACGATTAAACCGGGCCGTCCTCCAGGCGATACATGCTTTGTCCATGCTCGTCAAGCTTGGTGTCAACTATGTGGCGCGGCGAAAGTCAACAGAGTGGAGCATGCAGCATTCCCGTAAGTTTTTTCATCCCACATCATTGGCACTTACGCCTCGGTGGAGATATACTAAGAGTGTCTCTAGTCTGTAACCTGGAATGTGCAATACTGCTGTCAAAGTGGCTGATCACTCTGAGCGCCATTGGGCCGAGCGACAGTCCTCTGTCACCGGAGGAGCGCAATCTTCTTGCCATGCTGAGACGGATGCTCGACGAGACTGAGTTTGCTGTGCCGATTGACCCTTCCCTGGCGCGAAACAACAGCAACGGCTCTACTGGTAGCAGCATCAACGGTCATGCCAACGAGGGGATCAAGCTGCGTCAGCTTGCAGCCGCCGTCATTCGTCTCTGGGCCGAGACTTTCAAGGGTTCGCACATTTTTGATGTGGTGCAAGTCATCGGCAACGGCCTAGACGGGTACGCGGAGATATTAGAGAAGCCGCCGACGCCCCCGCTCATAGGCGCCAATGCAGCACTGGGCTGAAGCCATGGTCCTCTTGGATCTGATTGGAATTGGTCATTGATGAAAAATGGTTAGCCGCACATTGTGTTGTATGATGGGGTGCTCTTCATCGTTGCTTCTCTGGCGTTGGCAAAGCGGCTTTTTAATTGGATGGGTGTTTCATCTCGTCAAGGTAACAAGACGACGAGTTGGTGTGTGGTGTTTCTTGAGAGCTAGCTTTCGCTAGAGCCCGCCGGGCAGCATTTGGGCAGAGCGTGCACGAATACCATGCTAGCTAGCTGTCAGGTTCGAGCACCATCCGGTGGTCTCGCGGTGGCGTATTCTATTTGGTAGATTTCTCGTGCAATAAGAATTGCCCCAGGCGGCTTGTTATATGCTTGATCCATCGTGTCTGGTGGATTGGTCGTGGCACTGGTGTTTTGTGTGACCAGATGGTGTGGGAGTAAGATGCCTGTGCATCCTATCTGTCACTCTTTTCCACTCATGCCTATGATCGGGGTGAAAACGCAGCCCAGTCCAGTCATTTGCGTCTGCGACCAAGCTTGCAGAAGTATTATTTTCATTGTTATGATGGCTAGTTGGGTCGTACGAAATGAGGCACGTCCTTTTGGGGAACCCCTTTCCCCTTTTACTTGGCACTAACCTTTTCTTTTCTTTTCTTTTTCTTTCCTTTTTTCTTACCCTCTTTGTTTTTGTTTATCCCGTCAGCCCTAGGCCCTTCCTTCCCCCCTCTGCTGTTGACAAAGTCCCGTCAAGACCCCTGTGCAGAGAATCTTATGATTTATCAAAGCTCCCCCCTTTGCCTTCCGAGATTTCCCTTATCTTATATGAATACCTAGGTACTTGAATATGTGCCTAGGTCGTGCCGATGCAATCCGTATCCCCCGTCATATTGCGGAGGCCTTGACTTCACTCTTTTCGAGCTCTTTCTTGACATGTTGGACACATATTCTGCAAATCCCAGGGGCAAGCAGGCAGACTGGCACACTGACTGCAATGACGAGAGCGGAAACAAACTACGACAAATGCCCGACCAGCTCTAGAATTTAAAGAGAGAGAGAGAGAGATAGATAAAGAGGCGGGAAGGGCTGGTTGCGCGCCAATCTCAGCCAGACACAAGAAAGAGCCTGCCTGCCTGGACGCGACCCGGCCGAAGCAAGTCAGACGAGATTAAAACTACGTGGGAAGACACCCGGGGACAAATCATCTACATCGGAATAGATAACAGGGCGTGACTTAAAGCTCGGTCACTCGTCATGCTGCTGCTGCTACTGCACGTGCAGGAGAAGAAAAAAAATATGTGCCATGAAGAGTATTGGTTTGATATTATGTGCGGCGAGGCAATTTACTCCACTAAATAGTTGTGCAATCTTTCGTCTTCTCTCCGACGTTCAGCGCGCCGAAATGAGAACCTCATGAAATTGGGGGATAATTTGGGGTATATTTGAGTCTGTACGAGCCAGGAACAGGACATGAATCATCAAATAATAAAAAGGGGACCTAGATCACTATTATATCCTCCACTTCTCCGCGCAAGGTGTGACCACGGACACCTGGCTTGGTTGTTTAGTCAGTGGCGATGGATGACTTAGAAGAGCATGGCAGCGACACCAGCGACGGCGCCAACGATGCCGGCGGCAAGCTTCGCGTTGGGCTCGAGCTGAGCACCAGCACCAGGGGGCGGAGGAGGAGCCGAGCCGCCCAACGAGCCGGGAGTGGTGGCAGCCGTGGCGGATGTGGAGGTCGAGCTTCTGGTCGAGCTTCTGGTCGAACTGCGAGAGGAGGTCGAGGTCGAGTCGTCATCGCTGGTCGTTGTCGGACCGAAGATGAAGGTGTCGTCGTCAGAAGTGGCAGTGGGCAAGCTGGTGACGCCGCCAAAGGGCTTAGAAGTCGACGTCGCAGTTACGCCGCCGCCGCCGCCTCCGCCTCCCACGGTGCCGCTGGGGTTGGAAGGAGGCTCATCGCAAGTCTGGCCGATTCGGCAGCAGGCGGTGGCCGTGCAGTAGTAGCCGGCCTTGCAAGAGCCAGTGCCATCGTTGCAGCAGACGTTGCCGAGAGGCATGCAGCCGTCGTCGCAAACTGCCTGAGAAACACCACAGGTGCCGGACCCAGACCCGCCACCGGAACCGCCACCGGAACCACCACCGCCGCCGCCGCCGCCGCCCGAGCCGGAGCAAATCTTGCCAATCTTACAGCAGGCAGTCGCGGTACAGTAGTAACCGAGCTCGCAGTAGCCATTGCCATCATTACAGCAAGTGCCGCCGATAGCCATGCACCCGCCGTCACAGTAACCACCAGGGCATGATGACTGGCGGGCAAGGAGGAGGCTGTTGGCACCAACGCGAGCAGCGCTGTAGTCGTTGGCCTTGAGGGGAATGAAGCCAGCGAGGCTGACCTTGCTCACAGACTCTCCAGCAGAGACTGCCAGAGGGAGCAGGAAGAGGTTGATGAGTTGGATGTGAGAGCGCATCTTGGCTGTTTGGGTAGACAGGGCCAGAAAGGTGCTGTGCAAGGAGCTGCGCAGAGAGGGCAACACTTGACTTACACGAACAGCCGATTCCGTGGGGGGCGTGCTCCGTCTCTTTATATGCGCCGGAGGATGCAAGATGTGTTTACCCAGAATCCAGCCTGATGCCTCTGGTTCTCCACAACAAGGTCGAATCACCTTTGCAGCGCCACTCCTCGGTCTCATAGACGGAGCGATCTGCAGCTTCGCCAGTGACTCTTCGGACTGCATTAGCTCGCTCGAGTTCTTCCGGACTGGAGGCGGTGACAAACCAGGGTCCATCAAGCAGCCCCTGTCCATGTCGGCCTAGGCTGCGGCTAGCTGGATCCTGTCGAGGATTGCATACAGCTCATGGCCAATGGCTTGCATGGGCCAAGCCAGCTAAACAGAACAGCGAGGCTTTCTATGACGGCAGGCATAGCCTTGCCATCTTGTGCCAGGGAAAATGAGTATGTAGTACCACACACCACTTGTGCCCAAGCATCAGCCCAGTATGCGGACTGAGACTCAAATTGTGCCGCGCAGCTGAGGAATCTTGCCCAAATGCCACTGCCGACCCATGCAGATCAAGACGCCACATCCTTCCCGGTAAGGCACTCTGACGACGGTCCGTTCTGCCTCGCCTTGACTTAGCCCAAACAATACCGGGAGAGGCTGGGCCGGCACGAAGCAATGGACTATTGTGCTTCCTAGCAGGACCGCGTGGAGCCAAGATCGACGCCTGTTGCCCTTTTTCGACGGACAGCTTCTGCACCGGCGTGGTGCTAGAGGTCGGATTGTCGGGTCATCTCCCAGTATGCTTGGTCCCATGAGCTAATAGGGTGGACGCACGTAGTGGCTGAGGCCCAAACGACCGTCCGCAAAGCTTGTCCACCACAATTTCCGCTGCCCAACAACAACTGATGCCGACAGCCTCCAACAAACCAGTGTGGCCCGTCGCGAGAGGGCACACAGTAGTGGATGGCACTCTCCAACACGGCTTGAGCAGGCTTGAGCCCACGACGCTAGATTGCTCAGCCGTCGGGGCCACCACTCGTGGTAGCGACAGTCTCGAGCATCGACGAGGCAGCAGTCCAGCAACAAAGGAAACAAGTGCCAGATCGCCCACCAGACACAGTTGCCATGCATGCCGCACGGCCGAGACAAAAGGACGATCGACCGCTCTTTGGAGTCCGGATGGCCAAAAGTCCCGAAAGTGGTTCTGCCAGGGTGACGGACTGGAGTCACTTTTGGCGAGCCGGTGCTTGATCGCCGAGGCCATGGCCGTGAATAGGCTCAAGCATAGTTTAAGCTGAGAGCACTAACCGGGGCTGTGGATGCACCCCTGCTTTCAGCTGCTGGGGTGTCACCTCAGCGGGGATGCTCACCAGCCAGTCGCACAGACTTGCCAGGCCCAATCCGTCGAAGTGGCAGTGCCACAGTGCAGGCAGGTAGGGCTGGTGGGGGCGACGCTTCTCTAGGCCGCTAATACTGTATGTCATGAGATGGCAGCATGGTCAAGGCTGGTGGGCCATCGTACGGAAGTTCGTTTATGCTTGTAATTGCTTACGGCGCCCAAATACAACGCGGTTCAGGTACCCGTACATACCTGTCGCCTCTTCTGGTCGCGAACCAGTTCGCGGATGTCTGCTGTGCCGTCGTGATACCTCCTTCGATCTGTATGGGCGATTATCTTGTTCCATCGGCAGCAGCTACTGACGGCATGTAAGCAGTCGTTCTTGGGGATGTAGAAATATCATCGTCAATGATTTTGCGGACGGGTGGCGGAGGTGCTCATAGCACGCACGACCTGTCGCTGCGCGAGCTTGCTTGGGGGAGGGGAGAGGGCGGGCCTTGGCCAGGGGTGTTCTGCAAGTGACAAGCTGGTGCATGTCAGCATTGCTGGCATCGGCATAACGACAGTCCTTCTCCGCCACTCACGGAGATCGATCAGAAAGTATGGGACTTACTTAAGCGACTGTCCGAGCGGCTGGCTTAAGACTGGTAACCAGCGCATCGCTTCCGTGATCAAGATCCTTGTCTTGGTCAGGCTGCCGAGACTCTGAGTCTTAAGAGTGATGCTCGGCATGGTGTTTGCAATGCGGCGATGCAAGACCTTTGGGACATGGCGATCAGTCTCCCATCATCATCAAGTTGAGCCTACCTTTGGCGGTCGTGACTCTTATCGAGCACTCATTGTTATGGACGACATCGTGCTGTCGAACTGCCATTCGCGGATGTGCGATCATCGAGGGTCCTCTGGAAGCGAGAAGGTCCCCGTGACGTTGTAGCTCTCGTTTGGAGCAATCTGGCAAAGAAGGACCGTCCTGCACAGAACCGTAATCGCCGGTGCACTGGGAATTCAACCAGCGGAGATGGAAGGATTTCGTGCAGCGAGAGCCTCGCAAGCTGTTGCGGCAGTTGGGTTGATGATGCACGTGACTGCGTGCAGAAGGCGCGCTGCTGAAACGCGTAAAGCGCAACAGCCCTGGTAAAGCGTCATCGCCTCCCACCGAGCTTCCGGTCTTGCTTGCCCATGCACGTACTCGCAGCTACCACGACGTTTTCAATCCGGTTTCGGTTGCTGAGCGCCTTTCGCAATGGCCGCAACCACGCAATTGAGCAGCGCACCTGACAGGCTGGCGTCGTCACGCCGCCGGTCGCAGCGCCTGAGCACAGGCAAGACCAGCACATACTTTGAGGATGACGTAAGCGATTCCGTCGAAGAACAAGAACCGCCGCGAAAGGTCGCAAAGACGAAGCGCGGCAGTGCAGGGAAGAAGGCGTCTCCGAATCGCGACGGACATGCAAAGAAGCAGCGTGGCGACTCCGCAGGGAGGAAGCGGGCAGTTGCCAACTCTACGGATGACGAGGACTTCCTGGAAGGATCCGAGGACGAGGCGGAGGATCAGGACGACTATGACGACGACGAGTCTGACGAGAGCTCAAGCAATGCGGCTCGCACCGCAAGCAAGCAGTCGCCCAAGATCAAAAAGCGAGGAAGACCAGGTGCGGGAAAGGCTCAAGTCAAGGCACCGGTGAAAGCAGGCAGAGTTGATCGTGGCGAGGGTGAGGACGAGGACGAAGACGAGGACGATGAGGAGTCGAGGGTCACTTTCATACCACTTCCAAAGCTGAGAGATACCGGCGGCATCGACTATGAGCCGGAACGTATTCACCCCAACACTCTCTTGTTCTTGAAGGACCTCAAAGCCAACAACAAACGTAGCTGGCTCAAGCGTAAGACTCACCGCCGGCTCCTCTTGCTGTGCACTTGGAATATATTCAGGATTGACAGACCTTGCAGTACATGACGAGGAGTATCGACGGTCGCTCAAGGACTGGGAGTCATTCGTGGAGAGCATAACAGAGAAGATCACCGAGGCCGACGAGACTGTCCCTGAGCTACCTCTGAAGGACGTGATCTTCAGGATCTACCGGGATGTGCGGTTTAGCAAGGATCCAACTCCATACAAAGTAGGTGTCCATTTATCCACTCAATTTCTCCTGGAGATGTTAATGCGAACCTAGCCACACTATTCTGCTGCATGGTGAGCTTTCTCCCGACGCACAGAACCAATGCCTTCATGCAGGTTGCGCATCTGTCGTAATCAGACTGACAAAGCTTGTAGGTCACGGACTGGGCGTAAAGGTCCATACGCCTGTTACTACATCCATGTGGAACCACAGAAGTGCTTCATCGGAGGTGGCCTGTGGTGTCCAGACAAGGACGCCCTCGCGAGGCTGCGTGCCAGCGTAGACGAACGTCCACACCGCATTCGCCGCATCTTGATGGACCCGGCTTTCCGCGACAATTTCTTGGCCGAGGCCGCGAAATATGAAAGCCTCCAGAACAAAAAGAACAAGAAAGGTGGAAAGAGCAATGCAACTCGCGACGAAGTCGAAATCGACGAGGCCGCTGCCGTCATCCGAGCTTTTGCTGAAGCGAACAAGGAAAGCGCACTCAAGACGAGACCAAAGGTCGGTCATTTCCACTTCGGCGCTGCTTTGTCATGACCCTGTGCCTACTTGTTGTGCGGGTATAAGTTGCAACATGCTGACCTGCCAGTACAGGGCGTCGATCCCGAGCACCGCGATATCGAGCTCCTCAAGCTCAAGAACTACACGGTGGGCAAGAAGTTCTCGGACCACGACTTTACCGCGCCAGATGCACAGGAACGAATCATGGAGTCCATACGCGCTCTGGTCGGATTTGTGAGCCCCCCTCCACCTTCTAAAAGCATGATAGTTGGATTCGCCCAAGACACGACGCCTGCTGGGCAAATGCTGACGAAAGATAGGTGACGTTCTTGAACAGCGTGGTCATGCCGGATCCTGGGGATGACAGTGACTCGGAGGATGACGAATAAGCTGGCACAAGAGAAAACTGTGGACACATCGATCATATTAGAGGGAATAGTGTTGGCGCTGTTTCACAAGGGTCGGATAGGGGAAAAGCGTCATGGATCGGGCAACTTGTTTCCACAATAATGTGTAGATACGGAATGTCTAATTGTTCATACGCGCAAAGCTTGACAAAAGCACCAATGTGGACTAATGCCTTCCACATCCGCGACAACATTGATGCCATTCAACTCATCGTCCGTCGAACGCCGGCGAGTCCGTGTAAGGATCAAACCCCATCTTGGCTTCGGCCTCTCTCCTAGCCGAAACGCGCTGCTGTCCGCGCAGCCCGCTCGTCGACGCGGACTCGTCGAGGTAGAACCGTAACAGGTGATCTGGGATCGCGAGGTGCGTCTTCTGCTCAAACTCCTGCAGGCTTGTGAGGCGCAAGAGCATCTCGAGGAGCGAGAGCGAGGTCGTGATCGCGCCGAAGGGGGAGCGCTGGAGAAGTGTTCTGTCCCTTTCGCGTCTCGTGTTATGCTCGTCGTGGAGGGAGCTCTTGTCGGTAATGCTGGACTGGGCCAATTGTGATGGCACTGGGCTAGACCTACCATTTGGGCGATGAAATGTGTCGGTGCTCGAGGACTCGAATCCTTGCTTGACATGGAATGAAGGCAACTGTTCAACTGGTCCCGTGCTCATGCGTGAGAACTGTTTACAGAGATTGGCGTCGACACGGAATGTATCTGTATAATCACTTGTGCGTCCACAGCTGTCCGATCTGATCTGCTCAGCATCTTCCGAAATCGAGTTCTGAATCTGCTGCGGATCATCGATTGTTTGACTACTGGTGTCTGATCCGCAGCCTTCATCATCTTCGGGCGTGTAGACCTCGAGAGCCAACCACTCCGGATCAAGATTTGGAGGTAGCTGCCACAAGGCGCCGTTCGCGATGCCTGACTCGGCCAGCCGCGCATTTTTGTTGCATCCGACAGAGGTATGCTCGGCCGCATCATCCTCTCCGAACAATTGCCTGTTGATTTCACCCTGAACACCCTCGTCGCCCGAAGGTATGTGAAAGTCAGGTCGACTTCGGATCTCTTGATCTGGTTCGCGCTTAACAAGGTTTTCGCTTGTTATAGTGACACCGACTTCTCTCTTCAACAGCAGAACTGGGTTGCCGCGTTGATCGTCGTCGGGGACAATGTTGAGTAGGCCACCAACCTCCGTATATAATAGCTTGGACACTTGTCCTATGGGTAGTGCTTGTTGCATTCCGGCCGCGATGACACCGTCATATGAGGCCGAAACTGGCGTCCGCCCATCGCTGGTGTGTAGCAGTCCATCGTCTAGATCCTCCACGATCCGAAGCTGATACTCGTAGCTTGTCTCTGGTGCTGTGCGCGACTCCTGCTGCGTTCCGTGGCCAGTATGGTGTGACATCCGGTACAAGCGAACTCTAGCCTTGCGCATGACTTGTTGCCACAGCGGCTTTCGCTGGCCTTCCCCAACGCCATAGGGCTCTTCGTCGTCTCTTAGCGATGCATGACCTCGAAAGAGCATGTACAACGAAACATAAAAATCTGGCCCGATCTGCGTGGATCCGGAGGAATTCAATACATGCTGTGTATCAGCGATATTTAGTAGCATGCTGGCTTGTAACAGTCTCGAGGGGGAGAATGGTGTAGTCTGGGTCGGAGTAGTTCCCAAAGAGGAAATCCAGAGGTTGACAAGCGGGATTGCGTCATCAATGTTGGTGATCAGGTCCTTGATGTCGTCGATTATGGCCAGGACTTCACCTGCATCTGAGTTGCTGGTGACTTTCGCAGTAGATCTGTCCCCTTGATTCTCAGGCTGCGCGAGCATGATTCTCGCCTCCAAGCAGTCTATTTCTCTGCGGAGGTCTTGCGAAGTTTGTATGACGGTCTCAAGGGCTGTCTCACCCTGGGCATAGCGAAGCTCTATAGACTCAAGGATTGGGGACAGTAGCTGCAGAATATCGGGTCAGATACATCGAGCAAGGATGATTGAAAGACGAACATATGCGTTGTTGTTGTGCAAGCACACTCCACCAACCTCCAAACACGCACCTCAATCTTTCGAGCCAGACGCCGCTGGAGTTTATCAAGCTCTCTGCGCAAAGGTCCATTGTCGACTGTCTGCTTGTATCGTTAGATAGTCTGAAGCTCCTCTCGTTGCAGAGTACTTACCTTGAGTAATGAGCCTGCATGCTTGGCGACGTAGTTTGATGTCAATGCGAGACAGGAACGGATGGCAAAACTCGTGGCATGATATGACAGCTTTGAGACGAAAGCATCCATGGTGCTTCCCAGTATCAAGACTCCAAGGAGCTTGGCTTTGAGGATGCAGCTCAGCCTGGGCAATATGGTCGAATAGCAGCATCGCGTCAATCTCGACAAGTACAAATGGTCGCACGAGGTGAATGGAGTAAGGTTGCCGTGCAGGCCCTGGAGAGTCGGCCTACTTTCCTCACGCCTGTGCGGAGGGTCCGACAATTCTGGATTGCACAATATTCAATGTTGGTCCGTTCGTTTGTACAAAGCACATCACTTAGTTATTCCTCGTGGAAGTGCAAGGCAGCAAAGACAGTACATTGCAGGAAACCACACTGTGACTATTCTTACTGTGCTACCCGTGTCGCCTTTCGAAAAGAGATGCGTGCGTCATACTGGCCAAGGAGCTGAGCGTGGGGCAGCCCACCTGGCTCCAGCACACCCCGCCCAGAATCACGTTGCTTCCCACGATACGTGGGTCATTGGGCGTCAAGAAAAGCGATCACAGGTTGGCCTGGTGGCAGCGATAGCTGTGCGGCAAGAGAAAGATGCGTCATCCCATGCTTACCACAGCCCTACGTGCAAGGACATAGCCAGCGGTTGAGTCACATATCTTGTGTAACAGCCTAACATCAGGCAGCAAGAGTGCAAGGCACGAGGCAGTGTTCGCGCAACCAAGAGCAGTACTGTGCCTCTCTTGCCCAAAGCACTTCGAGAAAAGGAGATGAGACTGTCCTAGAATTGTATAGAAGTTCTGGCAGCCAAAAACTTGAGCTGGTGCCGTCGCATGATCTCGAATATAATCCAGCCACTTCTGCTCATCCAAACGGAAGCTGTTCTGTGCTGTAATTGTGATTCCGAACGGGTGAAACCCAGGACACATTCGCGGCACTAAAGTTCATCAGTGGACATTCAATTCCCATTGCCCAGAATAACTTGGCCTATCAAGCCACAGCATTCTTTAACTGGAGACCAGAGGTTGCTCCTGTTGCTCGAAGCCTTTCCAGGACCGGGAACCTCTGCGCCAGCCCCGCAGTTCTCTGCACGCGCGACACTGCACTGCCGCCCCTCCTCTTTGTGAGCCATCTCAACCGCCCTCCTAAATTTTGCACGATTTTCGCCCATCGCGGTGCTTCAACCACTTCACTACACCAGCGCTCTGCACCACTCCCATCGGCATACAGCCCGTCATGTCGAACCTCAACTCGTGGGAAGACGATCCGTCTGCCCAGGACGACAACCTATCCCGGCAGACCCAGCAGATGAATCTCAACAACCAGCAGCCTCAGCAACCCCAGTCCTTCCGCCCCGGCGCCTCGTCCTTCAACCCCGGCGCCTCGTTCACTCCCGGCGCTGCCTCCTTCCAGCCCGGACAACCCTACGGCGCCGGTTACCCGCAATATCAGCAGCAGCAGCAATACGGCGGAGGCCAGTTCTCTCAGTATGGCGGCGGCGGTGGCGGCTACGGCCAGAGCGGTTATGCTCAGAGCGGTTACGGCCAGGGCTACAACCAGTACAACCAGGGTTATGGCGGTGGTTATGGCCAGCAGCAGGGCTACCAGCAACAAGGCCAAGGTACGTGCGGAGGATACCCCGTGTGCTGTTGCCGCCGTATCTTGCTAACCATACCTTCTGCGCAGGCCAACAATCATACGCTCAATACCAGCAGCAAAGACAGCAGCAGCAGCCTCCAAAGCAGCCTGCACAACAATCAGTCCCCACCATCGCTAAGAGACCGACGGATGCGGCGGCCCCTAGTGACAAGCCCGCAGTCGGCGCCAAGGTCCTCAGCATCGGAGGCGACGCGAAGCCAGCGGTCAAGTCAGAGGGTGGCGCGAAGGTGCTCAGCATAGGAGGAGACGCCAAGCCTGTCGCGAAGAAGGAGGGTGGTACCAAAGTCCTCAGCATTGGCGGCGAGACTGCCAAGCCTAAGCCAGCAGATACCAAGAAGGAGGAAGTCGAGTCAGCCCAGAAGGTGACAGCCGCCAAGGCGATCGAGAAGACGGGCGAGTCGACCAAGGCCCCGAGCGGCAAGACCTCTCCAACACCATCATCAGGCAGATCGAGTCCCTCCCGCGCCGCCGCCGCCGGCAAGGGCGCCCGTGTCGATGCAGTGCTCGACGACCAGACTGCCGATGTCGACGACGAGACCCTCAAGGAGATTTACGGCAAGGAGCACGTCAACATCATCTTCATTGGCCACGTTGATGCCGGCAAGTCTACGCTTGGTGGTTCTATCCTGTATGCCACTGGCATGGTTGACGAGAGAACACTTGAGAAGAACAAGCGCGAGGCAAAGGAGCTTGGTCGTGAGACCTGGTATTTGTCGTGGGCTCTTGATCTGACCAAGGAGGAGCGCTCCAAGGGCAAGACTGTCGAGGTCGGACGTGGATTCTTCGAGACGGAGAAGAGGCGCTACAGTATCCTCGATGCCCCCGGACACAAGACCTACGTCCCCTCCATGATTGGTGGCGCCTCGCAGGCCGATGTCGGTATCCTGGTCATCTCGGCCCGCAAGGGTGAGTACGAGACTGGCTTCGAGAAGGGTGGACAGACTCGTGAGCACGCCATGTTGGCCAAGACGCAGGGTGTCAACAAGCTCATTGTCGTCATCAACAAGATGGACGACCCTACCGTCGAGTGGTCCGAGGAGCGGTACAAGGAGTGCACGACCAAGCTCGCGGCGTTCTTGAAGGGTACTGGCTACAACCTCAAGACCGATGTGTTCTTCATGCCCATTGCTGCGCAGCAGCTGATGGGCATCAAGGACCGCATTCCCGATGGCGTTTGCCCATGGTACAGCGGGCCGTCCCTCCTCGAGTACCTTGACAACATGAGTGCTCTGGAGCGCAAGGTTAATGCGCCTTTTATGATGGCCATCAGTGGCAAGTACAAGGATATGGGTACCATGGTCGAGGGCAAGATTGAGGCTGGTGTGGTCAAGAAGGGCATGAGCATCGTGATGATGCCGAACAAGGAGAAGGTTGAGATTGCTGCAGTGTACGGCGAGCAGGAAGACGAGATTCCGGCCGCTCAGTGTGGTGACCAGGTCCGCCTCCGCCTGCGCGGTATCGAAGAGGAAGACATCCTGCCCGGTTTCGTCATGTGCTCGCCCAAGCGTCTCGTCCACAACGTCAAGGAGTTTGAGGCCCAGATCCGAATTCTGGAGCTCAAGAGCATCCTGTCGGCAGGCTTCAACTGCGTCATGCACGTACACTCCGCTGTCGAGGAGGTCACGTTCGCCAGCCTCCTGCACAAGCTGCAGAAGGGCACTGGTCGCAAGAGCAAGCTGCCGCCGACCCATGCCAAGCGCGGCGACAGCATCATCGCCCGCATGTCGGTCATCGGTGGCGCCGGCTCCGTCTGCATTGAGAGATTCGAAGACTACCCGCAGATGGGTCGGTTCACCCTGCGCGACCAGGGTCAGACCATTGCCATCGGTAAGATTACCAAGCTCATCACGGAGTAAGAGGGTTTCTTTCGACACATGGCAGTGTGGAAGAAGGGAAAAACTTGCGGGAAAGAGGAAAAAAGCATGCATCATGGACGACATCATGGGTTGAAGATACCGGTTTAGTAGTGACGATGACGATATAGACACAAGCTTTTCAAAACATGAGTACGGTTTTCGTTCAACGCATGGCAGTCGTTGTTCTTCAGGCATGCACTATGGATTGTACAAGCGAACGAACTGCGAGCCGTGATGCATCGCCAGCGCTGTCCTGCAGTAGCGGCAAGTGTACGTACACTTATAAAGTATGTATGTGATGACTTACACAAGCTGATCGCGTGGATGTGCAGGACACAAACATGACGAGCAGTAGCCCTTTTGCGGTTTGTCCACGCTAGGCACGAGGAAAGGCGTCAAATTGCCACACTTGGAAATGTGCCAGAGTCTTTCAAACTCTGCTGCTGCTGCTGGCTGCTTCGGCTTGTTTTGGTGGTGGTATACATGTCTTCCTATAAATGTACATCATGTTTCTACAAACGAGAACCCCTCCCTTGCGCCGCCGCACCCGTTGCTCATGCTAAGCAAAGAGCAGGCACATGTGTTTTTGTTGCAACCTGTTCCGAGGCCCCCCCCCCCCCCCCCCCCCCCAATCCTTAACAGCAACCGGCTCCTTTCTCCACTGAAGGAGTGGTTCGGAAAAAGGCTGGCGGCTAGCACTTGAGGCTATCTATGCCGAGTGTGTGACCGAGGAGGATATTGCGCCTTTCAGCCTTCAAGTGGTCGCTTGCACTTGCTTGAAATGATGACCAAAACCTCGTCATCAAACTCGCAGACGCGTCTGTGACGTGTCAATGGCTGCTGGCCATCGTTTCTTTATTTTCTGCTCCGCCTTTCATTCGCCCATGCTCTGCTTACACTTTATTTTTGATACCTCCAACTGGTAAAGAGCAGAGCGTCGGAAAAGATCAATCCATGCTCCTCCTACATCCTCTTGCTCTTGCCACCGCCGGTGCCAGAAACCTTGGGGTTGTTCAAGTTGGCTCTGCTGACGGTCGCCAGCTTGTGCAGGACCTGCCTCCTGTCCCAGAGCGAGCTGCGGCCCTCGACAATGGCGATGATCTCGTCGCCGAAGCGCGCCGCAAACTGGCCCCGCCCGGAGCCGCGGGACTTCTTCTTGTTGACGGCGTCGAGGATCCAGTTGACCGCGAGGCGCCGGCGCGTGCGCGCGGGCAGAGGGGTGGGGACCTCGAGGGCGCGGCCGCCGCCGGCCTGGCCCTTCATGGCGAAGATGCGCACCATTGGCGCGACGGACTCGATGGCCAGCGTGAGGTAGAGCAGCGGGTTGAGCGGGAGCTGCGAGGGGGGCGGGGCCCCCGGGAGGAGCGGGCGGAGCGGGTTGATCTTGGGCGGCGGCGATGTGCGGAGGTGGTTGAGGATGAGGCCCATGTTCTGTTCGCAGTCGGTCAAGATTAGTATATGAGCTTCTCCTCCAGGCTTGTAGGGCTGTGCCATATGCAATCAAACTATCTGCTGCTGGAAGGCTCGCCACTCGATGGCTTCCTCGCCACGTCGAACAACCTAGGAGAAAACTGCCGACAACATGCTGGAAGGGGGTATTCATACCGTCTGGGCTTTGCTCAGCTTCCCGTCGCGCATGAGAAGCCGAGTGATCTGGTGGACGACGGGGTGATACCGGTCCTGCAACTGCTCGTGCTTGCCCACCCGGTCAGGCATGTGGAATAGCAGGCCATCTCCCGCAGAAGCCTCGGCGGCCTCCGCAGCCGCCTTCTCGAGCGCGGCAATGGCCTCAGTGTTGAGGAAGTTGGGAGCAAAGAGCTCGTGGTAAGGCCCAACCTGTGTTCCTGGTGCCGAGGGTGGTGGCGGTGGTGGTACCGCCGAGTCAGGCTGCTGTTGTGATGATGATGATGTGGATTGTGTCGAGGATGTATTGGCGTTCTGGTGCCTGCGGTTGTCTGTAAAGTCGCGGCGCACGCCGATCGTCTTGTGTATCAGCAAGGCTGGCGTCGGCCGGGTTTGCTGCTGGGTGCATGATGTGCGGAGGGCTCTCGTCCGGATGCTCAGGCCGCGAAGCGCAGTCCAGGGATTGGCTCTCGAGGCCATGGCGGGCAGACTCTTGGGCTTCGAATATCTCCAGGGCTTCTGGTCTTGTCTCTGGGTGGCGGGTTCGCGAGCGCCGGCAGGCGTTGTGTTGTACGGCCGCTGTCCTCTTTGCTTGTCGTCGTCGCGAGACTTCGAATGCGTTTTGCGGGCAAAATTGATTGGAGCCGAAGACAGTAAGGATACAGGGGACTACTGTGAGCACGCACTGTGGGGTCAGGACGCCTATGTCAGGCTGGCGCAGTCACCCTGGACTGCCAGCTGCCAACCCCTGCACCAGTCATCATGAATGAGAAGAGAAGCCTGACTGAGTCAACCATATGCTGAGACACACACCATTTCCACTTGGCCATCGCTAAAGTCGCACACATGACCTCAAGGGTATTCAGCGTGAGGTCCAGCGCCAGTGGCCCGCTCAAGAACACGAGAGTTTCGTAATCAGTCGTCCTATCTGACCTCTTCATGCGCCAACGACCTTGGGCCAGCAACCAAACAAACCTTCCCCCCCTGCCCGATCGTCCCGCAAGACATGTCTCGGCCCGGAAGTATTGGCCAACGCTTAGAGGCTCGGGATTGTCATGCTGCTGACCCCATGTCAATGATTCTGCATCGAGGGGAATCGTCATGAGCACGGCCCTCACCTCGAGGACTCTTCGTTGTCCATCATGCGTGACGTGAGATGCACAGTCGCTGCAAATTCCGCACAAGCGTCTGTATGCCAAGTCCACACAACGTGTACCTCTTTCTGAAAGAGGAGCGCACATGATGACTGCAAGAATGACAAGACATCAAAGACAAGTTTTGGGCAAGGATCTCGATCCTCAACCGGTTGTGGCTGAACACAATGAGCAGCTGAACACAGCAATGCGAGGACACCCGCCAGATACCCATTGCTTTGACTCCCCGAGAATGGCTCATGCTATCCTTATGGCAACAGTTGACGCGCCGCTGGAAGGTCATTGTTCTGCCGTCTTCGTGCTGTCCTTCATCTCGCCGACTGGCGTGGCTTGCGCCTCAAGGCATAACCATCCACGCAGCGTGCCACACATGCGCACGGGGATAATCCTCCAGAGATGAGATGTCACGGTTGTGCAGTAGTGTACATCCTTCAGACTCAAATTGTCACAGCCACTCGGTCCGCATGATCTTTGAGAGCTCTTTCTTCTTTTAGATGTCATAAACGTTTCGGCGTGCTAGAATTAGAACTACCTGTTGTGAGTATATACTGAGGGGGATATCAAAGTTATATGTACGATGCGAAAAGGGGGATATCAAAGTAACAACATGCGTAACAAAACGCCGCCCATACGTTTTCCTTCCTGCTTCGTGCCTACTTTCGTGAATGCAAGACTCAACTCTGCCTTCCCAAATGACCCCTCCGTCTGCCCACAAGGGGCCCGAACAACGCCTCCCATATTATTCATAAATTCTCAACACATCTTTTGAGGAAAGGAAAATGGCATGCTGCCTCTGTTATTCAGTCCCCGACAAGGGTTCTGAATGTTGCTGAAAATTGGCCACTCAAATCGTGCCAGGTGTGTTTGCCACGCTGCCTCATCTTGCTCGTGGCAGAATTAGTGTGAAGCTAGCCATCCCAGATTGCTAGAGCGCCGCTAGCTACCGCTTAAAGTAGCGCGCCTTCTTGCACAGCAACTTCCATTGTGACTCGAAATCCCGCCGCAGGTCTTCGGCTGCTGCTTCGTTGCCAACCTGGCGGAAGTAAGATTCAAGTGTGGATATCGTGTATGCCGTGTTGTAGTGTCCGGGTCCGTATGCTTCCTTGCAATATTCGGCAAGTTTCTTGGCAACTGGCCAGACCTCATGTGGCCTCCCCGCGTATATTTGGAACCGGATCCAATGTATCTCCAGGCGCATATCGCTCCAGAGATCCTTTGGCTCTGTGTCAAGCCAGCGAACGACCTCGTCGCAGTGTTGGTCGGCCTCTTCTGTCCTGTTGGACATGGCCGCAATCGCTCCTTGCCTCAGGTTGACCTTCTTCTTCCCGTACTCGATAACGCCGCTCTCCCGGTAGCCCTGCTCACTGAGCATCTCAAAGTCCTGCAGTGATAAGAGCCCGAGCATGTGCAGAGCATAGTACATGCCTTGGGGACCGTGAGTCCGTATCGGGTTCAGTGGAGTGAAGTACCGCCCACATGTGTCGACGTAGGACTTTATAACCGCAGCGCCATGCTGCTTGATGCCTGGCATTCGAAGTGTCAATAGTCGTGCCCAGAGGAGCGAGAATGGATGATTGCTCGGTAGGACGACGTTCGTCAGCTTGGCGGCATAATCGATAAACATGTCGCCAAGCTTTGCGTCGCTCTGGCCGAGACCGACGGCAGCCGCATAGGTCACCATCCAGAAGTCGGCGTCGGGTTCGCGCAGATGAAGCTTGTACTGGTCAAGACATATGCCGAGGAGATGGAAACCTTGTTTTATCCGCTTGCCCTGGATCAAGTCACGCGCGGTGTTGAGATTGCCGAGCCATGCGAGTGAGTTGTATGTGTCTGGGCCTCCGATTTGCGGGTCGAGCTTCCATTTCCCCGTTTCAAACCCGCCGGACACATAATTTCGCAGAATGTGCATGCATTCCTGCGGTACCCTCAGATCATTGGGGTCGTCAAGCCGCGGAGGGATGAAGACGGAGTCTGCCGGCTCTGGCGATGGCGTACGACAGACGACAAAGTTTGGCCTTGACGGCGACGTTGACGTGGTATCTTCTGGCGAGTCGTCAAAGATCTGCGTGGTGACGGTGGCGGACGCTCGGGCGAGATACTGCTGCATCTTGCTGGGTTCTATCCGCTTGCCGCGAATATAGACGACAGACGACTTGCCCAAGGCGGCGCGTGCCTTTTGCTGGCGGATGATCTCCGCAGCATCGCGCGCCTTCATGTTTTTATCAATTCCCCATTTCCGGATATGGGACTTGTACATCTTGACGCTGTAGTCCGACAGAGAAAGTGGCCAGCGATGTTAGCAAAAAGAAATCGAGTAATTGACGACACAGCATAGCGGCCGATTGGAGCAGGAGCGAGCGTGGGAGGGGCGAACACGATGCAAGGCTGATGCTTACCTGCCATAAAAGTTATGCTTGTCGGCCATGAGCTGCATGACCTCCTTGAGAGTCTTGTTCTGGTCTCTGTAGAGAGTGGTGATGGTCTCTTTCTGAGACTGCCATTCGGCAGCCGTGGCCCAGCCCTCGGGCGGGGGGGTGATGGGTGCCATGACGAGCAGAGGCTCTGCTACCGTCAACGACGGAGCATGCGGCACGCAGCAGCAGGACGATGCAGTGGTGGCTCGAGGCAATTGAGGCTATGCAGCGTGTGGGCGAGGTGTAAGTGACGCCGTGGGCGATGGGCGACGACGTGCTTGATGTTGGCTGGCGACAGCGACAGCGACACGCGAAGATGTGTGTGGGAGCAAGCAGGTGCGAGGTGAGGGTGTGCGTGCGTCCAGGGTCTACGGGAGAGTCGCCGAAGAAAAGGTGCGAGGGAGGAGCGGGCGCTCAGGTCGGACTGCGACACGGGGCGAAACAGCGTGCTGCGGGGGACGTGCTGAGCAGCAGATCCATGCAGGTCCACGTGGGGGACTACGGCAGTCCTCGAGCGAGGTGGCCAGCCAGCGCTGGAGTGTTGCGCTACGGCGTGCTGCGATCTGCTGTAGAATGTCGGGCGCCTGTTGATCTCTGTGTCTCTGTCTGTCTGTCTGTCTGTCTCTCTCCCTCCTTCTCTCTCTCTGTTTGTGCCTGGAGTGTTTTTTTTTTTTCTTTCTTTCACTCTTGTGCGGGCTTTGTGGCCTCAATCTCGTGCGTGATACTGACGGGAGAGGACGACCAAAGTCGGAGGCACCCGGCTCGTCCGGGTCCAGATCCCAACGAGAGGGATCGCACCGCGACGGGCGAAGGAGCTGGCCAGAGCCCGGCACAAAGGCTAAAACTAAACGCTGGATGGGGCCGGCTGACCTGCGCCGTGGGTAGCGCGGTCTGGAGGTGTTAGCCCGCGCAGGCGCAGCGCCCAAGGATGGGGCACCAGGCAGGTGCCGCAGCAGGGACAACCTTGAGGCCAGGGGAGGGACTCCAACGAAGAAGGTAGCAGTCCCCACTGCCCGTGCTCGTGGGACACAAAGCCCGGCAGCCCGACGCGCTGGGTCCAGCCAGTTATGTTGGTAGCCTGCCAGCCAGGCTGGAGCAGCAGGATGACGCAGAGTGCGTGCAGGAGGGTCTGAACGACAATTGCCCGTGTGCTGTGCCGTGGTTGCCGCAAGTAACTCAGCGGTCGAGGTGTGTCGAATGGCCGCTGCTTTGCAGAAGAGGAAGAAGGAAGGTTCCCTTGACAGCCTCAAAGGCGCGAGAACGGTCTTTGTGGCGTGCCAGGCCGGTGCTGCTCACTGCGGCGTGCAAGATAAGACACGGCACGGGACGAGACGAGACGAACGACAAGAGACAAGACAACCAAGACAGACCAAACCCACGAGGGCCTCGCTTCGCAGGCCAAGGGGGCCGGGCAGCAACCACTTCATCCGTCCGTCATGTGCATAATACGACAGCGCCGTCAAAGGTGGCAACCCGGATGGCCGTAAGTGGTAACGAGGCCCCCGGCGGCCAGGGATCTGCCCTTACGGTGCAATTGTGAAGCAAACAACTGCCAGGGTGCCTGATGACAGCGGTGCCCTACTCCTGGCCTTGGGGCCGGCAAAAGCATGCATAGGGCCGGCGCCCGGGAGGAATATCGAGGCGGGTTCTAACTAGCTAACGCCCACAAAGCTAAATGCCTGCGCGCTTGCTTCAAAGGCGCCGCGCCACTGGACGACGACCTGATCTAGAAGGGGAGAGAAAAGAGAGACAGGACGCACACGGGTGGGGAGGGAGGGTACGGAATATTCCAGGTCTCAAGTGCGCAACACAGTTGCGTGTCAGTGCTACATGATGATAGCAGTAGTCGACAGTGCCTCCCTCGAGTGCGTTGCGTCGTCGCCAGATCAATCAATGCCTTATTACGTACAGCCGGCCAGTTATACCACCGCACCGGATGTTTCATTCTTCATCTCGTCGTCTGGCCACAGGGCCATGAATCAGGCGACTTCGGCACCACGGGAGGAGGGTGTGCTCCGCAAGGGGCCCTCGGCTGCAACCTCGACTGAGCCGGCCTACGCACCATTGGAGCCCAGCAAGATGAGGGTGTGGAGTCGTGGCCACTGCAATGTGCCCATTGGCTCTCCGGGCTCTGGGCTGCGGGGGTTTCACAGCCGGCGTTTGTGATTGGCAGCTGTCCAGTGGCCCAAGCTCGACTCTACGTCCTGCCCAGGTGCTTGCTCAGGTCGTGCTCGCCTCTAGCTTCATTCATCACAAGCAGCAAGATTGGGGGGTTATAGTCGAGCTGGGATCAGGCAGCACTCTTCCCACATCTGCCGGCAGATCTGCGGCTCTAACAATCGCCCGACGCTACACTGCAACTGTGTCCGAAACACAGTCGTCCCAAGCCTCACACAACACGAGTGCCATTTCCAACTTGCACGTCAATGCGTGAGCCCAGAGTCCGCCCAGCTCGTTCAGTCCCTGCCGCCAAGCTTGTCGTGACGGCGCCACGGCGCAGCAAACAAAAGCCTGCAGTCCTCGTTCGCGGACCGCACAGCAGTCGACAGCCAGTCAAGTCGCAGCCCGCCCGAAGGCCGGATCTGTGCACGGGCTTGTTTGCAGGCCGAAGCATCCACCCTGATTCCGCTCCCCCAGCAGGCAACTGCCGTTTTCCGCATCAGAATATTGCGCAACCTCGCGAGGATCAAAAGCTGCTCAGTGTGTCTTGCGTCGCCCCTTGGGAGCCTGGGCCCGCCCGCCTTGATAAATGATCGGTCATCACGAATACAGTCCAAATTCGCGTGCCCGCCGACCCTGAGCCAAAACCACAGGCGCGCCAGACTCCAGAGAGCTGCATTAGACTACCTGTGCCTTGCCTGTTCCAGCCTAGAACGCTGCAGCAACCTTGTCTGACTCGCAAGACCGTTCTTGACTCGGCAGTGTTGCAGCACGATAGCGTCAGTGTGAGGAGCAGCAGCCTAAATTGCCCTGGGGGAAGCACCCAATTTGCCAAGGTGGACTGCTCAAAGGAGCGCCTCGGCGATTCGACTAATCCGTGACTGCGGCTGTGGTTTCCCAGAAGGGTTGCGAGGCAGCCCTCGGTTGCGCTAGGCAGATCGTCTGCTCGAGCCAAGTTGCGGGATGGGACCACCATGATTGATTGCCTTTCCCTAATGTATGTTAGTTGATCGGCCCGTGCACGGCAGATGCGAGCACGTTTGACATTTTCTTTCTGGTCAAGTCCAGTAACTAGACCCCATGGGCAAGCACGTTATCTACGATTACCGCTGTGTAGGGTGTCCCGGTCGTATACTCGTCCCTTCAGAAGCCCTCTTTTCAAATGGTGGTCGCCGAGCTCCACAGCGTCGACACGCCACGCCACGCCTTCCGGAACACCTTGATGAGGAAGGTGAATCTGTCGCGTGTCAGTCATGACGAACTGTTCATAGGCGCTGACCGTCTTTCAATCTGGCTGATGCCATCATGGTCGCTGTGAATACAGATGACCACCAGCCTTGCGATGAAAGGGAGGCACTTCACATGGGGCTGATGGCGGAACCTGCGCGAAGGCACAATGTATACGATGGGCGGACTGGAGAGCGCGATAGGTCTGTACCCCGTCACGAAGCCGATGCTGGCATTCTGTCGCCTATGAGGCCGCGTATGAGGAACACAAGGAATGCTTCCAGAACGTCCAACATCGTCGTCGGATTGTTTTCCAAACTGGTATGGCCCCCGCCACCAGCCAATGCCATCTGTGACAACCAGGCTCTTTGTAATAACATGTTGACTGCGGGTGCATCATGGACTGAGCTCGGCATATCTATGTGGCCACAAGCACCAAATGATCATGGCTTCTTACCTACAGTGAATGTCTCCGTCCTTTGAATGTTGAATGACTATCTTTTAGCGGTTGAAGGGAACGGCCCAACCAGAAACACGCTTGCTCTTGACCAAGCCGGTGCGCTTGCAGCTGGAGGAGCAAAGAAGTTTTCTTCCGTGATGAAAGCGTGGGCAAGCGCAGCCCACGAAGCCTCAGGCGTCTTCTTTGGAGATGCCATCGCACCTGCATTACTTGAAGCACCATAGCCTATGTACCTAAAGTACCTTAAGGTAGTAAACGCTCTCCCGATGCTGCCGTAGGCAGGGTCCTCTGGTTACGCTCAAGGCAGTCTTTGACAGTTTGGCGGGGGACGCCTCAGGCAGGGTCCCTGGTGGGGCACTCTCGTTTGCCTGAGCCAAGGTTGGCCCGGCGATTATGTCATTGCGAGTAAACACAACATTTCCATGCCACCAAGAATTGAAGTCTTGTTCAAGCAGCCCAACCACTGCGTGGCAGCACACCATTCTTCAACGCGCGAAAAAGGACTTGCGGGAACGAACCCCTTGGGCTAGCTCTTCTCAGCTCGCGTGTCTGCAACATCGGCGCGTCTCTCTGGCAGGACCGCCATACCCACGTGTGCACCGCCTCTGCAACGAGCATCAAGTTTCGACGAAGGCCCATGAGGTTTGAACCCCGAGGATACTGAGGTCGCATGTGCTTAGACACTTCTTATTCGGCTAATACCTCTTTTGTGCAGAAAAGCTGGGGATAACACACACTTCCGGCCAATCAACAGTCTTGCCTCCTCAGAAGAACCGAGCTTTCGCAGGCAAGCACACCTCGCCAGCTTCGATCTGTTGTTCGATTCCGCATTTCCGAAAGCTTCCCTCTCCCTGACGGCTCCGACAAACCAGCGCGCCGTGATCACAATGGTCAACGAGCACGCCCCGCCGCGGCTGCCGCCGCGTCCCCAGGACGCAACGAACCAGTCCCACAACGACGGCACGTCTTCCACACAACGAGCCTCAAGCGGACTGTCGTCCGCCATGGCTTCACTACCAGCAGTAAAGGCGAAAGTTTGGGCGAGCTTGGACGATAAGTACGCCAACCTCTTCATTCAGCCAAAGAATCGACCCGAGCACCATCGACCGCAGCGCTTCAACGGACCCCTCGGACCATCTTATAAGGACAAGAAAGTCCCAACGGCACCGGTACAAGTGCTGCCTCCTGTGGGCACGTCTAGCAACCCTATCACGGTGGTAGATCATGCACCGATCTCGAGGTACAGCCAGCCTGGCGTGTTTTCGCAATATGTCGACCCAAAGCAGGCTACCGAGAACATCAAAGCCCTACTCGAGGGCGCGATAGAGGACGATGAGGAAGCCAAGGACGCCTTGAAGGACGCGGAGGAACAAGAAAAGAAGTCAAAGATAGAGGGGCTCAAGGTCCGCCTGCTACCGCACCAAGTTGAGGGTGTCGAGTGGATGAGAGGCCGTGAACTAGGCCCCGTGAAGAAGGGAAAGGTGCCAAAAGGTGGACTGCTCGCCGATGACATGGGTCTCGGCAAGACGCTGCAGTCTATCGCTCTGCTGCTGACCAACTCGAAGCCGGCGGACAAGCATGCGGGAGTCGAGAAGAGCACATTGGTGGTTGCGCCTTTGGCTCTGATCCGCCAGTGGGAGTCTGAGCTTGATGACAAGGTCGAGGAATCGCACCGGCTCAAGGTTCTCGTGCACCACGGGCCGCAGCGGACAAAAGACTTTGCCGACCTACGCAAGTACGACGTCGTCATTACCACTTACCAGATCCTTGTTTCCGAGCACGGACAGTGCACGCCAACACGGCAGGCTGGGTGCTTCGGCCTGCACTGGTATCGTGTCATTCTTGACGAGGCGCATACCATCAAGAATCGGAATGCCAAGGCGACAAAAGCCTGCTACGAGCTCCGCAGCGTGTACAGGTGGTGCCTGAGCGGCACGCCGATGCAGAACAACCTCGAGGAGCTGCAGAGCCTTGTCAAGTTTCTCAGGATCAAGCCATACGATGATCTACGCGAATGGAAGGACCATTTCGAGATCCCAATCAAGCAAGGCAAAGGCGATGTGGCCATGCAGAAATTGCACGCCATGTTGAGCTGCTTCATGAAGCGGCGGACAAAGGAGATCCTGAAGAAAGCCGGAGCCCTAGACACGGGTGGCAAGAAGAGTGCGGACCAAGAAAACAGCGCAACGTCAGATTTCAAGGTGACGGAGCGCAAGGTTGTCTCAATCGCCACGACATTCTCCCCAGCGGAGCGACGCTTCTACGAGAGACTAGAGCGTCGGACAGACAAGAGCATCGACGCCCTCATGCAGGGCAACATCAACTATGCAAGTGCGCTCGTCCTGCTGCTTCGATTGAGGCAGGCGTGTAACCACCCCAAATTACTCGAGGGCAAGCTCGAGAAGGATCAAGAGGCACTGTCAGAAGACCCGAAGCCCAAGAAGGCCGATGCTGATGTCGATGCTCTCGCGGATTTGCTTGGCGGGCTCGATGTCGCTGCGAAGCATTGTGACATCTGCGGTTGGGAAATCGACAAGGAAAGCCGCCAGGCTGGCCGTGATAAGTGCAAGGACTGCCACGACGACCTCCAATACTTCAGGAATCACGATGACGGCGCAAACCTGCTCAAAACACCGAAGCCCCCGAAGGCAAAGAAGAGCAAGAGAACTAAGGTCAAGAAGGTGGTCGTAGAGAAAATCAACCTGGCTGCTGGGCGGAGGAAACCGAGAAACCGCCGCGCCGTCATTGATAGCGACGACGAGGAGGTAGAGGGCAGCTGGATCGTCTCCGGGGACGAGAAGGGGCCTCTAAGGCTCGGCAAGGCTGGAGGCACCGATGATGAGAATGCCGAGGGCGACGGCGAGACTATCCATACCGAGGACTCTGAGGATGATGATGAAGACTCGAGGGAAGGCAGCCAGCTTGGAAGTTTCGTGGTGGACGATGGCAGAGATACGAAACCTGAGTATATCAAGAAAGCTCTTGAGGAGAGCGACTCTGATGACGACCTGCCTGCTCCGTCTGCTATTGCCCGCCGGTCAAGGAAGGGCCAAGCACGAGCATCACGGGCCGTCGTATCGCCGTCTGGGTCCGAAGACGATGAAGACGATGAAGACTCCTACGAAGAGGAGGCCGGCGAGGAAAGTGATGAAGATACAGGCATCTCAGAGTCTGAACTTGACTCGGACTCGGACAACAATGGCACCTTTAAAGACCGCTCACAAACGCCGCACGTCCTGGCCTCGGCCAAGATTCGGCAACTTCTCACGATTCTGCACAAGGAAGTTCACGAGCACAAATTCATCGTCTTCTCACAGTTCACAAGCATGCTGGACTTGGTCGAGCCATTTTTCCGCAAAGACGGCATCAAGTACACGCGATACGACGGGTCGATGCGCAACGACGCGCGCGAGGCGGCACTCAACAGCCTCCGGCACGATGCCGGCACACGTGTGCTCCTGTGCTCGCTCAAGTGCGGCGCGCTGGGTCTGAACTTGACTGCGGCCTCACGCGTCGTGATACTTGAGCCATTTTGGAATCCCTTCGTCGAGGAGCAGGCCATCGACCGTGTGCACCGCCTCACCCAGAAAGTCGACGTCATTGTGTATAAGCTGACGGTCGAGGATACGGTCGAGGAGCGCATCTTGGAATTGCAGGAGAAGAAGCGCGCGCTTGCGGACGCGGCGATCGAGGGCGCGGCTGCTTCAGGCGGCGTCGGTGGCCGCGGTGGCAAGCAGGGCATGGGCCTGGGCTTGAAGGAGATGATTGCGCTGTTCAAGCATGCTGGCCGCGACGGTGGTGGCGGCGGCGGCGGCGGCCACTACGACGACGTCAACGACCGAGTTGTCCACGACGACGTGTTCAGCTCGCTGAGCGGGATGCGCAGTAAGAAGAACCACGGCAGCGGCAGGGGGGGTACAAAGGACCATGGTGTATATGGACGCCGGTGGTGATTCGTGGCCGCCTTGGGCGCCGTGCCTGACCCTGACGCCCAACTAAGAAGATTTTGTCACTTGCGATCATGATGTAGCGAGACGAGGTCGCGTGGCAGGCAGGCAGGCAGGCAGGCAGGGGCACGGCATGACGATACTTTATGAATGAACGCTGGGGGTTTGGAACACAGGAGTTGTAGCATACCGAGCGAGGCCCACGAGAATACATTATTCACTTTTTAACCCACCTGTTCAGCCAGCTCATTCCACCAGAGTAGAGACTTGGCTAATCCTGAGCCAAAGTCCGTTCACAACACAATGCATGAAGAGGGGGCCACATGTCAAGAATGAAGTACGTGGGCACGGTTTCGGGAAAGAAAAGGTATATGTATGCATTGCCCTTGCACCGCACTCGGCCCTTGTGGGTAAAATTCGGGGAACAGAAAAAGAATCTTGGCTTTGAATGCTCGCTATACAGAACATTTAGCACGGCCAACATGTGAACTGTCGTTGCTAGTCATTGACCACCCTGATCTTGGCGCAAAGGATTCAAAGGCTTCCACCCACGACAGCAAGAACCGTCGTCTCAAGTACACGCGAAGTTGCCTCAACCATGGAAACACCTTCAGCATCCACCACCTAGCCTGCCAATTCCGGCATCCGTTCGTCGCCTTGATCAACCCATCACACTATTCCCTCCTCAGTACGCCGCGCTCTGCCGGTAAAAGTCTTGTGGCGCACTGGGCTCTCCAAGTCCGCCCGGTGGGCCGACACCTGCTGCAGAAGGAGCACCTCCGCCAGGCACATAGGCTCTGTAACTTGGCTGGCTTGGCTGAGACGGCCTACCAGCGGCTTGACTTGGCAGACTCTGTCGAGCGTCAAAGGCAGGTCCGCTGGGTTGAAGCGGTGGGGGACTCATCACAGCCTGAGGAATCGGTGGCGCAGGACCGGTGGGCTGAGGCGGTGGGTGACTGGGTGCGTTGTCATAGGGACCTTGCTGTGCATTAGGGTTGAAGGCAGCGTACTGGGGTTGCGTTGGTGGCGCCGACGGCTGTTGAGGTACGTATCCAGACGGAGCTGATGCCCCTTGCGGAGGCTGAGGCGGGCCATAGGAGGGCGCTTGTTTGTTCGGTCCTCCGGGGCTTGGGAGATGAGTCTCGTCCTGGGAGTAGGTTGGGTATTCGTCTTGAGGACTGCCAGGGTGGTGTGCAGCCACTGGGGAATCGTACACAGAAGTAGCTAGCTCCTGTGGGTTGCCACCGTACTGGCTCTGAGGTCGTTGTCCAGCTTGGGGAGGTGCATAAGCGTGGTAGCTTTGCTGAGGCGGCGGCGACATTGCTGTCTGGATCGGGGCGGGGGCGTTGGCGGTGTTTGCCATTCTTGATGGTTGTTGTTCTCGGTGAGGGTACTGCTGTTGATGCTGTTGCTGTGGAGGTGCCGAGGCGCCTGGAGGCGGCACTTCTGCGCCGTGGAGATAGAAAGGCGCAGGAGCGGGTGTTTGACGTTGAAAGTTGTTAGGAGGTGGTGACGTAGCCTGATACTGTTCTAAATATTCCTGTAAGCTCATTTACGCATGCGGGGGTGTTCATGTATTCTTACCTTGAGGAGGGCCTTGGGGTCCTGGCGTGTAGTATCTCTGTGGCTCCTGTTGCCCAGGTAGTGGCCCCTGAGGTACATATCCGGGCCCAGGACCTCCTGGCCCAGCAGGAGCACCTGGAATATGGTAGCCTTGGGGTATCCCCTGGGGCATGCCCGGCGGAACACCTTGTGGCATGTGTGGCTGTGGCGCATAGCCATGGTGGTAGCTGTGCTGGGGAGGGTGCGACATTGACTGCTCAAGAAGTGATTCGTAGTCTCGCCGGGCCTTGATGAACTTCTCGTTGAGCTGGGTGAAATCGTCCTTCTTCTGCGAGTACTTTTCGATAAGCTTGATCAGCTTTGGCCGAATGGACAAAGTCTGGTGATAGAGTTTCTGTGGATTTGTCATTAGTTTGGTTTTTGAACAGGCAGTTGCTGTCGAATGCCAGTGACATACCGAGATCTCCCCATCGTCCTCTTCTCGTGGTGCTGTATTGGATGTGCTGAGCAGAGTCAAGAGTTTCTCCACGTTCTTGATCTCCGCAAACACCTCAGCTTCCATCTGTGCCTCGCGCTGGAGTTCGTCGGGTGTAGGATCTGTAAGCTTCTCGACGTAATTCAATGGAAAAATGCCCGTCTTGCCCTTGAGCGAGCCACGCCACCAGTCCTTGTATACGGACTCGAGAACCGCAATCACGTCGCCCCGCTTGAACTCGAGCTCGCCTGGTTCTGTAGGCACAAAGTCGTACAGCGCGCGCACACGCGACACCGTTGCAGCCGTAGTGCCGGTAGGATGAGCCGCTACTGGCTCAGCAGCTGTAGAAGGGCCAGCACTGGAGGAGCTTGGCCCCGCAGCATTCGACACAGACTTCTTACGCTCCTCTTCCTGCAAGGACAGCTTCAGCGCCATCTGCAACTCGTCCTCCTCCTTTTGCCGATCCAGGTCGGTAAGGCCAGTTTTCTGAGGCGCCGACGGCGGGTGTAGTGTAGGGTTCGACTGCTTGAGGCGGAAGTATGCATCGTACATGATCCCGAGGTCTGCGTCTTGGCTGAACATATCAGACCACTCCTTCATGCGCTCAAGGATCTTTGACTTGACCTGTTGGTGAGAGTTGCGGTCGTTGGCAAGTTTCAGGAGCGAGTCGGTGAAGGCGCGGCTGGCCAGCTCGCGATGGATGGGCTTGCCGCAGTTTTGCGACAGCGCATTAGCAAGCTGCCACGATGTCAGCATCTCCTGGAAGCATGCGCAAGTGCGCGATCGCAGCAAGGGAGCAAGCACCGCGAGCGAGAGCGATGATCAAGGAGGCTTACCTCCAGTGTGTAGAGTTGTACATTGGCGTTACGATGCGCCAAGCGCTTGATTATGCTCGAGATTGCCTCTTTGGGTCCGTTGGGATCGCTCGTCACTTTGTCGCACACCTCGATGATGGCACCCCAGTCCTCGGAAGTGAGGTTCTCGTTTGTGGCCTTGGCTGCAAGAGAATAGATGTCAGCGCCCAAGATCTCCAAGACACTGAAGGTGCAGTATTATGTCCTCGCTCTTCAAAGAAGCGAAGATGGTGGGATCGGCCGAGGAAACCAGTACGTACCGATGACATCGTCATACGCAGACGTTGCCGCAGGGCGAAACATTGTGGGCAGACAGACGTCGGGACGACCGCGAACACGGCAGATTGGTTGATAGCCTTGTTTTCCTGGCGGCCGCGCAAACAAAATGCAAGAGCGCAGGCTCTAGCGGCAGGTGTCGCGCTCTTGAAGTGCGCGGTGGTCAAGAGCTCTTCGCGAAGCTTCGAACCCCTCGGCTGATGAGCACAAGGTCGACAGACAGGTCTGGGAACGTTGCCGTGTCGGGTGCAGTGACAGGTTGGGGTGAAATATGCGTCGTCTTTGTTTCGACCTCCAAGGAGATGCCGTGATCTTTGTTGCGCCGAACTTGGGACGAGCAGGAACAGGTTGTCGGAGCAGAAGCCTGCGGAGGTGAGGCAGGCAGTGGTGGAGGTTGCTGTCTGGAGGTGTGCTACGTAATGCATGGGTTGATGGGGATGGCGGCTTGCTTCGAAGCGGCGCGGGCACCCACAAGCAAGCTGCAAGCCCCACCTGCGTGCCTGCTTGCCTGCCTGCCTGCCTGCCTGCCTGCCCTCTGTAGGTGCCCTGCCATGCCGGGTCTCTGCTCCGCCTAGCTGCGATATGCTGCAGCCTGCCAGTCCAGGAATAGTGCTCTCCCCACAACTGCTCCTCGCTCAGCCACCATCGGCCACGAGAAGCGCGCGGCGCAGTCGGGCCCAACTTCCAAGGGGGTTTGGGAAGCCTGACGACTTTCTCGTGAGCAGCTCGCCTTCACTAGGCAGCACATGACATTTCTCTTTGCGGAAATCTTATCGTTGAATTAATAGGGATTTCTTCAAATACTCGCAGTCATTCTGTGTTTGGAAACCCTGAGACAGTCTAGGTATTGCCTTTCAAACTGGTGTTCTATATCATGGCTGGCGTGACTCGTGACAGCATCAAGCATCCCACCATTCTATCCTACTGCCAGCGCCGTTGTCTATGAGCCGCCTCATACCCACCAGGCCCGCCTCTATCACCAACTGAGCCTGATCCAGTGTTGCCTCCGCCGCGGCCCTCCTCTATACTGCGCCGCGACTGGTCTCTGTTGATCTCAGACATGTCAAACAAGAGCGGTTCTTCCTCCGGCTCATCTCCAGCGGGCCCTCCTCCAAGAGGACCTAAGCCGCTTGTTGGCCGCGCGCGTGTGTATCCCCTCCCGTACCGGCCCGTACTGGATCCCGCCAGGCTGCCACTGCCTGAATGTGGCGGCGTGGCGCCTCTTCCTGCACTACTGCCGTAACGCCGACCATATGGGGAGCTCGAATACCCAGCATATAGACCCCCTGGTGGCCGCGTTTCGCGTTCTTCCGATGCTGATCCCGAGCCGGGCACGCTTGGTGATTCTGTGGTGGTGATATCTGCAGGTGGCTGCAGGACAGGCGAGGCATCCCCGTCGTCAACACCCGACGCCATGTTCCGTCCTAGCAGGGCGCTAAGGCTTGGGGGCTCCCGGTCGTCAGCACCAAGACTGATGCTTCGCTGATCTTCATCATCAGCCAGCACGCGATGCTTCTGCGCGGCAGAGCTTGATCTCCGCACGTGGGTGTAAGGACGAGGTGAGATCGGAATGTCAATAGCTGTAGTGCCCGCTGCACTGGTTGGAGCTCTTCCAACAGCCGTGATGGTAGTCTCCCGAACAGTCGGCTCGTGGTCGATGCTCGAATTTTCACTTAGCCTGGAGGGCACCGCTGGCGTGTGTGGCGTGTGTGGTGACAACGGTTTGCCAGGCGATGATGATGTCGACATACCAGGAATGTTGGCGATATGCCTACTTGATGTGCTCGATGGCGCTTGCAATTGTGTGGACGAGTTGAGTGAGTCGGTCAGCGCATTGTTGGACTCCCGCATGAGCTGGAACTTATTGAGTTGTGCTCGTGTCCTGCTCGTGGCCGATTCGCCTTTCTTGGATGGCTCGAAACTCTGTAGAGTCTTCTTGCTATCCAATACCTTCAGGAACTCCTGAATGTTATCATCATCTGTTTGGAATGAACCAGAGCTGCCACCGCCTCCAGCTTCATTCAATAGCCCAGAGCCAGGTTGGGCGAGAGATGAGGCCAGGCTCTGCTTTCCGCTGCTGTTCTGGTCGTCATCACCAACCCTGCTTGTGCCACCAAAGGACGTACGACTGCGCCGGTGACTGAAACTACTGCTGAACCTATTGGTCACGCTCGGCCTTGGCGAACCAGCCACGAAACTGTCCGTGGCAGGCTGAGGTGGCCCTCCTCGGAGTGATGCTGGCATCCCAGCCGTCAGAGACGATCGGTTCCGTGTATGGGTCAGAGTGTTCGGCCCAGAAAGACGGCTGAGCGAGCTCGGGGAGAATGGCGCCTCATCTCCATGTAGTCTCCGCCCAGGCGATCCTGAGAGAGAGCCATGCTTGAAGGGTGACGATTGGAATGAAACCGATGGTCGTCTCCCGTGGCTGTCACTCGTACCTGTGCGGACTGACGGCCGCCGCGCGGGCCCAGTGATAGGGAGAGAATGTGGAGGTGGCTCAATGCTCTCTGGACGCGACCCCGGAGGAGAGCTTGTGTCTGACTCGGGTGCTTTGACAGCTCTCAGTGCAGATATCGGACTGGTTCCCAAGGGACCTTCGCCATGGAATGTTGACAAGCTGCCGTAACGCTGCTGGTTGTCTGTGATGTTCCCAGTCTGTCGACTGTAGGGCAAGGAACCAACTTCCAAGGCGCGCCGGTTCGCCTTGGCATATTCGGTTTGTGTTCGGTGAGGCAACGAGGGCTTGAACATGTCGTCAGAAATCGCTATACCGATGCGAGAGCTGAGCAACGACTCCGTCTCGACAACTTGAAAGTTGCAATTGTTGCGGTAGGAGACAGAGACGTAAAAGCGTCCCACTGGAACCTCCAGTTGGCCAAACATGTAGTCTGTAGCTACATCTGCGGGACCATCGAACAGGGGCGACCGCAAGGCATCAAGGCCACTTCCAAGAGAGTCGCTGGCTCTAATACGGCAGCGCACTTGGCTAGCAGGATGAATACCCTGGGTCTTCGATTTTCGTGCTAGTTTCCACGCCGGAAGGATACCGGTGGTAGTGAATATTGACCGGCACAACACAATGGCCTTTTTGTAGATAGTGGGGAGCTGGGCTCCAAAGTCGTCCAGGTCATCTGGTATCGTGCCCTTCAATTCGACTTTCCAGCGCTCAAGGATGACATGTGGGTTCGGTTTTGACGGCCAGCCGGAGCTGCTATCACTAGAGGCGTCCGATGCAGTGAGAGCTTCCACGACGTCCCACCGCTTCCCGTTGTCATCGAGAATCACCAGACTTTGACCACTTTTCAGCCGTGAGGTATCCAAGTATGTCTCAATGATGAGAGGCGGAGGGCGGTTGTCGAGCCCACCACATTGTTTCCAAGTCCGGAACTCGTCCTTGAAATCATCGATATCGTCCGTGTCAAGTTGGAACTGTGGAACCATTGTTAGATGTGACGTCAAAATTGAGCACCGCGTTTTAGATGCATTTAGCGAGCAATATCATGACGTACCCATCTGCTTGTTTTCTTCTCGAGTGTCCGCCCTACCAAGGTTGGGGTAACTCGCATGCGCTCTTGCAGAATTATAGTTCCAGCCTTTGAGTAGACATTCTGTTTTGCCTCGTGTCAGCTGGCACATTTCAAGTTGCCCGTCTCGTCGTTGATTATCAAGGGTGGTGTACCTGTATAATTTGGTCAAGCTTCTTGACTGAGTCCTTGGTTGGCCCTCCAAACGGCCGTTCTGAGGAGGGCCTGGACATGCCTGCTGCATGATCCGAGGCGGACTCGGCTTCTGATGTCGGCCGTGGGGAACTCGGTGCGGGACTCGTTGGATCTCTGGGGTTGTTCGTTCGAGCAGGGTTCGTTTGAGGCGAAGATGCGGGAGAGAAGGGGCGCGGGGCAGAGCGAGGTGTCTGGTGCATCATGCAGATGTCATGGCCACCAAGGGCCTCTGGTCATAAGTGACTGTCGTGGGGATGCAATGGTCGCTCGGCAGTCTCGAGCCGGCTGGAAACGAAGGGAATTTGGCGGTTCCACAGTTCGACGACAGGACTGATGGCGCCTCGTGGGCTTCGCGATGCAGTCTTGCCTTGTGGTTTTCGAAGAGTCGTGATGTTGTGATTATTGCCCTGAGTCACACAGGGTGCTGGGGTCCATTGTTCAATCAGAAGCTCCAGTCTCGGTTGTTGCAGCCTGTAGCGAGCGAGGGGTACTGCGCGACACAGTGGATGGAAGATTGCTCAGTCGGGCGACGGCAGCCTTGACGGGTTGCCTCGACTAGGCAGACAGACAGGCGGAACGCGGGCGCCGGGGGCGGGAGATGCGAACTACGAAAGGCTGAGCCGGAAGGATACACGCGGGCGGCAGCAGGGTGGTGAGCTGTAAGCTCCAACGTTGGATGCTGGGGATCGGAGCGCTTGCGAAAGATGCTGAAGCGATAGAAGCAGGCGTGGTGCATTCGACGGCGATGATGATGATGGTGTTGATGGTGATGGCAACCGATGTTGACAAGGGGATGCAGCCGGAAACGCTGGACGTACAAGAAGACGCGGAGGTGCATCAGAGCCCGTCGACTCGATGTTGGGATCGATAGGGTGGACGGCGGCCTCGGCGAGGGCGGGTGAGGCCGAGTCACGTCAGTGGATGACGGCGGCTCAGGGCAGGGACAGGGAGCTCCGTGCTTCGCCAGGCCATGTGCTCGCGGAGTAGCCCCGTCTCACGTCCAGGGCAGGGCTAGTCTGGGGGTGGGCGATAAGCCAAAAGCCCTGCACCACCAGTGCTTGGGGCGTGCTTTTGCGGGCGGGCCGCCGTCCTGGTCAGATGGGGCCGGCCTCGTGACGTGCTAAGAGCCCAGCAACTGCTCATCTGCCACCATAATCACCGCCTGCCGTCACCATCTACGATTCACAAGAAGCAGCCCCAAGGCTGGCAGGGTGAATCACCTGCGCGTCCCAGATGCCGCCCGCAACGCACTCACTCTGGACTCAATTCAGCTCTGCTAAATACACCCATATCGCCACCTTCTCTCCAGTCCGGCTCACCTGGCGATGATCCATGATAAGAACCACAACTCCCGTCTCCGCTTGCCCCTCCAGTGCCACAGAAGGTCAATTGTCACCACCCTCTTCCAAGGGCGATAAGAGAGCCCCCTCCTCCTCATTACTGCCTGCCGGCCACTCGCATCGGCAACGGAAATGCTGATAAGAGCTTGCTACTTTGCAAAATGCATGCCATGAATAATACCTTCTTTGTAGCACATCGCACAGCGTCGTTACACAGTTGTTCTCCAATGCAGTTGGTTCCAAGGCGCTGTCCACTGTGAGCCAGGTGCTTAATGACGCGCATTGTCGCCATGCGCCGGTCTCGGAGCTTCTTTGGGCTAGGCCTACCCATAGTGCCAGCCAACTCGAGCACCTTGCGAAACGCCACGGGAATTTGGAAATGTCCTTCTTATTCTAGATCAACAGAGCCAGAGATGTGCTTAGGGCCAGACCTCTTTGAACATCTGATCGTGATCACCTTAGCGTCCACGGCAGCATTGTGCTAAGCACGCCAACCGCCGCTAAGCCAGTCAACTACTGGTAGCTCTCGCTCAGCAGATGTGGCTTCCGCTCGTTCAGGTCCAGCAACATCTCCCCAAACAGCCCGTTGGCCCACGAAAACCACTGCCGCGTCCAGTCGCTCACGTTGAAGGTGTTGATGGATTCGTGAACGAGGCCCAAGCCATCCGTCGTCGAGACGATACTCCTGAGTCCAAGACGAATCTCCTCGTCATCGTCAGAGGTCAGTAGAGAGGTGATGACCGACATGGGCCAAGCCTGGCCAGGTCCCTGGTGAGGTCCGCCGATTCTACATGCCGCAGCCCGTCAGTTTGTTGGTGCTTTGAGCGACGTTACACCAAAAGATTTGGGGGAAAGGGGGAAGTGATTATACTCACCCAGAGAACGCCGGCCCCCAATTGTAGTAAGGGTTCATCTTCGAGAGGACAAACTTGCGAGTGTTTTGATACGTCTCGTCTGCTACATCGACATAGCCCAGCAGCGGCGCACTCAGCAGACTCGGCACGTTGGCATCGTCCATCATGTTTCTCGACCCGTAGCCGTCGACCTCAAAGGCATAAATCTCGCCAAATTCGTCGTGGCTGACCTTGGCATACTTGTCGATGCCAGCCCTCACTCCGCTGGCCATCTCGCGCATCTCGCCCGCGAGTGGTGAGGCGCAGCTCGCCGCGATGGCGGCACACTTGTCCAAGTAGCTCGAGAACTGCATGTTTGAAGGGATAAGTAGCTGGTAGATGGCAGAGTCGTCTGAAGGGCGGAACGCGCTGCGGACAAGGCCCGTCCCGCTCCTGATCGGTGCGCTGGTCCCATCGTTCGATAGGGTTTCTGAAGCACTCGTGGTTTCACGCTGAAAGGTGTACGGCAGCTCGACCAGAGATCCGTCTTCATTGTATGAGCCGACGAGGAGCGAATTGGTTACGTTGAGAATCTTCTCGACGGTGGCGAGCCACTGGTACTTGCCAAAGAACGCTGCATCTTTTGTCTTGTCGTAGTAGTCGAAGGACAACTGCAAGAATGCCGCGAGGGAGTCGAGCTCGTACTTGCACTCGAATACAAAGTTGCGGTCATATGCCGGCTTGACCGTGTCCTTGTCGACCCAGTCGTTGAACTCTGGCGGCAGGCCGGATTCGATTGGAGCCTGGAACGCGTTGCAGAATGGACTCGTCCGGATATATCGGCCTTGCAGATTAATGGCCCCGCGGTATAGGGATGCGAGCGAATCGTGCGAGTCGTTGGCCACCAGTAAGGACTTGTAGCTCCGAAGCTGGTTCGCAGAGTCTCGTAGCCAGCTGGCGACAATGTCGCCCGTCGTGATAAATGTGAGCTACGCACAGAAATCAGCATTCACACTGCGAAACCAGGTGATTCATCTCTCGACTCACCTCTTCATCTGATCCAGCAGCGTAGCCGTGCCAGGAAATTGTGGTGTCGAGGGTATTCGGGAAGGCGTTCTCGAACAGCCGAAACAAGTCGGGATCCGCAATCGTCGTCTTCATGTCCACGATCGCCTGCTCGACTTCTGGTAGCACGAACTTGCGGCACTCTGGGGGAGGTCGCTGGTACGACAGCTGATACCTGCCCGAGGAGAAGGGCTCGTGACGTTCCTTGGAGTAGTCGATGTACTCGGGACACGACTGCGCTCCAGCCAGGGCGCAAAGTCCCAGGGACTGGAGCATAAGAAGTGCCGTCTTGGGCATCATGTCCGGTGGTCTCAAGTCAACACTCGTGCTGGAACAAGCACATGGAGCGTGAAGGGCGAAACGGCGACCATCGCGGAGGTCCCCCCCATTGCTTATATACTACTGCGCCTTCTTCATTGCCCTGCAGGTCATATGCCGATCACCATCAGTCACATACTACGCAAAAAAAGGAATCACTGCACGCTGATCTGCACCTATCCGAATGGGTGTCGGCAAACTCTCACCTGACGACAGTCATCCTCCATCGTACGTTGGAGCGATGAAGTAATGGCTCCGCAGAGGAGCCGAGCAGAGGCTTAGCAGGGTATTGAGAGTACTACGTACAGTAGCATGCGGGGAAGACCACATCAGTTTTGGGCAGGAGATCATTGAGGTCCCATGCATTCAAGGAGCAGAGAGAAAATAACCCGTCGGCTCTGCCGCTGCAGATCTGTTGCGGATCACGAGAAGGGCAAGGTCTTTTTTCCCTCCCCCACACTTGCTCCCCCTGTTTCCCCAGCCTGGTGCGCTGCAGGGTGAAGTCATTTGGGCAGTGGGGTGTTTCCAAGTTCCTAGCTTGGAATGTTTAGAGATTGTTACGGCAAGTTACAGTGGCGATCGCCTAGTTCTTTCTCCGGGCTTCCTTTGCAGAATCAGGCCTTTGTGGAGGTCGCAGCAGGAGTCATGACCACTGACCTGGCCTCCAAGTGATCGTCGCCTGGTTTTCCCCGCATTCGACAGGGATCGCGTTGGTAATGGGGAGGTGAGGGGGGTCTGTACGGTGAGGAATCTCTGCATCCCGCCCCGAAGTTGTGATGGGGTCAGTCATCGCACTTCTGTCGTTGTTGAGAGCGGAGCAGCTCATGCCTTGTACTTGACATATGCCATGTTCTACTCCCAAACCTCTTGAAGTTCGAGCTACAGACATCGGTGTGGTGGTGGATACTATGCTTACAGCCTCGGGGTCGGGTGTTCCTTGCGTGGCGGCAAAGTCAAATTGTAACCTTGTGCCAGCACGCTGTCTACAGAGTGGGAACGAAAAAAAGGTCCGAAAAACTCCGGCCTGCAAGCTGTCAGTGGGCGCAAGCCTATGGCCAGAACAAAAAAAGCCGAAAGGTGGACTTGACCACTATTATCAGTCGCTGACCTAGTGTTGGTATAATGATGGGGCTTGAATTACAGCCTCAACCTAAGCCGAGATGAAGATAGAAGGGTTAAGTCCTGACCGTAAGATCATTATAGGACTGCCTAATTCCAATCTCTCGTCGGTCAGAGCGGACAAGCTCATACTGTGGAATCAAGATAGACCGTGTCATATTGGGTCAGGGTAGATTCGTTAAGACAGGGTCTTGTGCGGGAAGCAGTATTTCATGAGTTAATTCTCATTGCAATGTTCTACCACAGCAGTCAGTCAGATACACCGCTCAAATGAGCCAGTCCTCACCATACCTCGGATCCTCGCAATTTGACGTGTGCGTCCGACAGACAGTGCACCAAATCAGATAAACCCCAAATGTTGCAACAACGCTGCCTTGCGCTGTCGTAACTAGCCGCCCTGACCAAAACCCAGACTGGTAGCTCATGAGCTCAGGATATAGAGCTTGTCAAGAAGCATTATCCACAATCGGAAATCACCGAATCATCATCAAGCATTGATGGTCTAACGGTTAGGATTCAACCCTTCCATCTTCATCTCGAGGCAGGTTGAGGCCGGGGTTCGACTCCCCGTCAATGCATCAACGTACTGGGTTGACCACTGATCACAGTGGTCAAGTTCAATCTTTTTTGGCTTATTCCTGGCAGCTGGTTACGGTGTGTGGATATTTTGCAGTTCGTTTTTATGTTTTTTTTTCTTTCTTCTTCTTTGTTTCTTGTGGGGCAGTTGGGAGGGGGGGGGAGCGCTCTTTCTGTGATGTATCTCACGGCACGACAAGGGGCACTTTGTTCTTGCGCATGCGAAGAACATCCCTAGGGCAAGCAGTGAGCTGCCATAATGGACGAAACCTCCCAAAACTGCATCAAATCTACACACGAGAACTACATGCGAGACTCGTGTTGGATTCTAGGAATACTGCAATTCTCTACAACACGGTGAGAGGTCACGTCCCCGTCAGGACTTGTAGAATGTGCGAGAATCTCGGCCGCAAGCGACTCATTGATCTATTCCAATCAAGAGCTCATCCATCCACGCGCATCTATAAGCTCTACATTGCTCTCACGGTCCTGGCTGCGTCGTCTTATCAGCATGAGATGAGAGGTCTCTCTTCTCTAACCAACTGACCAAACATCTCCCCGTCCTGTACCATGTTGAAAACCCAGCTGTTTACAGGCTCGCTACCTGCAGTCACATCCGCATCCCGCCCAGTCGACGGCTTCTGCAACTATAACTTGCTGCTCCCCGCCTTGGCGAGCTTGAGCTTCTTGGTGAGCGTCTCCTCGGCCTCGCGCTCGATGCGCTGCAGCAGGTCGTGACACGTGGGGATGTCGTGGATCAGGCCGATGACCTGGCCCGCAGTCCAGACCTGTTTACGTCAAAGGCATGTCAGTCAGTGACGGGCGAACAGAGAGCGCCTTCCGAAGCGAAGAGTCGCAATTGGCATGTGCACCAAAACTGTGCAAAACAGAACAGAACCAAGAAAAACAAAAACACTTACGCCGAACTCTGGGTCACCATTGATAAACACCTCCTTGCCGCGCTTGCCGCTGACGAAGGGCGCCATTTCGGCAAACTCGCCCGTCTTGCTCTCGCGCTCGACCTTGAGGGCCGCCTCGGTGACCTTGTTCTTGTAGAGGCGAGTGGTGTTGGTCCAGCGGCGCATGACGATGGACGTGTCCGTCTCGTCGGCCTTGACAATGGTCTCCTTGATGTTGTGGTGGATGGGGGCCTCGACGGTGCACATGAAGCGGGTGCCCATGTTGATGCCCTCGGCGCCGAGGCACAGGGCGGCCGCGAGCCCCTGGCCGTCGGCGAAGCCGCCCGACGCAATAAAGGGCACCTTGAGTGTCTGCCGGGCCTTGCTGAGGAGGATGAAGTTTGTAATGTCGGACTCGCCGACGTGGCCGGCGCACTCGAAGCCGTCGATGGAGAGGAAGTCGACGCCGAGCTTGATGGCGGACTGGGCGTGGCGGATCGTGGTGCACTTGTGCAGGACAATGATGCCGGCCTTCTTGAGCAGCTTGATGACGGGGCCGGGGCTGTTGCCGGCCGTCTCGACGACCTTGATGCCCTCGTCAATGACGACCTGCGCGTAGGCGGCGTAGTCGGGCGGCACGAGGGCCGGGAGGAGCGTGATGTTGACGCCAAACGGGTACTTTGTGAGGGTGCGGCACCTCCGGATCTCGTCGCGCAGCTTCTCGGGCGTGGGCTGCGTCAGGGCCGTGAGGATGCCCAGGCCGCCGCCGTTGGACACGGCCGAGGCCATCTCAGCCGTGCCGACATGCTGCATACCACCCTGGACCACGGGGATCCGGATGCCCAGCTTGCGGGTGAGCTCTGTGTCGAACGGCATTGTGCAGACGGGGTTGGTGTGTGTTGGTGTTGGTGTTTTTGTGCGTGGTGGAATGAGTAGGTCAAAGTGAGGGCAGTCGGTGGACAGGAGGAGCCAGCGAAACGCGCTTATGTTGGCCTGCCACGGCCCCGGATCTGTCGTGGGGCCGAGATCACAGGTGCCGAGGTTGAGCTCAAGTGGGTCGGTCCACTCCGCCATACCCGGCGACGTCGAACCCCGGCGTGGCCATTGCCTCTCTGGCAGCCGTTGTCCGTCTGCCACCTTTACTATATGAACTGTCTCTCAAGTGGACCTGCCGTGATGGACTTGAGCGCCACAGAGCGGCGCCTGTCGTGCGTGCTATGTTCCTGTGTGTCTGGCCATAGACAACGTGGTCTTAAGGGACTGTCTCTCTGTCCTCGCGGCACTCTCAAAGTATTCCATCCATCCCCATTGACTTTTACTCCAAGAATGACCGCCATCTGCCGTGCCGAAATCCTTGACGTGAGTCTATCTCTCCCAGAAACTCGCAGCCATGCTCAGCACCACGGCCACGCTGGAAACATCAATGGCAGCTGAGGGCTGGGTCTTTAGCGCGCGCGGTGAACCCCAGATTCCGTCCCCGCAATTTGCATTGTGCGGCCATATTCCGTGGCCCCCACAGCATCCCTGGATCCATAATGTGTCCTGTCGCGCCATCCCAGATAATCCGACGGCATAAGATCACTAGGGGCACTCGTTCCGGCCTGTCGTTTGCGATTAGTATCCTGACAGTCAACGTCTCACATGCTCGAAAAAGCCCTGGGACCTCTCTCACCTCAGCCCAGATATGGCCTTGGGTTGTCCACTACAGACGACGGGTACAGAGCCACCGCCTTCTGGGCACTCGAGGTGACTATTCTGGGCGATTCTAAGCTCCGTGGGCCCAACGGCCGATCGGGTTCCCGTTCATGCGTCATCTTTTATGCTTGATGCGCACCAGCCACCGAGAATGAGCAGTCATGAATCTCGCGAAGAGGCGGCCACACATGGAGTGTGAGCACCCGGACATTCAGCCCATCGATTAGAGGTACGATTGACTTACTCCTTCTGCTTGTTGCGGCATTTGCGACATCTTACTGTCAAGGATCGCTGCTCGGGCAAGGGCTGCAGTACTTTTTGTGCCGTTAAGGCCTGCATCATACAGGCTTCCTCGAAACTTCTCCCGCAGCCGTGCGCGCCTGGTCCCCAGAGATTCCTGTCTGCTACTCGCATGGGAGAACAGACCTCGCTGCTATCATCCCGGGGCAGGCTATGCGAGGTGCATCATGTACCCCAGATCGGCAGGCGCTTGATCAACACCCCGCGTCGAAGACAGCTGTCACTTCTTGTCGTGTTGTGTTGCGTGGTGTTGTGTAAGTGGATTGCATGGCAGGCAACCGGGGTGAGGGCAGTTTCGAGTGGCCACTTGCCACGTCTTGAGGAAGGGGGAAAGAATATAGTCGAGTCAGCATTTGCCATCGAGACGCAAACGCTGTCGCTGACGAAGATGCCGGATGGCTTGCCAGCACAACAGGCGCTTCGTTATGCAGAACCTACGGGACCGACGACATCCACGGACCGCCGGGCGGAAACCCCCAATCCAAACATACTGCCACGTCACCCACTGTCTGGAGGAGGGTTGACGATGGCCGTTGGTGGGAGGCTCTGCGCCGGACACGTTGCGTGGCACACTGGCGAGAGACATGGCGTGGGGAGCCATCGCGAGACGAGATGGGCAGATGTGATAAGCAGCGGAGTGGGTGGGGGGTTGCCGCCGCGGCGATTCGTAGGGGTCGAGAAGGATTGAAGAACGGGCAAGCTTGCACATCCGAGCGTGCATCATGATGCACCAGGGGGGGTGACCCTGCCTGCAGAAAGGAAACCGGTCTGGCGGCAGGGCCCTGCAAGCGGCATAGCGCGACGCAAGGCTTGCCAGATGGCGGAGAAAAAGCAAGCTGTTGAAGCGAGTGAGGCCCAGGCAAAGAGGGCGGGTGCTGCCCAAATCTCGGTGCAGTGCAGTGCAGTGCTGTGCTGCGTGGTGATGTGCTGTCCGCGGGCAGTGGCATGCAAGTGGTGAGATGATGCAGCCCAGGGACCGGTCGGTGCCGCGGCAGGACGTCATGGTTGGGCCTGGCCCGTCGAGGCAGGCGCGGGATGGACACGCGTAAGTAGGCGAGGTCAGTCAACGGGCTCGCCTTACGAACGCAACATCGTGGACACGCCTCAGCCAGACACCCGCCCACCCTCCTTCTGCTCTCGCTCACGTCCAAGTCCAGCAGGTCCTGTCCCGCTCCACGATGCCATGGAGACGACCCGCTCGTGTCCTCGACTCGGATCACAACCCTGTCCCCGGGGTGGCCCAGGTGTACCCGCCGCCCCGGCCTGCACCACCAGGCCAGCCCAGGCCACGCCAGGCAGGGCACCACAGCTGACGCCCACCGGTCCCAGTTCCATTTGTCCCCTGCTCCCGTCCCGCCAGGGTCCGATCCAGACGTTGGACTCTCGAGCCTACCATCTTTTCCGTCGCCATGATGCAAAGACACGCCCATTTCCCACCCGCCGTCTCGTGACCTCGTCCACCCCGGGGACGGCTCCTGGGGCCGTTTCCCAATGCACCCGCCCGTCCCCAGAACCACTATATTGCCTCCCCGTCCGCCATCCCGTCTCCCGGGCCTCCGTGCTTCAGACGATCGTCACTTGTCATCACACTGCTCCGGCTACCGGCCTTCCCGTCGTGTCACTTCTACTGCCAGTCCATATATATCTAGCCGTCGCCCTTCTCTCCTCCCCCATATTGTCAACATACCCGTCTCGCTCTCTCCTTCTTCTACCCTCGGCCAAACTTCCTTGAGCGACAGTCGAAGCGCATCAAGTCCAACAGACGCAGCCAATACCACACCCGGTTCTTCCAAGCGTGCCAGGATATCCCAATATGCCTTCCGTGGCAAAGCACACTCACACCGAAGCGAGCTTCACAACTCCATGGCAAGATCGCCTTGAAGGTAATGACCACAGAGCCTTTGTCAACATCCCATTGGCAGCTTGCTGACCCATTGTCCCCAGGCGTATGCCGCGAGTATCAGATCCAGTCACCAATTTTTCAGATTGTGTCCGATCGCCGAGGTAAGACAAAGCTGGGTTACAACAACAACAAAGCCTACTTCCCATGCCATTCAGCTAACTCATACCCCATAAAGGAGGGCGAACGGCGTGGTCCAGCACAGTCACTGTCTACGGCAAACAAATCCCGGCTCGGTTCTGGTACGACGGCAAGAACCTGAACAACGCCAAGGAGGACGCCGCCGAGGCTGCACTCAATTGGATGACAAACAAGTCCATCATCGCGACGGGTTGGTGATGGGTCCGCAGCCCGGATGATCAAGCGAGTGTTCTCGAAGCGGTGAGGCCACGGGGTTGTGGTCCGGGTTCCTGGGTCGGACCGCCCATGACGACAGGGGCCTGTCGCGCCCTGTGCGCGGCCGGAACTTGCTTCCGCTTGCCTAGCGTGCGGTGCAAACATTAAATGACCCCTTTTCCCTGGTCGGTGGAGGACTTTCTGATGGGGCATGATGCAATCCGCACTGCCAGACACATTCGGACGTCCGTCCAGAAAACATCGACTTGGTGGAGGCGTGTGCTCCCACAAAGGGGCCCATCACAGGGAGACGCCGAAACTGAACAGGAGCCAAGAAATCGTGTGTTTGGGTTGCGGGGAACTGTACAACAATCTTTGGGCGGTTGGCATGGTGTTTTGGTGCACAACGGGCGATGCTGTTTTCATTTCTGTTCTCTTTTGCTAATGCTTGATTTTCTTTTCTGTATGGGTGGTGCAGCATTTTCTTTTACGTTGTTGGACAATGCAAATGAGCCATCAATAGACTGGTCGATCCACGAGACGGCACTTGCACCGATTGTCAACCTTTGACAGGTCTTACATGACGCATACCTCAGGGGATGTGATACTTACCCCATCCACTTCTAGTGAAGCTTTGCGGCCCGGGGAAAGCGGAAGCGAAGGGTGACTCGACGGCACTCGAAACTCTGAAACCCAACAAGCAACTAGTACGACTAACGACCCGCGAGTCAGTGCTGGCCGGCGTCAACTCCTGCACAATCAAGGGACACCGGCATCTGCCCATTCCTGCTTGGGTATGTCTGGGTCCCGAGAGCGTGGGACACCAACCCATGCAGTTGGGAACACTAACCCAGACGTGCGGTGAACCCCTGATCCCTGCATCCAGCGACTAGGCCAACCCTACCCGCCCGCGGGTGCCAAAGGGAAAACTCTCGAAGCCCAAGAATTGGTCAGGGGGGTGACGGGGGGGAAAGGCCAGTGGGGGGTGGAACAGGTTCGAGAGGATGCTCGCGGATGGTCCCGGATGGGGAAGGAGGGGGGTTTTTGGGACGAGGGCCTTTCTAAGACCAGCAACAAGGGGTCTGTGGCATTGACGATGATAACACATGATCTGTGAGCCGGAAATGCAGGAGAAGAAGGGAGAGCAGGGCAGCGGATGGGCTCCCCGTGTTACCAGCCAGCGCCTTTGTTCCGTATCTTTTCTCCACTTCGTATTTTCTTGCTTTCGCTTGCGCTCCGGAAGTGTACATATACATATGGTCTGATTTACGCAGTAGACCTAGCATCTCGAGCGGTTTTTCTTGGCGGATTAAGCATCTTTTCCCCGAGACAAGAGAGAAGAGAGGGATGGTCTTTCGGGAAATATATCTCGATTCTTTCCTTCAGGGAGGGGGGGTGGCAAGCTGGCTGGTTGACTGGTTGAAATGGTTGAGACTTGGGGGTTTCCGCAGTGGCGGCAGCGGCGCTTACGTTTCTTTTTCCCCTTGCTTGGCCTTTTTCAGGAGGATCTAGTGTCTGCTGCCACGGCCCTCTTTGTTTTTCCTATGGAAGCGAAGAAAGCAGAAAAGCAGCAAACGGAGGTGCGAGGGATTGGCATTCTCTCGTCATTTCACGGTGCTGGAATGTGTGAGTGTAGTTGGGGGTCCCCGGTTGTCAAAGGTTGTCAATATGTCTGTATGCACAGCACCATGGCTGGGAGCTTCCTGGTGCATATGCATGCGTAGCGTACGTAACCATGATTACTAAGTACCTAAAACACACTTCTTTCCCCTCTGTGTTTCCTCTCAAGCTCACTGTTGCATACTTTTCTCTCTCCGCGGCCGTGCAGGACGTTGTGAGGATCTATCAATTTAGACTTTTGCGGAGTCTACTGTGAGACAGACGGAGAGGCCCTCGGTCGTCTTCACCGGTGCGGAGCCGCACACTAGCAAACACCATCCATCCATCCACACCATTTGTGTTCCAGGAGACGACGCTAGCCATCCGTCCTGCTTCCTTTCCATCAGCCGAGCCCAGGTGATATTCCTGTTTGCTGCTGCTGCTGCTGCTGCTCCGTGTCCGTACAGCAACGGTGAGAGAAAGAAAAAGGAAAAAAAGCAACCAAAAGGCTTTCTTATTTGCCCCTGGCTGGCGGCCGAGAAAACCCTTGGGCATTCTCGGCCGGGAACAGCGGGCTGTTGGCTCGTGATCTGGTTGGCTGACTCGTGCTGGTTATTTCCCGTTTGAGACAGGGTTGTGGGGGGTTCCTCGGGGGCCAGAGTACTCCGTAAGGTTACCTTAGAGTGGTTACCCGTTTCCCTGCCCACAAGCTATTCGTCCTTTTTGGCGGTCTCTGAATTGTCCGATCCGCCAGTGTCTCCAACTGTCCATTCTCCTCCGCCTGGGCGGCGTGCTTGTGCGTGTGTGAGGCTAATGCACCCTGCGCGCTGTGCCGTGTGGGGCTGGGAGCAACGACCCCAACTTCTGTCTCATGACTCGGCCCTGCGCACGAGCAAACGTTTCGTCGAGGACAGAACGGTATAACTTGTCCAGAATTGACGTGCCAAAGCGGCCGTATTGTCTCTACTTGCCTGCCTGCCTGCCACAGACACACCCGAACTGTCCCAATGTTGTTGTTGTTGTTGTTGTTGTTGTTGTTGTTGCTGCGGCATGGTGGATTCGAACCACCTCATCAGTCTCAGCGGAAAGGCATCGTCTGATGTCTGCGACAGGGCTGAAAAGGCGGTGGTCATCATGCGACTGCCTTGCCAACAGCAAGCGGAGCTTGCCGTGTTAGCTGGCGAATGCCCTCCTGCGTAGTGCAACTTTTGTCCCGGACTATAAGTGGGGGACTTGCCATATGTCAAATCACTCAGATGTGTGTTTTTTTCTTTCTTTCTTTCGTATGCTTGACTGAGCTTGCTTTTTCGGCCGTTGATCTCTCCACCTGCACACACAAACACTGCTGGGCAGCAAACTTCCTGCGCGCTTCTGACACCTTGTGACGCTTGTGACGCGCGTATGGGACAAAAAGATTAATGACGATGCCCGATCGCAACCACACATCCCTGCAATGCTGCCTCGTCAGCCCCAAGGATAATTTATATGTAGAGGGTTGCCAGGATCAACGATAACCATGCACTGCCCTGGGTTGTGCTTGGCCGTAGTCGCTGTCTGTAACAGAAGAAGCAAGAGGCTCATTTAGCGATTGGTCCGGGTGCTTTCCTTTGGGCTCCTGCTGCCCGGAAACGGAAGTCCCCGTACATCGTCTGTGCGGCCAATCCACTCGCACCCCCGGCGCAGACGAGAAGGACGGGGACTTTTTTTTTCTGGCTAATCCTGGAGATCCTACAGAAATCCCACTCGGGTGATTCGTCACTAGTCCTCGAGGTACAGCAACGGCAGCACGTACCTAAGCGTCCATTTCGAGCTGCAACCCGACACGACAAATCTTGGGACAAACACGACATATCACAAAACAAAGGGCGCCAAGTATCAGATCACGCGGTGGCCTGTACGTGCATGGCTGTAAAGTTGTCGAAAATGCCACGTGCCGTGCCAGGCATGCACGTCTCGCTGCACCATCCCGGTCCTTGACAGGTAAGCAGGCATCTTGGGTGGTACCGGGCAATTTGCTTTCCTATATAGCTCTCTTATAACAGGGATCATGGCTCGACCCGGTGATGATGACGCTGTTGTTGCCGTCATCTACTCTGAAGAGGCAACCCTCCCTAGCCAGTGCACGAGTCTCGATGAGGATAATCGTCCAGGTCTGATGGGTATTCTGCCCTGCACACCGGGGAAAGGGTTACGATCACTCAATGCCCGCATCGAGCCACGGGATTATGAGAAAAACCAATACCTGATTGTGGTCAAGTCCACATGTAACTCCTTTTCAGAAAAGCATGATGATGTCTCGCCGAGACGGCACTTGCCGTCGTCGGGTCATGATGCGCATGTGTCGAGTTATCCGCAGGACAAAAGGACAAAATAGTGGGACAAACGTTGAGGAATTAGATAACCAGCGGCATGTTCCGAAAGCCATTTTCTGGGATCTGCTTTTCTTTTTGGTCTTCCTTCGAGATTGCATGCTGATCATGACTCGACGGGTGCTATTTCCGATCAATGACGGTTTTCTAACTTCGTCACCGACAAAAAGGAAGTATTGGGCCAGAGCAAACCTCGCCCATGCGTGACAGCAGACCCCCGGCAGCTGAGTGTGTCGTTCGATACGCTGTGAGAAGGGGTTGGTGGTACTGCTCCGAGCGGGCGTGGCATTCTGACTGTCGCCTACGTTTCCTCATTCAGAGATTCCAGGTCTAGAATCCGTGCAACCTCATATGCGACCACATATAGGGCCTAATAACTGCCACGGCCCGACGCGCATCATCAACAAATTGAAGAAAAATGGGCCACTGGCAGCTTGTGCTTGTTTGTTCTGTACTTTAGCAGATGTCCCCCCCACTGTCGCGTCCCGCGAAAAGAAAAAATTTGGGTCCTCGCCATGACGGCGCAGCGTTCACAGATATTGGCGGGCGCTGCATCTCCTTGTTCAATTCTTCTTACCCGGACGGATACTTATCTCGGCTTTGATACATCTTTGTATATGGCAAACCTTTGTTGCAGCCCCTCTTAAAGGAGGAGTGACCATCACGGGTGTTAGTTCATGTCAATGATGAAGAATACTGCCAGCGCCCACAATCTTCTGTTTTCGCATAGCTTCGAGGTAGGAGGTGTCAATGTCAATAACTGCACGAGTATCAGACAAATCCCCTTCCCTCACGGCAGGTTAGGCGATGGTCCCATTCGTAAGGTCTCCATGTTTGCCCCTCTAAGTGGCAGCTTTCTGCAAAACCTTTCCTTTTGCAACCTGTACAACCTGAGCACTTCCGTGTTTGGCCCTGTAGACTGACAGACCGCAACTTGAGATACCTGCTTGCAGACCCATGGTTATTGCGGCAGTGGCATGTTGCCAGTAAGTGTTGTCTCCGGTGATCATTGTTTGTACACAAGTTCGGCAGGCGACTGTCCATGAACAATTCATTCTCTTTTCTTTTCTAGTCTCTGGCTTTTCTGGTTTCTGTCTTTTCTCTCTCTCTCTCTCTCTCTCGCTAGTTGGACGGACGGTAGCAACTCTAAGCTTCAACAGCGGGTATTTTACGGCCGTATCTGCATGCCAGGGAATCTACAACCGCCCGACAGCGAGCATCCATTCCCCATAGTGGCAGTCCCTGAATTCTCCTCTGCTCAGAATTCCTCAGGCACGCGTACGCCAGGCTTATCTCGGCTGAGAACCACAGCGACCAGCCTACCAGCCAAGTAAGGCCTTATTAACCCTTACAAAGAAACTCAAGCTACTACAGACAGCCAAATTCAGGGTAGTTGGGGATTTCAAAGCCATGTCGCAAATCCTTCCCGTCTGGCCTAGTGGTTGGAATTGAGTCACGACACGCTTTGACCTAGTCGGAGAGCCGAGTCCAGCATTTCGGGTCGGCAAGCGTGTAAGGTAGTACCCCTACTAGGCTCTGCACTTCCCCTTCTTTTCTTGTTGCTGTTTATCCTTGTATTAGCATAAAGGATGTGCTCGGGTCGACTTCATCCATGTGAAAGAACTATCTCCTGACACACGATTATGATGTCCGTTGAGTATCCGCGGGTTGCGGTGCGTGGGTCAGCAATCTAAGAGCCTGCAACCTTGGTCAACATATCCATCCAACCCGCGACGGCCTCGCGGCGTGCCAAGAATATCCGTGCCTCTCGCTCGAATTGAATATACTCTACGCAGCCCAGGGTTGGCTACCCCTCACACGCCCCTCACGTATAACTCGGACACGGCGATTCTTGACTGAAACAAAAGGAGTATGACGGGCAGGCAGTGTACGTGTTCCAGCTGGACGAGACCATTCAGCATGTTCACCGGACCTGCTGGCTGGGGGTAGGGATGACTATCCGCATGCATGACGGTTCCTGGTTTCGCTTCAAGATATGATAGTGCTATGTCTACTAGGTACCTACCGTCCGCGTATTCGTTGTCTGGAGACAACGAGTCTCACGGGGTGCAAGCCTCGACTCTGCAACTCCCATGGTGCTGACAAGGACGACTGGAAACCCGCCATTGTTGGTGCAGACCGGTAAGTTTTGGGCGTCTCTTGCAAGCAAACTACCTTTGTTCGTCGAAAGGTTGAGGATGACATAGGGACGGACGACTTATACGCCAACGCCAGAAGTCGTTCCGCTCGTTGATGAGGGTACCCCATTGCGAGTGACATGTGGTGGTAGACACACGCTGCTTGTGATGTGGCATATGAAGATGATAAGTCCAATCGAGGTCACACAGAGCTTGGAAAGAAGGCACAGCATGTATGCCCAGACACGGGCAGGTCCGGCTTGTTCTTAAGAACATGTCTAACCACTACGCCATTTCAACTCTCGTCGCACAAGCCGTGCGTTAATGACTTTGTGTGTCATGAGCAGTCGGAGTTTATACGAACCCGTGGATGAACAAATTTGTGCAAGCATCGGAGCTCCGCAACAGTCGCTACCGGATAGCCTCTCGGCATAAGGGAGGGAGATCAGTGGTCATGACGTGCTGGTCAGATATCAACCATCAACCTTGCCGCTCGGCGGCTCGGCCCGAGAAAAGGGGACCCTCCTTTCGTCCGGGGCGGTCAAAGACGATTGGTTTCCCACAGAGGAGCAAGAGCTTGTCAGTCCTTGGCCTGCAAGTCTATTTCCTTTAAGCTTATTGCTGATCCAGGGTGGCTCTCGACAGATGAGTCCTTGTCATGAGAGCCATTTGTTTTGAGCCATTTTCCGTTTTTATTGGCACGTTCATTGCACACCACGGGTATGGCTATGCTCGAGCAAGAGCATGGAAACACTCTCATTTTCTGTGCGCGACTTTTCAACAGACAGAGAGGAGGCCTCTTTCATTCCGACCCGAGAATATTTCGCAATAGATGGCAGCCCGGGGGATGAGCCTGAGGCATTTCTGCACTTCCAATCCATGAGTGACACTTGCATGGCTAAGCTTGCTTGGAGAAGAGCAGCCTGGAAATGCCTCACGGGATTGCTCAACGGGATTTTCATGGGGTGCCTTTCCTCCTTTCTTGGCCCTGCTTCTACTGGCCAACTTTACACGAATGGTGAGGTGTTTTCGTGTTCCGTAAGATATATGCCTCGGATGACACGTAGACAAATGCGGCAGGCACTCATCTGCTGGTAGCAGCAAGGCGGAACGAGACTCCCTTGCTGATGACAGCAAGAGAAAAGTCTCTAGTACGATATAAAGCGTGTCTCAGAGTGTATAGTTGTGTCCCCAGGGCAGAACACGCTGTCATGGAAATGTGAAGTGCTTGGGTAAGGAGAGACAGGAGAGACCATTTACATGAACACTGACCTTAGATTGAATGCTGGGACGGGCGCTGTTGTAAGTCGTAAATCATGGAAAGCGCCGGCAGGAATGACGCCCATTCTCTCGCGTACCATTGACGGGACATTGCTAGCAGGGCCGTACGCCCTCCGAGAGCGATCCACGGCGCAGCAGCTCGGGTTGTCGTCTCAGAGGCCGCCGACACGGAGACGGAGCCTTGCCGGGCGACGTACATGTGTGTTCCCGCGGGTAATTGTCCGTCACGGCAACGTCGACGAGCGCACTTGGCCATCCATCTCAGGCACCAGAGACGAGCTCCGAGAACACCCGATGGCTTGTCGTTGATAATGGCGGGCCCGCCATTGGTGCTCGGGTGGGGTCGTGGGGGCTGCAACGCACTATGACTTCACTGCCCAGCTGGCTCTGGAGACTCCCATGGGGCCAGGCGGTTTCCCATGTGAAAGGAACCGAGATAGCTCTAGGAGCAAAGTGGTCTGGGACGAGATGCCATTTCCGTTGCTGTTCATGCTGCGTTTTCCGGTCCTGTTCTTGGTCTGTGCCGTTGAGAATTGACTGCGCCGGCCCTCACGTGCACGATACAGCCTTCGTATCCAATCTCGGTGCATGGTCCCTGCCCGTCACGCGACTCACCAGCTTTTTCGTCTTCACAGGCATTCTGAGACAGGCTCTCGAGTGTGCCGTGCCAGGCCTGCTGCACCCGTGGCCGACCAGGTCTCTGGTTGGCCAGGCTCGTTACGTAACGGCCATCCACATGAATTCCACTTGTCCCAGGATCAGACTGCGCCCGGCCACGCTCACGAGAGCCTCAAATTTTTCGCATGGCGGAGCACCATTGCTGACCTTCATTCCAATGCGTACACCGCAGCCAGGGCCCATCTTTGGTTCCCCCGTAGCCTCGGAAGATGTCGGGGTTTGCTGAGCTCCAGCTCAAACTGAGCTAAGTCGTGGTCTAGAGCAGGCCCGCAGGTGTGCGATTAACCAGCCACTGTGGATCCCATCTCGACTCGCCAAGATTTCCGGGGAAAGCTCCTAGGCACAACGCTTGCCCAGGTTTGCACCTTGCCGTGTCATGGTCTCGATACGCGGTTGTCGTATTGCATGTGCTTGGTTGGGAAATCCTCGTGATGCGGACTGTACGCGACTTACGAGACATCACAGGCATGATCTTTGTGTCTCAATACTCGTCGCCGGCGTTGAGTATTCCAATGCACCGAGACCGCTCAAAGTCCTCTCGAGATCCGAATCTCTGGGTGAACCCTGTCCAATCCACAATGTCAGTGGGAAAGCCAACGACGGCTCGACCGGCTGGGATCGGGAGATGATTCTTCCTTGACAGCATGGCCTTCGCTGCGCAGCTACGTGGACCGGCCGGCTTCCGACCCCTGTGGCAGATTGCACAAGGCGGAGCCGGGTTGTCGTTGAAAGATCATCTATCTTGGGGACGTGAATACGTACGATGGAGAGTGCCGCACGATAATAAGCCGGGAGAGGCAGCGCAAGAGGTTATCCGTGGGAAGTCTGGGGCTGGCGCTTGTGGCAGATCTGGGGTGTGGAGGGGAGCAAGACGGAAGTCTACCGTGGCTCAAGTGCCTGGCCGAGTGTGGCCGTGGCGGGCTGGATCGAAGCTCGCCCGGCGCATGCCCGTCCTGATCGGGCTCAGACCTCGACGCTCGAGTTCTACTGGCCGCCCAGCGTGCCCGGCGGAGCTTTAGGCCGCGCACCGGCACGGCCAGCGGCCTTGTCGAGAGCACCTGGGCTGTCCTGACGGTGCCTGTCGCGATTCATTCCGACCGCAGGCCCCACCGGGACGATGCCGTTCGCGGCCTGGCCCAATGAACCTCTTCCCCGCGGCCGGGCTCCCCCGCAGCCTGCCGTGCCTCTGCAGTCTCCATTCTCGTCCTCCACCATCCCATCGCCAGTCCAGTCCCGTCAGTCCTCCGTGTGTTCCCCGTCCGCCGCCCTGGCCTCAGCTCTCCAGGCGCAGCAGCAGCGTCTCCAGGCGCGCCCGCGCTTGCCCTGCTGCCGCCGCTGCTCCCCAGACTTGGGCTTGTCCTGCCGCCATGGGGCCTTCCCGATGGGTGCAGGGGTGGCCGCTCCGGTTTGATTTCGTGCGGCCACGCCCAGGCACGGCGGGCAGGTCTTACGGGCCAGTCCAATGTCGTCAGCCATCGTCGCCGTCTCCACCGGTCTTCATATATCCTCGGTTTCGGCCCACGTCTTTTAGCTCGGCACCAGCTACCCACCACTATCACCACACCTGGGCCGTCTCTTCCCTTGCTGCCCCGTACTCTTGTCGTCCACAGATTCGAAAACGCCCGTCCGCTAGTATCCGGTGGACCTCTTATCCTCGTCGCCAAGCGTCGCCAGCCTGCCCCAGCTCCCGCTCTCGTAGACCTTTAAAGGCCATGTCGGACCCCGTCCCCAGAACAAACTCCCCTTACCACGATCCATCCATCAAAGGCCCTCGCTCTCAGCAGCTATTCCACGACCGTTCCCATTCCCAGCACCAAGAACGCAAGAGTATGTCTCGCCTCTCGCCCACACCAGATGGCCATGCGCAAAGAACCTCTCTCCCTCGTCCTCTCCTCGCCCTGCCTGCAATCATCCTTTAGTTTGCTAACGGCTCCTGCCCGCCTGCTAGTGATTCCCAGTAACAAGGTCAACAAGACTGCCCTTCACCCTGGTGGTGTCGAGTAAGTACCGCAACTACCCACGAATTTTGCGATTCCCGTCCATTTGTCTAACGCAATCTCCTCACAGGCCTCACGCCGAGCACACTGAACTCGGTACATATTCCCCGCACTGGCCCACGAGCTAGCCCCTCGAGTCAGCTGAAGGATGACCTGAGAGACTAACTTTGTGGGCAGAGAACGAGCTTCACGAGACTGCGCACATTGACTACGACAGAGTCGCCATTGTAAGTAGAGGAGAGACCATCAAGAACGGTATCGCCTATGGGGGGCTCACACAATACTTGCAGATCCCTAATCCCTCTGTTGCCGCCCTCTACGAAGATGCTCTCGTCTACGAGCAAGGCTCCGCCATCTCATCAAGCGGTGCCCTGACTGCCTACTCTGGTGCCAAGACTGGCCGCTCCCCCTCAGACAAGAGAATCGTTCAGGAGCCTTCGTCAGAAAACGACATTTGGTGGGGACCAGTGAACAAGCCCATGTCTCCCGAGGTAAGTTGCGGCAGAGTTTTGTCTTCTCCATTTACAACCTGCACGCCCTCCTCCATTGCACACGAGCAATCGGGGTGCCACCCATACGTTGGCCCAATCACATTTGGTGCGCCTCTACTACTCCCGAAAACGCCCTTGCGGAAGCTTGGTCACACGTGAGCGAACCTTGACATCACTATCGTGTGGTCTGGCCCGAGGTCGTAGGGAGTTGCAAGCCACCACCTGATTGGCTTTGGGAGCACATGTGGGCGAGAAGCGGCCGGAACAACGTCCTGGCTGAGTCGTGCAGCATCCCTGCCGCTGGCGTCATGGGCCGGCCAGACGCGGCGCATGTTCCTGCACCCCGCATTTCCTTCTGACTGCCCGGGGTTGCCCGCCAGCCCCACTTCTACTGTTGCACAAAGGCTTGGCACATGCTAACAATCAATGTCACCACAGGTCTGGAAGATCAACCGCGAGCGTGCTATCGACTACCTCAACACCCGGTCGAGGATTTACGTTGTTGACGGCTATGCTGGCTGGGACCCCAAGTACCGCATCCGCGTTCGTGTCATTTGCGCCCGCGCCTACCATGCCTTGTTCATGCGCAACATGCTCATCCGTCCTCCCCGTGAGGAGCTTGAGCACTTCCACCCCGACTACACCATCTACAATGCCGGCACTTTCCCCGCCAACAGATACACCGAGGGTATGACCTCTGGAACCTCCGTCGCCATTAACTTTGCCGAGAAGGAGATGGTCATCCTCGGCACCGAGTACGCTGGTGAGATGAAGAAGGGTGTCTTCACCGTCCTCTTCTACGAGATGCCCATCAAGCACCACGTGCTCACACTTCACTCCTCTGCCAACGAGGGCAAGAACGGCGATGTCACCCTCTTCTTCGGTCTGTCCGGTACTGGCAAGACCACCCTGTCAGCTGACCCCAACCGTGCCCTGATCGGTGACGACGAGCACTGCTGGAGTGACAACGGTGTTTTCAACATTGAGGGTGGCTGCTACGCCAAGTGCATTGGCCTCTCTGCCGAGAAGGAGCCTGATATTTTCAACGCTATCCGCTTCGGCTCAGTCCTCGAGAATGTTGTCTTCGACGACGTCACCCGTGAGGTTGATTACGACGATGCCACCCTCACCGAGAACACTCGCTGGTAAGTCTGAACAGAATCCCATCATCGTGTAGGCCGCTGCTAACAGTATTGCTAGTGCTTACCCCATCGAGTACATCAACAATGCCAAGATTCCCTGCTTGTCGCCCAGCCACCCCAGCAACATCATTCTGCTCACTTGCGACGCTCGCGGTGTCCTGCCCCCGATCTCCAAGCTCAACAGCGCCCAGACCATGTTCCACTTCATCTCCGGTTATACCTCCAAGATGGCCGGAACTGAGGACGGTGTCACTGAGCCTCAAGCCACTTTCTCCTCCTGCTTCGCCCAGCCCTTCTTGGCTCTGCACCCCATGCGCTACGCCAAGATGCTTGCGGACAAGATTGAGCAGCACTCTGCCAATGCTTGGCTGCTGAACACTGGCTGGGTTGGTGCTGGTGTCGCCCAGGGCGGCAAGCGCTGCCCTCTCAAGTACACCCGCGCCATCTTGGACGCTATCCACTCGGGTGAGCTTGCGAAGGTTGAGTACGAGAACTACGACATCTTCAACCTCCAGGTGCCCAAGACTTGCCCTGGTGTCCCCGATGAGCTGCTGAACCCCAAGACTGCCTGGACCGCTGGCCTCGATAGCTTCGACGAGGAGGTCAAGAAGCTTGGCGGCCTCTTCATCGAGAACTTCAAGAAGTACGAGTCCGAGGCTACACCCGACGTCAAGGCGGCTGGCCCTGTCGTTTAGGGCCCCAAAAGCGCGTCTCTTCTTCAGCATGTTTGATTTTCTGGCCACTGTCTAGGATTTCTTTCTTTACTCCAGTTCTGTCCCTTTTTTCGGTTGGGTTATGAATTATATCATTTGATTTCTGTTGAACGGCGCATGCGGCCCTGATTGGGCTCGACGGCACGATTATGAGGAAAAAGGAGCAATTGTACATAGCATGAGTTTGACGCGCGGATTCTTTGATCCCAGTCATATTTTCCTACAGGCACATATCTTGCCACTATCGACGAAATTGGAAAGAAAGTACCATCATATGCTATCCCGCCCTACATGTCACTGCGCGTAGAGTCACGCTGCGAATGAGGTGATGTTGGGCCCCATCTCAGGCCGTCTCGCCGCGCTCAGACTATTTGTGGCAAGAGCAAAATCCAACTTGGTACAAAACAGTCCGAGCAGGTGAGCATGTGATGATCAGAAGCAGCGTATGCTTCGTAAAATAGCAGACCAAATCCGAATCGTAGGTATTGTGGGAAATCCATCACTTTTCCAAATCGTGCGTAGGGGTACAACGGAAGGGGAATTGCCAAGTCAGACTTCGGAGCGACCCCACCACCAGAGCCAGACCCACACCTGTTGTTCCAGCGATCCCACTGACAATGGTGGACCCGCGATCACGGCATGAGCCAGCACTGAACAACCCTACCACAATCGCCCTCTCAAGATCACGACTCCTTGGCGCACGAGCCCTAGCAGCATAGAGCTCTGCTCCCGATTGTATCCCCTGCTACGATGATAATACGTTAAAGATGGACGGAGATTGGGACGAGGTAAGTGGACTATCGTCGCAGGTCATGCCTGATAGCTTCCCCCGCGTCCGGAGAAACGCGCACCGCACAACCTCACCGTGGCACGCACGCCGAGCGCCTCTTCTCGACTCCCCTCCCAGGTTGCTTGGGCTACACTCTCGAGCCTTCGCCTCAGTCGTATTGATACGAAGCTAACGTGTCTCGTACCCTGCTCCAGGTTGCCCGCATCCCACTGCCTCCGCCAGGTGTCCGGGCGCATCCGACCCCGGTTTCGACTCTTGCCTTCGACACGGCGCAGGAACTTCTCTGGGCCGGCAATCAATATGTACGATGCACAAAGCACTGTTTCCTTTGGGCTGACGGCATAAGACAAGCTGCCCGACACCCGCTAACGTCGCAAATTACATACAGGGCCGGGTCACTTCATTCTACGGGCACGAGCTCGTGAAGTACACCTCGTTCAAAGCGCACACCTCTCAAGATGGCCCTGTCCATCAACTGCTCTTCAACGATAAGGGCGTCATTGCAGTTGGTTCAAAGAGCGTGCATATGGCTGCAAGGAGGGGGGGTGCGATCTGGACAGTTCGACACCCCGATATGAAGGAGCTGCGATGCATGAGTTTCACGTCTAAGGGCACGGCAGAAATCCTGGTCGCCGGCGAGCAGGACAAAATGTTTGTCATCGACGTTCACAAAGGCGAGGTCACCAAGACCGTCCCGACGGACTCGTACTACAAAATCATGCGCAGGAGCCGCTTCATCTGTGCCGCCACGCCGAAGGGTGCCGTCCACATCCTCGACCCGATCACCTTCAAGGTCTCGAAAGTCTGGAACGCTCACTCGGCCGCGATCAACGACATGGACGCGCAGCACGACTTCATCGTGACTTGCGGCTTCTCTGTGCGCCAGAACAACAACTATATGCTTGATCCACTCGTCAATGTCTTCGATCTCAAGAACATGATCTCCATGAGCCCGATCCCATTTCCTGCCGGTGCCGCCTTTGTCCGCATGCATCCGCGGATGTCGACCACGAGCATTGTCATGTCGCAGATTGGCCAGATGCATGTTGTCGATCTCATGAACCCCAACACTAGCAATGTGCGGCAGGCCAACAGCTTGTCATTTTTCTCAATGATCGAGATTGCCTCGTCTGGCGAGGCGGTTGCTCTCGCTGATGGCGAATGCAATATCCATCTTTGGGGATCACCGAACAAGATCCATTTCAGCGAATATGTGACGCCGGTGGAGTTTGCGGACAGCGTGCCCTCAGCCCCTCAGATGGAGTGGAAGGATGATGTGTGAGTTCTCTGCAATGCTGGAGTTGATGATTTCTGCAACTGACAACAAGCTTGCCCATATCAGACCATTGAGCACAGTTGGGATGCCGTACTATAGAGAAGTACTGCTGTCGGCTTGGCCAGACATGATCACAGAACTCGGCGCCCCAGCCCCGAAGATTGAACCGCAAATCTTGACTGGCTTACAAGAAAGAGACTGGGGCTTCTATGGGAAGAACACCAGAGGTCTGCGCCGAAACCAGGTGGAAGATACTAGAACGACTTTGCGGAACAATAACAACCTCATGACTGTCCCGAGATTCCTGAGTGAAAAAGCGCGGGATTTGGCGAAATCACCGGCTGGGACACCGGCGCCTGAGGAGACCTTTCCCGAGTACCCGCTGGTGCTGCCAGATACCATCGAGAGCCACAAGGTCGAAGTACCAGACCTGTACCAGCCGGTCGAGATCAAGTATAGCAGATTTGGCATCGACGATTTTGACTTTGCGTAAGTAATTGCCCGAGGTTTCAGGATGGTGGACGGGACATTGCTACTAACACAATAGTCAGTCACTACAACAAGACGCACTACTCTGGTCTACAGAACCACATTGTCAACGCCTACGTCAATTCACTTTTGCAGATCATGCACTATACCCCTCTGATACGCAACACTGCGTTGAGACACGCCGCTTCTGCTTGCTTTGACGAAACATGTCTTCTTTGCGAGCTCGGATTTTTGTTTGACATGCTGCACAAGGCAGAAGGAGATGCCTGTCAGGCGTCGAACCTGACCAAGACGCTCAGTCACCATCCCCTGAGTAAGTCCATAGGCCTGCGTGATATTTGTCTTTTGTGGAAATACTGACGTGTGCAGCCTCGAGACTGAATCTGCTCGAGGAGGAGCACCCCAACGGGTCACGGACCTTGATGTTGCAGCAGCTAGCCAGGTTCCTCCTGCAAGAGATGGCGAAGAACAATACCGCCATGTTCCCACAAACAAGAGTTATAGAAGACGTAAGTTGTCTGCTTGTCCCTTCGTTCTACAATCGCTGACCCTTTGCAGCTCTTTCACACCGCAGGTGTGAGCGCTATACGATGCCACCAATGTCGAGGCGAGACCACCAAGCCCGACTTCATACCCGTCAATGAGCTCATTTACCCGCCAGCCGTGAGTCCACTCGAGTGAAGCCCGCCGGCGCTGGTCAGGACACTGACTTTTTGCAGAAATCAACGCATGGCCGAAACGCCAGAGCCCCAAAGACGACTTTTTCGCAAGTGCTCAAACAGAGCGTTGAGCGCGAAACCATTAATAAGGGCTGGTGCAACAACTGTCGCCGCTACCAAACGCTTGCAACGAGGCGCACCATCCACAAGATCCCGGGCGTGCTGATGCTCACGACGGGCATCTCAAACAGCGAGCAACGGCGACTATGGGCCACACCTGGGTTCCTGCCTGAGGAGATTGGCATTATCGTGGACAACGGGCAATTCTTTTGTTATGAAGGAGAGGATCTCAAGCTCCACCTCCAACGGGCAATCCATAATATCACGGTGTACTCCTTGACGGGTGTGGCGACGAGCATAGAGGACGGTCTGCAGCAGCGATCTCACCTGATTGCCACAGCGAACGGTAGGTTCGGCCAACAACTACATCACATGTCCGGACTACGCTAATTACTTGTATGCACAGTCGCTCACTCTGCCCCTGTGGCGCCCGGAACCAATCAGTGGTACACTTTCAACGATTTCGCCGTGAGCCCGGTGGCCGCGGAGGAGGCTTTGAGTTTCAACTCGTCCTGGAAATCGCCTTCTGTCGTCATCTTCCAAGTCAAGTCAGCCAACAACCAGATCGATTCAGAGTGGAAGAAGTTCCTGAATCGAGAGCTACTATACCTGGATCTCTTGCACGACCGCGACCCCGCCGCCAAGACATATCGCACCCTCAACCCGGACACCGAACCGCCGGGTCCAGACACCATTGTCGCGATTGATACCGAGTTCGTCCAAGTGTCGCAGCCCGAGATTGAGATAAACTCGGACGGAGAGCGCAACATCATCCGCCCCATAACGCACGCGCTGGCGCGCACGTCCATTCTCCGCGGCTCTGGCCATGACGAAGGCGTGCCCTTCATCGACGACTACATCACTATGAAAGAAAAGGTTGTCGACTACCTGACTTCGTACTCTGGCATCACTGCCGAGGACTTAGATCCAGAGATTGCCGCCCAGCGCGGCCACAACCTGGTGCCGCTCAAGCTTGCCTACAAAAAGATATGGATCCTGCTTAACCTGGGCTGCAAATTCCTCGGCCACGGCCTGAAGCAGGACTTTCGAGTGATCAATATTCACGTGCCCAAGTCGCAGGTGATTGACACGAGTGACCTCTTCTACATCAAAGAGCGCTTCCGCAAGCTTAGTTTGCAGTTCCTGGCGCACACTTTGCTGCAGGAAGACATCCAGCAGGTCACGCACGACTCGATTGAGGATGCGCGCACCGCCTTGCTGCTGTACCGCAAGTATCAGGAGTTTGTGGACGCAGGCATCCTAGATCAGAGACTGGCAGAGGTGTACAAGACCGGCGCGGCGACTGGCTTCAAGCCACCCAGCAAGAGCGGTCATCATGCCAACAACCACGGCCACGCCGGTGCCGCCAATAGTAGTAGTGGTGGGTACAATGGGCATAGCAACAATGGCTCCGCAAGGACTCGCACGCCACCAACCGGTGGCGTTGGTGCGATGGGGGGCCCGGTGACGCCAGTCAGGCAGGGCGGTGGTATTGGCGGGTTTGGGAGTGCTGGGGGTGGTAGCGGAATCAGCGGGACCGTGTTTGGAAGCGGAGGGAGCGCGTTGAACATGGGCATGAGCAGCCCCGGGTCGAATGCCGGGTGGAGTACACCTGGCAGAGGGGGAGTCGGCGGAGGTGGCGTGCCACCACCACCTGGGTTCCGATGATTTGATTCTTGTGAAGCGTGGGAGAGCGAGACGAGGAACCGGAGGACGAGGAAGGTATAGCAAGGGGGAGAAGGTTAGGTGTCGTGTAGACGGGCGGTGGAGGAGTATTAGATATTGATTAGAAACCCAACGCTGACTCTCTAGATGTTGCATGTGTTCAAGCAAGTTAAGCTTTTTGCGTGCGACCCCCAAGTTTTGTGATCATAAGTATGCGTGAATCAAGGCTGGGGCAGAGTTGGATGAGTCTTTTTTTTTTTCATCTCGTATCTGGGTCAAAAGGGCGATCTGGCCAATTCTTCTTGTCTTGATCAAGTGTAAGCCAGCCCTTGTGAAACGTGGGAATCGCTTTGGATCTCAGGACGCCTAAGTGGTCGTCATGCCGGGCACAGAGGTAGTGAGTGGGCATTATCTTGTTTTCTCATGCGCGTGTGCTATCTTGTAGATGTGTGTTTCCTGTGTGGGCATATATACAGAGAGGTCCGAGACGAGTATAAGAGAGGTCTTGTTTCTTTCTGTACTTAGACCGTTGTCATTGATCCCCCGATGCTTGCTTGCAAGATACCCCCCCTTTTCTCGGTGCGCCGTGCTCTCTGTCTGTGTCACTCATTACCACACAGCTGAGTTGGTCTGAGCCGAGACGAGCCAAGCTGATCCGGGCAGGGCAGTACGTGGTCCTATCCATCCGTCTCTCTGTACCGTCCCGTATTCCGCCGCCACTGCGAGCCCGTGATGTCATTATCGCTGTCGCCCTCTTCGGGGGTGGTGTCACTACCGTAAATGCCGGGAGCGGGCATCTCCTGGTGCGGGATGTGGCCCGGCAATTCGACCGGGCCGGAGGGATAGCGCGGTCGTATGCTGCTGCCGCCGTCGCTGGTTTCATTGGATGTCAACGGCCCATTCTGCAGCGGCGGCGGCGCCGCGGGGTGTGGATGATGGGTATGTTGGTCCTGGGAGAATGCTGGGTCTGTGTTGAGGCTGATGCCCAGCCCTGTGTTGCTACTCATCGACGACTGCTCCTCCCTGCGGTGATGATCATGGTGATCATGTTGGCCTTCTTGTTGTCCTTGATGCTGATACTGATGCTGGTGGTGGCGGTACTGGTCGTGCAATACCTCCAGGATCGCCAGCTTCTGCTCCGAGCCCGCTCCACAACAACTCGAGGTGGAGGAGGTGGCGGGACTGAGATCTAGGCTGCGGTGGCATGTGCCGCTGTGTGCGTCCAGCTCGGTCGGCATCACGGCCTCGACTTCGACTGGCGGAGGGCCATCGCGTTCGAGGTCATTTGCATGTTTCTGGTGATGCCGGTGTCGTCGTTGTCGTCGTCGCCAGAGGAAGACCAGACCAAATAGCAGCACGGTAGCCCCGGCGAGTGCGCCCATCGCAATCCCTGCTTTTACGCCTGAGGTCAGGCCCTGCTGGTCGGCTGATGATGGCGATGTCGATTGAGAGGTTGAGAGTGCGGTCGATGATGGGCTTGGGTTCTCTGCTGCTAATGTTGGTCCATTTGAACTCCCAGTCGACGTCTGTTGTGGTGTTGATGATGAAGATGATGAAGTCAAGACTGGTGCCGTGCTGGCAGGGTTAATGGTGAACGCGGCGCCGGTCGTCGTCTGTGGCGCGTCTGGGCTCGTCATGTTGACGACCACGAGGCTGAAGACGTTGCCTCCGCGACCATCGCCGCCGCCACCGCCTTGCTGGTCGACAAAGGTCGATGGGACCCGCCACGTCTGGTTGATGGCGGTGTTGCGGCAGTCCGCCAGGGCCGTCCAGGCGACGTCCATGCCGTATGTGAACTCTGCGTTTTCTGTCCATCGTGGTGGTCATCATGTCAGTAGTCGTTTCGTCAAGACTTGTTGTACTTGAGAAGATTCACGCATGACACGTGTCCCAGCACATCCATCTGTAAAGGTCTACCGAGACAGCAGACGCACCGAGAATTGTCGCAGCAACCTCGCCGCCCTCCTCCATCACCGAGACACTCCAGCTTGACGTCCTCGGCGACCAGCCGCCAGCCCAGGGCGCCCCGTTGCGGACAATGAGCTCGTCGGTGAGGCCCGCCTGCCACGAGATGGTGATCTGGTCGCCGGCCTTGAAGGTGGCATTTTTGGTAGGCGACAAGACGGCGTGGCTCAGGTCGGTGTATGCTGCGGACGGCTGGCAGGTGCTTTGCGCCCATGGGGGCCCGGCGCCGCTGTCGTTGTTGTTCAGCCACGGTGATCCGGGGCTCATGGCTGCTACCGGTTGTCGATGGACACTTGGTACAGCTTGTGGCCCGGTGGCCTGGCTTTGTCTTGTCTCGTCAATATTCCAGAGAACGACCTGTGGTATGACTGTATCCAACCGCGCAAGTCCGAAATGCTGTTCTGCTCGGCGCCGGTATTGCAAGAAACGCACAAGGACAGACGACAAGTCAAACTCGGAGCAGACCGTCCAGGCACAGAAGAAGACAAAAGACCACCCACAATACTCTGAAGGCAGGTACGCCAACCCCTCCAACTGTCATTGCCGATGACATGGGGTTGGGCCCCTCTTCCATCTTTGATATCGTCCCCCATCACCTCCAGCGCCGGCCTGTAGACCATGCCTAGCTGCGGCAAAGGCGGGCGAGGGTGGTGGTGGTCCTGGTGGTGGTTGCTCGGTCCCGGCATGCACATGGGTGGCTGCTCCTTCGGCGGATGCGCAGACAGGGAAGGGGCCTTTTCAGATTCTGACAAGGGCCATGCATATCTGGCAGGGCAGACGCAGCTCGCTTTGATGCAGTTTGGCCATCTTTCCCACTGATTTCACACAGCCTGGGCGAATGTAGTGTGGCGTGTCGAGACCATGCGAGGGACCTGTTGAAGAAACGACGACAGGCATATCGAGGGCATATGCCGGATGCGGCACTGGAGGAATAGTAAGCACATGGAGAAGCACGCCCTGGCCCATCGAGCTAATCCACGATGCGAAGTGCAGGCCTCCGAGGCAGGCAGGGTGGTGGATGGGTGGAATGAAAACCCTGGACCTTGCCAACACTGATAGCTGACCGCCGCCGCCGATCTGCCCGGGGATGGCGTTGCTGAGGAGGGAACAAAAGGAGGGCACAGGAGGAGAGGCAATAAGTCCACTCGTGTTTCTGTGACGCGCGAGTCGTAGACCTGCCCGCAGTCAAGGCAGTTGCAGGCAATTTGCTTCAGACCAGCGGGGAAAGGTTACTCATCCTTTGACGGCACAGAAGTCCCTGCTCTGATCCCAGACAGACCTAAGCAAGCCTGTTGCACTGTACTCACGTGTTCATGTTAGCACGCAGGTTCGAAGTCCACGTCAACATTTGTGCATGATCTGGGAGTACAATAAATCTTTTGCGCACGACAAGGTCGTCAGCATCGCGCCAACACAATTGCAAGGGAGTTTATGTGAATATGCAAATGTTCAGAAATGTGCGGTCGTCCATGCTAACCACCTACATGATTTGTTCCATGCTCTCGCAGTAAATACAAAGGATGCCTGTTTCCCACCATACCAGCCGCCAGTGACGACCATGCCTGTCTACCTAGGTACCTTGCCCTGTCCTGCCCTGTCCTGTCCGGCTTGATCCATCTCAAGGCTATCGAAATCATGTCTGTCCACCTCCATATAAACAAAATAACCAGCCAAGGTGTTAGAATCCTAGCAAACGCCGACCCATGTACGCCCGCAAACGACAAAGCTAGATTCGCGACGTCCACCCAATTATATCTACCACCCACCGCTGGCACCATCGCCCTCAATCATCCTCGCGTGCTCGTCTCGGCGATGGTGGCTGTTGCTCCCAGCCCCGTACAGCATCTCCATCAGCTTGCCCTTCTGCCGCGCGCGCACGCCCTCGAGATATAGGCCGACGTCCTCGAGGCCTTTGATTTGCTCCTCAACAGTCACAGTGCTCGAGTTGACGCTGCGCACGAGCGGGCTGACCAGCTTGCGCCGGAGCGACTCGAGATTCGCCTTCAGCGTCATGAGCTTGCCATTGTGTTCGACCAAGATGCCTTTGTTGCGCACCGTCTTCTCCCGCACGTTCTGCAGGAGCTCTCGGTTGCGCTCGTACTTTTTGACTTCGCTGCCCTTTGCACCAAGGATGCGCGTCCACAGAGACGACAGCAGGTCGGCGTGCTGCTCGTCCTGCAGTGACGACTCGCGGACCACAGTCCGAGCAAGGTTCAGGAACTGCCGGTCAATAGCCTCAAACAGGCCAAAAAGGGCGAGAGAGTGCTGTAGTTCGTTCTCAATGGCCTCCTCTAGAACGGACAGAAATTCGGTAAATGTGCGCTGCAGTGTGCTCCGTGTTCGCTGCGGTTGCGACATGCCAAAGAGACCGGTCGTGAGAGCCCCAAGTCGCGTCGGAGCCCCGGTAGCAGGGTTCTCCAGGACGCCAGTGGCGCATAGCACATTATGAATATTCGAAAATGCCGTGACGAACGGTGGGCTCGGGACGGCTTGGACCTGAGCCAGCTCTCTTCGGGCCCAATCCATGACGATCAGAATGCCATCAATGTCGCCATCCACGTTGGCAAAGAACTTTGTCAACTCTATCGCAAGCGTTTTGAGACTGTCGGAGAGCTCATCAAGAGATTTGACGATGATTGGAGCCGAAGTCATGTTGCTCTGGCGAACGCTCTCGCCAAGGTCCCACACCGCAACTCCGGTAGCTTGAAGGTCTCCGACTTGCGCGATGCCGTTCTCTGAGTAGTATATAAGCGGCTCAAAAGATCGCGCGATGCCGGCGACCTTGACCAGATCCGGTGACGGTCGTAATGTGACTGGCTGGAATATTGATCGCACTGCATTGATTGACAATATCGCCACCATTGTGGCCACAATCATGCTCGACCACGATCTAGTGATTGACTGAAACCAGCTCCGGACATGTCGGATCGCGGTCTCGATAGGTTCTGTTCTCTGCTGGACATCTGCACGTATGGCAAACCTTATATCTGAACCCCCAAGGTCAGTATTCAAGCCTCGTACACCCTGCTCACCAGAGGAACCTACAATTTTCTCGTGTGTCTTCTGGGGGCAGTGAATGCAGTATGCTCCTCTTTTGACTGTGCTTGTCATTGAAGCCTGGCGAGCTCTCAAGCTTGATTCGGTTGACCAGGGTGTCGTCTTCGCAAGATGGCTCTGGCTCTGGCGATCTGCCTTTCTCCGGACTTATGCTGCCAGTCGGTAACCGGGTCCTCATGGCTTGCTCAAGAATCTCGCCATCAATCTCGTCGTCCAAGCCAATGCTGGGACTATCGCGCCGTATTTCGTTCATGCGGCGCATAATGTGCAGGTCTGCACCGCCGTAGCCGGCATTGCCACCTCCTCGCCAGAATCCAGATGACCTACTGCCGTTTTCGAGGCGTCTCCACGCTGGAGGAGAGTATCCTCCGGAGACTGAATCCTCGTCGCGAAGGTTGTCGTCGCTCTCCTCCACCCCCTCCATTCCGGGAGGATGGTGTCCGTGATGATGGGCTTCCTCCTCCTCCAGAAGGCCCATCGACGAGCGACTCCACGATTGCCTGTGCTGCGTTTGCTGGCGACTGAAGTAATAGCTGCTGTCCTGGTGGGCTGCTGCTCCGGTCCTCGACATCGGCGTCTCGAACCGAAGATCGTCGTCGAGACTCACCTCGGACAGATCCATCGGAGCGGGAGGACGACGTACGTCCGGCGCGGGGGCGCTTGGAGGAAGCAGATGATGTGGTAACGGGTGGTGCCGAGGACCGGCTCGACTTCCTGTCCTTGGGGGCCGCCTCGATGGCCAGCTTGGACCGAGGCGGGAGCAAGGACCGGCTGAAGCTGCTGCGAGGTGTCGAAGCCGAGGGCGACTTGGCTGCGCGCAGGGCCCTATGGTAGTGCTCGACGGCGAGGTCCTCGTAGATGATGTCTGGCTCGGGGAGCGGAGGGAGCTCCTTGTACTGGGAGTAGGCGGGAGTGTCGCCGAGCTGCAGGTGCTGCAGGTCCAAAATGTGAGGGCTGCGGCCACCACCACCACCGGGAAGTAGGCGGCCCAGGCCGGAAGGGATGGGCAGACGGGGAAGGCGGGGCAGGCGCACGGCGCGTGTGACGAAGAGTACGGCAGCAAAGACGCAGACGAGGATGAGGGCGGCGAGAAAGGTGCTGGGCGCAATAGAGATGCTGATGAAGGAGACTTGTGTGTTCACAGACACGAGGGGCTGTGAGGTAGGCCACCACATGGACAAAGAGGCGGGCGGGTGACAACGAGGGCCGAGTCCCGTCAGGCCGGCATAGGCGAGCTTAAGTTATGACGAGACGGCAACGGGGGCGGGCGGGAGAGTATTCCAGGCTCGGGCTGGGCAGGTGGGTGGAAGCTGCTGGCGTGCTGCTCAGGAGTGGTGGTAGTGGTGGTTGGTGGGAGGGCAAGTGCCGGCAAGCCCAGTCGTGTTTCCCTGCATGCAACTCGTCGAGGTCCAGGTCGCAGAACTCGCCAGCGTCCAATGGGAGGTGGTGATGCTCGAGGCGTCAAGGCAAGGATGCGAGGACGCCTTGGGGTGGTGGGCCGTGAATCCCAGACAGCGAGACTGTACCTAGCTGGGCCAGACAGATAAGGCTCCCTGTCTCTTGTCTCGTGTGCAGTTGAGCCCTGGTTGGTACCCTGTCGGGGATAGACTCAGCAGCAGACAATGGTGATGGAGTATGGTAAACGTTTTAACAATGGCACCATCGGCGTGGCAAGAAGAGTGTGTATTCCGCTTGGGCGAGGCTCCTGCTCGTGAGTCTTCTCACAGGTTCCAGCTGGGCCAAGTCATAGAGCGTCATCGACGGAACGACTGAACGAGTGCCTCTTGCTCAGCGTGCAAGTTCTGACGGGTTCGTCTGGTTGGCCTGGAGTTGGAGTTGCTGATTCGACAAGGGCCCAGGTCGGAAGCAGTTGCAGATCTCGAAATGGAGAGGCTGGGGGCCAGCGCGGTGTGTCGCACCTAGCCCACCCGTCTCTGGCCGCTGCCAGCCAATCACTGTCTGGCCACGCGCGCCTCTTCCGGCCTGGTGGGGAAACGCCATCACCATTGTTTCGCGAGGAGCGGGGTGCAGGGCTCCAAAAGAGGGGCCGTCAAAACATCCACGCAGTACAGCTACACACCGGGGGGCTTCAACAGTTCAACCAAGCTTCTAGCGTTGGTTGGTCCACGTTGGCCTCACGAGGTCGCGCAGTGAGAATCCTGGCGACAATGAGCTTCGCGCATTTTCCTTCAAGTTCTCAAGGCCCCGACGGAGGTCTCTTCCCAGCCTACTTGCACGAACAGTCTGGAAGTAATTTGAATGAGGTCTCATCCACCGCGACGACCTCGGGACAAGTCTGCGGCGCTTTGCAGGTCGCGTTTTTGGGCCGCCACGTGATGTTCTGCCAATCACCACTTACTCAGGCTCGATGGTGTGTCAACATTCGGCTCACTGGGTGGATAGTGTCACAGTCTTGGTAGATCGAACAGGTAGACACGCTGATAAGCCGTCTCTTGGACTATTTCATTCACATCTAAAGCTGGCGCTGATGCTGATGGTGGCTACGTATTCCGTAAGAGGTATCTCAAAAACTCCATGTCTTCTTCGCGCGCGACCCAAAACTCTAGTCGATGCGCGCTGTCTCAAGGCTGCGTGCCGCCGGGTTGGCAAGGTTGTTGATTTGCTTCGCTGGTGGAGCTTGATACTTGCTCTTCTTCCTTAACCGTTTCCTCGCGACCATGACCGGCACGGAACTTTTGGTGACAAGATAGTTTGAGAACGAGCCCAACAAGGTGCCCTTCAGAGCGCTCCGACCCCGGCTGCCGATAATGACCAGCGTCGGGCTCACCAGATCGATGACCTCTGTCACAAGATGCTTAGGGCTTTTGCAGTGGATGACCTCAATGATGACCCGCACTTGGAGCTGCGTCTTTCGAAGCAACTTGGAAACACGTTCTGTGATGTCCTGAACCGCGCGCTCACGTTCCTCCTCGAGTCGGCCCTTCCCTCTCATGCTAGGCGCAGGCGAAGGTGTTGCACTGCGAGCTTCGCGCATGATGGCGTGGAGTGCATGCGGGCTACCTGTGTTCGACCCAGGTGGCCTTCCCATGGCACCTTTGGCGATCGCGCTGACTGCAGCCGCCTGCTCTTTCAGAGCTCTCGCGTCCTCCAGGTTGATCGAATTTGGGTCTGCAGAGCTAGCTGTTTCCTCATCGATCGAGTATAGGGCCAGGAGAGTATCTCCATCGCGAAGAACAGTTCCGATCGCCCACTCGAGAGCATGGGTCGATTCGTCGCTGAGATCTGTCGCGACAAGATATTTCCGAAGCCGGCGGTGCTCCTCTGCCGCCTCGCGTTGGATCCTGTCAAACTCCCCGCGATATATGATTTTGATCGATCTGTGCACTTCAGGTGTTGATATAATTCCTGTATGGCTCAGGGCGAGATTCTGTGCAACACGAATGGCAGACACGTCGGCCTCCAGGTCCGGATCCAAAGCGGGAGTCAGGTTGCCCGACGGTGTCATCTCATCAAAACTCGTGCTAGGGTGAACTGGCTGCTTGCCGTTCTTTGCTTTTGCCTTGTTCTCCGAGCGAGCTATATGAGTCTCTGCATCATCGAACAAAGATCGATACTGTGGTTGCGTTGACACGTGTTGCCCTACGTGGTCATATTAGCAATGGAGATCAACATCTTGAGTTTGCGGACGTGGGCGGCAACACTCACTCTCTTCCTCCGCAGCTGCAAGAAGACTTTGCACGCGACGTTGAGGCACACCAGTCTTCTCCTCAGCTCTAGTAGTAAGCTTTCTACCTCGATCTGCTTCCTCGTCGGAGCTGTTGCCAGTGTCATCACTCTCATCCGAGGGCAAGATGTCTCCATAAGGGCTCATGTTGTCCTTCTCGATACGCCCGAGGCCCTCGCCTTCTGGCTTTTTCCTTGCATAGGATGCAAGGTTCGAGCCGCCGTAGAGCAGGTTGGCATCTGACAGCCGGCGATACGCGCTGTTCATATCAATCACTTGCCCGTTGCTGTCCAGGACGAGTCCTCCAGAGCTACGGCCAGCCGAGTTGGCGAGTAAGCTTCCGCCTGGTGAGCTTGACCGCAGGGAGAAGCGTCCGCTTGGAGACTTGGATTTGTTGCCCTTGCGGCTCGAGAACCTGCTGCTGCGTCCTTCGCCGGGTATCATCAGACTCGAGATATCGGTACCTCTCAATGCCTCACCGATGGAACTCGAACGGGCATTGCTAGAACCTTGTGTTCGTCGGGAAGGGTGGGCCTGGCCAACATTGGTTGGTAATATGTTGCTAAACTGGTAGGCAGACATGGAATCATATCTAGGATTCAGTGCGGGTGGCGACCGCGGGCCAAAGTCGACTGGTTTCGCCGAGGCGTCAGAGGCGCTTCTATTGCGGGCTGTTGGCAAGATTGGAGTCTTGTATGAAAGCGTGGGAGATGTATGAGTGCTGTGCGGCAGCATAGGCGACCGTGGAGCTGCCGAGGTAGGCTCACCCACATCCAACATACTTGACGGCCTTCTTGACGACCCTGCATCAAGATCAAGCATGCTGCGGTATGGTGCTTGGGAGGGGCTTTTTCTCGTCGTGTCCGAGCCTCCAACGTCAAGCATGCTGCGCACAGGAGACTGTGGGATCCTAGCATAGGGTGACGGCGAGCGCATGCTGATCGATGATGGCGGGCTTCGTGCCTTTTGCTGAAGAATGAGGTTCTCAATCTCGGCCCGCTCCTCCTCGAGGGCTGCCTCGAGGGAGGACACTGGTCGGCCAGCCATTATGGGAGGAGGAAGAGTGTCGGCTGCGGCGCAGATGATGGTCGTTGAGCGTATGGACAGCCTGCTGGAGGCTGCTGCGATCTAGTGCCTGCCTCAGCTCAACACAGTCACAAAAGGCTGGAACGAGGCTGGCGTTGGCAGCGGGCGACGGTACGCAATCTGTGCGCTCTCAGAGTTTCGAACGTCCAGGTCCACTGGAGCTGGAGATGGGCCTGGCTCGATGGTAGGAGCCCACTGGTAATTATCAAACGATTGCCAGATGTGGTTTCGGGGGACGCTGCAGGATCTGTAGTGTGTTTCGAAGGCGACGGCGTAGCCTTTGTCGTTGTATGGAGTTCGGCGGTCAACCGTGTTCAAGTGCGTCTCGCGGCTGGCTTTTGGGCGGGCTGGATTAGGCTTTGGCGGGCGAAGCTGGGGCCCCTCGAACGATCTCGACCTCGAGACTACCCCTCAGACGTAGTGCCGGAACGGGGAGCTGCTGTGCCAAATGAGCAGCACCACAACTATTGCAGGTTCTATACGGACGCCTACGCAAGCGACGAGGAGAATATGTGATTCAAAAGCAGCAGCATACAAAGAGGGCAGGCTTGGGGGTTGAGATGCACGGCGAGCGAGGGGCAGGCGGGTAAGCGGTGGGTGGCCTGGCACCACCTTCTTGAGCAAGTGCTCCAGGACGGAAAGAGGGAAAGAGGGGGACCACCCCCTGGGGATTGGGCTTGGTGTGCGTCAGCAGCTCAACCGCGCCTTCCTGCCAAGCCGTGCTACCTGGGCTGGCTTGCCTCTTTGCCAGCCACGTCTTGGCGGCAGTTAGTTCTGTCGAATGTCAATCTGATGGAATGATCTGTGCTGCAGAGTAATGCAAGCAGCCGTTAGAGCCAAATCATGCACAAGCCACCTAGCGCGCGGCTTGGATCTAGACTATTGCAGACAGGAAACAAAACCACGGAAGCATCCATCCTACAACGAGAGCTCCCATGCGTCTGGCCAGTCTTTTCGCGGTCGCAATGGCGTAGCATTGGCCCAACATCGCCACTTTTTCGGAGCCTGAAAGCTTCAACGACCACTATGCGCGAGCAAACATCGTGTGTTGTGTTCTGACATTCATTGTAACAGCTATGACGCCGCCTTGCAGAAGCCCGAGGACGTCCCAAAAGCATCCCCCACATCTGAGGGTAGGCGCGTTCATACTTTACTCGTCACCTTGCGCATTCCACTTGTTTGACTGAACTTTTTGCTTATTATCAGAAGTGCTACCAATAAGTCTTCTGTGCTCCGGAATGTGACCTTCCAGCTGGCAATGTCCGGGCTCAACCTGTTCCCCAGAAACGTCGCCCTCATAACCTATGTCAACATGGTGAACCATGAGCATGGTCGTCAAATAACCGTCAACGCCAAAAATAACAATATTGCGCCGTGTGCAATCTCCCCGCCACGATCCCAGTCTGACCCTAGATCGTCTATCAATACATGCGAGTAACAGATTGTTTCTCACATGCCGCCGTGGCAGATGCAGCCATTGCGTGGCCATACATCATTGCAACATCGCACGTGAGAAACATGTCGTAAGCCGTAAGAGGGTATGAGGGGGTACGAAATAACAATGCAAGTATCGATGTGAAATCACCCAACTTTTCCGAGCCGTGTCGAAGGATCTAAAACATGTGCGTGACAATGTCGTAAACGTCGCTCAGGGAGGGGCAGAGTGCAGATTGGGGCACGCTTAAGCCTTCTCCTCGGTCTTCTCCTCCTTCTGCTCAGCAGAAGCGTCGCCCTGCGACTTGACGTAGTCGTTGTAGACGGACATAGCCTCGTCAACCTTGGCGCGGAGAGCGCTCTCATCCTCGATGCTACGGGCAGGTTAGTATCATTGGGCCAACAGCACCGTTGGGGTGGTCGACTTACAGGTTGACAAGCTCGTTGTTGTCCATCTCCAGGAGCATACCGGTGATCTTGCCAGCGAGCTCGGGCTGCATAGCAGAAATCTTGGGGAAGATCAGCTCACCGAGCATCTGCTTCTGCTGGCCAGGGTTGTTGGCGTGGGCCTGGAGCTGCTGCTGAAGCAACGAGGACGGGGTCAGGTCCTGAGGGGCGCCAGCGGCCTGCTGAGGCTGCTGCTGGTTGCCACCGCCACGACCGCCCTGAGGGAATTGACCACCGGGGTGGCCGTTACGGGGACCACCACGGCCGCCGGGGCCGCCCTGGCGGGCGTTAGGGGGGTAGCCGGGCATGGCAGGGCCGCCCTGAGCCATCATAAACTGAGGGTTGCCAGGCTGGCCGTAAGGAGCACCAGGAGGGAACTGGCCAGGCATGTACATGTTGGGGGGGATCTGCTGAGGCATGGGACCGCCACGGCCACCCTGAGGACCACCGTAGTTGGGGTTGAACTGGCCGGGACGACCACCGGGCATACCCATACCGGGCTGGGGAAAAGGCATGCCACGGCCGCCCTGAGGAGGGAACCCAGGCTGCTGGCCAGGAGCGTAGAAGACCGGGGGCTGCATGAACTGTTGCGGCACGCCGGCGGCGGCGGCAGCCTGCTGCATGCGGAGCTGGTTGCGAGCTTGGATACTAGCCTCAAGCTGGCTCTTGCGGACGTCCTTGCGCTGAGCAAGCGCCACGTAGAGAGGCTTGCTGTCGATCATGCGCTGGTTCATTTCGGCGACAGCCTTGGTGGCGTCATCGGGGTTGGCGAAGCAGACAAAGCCAAAGCCCTTGCTCTTGCCGAGCTTGCGATCAGTCTTCTTCTCCTTCTTGTCGTCGGACTCCTCGGAGTCATCGCTCTGCTGGTTCTCCTTGTCCTTGCCCTCCTTGTCCTGCTCGCCCTCGATAAGGCTGTCGCGCATGACCTTGGCAGAGGTGATGGGACCAAAGTCAGAGAACATCTGGCGGAGCTTGTCATCATCAATGTCATCAGACAGGTTCTTGATGTAGAGGTTGACACCCTGGTACTTGCTCGCCTTCTCCTGGCGGGCAGCCTCGTAGGACTTGCGGAGCTCCTCCTCACGCTCGTGCTTCTTCTGCGCACGGCCGACATAGAGGTCCTGGCCCTTGAAGTCCTTGCCGTTGAGCTCGTCCACAGCCTTGGAGGCGTGCTCGTGGGTGGTGTAGTTGACAAAGCCGAAGCCGCGGGACTTGCCCTCAGCATCGCGGGCGAGGGACGACGAGGTGACGTCGCCGTACTTCTCAAAGAGAGCGCGGAACTCATCGTCAGTGGCGTCAGGGCTGATGTTCTTGACGTAGACGTTGGTGAAGTTGGCCTTCATCTCCTCGAACTTGCTCTGGCGGTCCTTCTTGGGGATGTGGTGGCCGACGAAGACCTTCTTCTCGTTCAGCAGCATGCCGTTAACGTGCTTGATGGCCTGAGAAGCAGCCTCATCGGTCTCGTAGTGGACAAAACCGTAGCCCTTAGAGTTGCCATTCTCGTCCTGCGCAACCTTGCAGCTCAAGATGTTACCGAAGGCGGCAAAGGTGTCGTGGAGAGCCTTGTTATCAATGGCGGCGTCGAGGTTCTTGATGAAGATGTTGCCGGCGCCGCTCTTGCGGAGGTTGGGGTCGCGCTGAGACCACATGATGCGGCAGGGGCGACCCTTGATCTGAGTGTAGTTCAGCTCCTCGAGCGCCCGCTCGCCATCGGAGGTGGTGTTATAGTTGACGTAGGCATAGCCGAGCGAGCGGCGAGTAACGGCATCGCGGCACACGCGAATCGACGCAACGGAACCGATCTGAGAGAAGAGCTCGAAAAGCATAGCCTCGGTGACGGATGGGTCAAGCTCGCCAACGTAGAGCGAAGCAGACGCGGCAGGGTGAGGGGTCTGGGCCGAGCTCGGGGCAGCGCCGGCGGTATCGGGCTCATCGTTGGAGGCAGCGACGTTGGTGTCGACGGTGGGCTTGGCATCGCTGCCGTTGTTGAGGGAGGTGTTGCCGAGGTCAGTGGCGAGCTGGTCAACAGCGCCAGAGGCAGCAGCGGCAGACATGATGATGGTTTGGTGTCGCGAGCAAACAGTAGAATTTGTCTCGTGGCAGGTGGTGATGACGAACTGGGACCAAGGTCAACCTGTTGCGTCAATGAGAAAATCGAGAGGGAGAGAACTCGTTCCGCTGGGGTCAGAGGTTCTAGTGGATATCGTCGTCTCGGATCGGAGTGGAAGTGCCGGTGTGTCGAGAGCGAGTCGAAGATCCTGGGCCGCGGGGTGGTGAACTGGCGGTGGGAGGGGGGGATTTTCTGGATTTTCTGATTTTTTTGGTGTTTTCTGAGATTTGATTTGGCGAGAACAGATATGAAGCACGAGCTCTTGGGAAGTCGTGCCTATAACTGAATCTCTTTTGTGCTTTTATGGGACGAAGCTGGTGATAACGGGGTGTCAAGTCGTTGAAGGGAAGAAGGAGGGAGGAGGAGGGTGGTGCCCATGCACCGCTTAAGACGTAGAAATTTTGTGATTGCGCCCAGCGAGCGTGTCGGAGATGGTGCAGGTGGGGGGCCCCCATGCCGCTCTGCTCTTCTGCGGCGGGCAGCTGCGAACGTGCCCACGCGCACACAACCTGGGAAGGGTCCAACGGCGCCCGCCAGAAAAAAGTCGACGCCTGAGCCAGGAAGAAAAAAATCTCTAGTAGGCGGCAAAGGGCCTGCCCCACCACCCACACCCTCACCAGCGACAAGTCCAACTACTTAAGTACTTTGGGCCAGTGACATGCAGCTGCTCGCACGAATGAGAGTGCTGACAGGTATCAACGCCGGTGCTTCTTCCGGCTTGGATCGTCCGCCATCTCGACCAGGCTGCAGACGGCAAAGTACGTACTATGTAAGCTTGATGTGTCTCCAAAGCCGTGCTGAAGAAACGACAGCAGGGCATGACTCTCCTAGGGCGACCCCGCCAGCCTATGGCGACTGCTCTGGCGCGTGATAGGAATCACGATGAATTAGAGGGGCGACTCGACATTCTAGGTACCTGCGCCAGACAATAGTCAGGGGCAGCACAAGCCCCAGAGCGACTTGACATTGCCATCTTTTGAAGAGTCTGCTACTTCAGGCGTGGACATCTGAACCGCCTGGCAGCCACATGCGATGATACCTCTGTACCCTGGAGCGTAATGTAGCACGGCGGCGCAGGAACAACCACTTAAAATGTGCCCAGGTAGATGGTTTGCTCCACCTGCCTGGGCGACCTGGATCCTGCTGGTTTGCTACACCACAACCATGGTTTCGTGAAAGGCGGTAAACCACAGCCGCAGGAGCGCACTTTATGATTTTACACTCGCCCATGTTGGCAAGGTGTTCCCACAGCATTTCGCGCTGGGTGGCCTGCTCTTCTTGGTCGTGTAGTGCCTGACATGGACCCATTACAGGCCAACAAGGAGCACATGGACTGCCCAACTCCTACTCTACCAACTCGAGATGGCAGGGCCTGAGTTGTCTGACCAAGTCAACGATTCCTGTTCGTGGGAGACACCAACTTCCCCATGTCTCAAAGGGTTTAAATCGTTTCAGTCATTCCTTCTCCAGGCGGTGAGCTTCAGATCCGATGGATTCCAGGGTCGTGGCGGGGGTGACCGCCGGAGTTATCGGCCTCCCTTTTAGCTCGAAGCCAGGGGCCGTCGTAAATGTGGAGACGGGACTGGCATTGCATCACTGGTTGTGTGCCTGCGTGACCCTGGGTGGACTTTGGTTATGGGGGCCTGGGTGCTTGATCGCCGTTAGAGGTACGAGTTGACGCGTTATGGTCGAGACGAACAGTCCAAATCTATTGGAGACTTTTGCATGGGCATGAGCAACTGTCTCTGCAGCAGCCCAGTGGCACCGAGCATGCCCTCGAGTGTTCTAGTGGCATGTGAGGCGACTAAAGGAGCTCACTGCGTGCGCAGTGGGGCATGGAGACCTCGACCTGCGGCCTCGATGACAGCAGCTGGGAGAATGTGACGGAATCCCACCCGCAGTCCTCGAAACGACAGCGCTTCCCAACAGGCACCATCGCTCCTATTCCCTTCTGATCGAGCCCGGCAACCATCCGAACTACCGTCCGCTCCAGAGCCTGGCCTCGACCACATCCTGGCTCTTTGTGCCACCGGCCCGCTGCCGCCCGAGACCCAGCTGCCGCATCGCCACACACGCTTCCTGTGCCTCGCCCAGGCTACCAGCCCGACCTCGCTATCGACTGCCAGTCTTTGATGCCGGAACATACACATGGCTCGACTGCAGCCACCGCTTCCTAGAGTTCTGACATCCCTCGAGCACCCGGCGGAGTACCCAACGGCCCCCTCTACTGCTCCTCGTCCGATGCCGGCTCATCCACCACCATCATAGAGCAGACCAACACGAGAACACGCCAACATGCTTCCTACATTCACCGGCAACTCTCGGCGGCCGCGCAATGTGAACCTCAGCGGGCAGCGGCCTTCGAGTCCCTGGGGCTCTAGCGGCTGGAGCGCAAACCCAGGCGCATCATCTGGTGCGTCCAAGACGGTCGCCCATGCTCAAGCAGAAAGGGAGAAGCGCCAGAAGGATCGCGAAGAGCTTGTCGCTACGAAGCGGCTCCAGAGGATATGGAGGGGACATTCCGCGAGGCAGAAGATTAGAGAAAGTCATCGTCGAGCATTTGACAGCGAAATGCAGCGTGCCGGGGGTACCGGTCTTGGCCACATTACCAAAACGTTGCCGCTGCTGTTGGCTCTTTTTGACCCGAAGCGAGACGACGACCAGAACAGGTTAGATTCATTCGTACACGATCTCACAGCACATAGAGCACGAGATCATCAACTCGGAAGCCTCAACCAGCACTCGCTCGATCGCCTGGTCGCCCTCATCGTCGCTGCTCTTGAAAAGTAAGACAAATAAGGCCCATTTCACCTCAGTCAGCTCAACTAACATACCAAAAACTACAGAAGACCATTCTCTTCCGCCCGTGCGCTCCTACCGCTTTTATCTGAGCTTGTGGCAAAACGGCCTTGGAGTGTTGGCTCAATCCTTGGCCGCTACTATCATGTTGCGGCACGGTACTTTTCAGAGGTCGCGGATCCTGCCGAGGAAGCGATGCTCTGCGAAGTTGTCCGCGCACCCTTGTCTTCCGAGAAAAGTACGTGTTGACACCTCGAGTCCTAGACTTTATCGAAAGCGTGCACTGACAGGAACAGCGTCAGATCTAAAATCTGCATACCATGCGATAGCATTTCACTTTTTGACGTTTGAAGGCCTTCCTGTAACCAGACAGAACCCAGAGATTCTGTCAGCTGTCATAGATTACCGCTTGCTTTCAGATGTCATATCCAATGCTGTCTTGTATGGCACATCTGCAAACAAAACATCGAGGGACGGTCAGTTATGGCTCCTGGCACATTTCATCGCACTCAGCAGAACATCCGCCGGTGGTCAGGATACCATTTACCTGAGAGCTCTTTACCTTCAACTTTCGAGTCTTGCCGTCGATATCCGTTTGCGGTACAACCAGGATGACAGTGGCGATGGCGATCAGATTTCGGACGACGAGGATCTCAAAATGCTTGACCCTGCGTCATCCACATTGCCTGATTTCGTTGCCGAGCAGCTTGAGTTTCTCGTCAACGACGATGGTATCAGTGAACTCTTGCGGAGATTCACCACGTGAGTTCAAGCTACCTTATTTGCTTGGGAGATTTCTAGCAGCTGACTCTCTTGACGATCCAGAACGTCATCGCCCAGCGCAGGGCTCTCGGAGGACGCTAATCTGCTCGCTGGCTACACATTGGTTTTGCTCAAGTGCTTTCCCAACCATGGCGACGATATCAAGATGCGGCTCTTTCATGGCGACATTACGACGAGCGATTCCGGCAAACAGCACACTATGCCGACCGTGAAGTACTTCTGGCACGCGGCGTCAAGGACCGAGATCTTTCGCAAGCTGATGCAAAGCAAGATTACGCATCCTGCCTCAGTTGTAGGTCCCTTGCTGCAGCCGGGATCCAAGCACGATGAGGAGTGGCGCACAATGCTATTATTCCTCGAGCTATATAACTTTCTGCTGCGTGTCACGGATGACGAGGACTTCCTGCCTTCAACATTTCAAGCGATGTCTCAGCAAAGCCCGGCCACATCACGCATTCGATCCAGCGGGTTGGACTTGGAAGAACTCAAAGCGCTAACGAGCTTTCTGAAAAATCTCACTTTCCCGTTATATCACGATCTACCAAGCATAATTTCTTCTACCAAGGAGCCCGCGCGACTTGACCATTTCATGGGGCTACAACCCAAGCCTTCAGCTCAATCCGGATCCTCACAAGAGTCCTTATCTCCCACCTTCGGGAATGACGTTATTGGTCTTCGTCAGATTGCGACCACCACCATGAGATCACTATACGAGAGGGACTCCCGCCGAAAGTTTCTGCCGCAAGACTTCTGGTTGATGACATCAAAATTCGACATGAACGGGTTCACTTCAGCTGTCGTTCTTGAGGAGCAGCAGAAGAACGACACCACCGAAGAAGACGACGAGGACGAGGATGAGATTGACAGAACCCCATTTCATACTGCAAGCGTCTCGCGGATATCACGGGCTGCTCAGATCGAGCGACATCGGCAGTTGCGCAGGATACAGCGCGAGAAACTGCTGGCGCAAGCAGCCCCCAAACTCGAGATTCTCAGGAATATGCCCTTTATCATCCCCTTCGAGATTCGAGTACAAATCTTTCGACAGTTTATCTACCTCGACAAGAACCGCAGGCGCGGTGGCCACGTCGATCCTGATCGGTGGCGGCTGTCCGTCATACAAAGTGCCGGGGGATTTGGTGGCCCAACACCTGGCGGACGAGAGATTCTTGGGCGTCACACTGCTCGCGTGAAGCGTGGTTCCGTCTTTGATGATGCCTACGAGCAGTTTTATAACCTGGGTGAAGGCATCAAAGAGCCTATACAGATTACTTTTGTTGACCAATTCGACCAGCCAGAGGCTGGTATCGATGGTGGAGGCGTGACCAAGGAGTTCCTCACCAGTGCTGCGGAAGAAGCCTTTGACCCTAGCGAGAACGGTCCTGGGTATTTCGTGGCCAACCAGCAGAACTTACTGTATCCCAACCCAAGCGCCTTTGATGAACGCGCTGAACTCCTTCGTTACACCGGCACGGCCAAGGGATCGCCGGAATGGAACAACGGAATGACTGACCTGTCCAAGCGGTACGAGTTCTTGGGCCGGCTGATAGGGAAGTGCATGTACGAGGGCATTCTAGTCGATATCTCGTTTGCAAGCTTCTTCCTGCTCAAGTGGGCGTCGTCAGGTCAGACCTCACCCACCGACCACAGGGCTAATCTCAACGATCTGCGGGATATGGATCCGGAGTTGTACCAAGGTCTGATCAGCCTCAAGAACTATTCCGGGGACGTTGCCGATCTCTCGCTGGACTTCACCATAACAGACCAGGTCAGGGATTTCCAAGGCAAAGTCCACACCATCACACGGCCTCTGCGCAAAGAAGGGTCGAGTTTGCCCGTCACGAACAAGGACCGGCCCCTCTACATATCATACGTTGTCAACCACCGCCTGGTTGCCCAGCCGTACCGCCAGACAAAAGCGTTCCTGCGCGGTCTGGGCACCATCATCAACCCTTATTGGCTGTCCATGTTCAACCAGTCGGAGCTGCAGCGCCTCGTGGGCGGCGACAGCACCGAGATTGACGTCGAGGACCTGCGCCGCAACACGCAATACTCGGGCCTCTACGCCATTGGCGACGACGGCCTCGAGCACCCCACCGTCGAGATGTTCTGGCAGGTCATGCACTCGTTCAAGGACTCTGAGCGGCGCGAGGTCTTGAAGTATGTCACCTCGACGCCGCGCGCCCCGCTGCTCGGCTTCTCCCAGCTCAGTCCCGCCTTCAGCATTCGCGACGGCGGCACCGACGAGGACAGGCTGCCCAGCACGAGCACGTGTGTCAATCTGCTCAAGCTGCCGCGGTACAGCTCTGCCGAGACGCTGAGGAGCAAGTTGCTATATGCCATCCAGTCTGGAGCCGGGTTCGATCTCAGCTGATCAGCTGACACTTTCAAAATTGGAGCTGAGTTGGGCGTGGTGTGTGCAGTGCAAAAGGGGAAATAACATGAGTCATGAGGGGGTTGCTGTAACGTGATTTGTCATTTTCGTATTATCATGTCAAATAACTTGATTAGACAATGTATTTAGCGTGCTGCTTGCGGGTATTGTTTTAATTGCTGTACATGAAGCGCTGCTTTGTAGGTTGCACTCAGTCCTTTCGCGTGGTCGCCAAGATGAGTACTTGAAGTAAGATCGCGAAATATATCTCTTCTTGCCAAGTCTGAGCCAACCGCCGCCGATTTTACATGGCGTTTGTTTTTTCTCACGGACTCCGGTCAAATCAGCAGCTATCTAAGGTACGAATGCTTACAGATAGTCGTCTCTATGATCCCCGCCAATTCGAATCTCAGACTCACATGTCGCTTCGAATAAACAGGAACAGGCAGATAATCTACCGCGCCTTCCATGCATCCCAATTTTCGCTCGCGAGGAAAACACACACTGGAATCCACCGAGCACAACCGTTGAAGGCAAGGAAAAGGAAGGAGACGAAAAAGGTTCTCTATCACTCTTCCTCAATATATAGTAAAGTCCTCAATGTATTGGTAACACGTGTCAAGCCGATGGCGCTTGCGCGCCGAGTCGCTGGGGAACTCCATGTACGTGCTCTGCTGCGAATGCTGGTGTCTGATCAAGGGCACCCGCTGGCTCTCGCTAATGTCCCGCAGGACAGATCCATCGCCTGTCTCAATGATACCAGCGCCAACACGAGATGCTGGGTGCAGCGGGCCACTCTTGGGCAAAGGTGGACCAGCGCTGCCTCCGGGCTGGTCGGGAAAATGCACGCCGTCGTCCTTCTTGAGATTCATCTCGACAAGTGTGGCAGATAGCCCGGCATACAAGGTTGGTGAGGTATCAGAGGCCTTGGCCAGCGTGTGGATCGGGGATTCGCGGCGGACGTTCAGGTAGACGTTGATGTTTGGTCTATAGAACGCATGCGACGAGAGGGCATGCCAGCAGCACCGAGAGCCGGTCAAATGATCGCAGCGGTCGAGGTCAGGCTGGTAGGGTGCGGCGGTCATTGTAGGCGACCGTGATTCGGGATAAGGAGGATCGTCACTGCACGGAAGTGCGTTGGTGTACTGGTAGCCTCCGGACCAGCGAAAATCAAAGATCTTGAGGACAGAGGCGCGCGCACTGCCGGCGACGAAGCGCTCGAAACCAAACGAGATGAGAGAGCTGGCTGGCGTTGTTGGCTCAAAGTGATCTTGGTAGATGCGGTCGAATGGTTGGCGAGTACGCAAATCCTGAAGGCGGATTGTACCGTCATCCCACGCGCTTAGAATGGTACTCTCATGCCCGCCAGCCATAGTGTTGGAGCCGACTGGCAATATCGCTCGTACTGTCCCACTCTCGGATTCGTCTTTGATGTACCCGCCGGTTAGCTTCGTTGCTGCCTCCATGTCCAGCCCACTCGGTCTGATTGTGATGTAGCGTAGAGGATCCAAACTGCTTGTCAAGCCCACCGCGAGCAAGTCGTGGCCGACAAACTTGACGTCGCGCATGACCTGAAAAGGCCGCGAGCCTTCTTGGTCTCGGAGGATCATGAAGTCATTTGGGCCGATGCTAGGCGTTTCCTCCACGGCATCCGAGGATGGCGCCTTGCTGTTCACTTGTTCTTCGTGAGAATTATAGGAGTAGAGCATGATAGTGTCTTTTGTGGCGCTTGCAAGCAGTCCGCCATGCCTGCTCGTGTCAAGCGCCTGGATCTCCCTCTGCTCGAGCTTGGTGCCATGCTCCGGCGAGGGCCGAAAATGCAGCACTGGTTGCGCGAAGCTGTCTTTGTCGAGTGAAAGCAACGCCAGCTCGCCACTGGCTCGACCAACTACGGCCGCGATGCCCTTTCCTGCAGAGGCTCGACTTGAGTCTTCCACGACGGACAGAGAGGTCACATCATCCTTGCCAGCCGTATAACCATGGCGAGCACCTTCAGACAGGTGCCATGTTTCCTCCTGCTCTGCAGTACCACGATGGGAACGTGTGCGCGCCACGAGATCCTCCCCGGCTCCCCAAATCACTGTTTCAGAATTCCGTCTCCCGTCCCGTGTCTCGTGAGCAGCCACGACCATGTGGCAAGGTATAGTCTGTGCCGCAACAAAGGCGGCGCCGCCACGGCCACCACCACGCCGTCCGCCTCTACGCTGGCTATGCTGTGGCGTTGTTCGCACGAAATTGTCAAAGACAAATGCACGCCTGTCCCAGTCTCGTGACTGGGAGGTCAGGGTCCGAGCAAGCTCTCTCCATCCTGCGTCGCTGCTGACCTCGGGAAGGTCAAGGCTGGGAAAGCAGGACCGAGCAAAGGTCCGCCAGCCGACGGTTACGACGACATTGTGCAGTACCCGACAGGTCAGACCGAGACGTGCGACGCTCTGGGCTGTGTCGAGGTGGGAGAGGATGATGAGGAGGATATCGGCCGGGAGGGACTCGAGCCTGGCCGGATCCCTGGTGATCTGGAGCGACTTGAAATGCTGGCTCAAGTCCATATCTTGGTCTGGCACGCCATCTGGGGCATCAGAGAATAACGGTCGTGTAAGTATTGGGGTGCTGTGATGATTGCTGGTTTGGTTGAATAGTGGCGAGGGCGAAAAGAAGGGATCACGACGGCGAGGTTGGTTAAGAAGGAAACACGGCGTTGCCCTATACGGACGCTTGTCTCTTCTGGCTTACAGGACCAGGCCCAGCTGCAGGGATCGGGCTGTGGCGCGTCAGAGGCGAAGCTGGCTCGACTGCCGAATGTGGCACACGTCAATCTCGTGGCGGGGACCTGGGGCGGAACTATTGGGAACGACGACGAAAAAAAGAGTCATCGACGCTAGCACCACCGCCAGAGTCACTGGAGCTGACATCATTGCCCCTGTGACGCAGCCGCCCCAAGCGGAAGGCGCCTTCCTGGAGGGAAGCTTGCCAACGGCCGCCCCCAAGCCTCAGCGCTAGGCCCGGGGGCCCCACCACTAAGCAGCAGTGGCCCCTCGTCACGACAAACTTGACAACAACTAATACAGCGTATGCATGCATGCCATCCAAAGATTCATAGCGGCTGAGGTAACAGGGATCCCAGCCTGGTCACTCTCGAGTCCTGCAAGCAAGGCTCTCTTCGAGACGTCCACGATTGCTTGGAGTCATCAACCACAAGCGTGACTCACTGCTTCCACCAAACCCACACGGCAGGCCATAGCTCAACCGCAGCAGCAGCCAATATTTGTGATCAGAGACTCGATCAGAAAAGCCGCAAACGGTAAGTGCAGGGCAGCCTCTGTTCAAGAGCCTGCTGGTAACTCTTATATGTCTGCCTCAGGTCTGCAGGCCCCTCCAGTGCTCGGACGGCAGAGGTGGGTGGGGCCGGCTGAGTCCCTGGAGAAGCTGATCACGCCAGCGGTGGGACATTACAACCTCGACGTCACTTTTGGCACGCAGTGCCATCTCCCCTTGCCGCACAAGTCGGAGACTGCCTGTGTGTACGGCAAACCAGCCCATGCTAATCGCCTTGTCGCCCGGCAGTGGTGGCGATCGCACACACAGCGCTTCTCTAGAGCTGTCCCCTGCTGTGAACATACCCGCAGGATGTTCATCTTTGCCCTGCTTGAGGCTAGGTTCCTCGCCGCGTGCCTGGCTGCATCCCCTTTCCTCCTTCAGCTCGTGCTCTATCCCGCCGTTCTGTCGCCTTCTTCGAGGTTGATTCTCGCCTTTGTTCAGCTGTACACTACCACCGCTTGTGTCGCGGCAGTGGCACTGCTGTACAAGCTTCTGCTATATCCTTTTTTCCTGTCGCCACTTTCGAGGCTGCCGCAACCGCATTGGTCGTGCTCCATCACGTCGGCGTGGATCCTGTGGGCGAGGTTCTCGGGGCGGGAAAACCGCACGTTGCAGAAGCTGCATCGCAAGTATGGACCTGTCGTGCGGATAGGGCCCGCCGAGGTGAGTGTCAACAGCCTCGAGGCTGTCAAGACTGTATATCAGGGTGGCTTTGACAAGCACAGCTGGTACGATGTCTTCAACAACTACGGGTGAGTGTAGTTCTCCGGGAACCTATGCGTCGCTAGCCGACGTTATCCACTGACAAGAACGATAGTGTGCCAAACACATTTTCCTCGACACAATCCAAGCACCATTCCGTGCGGAAACGCATGGTGTCAAATGTGTACTCGAAATCGTACATTGCAACCAGCCCGGCCACACATGCACAGGGAAACGTGATAGTTAACGACAGACTGATGCCACTGTTGCAAAAGTCGGCCAGCCAGAAACAGCAGCCACACGGTATCAACGTACATTCTCTGTTCTGCGCCGTGGCCATGGACTTTATAACGGCATACTGCTTCGGGATATCACGCTCGTCCAACTTTATCCAGGACAAGAACTACAGAGACCACTGGTTAAAGCTATACATGACTCGAAAGGGGTACGGCTTCTTCGAACAGGAGCTACCTTACTTAGAGTCTCTCGTTCGCCGAACAGGCTTCAGCCTGACGCCCGCCTGGGTTCGAGCGACGAATGAAGAGCTCCAAGGCTGGTGCAAGAGCAAGAGCGATGCAGCTGTGGAGTATGTGCACAGGACAACCGGCTCCTCGGCACCGCTCGACGCTTCTAATGAACCCGTCGTTGTTCGGGCCATGCTGGCGGGGATTGACCGCGAAGCGAGGAATAACGGCGAGAGCTCTCTCATTCACTCCACCGCTGTTCAGCATCCTGAACTATCGGTGGCCTCTGAGGTCCTCGACCACGTCTTGGCGGGCCAGGAGACCACTGGCGTCTCGTTGACTTATTTGTCGTGGCATCTCTCGCAGTCGCCTGACCTGCAAAGGGAGTTGCGAGAGGAACTGCGCTCTGCCTTCCCCAGTCCTTTCTCAGTACAATTGGATGGGAATGGGGAGGACGCCAAACTGCACATCCCCGATGCGAAGCGGCTCGACGCGCTCCCAGTCCTGCATGCAGTCATTATGGAAACAGTACGCCGGTACGCTCCTGCTGGCGGGCCGGAGCCGCGGGTTGTTCCGGCTTCTTCGTCAGTCATTGCAGGTCAAGAAATTCCTGGTGGTACACGCATATCGGCCTCGGCGTATAATCTGCACCGTGACGAGCGAGCGTATCCCGATCCGTTGAAGTGGGATCACACAAGATGGCTGAGGACAGTCGTTGGCGCGGAAGGCGACGAGGGGGAGTCTGCAGTCGCGAACCGACACTTCTGGGGGTTCTCCAGTGGCGGCAGAATGTGTCTTGGCTCGAATTTCGCGATGCACGGTACGTCAACCCGCGAGTCCCTTCTTGTTCCACTCTTTTCTCATCGCAAGTCTTTGTGGGCGAGCACGATTGAATTGTGGCAATACTGATGCTGCGTGACAGAAATGAAACTTGTCGTGGCTGCCATCTGGGCCAACTATGTGACGCACATTGTCGACGATGTAGGAATCGAGCAGACTGATGCGTATACGGGTCACCCGAGGAGCAACTCGCTGTATCTGCGGTTCGAGAGGGTTATATAGGCACCTAGCCGGACCTGCCAAGGTATTCTCTGGGACGATACAAGGCTGTACTGTTACACGACCAGTCTCTCCAAAACCTTGCCGTGAGGTCCTTGCGGGACTGTGGCTCTTGCGGTGTTCCATGTCCTTTTCTGCATGGATGATTTGTGACCCGAGTCCTTGATATATCCTGCCACGGCACGCAGCTGTATGAGTCTGTCCATGCTAATGCTGGTCAGCTGGACCTTGAAGATGTCGTTGTGTAGGACCATGAATCAAGCCCCGGTGCCGCCGGTCTGCTGACCGAGCCGTGATTGGCGGCGGGGGCCGGGGTCTGGCATGTGAAAGCGGCTCAGGGCGCGCGGGCCCCCGCCGCCACGGGGCTAGTACGCAAACAGCAACTTCCGAGGCTCGAGATGCGCTGCTGCTGCTTGCTGCAATGCGTGCGTTGCGTTGCACCTGTCCCACAACGCTGCCGCACGCCTGGACAAGACCGGTAGTGCCTTTCCCCAGGCAGTCTGGGGTACATGCGTACTTCCTTACTGACCCGTGATTGCCGCCCAGCAACGTGGAGCCTCGCCCTCGCGCCTCTGCCCGCCCGGAGCCTGGCCTGACCTGACCTTGAGCCGAGCGAGCCAACTAAGTACCTTCAGTAAGCAGCTCCTGCTCCCGGCCCCAAGGTTTAAAACAACCAGCACGCCCGCCACCTCCCCCAGACCGAGACACCTACATCATCCTCCACAGCTCCCACAACCCCACGATCTGCTCTTTTCCATCTTCTGTGGCTGCATCTCTCTATTTCCCTCCTCGCTCTCGGTCTCCATCACCACATCACACACAATGTCTGGTAAGCTTCAACCCCTGCTTCCAACCTCTTCTCCTGCCGCGGCTCCCCATCACGAGACCACGCGCTAACAACTCGTTCCCCGGTGCAGCCCTCGACAGATTATCCCAGATCGGCAGCCAGCTCACCGGCTCCAAGAGCGCTCGCGCCAAGCTTCTCGAGAAGAATGCCGACGATGTATGTTCTTCCACCCATCCATAGTCGCCTTCCGCCAGCTATACTGTCGGGTTTTGCTTTTTGCGCAGGTACTAATCACTCTGTCCCTTGGCGCAGATTGTCGTGACCGCTTGCCTGCGGACGCCCTTCACCAAGGGCGGCAAGGGCGGCTTCAAGGATACCGCCGCTGCCGACCTCATGGCCGGTGCTCTCAAGGGCCTCATCGAACGCTCCAAGATCGACCCTGCCCTCGTCGAGGACATTGCCGTCGGTGAGGTCCTTGCTCCCGGCGGTGGTGCCACCGAGATGCGCGCCGCCGCCCTCGTTGCCGGCTTCCCCGAGTCGACTTCCGTACGCACCCTCAACAGACAGTGCTCCTCGGGTCTCCAGGCCTGCGTCGACGTCGCCAACCAGATCCGTGCCGGCATGATCGAGATTGGTATCGGTGCTGGTGTCGAGAGCATGTCCACACAGTACGGCCCCGGCGCCGTTACTGAGTTCTCGGAGCTCCTCGAATCCCACCCGGAAGCGGCCAACTGCAAGGTGCCCATGGGCGTCCTCTCCGAGCAGATGGCCAAGGACCGCGGTATCAAGCGCGCCGACCAGGACGCCTTTGCCGCTTCCTCCTACGAGAAGGCCGCTAAGGCTCAGGCCGCCGGTCTGTTTGACGAGGAGATCCACCCCCTCACCGTCAAGTTCGAGGACCCCAAGTCGGGCGAGGTCAAGACCATCAAGGTCTCCAAAGACGACGGCGTCCGCCCCGGCACCACCGTCGAGACCCTTTCCAAGATGCGCCCGGCCTTTGACAAGAACGGCTCCATCCACGCCGGTAACGCCAGCCAGATCTCGGACGGTGCCGCGGCCGTCCTGCTCATGAAGCGCAGCACCGCCGAGAAGCTCGGCCAGCAAATCCTCGGCAAGTACGTCGCGGCATCGATCGTTGGCGTGAAGCCCCTGCTCATGGGTATCGGCCCCTGGAAGGCCATTCCCAAGGTCTTTGAGCTTACTGGCCTGACCAAGGACGACGTTGACATCTTCGAGATCAACGAGGCCTTTGCTTCGCAGTGCCTCTGGTGCGCCAACGAGCTCGGCCTTGACCAGGCAAAGATCAACCCCAAGGGTGGAGCGATTGCCTTTGGTCACCCTCTCGGCTGTACCGGTGCCCGCCAAGTCAGCACCCTGCTCTACGAGCTGCGGAGGCGCGGCGAGAAGATTGGTGTTACGAGCATGTGTGTCGGTACTGGCATGGGTATGGCCGCTGTTTGGGTTGCCGAGTAAAAGATCAGTCTAGCATTGGATGAACAAAGAAAGGAGTTTAGCATTGTATATCAATAAAGGGGAACTTTTCGAACAAATAAGACTTCCGCATAGTCACGGTGCATGCCTCATGACAAGAGCTCTCTGTGAATTGGCCTTCATGCAACAATTCTTCTTCGCTACGGACCATTATGATCACTAGACCACCAATTTGTCAGAACACTTGATGGCTTGCCTATTGAACCTAGAGGGGCGTATCGTTCTTGATGTGGTCGTATTGCACGCTCACATACTAGCTGAAGAAGACCATGAAGGAAGGCCGGACATCATTCTACACAGCTACTATTTTGCGCTCTCAGTTTCCTGTTTCCAGATTTGTGCTTTTGCTTGTCATGCATAGTCCCGTATGTTAACCTCATTCGAGCGCACTCCATCCAAGCCAAGTACTGCAATCATGGTGTATTTGTGGAAAATATATTCATATGCTGCTAGATAGCCGATGCTACGAATTGGCTTGTAGACAAGGCGCTTGAAAGAGTGTAGAGATGCAGTCCCGGCAGGCCTGTTCCTCAACCAAAGGTCTGGGGTGGAGGAGATGTCAGGTTATTGCCGCGCATTATACACTATTCGACGTCTCCGAATAGAATCTACCGTGCAGGCCGAGAGTAGCTCGTGGGTCTGGACTCTGCCATCATCACTCTGTCGTGTGGCCAACCCGACTGCAAATTTTCTTTTTTATATCTCACTCCTACCGTCACTGCCGCCGCTGCCGCAACTGAGTGCTGTTCATGCTCTTCATACTTCAAGATTCGGCCGGAGGATGAGGAGGCAGCGCATGAGCGTGAGCTGGTTGGCCATCCCCGGCTGAGGCAGCACCACCACCCGCCGCAGTCGCGACGGACGAGAAGTTCTCGACCTCGGTGCCGAACCCGTTGCATCGAGCCACGTGGACGACCTGCTGGCCCACGACGAGGTCCATCAGGCCCATCCCGACCGACTTGTAGATGACGTTGCCGTCGTGCAGCCAGCGGGCCAGGTGGCTCTCCCGCTGCTGCTTCGAGTCTGACGACGACGTCGAGGCCGAGCCTCGCTTCTCGCTGCCAGTGTGGTCGGCAGCGGTCTGCGGCGTAGGTGTTGCTGCCGCTTCAAACTGCTGGTGGTGTTGTTGGTGGTGATGGTGCTTGTCCTGCCGGCCATCGATGGACGACCGGCTCGAGCTGCGCCGGTGCAGCGCGTGAGAGATGCTGCTTGCGATGCTCCCGCTCTTGCTACGGCTCGGGCTGCGCGACGAGGAGCGCTTGCTCGCCGCCTCGCTTGTGGACGAGTTGGTGCCGTACACGCTGGACATTGCGCTGCCGCCGCCGCCGCCCGTGCTCGAACGAGAGAAAGGTTTCATGCCTTCGAGGGACTCGGCCAGGGATGAGGATTCTGATGACTGCGAAGCTCGAGCAGCGGCCGCGTCTTGTTGTTCCTGTTCCTGCTGTGTGATCTGGTGGATCATGACTAGTTCTCCGAGTCTGTGATCAACGCGCGCTGAGTTAGCATTGGCCTTTGCGAAAAGGAAAGCCCCGTCATGGTCCGGGAGACATGAAAAGAAAAACAAAGAAGGAAAAACGAGCAGCATGAACGAAAACGTACTCCACAAGTTGCCTCGGGTCTAGTCCAGCATCAATGATCTCGCCGGCCTCCTTGAGCGCACCACTGATCGTGTCGACAATCACCACGCCGCCCTCCACCGCATGCTTGTGGAAATGCCGGTGGCCATGCTCGTGCGTGCGCACCGCCCGGTGCAGCAGATCCCTGGGGAGCTCCCTCATGGCGGGCGTGTAGCTGCCGATGGCCACAATGAGCCTGCCTTTCCTCCTGGCCTCGCGGTTGGTGAGGACCTCGGCGTCAAAGAGCTCCTGCGTGCTCGGCGTGCAGCAGTAGATGACGTCGGCGTCGGCAATGTTCTCCGCCTCGATCCGGCTGTAGTCGCCGAACGAGGGCGTCACGATACTGAACTTTGCCGCCTCCCAACCCTCCGCGTGCTTGACGGCGCTCGGGATCGCGTAGAACTTCTTCATTATGTGCTTGGCGTTCTCGCTGAACTGGCGGTTGATGATGTTGACGTGCCGGATCGTGTCGCCCCTCACCTTGAGGGCCAGCCGGATGTGCCAGTACGCCTGGAGCCCGCACCCGAAGACGGTCAGGGTCCTGACAACACTGCGCTTCTCGAGCAGGCAGGTTGAGGAAAGTGCTGTGCGGAAAGCCGTGAGGGTCTTTGCGTGGAGCAGGGCCATGGGCTCGCCCTCTGGTGAGAAGAGAGTGATCGAGCCAGTAGGCCGCACGACCGGGTGGGACGGGTCAGCATTGGCAGAGGATAATGTGACGACTGTGTATGTAGAGTCAGATTTCAGTTGAGCTTGAGAACGGCAGTGTGTAGAAAGCATGGCAATATTGACATACCCTTGACTCCGTGGCCGTTAGGTGCGCACGAGGGCATGAAGAGCGTCGTCGTGCCATTGCCTTCCGAGTGCGTGATTGTCCTCTCCGGCTGGTCTATGGAGGGGCCCCCGCCCGTCTGCTGGCCGGTTGAATAGGCGTGAAGGGCACTCTTCAGGCCAAACTTGAAGGCGTTGGTGTCTTCCCTGTCGAGGCTCTCGAGGAGCGTTTGGATCTGCCCGTCGGACAGGACTGTCAACGACATGTTGCAATGCGCCAAAGGGGAGGTCGTGTTGTTTGTGCTGGCTGGGGCAAGATGCCTTCCCGTCGATGTTCTCGTCAAAAGTTGCTGCTGGTGGAGGAGCGGCTGAGTCGGCGGGCGTCCCGTAGCGTCACCTCTGTACTTTGTATGGCCAGATGTGTGCTTCCGAGAATTCGAAGGTTGACAGGACCCTTATTAATAGTTCCAGTGTACCCGGTAAGCTTAACACTTTTGTTTTCTGGAAGCTGCAGATCCGACGCGGAGAGTGCAATTGCCCCTCGTCTGCACGAATCGAACCCTTGCCATCCCCACACAACTACCTTACATGACGCAGTTATCACGACGGGCTCTTGTTGCGCCGGCCTTTCACCGTCTGGGGTCCGACCTAAAGTCCGACACTATGAGCTCCCGTTAAAAGTCGATCATAGTCGCCGGAGCTTCCGTGCCTGTCTCCGAGATGTGTCTCAACCTTAACTACGACCCGACCTTGACCTTGAGCCTCCAGGTCCTTGATTCAGGGATCCAGTATCCCTGCATTCGCAGCTCCTTGAGGCATCACTTGCCGGTTCAAAGTGCCTGCACTTCGTGACAGGAACACAACCTCAAGTGGGAATGTTGCAGTCCATTGTGGGGGGCGGAACTCGACTATTCTGTCCCAATCTACCTCTTTGAACAACCAGCTTCCTCCATCTGCTGACTTTCCACAGTAGACGTCAACTCCAGAATACGGCGTTGTGTTCTTGTCGTAAAACCCCGTTGCAGCCAAGATGTGAGACGCTAGCTCGGCGGAAAGCTCCCCTGGGGGAGCGCATACGACTGCGCTTCAGCGGCCTGGTTTGAGCTCAATGGGAGGCACTCATGGGACACCCAGATTCGCCCATTCTAACGAGACTGAAGATACCCTTCTTCTCGGGAAAGCAGGTCGAAAGCTGGCACACCTCTGGCCATGGATAGAACTTGCGGTTGTTCATGTTAAGATTGGAAATAAAGCGGAAAAGATCCAGAAGTGTAAACGCCAACAAGCCCACAGCGCGTTCGCTTTAGATATCACATTGGCCATGCACCATCACTTCAGCACTTGTGCGGTTGGGGAGTCAATATATAGGTGGTATCATGCAGTCACATTTTTATAGGTCAGAGGTGGCCTCTCTCGAGAGCGGAGGGAGTAGCTGCTGTTCATGCAAATCCATGTAACGTTGGTATTCCCGAAATTTTGAACCCCGCCAAACGCCGGAACTGTGCAAAAAGCTAGATAACTCCATTCATCCGTGACCAATGACCGTGACGTCGAGACATTATTGTTTCTTTCTTTTTTTCAACCTTGTCAAGCGCTACGGGCCATGTTTAGATCTTGGTGGCGTTCTCGATAGCCTTCCTCTTCTTCTCGATGCGGTGGTTGGCCTTGGCACCCATGATGCCGCCACCCCACTGTCTGCGGGCGTTCTCGCTGTTGGCGAGGTAGCCGTCCTTGACAGCGCTGACGAGCTTGGAGAGCTCGCTCTTGTCCTCGGAGCGGACCTCGGTGATGGCGAGGACAGCGGCGGTCTTCTTGTGGACGACCGTGCCGAGGCGGGCCTTGCCCTTAATGATGGCGTAGGGGACACCCATCTTGCGGCAGAGAGCGGGCAGGAAGATGACGAGCTCAATGGGGTCGACATCGTTGGGGATCAGGACGAGCGAGGCCTTCTTGTTCTCAATGAGGCCAACGACGTGGTTGAGACCGTACTTGACAGTGTAGGGCTTCTTGCTGACGTCCTCCTTCTTCTTGCCGTCCTTGACGGCGGTAGCCTCCTTGACGAGACGCTCCTTCTTCTCGGCCTTGGTCTCAGGGCGGTACTTGTTGAGGAGCTTGAAAGCCTGGGCGGCAGTGTTGCGGTCCAGGACGTGCTGGAACTGGGCGATCGCCGGGGGAACCTTCAGGCGCAGGTTGATGATCTTGCGCTGGCGCTGGAGGCGGACGTACTCGGGCCACTTCACCATGCGGGAGAGGTTGCGGCGGGGCTGGATGTCCTGGCCGATGCCATAGTTGCGGGTGCGCTTCTCGAGGAGAGGGTTCTGATTGAATCCTAGTTAGGGTCACCATTACCAAGAGAGATGGGGGAACAGGAGCATCATCACTAACCTTGGCAGCCTTCTTGCCAGACTTGGAGGCACCGAAGGGGGCCGGGGCGGCCTTCTTTCCGGACTTGGGAGGCTATCATTGAGAAAAGAAGACATCAGCAAATGTTGACATTGACTGTTGATCTTCCTTGAACTCTAAAGAGAATTGATTACGAGCGACCTTTCGGCAACACATCGCAATCAACCTCAAGCCAAATCTTCACCTATCATCCCGAAGGACGATAGGCGGGATATGTGACATCTCGACAAAGCGAGAGTCTTTGCAATTCACACAATGGCCGCGTGCAGGCGAGTGCACGACAGCCGTGCTGGAAGGTCGTGTTTCATCGAGATGTGCTTACCATGGTTGCTGCTGTGGGTTAGAAGTCGTTGGGTGAGGATTGATGGTCGACCCGTTCGATTTCTGCAGAGGCGTGCTGACGGGGGAAAATGTACGAGCCAACTTGCACGACGATGGGAAAAAGTTCGCATGGCTCCAGAATAATTGTGTGGTTTGTCAGGGTTTGTGGGCGCTCGGGAATTCATCGGCTGTGCTAGTCCAAGAATAGTTGGGTCCACTCTGGCGGCGCTGCATGTACCTCTGTACCTCAGACTTTTAGCCCCTCCTCTCCAGGACCTGGGCAACTTTTGCTCACGGCCGCTGGACTGCACTGGGAAGATTCAGGTGGGGCGAACATGAGCTGAAAGGTCTGGTACTGGTACACTTTGGTTGAGTCATCCATAGAGCCGGACAGAGATTTGGGTACTAGATATTGGGCATTGAGCTTGTTCTGGTTGACGAACAGCTTGCGGTGAACGACAGCACCATTTGTATCCTCCGATCGCTGTCACAGTAACCAGCACGATTGCGCAGTGGTATTGTTGGTAGTTGCAGATTTCATCAAAGCGTCTCTTAACCATGCCACCCGTGCCGTGCGTCAGCTGCAAGACTGAGCGAGCACTCATCAAGAGGCCCAAGAACCACGACAAGCTATGCAAAACCTGCTTCATTAGAGTCTTTGAGGATGAAGTGCATCACACCATCACATCGTCTCGACTATTCCAGCCTGGCGAGAACGTGGCAATTGGTGCCTCGGGGGGCAAGGATTCCACGGTTTTGGCTTCGGTCTTGAAGACCTTGAACGAGAGGTACCACTATGGCGTCAACTTATTGTTGCTCAGCATCGACGAGGGCATCAAGGGCTACCGGGACGACTCGCTCGAGACTGTCAAGCGCAACGCGGTCCAGTACGAAATGCCGCTCAAGATTGTCGGCTACGATGAGCTCTACGGCTGGACGATGGACCAAGTCGTGGAGACGATAGGGAAGAAAGGCAACTGCACCTATTGCGGTGTCTTCAGGCGACAGGCGCTCGACCGAGGCTCCAAGATGCTTGGGATCAAGCACGTAGTTACTGGTCACAACGCCGACGATATGGCCGAAACCATTCTAATGAACCTCCTCCGGGGAGATCTGCCGCGTTTATCGAGGAGCACAAGTATTGTTACCGGCAGCGACGCAAGCGACGTCAAAAGGAGCAAGCCGCTCAAGTACGCATACGAGAAGGAGATTGTACTGTATGCACACCACAAGAAGCTGGACTATTTCAGTACAGAGTGCATATACAGCCCGGAGGCTTTCCGTGGAAGCGCGCGGAGTCTGATCAAGAACCTGGAGAGAGTGCGGCCAAGCGCCATCCTCGACATCGTCAGGAGCGGAGAGGATATGGCCCGTCTGGTGCCAGGGGCAGCCCCCGACGCTTGCGGCTGTAATGGCAAGTCTGCAAATGCGACATCCGTCGCCGATCCAGACAGCATTGGAGGATGTGGTTCAGTGGCTGGACGCTCGAATGTTGGTGAGATGGCGGCAATGGAGAAACAATTACGAGAGAACGACCTCGCCTCTGAGAAGGAGTTAGAGACCGAAGTCTCGCTCGCAAAGATCGCTTCAAATACTCCATCGACAGTCAAGGGTAATCATGGCTCCGCGAAACCAAGTCCGAAGCGCGCTGGTCAAGCCATTCCCATCATCCCCAAGCAGAAGCTAGGATCCTGCGAGAAGTGTGGCTATATGTCGAGCCAAAAGCTGTGTCAGGCCTGTATGCTTCTTGAGGGGCTCAATAAAAACCGAGCCGAAGTCGTCTTATGAAGAATGACTCTCCGCCAGCGCTTACAACCAGCCATTGAAATCTGGCCAAGCTGAAATGCAATTCTTTGCACATATCATCTCATATATGAACCCGAGTCCACGCGAATTTCGAGAATAACAAGAACTATAATCCTCTCTGGTGACGAGTTCATTTGGCTATGTACAAGGGTTTGCCGCTGAAACTTGTCTATCTGCCGTTGTGATCGCCCATATCGTGCTTCCGATAATTAGCAGATGCGCTTCTCGACCTGCTCGATTTGTCAGTATATCTAGCTTGAGGGCCCTTCCGGAAGTGATGGTCATATGCGAACCTTCCAGGGGTTGTTAACTTCGAAGCCAGCAGGTGCCCTCGCGGCATCAATTTGTCCTCTAATGTTCCCCGTGAGCCTTCTGTCGCGGTTCATCACTACACAAAAACTTGATGTCAGTCGTTTCGCCGTCCAGAGGTCGAGTTTTGCTGTTCACGCCGCCCAATTCCGTATGAGGTTGCTCGTACTCTGTCTGTCCCATTGGTCCACCGATCGCCGTGCCCGCTTGCCGCCGTTCTGCCAGTTGCGAAACTTCGAGAGACCGGCGCCGGTCGCTCCGAACATCTGTTCAACACTTTGTCAGAGATGCCATGCGCTTCGAGGGGGTGAGGCTGGGCGCCAGGAGCTTACGGCCAAGATGATTCCGTAGGGAATCAGTGCCTCAAAGGGAACAGCCATTGCGTTTGGGTGTGCTGACGTTTTGCCAGTAGCGGAATTGGTATGTGTTTGTTGCCGAAGGGTGCAGCAGCGGGTGTTAGAGCGACGTTGGCTGCGAAGCACTAGGCGTTCGTGATCGAAGACAACCAAGATGGCCTCTGAAGCTGGCGATGTCGTCGGGCGGCGAGCTCTTGCTACAGTCTATCGAATTGAGCCAGTCGCGATTGGCCCGCCAGATCCACCCAGCGTGTGGCACACGGCTCTAAACATGTGGTACAGTGCATCATACCGTGCGATGTAACTCTACAGACTGGCTTGCACCCCAAATTGAGCGATCCCGGAATGCCTGGGAGAGTGGAGTCTAGCAGTGCGGGACCGCGCCTGCCTGCCTTCACGGCGCGGAGAGCAGGACACCTTGACGACAACGAGGAGCTCTCGCGCCGTCCAGCTTCTCCCTCGACCACGTTGCATCAACGGCACCCGAATCGATCCAGGACGCGTCAAATCGATTTCTACGTCGGCCGCACTACGAAAGACACCGCCCCAGCAGCTGGTTGGCCACACGCCAGCGCGTTGTGGAGCTTGCACCTCGCTCATCTCCAGCTTTCCTGTCGCCTCATGTCGCGCCGCGCCAGCCTTGTCGAACTTGCTAGGCTGTGTGCGAAGAACGCCGTTGGTCGCAACCGCCATAGCACGAAGACACACTTGCTATGAAACTATCCGCTTGATCTCACCAAAATAATCAGTCCGACCAAACACTTGTTTTGTGGTCCAACGTGCGCGCCTGCCTCGCCCCATTGCGGCGTGGGCCCCTCGCAACAATGAGCAGCGCCCAGGCAATGCAAGAGGAGCTGCAACAGAGCGTCGTCCTCAGCGAAGGCGAAGCCGAGTATGGAGAAGATGATCGGGACAACATGGAGGTCGACGATACTCATACAGGCGACAACGAGACACGTGGGGATAGCTCAGCCAACGGCCGACGTCGACAACCTCGGGCATCGAGAACTAGCAGGAATGATACCGACGAGGAATTTCAAGATGCTTTGGACGACCAGAGTGCCGGGGAAGAAGATGCGGACAGTGACCTGAGCGAAGCCAACGATGACGATCCGAATCAAAGCAGCGATGATGGTAACGGCGACGAGAGCGGCGACGATGAGGACAAAGAGGACGCGTCCATGGGCGAAGCAGACGCTGAAGGCGATGACGATGACGAGCCTATAACCCAGACACAACTCAGCCAGGACGATGAGCATGACGTGGAGGACGAAGATGACGCTGAAGGCGTTGGTGCTGTTAAGATTAGGCCGGGGGATACCGACGAGGAGAGTGACGAGAGCGCAAGCATTGCGTCTGGTGCGTCGAGTGATCACGATTCCGAAGCCGAGTGGGAAGCTGCCGCGGAGAATGGCAACGAAGACGAAGATGAGGAGTCTGAAGCGGCAGACCTTAGCCTATGTCTATTCTGCAAGAAGCCTGAGGAGAACGACCCATCAGAAGACTTTGAGTCCTTCCTTGCCTGCAGCAGTTGTGGCGACCACGGTAAGGTTTACGAGTGTGTACACATCACCCGCCAACAGTTATTAATCATGGAGATACAGCCCATCAGCAATGTGCACGAGACGCCTCAGCAATTAGTGAACAGAATGGTCAGTACTCATCCTGTTTCAAAAGGCGATACGGTACCCCGAAAGCTTACCTTCATGACAGCTCCTTCGAAGTGGAAGTGTCCGGAATGTGCAGAGGATGATACATCATCATCATCCGAGCATGGCGAGGATGCTCAAGATGTATTGCAGTCACAGGAAGTGGACGAAGATGGCGAAGACAACCATCCATCTGCCCACGGCGAAACAAGGAAAAGGGGTCAGGGCCAAGCGGAGTCCCGGGTGCTTAGGAAGAGGAAGAGCTCCGAAGGCGCGGTGGAAGAGGACAGCATGGCCCTTCGGAAACGACACAGAAGCACACCGGATGGCTCTAATCACGAGGGCGGGCAAGAAGAAAGCATGAATGATGATGCAAGCTCCGTGCGACCACGGTCTGTGCGCTCAGTGCGGCTCAAATCTGCCGGAATCACCACTCCCTGCACCGTCATCAAGCGTTCGCGATCTAGTCTCGTGCTCAACATGAGGGTCAAGAGCGAGGAGCTGTCCAAGATTCTATCACGAAAACCCAAACCACTGAAGAAGCGATCACACAGGGCGGCAACAAGTCGGCCAGCACAGACCAACGGAACTCAGCGCGACGTGCCGGTCGCCGATGCGTTAGCTGTATCATCTGTCTTTGGTCCAAGCTATTCGCAGCCATTCTACTCGTTCTATGACAAGGAGACGGATGAGCTCAAAGGCAAGCCATATGGCGGTATTCTCACAGAGCAAGAAGCCGACACGACCAAAACACTACCCACTAAGGATGATAGGCGACGGTTCGATGAAGCGAAGCAGAAGGCCGAAGAGGAGTGGAGGAATCGCCTGTTGGCCATGCAGGCGGAAGCAGAAATGCAACCAGTCAGAAAGACCAAGAAAGCACAGGGTCCAGCAAGCCAGATCGAATGCATCGAGTTTGGAGGTTGGGAAATCGATACTTGGTATGCTGCACCGTACCCAGAGGAGTACAGTCGCAACCGGGTGCTATACATCTGCGAGTTCTGTCTGAAGTATATGAACTCGGATTACGTCGCTTGGCGGCACAAGCTCAAGTGCCCAGCTAAACACCCACCTGGCGATGAGATCTACAGGCACGGCTCTATCTCATTCTTCGAAGTGGATGGGCGGAAGAACCCAGTCTACTGCCAGAATCTCTGCCTACTGGCCAAGCTTTTCCTGGGTTCGAAAACGCTCTACTACGATGTAGAACCTTTCCTCTTCTACGTTCTCTGCGAGTATGACGACCTGGGCTATCACTTTGTTGGATACTTCTCCAAAGAAAAGAGAGCCAGCAGTCAGAACAACGTCAGCTGCATTTTGACACTGCCCATCCACCAACGCAAAGGGTACGGCAACCTCCTTATCGACTTCTCCTACTTGCTCACAAAAGTGGAGGAGAAAACGGGCTCGCCAGAAAAGCCTTTATCCGATATGGGCCTTGTCTCATATCGTAACTATTGGAGGCTCGTCATGTGTCAGTACCTCCTCGATAACGCTTCTGAGGATCGCATGGCACGGAAAGGACTCAGCATCCGGCAGATCTCTGACGATACTGGCATGGTCCCGGATGATGTTGTGTCCGCCCTCGAAGGACTCCGATGTTTAGTGCGGGACCCGATCAGTGGCTTGTATGCGTTTCGAGTCGACTTCGCCTACTGTCGCCAATATGTCGAGAAGTGGGACTCCAAGGGCTACGTCAAGCTGAAACCCAACGCTTTGACATGGACCCCATATGTCATGGGCCGCAGCAACGCCACAAACTTTGAGCTGGGCCCTACAATTAGTACCATTGCCCCTCGTGACGAGGACGACGATATAAAGACGCCTGCTGTCAACATCCTGGCGAGCAGCGGGATTGCTACAGGCGATTTTGCACTACATCTGGGCCCGGATCGGAAGGTTGTTACAGCACTGGAACCCGGGGTACTTGAATCCACGGAGCCCAATGATAACACGGAGCTCAACCCAGAAAATAGTAGCGGAGTCAACGGCACCGATACTACGGTCAATGAGAATGAGGAGAATAGTCGCCGTGGTCCAAACTCATCAGGCGCCACATCAGAAGAGAAACAGGATGTGTCGTGGGACAAAGCGTATGAGGACATTCCAACACATCGCTTTGTCGTTTTCCCCCCAGTCAATCCGCGGCGACCTACGGTGCCACGCATTAGTTCATCTATTGTACGACCGACTCTGCCACGAGCCCCGTCGTCAGCGTCTCGACCTCGTCCCCGCCCGCGACGCCCGTCCGGTGCGACTCCTCGACCACGAAAGTCCTCATCCACACAAAGAAAGAGTAGCAGCTCTTCCAAACGCAAATCTGGTGGCACAGGCCGCGGCCCAGGTCGGTGGCCTAAAGGGACCAAGAAGAGCGACTATGGCAACGCGGACAGTGGACCTGGGCTCCCGCCAGCCTGGTTGGAACGCCAACGTCAGCTCAAGAGTGATGGCGAAACTAGTGCTGACGCTGGCGCTCATGATACCGTCAATGTTCAAACCCCGGACGCGGCAGCGGGGAATGCTGGAGTGCATACTATCTCGGCGCGTTTCGAGCTCAAACCCGACAGCGCCGCCGAGGATGATGATGACGAGGACGATGACGAGGACGAGGATGACCGGATTGATCTGGTCGTCAGTGACGTCCATGTCGATAATGGTGATGACGACCTTGACGCGGAAGGCGAGGAGGAGTGAACTATTTCGCGGTGGGCGAAGCATTCGACACTTCCAGTGTTTGAGGCTGTACATCCTTATGTTCAAACATCGATGCTTCTCAGTCTGCCAGGCAAGCACATAGCTTGAGCCTGCTCACTGACTTTGGTCGCAGGACTTTTCTTCTTTTCTTCCCTTTTTTGAGATCTTTTATTTTGCTTTCTGGGACGAGCCGGGCGCAACACTAGGAGTTCACTGGGATCATTCACTGGGATCACCGGTTGGTACGACGAAAGGCAGCCGGCCGGAGCGACGGGGTTGGAACGCCGTTGCTGCCTCACAAAGCGTGTGAGCTTGGAAGATTATATGCCAGTAGAACAATACCCCCATTGTACATTTCAAGCATTGTCATGATGTGAGAGCTGCGAGTATGTTGGCTGGCATCGCAGCCTAGGCCAGCACACTGCGATTCGTTCAGGAGCCTCATGCGCGGTGTCTTTATGTCGGAATGTTGCTGCAGCGTCCGGATCATAGAAAGTGCGTAGCCTTTGGGAGGGTCTTGGTCAGTAGACCTGGATATCCTTTCAGGGGTCGATTGTGCTGGCTGTCGCCGAATGTGGTTAAGAATGCCCCACTTTGATCTCCCTTGCACCACACAAGGCCAACGAACACCTGGACAACTGGACTGCAAGGGTTAAGTTTCATGTCCAGTCGCTGCCCGTCTTCCTCCAAATCGTCCTCTCTGGTCCTCTCGTTGTTATTGCTCGCAGCCTGTGTGATTTGACTTGTTTCTCTAATCGTCTAGCTCAGGACGAGTTTTATTGAACACCAGATCGGTTGCAAGGCTTCAGCAGATTGCACTGTTTGCCGGGTCGTCCCAGGAGGAAGCGCTGGCGGGTTTACTGCTGGCCAGTCGACAGCAGCACTCTTTCACTCTCACTTTATGGTCCTGTGATCGAGGGGCGCAATAGACCTGATGGTCCGCATATTCAACGCGGGCGTCCTGGGGGCGTGCATCCGAAGCCTCCTGCTGGCCAACAGGGCGCTTAGCTACACGGAGCTCTCGGATGAGCGCCTCAAGCAGATCGCCCTTGATCCCGCCGACTTCGACATCCACAACAGCAACGGGTTATTGGCGCCGTTGCTCATCACGCGTGTCCCCGGCACCGAGGGCCAGGTCGTCGCTCAGAACCATTTTGTCAACTTCTTCAGCTCACATCTGCCCTTGTGGCAAGTCTCATGGCAGAACTCGACGGGCACCACGCCCGCCACGGGGTCCCGTGAGCTGCCCTTCCAGAACATCATCTTCAAGCGCGAGCCGCAGTGGTGTATCGACCGGCCGGGGACGTGCGGGCTCTTGACCCTCGTCGCGCACTATGACTCAAAGATTGCGCCAGAAGGGTTCATCGGCGCGACAGACTCGGCAGCGCCGTGCGCGATGTTGATGTACACTGCAAAGACGATAGACGCGCAGCTCACCAAGTTGTGGGAGGGCATGGAGGCGAGCGGTGAGAGGAGCAATGTTGGCGTGCAGATTGTTTTGCTCGACGGCGAGGAGGCGTTTGTGACGTGGACGGCGACGGATTCGTTGTACGGTTCGAGGTAAGCCAACCTTTTCCCACCCCTTTTACATGAGTGTTCGTCTCGAGGAGGGAATGCAAAGCCTGACACACAAGCAGAGCACTCACTACGGAATGGGAGAATTCGCCTCTTCCCGGTGTGGCAACCTATCACGACCCAATGGACCAGATCAGCCTCTTCGTGCTACTGGACCTTTTGGGTTCGGCGGGCCCCAAAGTGCCCAGCTACTTCCAGTCCACGCACTGGGCGTACCGGCGGATGGCCCAGATTGAGAAGCGCATGCGGGAGCTGGGAGCGCTCGAGGCGACGCCCATGTCGGCCTTCCTGTCAGACCACGACAAGCAGCCGTCGGCGTTTACGAAATCCTGGGTTAGCGACGACCATGAGCCGTTTATGCACAAGGGCGTGCCTATCCTGCACATCATTACGACCCCGTTCCCGCTGGTGTGGCATACCATGGACGATGACGGCGATCATCTGGATATGCCGACTGTGCACGACTGGGCTAAGATTACGGTGGCTTTCACGATGGAGTGGATGGATTTGATGAATGTCTCGAGCACGGCGATGACATGATGAGCACATTGTCGCATTTCTTTTTTTATGGAGGGAAGGAAGTGTGTTGCATGTACATCCTCAAGTAGGCATTGGGAATTTCGCCAAGAAAGAACTAGCTGGTGGCGCTACACGGCTGTAAGACTGCTTGATTATGGCGACAGTCCCTGGGGAGATGGGCATTCGTAGATTGAAGTTGGTTGTCGTCGTCGTACCCCCCGGAAGGCTGAGTCATACGGCCACGGGCTGCCCGGGAGCGCCAAGCCCGCCGAGGCAATGGAGTGCGTGGCACTGAGAGCGTTGGAAGGCACGAGTCTGGCGCACCCACCCCACCCGTGGGCACCGCTGGGGCCCGCTGAGATCATCCCCCCGGAGGAGGCCCACTTGTTGCTGGTCGCGCACAGCACTCACTGGTGCTAGCATCATCATCGCTCGCTCGAGCCCATACATGCATGCTCTTGGATGCTTGCCCTTCCCGCTGCCACGCGTGCGTCTGACCTGCTTCTCGCCGTCGCACAGCCTCCTCCGTGACAGTTCCCCATATCGCCCGTTCGCCAGGCACCCTTCTGGAAATCTTTCTCCCCCTCATCAGTGGCGTGTCTTCCCATCTCGACTGCCTGCCACAACAAGCACCACCCTCGTCGACTCGCTGCTGCAGCTTCCAGCCTCCCGCCATCGACACACAGCACTGTCCCCACCCCAGCGAGCCGAATCCAGCCAGGCCGCCCCCAGTTGCGCACCTGTGCAGGCACACCTACATCATCTCCCCCATCGCCAGCTTGCGGGCCCAACCGTCCAGCTACACCCCAATCTCCGCCAACTTCTCTTGCCAATCCGCCTCCCGCCCTTTCGCCCAGGTGCCCGGCTAGGGACCACAAGTCGCCCGACATGTCAAAGGTTATGAGAAGTGTCAAGAATGTCACAAAGGGCTATTCAGGCGTCCAGGTCAAGGTCCGCGAAGGTATGCGACTGCTCGCCCCCTTCTGCCCCCCTCCTCCCCCAGACCTGCGTCATATCCAGCCCAGCTCGTCTCTCCATGTTTCGCGCGCCTCACTGACGGACCCTCCGCATCGCAGCGACCAGCAATGACCCATGGGGCCCAACCGGGACCCAGATGAGCGAGATCGCTCAGCTTACCTACAACTCGTACGTCGCAATGCATCACAAACATCCATGCTCCCATCTACGCTTCCCGTATGCGCAGCGCCTAACTACGAGTCGGATAATTACAGGTCGACCGAGTTCTACGACATTGTTGACATGCTCGACAAGCGTCTGAACGACAAGGGCAAGAACTGGAGGCACGTACTCAAAGCCCTCAAGGTACTCGACTACTGCCTGCATGAGGGCTCCGAGCTCATCGTCACATGGGCCCGAAAGAACATATACATCATCAAGACCCTGCGCGAGTTCATGTACATTGATGAGGACGGACGGGATGTCGGCCAGAATGGTATGTGGAGGTCGAGGATTGCTCTGGCAGCGACAAGAGTGACGAGCTAACTGGTTTTGACAGTCCGAGTGGCGGCCAAGGAGCTGACCGCACTGATCATGGACGAGGAGAGGTTGCGCGCCGAGCGCAGCGACCGCAAGACCTGGAAGTCCCGAGTGACGGGCATAGAAGAGTACACCAGCGAAGGCGGCATGGGGGTCGAAAGAGGCGGCGCTGGTCCGTCGCAGCAGCGAAGAGCTCTCGTGCAACGCCAATCATCCGAGGACGATCTCGAGTACAAGCTTGCGATTGAGGCCAGCAAGAACCAAGAGGAGGAGGACAGGAGGAAACGACAGAGCCGACAGGGTGCCGATCCCGCTGACGACGACCTGGCTAAAGCCCTCCAGCTCAGTAGAGAAGAGGACGAGCGTCGCAAGCAGGAGCTGGAGAATGCCAACGCCGCATCGCTCTTCGACGATGATCCCGTTCAGCAGCCTGTCCAACCCCAGTACACCAACATGGGCTACCAGCAAGGAAGCAACGTTGACTGGCTTGGGAATCCCATTGACCAGAACCAGGGCATGCAGCAGCAGTACACAGGAATGCCCCAGATGGGCAATAACTACACGGGCTTCCCCAATCAGCAGACCGGTTTCAGTAACGGTTTCGATGCACAACAGACCGGCATGTACAACAACCCGTACACCCAGCAGATGCAGCAGCCACAGCAGACAATGCAGATGCAGCCGACCGGTTTCAATCCCTACGGACAGGGCTTTGGGCAGCAGCAGCAGCAGCAGCAGCAGCAGCAGCATACCCCGATTGAGTCGCCAGTTCAGGCCGGCAGCAACAATCCCTGGGCCACCAACAACGCAAACACTGCCCAGTCCATTCAGCCGATGAAGACTGGATCAAACAACCCATTCGCTTCCATTGGAAGACCTCAGACAGCGCGGCCTCCGGCGATGCCCAGCTTCGGCAGCCTACAAAGTCTGCCTGAGCAGAAGTCGCTCCAGACGTTCACGCCCCCTCCAGCGCAATCGTCGCTGTTCAACCTGCCGCCTCCTCAGCAGCCACAGCAGCAGCAGAGACAGAACCAGAAGCCGATGACTGAGCACGAGCAAAGACTCAATGCCCTGCTGGCCAGTGGTGACGGCATGGACACATTTGGCAATACGGGCGAGCTGCGCATTCCAGCTCAACACACGGCGCCTGGCACTTTTGTCAACTCTGCTGGCATCGGCGCACAAAAGCTCACGTCGAACGCGACCGGCAACAACCCCTTCATGCGCCAGCAATTCACGGGGATGCCCAATCCAACATATGGCCAGCCGCAAATGCCCGCTGCCACTGGCCCAGTGGGTGGTATGAATGGAGGCTACGGCGGCGGCAACCCATTCGGGGGACAGCAGCAACAGAACCACCAGCAACAGGGCGGTGATCTGATCCAGTTTTAGGTTGACGCCGGTTTATGGGTAAAGAATCACACAGGGGGGTTACGTGAGGTGTACTTTGAATACATTCGATTTGGGGCGGCCCGAATCTCATCGAGCACGCTTCATCAGCGCTACGGGGGGCGAGTTGTGTCGCGTTGCTATTCGAGCAAAAGAATGCCATACTGAAGCGCATTGTAAATACATTTCTTTTGTGGTGTTGGTTGGTTATGCACAACCGCCATGATTTGCCATACCAAATACCACAGATCGCAAATTCCTCGACATACTCAGGGTCTGCTTTTTGGAAGAGGACGGGGGTTGAGGAACAACACAATCGACGCAGCTTGAAGGAGGGGGCCGATAAAGCCTGGGCAAGATTGCTGAGAAGTGACGCACAGGCAGACGAGGTTCTACATATTTGCATACATATACACACCCATTCTACGCTAATTTTTTTAATTCTTGTTGCACGATGGCTGAGTTGGAGAGCGGAAGAATAATGCGAGCATCAAAAATAGATATAATGTATTTAGATCATTTCCAGTATTGGCGCGTTCAGGTAAGTATGCAATGTTGCCGAAGATGTTGAAATCGTGCCGCACAAGAAAGTTGTGGTTGCCTGATGATTATGACAGCCTTGGAGTTTCTCGAGCTCTCTGGTACATTTTGGAAAGCTGAAAAGTTTGTGAGTAGTGGTGGCTGTGCGAAACCTGATCCTCAAAATGGCTGTGAAGGCGGTCCGGTGTCATGTCGTGGCTTGGATGGTTAATGGAGCTTTTTCTCATTTGATTTGATGGTATATACGCTTAGTTGCTCCAAGTCTTGCTGCTGCGGGTGGTTGGAAAGGCGGATGAAGTGGATTGGTGCTTGGTGCTCGGTGGTGTTCACCTTTTTTCCTCCTGTGACCTTGAAATCTTCTTTCTCTCTTGTTTTCTTTCTTTCTATCTTTTTATTAGAAAGAGAATAACTATTCTTGCTTCCCTTGTTGTTTGGGTCATGTTTCGCAACTGTGCGTTATATTTCATGGATCGTATCAAGATATCTACCTATGGAATTAGATAATTGCCCAGAGACTGTTAAAGTTGGACAAGCTAACTATTACAAACTTGTTCCTTGGTTATCAACATTCCTTTTTCCTGCTAGGCCCTCCTTTCCGACTTTTTCCTTTATAATGTTAATCCGCCATAAAATGAATTGGACTTATTGCGTGGTCATGCTCTCAACCGTGGCTTCTAGATGTTTCGGGTAACATTTTCACAGAGCTACAAAAGAGTCTTTTATTTCGGGTTTTAGATTATTTTTGCCCGGCCTATGAAAAGAGGCGTGTGCCACGGTCCAGCATGTTTAGACCGCAACAGTCAAGGACAATGGGGAGCGCGGTTGTTGCCGAGCCTGCACGTTTGGTTGGGTGATTTACTTTTGCTCTCGCCCCCTTGGAACTTTTTGTTCATCTTCGTTACCTCCAAAAGATCTACCACTGTGATCAAGGTGTCGTGCTGACTTGAGGGAGAAATGACTTGTTCATTATATATTCGAGGATGAATACGAGTATGTACCTGCGCTTTTGCTGGCCCCAACAAAACGCCGTGCGCCGATTGTGCTAGGGTAGAGTAATCAAGACCTTGACGCCTGTAGTCCATACCCCAACCAAGCAGAAAGGCGCTGATACGTCCTGGCAGACCGTGTCCCCCCATAGTGCTGCAGAAAGCATGCTCTGGGCAAAATCTACGCATCCCCGGCAGGACGATGGCAGAATTCAACAGCGCCATTGTGCCGTAGAGCTCCCTCCTCTTCGTAGTCAAAATTCGCTGCTCAGCGCGTGGCCCACATATGATTGCATGATGGCAGACTGCGCATCTGAAATGGTGTCAGGCGAGGGCTTCCGATGCTGGCAGGAGCCTGTCGCCATGCCTTCCCTCCCGCCACGCATGCCTGCAGCTGAGCCGGGGTGACGATGTGGCGGAGCGAGCAGAAATCCACCGTGGTGCCGATTGTGCACATGATTGTTCCCAGCAGCCAATTCATTGTCGGGCTGAGTGAACCATTCTTTACCGATTGCTCATTCATCACCTGTCCAGGAAGATGCCGAGAAACTCTTCCCTTGACACGCCGCCCTTGTCCTCCACATCAAATTGTTCCACCATGCTCCTCAGCTCGTTGTCAGGCACGTCCTCGCCAAGCTCCTTGACCACTGTTCGCAGATCTTCAATCGTGATGACGCCCTTGCCTCCTTTGTCGAACAGACTGAATGTTTTGAGGAGTTCTTCTCGCGGGTCTCGCGCGGCGACATATTTCGCGGCTATAGACTGAAAACCTTCTCTGCTCAGACGCAGGTCGACAACGCCCGGGGATTGGCTCGGCGGTGGCTGGTTCGGTATGGCGGGAAGAGGCGTCCATTGGGGCTTTGGGTGTGCAGCGGACTTGAACGCGGATATTAATTCGCTCCGTGGTATGTTGCTGAACCCGAGCGCTTGGAGGGCGTAGCGAAATTCGCTGAAGTCTAGGGTATCGTCCTTGTTCATATCAAATAATGAGAACTTGAAGAAGTGATGGTCAGCCACGTCGCAAATTACTGAGCGATATAGATCTCGACAGCGAAGTTGACACCTGCGGCCTTCTGCGCTTCGTCAGCACGGAGATGTTCGTACTTACACAATCGTTGATCTCGCTCCTGTGCTCGTCGCTAATCTGCTCCCACGGATCTGAGTGATTTGGTGGTTGCGCTGGAGGAGCAAAACGTCCCGAGGGCCGCGACGTCGAACCCGGCCGTATTGAGAGGTTGTGCTGGGGATTTCTGTCGGCGTAATCGTTCATGCTGCCACCACCACCATATGTATTCATCCTGTGCTGCGAAGAGGCCGCCATGGCCGCCAAGGTACAGTATTGAGTCGCAACGCCGGAATCGTCAGCAAGTCAGCGAGTCAGGCAATCGACCGCTGACCAATTCGGAGAAGTAAAAGGGCTCTTCTGCGTGTAATGCGACCGCGTTGACTGTGTCGTGCTCTGAATGGCGCAAGCTGGAGAGAATGGCTGGTCGCGAGAGTTGGTGGTCTCTGCTGGAAATCGCAAACGTGCTGCCGCTTTGTGCGCCAAACTATGCTCTGCAAGGATGACAGACCAGACCCGTGAGAATAATCAATGAGCTGCAGATGAATGCGGCGACGAGCAAGACCGAGGCTTAGGAGGCGATCGTGGGGGTTGCCGTGTGCTCTGTGTGTTGGCGATGCAGCGTCTTCGACGGCAGCGCGACGCTGGCAGCCAATCAACCCAGCGCCGTGCAGCGCGTCTCCGGGGGCTGCTCCCCGCGGTTGATGCGCGTTGCTGTGCAAGCTTGTCGCGGTTTCCACTTTGCGCGTGCGACGGCTGCAGTTGCAGTGTTCCAATGCACAAACACTGTATGCTAAACACTGTGTCTCCCTGCTCTGCTGCCTGACTCAAAAGCCTCGCCCGAGTCTGCCTTGCTTAACAATTGGGCCTCCAAGGCCTCGCATGCGCTCATATAAAATGCCACCTGGTTCCCAGCCTCCAGCAAGCAGTCCCGACCTCACTCGCTTCTTCACACGCTCGACTCAACTCCAAACTCCATCAGTGACAACCATATCGCGAGATACGTGACCACGGTCTGCATTCTGCGTGCTGCGTGCCTGCTCGTCGTCTCCTGCTGGTGGTGTTTCTCTTGTGCCAATCGTCGTGTCAAATTGGTGCCTGGTGGCTGCGCTCTGAAGTTGTCCGTGTGCTGAAGTGCTCTTGGTCGGGCTGCTGTGACTGACGACGTGTCTGTGCAACAACGGTGCTCAGTGCCGGTGGTGACTCTCCTTTTGCCTGTTTGACAGTGTGTCGTCTCCTCAGGTCTCCTCAGGTCTCCTCAGGTCTCGAGGTCCCGAGGTCGTTCGCCAGTGGCAGCGCAAAGGCCGCCAGCGACCTGGAGAGCACTGGAGCTCGCCGCCCCACCTCGACAGCTTTCGCGTCTCCTGAGTGGCTGAACCGCGTCGAGGCCTGACCCAGCCCGGCCTGGTGCAGCAGCTCAAGCTGTGCGCGAACTGGCCCCGTCCCAGAAAAACACTTTGCCCTTTGCCTGCTGCTCGTCGTCACGACTCCTGCTGCTTGTTTTTGGAGCTCCCCATCCACCATCACCATCCGACCCCAGAGCGTCGCCCAGAGCTGCCGCCCCATCCACGGCCGCCCTCTGACTGACCGACCTCATCTCGTCCTTTCCCTGCTTCCCCCTCTTAATTCTTTTTCGCGTCCGTCCTTTCCCCTTCCCTCGCTGCTTGCCTCTTGCGACGGGCACCACCACCTCCTGCGCCCTCTCTCTCAGGCAAGGGTTTCCCAAAATTTTGCCAACCCCAGGCTATTTCGCGCTTCCCCAGGCGTCGTATCCTTGCGCATCTCCTTTTCCATCCGACGACTACTGCGGTATCTCAATTGAAGTCCAGCCCGTTGGCGACGACCTGCAGCTCTCTCGTCCGCTCAACCCGTCATCGTGCGACATTTGACGCGCCACGAGACCCAGACTCCCAAAAGTCTTTCCGTTCTTTCCGCCTCGCTTTCCATGTCTTCCTCGTCTTGATAGCAGCTCTCAGTCGACCACATCACACGCGCTGCACGCGATCGTCTCCCCTTCTCAGCGAGCCATCACTGAACGATCATCATGTCGTTCGGCGGCTTCGGTAGCGGTGGCGGCTTCGGCAGCAACACCAACACTACTTCTGGTGGCTTCGGCGGCTTCGGCGGCAACACTACAAATAATACAACATCCGGTACGTAATACACCCTGCGCGATAATCTCCGTCTGGCGTTCCATGCGCTCCCATTCGCCTTCGTTTTCACAACGGGCATCCCTGACCTCCCTATTTGCAGGGTTTGGAGCCAACAACTCTGGCGGCTTTGGTACGTCCGGCACTACTGGCGGAGGTCTCTTCGGCGGAGGTGGTACCGGCACCACCTCTGGCTTCGGCTCCAACACGGGTAAGCCCTGGCGACCTATGGGAGTTCATGCGTATGCATTCGAGACTTGTGTGACTAACAGCATCGTAGGCGCCTTTGGTTCTACTGCCAGCTCCGGGTTTGGTGCCAAGCCTGCGTTTGGTAGCACCCCAGCGACATCAGCCGGCGGCGGTCTCTTCGGCTCGTCCACGACAGCGACAACCGGCGGTGGCTTCGGCGGCTTCGGCTCCAACAACGCGACCAACACCACATCTTCCTTCGGAGGAGGCACAAGCGGCGGTCTCTTCGGTGGTAGCAGCGCGGCGAAACCCGCCTTCGGTGCTACAACGGGAACAACTGGTGGTGGCCTCTTCGGTAGTGGCACCGGAACAAGCACGACAGGAGGGTTCGGCGGTTTTGGCAGCACCAACAATGCCCCTGCTAGCACTGCTCTAGGTGCCGTCGGAGACCCTCCTGGCACTGCAGCCATCACGAACTTCCAGCCGTTCGTCGAGAAGGATTCAGCGACCAGCAGTGCACAGAATTCATTCCAAAACATCCTATTTGTGGACCCCTACAAGAAGTGGTCTGCAGAAGAACTGCGCCTCGTCGATTACGCTCAAAACCGCCGCTACGGCGGTACTGGTGGCGGCGGTGCTTTTGGCAGCACCACATTCGGTGGTGGTTTCGGCGCCACGGCCCAACAACCCGCGGCCACCAGCGGCTTCGGCACGACCAACACCACCTCAACTGGAGGTGGTCTGTTCGGCAGCACTCCTGCAGCCAGCAGTGGAGGGCTCTTTGGCCAGTCCAACACCGGCACAACAGGCACAACTGGAGGTTTTGGTGCCTCATCCGGCACTGGTGGATTGTTTGGCAGCAAGCCGGCTGCAACGACTGGTGGTTTGTTTGGTGGCGGCACCACTGCCACACAAAGCCAACCGTCTGGCGGCCTCTTTGGCTCCAATCCTGGCACGTCATTTGGCAGCACCAACACCGCGACTGGTGGCTTTGGAGCCACGAACACCACTGGAGGTGGCCTTTTCGGCGGCGGTGCGACACAGCAGCCCAAGCCCGGTGGTCTCTTCGGCGCATCGACCACTACTCCAGCCACTGGAGGGTTTGGCAGCGGTGGCTTTGGAACGACCACTACTGGCGCCGCAAACACTGGCGGTGGTCTCTTCGGCGCACAAAACAATGCAGCCACGGGCCAGACAGGTGGTGGCTTGTTCGGCAGTGCTCAGAACAACCAGCAGCAGAGCGCAGGCACTGGATTCGGCGGCTTCGGCGCCCAGCCACAGCAGCAATCCGGTGGCCTTTTCGGCAGCAGCACGCCTCAGGCAAAGCCTGGAGGTCTCTTTGGCTCCGGCACAGCGACTACTGGCACTACTGGCGGAGGTCTCTTCGGTGGCGGTGCCAGTACCACAACGACCGGAGGTTTCGGGCAGCCCGCCCAAGGCCAGAGTGGTGGTCTCTTTGGCAACAAGCCTGCCACTGGTGGCGGCCTATTTGGCTCGTCCACTACGACCAACAACACTGGCGGTGGTCTCTTCGGTGGCATGAACCAAACCACCCAGAACCAGGGCCAATCAGGCGGTCTCTTCGGCAACCAGAACAAGCCCGCTACTGGCGGTGGTCTCTTTGGGAACAGCACACCTGCTACTGGTGGGGGCCTTTTCGGCGCAAGCACAAACAACCAACAGTCTGGTGGACTCTTTGGCAATTCGACGAACCAGCAGCAGCAGTCCAACTCCCTCTTCGGCGGCTCCATGGGAAACCAGTCCACGCCCACTGCTTTGACCGCTAGTGTGAACGACCCCTCTGCTTACGGAACTTCGCTGTTCGGCAACATCGGCAACAACGAAGTCACCAACCCCGGCCCCTTGGCGACTCCAATTGGCAAGAGGCAGGCAAAACGTCCATCAATCCTGCCTATGTACAAGCTGAACCCCTCCTCTGCTTCACGTTACGCGACGCCCCAGCGCAAGGGCAATGGCTTTGGATTTTCGTACAGCACCTACGGAACCCCAGGAAGCCCTTCCAGTGTCGCTAGCACCCCCGGTGCTATGTCTCAGAGCCTCCTTGGCGGCGGAAGTCTGACTCGTAGCCTTGCTAAGAGCATCTCGAGTAACAGTCTCCGTCGCAGCTTCAACGTCGAAGATACTTTGCTGGCACCGGGTGCATTCTCCGCAAGCTCCGGCTCTCGCCTTTATGGGAGCAACAGTGTGAAGAAGCTTGTCATCAACCGTGAGCTGCGCTCCGACCTCTTCTCCACGCCGACCAAGGACAAACCGCTGCAGGAGACCCCCAACGGGTCGAGAAAACTGAACAAGCGCGTCAGCTTCGAGTCCAACACCATTGAGGCTATCGAGAACGGAGAGGAGGCTGCCACTCCCCAAGCAAGCAATGGCACAAACGGAGTCTCTCCGATCAGCTCATCCCAGCCCGAGACCGAGCAGGTAAAGGGCAATGAACTGGCTATCGTCGAGGAGGAGCCTCAGTCACCAGCGGTCAACGCTTCTATCGAGACCGGTGATGGCGAGCCTGGTCAGTACTGGATGAGCCCGAGCAAGGAGGAGATCCAGAACATGAACCGCGTCCAGCGCCAGCGGGTCGCCAACTTTACCGTCGGCCGAGACAATGTTGGCTATGTCAAGTTCAAGGTTCCCGTCGATCTGACATCCATCAATCTCGATGAGCTTTTTGATAACATTGTGATCCTCGTGCCGCGAACAGCGACGGTCTACCCGAACCCTGCGAAGAAGCCTCCGGTCGGTAAGGGATTGAATGTCCCTTCGCTCATCAGCCTCGAGAATGCCTATCCACGAAAGTCACGTGGCAAGACGACGTCCGTCAAGAAGCATATCGAACGTCTCAAGAGGATCGAGAACACAACTTTCGAGAGCTACGTGGAAGAGACCGGCCAATGGACCTTTTCGGTTGAGCATTTCACTACATACGGTCTTGATGACAGCGATGAGGAAGACGAGACCACTGAGCAGGAGCCTGTCGCAGCACCCCCTCGGGCGAGCCAATGGAATTCTTTCGCTGCGTCATCAGATGCTGGCTCGGCAGAAGACGAAGAGCTGTACGAGTTTCGACGCAGCCAAAGCCAGATCCCTGGCGCTTTTGATTCCAATCTGGCATATGAGAGTGACGAGCAAGAAGAGATGGCTGAGCGCAAGCAGAGCAAGCCGTCTTTTTTAGCTGAGCGCTCCGTGGGTTCGGCGTCCAAGGCCCTTGTCCTTCGTGACGAGGAGGACGTCGAATATGCGACGTTCGAGGCATCTGAAGATGCGAGTGCTTCCCTCGAACAGCATCAAGCCATGGAGCAAGATGACTCGTTTGCTGCTGAGGTCCAAGACATGGTCCAGGAAACCCCGGCTGGCATCATGAGAGCAAGAATGCGTGCCATCAGGGATACGTCGACGCCCGTGAAGATCCAGGTTGCTGCCGGAGACGACTGGCAGGACATGCTCACCAAGTCTGTCAGCCCCCAAAAGCGCGACAGAGCCCTTCTCAAGAGCATCCACGAGAACGACAGATATCGCGCCGTCGCCGAGAGCAGCAAGACCGACCTTTTCCACAAAAAAAGAGTCGTTTCAGATGGACGTGGCTTCGCTACTAGCATCGATCTGATGAACTCACTCTTCGACAAGGCCAAGGCGCCTGTCCAGGCCCCCCAGGCGCCGCATCGGCCACAGGGTGTTAAGGTCGGTTGCTAATTAATTTTTGTCCCTTTCCTCGGTGCGGATGTGTTTTAGGATTGGCTTCACACGATCTACGCTGGCTTTCTATTTCAGACAAAAGATTGAATATATTAACTAAGTTTTCTCTCATATTGCAGTGGCCCTACAAGCGTGTTACGAAGACCATGACCAAGAGTGACATGAACGCCTCCGAGCGACAATGGCGCGATACCATGCGGCCTAACTGGGGTCCCAGTGGGGCACTGGTTTTTGCTGCCACCCCGGATCACTCTGCGTTCAAGCGTTCAGGGAGGATAACAGAAAAGAATGGCTTGATGACAGTGACCAAGAACGGCATCGTCACTGAGTCTCAAGATATCCGGATAGCGAAGTTCACGAACGAGATGTCGGCTAGGTCGTTAGCCTTGCACCAGAGGCTCAGCAAGGTTGTTCTTGTAGATGGCATCCCTTCTGTGCACCTCGACCGGGCCACGAAGTTGAAGGATTTCGCTGTCGGCGGAGATGGAGGCAAGAACACCGCTGCCGATCACGAACGCCTTGTCTGGGAACTGGCGAGTGTCCTCTTTGATGCAGCCAAGATCCCCGCTGATCTTCACAATCACCCGGCGGCCGCTGAGATTCTCCGACGCGACGAGCTCTCCCGCTTCTGGGAAGGCATGGTTGAGTCCCAGACCAGCAAAGCCGTTGCCATGGCTGCTTCGAGTGAAGAAAAGGCTCTGGCCGCACTTTCGGGCCACAAAAAAGCCGAGGCTTGCAAGCACTTGTTGGAGGGCAAGAACTTCCGCCTGGCCACCCTCGTTGCGCTGATTGGAACTAGCGACGATGTGAAGCGCGACATGCGGGACCAGATACGCGAGTGGCAAGACGCGCACGTCCTCGTTGAGTTCTCGCAACCCATCCGGGCACTGTACGAGATGCTGAGCGGGAACGTTTGTGCATGCGAAGGTGTCAAAGGCGCAGTTGAAAACCGGTCCGAGCCTTTTGTCATCTCCCGCCGCTTCGGTCTGAATTGGCAGCAAGCATTTGGCCTGAGACTCTGGTACGCAATTTCGTCAAATGGACTTATTGCAGACGCGGTCAAGAGATTCAGAGACGACATTGCACAAGAGAAAGAAGATGCCCCCGTCAGCTGGTATCTCGAGAGCGGCATAGCAGGCATCTGGAACGACCCAGATGTCAAGAGCCGCCAGGATCTTCTGTGGGGTCTGTTGCAACTCTACTCTGACGAAAGGTGCGATCTCGAGGCCGTCCTTCAGCCTGAGAACTCTCAACTTTCGCCACTCGATTACCGCCTAAGCTGGCAGCTTGGCCAGGCTCTTGTCAGCTCTGGTCAGGTCTCCTTCGGCGCAGATGCAGACGAGAAGGCAGATGCGATGACCATTGCCTTCGCCTCCCAATTGACAAATGAGGGCCACTGGCTCGAGGCGACATTCGTGCTGCTGCACCTGAGTGATCCCCTGGCGCGAAGCAGAGCTGTCCAGGAACAACTTTGCCGCCACGCCGGACACATCGGCGGCGAGGACTCGAGCAGTTTTAAGAAGCTCGTCGAGGACTACAAGATTCCCACACAATGGGTCTGGCACGCCAAGGCGCTGTTCATGAGGAGCGTCAAGAAAGACCCGACAGGCGAGGTTCAATGCCTGCTACGCGCCGAGTCCTTTGCCGACGCTCACCGCACATTTGTGAAGGAGGTGGCTCCTGTGACGATCATCCAGCGCGACTACGATGCGCTTGCAGACGTGCTGCGGCAATTTGAAGGCAGGCATGCGCGCGTTCCCGAGTGGAACATAGGCGGCGAGGTGTACAAGCTGTTCCTCGAGCTCATGGGCTACCAGCGACGCCACGAGCAGCCTCCTTCAGAGCTTGTCAGTGCGCTCCTGGAAGGACTGCCAGCGATGCATGGCAATAGCCCTGAGGCGGGCATCACCGAGTATGCCGCTCTAACCGACATGGCTGCTGAGGTTGCCAAGGTTGTGGCGGGCATGGCCAAGATTGGCCAGGTAAGTCTTATCTCTCCTCATGAACGCTTCCCGTCATGCGGTGTGTGCTTTGAAGTAGCGAAGTTACTGACCCGAGTCTTCTCATATACAGATGGAGCACGAGAGAATTCTCCACCTCCCGCTTACCGAGGATGTCTTGCTGCGACACTCGCGAGACCTGGCGTGGTCGCACTACACGAGCATCATGGCTGGACATTGAGAGCCATTCAGATGGGCGCTAGGGAAATATAGGGAATGCTGTAGGATCTTGAGCGAAGGCGAACGTGATCCCCACGTAGAAAGACGACGAAGAATTGGAGAAGAAATACGCAAAAAACTTTTGGTGGGGGCAACAAAGGACCCGAAATGCACGCGACAGAGTCCCTATCTCGGCACGACTGCTGGATTATGTGGAAGTCGGCTGACCAGAGCGCGCCACGCCGTCTCTTGTCAATTATATGTAGCAGTAGATAGATACTTAATGAGCCCCATGGAGGCGTGTGTACACGTCTTTTGAACAAAATCAGTGCCTATTTCTTCTGGTCTGTGCATGTGTGAATATGAGTCCCGTGTATGCGCCGTGTGTCGTGGGACGTGTCTACGCCCCCGTGTTCAAAAGCACACCACAGCAGTCAGCCAGTTAGCTTGAGAATGCTTGTGCGCGCAAGGCCCTCACAGCACGTGCACGGGACAACAACAACAACAACAACCTGAGGATTGCGTGCGTGGCAGGATGTGTGGAGCAAGGGGGGAGTTCTTTGAATGGTGTTGCTTACTGTTCCGGGGTACACTCTGTTGTTGAAGGCCGATCCCTGGGGAAATTTGGTGAGAGCTGCTGCCGATCCGGCCGATGTGTCGTATTGCATCGGGCTCAGGAGCAAGGAGGATTCGGAGCAGTGCTGCCCAAAAAGAAATGCAGCTCTAGCTGGTAGACTGCTATATGGCACATGTATTGAGTAGGAGCACAAGTGAGGAGCCATCTTGCAGTTCTCGCGGGAGCCCGGGTTTCGGAGCACGGTGGATCTCTGTGTGCACGGCGCCGGGGCGAGGTGGGGCCGGCCGCCGGAATCGTGGACACACCCAATGGTTTGAACACAGCTTCGTTTGGCGAGTTGCGGTTGTGCCTGGCAGCGCATTGCGAGCCGGTCTGTATTTCGTCCATAGTCTACGTATGTCCTGCAGGCACAACCACGTCGCAGATCTTGGTCGGGCCCGGGGGGCAGCGATCTCATGTCTAGCGGGGTTCCTTTTTTCCGACGGCCGGTACAGTAATCGGGTGGGGATTGGGTGACAACTCGACTGTTGGCGGTTGATCTCACAATTAGCAACCAGCGCGACAGGTCGTAGGATGCGCCGGAGAGTGACTGGCAGAGGATGGAGTCAGGCTGACAACGGCGATAAGTCTTGTGCAAGTTGGCTATCTGCGGAAGACACCTGCACCCTGATCGCGGGAAGGAGCCGGTGTCGGGCTCGTTCCTTCTCTGCAGGTCTTGAGAACGAGACCCTTTGCATCTCCTCTCTTCTGGATGTCTTGGAGATCCAAAACTTGCGATACCAACAGGACTGAGGAGGCCTACCTATCCTAACACGCAGATATTGCCGACAAACACACACAGAGAGTGGCGGCACGTTGCTGAGATCGATCGACAGGGCCGCGTTACACTGCGCTCCCAAGCTCTATTCCACGTCACCTTGAACGCCTCACAAGACGTCGGCAAACTGTTATCTCCCCGGCTTGTGCAAGGAGGCACAAGCTCTGGGCTAGGAGCCAACAACACCTCGGCCTGCCAACGCCAAGAGCAGGCGGCAACTCTTGACAACTTCAAACCATTCACTCTGGATGCACACCCATAAGCACATGGCGGCGTCGCCCCCAAACAGCACGCCCGACCACATCAATGGCCTTCGCGGCGGCGGTGGCGGCGGCGGCGAAGACGACGACGACCTGGTACACCGTCGCGACTCCAACACGACGACCAACGGCGACGATGATGGCCACGCCGAGAACGGGCCTCGCAAGCGCCGTCGCATCCCAGTCGCCTGCAGCTGGTGTCGTGCCCGCAAGTCTCGTGTAAGTCACGCCCGGACACCCTGATGTGATGATGTCCAAGTATTCATGCAGAGCATCGTGCTGACAATCAAGCTTCCAATAGTGTGACGGGCAGCGTCCAAAGTGCGGCTCGTGCGAGGCACAGGACATCGAATGCATCTATGCACAGAACCCTCCTACTGCCAACGCAACCGTGCCCAAGGTGTAAGTCTACACGTGCGATCTGCTGGTGCAAGTCCTAGATTGCTGGTCATGCTGACATGGCTCGTCGCCGGCAGCTTCCTTGATCTCGTCGAAGCTCGTCTTTCTGCTGTCGAGCGTGATCTGCGCGTGCTCAAGGGCAAGAACTCCCAGACTGGTCTCTTGACGCCAGCGCACATGCCATTTCGTGACGAGAACAACCAGTCACCCACGGCCCAGACTGGCCCCGGCATCGAAGTCTCGGTGGCTGCGGATGACGACGACGATGCGAGCTCCGTGTACTCGCCCGATGTCACTGACGGGATTGGCAGCATCGAGTTTGCCGCCGAGGAAGACTCTGCTGCATACTTTGGTAGGAAAATACCACATCAGGACTATCCGGGGATGCCTATGATCTCTAACCGTCTTCTTAGGCCCAACATCGAATATCGCATTCACACGTGTGATCCGTCGTGCCATAAGCACAGTGATCAAAGACCCGCAACGCACGGGACCACTCTCCCCATGTCCCGACGATGACTTGCAGAAACACAGACCTCCATTGGCCGTCTCAAGGCCGCCATCACCACCATCCCATGCACGCAAAGTCTCATGGACAGGACGAAGGAGCAGTCCCGAGACATTTCACATCCCTCCAGAGGAGGAGACAACACGGCTCATTAGGAGATACTTCAGCGACACCGGCCTTTTATTTCCATACATCCACGAGGAGACATTCTGGAAGACCTACCTGAGTGCTCGAGCCTGTCGCTTTCGAGGTGTCAAGAAGAGCTGGCTGGGCCTGCTCAACATGGTCATGGCGATGGCCATGAGCACAGACATGGATGCTGGCATGAACGCGGCGGAACGGGCTGTTCACGGTGACGTCTTTCTAGGACGAGCTAAAGCGTTGTGTGTAGGCCAGATGATGACTTCGGCTTCTGTTGAGACAGGTGTGTTGAGCTTTCCAGAAGCCTTGAGGATGCTTGCTAACTCGAGATCAATGCGACAGTGCAGGTCATGCTCCTGATGACCCAATACCTTCAAAGTACCCAACGTTCCATACGAACATGGACTGTCCATGGACTCGCAGTGAAAGCCGCCCTCCAACTCGGCCTTCACTCTGAAGAGGCGCTGAGACGACACGCGCCCCTTGAGCGGGAAACACGGATCCGGACTTGGTACGCTTGTATCATTCTTGATCGTACTCTGTGCATGACCTTTGGACGGCCGCCCGCGATCCCTGAAAGCTATGTCCGGACCCCGCTTCCCGCTCATTACATGGAATTTTCTAGCCAGAACAAGGCCGTCCCATGTTCTTGGTCTACTGAAGAAGTTAGCACAGCATTCTTCAACGTTACGATGTAGGTCGGATTCTAATCACATGCTATGCTCCCTACTGACTTGCAAGGCAGTTCGCTACACCAAATAATGTGCAAAGTCATTGACATGCTCTACGCCCATAACATTGGCTGCAGCACACCGACACCGCTAGCTGATACTGCTTCTGTGATTCTCCAGACGGAACAGCAGCTCGTGTCATGGCGGTCATCACTACCAGCCAGCCTGAAGCTTGTCAACGCGGATGAGCTCGCAGCGGACTCGGGCGTACTTTCACTACAAAAGAAACTCCGGGTCATCTTGACGCTACGATATCACAATCTGCGCATACTGGCGCACCGTCCAATACTGGACCGTTACCTAGAGCTTCTCCAGGGCTCTGTGCTGGATCCGCACGAGGCTTCCGTGCTTTGGCAGATCAGTCATCGAAGCAAGAGCAGTTGCTTTCAGTCTGCCGAGGTCATCGTCAATGTAGTATCTACGACGACGCATTCGTCAGCAGAGCACAGAAATCTGCTGGGAGCCTGGTGGTTTACGTTGTACTACAGTAAGAGGGCCACCCCTGTACTGGTTCACCCGATCCTAACTAAATTTTCCTGTGTAGCGTTCAACGCAGCTTTGACCCTCGTGGCCATCATGATATCCGAAGATGTCAACCCACTGGACTTGGACAACCAAATGCCACTACCAAGGAATGGCAGTGCATCCGTGACTCACAAGCAGAAGACGGTGCTGAATCAAGCAATTGAATGTTTGCCGCTGATAGACCATCGCAACCCGGTGATTGAGAAGTGTACAAAATTCACATCCGCACTGAGACACTGCGCTCAAGGATTTCGTAGGTCATCCTTCTCATCCGAGCAGATACTCGACTTGCCAGATCACACGGCTATGACAAACATGCTGACCAGAACATCGCGTAGCTCGACCAAGGCAGCTCCATCACAATAACATGCTTCAAATATCAGCACAGACCCTACCCGCGGGAAGTCGACGGCACTCGATGTTCGAAGTCCCGCCCAGCACAAGCACGATGAACAGTAGCGGAGGCATGGCGATAGGCAATCATCACATGCCTGCTGGCCTCAGCATTCCAGCTTCGGCGGCCATGCTGCCTCCGCCGGCGGGCGCGGCCAGCTTCTTGCCTCCCGAATTCGACTTTTCGGACATGAGTCTTGATCTGACGGATATGATGGGCTACACAGAGCCAGGCTTTATCGACAACATGCCCACATCGGATCTGGTATGGTAGCCTGTTATGTTTCAAGTCAGAAACAGGTCCTTTAAGCCTGCCTTGTCCTCACCACGTGGCCAATACTTGGAATGTGGCATACAACTTTTTGGGGCCCACTTCATGCTATGGCACTCTGCCTGGATCTGGAATACATTTGTAAAGAGAGCGAAATTCTATTTGGCGTTGATTGGTTTATCAGTTCAGAATGGAAAGACGAACGACTATTGCTGGGTCTCGGTTTTGCCGCACCCTAATCACTCTGCACGTTGCAAATAACAGTCGTTCGAGGAACGGATACAGGTGACATGAAAATAGTAGCATTTTGACTACTTCATCTTAACCTCTAGCTTGTAGAATACATTTGCCAGGCCAGCGCTTGGTGATGCTCCAACTATGATTCCAGTTCAAGTATATATCCTCGCAGTAGGTATTTTGCCCATTTCCGTGTATCATTCCTTAGTCAACACATACTTAGACACGAGGAACGCCGTGAGGGTGGACAGGGCCGGGGAGGCTAGGAGGACCCGGCGGCTTAGGGGGTCCGGGAGGCTTGGGCTTTCCGTAGGTCGAGTCGAGCTCGCCCCAGCGCATGTTGCTGAAGGAAACCTCGGGGAATGGCTCGACCTTGACGACATTGGTCGGGTTGCCCTCGGTCGCGTCACAAGGGCCGGCACCCTGCGCGGCACCGTCGAGCCACTGCATGTTGCCGCCGGCGTCCCACCAGACCGAGAAGGCGAGGACCATGCCGCGCTTCATCGCATCGCCCATGCCGACCAGGCCGCCGAGCCTCGTGAAGGGCCCCGCTCCGGTGGCGTCGCAGAACTCCTGGGTCATGGAGTCGACGGCGGGGATGCCGGGCTTGTTGACCGTCTCCGAGTGGATGACCTTGCCGTCCTGGACGTAGAGGCGGACAATCTCGAGGAGGTTGCCCTTCTTGTCGGCCGGGAACTGGGTGACGACGGTGATCTTGCGGGTCGTGTCGACGTCGAACTGCTTGCCCCTGCCGTAGTAGTCGGTCTGGTTGTTGCGGTACGCGTTCCAGCCGCAGCCGGGCTTGTCGCAGACGCCCTCGCGCGAGCACTCGGCGGCGTTCTTGCACTCGTAGACGCCCGTCACGTTGCAGGTGTGCGGCGCAATGTGCGTGGCCCGGCTGTTGGCTTCCCAGATGTCCATCTCGTTGCAGCAGGCGCCGTAGCCCTTGATGTTGGCCTGTGGGGGGGTTACTTTTGTTAGTTGGCTTGGCCGGCACGATGAAAGGGCGAGGGTGAACAGCCCAATGGGCCCTCTCAAAAGAACAAGGGAGTTTCGGTTTACTTACCTCGCCGTTGATAAAGGGGGTTGTGTAGCACTGGGCATCGCAGTAGCCCGTGCCCCAGTAGGCACCGCCCTTGTTGAGCGGGCTCTTGCCGCCGTCGGCCTCCATCTCGGAGAGGTAGAGGGCGCCGTTCATGCCGCAGGGCAGCTTGCGGCCGTCGACGTCAAAGGCGAACTCGCCGCCGGTGAACTTTGTCATCTCGTACTTCTGCTCCGTCTTGTCGAGGAGGTAGACGCGCGGGGAGACGGTGTTGCCGTCGACAATCATCTGCAGGCGCAGCGAGTCGCCGCTGGTGGTGACGCCGTACTTTGAGTAGTCGGAGACGCCCTCCATGATGCAGTTCTTTGCGCAGGCCTCCTTTGTCGGGCAGACGGTTGCGTTGGCCGGGTTGCCCCAGGTGCCGCAGTCGAGGCTGCTGCCGACCTGGTGGACCGGGTGGGCGAGCGAGTCGAGCACAATGAAGTTGGTCTCGGGCTTGCAGCCCTTGGCCTTTGTGCAGCGGTACGTCGTGATCTTGGGGTGGACTTCCTTGCCGTTGGGCTTCTGGGCGGCGGCGAGGCCCAGCAGGACCGTGGCGCCCAGCAGCAGCATGTTGCGAGCCATGGCGGAGGAGGATTGCTCGACGGGCAAGTGAGTGGGCAACTCGACTCGAGTATAAGTGGCAAACGGGCCAATCACCAGGCAGGCAGCTGGAGGAAAGAAACGAGGCACAACCGAGAGAGAGGCGTATAGTCTCGAGGAGCTGGCAACCCTGCTGATCCACGGAACAACTCTCCAGGAAACATGTCGCGGCGGCCAGCTATATATCTATGGCACGCGCAAGCTGGGCCGTCACTTGTTCCCCCGGGCCGGATACCACCACATGTTGACCAGGACTCTTTTTTTTTTTCTCTCGCCTCCTCCACCATCTCCGCATTCCCCAGGGGTATCGCACCCCCAGATCGTGACCCCATTTGCGCAGCAGACCATTAGCAAGGTAATGCAACCCTCCCCTCCGCTCTCCCGCACGCGCCAGGCTTCCCAGGTCGTCGCCGCCGGCACTAGGCCGGGGTGCGTCGACATGTTGTGCGGAGAGGGAGGGTTGAAGAACCCGTGCCATGGAACATGTGCCGCCGCATTCCCAGATCGGGCAATCCCACACCCCCATCTGGGATCTCGGCCCCGGATTCCGCACCCCACACTCGCCTGCTTCTATGGGACTAGGGTTTGTCGGTTGCTTTGGCCCCTGGCAATGTTCACAGGTGGTCGACGATGAAATATGTCTGGTGACGAAAAAGATCGGACGACCGTCCCCTCCCCCCGACTCCGCTCACGGGTGTATAAGTCTCCTGACCCCCCCTTTTCGACCCGTCTCGACCACTTCAGCCCCAGATCCCCACCTGTAGATGCTCACGACATTTGCCGACGGTACCTGACCCTCGCCAGATCCGAGCCAAGGATCTGGGCATGGCTCTGCATATTACTGGACGGCTGGGCAAATATCTGGACTTTGGGCTTACTATATGGTGCATATTTCCACACACACACACACACTTCGAAGGACGGCCAAGGGTGGACCCTGGTTCCTGCCAGCGGTACGACCACCGATTGCCGGATCACGCCTCCGCGAAATGTGCTCTGACTCGCCCAACGAGCCCCGGTTCCTGCATCCTTTTCGCCCCTGGGGGAGCCTACCTCTCTGCAGGCTAATGAACGTGGCGTGGGATGAGGGAGCATCGCGGGTGCTGTGACGGCACATCGGACGGCAACTCCTACTTGGACCTGATCTGCTTGTCCAAGTTTTCCATTTCTGTCCGCGCATACATATGTACGACTACGTCGCCGCCTCCACCATTCCCCGTCTCCTTCTCTCTCGTCAAGTCTTGGCCTCACCCATGGCCGGCTCCAGCCGGGCCTTGTCCCCCTCCCTGCCTTCTGTCATTGGCACACACCCGCACAGTGGCTGGGGCCTGGGCATGTGACCGTGTTGCCTAGTCTGGATAGATACCTACATAGTGGAGGTAGCTACGTCACATGCAGGCATCTTCCTCCTGGGCAGCTCGAAGTTGGTAAAATACGCTCAGTCCCCGCCTGCAAAACATTTTGCGTGGCGCTCAGTGGCAATCCGCCTGGGGTTTATGGCGGGCTTAGAGAACTGAGCCCAGCCGGCGGGAGCGGCTGCCGAGGTGGGCGTGTGTCGTGCTATGCGAGTGCGCTCACAGCCCAGCGACCATGTCCTCTTGACTCTTCAGCTGTAGTCTTTGGACTGATTATTTGGCCAAATGATAACATGTGTCACTTGCCGGCGTAAATGCCTGCTGATAGTTTTCCGTGAAAGATTCCGTAGTTGGCGTACAGGCCACGGCAACAGGCCGTATCCGACATACTAGGAACTGTTTCTCCGTACGCAATCTGCTGGAAGGCATGACGAGGCTACTTTCATCATGAAAAATATGGCTGACAAGTCATGCTAACTTGTGACGCAAGGTGAAGATGCCTAGTCGCTCTGTGCGGTTTCATGTGTGCGGGCGTGGCAGACAGTCGGGTATAATCCCGGTGCGTTGTCGGGTATACAGTCTGCTCCAATGCTGCATACAGCAGCCACAAAACTGCTCCTGAGGTGTAGTCCTAAAGAGTGCGCTCACCACGCTAGTTCGGAAAGCCTGGAATACCAGATTCTGGACCATTGAGCCATGTCTCTAATTCCGCTTGAAGTATTGCACTGATTTGCGTATGTCCAGGTCGTAGGAGCTCGCCTTGGAGAACGTTCACATCCAGGAATCGACATATTGCAAAGGCGCAGAGAGACTAGATTGTGCTTGACAACTCGCAACCCTCGATGTTCTGAACACATGCTATGAGTCGGGCACGTCCTCCGCCGCTTGTCGTCAGCAGCTTTTGCCGACTACCTGCACCACCAATTCGCCGACGCATTGATTGAGCCTACTGGGCCTCGGCTAACGAAGGTGTGCCACCAGCCCTTTGGTATGTAAAGCGCATCGCCAGGCCCCACGGTTGCTTCCGATATGTGTGCATGATGGGCATCCTGCGCTTCTGGATGCCAGGTCGCTTTGTGCAATAGATCACGTTCGGGACCCTGCATCATCTCTGCCCCCCTCATAGAAGCGTGCCCACCGCTTTGCAGTATCCTTTGAATATGTTTGTAAATATCAAGAGCGACCTTGTTTGGCATGAAGCGCACGGTCTTGTGACCATGCAGCTGGCAGAAAATGTTTGGATTCGGGTCCCGATGCAGGGGAGTATACGTCGGCTGAAGTCCGAGCCAGATGCTCGAGCTGTAAATGTCGCCCTTTGGCGCGTTCTTCACTAGGTCTGGGACGGGGAGGTCGTGTCTGAGCTCTGCTGGTAATTCCCCAATGTCCGATTGGGCAATGTATAGCTGCGTGAGAAGGCTGTCCTCGTGGGCGTTGCAGTTATACTGGCTTGCGCAGGTCAACAGCTGCAGGGGAGCTTGAAACTGGTGAAACGTAGCAGGACCGTCTTGCGCTCGGGAGAGGGAAGAGCTTATGATGTCTTCCAGGGCGGGCACCTGCACTGACGAATGTCCGCGCATCCACTCGAGAAATGTATTCCAGCCTTTGCTGTGGCTCAGATCCGTTGTGAACTCGTACGGCATGTACAACTCCTCGAAGCTGCGGAAGTACTCTGTAAATGCTGGCGAGCGCTCACCATGTCCGCTTGCGAACCACTTGGTGATGGCTGGAAGGTCGTGGCCATTTCTGATGACAAGCGGTGCGGACGTCTCCCAGACAAGTGTCTTTATGGATGGGGTGTCCAGTGGTCCTTGGACTTCACTCACGCCAGAGACGGACACATCTCCGGGTGAAGTTGCAAACTTCCGCGACAGCCGGGCATCCCGTGCAAAGGGTATTGAGGTTTGTGACGGAAGTATTCGCAATGGCAACGATGATGGCGACAACCTTCTAAGAAGCATAATTTTGAGAAAAGATCTGGATCAGGGCAGCAAGGCCGTCATGGACGCAGGGCCACCACGACATTGTACCAACTGGAAAGAGCCTCCCAGCCAATGGGGTTAGTGGTCCGTGCGCGAATTCCCCACCTGCCCAGGCACGCACGGCACGGCCATGAGCAGGTGCACCAGCTTTGTGCAGGACTGTTTGTGCTTGCAAGGCGAGATAGGCACACACTGCATGGATAAGCCAGCAATTGCTGCAGATCTGGACCGACGTCGCCTCTCCACGCCGTCTACGAAGAACCACCTCACGATACGCCCCCGAGTGCTCGAAAGGAGAGCCGCCTGCCCACGTCGAACCCGACCCCCGTCTCCCTCCTCGCCCAGCGTCCGCGCCGGCCACCTTCGAGCGCTGCCCGCCTGCGACCCTCGAGGCTGTGGTCCCTGCAAACTTGCAGTGCTGCCCCTCCTCGGCCACCCGCCTCTTTCCCACCCCCGCCGCTGCGCCGCCCGCACGTCTCGTCAAGACCTCGCTCACACCGCGCCGCATCGTGTGACGGCACCGCTTATATATTCGCCTTCAGGTTCTGCTGCAGTCGCACAGCCTAGCCCCGACACGACCTGTGCTCTCCTCCTGTGCACAAACACCACCAGCACCCGTCCTGTTCTTGTCCTCGCCGTGGGCCAACCGCAAACCTGGACTCCACAATGTCGTCCTCCTCGGGGACTCCCGAATCCTGGATCTCGTCTTTTTGCTCGCTGCTCGGGCACGAGTACTTTGCCGAGGTCTCAGAGGACTTTATCGAAGATGACTTCAACTTGACAGGTCTCCAGACCCAGGTCGCAATGTACAAAGAGGCGCTCGAGGTTGGTTCTTCTGCTGTGCCCTCACAGCGTCCTTGAAGTGTCTGCTGACCACAAACCCGCCCCCAGATGATACTCGATGTCGAGCCCGAGGATGACGATGAAGAAGAGGAAGAGGAGGAAGAGGACGAGGACGAGTCAATCGAGGGCGGAAACGGCCCAATGCGCCACGGCGAACGGAGAAACCACAGCCGCATAGCTAGTGATCTCTCGGTGATAGAATCCTCTGCCGAAATGCTCTACGGTCTCATCCACCAGCGCTTCATCTGCTCTCGTGCAGGCATACAGCAAATGTCGGAAAAGTACGAGCTCGGCCACTTCGGTGTGTGCCCGCGAAGCCACTGCGAGCAGGCGAGGACGCTGCCAGTGGGGTTGTCCGACATTCCTGGCGAAGAGACTGTCAAGCTCTTCTGCCCATCCTGCCTAGATGTTTACGTGCCGCCCAACAGCAGGTTCCAGACCGTGGACGGTGCCTTCTTCGGCCGCACTTTCGGCTCGCTCTTCCTCCTCACATTCCCCGAATACGATCTGACGAAACGCGGAGCGGACGTGCTTGCTGGCGCTAGGATAACGGAGGACGACAGAGAGTCCATGCTTAACGGCATGTACACCTGCAACATCGCTCCTGGCTTGGGTCCCAACAAGATCTATGAGCCCCGGATCTACGGTTTCCGTGTTTCTGAAGTTGCGCGGTCCGGGCCGCGCATGCAGTGGCTCAGGCAAAAACCGACAGACATCACAGAGCTCGATGAGGCGCGGCGGTTCGCCGAGGAGCAACCAGACAGCGAGGATTATGATGAGAGCATGAACCTGAATGGCAGGCCGGTACGGAAATTGAGGGCACGGAGGAGAAACGGCCAGGGTGGTAGCCCTATGGAGACGAATGGTGCCAACTCCGAACTCTAGATGATGTCAAAATTGTTAGCAGACTGGGGCATTTCCACTCATCCGATATTGCAGGAGAATCACAGGCGCCGTCAGATGCATAAACTAGTCTGGCAGCTTGCATTCTGCGAAGCCTGGGAATACTGACGACCGTCAGGTCGTGATGGGTCCTGAGCAACCCAGACATAATCGAAGTCGATTGATACTGGGCGGTGGATGTGGCAGAAGACCTGCCTCCGTCTGGGTCTTTCGCGGCCGGTCCTCAATTCGGCTGAGCGATACGCCCGTATGAAGCAATGCCTCGTTGGGTCTGCTGGTGACAGCATGCGACAATTCTGGTTGGAAAGGCTTCCAGGAGAGACACATGGAATTCCACGATGGTGCCAAAAAACGGGTTTGGGGAGGGGGAGGCGGCGGCGCGTGGGGTCTCGGAGCATCATTCATCATAGACAAGTTGTACACTGCATTTTTTCGGCAAGCAGTGTTCCCTTTAATCTACCACATCCAAAATTGATACCAAGGAATAGATCTAGTCAAGGCATGGTGTCTACCGTCCCAGCCTTTGCCTGAGAGACGTCCACGGTTGTGTGCCACAACCTTCCACGAAAACTTTCGGACTGGGTATACGTGACTGTCTCAGGAAGCCACGCTCATGAGAACCTGAACACTCAAACGACTTTAGGCAGAGACGAAGTGCTTGCGACAACTGGTTACTTGATTCAGTCAAACCGTGTTTCACGAGGTGAACAAGAATACCTCTGGGTCGCAGATGTGAATTTTATCAAACCAAGCGCATTCCGCCTTGTTGCTTTGGTCTCCTTATTCTGCAATTTTGCAATCGCCACCAGATCTCAATCGGGAAAACATTAAGCTCAGCCACCCGACACAGGAACCCAGACCTGCAGGGATTTCGCTCCTCCACAATGGCACACTGCGATCAGAAAACGTCCATTGTCATGTCAGCGTTCGGGATATGAATCCGGAAATGGTCTCTACTCCACTTCTTGACTAAAAGTCCTTGGCCCAGACCGGATAGCTGTCCAATTTTGGTGCCGCGGTTCGGGCGATGAGACTGTAAATGGTTTCCTCTTCGTTTTGTCACACGTTTCATGGAATAGGAAGCCACCACGGAAGGCGACACAATATTGTCACAGACATGACTTGGGCACTCGGATTCTTTAGGCCAGCTCGACTCTTTCGTAGCTTCCGATCTGATCTCACCGAAATGAAACAACCTTGTCTCGGCTTGAATCCTTCAAACCCAGGCCCAATATCACGACGGGACGCACAGGCAGAATGACAACGGGTATGAATATTCCCACTCTGAATCAACACCGCCCAGTGGACTGGGGCCTACAACACCCCTGCTGTTGCCCGGCTCGTCATCCTGATGTGCTTTGAAGGGCGCACGAGGCCTGAGCGAGGTCCTGGTCGACCACGAGTGTTTCCCTGTCCGTGTCCTTCATGGGCGGATTTCAAGCAGCTTGGCATGCAGTGCCTCAGAAAACATCGTCAGCTTCAGTTTCTATGGACTGGATACCGACTTGTCTTGGCGCTGGTGGGGAATCTCGATCTTCAGCTCGTCGTTCGGCTATATAAAGAAGCTCGACATCGACCAAGATTTTGACTATTTGAAAATATTCACCATCACAGCACAAGCAGACATTTCAGCTCCAATAAAACCCCTCGCTTATATCTCATCTTGACATTTTCCCCTCGAAAGGAAAAATGCACTTCTCCGCCGCCGTCATCTCTACAGCGCTGCTGGCCATGGCCGGGCAGGCCAGCGCGGCCGACAAGCTGAACCGCAACATCTGCATCTGCGAGGGCGGCGGCCAGGCCAACTACAACATCGCCATCACGTACTACAACGGGCGGCTCAACAAATTCTTCAACGCGGCCAAGCGCTGCCAGGGGCCCGTGGGCATCCCGCAGAAGTGCTCGCTCGACCAGCTCTACCTGCCGGGCGTGCGCATCTGCGGCGAGGGTCCCAGCAGCGGCTTCTGCTACGACTTTGAGGTCACCAGCAGGGACAAGTACAGTCTCGACGGCAAGGGGGCCAGCGTGCCCAGGAACCCGCAGCCAGACTATGACTGCAACGGGCTCTGCAACTCCCTCTGGCCGGGCACTAGCAAGGGTATTGGCAGCACTTCCGAGGTCTACTACGACATCAACCCGGGGCTATAAGAAGGCGAGGGCCATATGTCCTCGCTAGCAAGGCATAGAGATTACTGGGACGAGGACGTGGAGGCGGAAATTGGGATCCCCCCCTCTGCCGCCAAAGTATCTCCGAGCTTCATCACGTTTATCTCGGAGCGGTGGAGGAGTGATGAACCCTGCTAGACTCGATGCGGTCGTCCTGCCCGGGCAGTTTCTTTGTACGGCAAGTTGGCGCTGGTAGACGTGTGGGGGTTTGATAGGAGGGCAAGGAAGCGTCACCTGACTTACAGTCAGGGGCTTTATACGTTATGGAAACCCTGCAACAGCATTAATTACATTCTCGACACTCCTTTAAGCAAAACTTATAAAGAACAACATTTCACACAACGATCTCAGTGGGGACACAGTGAGCTGTTATTATTGAGCGGCCCCGAGCTGTCGTCTCGGACCCTAGAGACAAGTCTGTCCTGACAAGGGCTCGCGAATTGATAGGACTATGTCTTCATAATCGGAGGGAATAATGACAGTCATGTGCAGTCGGGAAATTCCACAGCGGAAGCCTTCTTGATCGGGATGGCTACTCGCAGACTTATTGATTCTCGAGCGCCTGGTTTGCAAACAAGAGAGTAGTACGCCACATTGACTATATTATCCCAACATTTCTCTGGCGTTCTCCCGGTTTCACCAACACGCAATCCCCCATAACCATCATGCCAATCCAAGCATATGACCTAGGCGACAGAGAGCACTTCGAAGGCATGCAAAATATCCAAACTCTGTAGGGCGTGGAAATTAGTATGGGGACGCGGGATATTGGTCACGACCTTTGAGCCCGCTTCAGACCGTTTAAACCCCAAGGCCAGCTTTCTCAAAATGAGTCGGTGGCCCCCGTCGTATTCGATGCGATCTCGAATGGTCCATACCAATCGACCCTTGGTAGAAATTAACGAGCAGAGAAGTACAAGAGGACAAACCAGACTGAGCATGAAACTGTCCACGTAGAGAGGAAAAGCCCCAGGTAGTATACAATATACTCCAGAGCACTGATTCTGAGTCAGGCTCTATAGCACATCCTCACATATGTTATTTAGTTGCTCTGAGTTATACTGTGCTCGTACTGGCTCACGGATCGACAAGAACGATAACTCAAGATCCAGATAAATGAATATCAATGTCGTCGAGCGGCATACTTTTACCGGGCACCGGCGAATCATACAGCAATAGGCATTCCAGGATGCGAATACCTTCAAAGCGAGTTCTTGACGTTATCAGGAAAGGGACAATTCACGAGATGAAATTCCATCATTGCGCTCCAGACAATGCATCAACCAGGGCTGCTGCCTCTGGACAGATGCTAACAGTCTGGGATTAACAGAAAAATAATCTCTCTCCCGCTCGTTTCGGGAACAGCAGCTGTGCTTACAGCAACGCTGGATAATGGAGAACAATGCCTTTTCGTTCGCCATGATACTTACACAGTCCGGGAAGATACACGGCGACTAAGTGGAATATGTATGGCCTGCAGTCGGACAAAGAAATGTGCTAGACAACATGGCCAAAGTCCTGATACACCACCGTCACGAGGCGCATGTTCGTTCGACTAGCACAAAGTTTAGTGGTGGCCATTTTCCCACCAGAGTTACACGAATGTCAAGAACGAGCCTGGTTGGAGGGAGTCCCGGTCAGGAGGTAGTGAGAGGGCCTCCAGTACCAGGGCAGAAAGCCATGGAGGAAATCGAGGTCCTGGTTGGGGCAGTATTTGGGCGCAGCAGTTTCAATACGTGGCAAGTTGTCTGCATTCGCGATGAAGAGGGACGATTGCCAGATAGTCGTCAGCTATTTACCTAGGTCGGCATTCACTCACCTCACCTGGCCATGCCCTCTGCAGAGCCGCAGACATCTGGTGGCTGCACATATTGTCTCACTCGGCTTGCGGAATTCAAACTCAGGGCGATCCAAGGCAAGTATACAACGTTTCCAATTAGTCATCGCGCACCAGCGCACCATAGTGCTTCAGGATGTAAGCGCACTGCAGGGCAGCCCCATGTTGACATTGTGGTCATGCGCAGTATTACTTGAAGCATGCAGGCTGATCGGGTTTGTCGCCATGCAGTCTGGGATCTACAGGTTCTGCCAATGTGCAACAGCTGATCAAAAGAAAGTCTCGACGAGCCTATAAGTGGACACAACCGCACGCCGTGGTCAAGGCGTCAAGACAAATAAAACCCCTGCAAGGACAAGCAAACAGGTGTGCGTCACCCCGAAATGCGGCTGTTCCGGCTGACGACAGGAAATGCGCGGGACATGGCAGAAACACTTGCAGAGTCGGCTTGCCATTCGCGCGGGTGGTGCCGAGAAAGCGGAGTTGACAAGAAATTAGCCGGCCTCAGAAGTCCGCCCATGCCCGGACGTTGACTCAATGTGACACACACACGCGCGCGGAGCTGAGGGGCTGACATGCATTGCACGCTCCCTCTTGCCGCCGCTGCCAAACGAGGGATCCGTGGAAGCGGGTTCACTAGCCGGCGATGAATCATAGTGAATCGATCTTAGTGCCTGCCCCGCGAAACCACCATATCGGCCCCGGGGACACGCAGAGGCTTTTCGGCGTGACGCCTGGTCCGGATTGTCTCCCGTCGAACGTGCCGTCGTGCTGAGAAATCACGCCGACTTAAGCTGGCACTCGACGTCACCCTCTGGCGAAGACATGCTGCGCAAGAGGTGATACCGTGGCGTGCCAGGGTGTCACGCCCGCCACAGCCGTTTCCCCCTGGGCGGCGGAACGCCGCCCGCCCAGGTCAGGGCTGCTACGGCCCGCAGCATCAAACTTCGCAGGACCCTAATCTCAGGGCGCCTCCACTTATTGTCCGAAGCCCGATGGGCAAGCCAGGGAGTCCCGTTCGTATCCCCACTATCAAGATGTAGCATGCAGCACGACGGGGCACTAGACGCGTGCTTATTTGCCCCTTGATCAGGGTCTGATGGTCCTGGATTCGAGACCGTCCGTACGGGAGCTCTGAGGCAAGGTTGTTTGCACGATTTGCAGTCTGGCCAGGTGGACGGTCAGCTATTGGGCCGGTTGCATGCCCCAGGAGATGGCCCATACCATGCACAAGCGGCGGCGAAAAAGCTGAGTCAAGGTGGGATGGGTAGCGTGTTGTTGTGCTTGTGTGCGCTAGTCAGGGGTTTGGACGACAACGAGCTAGCGCACATCGAAAGTCCAGCAGAGTTTTGAGCTTTGCCACGGGTCTAGGACGGAGAAGCGGACTTAACAGCCCTGGCACTCATTCATGAGACGTGGAGCCGGCGACGCAACTTGGCGGCTTGGCTCTGATGGTGACGACTGGAGTTCGTTTGGACCTGTCGACAAGACTCGCGGCAGCAGCTTCAACGTCGAAGGTGAGATGGATGGTTGGTGCAAAAGTCCCTGCCTTGAGGCTGTGTCAAAGAACGTGGTTATGATTCTGATAGGGTGTTTGACAGGGTGCTTGACTGTTGACAGGATGCTGGTCTGCCGCTTTAGCTCCATTCGGCTCGCCGCTCAGCTCGGCAGACTGGCCGGGGCGACCAGGCGCGGTGTGTCGTGCCAGAGTTACATCTGCCGGGGCCTCAGTTCGGTTATTGTGACTGGGCATCCTTCAGGGCCGTCGGGTGGTGGATCCTGCTTGGCGTGCTGCGGTCGGGTTTCTCAGCAGTGCGCTCGCCCGCGGATGATTGTCAGCGAATGGCGATAGGTCTTTTTCGTGCCGACTCCGCATTCCGTGATATGAGCCCCAGACGGCGATTGATAGGGGAGCTGCGGGAGAGGCGTCGGGTCACCAAGGGCGCAGTCTGCGTGCGTGGGCATGCGGATGTGCTGCATGGTTGCATGCTGCATGCTGCATTCTGCATGCCTGGCTGGCTGCAAGTGTGATTGCATTCCAAATCACCAGTGGCATGGCGACGCTGCGCCCGACCACTTGTGACTGTGCACCACAGCAGCCAGACTCCCTGCCGGTGGTGACGATGATGTGCTCTGGCCGATGACCCTACGATGTCGACGGGGAAGGAGTGGAGCCCGCTTGGTGGGCGGCGTCCCATCAGTGGTATGTATCCCATCTCAGATTCACGATGCCCCACAGGCTGCAGTGCAGCGCTCTTTCCCTGCGCGGCGTGGCGCGTCCCCGGCAGGTGGTGGTGGGTCCTGCTTGATAATCCTCAATGGGCCAGCAACTGCGCTCCTGAGCCCGGTTTTTTTTGTCCAGAGACCTGCGATGCCGCACACTATCTCATCAGCGGCGTCCCTCCCGCCTTGTCTCCTCTCGTGCTGTGCTGCTGCCCTCTTTTTCCCAGGCTTCCACCAGCATCTCGTGCTCCCACCGAGCGTCCCCTCCCAATTGGGCCCTTTCTTCTAGTCATTCCTGCTTTCTAATACCACAACGGCTCGCCTTTTTTTGCGGCTGCCTCGTGGTGTGTCTCGTTCCTTTATTTACCACCCAGGGTTCCCCACGGCAACGCACCTCACAGCCCTTCCCCGACAACTTTGTGCAATATAAGCTCCGATTCCACAGGAAATCCTACCGACACAAAGCCCCCTGGTGATTCGAGAACGGCATCACAGCCAGTAACGCCCCAGCTACGGTCAAATCCCCCTTCTACGCCCAATTTCACTGGCCTTTGGTGCAGCTTGAGCTTTGGCACATCAACGCTCAAATTCGATAAGCAACACCGACAAACGCAGCAACCAAGGACGACGCATCTCACCCATCGCCGCCTCTTGTGGGGGATCGCACAGCCATAATGGCGGACCAGAGAGATCTGGAAAAGCAGCATGAGGCTGCGGCGGCGCCTGCTGCTGAGCTCAAGGAGACTGGGGCCAGCCCGGCTTCTGAGCCAACTTCCAGCTCTTCCGCATCCGTGGCTACAATTTCGCCAGAAGAAGAGCGCGAGAGAGCCAGACAGGCAAACCCCAGTGGATTCTCCAACGCACAAGGTGGCGTGAACATTGAGCGTGCAACAGCCGACTTCGCCGAGCTCCAGCGTGAGATCTCTGGTCTCTCACGCATCAGCCGTGTTCAAAGCCGGCAGAGCCAGAAGGGCGTAGATGTGGAGAAGGTCAAATCTAACAGGACTGGTGCAGACGAGTCTGACAGCACCGAGGAACTGTTCGACCTCGAAGCTACTCTGCGTGGTGGACTCGCTGCCCAGCAGGAGGCCGGCATCAAGCCAAAGCACATTGGCGTCTACTGGGACAAGCTCACTGTCAAGGGCATGGGTGGCATGACCAACTATGTGCAGACCTTCCCGGATGCGTTCAAGAACTTTTTCAATTTCTGGACCCCAATCATGGGCCTTTTCGGAAAGGGCTTCAGCTTCGAGGAGGCCACCCTTCTTGACAATTTCAAGGGTGTCGTCAAACCCGGTGAGATGGTGCTCGTCCTCGGGCGGCCTGGCTCAGGCTGCACCACGTTCTTGAAGAATATTGCCAACCAGCGTCATGGATACACCAGCGTCTCGGGTGACGTCTTGTACGGCCCGTGGACTGCTGATGAGTTCAAGCAATACCGAGGCGAGGCCGTTTACAACCAGGAGGACGACATTCACCACTCAACTCTGAGTGTGGGGCAGACTCTTGGCTTCGCCCTCGACGTCAAGGTGCCGAACAAGTTGCCCGCCGGCACAACGAAGAAGCAGTTCAAGGAGGATGTCATCACAATGCTGCTCAAGATGTTCAACATTGAGCACACGCGCAACACCGTCGTCGGTGATGCTCTCGTCCGTGGTGTCTCTGGCGGTGAGCGCAAGCGTGTCTCTATCGCGGAGATGATGATCACCAATGCCTGTATTCTGTCCTGGGACAACAGCACGCGTGGCCTTGATGCCAGTACCGCCCTCGATTTTGCCAAGTCCTTGCGCATCCAGACCAACCTGTATCAGACTTCGACTTTTGTCTCCCTGTACCAGGCGTCTGAGAACATCTACAAGCAGTTCGACAAGGTGCTCGTCATTGACTCTGGCAAGCAGGTCTATTTTGGACCAGCTTCCGAGGCTCGCGCCTATTTTGAAGGCCTCGGATTCCTGCCTCGCCCCCGGCAAACCACGCCTGATTATGTTACTGGCTGCACTGACGAGTTCGAGCGTGACTATGCCGACGGGTACTCACCCGAGAACGCGCCGCACAGCGCAGAGACCCTGGCTGAGGCCTTTAATAAGTCTGCTATTGCTGCTCGCCTGAACGAGGAGATGGCCAGCTACAAGACACAGCTCGAGCACGAGTCGGCCAAGCACAATGATTTCCAGACGGCAGTTCGGGAGAGCAAGCGGGGCGGCGCTAAGCGTTCCGTCTACGGTGTCGGCTTCCACCTGCAAGTCTGGGCCATCATGAAACGTCAGTTCGTCCTCAAGATGCAGGACAAGCTCAGTCTTTCCCTCTCCTGGCTTCGTGCCATTGTCATCGCCATCGTCCTCGGTACTCTTTATCTCAACCTCGGTCAAACCTCAGCCAGCGCCTTCAGCAAGGGTGGTCTTCTCTTCATCAGTCTCCTGTTCAACGCATTCCAGGCCTTCTCGGAGCTCGGGTCAACTATGACAGGCCGCCCCATCGTGAACAAGCACAAGGCTTATGCGTTCCATCGGCCCTCGGCCTTGTGGATTGCGCAAATCTTTGTCGACGCCGCCTTCTCAGCTGTGCAGATCCTGGTGTTCTCCATCATTGTGTATTTCATGACTAACCTGACAAGGACTGCGGGTGCCTTCTTCACCTTCTACCTTATGATCTTGGTCGGCAACATAGCTATGACGCTGTTCTTCCGCATCATTGGTTGTCTAAGTCCGGACTTTGATTACGCCATCAAGTTCGCCGTCGTCTCCATCACGCTGCTCATTCTGACATCTGGTTACCTCATCCAGTATCAGAACCAGCAGGTATGGCTGCGGTGGATCTTTTGGATCAACCCACTGGGCTTAGCGTTTGCTGCCCTCATGGCGAACGAATTTGGACGCAACACGCTCACCTGCTCGGCCGAATCTCTCATCCCGTCAGGCCCTGGCTACGGCGACATCAACAATCAAGTCTGCACGCTCCCCGGATCCACGCCTGGTACCGATCAGGTCGATGGAGGCGCATACATATCCCAGGCCTTCCAGTATGCGCCCGAGGATCTCTGGCGCAACTTTGGTATCATCATCGCCATCATCATCTTCTTCCTTGCGGCCAATGTCATTCTCGGTGAGGTCCTCAACCATGGCATGGGTGGCAACACTTTCCGCACATACGCCAAACCCAATGAGGAGCGTAAGAAGCTCAACGCGGAGCTGCAAAAGCATCGTCTTGCCCGTCAGAAGTCGCGACGCGAAGGCCAAGATAAGACCATGAAGATCGAATCTGCCAGCGTCCTGACCTGGGAGAACCTCAACTACGATGTACCAGTCCCTGGTGGCACTCGTCGTTTGCTGAATAATGTCTACGGCTACTGCAAGCCTGGCCAGCTTACTGCCCTCATGGGTGCCTCCGGTGCCGGCAAGACGACGCTTCTGGACGTGCTGGCTGCTCGCAAGAACATCGGTGTCATCTCTGGTGATATCCTGGTCGACGGCCTCAAACCTGGCAAAGAATTCCAGCGATCAACCTCGTACGCTGAACAGCTCGACATGCACGATCCCACCCAGACCGTCCGTGAGGCTCTGCGCTTCTCGGCTGACTTGAGACAACCCATGACCACTCCTCAGGAGGAGAAGTATGCGTACGTCGAGGAAATCATTGCCCTGCTTGAGATGGAGGATATCGCAGATGCCATCATTGGATACCCCGAGTTCGGTTTGGTTGTTGAGGAGCGCAAGCGTGTCACCATTGGTGTCGAGCTTGCTGCCAAGCCGGAGCTGCTACTGTTCTTGGATGAGCCGACGTCTGGTCTTGACAGCCAGAGCGCCTTCAACATTGTCCGTTTCCTCAAGAAGCTTGCGGGTGCTGGCCAGGCCATTCTGTGCACCATCCACCAGCCCAACGCCGCTCTGTTCGAGAACTTTGACCGGTTGCTGCTACTGCAACGTGGTGGCCAGTGTGTCTACTTTGGCGATATCGGCAGCGATGCTTATGTTCTCCGTGATTATCTGGCCCGGCATGGCGCCGTTGCTGGAGAGTCTGACAACATTGCCGAGTTCATGCTCGAGGCCATTGGTGCCGGCAGCCGTCCTCGCTTTGGCGATCGTGACTGGGCTGATATCTGGGCAGACAGCCCCGAGCTTGCTAATGTCAAGGACACCATTTCTCAGCTCAAGTCCGAACGTCAGGCCGCGGACTTGCAGATCGATCACGCCCTGGAGCGCGAATATGCATCGACGCTGTCGCACCAGCTTAGGACGGTCATGCGCCGCATGAACCTGTCCCTGTGGCGGTCCCCCAACTATCTGTTCACTCGTGTTTTCAACCACGTTGCCATCGCTATCCTTACTGGTCTCACCTACCTACAACTCGACGACTCTCGTGCGTCTCTGCAGAACAAGGTCTTCGTCATGTTCCAGATTACCGTCTTGCCTGCGCTTGTCATGACACAAGCCGAGGTTATGTGGGTTATCAAGCGTGCCATTTTCTTCCGGGAGCAGTCCAGCAAAATGTACAGCAGCTTGACGTTCACGGTCACCATGATTGTCGCCGAGATGCCGTACTCGATTCTTTGCGCTGTTCTGTTCTTCCTGCCGCTCTACTACATGCCTGGGTTCCAGTATGAGAGTGTGAGAGCGGGTTACCAGTTCTTCATGATCTTGATCACGGAGCTGTTCGCCATCACTCTGGGTCAGGTCCTTGCTGCCATCTCTCCGTCAGCCTTCATCGCCTGCCAGTACGACCCGTTCATCGTCATCACCTTTGCGCTCTTCTGTGGTGTCACAATCCCCTATCCTCAGATGCCTGGTTTCTGGAAGGCCTGGTTGTACCAGCTGGACCCTTTCACGCGTTTGATTGGTGGCACAGTCACCACCGCTCTCGAGGGTCTTCCTGTCGTCTGCAGATCAGGCGAGCTCCAACACTTCAATGCTCCTGGCGGCGAATCCTGCGGCGAGTATATGGAACCGTTTTTCAGCTCGGGTGGCCTCGGCTACCTTGTCAACAATGCCACGAGTGCTTGCGAGTACTGTGCCTACAAGATTGGCAATCAGTTTTACGAGCCGCTTGGCTTTGAGTTCAGCAACCGTTGGAGAGATCTCGGCATCTTTGCCGCCTTCATCTTCAGTAACCTGGCGATTCTGCTCTTGGCGGTAAGTCTTGCCGCCCCACAAACTGGGTTTTGCATTTGTTGCCACTTGAGACTAACATGTGTTGTTCTAGGGACGCTTCCTGAACTTCAATCGACGATAGAGTACCAGGTCTGGTGTCGTGACGTTTGATTTTTTCTCACGAGGATACGAGCATGTTCCTCTTCTGGCCTGCATTACGCTAGCTAATGCAGTGTTAAACTCTCTTTACAGCGCCGGGGCATTGCGCGATTCCGCATTTTGTTTTAGAACATAAAAGCCTATCACTAGATATTTTTTTTCCTGTCTTCGCTTTACATATCATTCTCTATATTTTCATAATGGTCTACGGATGACTAGATACGGTACTCGCAGCATACGAGGGTCGACACTGATCCAATAATCAAATAAGAGAGTCGTTTTGACATTGGCGGTTGAGCAATGATGATGGTACTGATGTGCTCCCCGAAGTGCATACAAGTGTGGCGCACCGCAGTTCTCGATGTTTAGTGATTATGAGTGGCATAAGCATCCCGACCCCGGCCGGCTTTGACCAAATATCTCCCTCAGCTTTTGTCTGCGTTGCCCTCTCCTCTCCTTCTTCGTCCGCGCCTCTTGCGCCTCAGCAGCCAGGGCCTCAAATTGAAGACGACGCCACAAGCCATGACCCCGATCCAAAGGACGAGCTCGGACCCGTAGATGACGATGCCGAGCACATCCACGCCCTCGCTTGTGCCCTGGCCCTGGGCTTCGGCGTCCCGGGTGCCGCGGCGGACCTCGAAGAAGAGCGAGAGCAGGGAGGTCAGGTCGCCCAGGGCGTCGATGGCGACGAACAGGAAGGATATCCCGCGCACGGTGCGGGTCGTGTAGATGTCCCAGTAGTGGCGGAGGACGCCGGCGCTGAGGAGCAGGGCCGAGAGGATGGCCATGAGGGTGTACGGCCATGCCGTCAGGGGGGCTTTTGTGGTTGTTGTGGTGGTGGTATTGCTGGTGGTGGTGGTGGTGGTGTAGTGCCTTAGAGCAAAGACGAGGCCCGCCTGTATCCCGCCGAGGGCGAGGGCGATGGCAGAGGTTACGAGGAGGATGTGTGGGCATAGCGGCCAGCGCCGGTGGCTCTCGGGGGACGTCGTTTCTGGTGTGGACTGGGAATGGGAGGTGACTGGTGTTCGTGGTGGTATATTGGCGGTGGTGGTGGAAGGGATGGGTGAATGTGGGCGGACCACGTTAGGGCTGGTGACAACATCATCAGCAGCACGGTCATCATCAACGTTGCCACGACTGTGACCATGAACATGGGCAGAACCAGCAGCAGTAGCAGAGTCAGTAGCAGCCTCCACCTCCTGCTCCTCTTCCTCATCTCGTTTCTGAGAGCCGGCGGCAGGCCCGTAGTACTTGCACTGCGCCCAGGTGACCAGGCTGAGAAAGGTGAGCAGCTGGGGCTGGACCTGGAGGGCGACGTTGAAGCCCTGGGCAATGTTGTAGACGCCGAGGGGCAGGCCGGCGAGGGCCCAGAGGAGCATCATGGTGGGCTGGACGCCATCGGCGTGGTGGCGGCGGTGGTTTGTGATGATCTGGGGGATGAGCTGTCGGGCGGCGGGTTTTGTTAGGAACCAAGTGACATTGTGACCGCATGTGAGGCGGGAGAGAGGATTGGAAGTGGTACTGAGACGGCTGTACTTGCCTGGACAGACCAGCATACGGCGCCGGCGGTGCCGAGGATGTTGGCGGCGACAGGGTTGTCCATGGTGATGTGGGGAGAGAGCTGGCCGGCACCATCATTTTTGATGCTACATGGCGTTGTGCGCTGTGCGCTTGGGACGACGTGCGGGTTGGGCACTGCGTATCAGAGAGGCAGGCAGGTGCGACGAGGTCGGTCGGCTCCAGGGACCGGGGTCTGGGGCGGCGGTGGTGGTGCAGCAGCGCCGAGTGATGGCAGCGGGGCAGTTGCGGCGGCTCCGTGGCCGGGCAGTCCGCGGAAGAGCAGACGACGGCAGGTGCAACCCGGAAACGGCGGGTGCGTACCTGCAGGCGTGTCTGTCGTGCGACATGCCCTGAAAGAGCTGAAAGGACGGTAGGCCCTGTCCTGTGACGGCGTTACTGCCAGTGGACTGACCGTCCTGGCACCAACTGTCCCGTCAGGTCGGGCGGAGTGGAACGGCGGATTGAGACGACGGCTTGCCTGTCATTGTGCCAGCGCTACACGGCGCCACCAGGTAACGGCCCGCACCGGCATTATCGACGACCCTGGATTAGTACACTATACGAGTCCGATTGCATCTGCTGAGTGGCCGCTTCATGGGGTGCCAAGGCAATGACTAGGCGGCCCTGGAAATGGACGTTCCCGGGCGCCAGCCTGCGGCTTACCCGACGAGCTGGGCTCTCTCCCGCCACGAGGCAGCTCTCGAAGGGGGCTGGCCCATCACGGATGCGACGCGCCAGTTGTCCAATGCCCGTCCTGCTACGGTGAGGCGAGGTGAGCATCACTTTGCTGGCAGCTCTGGGGCTCTGCTCACCTTGACCCTGGCCGGCCATGGATGCAACGTAGCCCCCAAGGGTCCCTGTATCCCAAAGCGGATATGCTTGGATGTGCCACCATCACAACCACTTCCAGTGCCCCGTCCGTGGTCAATGCTCAATGTCAGACACTCAGCTTCATGGTATGCATCGTCGACATCTCGTCGTCGTCATCATCAATCACAATGGCCGAAGGCGGGCTGGGGCGTGGCCTTCTAGAAGCCATGGTGGAATACAGCAGTCCAACTTTTCCAAATGAGCCTGCTCGCGACGGGCAGTCCGCCTTCATCACGACGAATCGCGCCCACGACGTCAAGTATAAAACTGCTGTCGAACCCCCACGATCACCACCACTTGGATTCACACAGCATCAGCTTCATTACTCAGTCACTCCTTGCCTCAACCACCACTCCTTCTCCCAACCAGCTTCTCAGCGCAACAAAGCAGCCGCCAAACACCCTCCTTTCAAAACAAACCCCAAACCCCACCAGCAAAAATGGTTTCCTTCACCCAAACCGTCCTGGCTGCTGCCACTCTTGCCTCCGCCGCCACCGCCTACTCCGGCCAGGCCACCTGGTATGAGCCCGGCCTCGGTGCCTGCGGCCGCACCAACAACCGCAACGACCTGATCGCCGCCATCGCCCCGAGCTTCTTCACTCACCCCAACCCCAACCTCGACTCCATCTGCGGCCGCAAGGCCAAGGTCACCCGCGGCAGCAAGACCGTCGTTGTCACCATCGTCGATAAGTGCATGAGCTGCCCCCAGGGAAACATTGACCTCTCCCCCGCGGCCTTCCAGCAGATCGGAAACCTCGACGAGGGCCGCGTCAGCACCAGCTGGGTTTTCGTCTAAGCGGGCTGAACTGACAATTTCGCCCGGGATTTTGGAAAGCGAACACCTAAGAGGGATGCCGGTGAGCAAGGCGGAATGGAGTGTGGTGCCGGGGGCGAACCACAGAGAAGAAAACGTTGTTGGATGTTGATTGTGGGAGAAAAGGTCGAGGAGGAGTCTTGACTATGGTGGTGCCATGTGTCCATCACTGGCCGTTTTCCTTTGTTTTCTCTTCTTGCACATGATTATATGCATCTTTTGTATATAACTCTCCTTATACACACCCTAGAAAAATCGACGGCATTGTTGTCTCTACACTTTTCTCGAGCTTGCTGCAAGGTCTGTATAATTAGGGACGTCGACAGGTGAGTGATGCGCTCTTTAATCCTCTTCCTTGGACAAGCGACTCTTACAATATCGGTAACTTCGAGTGCACTCTGTCACAAAGGACGTGCGGGTCTGATATCAGGTCAACGGCACAATGCAAAACACTGTCTGACAAGGCCAGTCGCCGCCACCCTGACCACCGCCTCTCCTTTTTCCGATATAAAAAGCAGCAGCTGCAGCAGCAATTTCCTCACTCTTGTCCGTCCTTCTTCTGCCTCGCCGCCGCCGCCGCCTCCGACATTTTGTCAAAGATGGCCGTAGACAGCTCGAGCCTCTCGCCCATCCACATCGCCCGCTCGGTATGGTTCCTGAGCTCGCGGCGGCCCTCATCCTCAGCCTCGGCCTCGGCCTCCCCGCCGGGAGCACTATGCGGCAGGGTGTTGGGATGGACCAGAGCCGACAGGGGGCCTCGCCAGATGGCGAGCCAGGGGACAAAGGCGCCAAAGTGGGCGGGCGTGTGCAGGTTCACCTCGAACATGGCCAGCGGGTGCGGGCCGATGGGGACTTGCCAGAAGCGGTAGATTCGGAGCTCTGGGACTTTAGTTTTTGTTTGTTTGTTTGGGTTAGTTTTGTTTTCTTTGTCGATGTGAAACACTTTGCGCAAGCGGTTGGGGGTTTAAGTAAAAGGGGGGTAATAGTGCTACTTGTTGTAGAGGTTGAGAACGGGAGCGAGCGAGGCGGGCGAAGGGAAAACATGGAATAAAGAGGGTGAAAAGGGGGAAACGACATACACTCTCGCCGGATACGCTCCCATAGCTGCAGTGCGTAGGCGGCTTGTTCTGCGTCCGAAGGGTCGTGGTAGATGTGCACGTCGCTGTGTGTAAGAGAGAAGATGAGAAACTGGTCAGCACGAATACAGCAACGGCAACATCGGCCTTCCTTCTAAGGGCCGTTTCCATAACAACGATCAAATCAGAAGAAAAGAGAACAAGAAAAAAGAACGAAATGTGTGCCCCCCGGGGAGCTAGCTAGGCACAAAGCGGCTGCTGCGAGGTTTTGGTCGTCGCACCATACAAATGGTCACTGCCTCAAACATCGCCCTTTCCGAGCTGGGGGTTCCGCGTCCTCGTGTACGAATTTGCAAACGAGTGTCTAGATGGACGAGCTCGGATCTCGAATGCAGACATGCAGGTCTGCCGAGCTGTGCTTCCTCTCGACTTGCCAAAGCGGCGAGCAGACTACACGTTTTGAACCAGAATACCAGGCCGGCTCGTCCAGCCCAATTCGATCGGGCAAATTTCACGCCGGTCCCGCGGAACCCACGCCGGAAAACGATACAACAACGAAGAAGGAAAAAGGAAAAAACGGGGGAAAAACGAAGAAGCACTCACAATCCCCCGCGAATGCCATTGTCGAGCGGCGCGGTGAACCTGCCGTACGCCTCGCTGGGCTTGCCGTCGGCGGCGGGCGGGTTGACGTAGCTCTTGCCGTCGGGGGCCTTGTCCTCGGGCAGCGGGGGCAGGTTGGCGTACTTGCCGGACAGGGGCGGCGGGTATGTGCTGACCGGGCGGGTCGGCACGGGTGTCTTGGCTATTGCTGATGCAGGGACCGAGGCGGACATTCTGTGACTGTAATTGTTGCTATTGCTTGTGGTGGTGGTTGGTGGTGGTGATGATGCTGGTGCTGAATAAGTGTATGTGCATGTCTGCGCAGTGTGCCTGTCCTTGGTAGGTGCCTCTTTGGGGTCGGCGGGCTCTCAGGGCGATTTTGAGGTCTGGAGGGAGGGCATCGTGATTTGTCAACCGTGCCAGGACCTGACTAAAAGCCACACATCCATCCATACCACTCAGCGCTGTGGCACGTAATTGTCATGCAATCGCGTGCTCCGGGGCCGGGCCCCGCATTTCCCCCGCAAACTGCCGACGCTGTTGCCCAGGCTCGGCAGGGCAGGGCGGTCCTGGCCTTGGCACGCCGGTCATGCCGTGCTCTTGCTTACTACCAGAGGCCCTACAAGTTAATTGTTTCGGACAATGGGCTGATCCTGCAGCCTTTTCTTTAGATATAATACAGTTGGACGTCTCGACCCCTCTCGTACCAGGTGCATCAAGAATGGCTGATGAAGAACGTAAAAGTGGTCCGACAGGAATGTAAAGTCTGGCATCTAATGCAAGGCCGGGCTCAATGCAGCCACCACCTTCTGTGCATGGACCGAAAACCCTCGCCACGCAATTCGATTCACGTGGGTTCCTTAATCGTTCAACGTCTTTTCTGCTACAAGCCCCGTTCTCACAGACCTGGTGCGCAGGCTGCTCCTGCCAGCCAAGGGCTGGCCAATCTCGGCTCTGTGATTGTTCTAACACGAATGAGTCCCAGGGTCTGCTTATGCGAGTACTTCGGGGTGGAAGGGTCAGCTCACTCAGTGAGACAACCCGGGAAACAAGACAGACATAATCCGTGCAAGAGCAGCACATATGCGGAGAAGGTCATTCACTGCAGCATCTGTCAGATCGTCAGCTTCTGGGAGAAGAGTCGCTGGCATGCACATCAGGTCGCGTGTAGGCGCGCAGGTAAGTTCGACACGGCCGGAAAAGCCGGTGAGATCATTCAAGAGAACACTGGTCTCGACATCGAATTGCAAGGTCGGCCGAGGCGTCATGAGAATCTTGAAACCCGTGGCCAAGGATAACGCTCGTACTCGATCATAGCTGTACAAGTTCCAGCGGGTATTGAACCTGAGATATGTCTACTCCTTTCGTAGCAGGATGAGAAAAAAAGAAAAGGGGTGTGGCGATCTGTAGAGGGTACAAAAAAGGTGATGCGATCGCGAAGCTTCCGGCTGTACCCCAGCTCTGAGAATCGATACATGCTATTGCATGAACCAGACATATTTCGCTCCCGGGCGGCTTCACACTTTCCCCTCAGCATGAAAGAGATTCTGATTACGGAGCCTCGCACACCATCACTTCAAAGTCTCCCCGCAGCGAAATCTGACCTGCTGCCTCGCCCTCGAGCGAGGAGTGGCCAAGGGCGAGCGGTCTGCCACCACCACAGAGAAATCCTCGTCCTTCGATTTGCAGATACAGTAACATGCTCAACGACAGAATGCTTAGTTCGTTCGCGCTCGTAGTAGGTAGCTGGGCGGGGCCAGCTCGGTGCATCCGTGGCCTTTTACGTAGTTACAGAATAGAACGGCATGCCTTCTGGAACAATGATTTCCAATCCGGCTTGGAAGTGGTCCCATTGGGAGCGAGTTTAGTTTAGTCACGCAAGCTCATGAAAACCCCGACCTGGTCTCTGGCAACGGCTTTCCCGGCTCCCGGCTGTCCGTCTTTGTGCGTACCAGCACAGAACCATCCGCAATGATGCAGAGTCCTGCATACGGATCTAACCGCAATGTGATTATGTATATATTCAGGGAGACCTCTGATCCTACCAGTCAATGGTACACAGGGCCAAGGACGAACTGCAAAGTACGCCGAGTAGGCGACTGGGAGTTTGACCTGCTCATCCTATCCAATTACGAAGTACGGCAACGGCAATGTGTCACGGATGAGACCTAGTTGTTCCGTCACAACAGGGATGCTACTTGACTCAAAACCCAATGAGAGCAGCGAAAGTTGTTCGCTAAGCCCTTCCTCTTTCAGCTCGTAAACAATAACTCCTGCAGCGAAGAGAACAGCTTGGTTCGATGCCTAGAGGGCGCCGTTAAGGGAGAGAAACTGATGATACGTCATTCCGCAGCTTTGCTCTTCGGGTCCTCCGCTAGGCACGGAGGCGCGCGGGAATCAGTCAGCATGGGTTTGTTACCCGGGCCTAGTCCAAAACTGGCACGCGCACTTTTTGGCTAGCTTTCCACTAGCCGCGAAGGCTAGCGCAGCTTTAGAGACAACCTGTCGAGGCGATCTGGGGTCCGGCAAAACATGCAAGCACTGCACTGCGACGGCTGGGTACACTCTAGCCATGTCCAAGCGAAAGGTCATGTAATGCGTATGCCAAGCATTGTCGTGTCGGCTGGCGGGATGATTTGCTGGTGCGAGGGCGAGGACGAGGGCGAGGGCGCATTGCTGTTGGACTGGATCGCTGATAAAGCCAACTCCAGCAGAGCCTCCTGTATCACTCGGACGAGACGAGTGAATCAATGGACCGCAAAACATGTCAATGTGGCCCAGATGCCTCGGAAGGTTTACGGAATCTCAAAACGGGCCAAAGACCCTCCCCAGCCTCAAGGGGGGTTTCCCGCACAACCTTATGAGCTGCGAAGTGTATCGCTCCTGATACATGCCCGTTGTCCGGATCCGGCCGATGCGTAGACAGCGACGGCCCCCCATAGGACTTGTGCTTGAAGCGTTTTTGTGCAATTGTGGTGGCCGTGGCGAGTCGTGACACGTGCTTGGAGAAGCCGCCAGGAGTGAGTGATGTCATCGCGCTTGTCACCCACCAGTGCTTCAATCCTTTTTTTTTTATTTTTATTTTTTTAAATCTAGCGTTTGATGAGTGACTGGCACGTGGTAATGCGGCATTCGAAGCTGCCGTCGTTCTGAGAAATGTGTAGAGCCCTGTGGCATGCTTGTGTTTCTCATCTCGCCCAGGGTTGTGTGTGTAACATTGTTGGGGCACTCTGCCCGGCGCAGTCGTGGCGTGGTGGTGGCCTCGCATGGATTGTCTAGGCGGGAATCCCCAAGGACGTGAATTGTTGGCATGTGCTTGAGAGACCGTGACTCCCAATGCGGGTTGAGCCCCTGTCACCAACCAACAAGGTGCTGGAGGGTCCCGGCTCCCTACTGGCACAAGATTGTAGGCAACCCTGGCAGGCAATGCAGCGGCGCCCCCACCTGGTTGGGTGTGTGGATGTGGGAGATTGGCTCATGATGTGCGGGCGTTCCAGATGCCCCGCTTGGTGGGGCTGCTGGTCCCCCCTGCTGGCACACGATTGCAAGTACGAGTCCGAACGCGAGGGGAGCTTCGGGTATTCGGGTGCAGATACATGGCTCGCTCCGCCCCGGGTTTGGTGTATTTGACATAGAGCAGGCCCCCAAGTAAGCTGTGGCGTTCGGTACCTCCTGCCGAGATGGTAAGACGTCTGCTCTACATGTGGCTTTATTCCGCGAATGTCGCGTGATTGTAAGACAGCACAGGCTTCCCCGATCCACCTCTTTGGTTCTGACGCATGCCACATTCGACATGCCATTGTCAAGCAAGGTCCCGCTGACAAGCCAGGGAACAACAGCCTGATCGCGCGTCTCGTCTGTCAATGCGCAAGTGAGCATCCGTCAGGCTTACTGTCCAAATAGGCAGGCAACTCTGTTTACATAGTAGCCTGCCGGATTCAAAGACAAAAAAAAACGGCAAGTGACTGGTACGCCAACACATGCAGCATGCTCGTACCATTGTGATCAAGTGCAGCCCATTTGTTTCCGTCCGGGTCTGGCTGCTCCGTGCTACCACTGTTGCTGACTGCTGCCGGGTCCAGTAGGTATCCAGCACCGTCCGGTATGGTTCGGCCGAAATCTTTACTTGCTGCACGGCCGATTTGCCAATCGCCGACCTGGTACGGAGTACGGAGTACGGACTGCTGGGGTCGCAAACACCGGTCCCGGGGGTCCGGTGCTGGCATGCAAGATGCTGCCTGGAAAACCCTGAGCAATTGTGTTGATAACTCTGGTGCGCGAGCCTTGACGTGGCGCAGGTAGTGCATTGCGTTTGCGGGCTGTCGGACAGTTGCTGTTTCCCGAGATTTGCCAAGCGCAGCCGGGCCGGCGGGCAGAAATGAATTGGAATAGTGAGGTCAAGGCCCAGCGGTACGAGACCCACGCGGCCTTTAGGTAAGCGTAAACCGGCCGGAGGACCCTGGCCATCTCAGCGCCCGCCAGCGTATCAAAGATCTGGACATGGATGTCATGATGCAGTGCTGGACATAAGCTGTGCCAAGACGTGTATAGCCGCATCTTCCGGGCTGAGCTGCTGGGTGATGCACACGACTGTTGTTTCTTGGTCGGAAGAGCGCGACACCACCTCTGAAGCCGATGCTGTCTTGGGTCAAGTTGACGAGACAGGTCATCTCGCGAGCACGGTGATGGTGGCTCGTAAGGGAAGGGGCCTGCAACAACAACAAGCAGCAAGTTGAGTGACAGCGCGGGGGCCAAGCCACGGGTTGAGGTAGACATTTGCTGGTTTATCCTCAAGCACCCTGCTGTGAAAAGGGGACTTTCGCGATGGCGGGAGCCGCATCCTTGGCTCTTCGAGGATCGACGGCCCCGGGGCAGCACTGGAAACGTCAACGGCGACAAGAGACCCTGTATTTTCTGGGTTGACCACATAGGGCGCGACTGAAGGCGGGACGTACTTGGTGTTGCGTCAGCTCTCGTCATGCTGTGTAGTGTGTGCTGACGTCTGCTGGGCGCCCGTATGGAACAATCGAAGGAACGTGGGCGGAGTTAAGGGTGCGGCACAGGAGGGACTACGGGCTCACGGGGAGAACAAGAATGCGCGTGATGCACCCGTTGGATGGATTCTGCGGGTGCTTGTTTTGTCTGCGGGCGCCGGGGCGCTGCCTAAACCGCAAACCCCCTAGCCCAGGTGGGGCCGTATATATGCGCGTGTCCGGAGGTACCTGCACCCGAGCGCGCGGTACGAAAACGAGCAGCTTTGACTGGCGCAGCGGGTGTGCCATCCTCGGGAACGCGGGACCTTTTGCGAAGAGCCTCGCTCTCCTTTTAAAAGTGCCCGCCCCAGCCAGTGGTCCCTGGCTTCTTCTCGGACACATACGGTTATCAACAGAGCCGCTTCAGCTCCAGAGGTTCGAATTGTTACCCTCTGCTCTTCTTGTGCCACAGACCTCCCTGCGGCTGCCAGCTTGTTGTTGCCGTGATCTTTCATCAACCTGCGGATTCGGCCAGCCGCCGTATTGCCCCCGCACCTCGGCGACTTCTTTTTCACTTTTTTCGCTTGGCGCCTATTTACATCATAGTTCGACTTATTCTCTAATCTCGCGCTTCATAAACTGCCGCCGGCCATACACCTGCCTCCCCACAACTTCCTCAATTCTCAACATTGTCACGCACGGTTTCACTGCTCACCTCACAGATTCGACCGCATTGGAGGAGAACCCTATCATCGATATAGCGACCACCCGCCTGAAGAGCCACTTACCCCGGACTTACAACCGCCAACCACCATCATCACCGTCAGCCGACTGACGTCTCAGGGATCGGTTCGCCAAAATGGCGTTCGTGGGGAGCACGGCCTTTACGGCCTATGACCGCACTGAGCAGTCGAGCGGTGCCCCTCTCGCCCGCGCCCGGTCCGAGCAGGATGTCATTGACGAGGCTGCCAAGGGCACAAACACATCTGGCGACTCGTCTCATCGCGAGTTCAACCCAGCTTCCGGCGACGAGACACAAGTAGAGGACGACTCGGAGCTTGAGCGTAGAGAGTCGATTGTCCACGAGCTCGCTCGGCGGTATACATCACACTCCCATCGTGCCGGCAGTGTCAACCCCTTCCTCGAGACGGCCGAGGATTCTCCCGTGAACCCGGCCTCCCCAAACTTCAATGCCCGGGCTTGGGCCAAGGCGTTTGTCGCCATGTCGGAGAACGACGGATCCCTCTTCAAGTCTGCCGGCGTCTGCTACCAGAACCTGAATGTGCACGGATTTGGCCAGACCACTGACTTCCAAAAGAGTGTTGGCAACATCGCTCTGGAAGGCGTGGGTTTGGTCCGCAAGCTAGCCGGTCTGAGCAAGCCCACCAAGATCGACATCCTCCGCAACTTTGACGGGTTGGTTCGGAAGGGCGAGATGCTGGTGGTCTTAGGCCCGCCCGGCTCCGGATGCTCGACTTTCCTCAAGACCATTTCCGGAGAGACCAATGGTATCTACATTGACGACAAGTCGTATTTCAACTACCAGGGTATCTCTGCGAAGGAGATGCACTCCCACCACCGCGGTGAGGCGCTTTACACCGCCGAGGTCGATGTCCACTTCCCCATGTTGACCGTCGGCGACACCCTGACCTTCGCCGCCAGGGCCCGCGCCCCGCGCTCGCTGCCCGATGGCGTCGACGCCGACACCTATGCCGAGCACCTCCGCGATACGACCATGGCCATGTTTGGCATCTCGCACACAGTCAACACACGTGTCGGCAACGAGTATGTTCGCGGTGTCTCCGGAGGCGAGCGCAAGCGTGTCACCATCTCGGAAGCTGCTCTCAGCAGAGCACCGCTGCAGTGCTGGGACAACAGCACCAGAGGTCTCGACAGCGCCAACGCTGTCGAGTTCTGCAAGACCCTGCGCACGCAGACCGAGCTGTTTGGTACAACCGCCTGCGTTTCAATCTACCAGGCGCCCCAGAAGGCCTACGACTGCTTCGACAAGGCCCTCGTTCTGTACGAGGGACGCCAGATCTACTTTGGCCGCGCAGATGCCGCCAAGCAGTACTTCATCAACCTCGGCTTTGAGTGCCCTGCCCGTCAAACGGTTCCCGACTTCCTCACGTCCATGACCAGCCCCCTGGAGCGCGTCTATCGCGAGGGTTTCAAGGGACGCGCCCCGCGCACGCCTGACGACTTCGCCAAGGCATGGCAGGAGTCTGCAGAGTACAAGGCTCTGCAAGCCGAGATCGAGGTGTACAAGACTGAGCACCCGATTGACGGCCCAGATGCCTTGGCCTTCCGCACGGCCAAGCGTGAGCAGCAGGCCAAGGCACAGAGAGCAAAGTCGCCATACACTCTGTCATTTGGCCAGCAGGTGAAGCTTTGCCTGTGGCGTGGATTCCGCAGACTTATTGGCGATCCCAGCTTGACTGTGGGGGCACTCATTGGCAACGTCATCATGGCACTCATCATTGGCAGTGTGTTCTACAACCTGGACCAGACCACATCGAGCTTTTTCCAACGTGGTGCCCTCCTCTTCTTCGCCTGTCTGATGAACGCTTTCGCCAGTGCTCTCGAGATCCTGACACTCTACGCGCAACGACCCATCGTCGAGAAACATAGCCGCTATGCCTTGTACCACCCCGCTGCCGAAGCCGTCGCTTCAATGATCACAGATTTGCCCTACAAAGTCGCCAACTGCATTGCCTTCAACCTTGTCCTGTACTTCATGACAAACCTGCGGCGGGAGCCTGGCGCTTTCTTCTTCTTCCTATTCCTCTCCTTCATCACTGTCCTGGTCATGAGCATGATCTTCCGCACCATTGCCTCCGGCTCGAGAACCCTGTCTCAAGCCATGGTACCCGCTGCCGTCCTCATTCTCGACCTCGTCATCTTCACGGGATTTGTCATTCCAATCGCCTACATGCCTGAGTGGTGTCGCTGGCTCAACTACGTCGACCCTCTTGCGTACGCCTTCGAGTCGTTCATGATCAACGAGTTCAGCGGACGGCAGTTCCAGTGCAATCAATTTGTGCCCAGCGCCTTGGTTCCCGGCTTCGAAAACATTTCCGACCAATATCGAGCATGCAGCGCCGTCGGCAGCGTCCCTGGGCAGCCTTTCGTGGACGGTGACACCTACATCACGAGCGCCTACCAATACCAGGCAGTGCACAAGTGGCGCAATGTGGGCATCATGTTTGCCTTCATTAGCTTCTCCTTGATGACCTACATTGTTGCTGCCGAGCTCGTCTCGGAGAAGAAGTCCAAGGGCGAGGTGCTCGTCTTCCGTCGTGGCCACAAGCCCGCGCAGTTCAAGGAGCGCAAGGGCGACGATGAAGAGGGTGCCAAGGTCGGACCTGTCATCACCAATGCAAGCCGCGCTCGTGCCGAGAAGGGTGGTGCCAACATCCACGCCAGCGAGAGTGTTTTCCACTGGAACAATGTCTGCTATGATGTCAAGATCAAGAAGGAGAACCGTCGCATCCTCGACCACGTTGATGGCTGGGTCAAGCCGGGTACTCTGACTGCGCTGATGGGCGTTTCTGGAGCTGGAAAGACCACCCTCTTGGATGCGCTTGCCAGCCGTATCACCATGGGTGTTATCACTGGTGAGATGCTGGTTGATGGCAAGCTTCGAGACAACTCTTTCCAGCGCAAGACTGGCTACGTGCAGCAACAGGATCTCCACCTATCGACCTCTACCGTTCGCGAGGCGCTCAACTTTTCTGCCCTACTCCGCCAGCCCGCGGACGTCCCGCGCGAGGAGAAGCTTGCGTACGTCGATGAGGTTATCAAGCTACTTGATATGGAAGAATACGCCGACGCCGTCGTCGGTGTCCTCGGAGAGGGTCTCAATGTCGAGCAGCGCAAGCGCCTCACCATCGGTGTTGAGCTGGCCGCCAAGCCACCATTGTTGCTCTTTGTTGACGAGCCCACCTCTGGCCTCGACTCGCAGACTTCATGGGCCATTCTCGACCTGCTTGAGAAGCTGACCAAGAGCGGCCAGGCTATCCTCTGCACCATTCACCAGCCTTCTGCTATGCTCTTCCAGCGTTTCGATCGCCTGTTGTTCCTGGCCAAAGGCGGCAGGACTGTTTATTTTGGCGATATTGGCGAAAACTCCCGGACCATGACCAAGTACTTTGAGCGCCACGGCGCTCCGGCTTGTCCTCCAGACGCCAACCCTGCCGAATGGATGCTTGACGCCATTGGTGCTGCTCCTGGCAGTCACACCGACGTCGACTGGTTCCAGACCTGGCGGGACAGCGAGGAATACGCTGCGGTGCAAGCCGAGTTGCAGCGCCTCAAGGACGACGCTCCGGATGGTCCTGCCGCCACGGAAGATGACCAGTCTTTCCGCGAGCACGCTGCCCCTTTCTTCAAGCAGCTCACCACTGTCACCCACCGTGTTTTCCAGCAGTACTGGCGCACGCCGTCGTACATTTATGCCAAGGCTGCTCTCTGCATCTCCGTCGCCCTCTTCATTGGTCTCGTCTTCTTGAACGCTCCCCTCACTCAGCAGGGTCTTCAGAACCAGATGTTTGCCATCTTCAATATCCTCACGGTGTTCGGCCAGCTTGTCCAACAGACCATGCCTCACTTCGTCGTCCAGAGAAGTCTATACGAAGTTCGCGAGCGCCCGTCCAAGGTGTACAGCTGGAAGGTATTCATGCTGTCGCAGATCATTGTGGAGATTCCCTGGAACACTCTCATGTCTGTGTTCATGTTTGTGTGCTGGTACTACCCTGTCGGTTTGTACAAGAATGCCGCCTACTCTGGTGCCCAGACTGAGCGCGGCGCTCTTGCCTTCCTCTTCATCTGGGTCTTCCTGCTCTTCACCTGCACATTCACAGACATGATTATTGCTGCTTTCGAGACGGCCGAGGCCGGTGGCAACATCGCCAACCTCTTGTTCTCCCTCTGCCTGATCTTCTGCGGTGTCCTCGCCGGCCCTGCAAGTCTCCCTGGCTTCTGGATCTTCATGTACAGGATCAGTCCCTTTACGTATCTGGTGTCTGGTCTTCTGTCGACGTCGGTCGCCAATGCCCCCGTCACGTGTGCAGAGAACGAGTTCATCAAGTTCAACCCGCCGCCGTCCTCCACGTGTGGAGAATACCTGGCCAGCTACACGGCTGTGGTGGGCGGAGAGCTGCAGAACCCGGACGCCACATCAAACTGCTCTCTATGCCAACTCACCGACACCAACGCCTTCCTGGCTCAGGTCAACATCTCATATGGTAAGCACCACGCTCTCGTGCTGCGAAAGAAGTGTGCAACCAGCTAACATTATTCTAGATGACCGGTGGCGCAACTTTGGCATTATTTGGGCGTTCATCATCTTCAACATCTTTGGCGCCCTCTTCCTGTACTGGCTCACTCGCGTGCCGAAGGGCAAGAAGTCTGCCGATAAGACCGACGCCAAGAAGGGCGGAAAGGCTGTCCCGGAGACGTCCAGAGAGAAGACGGCAGACTCTACTGGCAGCAGCAACGCTGCTGCTTGAGCGCGACGAGTCCGGATCGTCTGCAAATTTTCCGCGTATATACTATCTGTTTAATATCTCGTTTAGATCATGTGCACCATTTCCATTTTTTTTATAGATTATATGTGTCGGCGTTTGGGATACAATCTTTTATAGGTCTCAAGAGTTCCAGGCCTGTCAGAAAGCAGTCTAGTGTTTGGTAAATGATTTAGAGAAACCATCTTTTACAAGTACAACACCGCTTCTTCCCTTTGATCTGAACAAGGAAATCAGCCGTGACGCATGTGCATCACGCATCCGAGCAAGTGAATGAATACATGGCTTGTGTTTTTACAAGGTTCGCCGCTGTTTTCGATGTCGATATTCAAAAGAGTGGGGTGGCAAGTTTGGAAAAAAAAAAATTCTTTTCTTTTCTTCTTCTCTTCTTGTGTTCGTTGTTGCTGCTGCAGATTGGAAAAATTCCTAACGTAATGTCCGCGAGCCGCACTTTTGAGGAAGGGGGGAACGGGCAAAGCCCAAAGTGGGTGGTGGTGGGGGTGGTGGTGGTGGGTTGGCCAGGTCTCTTAAAAAATGGATGCAAGTGTAATGATATCGGTATTGATATGTACGTTACTGTGGACTGAATCTTTCCCAGATCCATTGGGAGAAGAGAGGGGGAAGAGGAAGAAGGGGCGGCAGTCCGCTATCATGTTTTAGGGGCCGCTTCCCTATGTCGTGACATGACAAGCTCGCTGTGGATGGGTGTGGTATAATGTTCACAGTTGCTGCTCATGGTCGCTGCTCATAGTCTCTGCTCACAGTTGCTGCCCACAGTTGCCACTCACATGACCGTCCTTTACTACCTGTCACTTGATGAAGGGGGTAGAGTAGAGACAAGGGACAGAGACACAACACAATACAGCACAACACAACGACAAGATGAACGCATGCGTGAGACACGAGGGGACGGATGAATGTACTCAATAACAGAATATTCCAAGCTATTTGCGTCGCCAAAGCCCCAGAACAATGTGTGTATGTGTGCCCTTTGCAGTAAGAACTCCCATGAACGCCATATACGTATTCCTGTGCCCTTTGTCTACTTGCTCTCTGTGCGTGCGGGCGTGCGGATGTGTTTTTTCGACAATATACTCCCGAACTGGCGAGCTGGGCGGGCTTTCAAAGAAAGCTCGCAATTTCCCCCCAACACACACGTCGCGCGCGCTTTCCATTGCTAGTCTGGACTTCGACTGATCTCGCGCAAAGTTGAGTTCGTTTTTCTTGTTTTGCTAGGTGCGAAATGATAAAAAGCATGGAAAATGACCCCCGACTGAGCTGCAGACTACGCTCGCAGGCGTAGGCGGCCGAGCCTCTCCTCATTCTCGTAAATATCGTACATGTCCAGCTTTATGCCGATGACGCGGGCCTCAAAGATTTCAAAGAGCTGGACTGTGGCGACCAGGAATTGAAACGCACTGCAGGATTGTATATAGCGTTAGCTGAGTGGAATGGCCAAGGAGCTCACTTTTGACAGTAAAGCTCGCATACATTAAAGGGGGAGATATCAAACATACATGAGCACAGCGATTGGTGTGACGGTCGGCGGCCACAGACCGATATACCGGCTCCCCCACCAGGGGTCCATGCCCGTCTTGGACCAGATGAGGAGGACCATGGTCGGGATGGTGAGGACCATGTCGAACACGGAGACCTGGACGCGCTTCATGCGGCGCCGCCGGTCGGCATCAGGCTCGTCGGGCCCGCCAAAGGACACGAGGTTGTAGCCGTTGACGGTAACGGTGATGGGCGGCATGCCAAAGGTGCGGCGCGGGGTGGGCCAGTAGGCGTATCCGAGGATGCTCCCGCCGGCGACGAGGAGGTTCCAGAAGAAGATGACCCAGCAGAGGGAGAAGAGGACCTTGTGCTCCCATACCCACCACCCTGCGTCGACGGTCTGGTGGATGCGGGCGACTGCGACGCAGCCGGCAATGGCGTTGGCGAGGCGGAAGAGGGCGATCAGGGGCACGCCGAGCTGGAGGCTGCGCTCGCTCTCGAGCTTGCACTTTTCGCACTTTTCCGAGTGCTTGTCGAGGATGGTCTCTGTCGAGGAGCGGTCGCTGGCGGAGAAGGGGCTCCGCGGGCTTCGGGGGCGGGGAGACGACATGGCAGGCCCTTTCGCGCTTCGCGGGAGGAGGAGGAGGAGGAGTACTGGCGAGCAAGGGCGGCTGACGGCTGACCGCTGACGGGCGACGGGAGGATCAAGGACGGGAGGAGGACTCGAGAGCCGGAGTCGCCAGGCCGGGCATGCGCATGCAGAAGGGCGGAGAGGGGCGCGCGCGTCGTGCAATGGCTGGAGCACTGGCGGCAACGCAGAGGGCGCGAGGAAGGGGGGAGGGCGGCGGCAGAGTCGACGATGCAGGCGATTGGGAGGAGAGAGACGACGGCGGCAGCCGTGGCAGCAAGAGGTATTGGCGGAAAGGCGGCGAGACGGGCTGACGGGCACAGCACGCACGCACACACAGCGGCAGTGGCAGTGGCAGTACGTACCGTGGTACCTAGCAGGCAGGCAGTTAGGAGAAAGCGGAGTGCAGGGCGGACGGCGCAGCCCGGTCCAGGTCGGTTGGTCGGGCGAGGGTGGAGGCAGGAAATTGGCAAGCGCACGAGAACCGGGGCGCTGCTGCTGGGCCAGGGGCTGTCCTTTCCTGAAGTGTCCCGACCTGTGGTGCCTGCCCAGGTGTGCCTGTCTCGTCGTCCGCACCGCATCTGTGTCGAGGCCACGACTCCAACCAGCGAGGCCAGCTGCTCCTCTGCTTCTTTGGGGTGTCTCGAGCCAGCTCGTCGCCGATCCTCCAGACCTGTTGTTGCGCCAGTGGCCAATTCCACGAGACGGGCCACACCACCACACACCCAGCCTGCAGGGTGCCGGCTGCCCTCGAGCGGGGAACCCAGAACCACACTCGCACCAACGGCCTTGGACCCTGCCGAGCGGCCGTGAGAGAGCGAGCTAGGCTAGGCCAGGGCACATTGGGTCCTCTGCTCGCTCCTCTGCTGCCTGTCCTGTCTATACGAGGCCTTTGACCCCCAGGGCATCCATCACGAGCCCTCCATCTGCCTCCAGTCACGATCCAGACAGAGCCTTCTCCCAGGAGATGCTGGACGTCTTTCCCACCCAAGCAGCATCCAAGCAGCCGGGGCACTCGCTGCATTGCATTGCCTCGTCCCAGTGGGGCAGAATTGCCTCCCCCGGCTTGTCAGTGTCAGCAGATCGGCTGGAAATATGGTCCCGGCATAAGCTTAGTACCGCAAGGCGCAGGCGACTCAGCTGCTCAAACTGGCACTAACGCCAACTCAAAAGCACACAAGCGCACCCCAAGTTGCCTTAAGCATCCTGCCAGAACCACCTTTGTTGCATCTTAAGAGCACCGCCAGAACTCGTGCCATCACTGCCAGCTGCAATGTTGCGCAGCGCAGCGACACGCACGGGTAGCGCTACAAAAAGCGCGCTGGTTCGCAAAATAATACCTCTGCAGCGAACCCGGCCCGGTGGACACCAGTGGACATGCATAATGGTCCATGTATTCATGTGTCAGGAGCTGGGGGCAAGGACCCGTTGTGTGCGCTTGGCAGCAGTCGTGTTGGTCGTTGGCGAGAATCCGTCCTCAGGGGTCTCGCGGGCCTAGCACATATGCGCTGGCCGTTGCAGGAAGAAAGTGCCCGGACAGCACGAACCCAGCCCGGACTGCGCACTACCAGCACGACATCGGGCGTGGTCGGAAGAAAATCCTGATGCAGTCGAATGCCCACGGAATCTTGGACGCTGTGCATTCGCTGATGGCTACACATTTTCCAACGGCCTTGCGCAGCTGTGGTGGTGGTGGTGCACCTTTGGGGGGAAATCTGGGGATGGACCGGAGCATGGCGCCACAGCCAAGTGGGCTCCAGGCCGCCCTTGGTGACTAGCCCGAAAAGAGCATCGCTGGCCACTGGGGCAAGTCTCGCGCTCCTGGTCTAGAAGGAAGTGGCCTGCCGCTTCTGGGCCAGCCAGCCTGGCTGTTGGTGAGACCCAGGCGGGTGAAGATGGGGGCTGTGGACTCATTCGATGCTGCTCAAACTGCGTCGACGAGGAAGGCGGCCCAGCAAGTGGTGGATCAAGATTGCACAAATTGCCGCTCTGTGCAAGAGGTCGGCTGGGTTGTGCAGGCTGAAGATGCGCGTCCAGGACCAGGGCCTGGCAGGCGGGGTGACGAGCGTGGGCCGACGCCAAAGTTCCGAGATTGTCGTGGTCTGTCGCCACATCCGGGAACACCAGCCCTGTAGACAGATCAAGATAAGATTTCGGTTTGCTGGACAGGAAACTGTGCAGAGCATGATAAGGGGCCTCAGCAGCACCACTCCAACCAGATGCTGACTTTGCCGGGCGCCCAGCCCGTCGTTCTTGCGCCTGAGAACGCGGGCGGGGGCCATAGATCTCGGACCTGCCAAGAAGGGGGGCTCTGCAATCGCGGGCTGGAGACTGACAGAGACTGACCAATGCGAACAGAGGGCAGCTGGGAATGGGCTGTAAGCCTTTTGAGACGATGAGGGAATCCTTACTAAGGCTGCATTTACCTAGTCGCAAGAAGGGGCATAGGGCTGTGCTTAGTCACAATCGCGCGTAATGCAGGCATGGTCTCAGTCAGCGGGGTCCAGTCTGCTCGGCTCGCGCAACTGCTCAAAGTGGCTTCCATCTTGGTGCCCGCAATGCAGCTGACAGATGCTTGTTCTCGGGGCGGTCCCGAGAGCCCATCCTCAGCAGAGGCGTGCTCATGCAACAAGTCGGACAAGCTTGCGTGGCCGCTCGCCTGGGACGACGGGCTTCCCAATGATTGCAACCCTCTTGGTCAGCGCCGGGACCGACGCGCGGGAGTTTGGAATTCGCGACCGCCGCGTCTCAGCCAGGCCACGGCCAGGCGCCAGCCTCGGAGCCGGAGCTAAGAGCGGCAAATTGGACGGGGAATTCGGAGCACGCGCAGATACAGCTCAGCTGCAAGGCCGGCGATGGGCTCCTCTGTCCTGACTGGCTGGCCGAGGGGGGCACATACGAAGCTTGTGCATGCATACCCTATACTCCTGGGGCTATCTGCCTGCCTCAAGGTGGGCTGCTGATGCCAGCAGCAGCAGCAGTCACAGCTCGTCTTCGACCATGGCCCACGGATACAAATAGTGCTGGCCTGCCCCCGAAGGTCGAGACAAGAGATCGAGGACATCATCACAGCACAGAGCAGACAGACAGACCAGGCCAAGCCACTCAACCCCATCACCAATACCACCACCACCACCAGCAAACAACAACCACCGCCATGAACCGCGCGCAAGTCACCTCGTGGGCCGAAGGACCCCGCTACAGCCACGTCGAGAGCCTCCCGGCCCCGGCCAGCGACGAGCTGCAGCTCCGGGTCTTGGCTGCCGGGCTCCACCACGTCGTCCGCTCCCGCGCCACCGGCCAGCACTACTCGAGCAACGTCCTCCCCCACATCCCCGGCGTCGACTGTGTCGCCCGCGACGAGGCCACCGGCAACCTCTACTACTGCCTCAAGTTCGCCCCAGACTTTGGCACCTTTGCCGAGTACATCAACATCCCAAAGTCAAATGCCATCCCCATCCCCGCCGGCGTCGACCCTGTCGGCTTTGCCGCCTCCGCCAACCCGGCCATGAGCAGCTGGATGGCCCTCTCCCAGCGCACCTCCGACCTCCCCAAGGACTACTCCGTCCTCATCATCGGCGCCACCAGTGCCAGCGGCCGCATGGCCGTCAACGTCGCTCGCGCCCTCGGCGCCGCAAAGGTCATTGGCCTCGCCCGCAACGCCGACGCCCTGGCCAAGGTCGAGGGCCTCGACGAGCGCGTCGTCCAGGCCCCGAACATCAAGGACACCGACCTCTCCCAGCTCGACTACGACGTCATCCTCGACTATGTCTACGGCGACGTCGCCCTCCACGTCCTGGGCTCCGTCAGGCCCGGCAAGCCCGTGCAGTACGTGCAGATCGGCGGCCTGGCGCAGACCGACATTGCCCTGCCGTCCGCCATCCTCAGGTCCAGGAACATCACCCTCCGTGGTGCCGGCCCCGGCGCCTGGAGCTTCAAGGGCGCCTCGATCGAGCTGCCCAAGATGGCGCAGGCCCTCGCCGGGTGGAAGATGCTGGACGCCCAGGCGTTCCCGCTCAAGGACATTGAGCAAGTGTGGGGTGACAAGACCCTCGGTGGCGCTGCTCGGATTGTGATTCAGCCTTAGAGACGACGACGAAGAGTAATGACTTGACGACACGGCCCTTGTAATAGTTGGTTAGATTTGCTAGAAATAAGATTGTTCCTCTTAGAGTTTGCGGCGGGTTTTCCATCTCGTCAATTTTTCTGTGAAGAATCAGGGGGGAGACATGTAGCTCCGCTGAGATACACGCAAGTAGTAGCAACCTTGCAAGTGTCAGATTTGTTTGCGAGCTTGCTGGTCCGCAAAACGCAGCACTGATCGCCTTGTCCTTTGAGTGTTGTAAGTACAGGTAGGTCTCATCACCGATAACAATAAGACACTGTGACCACGGAAACAAGTAGAATTGGGGCGTTACTAGCAGACAAAGTCATATGTAAGCCATTTCCACACCAAGGGAGCTAGTTGCCTGCCAGTCCTGCAACCGAATCGTGCACGACCTGGTGCTCCTGCCTACAGGCCATGACCAAAAGATGGCGCGTACAAAGAGACACGCATAATGGAGAGACATAGAGAGTCTCTCTTTCTCTCTCCGGCGGCCGGGGAAGGCGTACAAGAACGCGGATGATCAAACTGGCGCAGGAACTGCAGCTGCAGCAGGGGCAGCAGAAGGAGGCAGCGGCGGGATATCCCTGACGAGCACTACCCCTTCGGCATCGTCGTTCATGACGAGGCGGAACCCGACGCGCGCGTAAAAGGGCAGAACTTTGCGGTTCTCGGGGGACACGCCGATCCATATGCCCGAGCCGTAGTCTGGCCTGTTGTCGCGGCGCCCCCGCGCGCTGCTGTCCTCCTTTTCTTCCTCCTCCTCATCTATCTGCCGGTGGCTACTACCAGCCGCCGCCGCCGACGCCGCCCTGACGACGCTCTCGACAAACGTGTCGATCAGCTTCCGGCCCCAGCCCTGGCCCTGGTACCCGGGGAGTAGGTCGATGTGCATGGTCGCGCGGTAGCTGGGCAAGGGCGGGTGCTGCTGCTGCTGGTCCAGCGTCGGTTTCGAAAACGTTGGGTGCGCGAGCAGCAGGTCTGGGCGGAAGGCGAGCTGCTCCAGGGCCTTGGGGTTCGTCACCATTCTCGTCTTCTTCTTCTGCTTTTCGTCCTTACTCTCCTTCCCATCTTCCGTCCAGGCTCCTTTATTCCGGCCTTCGCCGTCCGCGGCAGCAGCAGCAGCAGCAGCAGCATCATCATCAACCTCAACCATCCACGGCACCCTCGCCCCGTTCACCCACGCCATCCTCTCCTCCTCCTCCTCGCCATCCTGATCAGGCGGCCTTCTCGAAGAAGTGACGACGACGACGACGCCCTCGTCCTCCCGCAGCAGGACATCGTCCACGAAGCGCCCGTACACCCTCGTCAGGGCGTGCACGTCGGGACACCCGATGCAGTAGCCCACGGCCCTCCCGCTGCCGTCGTCGAGCACGTGGCACGTTTCCGGGGAGAGGTAGGTGAACTGGTGCGTCCAGACGTAGGGCGCCAGGAGCTGGACCCTGCTCGAGGCCTGGGCGGGGGACAGAGAAGGGGGCAAGGTCTCCCGGCACTTTTTTTTTTTTGGTTTTGATTGTTAGTTATGAGCCATACAACCTTAGGGCAAGACATTTGTTGCTCAACCACCCTCGCGCAAAGTATGTATCCCACCCGCTAACCAACCAACAAAAGCCAACCCCGGGGTGGAAAGAACAACCAACGCTCCCAAGACGAGGAACGGCAGAAGAGAAGGGTTTGGGGGGGGGGGGGGGTGCAGGCAGAGAAACTAACTACTCACGATGAACCCGCAGTCTTCCTTGTCGCTCTCGCGGTAGCCACGGATAAACGCCATTTCTTTCTTCTTCTTCTCCTTCTTCTTCTTTCCTTCGGCTCAAATGCTGCTCCACCCCACAAAACGCTCTTATCACACGGGGATACTCCAAAGACCTTGAAGACAAGGCCAAAGGAAACGAGGAACGAGGGGGGGGGGGCCGAGTAGCCACGGTGCGTGTGATCGCTCACGTCTAGCTGGCGAATATTTTCCTCCTCTCTCTCTCTCTCTCTGTGTTTGTGTGTGTGTGTGTGTGTGTTCCGGAAGTTTTGCTGCGATGTAGACTTTTATCTGGCGTCAAGAACAGCTGGTCTCTTGAGTCTTCTGTCAAACGTCCCAGTGTGTATACACGGCTATCGTTTCAGCGTGCTAGCCGCCACATGGAAAAAAGGAGAGTGAACCCTCCTGGTGATTGCTGTAAAGTGTTTGACAAACTGCTGCTCACGCAATCGCCGCTCCTGAGTAAGGCAATTGTGCCAATCTCCCGCAACACGACACGGGGAGATATACTGACGAGTCTGTGAGGCCGGAGGAAGGCAGTTGTGCGACTTTAGAAATTCGTGTGGTGAATCTTTTCCTTGGCTGGCGAGGTGGTGAGTGGTTGGCTGAGGAGGTCCTCCTCATTCAAGCCAGCCGTTGAAAAGACGTGCAAGGTTCGCTCCAGCTTGCACGGGGAGGCGAGGGCGGGGCTTGGAAATCGAGCACCTGTCATCTTCAAGTCGCTGCAACGTGGGTCCGGGGTAAAGTGGGCCGGACCAACCCTCCGCCTCCAACATGCAATTGTGTCAATCACCACTGGTGTGGCTGCAACAACGTCAACTAGAGACGCTTCGCGTCCATAGTACAACCTCAGGCATCGTGTGTTTGGGTTCTGGTTCAAGTTTTTTTAAAATTGGAACAAACAGTCCACGGCATCAAGCCGGCTAAAAGTACCTAAGTAGGCGACAAAACAGTAGCTGGTCTACATAAACCCCTGATTGCTCGATTTGTGGTGTGCGCGCGCGAGTGTACCCATGTGTATATATATGCCTGACGTCAAACAAAAAACTTCCAAGGTATCGTCAAGTGCTCATAAAAGTGTCCCCGATTATGCCGTGTCCCAAGATATAGAGATGAACGCCACCAACTCTGAACTGAAAACATGGAAAGAGAGTAATAAAAAAAAAAGGATGCGAGAGCCGCTATGCAGCACCTTATGTTGACCGCGAAGTGCACAATCAATGTGCATTCCTTCAGATCATGCCGCCGGGGTGTCCAGAGCTTGGGTTTCTGGACGGGGCAACGACCATCCTCGAAGCGGGAGGGCCGACATTGAATGGGGGCGTGTTGTCACGGGGCCGCGAGGAAAAGTCCGGTGGGGTGAAGTTTTGGGGGCCCCTTCGACCCTCAGCATGCTTCAGCAGATTTGGTGTGCTCGCACTGCTCGGCGGGCCATGCTGGCTTTCGCCCTGCCTGTCCGGAGACGAGTCATACATTGTCCGCGTCCTCGATGTCTCTTGCCGCCGCCGAGGGTTGATGGGTGGCAGAGGGGGAGCATGGGAAGGGCTGTTGCCATTCATTCGTGGCCCGCCGGTGCGGTTTCGGTCCCGCAAGTCGTGCGACGCAGGCTGCATCATGGCCGCCTCTGAAGGCCCTCGTGGTCTAACTCTCTGCATCTTCCCCTCTGGGTATCCCTGAGGCTCAGACGGACGTGCAGGCAAGCCATTGGGGGATTTCGGTGCCCCAGAGAGAAATGGAGATGGCATGGGAGAAATTGGGGAGGGCTGGCCCGCATCATATGCACGCCCGTTAGGAGGCTGCAAACCGCCGGGCCCGGCGTAGTTCGGCTGCGGTGTTCTGGCTGGGGAGCCTGGGTGCGGCTGTGGCGACATCATTGGTGACCGCCTCATCGGGTGAGGGCTTGTTGGCAGCCCCACGGGGAGGCGGCCTTGTGGGCGAGGTTGGATGTCCAGTCGAGGTGGAAGGTTGCGATCGGCGTCAGAATCATTCCTGAATCTGCCCTGCCGGCTCTGGGAGCGATAGCCCTGGCTCGAGTCTGATCCGCTCCTGTCCCTGTCATTTCGCGAGGCAGATCTAGATCCTGGGTTGGATCCGGGATGGTAAGCTTCCCCACTTGGCATCCGCTGAGACAGCGCCATTGGTGGGGGCCTACGATCACGGCTTGGAGGTGACTGACGGGCTCCAACGTCCTGCGGTCCTTTATCTTGAGCATCCCGATCCGGGGAGCCATGCGACTCCTGACTGGGTGCCTGACGGCGACCCTGTGCCTCGAGTTCCTTCATCCGCTGCAGCTCCCGCCGCGCCTGACGGAAAGCGCGGATCCCCGCATGCTCCTCTTTGGAGGCAGGCTTGGCCGAATCCTGACTCGGTCTGGGCTCATCTGGCTCTTCGGTCTGTCTCACACCCTGGAGAGGGGGGCTGGCATCCAGAGAGTACTTGTTGCCAGCAGGGGATGAGCCTCTGCTGCCAAGTCCTAGCATGCGCATGGCCTTGGACTGCGACTCATCGCGACCTCTGTCCCGCATGGAGCCGCGGCTCTCGCGAGACCGCAGAATGCCGAGGCCAGTAGCTCTGGGCGCAGGTCCAGCGTCTATCGAAGTTTTGGGCTCTCCTTGGTGATGAGGCGAGGTCGATCGGCTGTCGCTGTCGGCGTACATGGTGAGCCTCTCACGAATCCGGCGAGCGCCATCAGCAAGTTGTGTGGCAAACTCGTCTCTCTCAAGCGACTCCCTGGGAAGGCTGTCTGTGGCCGCATCGTCAAGATCAGTGCCTGTCAAGAAGGAACGATCAGCATCAATGGGCAGGTGCCCATAATCCTCTCTGGAGAAGTCATCCGTCCATTGGCCGTCATGCTCCCGCGATGCAGAGTAGGAATCGCCCTCGGCATCAGATTCTGCCATGCCTGGAGCCGTGTCATAGACAGAAGAGGCGTTGCTGGCAGCTCTCAAATGCTGCCGCACCATGCCGCTGAGTCCTGCTCCGGGCAGAGTCGGAGAATCGAGCGGTTCCGCCTTTTCGCCTGGAACTACCAATTTGTCCGCTGCTGCCTGCTCAGCCGACTGCGATTCGCTGAACGTGAGCGGAACTGGCGAAGTCGACTCGCGCAAGGCAGGGTGCTGGCGGTCAGAAGGACGACGAGTCAGCGTCGGGGCAGAGTCGGTCTCTGGTGACTTGACCGAGTATTCAGAAGCGCCATCATCGACAAAGAATGTGGACTGCTCTTCATGTAATGGCATCTGGCTGATGGCAGAGGAGCTCGCCTTGCTCTCTAGCGGTGGCCGCTGTGCCGAGGTCGATCTGGAGGTCCCACGAGACGCATTTGAATTGGTTCTGTCCCGCGTCAATGTTGGGGTTTCGCGACCCTGCTGAAGCTGCACTTGTCTCTGGGCAAAACGAGACTCGTCATAAGGCTGGGACGGCTTCTGAAAGACACCCATCGCCGTCGCTTTGCCGCGGTCATTGGGCTGAATTGCAAGGACCGAGGCATCCCCAGACTCGCTGATAGGGGGGCTCAGCGGCGGCGCGCCGCCACCAAATAAGGAGCGGCTCTCTGAAGCACCAGATACTCGGTTGTTGAGGTCGGGGGTGCCCACTGTCGAGGCCGTCGCAGGGGGGCTCATGGAGCGCAAGTTTGGTGCACTGGCCTTTGCCAATACGCTCCGTCCGCCGAACCGATCAGAAAAGGCAGAAAGTGTAGGCGAAGGGCTGATGCCTGGAGCAAGGTCCGGTGTTCGGCTGCCCAGTCCGCGTTGTTTGCTGAGGGATTCAAATCTCGAGAGAGCCGAGGACTGGTTCTCCTGCAAATCCTGGTTCAATGCCTGCTCATACAAACGTCTTGTCCGCGCAACATTCCTCTCTGTCGCAGGTGTCGACGTGGAGGTGTTTAGTGACAAGCTGTTCTGGCCCTCCTTGAAGGATGGGGTCCGTTGACTAGACATGATTGAGGTTGCCGCCGTGGAGTTCCTGGCCATGGACGGGATAGATGACGTGGTTGAAGAGGTGTCCCGGTTCTTGTTGTAACCCGCGAGGCCGGGCGACGCTGGTCGCGCGCCATCTCCATTGTAATCATTTGCTGGCTCGTCCGCATTTTCGTCGCTCTCGCCGTCTATTGACTTCCTCTCCCTTTCCTGCATGCGCCACTTTTGGAAGGCAGACATCGCAACATCGTCGTCGTATAGAGCTCTTCCAGGCATGCCACCGTCGGTCTTCGAAGCATTCGCGCCTGCTGGAATCTTATAAATCTTCTGTCGTCCGCCAAAAAGATTGTTGCCTTCTGTCGGCTTTGAGCGCCCCATGATACTCCCGCCGGCCAAAGAGTCGGCATCGTCGGAATGGAAAGAGTCGTTCCTAGCATACGGAGGCTTGATTGACTCGACCTCGGCAATGTCACCAAGCCCGCTTGAAAGACCGAAATCTAACCTCGATTGCCTATTTGAGAACAACACGCTGTCGTCGCTGGCTTTGCCAATCTTGGTGTTTGGGTCGTCTTGTTCCCGTAGCATCGAAAACCGCGCCGAGAGCCCCGACATGAGCAAACTCGTTCTGAAGTCATCGTTACTCGGCAAAACGGTTGCCAGGTCGATCTGTGGTTTCTCCTCGGCGGGCTTCTTGCCCTTCTTGAACGGTCTGAAGGAAGGCATTGAAAAGTCGGAGTCTGTGGAAGGACGAGGGTTGCCCGAGTCGTCCTTCGTCTTCTTCGTCCGAAATCGATTCATGTGTGCGACTGCAGGTCGCGCGCGGACCCAGAATCAGTCGGTGGTGAAGTCAGTCAGTTCTTCCGTGCACCCTATGCCAACATGCCGTTCCCTCCAGACAACTGATTGTGTTTGCAGGTACAAATCTCGAGATGAGTGTTTCGCGTATCGATTGAGGTAATGATGCTGGCCGAAAAGTAGCACGTCCGGGTGGGAAAGAGTCCTGTCTTCGTGATAGACGCCTATTAATTGTATTATGTTATTAATTATCCGATGTAGTCGTTTCTTAGGTATTATTGAATGTTGAACACCCAGCCGCAGGTGCTGTCGAAAAATGGCTTATGAAAAGTGTACAGGAAAGCGGCTGTTGTGACAGAGTCACAATATGGAGAATCTCGCCTGAAAAGGGGTACAGACGGCCTGAGGGGTCCGGCATCAGGAGGAGCGTGGCCTACCTTCTTGCTGCTGGGGCTCTGCGCAGAATGGTCTGTGCCTTGCAGGCTCGTGCTCTGCGAGGGGCCGACTTTCGTGTCTCGCGCCGGAGCGAAGAATGCAAATCAGATCGTCTCTTAGGCTGGCATTGGCCACGGTTTGACTTGGTGTGTTGCACAAGAAGTCTGGTTTTGGGAACAGCCACCGGAATGGAGTGTTTTGGTCGATGGGGCACACGTATTGAGAAAGAGATTGTGCAGCAACGAGCGGCACCACACGGAACCCACCGGTCGGTGAGGGGTCCAGGCTGTTGTGCCTGGTGGCTGGAATGTGGGCGTCTGAGGATTTTGTGAAGTGGTGACGGAGAGTGATGGGCTCCTGAATGCCAGAGCCGATTGTCTGTAATGCGTCGTGAGATTACCGTCAGGGAGGGCTCCGCAGCGCCTGAATTCTTCAAGCAGTGCCGATGGCTAAACAAGCGGGCTCGTGCGGGAGACGTTCCAAAAAGGTGCTGCAGGAACCGGTCGTGTTGACGTTGGCTGATTGGTGGTCTCTGCTGGCTGGAGACACGCCGAGGGGCTACTGTCTTATTGTTCTTGCGGTGGCGTCAAGTCCGGTGCCGGGCGTGCGAAGTTGTGTCGTTATCGAGCTCGTCTGGCGGTGGGCAGGAGGATGTCGGTTGGTCTCGAAAACGAAGGTGTCGACAGTGGCTCGGGGACAGAAGTTGCAGAGAAGAAGACAAATGCCCAAGAGCGTCGAGGAAGAGACCTGGAAGCACAGACAAGAGACTGCACCGGCATTGAGGCACTTGGGGGCAGAAGAGCGGGCAGGGGCTGGCGGGCACGGCGCGAGCAAAGGGTGGACTGGACGGGTGGAAATGAACGAGCAAAAGCCACCTGAGCCTGTCCACGCTGCTGCAGGGGTCAGGGTCCTCCCCGTCCAGTGTGCCGCCTAGCAGCGGGCGGCTTCGTGGGCCCTGGTCGCCAGCGTCGTGCCGGACGCACAGCAGTAGTAGCCAGTGGTCCTGTGGCTCTCAGCACACTGTAAGATGCATTCCCAGGGCTCTGTCGCCTGGTCGATGATCTCCAGGACTCTGGGGATTTCCAACCATCTTCCTCGGCACCAGCAGTGCAATAGCACGGTCGTCTTGAGCGCGGTATGGGTCTGGGTTGTCTGCGTTACCCAAAACACGCGGCGATGCCTTTGTCCTTGCGGGACACAAACCTTCCGTGGTATGGTTAATCTGAAGCGCTAGCTGCTGCTCTGTGCAACCCTACGGCACAGCAACCCTACAAGCTGGCGAATTGATCAGACAGACACCGACGATCGTCGGGACCTGAGCTGGACATATATGCACTTCATCTGCTGCATCCACTACTTTTGGTGGCCCATCGTGAGGCGACGGATGGGAGAGATAAGTGAAGGAGACCGGCCAGAACGGGCGGTCAGTGGAATAGATTTTGCGTCTCAAATATCAACCTGCTGCCATGGCGCTCTACCTTTCCGCGCCTAAAGAACACGAAAAAAAAAAAAAAACCGAGCTGGGTAGCACAAGCGAGAAAGGGGATATTGGGCCTTCGCGTGCACAGGCTGAACATGGGCAACAGCTCAGGCAGGTCTGCGTCAAGAATGCACAAGAGTCCCGTCCCACACCCATAGAGGAGGAATGTCGCACAGTGCCTCGCACGTGCTTGAGTCCCAAAGATACTTGCTTGGACGGCAGTGGAGTGTCGACTAGTCGGACAGGGGGCGGCCTATCAACTAGAGGCACTCTGGCCAGGCACATGGCTTGGCAGGCACGACCGCCGCACAAGCGAAGCAGCCACCGCCTGCTGGCCCTCCTCCGCGGAACAGTCCAGTGCTGCGCGTGCGGGCTCTGCAGCCCCTAAACCGCGTCCCCACGGATGCCCTCCCCTCCCCACGACGCCAACCACATGACCAGTCTCAATTGGCCCCGTCAGTCACATCCCATCATCGTCTCGACAGGCGGGCGTGCTCTCCGGTCGGTCGGAGTGGACATGGGGTCCCCCGGCCGCATACCATTCGCAACCCTGCCGCCTTGATTTCCCTCCCTGCCTTGTTTCGTTGTCCGTATCACAGGCAGAGCCTCCATCCCGATTGCCCCTCGCCCTGGCCTCTCTCCTTCCTCTGCAGCACAACCATGGAGCGTGCCAGCGTGACTCGCCAGGGCAAGAGTTACACAGCGCGGCAAAACAAGCGGGCTGGCCTGGAGCCACCAGTCCGGCGACAAGGCGCTTGTTCCCCAAGCTCGAGCATCCATCAACACTGCAAGATCAGCAGGACCGTGGCCGTCTGCAGGGAGCGAGGAATGGAGGCTCAAGGACCACTGGGGATGGATCTGCACCCACTAGAGAACACGGCAGCCTCGCCAACGATGGCATGATTCGACAAAGCAGCAGTTGACGTCGCAGTGCGTATGGTGTGGGGGGGGGCAAAAGCAAACAAAAGCCAGCCAGCTGCAAGGCGACACCAAACAGCGTTAATGGACCCCAGGTGGCGCCCTATCCTGCAACGGCTTCTCCTAAAGGATTGGGATAAGACGGCTGTTCCTGACACCGGCCCCCTCCAATCGCGCTTCGTCCTCCAGTTCCGACCTGTCCAAACGCTTGTGAGACTTTGGCTGGGCGCTGCGAGGCGCAACACCATTCTCTGCGAAGCAAATAGACCGCGATGCAATGGCGACTGCTTATTGCTGGAGAGTCCGCAGATGATCTGCCCCTGCATTTGCTTCTTCATTCCAAAGGAGTTTGTTTTCTCGACTCAGCTCGTCACTGTCTGTCATTTTTCAGACGCCCATGAAGCGCAGCAGGATTGGCCGAGAAGGCTAGAGATGCCTTCCGAGTTTCATGTGCCTAGACCTGTTGACGCTTATTGGATCCGCAAGAAAAGCTCAGAACCCCTGAAGCTCGGCGTGTCAGCTTCTCAGCTTCTCAAACACCACAGGTTGTCCTTGATCTGAATGGGTACATCGATCATCAGCTTGAGGAGACCTCACCGGCAATCTGGCATCCCTCGGGCAGTAGTACTTCTCTGGTTCACGGCTACGGTCGTCGTGACCATCCGTCGTCTTGCATTCATCAGCCGCTGCACTGGTGCAAGGCACAGAAACGGCCAGCACTCCCCATTGGCCGGTCGCTCGATGTAGTATGTGCTCGGCGTATACACAAAACAAAAACGCTCTTATCCGGACGAAGTGCCTGCATGCTGCACTCCTAGAGTCTGATAGATCGGGTTCACAACGGCCGGGCCAAAAGCGCGTGCGAGCTACGATTCTGTGCCGGCCTCCTCGCCGGACTCGGAATCACCACTGCCGGCTGTTTCGTCGCATGGCTCCATGCAGGGCGCCACGGCCCCTGCAGAGCACTACAAGGATCCAAACTTTTTTTTCCTTTCCTTGGGCAGCCCCCTTGTTCTCGTTCAGGCCCACCTGTCCGCTCGGTGGGGTTGTTTGTGTTCCGCGAGCCAATCAGAAGCTTGTGCCTGGCGTGAGCTTGATCGGAATCTTCAATCCGGCCTTCAATGACTCGTAGGGTCTACACCCCCTACCGTGTCCACGAATGTCATTGTCTCCTTTTCTCCATCAACCCCATTGTCCCTGCAATGGTGTCTGACAATGGACCGCCCGCGGTATTTGACGTTGGACCAAACGCTTCAGAGTCCCTCCGGCCCCATCTTGGTAAGGTCAAGTGATGACGAAAGGTCGCTCTTCTCATGGTGTCGACATTCCTGTTCTTGAACTCTGCAGGGTCTTCCGCATAAAGTCGTACCCCTAAATGGTTGAGGCTCACAAGTGGATTACTTTGGCTGCTCTCCTCCCCAGCTTGGCCAAACGATTCCAAACTATCATCCTGAAGGGCTGCTGTCTCCTTCGCAACAAGCACAAGCGCCAGCACAGATGAGGCCCCAAGTGGCCGAATCGGGACTCGTGAAAGAGGAAAACTCTCCTTTCCTTCTGGCGACCCACAATTCGAAAGTTCGATCGTCGTCGATAGAAAGAAATCAATGCCAGCTCCGGTGGGGGGATATTTGCTGCCCTTGAAGCAGTACGGTGATACTGATACTGATGCCAGCCAGGTCTCAAACGTTTGAGAAGTCAGTTGGCTTGAGACCACTCACTCAGCGCTTTTGTAGTAAGGAATGGCACAGGGTTCTTACTGCCGAGCTACATATCCCGTGGTGTAGGGTCGGGGATAGTGGCCCACACAGATAATCCCTGTGATCGCTGGAAGCGCAACTCCCAGTGCGAGCCGTGTGATCAACAATTCGGCAACCACTCGACACAGATCTCTCTGATCGGGTCAGTGAACAGTAACAAAGAATATGGTTATGGTCCCTTTCGAGCCCCCGACATCTAGAGCAGACCCCGCTTTTCTCTTCGTTCTCCGATCGCCTTCCCGATTGGGGATCAAGCTCAGCGGTACATATAGCGGTAGGGCACGGCGGGATAAAGTGGATTAGATTGCCTACCTACCAGGTTGAGGCAGCATGCCCGCGTTACATTGTGCTCCAGGCGGGTTGTATATTTGAGTTCATCTGGCCCGATCCCCTGGTCCGGCCCTTGTACTACCTAGCATTGGCTCTGTCCTTGGCTGGAGGACACGCGAACCGCTCAATATCAGGTAATTAGGCCGTCTCTGTGATCAATAGCAGCGCGTGCAAATGGGGGGGTTCGTCCGGGCCCCCGCGGGGGGCTACATAGGAGTTTCTCGTCCGGTCGGCATGTGGAGTTGGTGTGTTTTCGACAATGCGCCTGTTCGTCTGCGTACTAATCACATGCAGTAGCTTCCCTTGGCTCGGTTGGGAGAGGCTGATAATCTGTGCGGACGGGGTTCATTCCCATATGCAGGGCGGAAGCCCCTGAGATGAGTCCAGGCAGAGTGCTTGCAGATGTGCAAAGTTGGAGGGGCATGTAGGTAATAATAAAAAAAACGTCAAGAACTGGGGCGGCGCAGGCGGCACTCACTGCCTTTCTGTCTGTCTGTCTGTTTGCCAGCGCGAGTAAAACGCTGGATAAGTACGCCAAGTGTATGGATTGTCACTGGACGTTTTAATGATGTCCCTCCGTTTTTTCTGAGATGCACGTGGGAGAAAAAAAGCTGCCAGGATTGAAGCGCCGAGTTTGGATCACCATCTGCAGGTACCACCCCATCATCACACCGTGCACCGTGCAGCCCAGGAACCCCCTGAAAAGGTGCGGTTGCAGTGGGAGAAGGGGTGGTGCACGGAAACTTGAAATGGTTGCATGACTACGAACGTACCTAGTGTATATCATAGAGGTACCAGTATGCGGCGCATGCAAGTAGACGCCGAGAGAGTGAAGAAACGACGACGACGCGACGCGCAGCTTGCCCACCACGGCTTGAGCGTGCCATCGAGCGTGCTTTTGTGTAGCGCTCTAGTTTAGATATAAGACATGGCCTTTCTGCCACATTGTGACGGGGATCACCAAGCTCGGGTTGGCGGGGGAAGGGGGGCGGCCTGGCCAGGTGACTTCGCGTTTTGCGACGCGTCGTCGTAAGCACTTGTGACGTTCTTTCGTCTGCCACAAACCTTCAAAGGCGCTGATTATGGGCAGTGGAATGACGGGGCTTTTGTGTCATCATCCATTATCACCGTCACAGTGTCGATATGCGCACCGCGGGACAGCGCCTGCTTCGAACGCCCGTCGACGTACTTCTGTGTGTAAAAGAAAAAGAAAAAGAAAAAAGAAAAAGAAAAAAGAAAAAGAAAAAAGAAAAAGAAAAAAGAAAAAGAAAAAAGAAACGGCTGCACGCGCGGGCGGCCCGTCTGAGAATGGGGAGCGAGCGAGCCGCCGCCCTCCAAAGACGACAGCAACAACAACAACAACAACAACAACAACGGGGATCATCCGAACCTTGGGCTTGCTCTCCGCCTGGACCCAGCAAATTAGCCGTGATCAAAAGGCTAGGTACGTAGAGGGCGGAGCCCAGGTTGCTCGCAAATTGGACCGTTCGCCCATGACCGTGGAGCCATATGAGAACGCTGATATAGCGGTTCTTGGAAAACCCATCAGGTCGGCAAGCTCCGAAAGGGGGTGGGTGCATTCTCGCATTCGCTGGATGGACGAGTCTACACACAATTGTGCATGCTAATATGGTCTGGTGAAAGCGTCGACGATCGCAAGATTCATTAATGTACGCAGACAACACTGTATTAGGCGTGGCTAGGCGCCGTGGGTAATAGAACAGTGCCTTCAGGTAAGAACTCCAGGGCGTGCCTCAAGCACAATTTAGCACCTTGCGAACCGGCGGAGCGGAAACCCACCCGGCCCGAAATGCTGGGTCAGCCTCGGGATCAGGACACTGCGGGGCGGGCGCGCACTCCTCAGGCCAATCTTGCGCTGCAAGTCGTCAGCCGCGAGGCTTCGTGGCTGTCAAGGACACGTGAGGTTTTGTGCCTCGGTCAGACTTACCTCAGGTCAGCGCTCAAGCGCCTGAAGGACGCACAACAGCTGAGCCGCTAAGCTGCTCAAGGCACTACTTCTCTTGCAGACTTCTTGCAGAGTCAGCTCTCCTTTGCTACCATACCGACCCATCGCAGACACCAGCCATCAAAACAAACAAGACAATAACAAGATAGCTCGGATTGTGTTGTTCCGTCTAGGCGACAGGGCGCACTGGTGTAAGTCTTGCCGAAGTCATCCGCCCGCAAGCCAGGCTCATCCATGCTCAACGCAGATTTTAGTGCCTGCCTAGGCGTTTTAATCAGATTGAACCGGATCCTTCGCCTTTAGCGTGTCAAACAGGGCCCGTAGTCTTCACCAGGCCACTTGTGGCATCACCTATTGAGCATAAGGCCAATAGAAGATGTAGCCTGCATTAGCTGCCACCAACCGTACACTCGCTCCGAGGCATATCGGCCTGGTGAAACGCCGTTGCGGCCTGTTGTTGGCGTCATCTCATATTGTGGAGGAAATAGAGTTTGATGAGTTGTACTAGAGCAAAGGCAGCACATCAGTGATCTGGTGTGGAGAGTCAAGCTTGGAGGCGCAGACTTGCCGCTCATTCGTGTTCGCGCAAGTCGGCCGTAAGGCTAGTCCGCAGCGCCTTGCATGACGCTACGAGGTGAAATTTGGTCTGGTGCTGTGCTCCGCCTGGCCACCGGATGTAGTGTCTCTGGACTTGTCTCCGGCAAGATCCGGGGAAGTCAGCAACGGTCGACTGACTTTGCCCCTACATCAGAGGAACGTGCAGATGTCTTCCGAAGAGTGTGACAGAAACTGACCAAATGGACCCCTAGAAGCGAGACCCTAGCCATCCCTGCCATAAAGACAAGATACAAGTTTCAAATTGCCGAAGTCAAGCACGGTGAAGGGGAATGACGAGACCCAATGCGTGCAAGACTTGCACACAATCAAATTCGAGAATGACCGACAGCGAATGGTTGCAGTCATCATTGCATACCCTTGAGGTAGCGCAGATGTATCGCAAGCATGACCTGCGCGTGCAGCCCGGTTCTGAGGACGGGGCAAAGCGATCGCAGAGTAGAGTTGATGTGTGGAGGTAGTCTTCACAGCCAGCCGTGGTTTGGCACCGTCAACTTGTGCTCTGACCACCCTGCACTGGCTGGACTGATGATCATTATCAGGAATCAGTGCATCAAGAATTGATACGAACACTCATTGAATGTACCGCCGCCGAGCCAGCATTGAGGCATAGCATGCCGCCGCCACCGCACGACTCACTCGGACCTGGGCTTTTGTGAGACGTGTCTGAGGTCCTTTCAAAAGTCACATCGGACCTGATCATGACCCAAGTCTTACCACGCTGAAGTAGCCAGGAGACTTGCTGTTCAGCCTGTGAGACACAGTATTGTTCAAAAGCCAGGGTGGGCTGGCACATCAATGACTAGGAGTCAGCCCCCGTAACCAGTGCTTGTGCCCTTTAGTCTGTCAGCATTGCTCGGCTGCTGTGATCGTAGTGTGACAAGGTCGTCTATGTGGCGCTCATATGAGTGCCTGTTCCAGCGATGACAGCCACAAATGACCTACAATGGCGTGGTCTAGAAGGGTCGGCTACAGAGGTCGCCTCGAACATGGCAAGAGATGGTGGGCGAGTTTGGTTGAAGCCAAAAAGCGCCTGACGAGAGGCCGAAATCGCAATTGAATTGAGTTGGGAGCACGTGTCGTGATGGCTGGACGGGTAGCTATTGTCTTGATGGTCTAGTGCCGTCAAACATCTGCCGTGTCAGGCTCCATGCGGGGAGAAGGTTTTGTGGTCGTCGGGGTAGACTTGTGAAGAATGGCACACTCTCTTCAAGTCAGCCAGAGCAATTTTGAGGCATGAGGCGCTCGTGGGCTATGAAGCGAGTTCGCGCGACGCATGCAAGGGCAAAAATATGTCGATTCGTGCTGTGCCGCTTGTGATTGTGGTGCCAACAGGAGGAGTGTAAAAGGGTGTGTAGCAAAGACAACAAAGACAGCAGAGACAGCACATGTATTGTGGTCGAACCTGCTGCTGACGGGACCAGTTCCACGCACGGCAGCTGCGACCAACAACGCAGTCCGGCTCGGAGGGGGCGGGGGGGGGGGGGGGGGGGGACATTCAGGACCGTCACAAAGAGAAAGGGACAGGAGATTAGAGCATAGCTTGACACAGCTGCACACCTCGTCCTTGTGAGCACGTTGACGCAGCCTGCTTGATTGTGAGTACGAGAAACATCCAGAAGCACTAGAGACCCAGCGCCTGTGAATGGCCACAGCAGCACCAGGGTTGCCTTTTAGTCATTGCAGAGTCGTAACTTTGAACAGGCCACGGACGAATCACGAGGGGGCCACCTATCGAGGCAGCCCCTTGGCGATGCGAGGCTTGAGACAGCCGCATGCACGCGAGAGCGCGGCATCGACTCTGGGGCAGGGATTTGCAGGGATTTGCAGGTGTGTCGCCCCGTCCCCCGCGTTTGTTGCCCCAGATCCGCGACGTCGGCGGGGATGCCATTGGCCAGCGGTGGCCACAGCCCTAACCCACCTGCCAACTGCCCCAAGCGCGCTGTCACCCAGCACAGTCATCCCCAACCCTCCCCCGCCGCGGATTGGCTGGCTGCAGCGCCCATCATGCCCGGCTCGGCCGGGTCATGCTGGATGTCGTACAAGCACCTCACTCCCCCACGTCAGCCTGCGCGATGCTGTGACACAGCAGGACTCCTAATGCACGCCTTGGGCAGGGCTCATGCACAGGCAACGCTGCCCGTCCGTCCCCGAGGTGTGGCGACGTAATGCGACTGGAGGCCCTGGCGCCAGCCACTGCCGTCTCCAGGCTGGGCACGCTGCTGATTGGCCGCGGGGGAAACTAACACGGCCTTAAGCAGCAGGAATCGACCCTCGAGGGCTGTCAGATGTCTCGGGGACGATCAAGGTGAGGAGTGGCTCGGCACCCTGCCATCGTCACAGGCCCAGGCAACCACCAGCATGCAGCACAGCACGGCCGCCCAACGGCGAGCTTAATTCGTGCCACTTCTCGACACTGCCCGGAAAACACGGGCTGTCCTCCGCCAGGCGTTCCCCCCTCCTCCTGGCCCTCCCATCGTCTATATATCGTGCCGTGCCTGCCACTTCCGCCACGGATGAGAAGGGTGTCCCACCATCTTCTTCCGACTCCAACATCCTTCACTCACCACAGCCACATCTCACCAAGTACCACCACCACCACTCCTTGTCATCACAACACCCTTGGATATCATGTCTCCCTACGCCAAGTACTGCTGCAAGTGCGGTGACATGCTCGTCATCAGCACCACCTGCACCTCGTGCAAGCACTCCCAGTGCAGCACCTGCGGCTAAGCCGGCCAAGCCTCTGAGCGGACTGAGGATCTGGTCGAATGCTCACCCGATCAACCGTATTTTCATACCTCTTTTCGCTCTACATTTCTTCAACGCGTTTGAAGCTTTGTCCTTTAGCCTCCCAAGGCAGACCTCCACGACATATCACGCAAAAGTATCAGAGG